AATATTATAGTAGTTATAGATAGGCTAATAAGGTATATATATTTTATACCTTATAGAGAAGTAATAAATATACTAAAGTTTACTAACCTATTCCTATAAACTATACTAGCTAACTATAACCTACTAAAGGAAGTTAATATAGATAGAGGAGGTATATTTATCTCTAAGTTTTAGTAGAATCTTATAGACCTATTAGGGATATACTATAAGTTATTAATAGTATACTACCCTAAAACCTAGGGAATAGTAGAATAAGTTAACTAAACTATAGAAACCTACCTTTAGTATTATATTAATTAGGACTAAGATAACTAGGTAAAGTACCTACTATTAGTATAGTATATATATAATATAAATAAATATAAAAGTATAGGAATATTACTATTCTATATAAACTATAGAATTAAACTAGAACTAGGGTTTAAACTATAAGGATAATATTTAGTAGCTAAATAAGTAATTATAATAGTAGAATAAATAAAGAAACTATACTAATAACTTATAATAGAACTTAAATTTATATAAGAAAGAATAATAAGGTATATAAATTGAAAAAGATTAAGGGACTAACCTTCTAGGAGGGGAGTAAGGTCTACCTACTTTAAAAGAAAGTAGGAAAAAGGGATCCCTAAATCACTATAAAAAGACTAAGTGATAAACTTAATTATAAAAACTAGGACTATTTATTATTAAATAAAAAATTTTAGAAGTTAACTATAAACTAGAATTACTAACTATAATAGGACTTAAGTACCCTATCTTTTATATATTACTACTAAAACTAGTATATAATAATATATCTATAGAAAAGTTAATTATAGTTAAACTAGTAGAAGATAAATAAGAAGTAGAAAAATCCTTAACTTTAGATATAATGATAATAGAAAAATTAAGTACCTAATAAAATAGAAAAATTTTAAATATAGTGAAAATATATAGGAACTTATTAAATACCTTAAAAGAAGCTAGAACCTTCTAGCCTAGTTCTACTAGAGAAATCTAATAAAACTAAGGGACTTAGGTCCCCTAGGTCCCTAACTAACTAGTTAGGAAGAGGGTTAGAAACCCCTAAGGAAAGGATATTATTTATAACACCTACCTCCTAATACTCTAAAGAAATACTATCCTCCTTATCTAAACCTATTATCCCCTAGTAAATTATAATAGAGCTCTACTTAGTAACTAACTTCTTTAAATGATAGATATAGGTAAGATAGTTAATAGTAATTAATAGCTAAGTCTAAAGAATAAATAATACCTACTTAGTATTAGACTCCTCCTTCTTAAGCTTCTTCTACTTATAAAGAAGATAAGTTACTATAAGAGATATTAGGAAAAGTAGTAGAAGTATATATACTAGATAGGGAAGGAAAGGGGTATATATAAGAAGATATCACTAAGGAACTATCATATAACTAACTATGACGAACGCACTTAGAATAGTAAGAAGAATTCTCACTTATATGATAAACTTTATTACCCTTAAAGTAGGATAAATATAGTATTTTAGGAATTAAGCTTAATAAGTTAATAGTATTAGTAAGAAGGTGATAATTAGTAGATAAATAAGGGATATATGAAAGTAAATAGCTTATAATATAGAAAGAGGAAAGAAGAAGAAGGGGAAGTTAGACTAACTATAAGAAGACTATAGAGTAGGAGTACCTCTATATTTAATAGGAGCTAGGGGGTAGAGAATATAAATCTTTAGGGATAAAGATTAAAAGAGGGGAGATATTATATTATAACCTAGCTACCTAAAGAAGTAGCCTAGGGAAGGTAGTGAGGACCTATAGAAATACTAGACTAGAGGAACTATAGGTAAAAGGGATCACCCTAGTTACCTAGTGATCTAGGCGACCTGGATCACCGCGGTTATAGTGATTAGAGCTAACTGATCACCTAGATCACGATAGGATAATATAATCCACTGTCTATATAAAGAAATAAGTAGATCTTAGAGGGAAGGAGGTTCTATATCCTTCCTAGTAGTCAATTCAAGTACACTTGACCCCTACACTTAAATATATATTATAGATAACGATATTGTTATACTGTTTGATTGCCTCACTGAGCTACTAACAGGCCCCGACTGTTCTAACCCTAACGCAACCTAACCCTAAGCAATACGCCCTAGTGTTGGAACGTCACACTGCTGCCCAAATCTGTTGTGGGCCAACCACTCTATTGGGAAAGATGAATCGATCTCCGGTAGTTTGAGTCTACTGGCGTTTGCCATCCCTGCTCCCTCGACTTTGAACTCGAAGCCTGCTCCGATTTTTTTCCATTCTGTCTTTTTCGCTGCTTGCTAGAGTGGAGCCTGCAGAGCCGCGATTGCTGGCATTTCAAGCGTCCATGTAGGCTACCAACAACTGGGACATTGCTGGCCGTCAGTTTCTTGAAGCCGGAAATGAAGCGTGCGTGAAAACATTTGCCATATTCTCGATTTCTCCGTTCGATTGATAATCCTCGAACAAGGATGATTATTTGGGCTTCTCTATCCCGAGCTGCCGGGCGACTGGTGAGCAAGCCATGCACAGGCAGCAATGCATCCTTGTCCCCGCCCTTTCCCCCTTGCTGTTCCTTCTTCGATTAACCAAAGAAAGGGGGAGAGTGCTGGTGAAAGCTGAGCAATGCCAGGAACTGAGATGAGATTGGGACGCAGGTACGAGGCACGCACGCATTGGCAGCATCGTCACCTGTTTCACGCGCATGCGTGGGCGGCGACCGAACCTTTGCGTCCCTGGCATATTAGTAGGCTCTACCTCTATGAAGCACTGCCTAATGGGCGAATATGATGGAGGGTAGCACGAACGCGTCCTCCGTGGTACGATGCGGCGTGTCGGTGGTGTTCCGCCCATCTAACATGGTGGCGGGAGGTGGGGAGGTCAAGTCAAGGGGGACTCGATAGTGACTGGGGGTGGAGAGGTGGCTGGCCACAGCAGAGCTGGAGTCCACGTTCTGTCGAGAAGTTGATGCGCTCCCTGACCGCTGAGTGCGGGTCTGCCAGGGGTCGAGAAGTTTATCTGGTCAATGCCCTGGAAAATCTCTCGGTAACCCCCGGATCGGCAGCAAAGCAACCCCTCCTTCAGCCAGTGCCACTCAGCAAACGCTTTGCTGCGAAACCCGGCGGAGTGGACAAGATTTCCAATATTCGGGGGTGAGTTTTTTGTGGGTTTAGTAATAACTAATAGTCTCAGGAGTTAAGCTTCCGTTGGTCTCGATTTCGCCCCTCCCAGCCGCACACATAGAGAGAGGCCCCTTGAGGGCATGCTTGTCGTGACGGACTGCTTCCGCGAGCGATTCCAGAGGGCCGGAAATTCTTGTTAGTGCTCCAACTGGTTCTTGTGAGGCTCACGATCATTGCTAGCGAATTGCATCGTGGCGACGCAATCTGCGTTGCCCTCGTCGACTTTGATCGAGAGGGTTTCGATTATATCGACAATTCGATTAATTTTCAATTTTATTTTTCTCTTCCCTTCTTCGATCCCTTCTTGTTTCTTCCTCTGCTTTGACTTGTTTGTTTTTCTTCGCCCTTGACTCTGTGATCCAAAAACATCTATCACTCGTTGCTTTTGTCCCCTTTATTCCTCCGCCTGCACCCCTCGCAGGGTCTACGCGGTGCAGGAGAGCGCGGTTCTCGCAGCGGTGGGGCTTTTTCATGCCCCAAAATGTGCGCAAAATAATAGCGTAGCAAAAGGAAAAATTGAAAGAAAAATTGAAAAAGTTCATTTCCAGAGCTGCGCTGCAAAGCACCAAACCGCTCGAAGCATGCAGCCGTCTTGGGGTCAGCTCGGGCGAGTCGGAGCTGCGCGCAGGGAGAGGAGGGGAGGGGGCCCCATGCCCTGCTCCATTCTCTCTTTTATGCCCCGTTTGGGAAACCCCCTTTTGGAGAGGCTTGTCCGGGGGCGTGGCGGCATAATGCGCTAGAAGCCGGAGTCGGGTTCTGGGACCGATGGAGGATCACCGCGCAGTGACCAATCAGGATGCTCCTTCGCATAGTATAAACGCTCGACGGTGTTTCCGCGGTGGGTTCAGCCCATGGGAACAATAGTGATATTGCTGAGCTATTTGATAGTTTATTTTCCTTGTTCCCCTTGGCAGTATCGGGCGGCGTAACGACAACGCTGGGCATGGGGTAAAAGGACGCTGCGGCTCTTGTTGCTATCGTCGCTCCGCCCAGTCTTCGAGGGCTTCACATGTGTCAAAGATGGATCCATAGATGGATGTATTACGGCGAGCTTTGTGACTGTGCTGCTCGGTTCTAGAAATTACAGTCACGTACCCGCACCACCGAGCCGACGCGATACGCAAGGAAGAACGGCGCCATGCGCTCAATATCAATAGCATCGTTTCCATGTCCAGACTGGGGCAATAGGGCTCTCGGTCGTTGGAGGACCCACATCATCACGCAGCCTCGGTGCCCTGGTCCGCCGTCGTGTAGCCGCTTTCATGCACACTGCACACTGGTTATCCTCCGCCCCATCCCCCTCCCTTCCCCCTCTTCCCGACTCTTATGGACGGTTTGGGTAGGTTCTTTCGGGGCTGCACGCTCGATCGTTCCTGAGCGCCTCCCGATACCCTGGCTCGGGGCTGGCCAATATTCGTCGACGACAGGGTATCTGCCAATATTGGCTCTTCGCGCCGTGCGTTGCTTCCTCCACATGGCTTCTCACCGGCGCCTCGTTAGCACGTCCTTGCTTTGCCTGTACGCTTGCGTGGCTGTTCGCGATGCTAATCTCTCTCTCTTCGCGCAGCGCAAAGGGGAAAGCCAAGGGAAACGGGTGAAGCTTTTCTCGTCAGTCTTTCGAGTATAAAGCTGGACATCTTCTCTTCCCTTCTCCCATCCTAATTCTTCTCTCTCATCCTCATCCCTCTCTCTCAGACTCAATAGTCACCGCGACAGTTTTCTTTCGCTTCCAGTCTTTTCCACTTCCATAATCCCTTAATCTTCTTGACATTCGTTTATCAAGTCCACTCCCCCAAAAACAAAATCCAAAATGCAGATCAAGTCCATCCTCAACGCCGCCTTCTTGGCTGGTTCCGCCCTTGCTTCTCCTTTCCCCGGCCCTCCCAGCGGCAATGGCTGCAGCAGCAACTCGCTCGCCGTGGCTCTCGCCAACGCCAACGCCAACGATTACTGCGTCAGCATCCTCAGCATCAGGCCTACCACTACCACCGTGAAGACAACCATTTCCAGCACCAGCACCAAGGTCGCCAACCTTGTCAGGACCACCATCACCTCGACTTTCACCGACGTCCGTGATGCCACCAAGACTTCCACCACCACGGAGTGGACCACTCTGGACCCCAGCACCGCCACTGTCACGTCTACCACGTAAGCATCCATCCCGCCCTTTCCCCTCTATTGTTCCGTTCTCTTGTCCAAGTGACTAACATCCCGCAGTACCGACACCGCGTACTCCACGGATATCGAGAGTGAGACTTCCACCTCGTGGACCACCATGTAAGCTTGCTCCGTTTGCTATCGTTCAGGTTCGCCATCACCGCTCTAATCCGTAACTAACACGTCTCCAGCACTTCCGTGAACCCTGCTACTCGCACTGGTATCCCCTACAAGCGTGCTGTCAGTGTTCCCGGTCCCGCCAGTGGCAAGCCCAGCGCCTCCATCCGTACCGCTTGCTCGTGCATCGTCACCACTCCCACCGTTACCAGCACCAGCACCAGCATCAGGGTCGTGTCCACCACTACCACCACCCCCACCTCCTACATCTATAGGTCTGCCACCATCTCCACCACCCAGACCACCACCACCACCGACATCCACAAGTCCACCGAGACCCCCGATGCTAAGACCGAGACCGAGATCGAGAGCACCACCACCACCCAGGTCCACAGCGCTACCACCACCATTGTCGCCCCCGCCGTCCAGACCAACACCGTAGGCGGCGCCTCCTTCATGCAGGTCGAGGTCATCCTCGCCAAGTGGGCCTCCGCCAAGAAGTCCATCGCTGTCGAGACCGCCCCCGCCTCCATCACCAACTACAATGATGCCTTCCAGTGGTGCGCTCAGTTCTGCGCTTTCGATTCCACCTGCACCCAGATTGCCGTCTTCTTCGACAACGCTGCCAGCGGCCCTTCAGCTGCGCCTATGGCAACGGCAAGTGGAACAAGGGCTGGACGCACCTTACTGCTGACGGCCGTGGCCCTCAGCAGCACGTTGTCTCTTACGAGAAGACCGTCGTCGTCGCTCCTGCCATCGGCCGCCGCGACCAGAACTAAGCATAGCTTGCTTTCCATGGTGATGTGGAGGTGTTTCGGGCCTGACTTTGAATGGTTGGGCTAATCATGACTGTACTCAAAATTTTCTTTTTCTGTGGCTTCACTTCTTCCCCTCCCGCAGTTGTCAGCAAACCGCGGCCTGTGGCGAGGTACTATTTGATAATTTATTAATACGGACGCTCTTTTTACCCTACTTGATAAACGTCTCTCTTGATTCCTTTGTGCTTTTGTCTGGTGACTCTTGATCTTGGCCTGCCTAGCTGGTTCCACGCCTTTCTCCATTCTCTTCGTTCTCTGCTAGCTCCCGCTTCCTCGAATCCAAAGAACCACCCTCTTAGAATCTTTGGCTTCTTGTCGGCATTGGGATAGTCTGGCCATCTTTCATTGTTTAATTTCTATTTGGTACGGAGGTTATGCCCGGTTATTCCATTCACCTCCTCCAAACACCAAAGCCGTGTATCGTATTCTCTCCACTTCTCGTTTCTTCAAATGCTCAAGTTTTCGTGATAAAACTCAGAAACGAGATTTATGCACTCACTCTCTATCGCCGATTTTGCAATATTAGTGCCCTTTCTGTAATAGCGGCGCCGGCACCGGCACCGTCTCGCCCATTATCCACGCCACCGTATTCTTCTGCACAGGGATATTCCGTGACCACCTCCCCAGGAAGCTCGGTTCCCGAGTCTTTGCTGTTGAATAGAGGTAGGCATCGTACCCTGGACTAGTGCTCGGTTGTAACGAAGTACATGAACAAGCGTACGGCCGTGTGGCCTGCGATGGTGGGACCCAATGGGCACACTCCTTCGAGCGCGCGGGTTATATCGGACGTATCACGCGCTATCCAATATTTCCCATATCCGGCATATGTGATATTTCCCCTCTTGGCCATAAATCCCTCGGTGCCTGACTCGAGGGGCGTTTTAGTCTTCAAAGCTGCCTGCTCCTGTCCAGGGCCAACCTTGTCAAAGCGCGAGCTTTTCTTGTTAGTTACTATTGGTGCCAAAGTTAGTTGTCGACAAAGTGTGACTGAGCTTATTTTCTCGTACGTCTAATCGTGTGGCGCTTGACGAGCGTCAGCGTATGCCCCTTCCCTTCCGACTGATCAATGTTTTGCTAAGTCCCATCAACGCCTATGGCTCGATGAATTTGTTAGTGGTGGATGGAAAGCGTGACGAGGCTCCCAAGGGCTTCCTGGACATTCGGCCAGATCAGGCTCCTCCTAGTTCTTGGACCGATTCGGGTCGCCTGATGAACACCGAGCCTTCGTGAGTCACTGTATAGAAATGGCTTAGACTAGCTGGCTTGCATGTTAAGACCTGTTTTGTACATCACAGACGACTTTTGGACAAGTGCCTCATCTATGCCGACCTTTGGGGCGGAAAAAAGAAAAGAATACATAGAAAAAGAATGCGGATCCTATCAGGCCATGTTCGGCGCCTTTCTTCTACTCTCTTGTACGTCTGCGTGATGAACTTGACAATCGGTTGGTTTTGCAACTTGACACTTATTAACAACATCTACGTACAACGCTGTGCAACCAAGCAAAGATGTGTAGACTAAGCTAGCCTTCCTTTCAAGGATTAGAACTTCCTGCCGCATCCATTCCCCTGACGGCCAACCGCCACACAGTCAAGCTAGTAAACTAATATGATATTCTGCCCGCTTTCGGATCTTGGCGGCGCGGTGTTGTTTTGGCCCTGCGTGCCTCGCGAGTACATTCAGAGAATCTTCGCCTTGACCGCGCCATTTTCCTGCTCCTGCGTCACGACCGCCGGCTCCACGAGCTGGTCCGGGTCGTCCACCACCTTCTTGAACCGGTACGTTTGGTGGTCTATGTCCGCGAACCTCCAGTCTTGATCGACGATGGGCTCCAACTCCGGAATGATTCCGTCGTTCTTGAGACATGGAGGTAACTTCCCTCCGTGGTTGTTTTGCGGCGTGTAGTTGTCGTACTTCTTCAACCGGTATACTAGGGAATCGTGAAGCACTGCGTCGGGGGATATCTCTCGTGGATCCCTTGTTCATCGGGAACCGGACGTTGACCCATTCGTTATCCTCGAGTTCCCATCTCGTGATGAAGGGGAAGACCTCTGTAGAAGAGAGCGCAAGGTTAGTCTCACTGGCGAACATTTCCCTCGCGTGTGTCGCCACACTGATGGAGAGAAGAAAAATTAGCAAAAAGAAAGAAACTAACCCATGAACTTCCACAGCAGCACGGTAAAGAAACCCGTGCCTCGACCAAACTTCAGCGCATCATGCATATCCCCATCCAGCGCCTGCTGCCTCCTCTGCTTAAAACGCGCCTTGAACCCTCCACATTCGGCCGCCACCGCACCGCACCCGCCGGATCCCGCCTCCCCACCGACTCGACCTCGCGAATCATCCACGCCAGCGGTATATCGCTCATCTGGAACGGATCCGTGAGGATATTCTTGGCCTTGGTCGCCTCCTTGGCCCTGCTCGTGCGCCAGAAGCCGCGGATGCGCTTGCCCACGCCCTTGACGCGCTGCCACCACGTCGGGCGCGGCTTGTTCTCGTCCTCGGGGTACTCGGCGGGCCAGCCGCCCCCGACGTCGCCGTGGCACCCGGGGAACCACACCTCCTTGATGTCCTCCTTTTCGTGGTCGCGCGTGAGGGCGCGTATGTCCTGCGCCAGCAGCGCGGGCTTGAACTTGACGCGCCGCTCGTCCACGGCCACGGCGTGCCGGACGTAGGTGGCGGTGCCCTTGATGGGTACGGGGACGGGCGTGCGGGGCTCGAATACGGAGATGGAGTTGACGCAGTCCCACACGCCGAGGAAGTACACCTTGATGTTGCGCTCCTTGACCCGCCCGTTCTTGCATAGGACCTGCTCCTTGCGGCAAAAGTGTCGCTGAAAGCCGTGATCTCGTCTCGCGCTACCTCGTATTGTCGTCCGTGCATCAATCTCGCGGTGTCGTCGTCCCGGAGGAAGGGTTGGCCCTCGTCGTCGCTGGCTGCCCCCTCGTCGTCGTTGTCCATTCCGAAGCGGCGCCTCCACCGGCGGCGCGCCGACTGCTGGTCGTGGTCTTCGATTTCGCCCGCGAGATAGCGCTGGTATAGGCGGTAGGCAAAGGGCACCATCTCTTCGTTACCCTTGCACAGCAGGCCGACGGTGTGGATCATGCGGGCGAGGAACTTGGCGGTGAACGCGCCACGACTGAAGCCGAACATGTAGATTTTGTCACCCTAGACGTCGTTGGAGAGGACACAGGTTAGCTAGGTCTTATACCCTTATACGTCGAGCCAGCTTGGGAAGAGTGACGGTGCAATCGGTGGTGTGGCTCACGGAGTCGTAGTATCGCATGAGGAATCGGTACCCGGCCATGACGTGAGCGTCGAATGTCGTGCCGACGCCCTGGTCGATGGTCTGGGAGATGGAGCTGCACATCTCTCCGTACCAACTCTTGTGCACCGTCTTTTCGTGGATATCGTACGTGCCAATACCAGCTGCCAATACATGTGAGTACTCATCCTGATGTTTGACAATAAGAGGACGGAAGCACAGAAACTACTAAAAATTATAGGATGGCCTGGGGGATGTTCACGGGGTGAAAGGTGGGCAGACGGCAGCATCTAAAGCACATACTCTGGTAATAATGGTACTGGTTCGGGTCATTACGATCGAGCTTGCTCAGCAGTTTGACCACATTTGTATCGGCATTCGAGCCGGTAAACTTGTTTCCCGTGCCATCGAAACAGAGAATCAGCTTCTTGGGCTCTCTGGCATCGTCCGATTCGCAAGCCGTCGAAGACCGGCTGATCGGGCTGAAAGGAGGATCGGGCTGCATATCAGGAACCAATGGACGAAATAGGACAAAGGGTACCTAGGGAGGGAGGGATAGGGATTCAACAGCCAGTGGTTGCAGAGGGGAATCGAACTTCAGCTTCGCATGTCGCTTGGAGAGGGCATTTGAATCTCAGTGGGTGGGGGCGCCGAGTTCGTGGGCAGGGGCTCTCCCTTTTATCATCGTCTTGGGGGCGCCGGCTAGCACGAACTATCACCAGAGGGGAAGGGGGCACCCCTCGACTCGCTAGGGCGTAAGAAGGGGTGAGTTCCATGACTCCAGCCCTTGTGCGTCTTCTCATTTTTGGTTGTGTACTGGAAGGTGCATACCCGCCCCCGCCTTCATGCGCAATCGATATCGGAGCGATGACGCAGCTGGACGGGGGTTGGGGGAGGGAGGGGGAGAGTGAAAGAAAAAAGTAAAGAGACGATGGGTAACACTACCTGTTTCCAAGGGGGCAGCCCGTTGAAAAAAGGAGCGGCACGCCGATCCTGGCTAGCCACGACGGCGCTGGACCTAAAAGAGGCTACATGAGGAGGGGGTGAACGGCCACGGTTTCAAGCCTTTTTCGTGATCAACATGAGTCGACAAGCAGGTAAGCTAAGAGAACCAGGCCGTCAAAGACGGTTTCGGCGGGGACCTGGAAGGTAAGATAACGTGGCTGTAGCTTTCCCCGAGTCTTGTTCCCCCCCAGTGCACATGTCGTTCCAGATGTCCGGCCCGCATTTCTATCTTTAATCCGGACGGCAGGTTTCCTTTTCTCCTCACTCTGACGGCTTCCCTTTTTTTCCCTTCCTATTTTTCAAAAGATTTTTTGTTTCCTTTTCCGTCTCCTCTTGCGCCGACGAGGACATCGTAGACGTAAGCTCAGGACGGTGGAATCCGGCTTGAAGCGGTATCCGTAGACTAATGTATGTAGTGTACCCTTTGCGACCCATAGCAGCCTTGTTATCTCATGTGTGGGAGAATGTGGTAGTGATCGGCCCTCTTCGTTACGCTGGGATTGGCGAGCAGCGCGGTAAAGACTACATGTAGACTTTCCCGCCTCCATGGTCACTTAGACAGACCCCCAGCCAGCCACATGGGGCCAGATCATTTCCCCGACTTACAGTTCGATCGCTCCATGGATGCCAGGAATAAACAAGCATGGACTCAATTGACTACCCGCGCTAGGGAAGAGTTTCGAATTTCCGTAGCTCAACCATCTAGTGTAGTGTCTTCCATCCTATTGATCTTTGTTTTATTCGCATTCGCTTCTTCGTCGTTGTCCTTTTCCACCTTCTTTGCCTAACCTCCTTTGGCTCATCTTCCCGCTGGTTTTTGTCTCATCTCCATACGTTCCCTCCTTCTCTCCCGTCTTCGATTTTCCCCGACGTCAACCCCGGTCGCGCTGAAGCCAGCAGCTCAAATGGTTTGCCTCGGCAGCCTGTCACCTTCGTGGACGCTCCTCGCTCGCCGGTGGCTGAAGAGGATCTGCCGGGCTAATGTAAGCAAAGCGCACAGCTGGTCTCGGCCGACCAACCACCAAAGCGGATCGGTGTGCAGAGCATGCTTGCCCCTCCCTCGGGCGGTCTGCGTTCTGTCCCCGGCGGTTGCAGAAGAGAAACAAGAAGAGAGAATTCACAAAAAATATGCTCTTCATTCTTGACTGCCCAATGCTCGAGTCTTTTTCAAGCGACCAAGCTTTGAAGTTCAAGGCGGCGTCGTCATCGAAGCTAGTTAGCGTCTTCGCGTCCCTTAGGCCCTTGGCAAACCCGGGCCGGCCGAAGGCACTCTTCCAGGGTTATTTCATCCAGGGTTAAGAGGATCGTCCCGCACCCCGCTAAACCTATCTACTTGGGACCGAGGTAGCCCTTGCTTTTTAATTCGACCTTCCCGTTGGCGGTGTCATGTGGACCACTTCAAGCCCAACAGTTCCATCACGCATCAGTCACCGACCAGCCTGCGGCCCATCAGGCAAGGAAACAAAGCTTGCCTTAGTGCTTTCCTCGGGCGCGAACCAGGGCTGAGGACGAGAGGAGGAGGGGGAGGGGACACATGCTATGTTGAGCACTTGAGCAGAAAGGGAAAAGAAAAGTCCTGGTTTGCTGGTTCAAGCAAGCGGTGGGGGCCAAGCCCGTCCGCATGGCGTTGCTTTTTCCCCGTCGCTCGCGGTTCCTACAAGTTGCCGGTCGAGTAAGTGATAGCTAGGCCGTGAAGAGGAGGTCTGCAGCGCATGATGGGGGACAACGCGCTACTCGGGATGCTACCTCGCCTGCAGCCCTTTTTTCCTTTCCAAAGTCCATCCAGCATTACATGTATGGACATGAGTGACACATAAAGGGAGGCCATGCGCCTATCATCTTCTACCCTCTCTCTTATCTTGATCCAATCCTTGCCACTCACCACGCTTGTTCGGGCGTCCTCTGGAGCTGTTGAGGCCGTCGCACGGTAGGGCTGTAGGACAATGGTCCTAGGGATAGTTGTTGGGTTTTCTTTTTACTCTCTTTCGCTAAAACTATCCTCGTAGAGACGGATAACGTCCCGTGTCTGGCTCGACGTGGCCTTCTTTAGCCTGTGATTTCGAGCGATTTTGGAGAGTGAGCCTTTCGTGCATTTGGCCATATTCATTTCTTTTCTTTTTTTTTTCCAAAGGAGACGAAGATCCGAAATGGCACATAATCAGGCATTATATGTCTTACCTTGCTGCCGTAGGGGAGGGAGCTCATCACTGATTTTCGTTTTCTTTGGGGTCGCAAGCTGGACTTCACATCAAGTTCTTGTCTCAGTCCCCCTCACCATGACGGTTACTCGAGGAATGGCCGGGGAGGTCTCTACGCCCTCCCCCACTGTGTCACTGTGTCACTGCGTCACCCCTCCTCCTCCCCTTGATCTCCCTACCATCCTCGACGCTTTGCATGAATTACTCTCGGGAATTTAAAGAGGGGGCAAGGCGGCTGCCAACCTTCAGCTCGTCCTCGCAGCTGACTGTGATAGCCAAGCCCTGTTTTCTCGCGACGCCTTCGACACTAGCCGCTAAGGGAGGAGCTAAAGCTTGCAAGAGAAAAACGACCTCGGGCCGTGGACCTTTTCCTTTCTTTAGTCCAACGTGTGTCTCACGTCTGGCTCGTGTCTTTGACTGCAGAACAGGCATTGCCGCCCGGCAGCACCTCATATTCGTGAGATGATGGTCAGAGCGGCTTATGGCGGAGGCAACTTTGAACTTTGGAAAGGAGGCGGCTGACCATGAAATATGAGCTCACATTGATCTAGTCAGTGTTAATCCAGTTCACCAGTTTTAGAAGCTCGCGGCATCGGCAATTTGGACCGAGAATGGATGGGCAGATGGGGAAGGAAGGGCGGGGACCATCCCCTGTTCGACGACTTATCTCCGGCCCAGCCCCAGTGGCCGTTTTGGCCAACCAGAAAATGGAGAGACAAGAGGCAAGTCTTGTTGATCATGGCATAATTGCGCAGAGTAGATCATCTTGTGGGTGAGCGCCACGGAATCTGCAGGTTGGCAACGGAAAATATTCCCAACCGAACTGAGCAGTAGGAGGTTTCCATGAACCCGGCCTGAATTGTAGAAGACTGCTCACCAGGGTTACAACGTAGATCAATCACCTTTTCTCTTGGGTTTCTCTAATACCAGGCTTCACTTTTTTGACAAGCACTGGCAGAATAGAGCAATGTCGCTTGTTACTGATCCCCTCGTGATAGAGATACATATTGAACAGAGGGCAAAAGATGGGGGTAAAATGCTGTTCGTATTCGCTGCTTGGTTCCATTATTTGGAGCCGTTCTATGGAGGAATCTACGGTCTTTTATAGTTGCCATTCCTGGAACCGTCGGATACCATCTTCCGGAACGGAAGTCGATATCCGTCATGTGGATCCGTCGGAAACCGGTATCCGCATCGGATACCTGTTTCCACAACGGATATCTGTTTCCACAACGGATATCTGTTTCCGTGACGGACTTCCATTTCCGTAGGAATCCTTCCGTCATCCTTCAACAATACACTCGACACAGGAGGAACTAAGAACGCCAAGATCGGTGTGGCTACAGAGGCGCATCGGCGTATTGCATGAACAGTCGATATTCGTCAATGGGGGAGCTACTAAAGAGTCTTCAGCCACAGTTTGGAGGATCCTTGCAAGTGGCAGCCGACCGCTCGCAGTTGGTTAGCCACAGTTGCCACACCCCACCTTCCTGATTGAGGCCAGGCCAAGTGTGGCAGAAAATTTTTAGTGTCATTCCCGCGCCCAAGCGACGATAAACTCTATGCAACTTATCTGGGCAGTCTGAAGGAGCAGAGACAAAAAAAAAAACTCCAGCGCCCATCGCAAAGAAGACCGCTCTTTTATCAACGCCTGGTCCAACGTCGCCCCATCTCCTTTGGACTCTTCCATCGACTCCCGTATACCAAGTTTGCGAATATGACGGCTACTCCGGAAAAGGCCCAGGCGCCGCACAAGCTCTTTGACGTGAGTCGGATTCACCTGCGAAATTTCTGCCCCGCGTTGCCCCTCCATCCCTTATCGCAGCGTCTCTTCTGCCCCGCCAAAAAAAAAAAGGTCGCGATCTCGCTAACGACTGGATATAGACCATTCTGGTGCTCGACTTTGGCACGTTTTACTCGTTTTGCTCAAGGATTGAGGGATGAGTTGCTAATTCTTAGTTTGCGCTGAGCAGGTTCTCAGTACACACATCTCATCACTCGGAGGTTGCGCGAGGTGAGTCTGATCAGGAGGGGCTCCGTCCGTCCCATGTGTGCACGCGAGCATATGTGTGCGCGTGCATATGTGTGCGCGTGTATGCGCTGACCGCTCACTTGCCATGTAGTTGAACGTCCTCGCCGAGCTTCTTCCATGCACCACCAAGCTCGCCGATCTCGACTTCAAGCCCAAGGGTGAGTCTCTCTTATTTGCGGTGGCTCCGTCGACTTGACTCCTCGGGGCCATCTTCTGTGCGACTCGGTGCTAACATTGCGATAGGAATTGTGCTCAGCGGCGGTTCGTTAGATCTAAACCACCCTCGGCTTACACCTATCGGTGGTGGAGCCTCCTCCTTCTTGATGCTAACGATCCTTACGTCGCAGGACCCTTCTCCGTCTATGAAGATGGCGCTCCCCGTACGTTCATGCTTTCCCTTCCCCGCGCTGGTTTTCCTCCGCCTTGAATCCAGCACTGACTTATTCTCCCCTTCTTAGACGCTGATCCCGCCTTCTTCGACCTCCCCGACACTCCCATTCTTGGCGTGTGCTATGGTCTCCAGGAGATTGCTTGGAGGTTGGCCTCGGACAACGTGATCGCCGGAACCGAGGTTTGTACCATGAGGAAAGAGCGATGTGAGAGACTGTTACGGCTGGCTAACCGTGATCACAGCGCGAGTACGGTTATGCGGACCTCACTCCCGACCGACACGGCAGCCACGTCGACCGCCTGTTCGAGGGCATCGACGGCAGCATTCAAGTGGTACGTTTCTTCCCTTCCCCTTCCCCTTTAACTCCGCACAACCTTGTTTTACGTCAGCTCGCGATTCCCCTCGATAAGGGCGTCCGGGAGTGGCCTGTTCTCTAACACCTGGCCCCATCTCTCCAGTACATGTCCCACGGCGACCGCCTAAGCCAGCTCCCCGCGGACTTCGTCACCATCGCCACGACCCGCAACTCCCCTACGCCGCCATCGCCCACAAGGACAAGCCCATCTTCGGCATCCAGGCCCATCCCGAGGTCAGCCACACGCCCCGCGGCATCGAGCTCCTCAAGAACTTTGCCGTCAACATCTGCGGCGCCAGGCAGCACTGGTCCATGAGCAGCTTCTGCGAGCAGGAGATCCTCCGCATCCGCAACCTCGTCGGCCCCAACGCCCAGGTCATCGGTGCCGTTTCCGTGAGTTTCTTTTCCTCGCCCCACTCCCCCTTAACATCTCCTTGGCTATCAAGAGGTTGTTATAACGGTGACTATAGTTTTACCACTAACCTTTTGCAACACAGGGTGGTGTCGACTCTACCGTTGCCGCCAAGCTCATGACCGAAGCCATCGGCGACCGCTTCCATGCGGTGGTATGTAATTCCCCTACCCACAGTAACAGAGCTATCGCCGGGCGTCCTGTCTCCCTCCCCGACACTAACAAGATGCTTTAGCTCGTCGACAACGGCCTCATGCGCCTCAACGAGTGCCAGCAAGTCAAGGAAACCCTCGCCGAGCACCTCGGCATCTCCCTCACCGTCGTCGACGCCAGCCAGCGTTTCCTCGGCGCGCTCAAGGGCATCGAGGAGCCCGAGACCAAAAGGAAGATCATCGGCAATCTCTTCATCGACATCTTTGAGGAGGAGGCCATCCGGATCGAAAAGGAGGCCGAACACACGCCCAACGCCGGCAAGGTTCAGTGGGTGCGTACTCGGTCCTGTGGCCTGCGCTGAATTCACCTGTGCGGTGTGTGCGGAATCATGCTAACGGCTCTCTTTGGCCGCAAACAGTTCCTTCAAGGTACCCTCTATCCCGACGTGATTGAGAGCATCTCTTTCAAGGGTCCCTCGGCCACGATCAAGGCAAGAACACCCAATTTTCTAGCAGTGGCAGGAAGAAAAACGAGGAAATTAACCTTCAGTCTAGACGCACCACAACGTCGGCGGTCTTCCCCAGCGCATGATTGATGGCCAAGGCCTCAAGCTTATCGAACCCCTCCGCGAGCTTTTCAAGGACGAGGTTAGGGAGCTTGGACGTCAGCTCGGCGTCCACGAGGATCTCGTTATGCGGTATGTCGTTCCCGTTCCCCGGATCGCTCCCCTTTAGTGTAATTATATGCTGACATACAGTGCCCAAAAACAGTCACCCCTTTCCCGGTCCCGGTATCGGCGTCCGTATCATCGGCGAGTGCACTCCCGAGCGCGTCGAAATCGCTCGCCAGGCCGATCACGTAAGATTTTCAGACCAAGCCTTTCTCTGCAAACGTGAATCGGGGGCTATGGAGCTAACTGTTGACCGCGCTAGATTTACATTGAGATGATCCGGGAGGCTGGCCTCTACAACGAAATTAGCCAGGCGTATGCTGGTCTCGACACCTCGCAGGCCGTCGGTGTCATGGTACGTGTCCCGTCGTTGTTTCATGGGAGCAGTAGAGAGCCGTGCTAACAGAAGTGCTATCTAGGGTGACAAGCGCTACATGGGCTACATTGTCATTGTAAGTTTTCGCTGCTTTCGCTTTACCTCCGTCTCTATCTGCCCAAATACTAACAGTCTAATAGCTCCGAGCTGTCCAGACGACGGACTTCATGACGGCGGAGGCCTACCCCTTCGACATGAAGTTCCTCAACAAGGTTGCGGTGAGGATAGTGAATGAGGTGCAGGGAATCAGCTTGGTGACGTACAACGTGACCAGCAAGCCCCCGGGCACGATTGAGCTTCAGTAGATGGAGGGACGGGGCCACGGGTTCGGTTAGGAGGAGGAATATCATCATCAACTTTTTAACTTTTTTGCTTGGTTATTTAGAGAAAACAGGAGAACTAGAAGTCAATTGATCAATTACAAGGGAACCAAAATACCCTAGGAATGAATAGGGCTGATGGGCTCGCTGTCTCATAACCATTGAGACCATCGCCAGTTGAGGTTAGCTCCGTATCGGGCGGCCCGCGCATCTCCTCCCTGAGATGTGTGTTTTTCTTTGGATAGGCTCTTATCTCATCGGTAAGCGCTTCTTGGTACAATAGGCTTTCTTTCCAACACCATTCGCCATGTAAACCTGCATATAACCGATATCGTTTTGTCCTCCCCTCTTCCTTCCGAATGTACGAAGTCTAGTGAAAAAAGTTGATGAATTCCCTTCATTTGCACCGAGCCGAGGCCGGTAGAGGAGACCTTGATTATCAATGGGCGAGCATATTAATAATGCCACAGCCCATTGATCGTGTGGAGTCTCGTTGGCTGAGCCAGTCGGAGATCGCGTCACCATTGCCGCTTGGCCGCATCCACAAAGGAACCCACTCGCGGCCAAGAGAAATTGCATCATGCATCGTGTTCCAGAGCCGTCACTGATCCACACTACACATCCACCCGACATTTTGTATAACCACCTCCCTGTGCTCTGCAGGTTACATGCACCTTGGACGGATGCGATAAAAACTTGCGCAAAAGGAAGGGAGAGTGTGGGAACTGCCCCCTCCCCCAAAAGAGAGCGATCTTAGCACAAGAAGAAGGAAATTTTCATTGCGATGAGGAAACCATGATTATAAATCACCAAATTTCTAAGCTGCCATGTTGGGAAGAGAGCCTTGGTGCTTCACGCACGCAATTTGTTTCAACGGTTTAAAAGCATCCCTCTCCCCTGTTTGCTTCCTCAGGACATAATTTTTCATACGAACCGTAGTCGTGAACGCTTGTTTCAAAGAAGAAATAGCAATAAACCCAACATTCCAGGGTCTGCAACTACAAAGTACATAGACGAGAGCTCTTTCCTTCTCGCAAAAGCAACACGGGAACCGATCCTTCCCGCCCGGATCTCACTCCCCGCTCCCACTTCCCCTTCCACATCCCCCTTCCCCTCACCCTCCTCTCTCCCCCTTCCCACACCCAACCCGACATCAGCCATGGACGCCCATCTCAAGAAGAGGATCCACCCCCACCACTGCGTGCCCGTGTCCCGCTCCGAGACACCCGCCGGCGAAAAGGCCAAGAAATGCGCCAGCACCATCTTCAACGTCCCGGCCAAGGGCGTCCCCTTCTTCAGCCCGGAGCAGGATCCCCGGCCGGCACCGCCGCTGATCCCCAGCCCAGCGGCAGGCCCGTGCCCAAGCTTTTCACCCCCTCACCATCCGCGGCGTGACGATGCAGAACCGCATCTGGGTGAGCCCCATGTGCCAGTACAGCGCCCACGAGGGCTTCCACAACCTGTGGCACACCACGCATTACGGCGGAATGGCCCAGCGCGGCGTAAGTTTTTTTTTTTCTTTCTTTCATTCATTTCTTTTTTTTCCGTCTTTCACTGTCCAGAAAAACAGCACTAACACCCGCACAGCCCGGCCTCGTCATGCTCGAAGCCACCGCCGTCCAAGCCAACGGCCGCATCACCCCCGAAGACTCCGGCATCTGGCTCGACGCCCACGTCGACGAGCTGCGCAAGCACACCCAGTTCGCCCACAGCCAAAACGCCCTCATCGCCATCCAGCTCGCCCACGCCGGCCGCAAGGCCTCCACCGTCGCCCCTTGGCTCAGCTCCGCCGCCGTCGCCACCCACGAGGCCGGCGGCTGGCCCGACAACGTCTACGGCCCGTCCGACGTGCCCTTTGGCGAAAACTACCCCACCCCGCGCGCCATGACCCTCGCCGAGATCGACCAGCTCAAGGAGGATTTCGTCCTTGGCGCCCGCCGCGCCGTCGCTGCCGGTTTTGATGTTGTCGAGCTCCACTTTGCCCACGGCTACCTCGTGTCCAGCTTCCTCTCCCCGCGAGCAATAAGCGCACTGATCAGTACGGCGGCAGCTTTGAGAACCGCACGCGGCTTGCCCTCGAGCTCGTGGAGGCCGTCCGCGCCGCGTTGCCCGAGGAAACGCCCCTTTTCGTCCGTATCAGCGCGACCGAGTGGCTTGATACGAACCCGGACTATCAGGGCGAGAGCTGGACCCTCGATGACACCGTACGGCTTGCGCACCTCTTTGCCGAGCGCGGCGTCGACGTGCTCGATGTGTCCAGCGGCGGAAACAACTCTTTGCAAAGGTCAAGGGCGGACCCGGCTACCAGGCCCCCTTCGCCAAGGCCATCAAGCGCGCCGTCGGTGACAAGCTGCTCGTCAGCACAGTCGGCAGCATCAAGGACGGCGTGCTGGCCGAGGAGCTCATCAGCGGCGGTAAGGATGAGAATGATACCCCGGTTGATCTCGTCGCCGCCGGCCGCATGTTCCAGAAGAACCCTGGTCTCGTCTGGCAGTGGGCCGACGATCTCGGTACCTCCATCCAGGTCGCCCACCAGATCGGCTGGGGATTCGGCGGAAGGGGTGGAAAGACCAAGACCCCCGTATCTAACATTCCCTAGAACGAGAGTTTTCTTTTTATATATACATATGGCGTTTGGTCAAATCATGGACAAAATAGCTTTTACTAGAACTATCTAGACCAACGGACAGGAGAAATAAAGGCGTGAATTGATTTTTATTATTTATCAACTAGAGATTCATCATGTAACCAACGTAGGCGTGACATCATGTTCCTTCCTCTTGCTCATCGCGTACCTTCTTCCCTCCTAATCTTCAAAATCCGTACTCTTCCAAACATCCTCATACGACTCCGCCGCCTCCGCCAGCGCCTTACTCGCATCCTTCAACGTCTTCCCGCAGTCGCTCCCCAGCGGCAACCTCACCAACTTCTTACGGCCCCCGCAAACATGCCCTCGCCAGCCACATACTCCCACATGCGCGCGACTCCCTTCTCCGGATTGCCCGGCTGCTTGCCGTTGTAGTCGTCCAGCGCCTTGCGCGCATCGTGCGCGGGCGTGCCGTCGTACGCGTCGATGGCGGGCGCCAGGTTCGCCGACTGCGACGTGTTGGCGTTGGCCAGGAACTCGGTGCGGAAGTAGCCCGGCTCCACGGCGACGCACTGCAGGCCAAACGGCTCCACCTCGCCCGCCAGCGCCTGCGTGATGGCCTCGACGGCGAACTTGCTCGCGCAGTAGATGCCGTTGGTCGGGAACGAGCTGACGCCCCCGATGGACGAGAGGTTCATGATGGTGCCGCTGCCTTGCTTGCGGAGGGCGGGGAGGAAGGCGCGGATCACGCGGAGCATGGCGAAGACGTTGACGTCGAACTGCTGCTTGACCGCTTCGTCTCTGTTTTTCCAACGGGTGGAGCCTGTTAGAAATATATATATATTTCCAGCGAGGAAATGGGGAGGGGAAAGAAGGACAGGGAAATAAGAAAGGAAAACACTAGATGGAACAGGACGTACTCGCTTTCTTCAATAGCACCGAGATAAGCATAGCCGGCATTATTCACCAACACATCCACGGAGCCGAAAACGTCAAACGCCTTCTTCGCATACGAGTTAAACTCGTCCTGCGACCACGACAAGTCAAACTGAAGAACCTTGATGCTGTCGTTTTTCAGCTCGTCCGGCACCTTGTCCGGCGATCGAACGGCTGCGATGACGCGGTCGCCCTCCTTGATGGCCTTGAGGGCGAGCTGGAGGCCGAGGCCCTTGTTCGCGCCCGAGATGTGCCACACGCGGGGCGCCATTGCGTAATGCGATTGGGAAGAAAAACGGTTTAGTGGAATGGATTTTGGGGATCGGACGCGTGGGAAGGAAATCGGGTGGTATTGTGCGTTGGAAAAGTAGACGTCAATACTTGGTAGGACGAGTAGAAAAGAGAGACAAAGAAACTACGTACACGAAGCAATGGATTCCCGAATGAACCACCCCGAGCTCTTTATACTTCAATGTCCCCCGCAACATCTAAATCGCCCCCTCTTGCCCGGGTTGCACGATTTCATTGGCCTCGAGGTGCTAAAGTATCACCACGTCATAAACCTCGGGGGTATCTTTTATCTCCATCCATGGTTCCATGTAGCGTTCTCCATGTCCAATTGATTTCCATATGCCTATCTGACATGCTTATACATCCGTCTTACGTGCTTATAGGAGTGCCCTGCATGCTTACATTCTATAGCCGGTCACGGCTGGCTTTCAGATTGATATACACTAGGAGACCTGGGATGCGCTGATTTGGGGGAGGTGCGGGGAAGATCAGAATAGGCTGCACTCTGACTTTCAGCATATGATCTGCTGGAATCGTCTTCGTAGAACGAGCCTTTACTGGAACCCTACACCTGCCCGGAGTAAGGACATCAAGGTATCAGAGCGAATCTCAAGTTTTTTGCTTGGCATCAATAGCGTGGTCCCAGCGCATCGTCCATGATGCCCGCTAGGCCCGCCGAGCTACGTAACCGTGACACCGGCAGGCGCAAACCCAACGTGCGCGGTTGGGAGCCCCACCCATCACCAATAACATGCCGGCCCGGTCCCTGGGTAACCCACCTTAAAAACATCCCTTTTTGTACCCGGTGAGAGAAAGCGGCAACAATGTGACGAAATAGCGCGGGAGGAAAAGGGGGACATAAAAACTGATGGTCTTATGATTTTGGGTGATTTTGGGTGGATTTGTTTCCTCGTGTCTACTTTTGCCTTGGTTCAACACAATGTCTAAGCTGGTGCTAGTAGGCGGATAACCTTGGAGTACATGTATACAATGACACGCAGCTCTGGACAAGCTCTCCACAAAGACCCAAGCTCAAGAGCTTCTTGGAGCTTCTAGGCTCCTCATTGGCTGGTAGAACAATTCGAAGGTATAGGAGCTTCCGCAGCCGGGAAGCCGCCTTGGATCACCCGCAACTCGACTACGAGATGCAAGACGCGGCGCCAGAACATGTACCCTCTTATTCAGATCTCGTGGATTAAAGAAATACAGAGCTGGACTTCGTGGTGCCCTTAATGGCTCAAGTTGATCTTTACTTTACATAACCAGTGACTACGTTTTGTTGGCACAGGAGCATACGGAACCCCGCAAGAGACAGCCTTTCCTATCTCTCTGCGTATAGACAGCTACGCGCCGGGCGCCCATACGGACTCGTATAAACCCTTCATCGGGCACCGTATCCCAACTTGGCGCACTATCCGTGCTCAATATAGGCCCGATGCTCCAACTCACAGCGCAAATCAGCAAACATGAAGTCTCGGGCAGCTGCATCTCGCTGCTGGCTGTCCTTGTCAGCGTAAGACGGAGAAGTCATCTGGAATGGATCGCCGATCATAGCCGGCCGATACTATAATAGCCCTTCGCCATAGATAGGGCGTATTGGCGGTGTTGATGTCGTGAAGCGTCGCATTGGAGTCGTGTAACTCTGCATCGGATGTTCAGCCGCGCTCTCCCTGCGGCGGGCCGACGCCGTCCCCCTACGCCACCACTATCCTTCACAAGCCACCGGATAAGCTATAAGCAGGGGAAGGCCGACATCATCCTTTCTTCACAGCTTACGATGCAAGGGTTCAACTAGCAATATGACGAGTGAGCATGGGTATAAATCTAGTGTTATTTTGTTTAGCTATCTAGGCCAAAGGAAACGCGGCCTTGTGACCCCGCGGCAGGTATCGACTCTGGCTGCGCATCATCAAGAAAAGACAAAAGAAGCAGTCGGTTTGGATAGGGCACAAAGGAAAGGGTCGCGTGTAGGCGTGTCTGTCTATAAGTTTGTTTTTCCCGTCATTACTCGTCGCAGGCGTCATACCGTAAGGATCGTGTGAAGTATCGTAAAAAGAAAAAGAAGAAGAACATGAGAAAAGCAAAAGAAAACACAAAAACAACCCCGAAAGCGAGGGGGAATCGAGAAATAGACAAAATTCCGCCAGACCAAATCTCCATCTTCCCGGTTTCCGCGAAGAAACGATAAGGAAACTGTGCCGTCTTGGCCATGTCCGAGGCAAAGCGCATGTATAAGGCGCGCTTTCGCGAAGATGAAAACAGATGACCGCCCTCCCGCTTTGACAAAAATGAAAAAGAAAAAAAAAAAAAAAAGCTATCATAAAAGGGTAAACCGCAAAACATTAGGTGGTTGGCATGGCATTATATCGACGTGTGGGAAAAATTAAAATCGAAAAGAAGTTCTGCCAGCTAGGCAGAAAAGGTGGCGAGCAGAATTAATAGTCGCACATAAAAGTGTCGCCGACGGGCTCGTCGTAGAGTTCCACGTCGTTGAAATAGTTATCGGGGTACTCGTGCTGGATACACTTGCCGCCGCCCGTAGGACCGACATGAGGACAATGCACCTAGTAATTCAATCGGGTTAGCTCTCTGCGTTGCGGGTGGGATAAAGAGTGACTTTTGGGAGCAATAGCTTACCTCAGGTCGTAGCTGTGTGAGGACGATGTGAATCGTGCGGCACACAATGTTGTCGCCCCACGCGTTCTGGTATCTGCCGTAGTCTTTTTGGGAGAGGACGGAGATGCACTCCTCGATAGAGGACCACTGTTGGTTGGCGCCGCGGCATGTGGCTTGGGTGACGGCGCAGATGGACTGGATGCTTTGGCTTTGGTAGTCCTGATTGGCGGCGGATTCGGTAATGGAATTAACCCAGTCGTCCAGGCGGGGATCCAGGCATCGTACTTGATGACGGCGCCTTCGTCGTCGAATTTCCAAAAGGCGACCTAAATGAGGGGACAAATGGTGAGCAATTTGAACAAGTTGAGTGAAGCGGAAAAAAAAACGAACCTGTCTCAAAGGAGCGAGGGCCTTTCCGTGATGCGGGGTGCCGGGGTCCACGACATTACAGTACAGATACACGACCGAGGCAGCGACCTCGGGGCATCCCGAAGAAAACTCGACAATCTTGTAGCTGGTAATGGCGGCCTTGGCGGGATTTCCAAAGGGCATGGGCGCCAAGGCGAAGAAATACTCAATCGAGTGCTCGAAACCCTCGAAAGAGCCGACGGGGTCGACGCGGCCGGTGACGTTGGGGTGGAAAAGGCCCGGGGGCACGCCGAGGCCGCCGAGGCCGATGATGGGGAGTTGGTTGGGGTAGACGGTGAGGTTGTAAATGCTGGACACGGTGCGGAAGTTGCGGTGCCTATCGTAGCACTTTTTCCGGGGTTTCGGCGACGACGGCGTCACTGACGAGGACCGTTGCGTCACGACGGGCGAGGCGAGCGTGGATGTGATGAGGGAGGCGAGGAGGCAGAATACGCCGAGGAAGCGGAGACCGCCGGAGCGGGAGGGAAGATACATGGCGACGGGCGTCTTTTTCACGTCGTTGGATATGCGTTTGCGTTGTGTTAGTGAGGTGTTGGGTGGTGACGGGGTTATCCCGGGTGATCTCGTTGGGATCGTGAGTCGTGCCTGGTGTGCGTGATTTTGGGGGAGTGGTTGATGTGAATGGGTGAATGTTTGTAGGGGTGGTTGTTCAAAAAAGAATCTTTTCCGTTTGTTCTTGGTATCCAAAAGTCTTCGAGAAGTAATGTACAAGATCAAGCAAAAGGAAATGCGAGAATAAGAAACTACGCTGAAGACGAAGATTGAAAAATAGAGATATCGGAGAAAAAAGAAAGAGTCGAGATGCCTCGTGCTGCAAGGGCAAGACGGCGGCATCGAGCTTCTTTATCAACTCTCCCCTCCGATCCGTTTACCTTGCTTTGCCCAGCTCATAATCAAACGAAAACCGACCGACGGTCCGGGGTATATCAATGCCCAGCCACCAAAAACCAACAACAAGTCATGGACGGAAAAGACGGAAAGGCAGCCAGCAGAGGAGGCATGAAGAAAAAAGGAACGTCCCCGGAGCCCAGCAGATTGGAGGACCCGCTCATACCCAAGCCCCCCAGGCTCAACTCATAGAGAGAGAAAAGGCAGGTTGACCAACGGCACAAAAAAGCCATAGTCAACATTACGCTATTGCCTTTTTCTTTCTGCCCTTGCGCTGGTCCATGCTTATGCCTGGGTTCTTGTATCTTTGTTCCTTGCGACGGGCGGTCAGGGTGGGAAAACGCACACGCTTGTCGACGTGGCGGCGCTACACTGCACGGATCGCAGGATGGAATCCACGTACGTTGCAGCCAGCGAGCAGAAAATCCAGCCCAGTCCGGCCATCCCCCCTCTCCAGTCCCACGCTGGCTGCTTCCTGTCCCCGAAGGAGGGGAAAGACGACGAAGAATAGTAATGTACACTGATGTATGCCATTGACGCTAATGCTCGCTCCTGGTTCCCTTGGAGGAGATCGTCACCTCGTTTTTTTTCCTGGCCTGGCGTGCTCTGCCCAACAATCAGCCTTGAAAAGGCGGAAGGCCCAGGCAGTTTGGAAAGGTACGTCGCCGTTGTACAACCCAGGACGGGAACGGGGATGTGGGTAGCGGAGCACCGGTCAAAGAAAGACGGACGGCTTGGCTTTTGATTGAGACGGGAAGAAGAGGGAGCTATCTAGTCTGCTAGTTTAGTCCCCGTCTTGTACAAGGAGGACAACGACAAAAAGAGCTAGACCCGCTCCCCAACCCCAGAACCAGAAGACGAAAAAGTGTGTTCTTTACCAAACGAGATATAATAGCAAAAAATACATAACCAAAAGGGACAAGGGGGAGGGTTCGTGGAAGAGTCAAAGAACATCGATTGACATTTTGGATCCACGGATGGATCGATCCATGGTTAGGAAAAGCCGAAAGGTTGGAAGTGGATGCAGCTTCGGCACTAACCCGCATCCAGGCCCCTGGTTCGGAGCGAGCCCACACTCTCACTCGCACACTCTCTTACTCGCAAACGGAGGGGAAAGAAAAAAAAGGATAAGAATTGATCGATGGACCAATCTGGCCCTGCCCGTATTCGTGGCGACAGGTCCCCAGAGCTGGAGCGATCAAATTCGATCCTTTCCTGATCCAGCGACCCGGCATGGTAAGCCCGCCCCTCAATCCCAAAAATGACGCGTTCGTGGGAACCAGACGACCCGTTCGAGAGCATCAGGTTTCCATGTATTACCCCAAATTGTTCAGCTCTTTTTTTTTTGCTTTGCTTTCTTTTGTTTGTATTTCCCCATTCTCCCGAAATGGTCTCAATTCAGGTCCTCTTGGCTTGCTCCTGTGATGAGAATTATCTAGCCTCTCTGTGTAATACTCTTCTCGTCCCCTCCTCGCCGCCACCCGGCCTCCGCCCTCCAGGTATCGTATTGGGGGCATAAAAAAAGAACAGCCGCACCTGTGAGTCGGCCAAGGCCTCGGCGTTGACGTTGGGGAGGATCCCACCCCACGAAAGCCAAGGTGGGAGGGCACACTCCACAAGCATATCGATGCGCTGGACAAATGTCTCTGTGTGACCTGCGGCGTGTCCACACTTGTGGCCCGATTTGGGCAATCTACTCTGTGCCCTGGGAGTAGCTCGCATCCTCAGGCATCAGAAACCCGAACTATCGGATGCATAGCACGGATGACGGAGCAAGTCGGTGTGCGATGTCTGAATTCAATGCATTGAATGACGGAATGGTATCATTCTCTGTATTTTATTTCGTTTTATTTCATTCTATTTTTTGTTTTTATTGTCGTATTGTTCTTCTCTTCTTTTTGTATGCTGTCGGCTCTTGTCCCAGTTTCTCCGCGTCACAGAGTTGTCAAACCTCGTCAAGCAGATGGAAGGCACAGGCAGCAAAGGGAACAAGCAGGGTAGTCAAACAAGGACGAAGAGCGAGCGAAAAACACGTGGCGGGTCGTGAATGCGGTCGGGTCGAACTGGGCCCTCCATCCCAGCCGCGGCCTAACCGTATTCCTTCGCTCAACTCTCTTTTCCCTTCTCAGGGCGGTGACCGATGGGCCAGAAAAAAACCTGAAAGGGGAAGGTTGGCCAAGGACTTGCCAACCTCGGAAGGGATCATGGATGTTACCATGCTGCGCTGGGAAAACGGGGCCTTGGGAACTCTAGAAAGGGAACTGGACGGGTCATTTTTGTGTGGAGAAGGCGAGAGCTTACGCTCCACTCCGCTACGTTTCCGCTGGCTCGCTTAGGCGTCGGTACTTGCTGGGTTTGGGGAGGGACGGCCGGGCAGGCGGGGACGGCAACACAGGCACGATACGTCAGAGGCAAATGGGGAGGGAAAAAATGGTAGGCCAACAGAGCAACTACGGGCGTTGTCGCCAGGCCAAAATCTTGGGCCCAGGAAGGTTGGTATCCAGTCATTTTTTCGGTGGCAAGGGTCCAAAAGTGATGCTGCCTGCTGTCGGACGGCAACGTGATGCCGTGGGCCTGGCAAAAGGCAGAGCTTGCGAAGGGTGAAACGAAGAAGGAAGAAGGAAAAACAAAGCACCGGTGACGCTGATGATGATGCCCGGGCTGAGTTGGGCTGGTTGACTGGTAGACGGGGCGTTGGCACTGGCCATCAGTTGCCCAGCGCTCACCGATTTCAAGGATTACGATATGGTTCCCAATTTGCGAGTTGCCTTGGCTGGTGGCGGGAAGGCCGAGATAAACATTGAACACCCTCATCTCAGGAACGGGATGTGGCGGCGGGACTCATCAGCTTTGGATTCAGCCTGGGAACGGGGGCAAGTTCATCTCATTTCGACAAGGGGACAAGGGGAAACTTGAATTGAAAAAAGGGGCAGCGGAATTGAGAAAAGATGATGCCGGGAAAAAAACAAAACAAAGGTCCGAAGAGGGAAAAAAGGTATCCATATGAAGAAATAAAAGATCGCTCTTGGGGGAGATGAGATGACGACAGGATGAAGAAAGAAAAGCAACGGCAAAGGTGTGGAGCTCAAACCCGTCGGGTTGGGAAGTATTATGGCGAGCCTGTTGCATTATTATGTTTGGCAGTGTGTGGAGCGCAGTGATGAGGGAGAGGAGGGGCTGGAATTGGGCACGGGAGGGGATTGCCACAGTTGTGGCCAGAGAAAACTCGTGTGGCTGGGCACAGCCAACATTCCCAGCCACAGCCATTTTCGTAGTCCTGAAGGGGCGCTGATGCCCAGCTTCAGCGTTCAAGGGTCAAAATGGATCCGTGATGGAGGGACCCATAGCACAGAGCGCGGACAGACAAGGGACCACAGCGCAACACGGAGCCATGGCTCTGGAATCTTGCCTGCGACGCCAGGGATAATACCAACCACCAGAGCCATTCTTTTCTTTTCGTTCTTTTTGTTCGTGTATCGCCTTTTCGAAATCCTTGTTTTGAGTGGCGAGAACCCACGGTGTTACACGTGAGCCCTTCAAGAGGACAAAGAAAGGAGGGGAGACTTCCTTTGAAAAAGAAAAGGGAGAGGGAAAAGAAAAGGAAGAAGGAGGAGGGAGGAATGTAGGCGATAAGAAAAGGCGCAGAGCAAAAAGCAAAGAGTGGGGGCGAAGAGGGAAGAGTTGGGGGAAGAGGGAAGAGTTGGGGGAAGACCGACATCGCGATCAACGACACCGAGTTGGTGGGTGGGCGCTCTCTAAATAGTTTCGATGGCGGTGGTGGGGGAGGAAGAGTAGGAGGGAGGGGAGAAGAGTGGAAGCGCAAAAGGTGCGAAAAAGTGCAATGGGAGGGATGCGGCGATCAAGGGTTCCCCCACCATCTACACCTCCCTTCTCCCTTGCGGAAATGCAGGTCTCATCCGACACTCCATTTCGTGCCCTCCTGTTTGCACTTTCCCCTGCTTCGTTCGAGATCAATAGTCTAATAATTGCATCAGGTGTGGGAGGAAGGAGCTATTGACAGGTACCGAGTCACAAAGGGCCATCGCGCCAAGGACGAACCTCGCTTCGTCACATTGTAACAATATGTTTTCTTCACAAAGAAGAGGTTACCAATTGGAAGGAGAAGACCAAGAGGAAATGACTAGCCAAGCTCGACCAACGCATATTGTATACACAGTATTGTCCAGAATAGAGGCCAACAATGAAAGTGGGATATCTGGAAGGGCAAGAGGACGCGGCCTCAGCTGGTCCAGAGCATCGGCGGCGACAAAAAAGAGCGTCGAGAGGCCCAGAGTCAACCTGCACGACTCCCTTGCGTATTGGCACAGACGGTGGAATCATGGAGGAGGCGGGGAACCGCAACCAGGGTCAGTTTGTGTGCCATGACTCGATGCTCTCTTCGATGGACACTGGATTGATTGGCCTGCATTCACCCTTTGCACGAGATTTCCCTGCCTGGAGCTGAAAGGCCGATGCAGGGCGATTCAAGCGAACAGCAACAAACCAGCATGAATGAAGCCAAGCCAAGCCCAAAAGAGGGATCAACGAGATGCAAAAGAAGAAAAATAGAAAAGAAATTCTCCCTTTTTGACAAACTTGGAAAGAGAGGAACAGAGGCGCGGGAGAGCGGGGAAACGTTGGAGAGAAGGGAGTGGCGTCGGGGCGTCAAAAATGCCCCGAGAGATCGTCAATGGTGAAAGCAAGGGGCAAGGAGAGAAAAGCACAAGGGAAACGGGAGACTCGATGCCGAGAAAGCAGAGACGCGTGGAGGCAGAAATACACCCACCTCGAACCGACACCAAGAGAGTAGAATAGAAACAAAGAGGATTGATTCATCCACGTGCCGACGAGTCGGAGGACAAAAGAGATCAAGCACCAATATTCCGATATCTCGGCATCAAATGGCATCAGGAGGATTCGTGTTTGTCGACGGCGCCCTCTTTTCTTACACTACATCAATCGATGTACGCTTTTTCCAATATTTCTTTCTTGGGAAAACCATCGTTTTTATCAGCTTTCCTCCCCTCCTTGCTTTCTTCCAGTAGCATCCCGATCTTGGCGGGACTGTCTGCCTGTCTGCGCCTCGGCGCCGCGCAGCGCGCAGCAGCGCAGGCTCATCCGCCTCAACGCACCCCTCCCTCCCTCCCGGCGCCATTGCCAAAAGAAAAAGAAGAAGACCAAGGAAGGACAAAAAGACATTCCCCCAAAAATCAAATTTGACAAAAGGAAAAACTCGTGATTTCGCCTCTCTGGTCAAAATTTCCTCCTCCCCCAATATTGTCCCCCTTTTGTCACCAATCCCGTCGCTGTTCCCCCTCCCGCACCTCCATTGGCCTAAATCCCATTGCCAGCTTGGCCCATCTTGACGTTGTGATTGGCCAAAACGTTAAATCACCCTTGTCTCCATTTTGGCGCCGTACCCCGAGTGCCCGGCCACTGAGAACCCGTGACCGGCGTGTCTCCTCCGAACACGCGAGATTTGGGGCGGGAGAAGGGGAAGGGGGAGGAAAGGGGCGAACCCTGCTAGCACCCGGAGTCGGCCTATCGCGTCTAGGGAACCGCAGAGTCGCGAGTAAAATAGGTGTGGTTCGCCCTCTGCCCTTCCCCCGGGCGTGAATGTGATACTCGTGATGGGAAACCCGTTTTTGATAGACGCCCCCACCACTACGACTCATATGCTCTCCAAAGAGGAGAACAACGCCTTTCGGTGCAGGGGAGAAGAGAAGTAGGCATCCAACGAGGAGCAGAGGACACAACACCCTGATGGAAACAAAACTAGTCCTATCCCACGAGTCCTCCCCTCTTCATCGCTATTCACTTCTCATTCGCCTCCGCTCCTGGAACATTCATATCCTTTCCGTCCAGGGCCCCCCGTCCCCCACTCAACCCCGTTTGCCGCGTTCTATTGTCCTATTGTCCCGTTCTCCCTACCTATCTTTTCCCTCCTTGCCGCTGCCCATCCACCACTCGTCCTCCTCTCTCCGCCCACTAGACAAGGGGTCGATATACCTCGCAGTCAAACGCACGCCACCCTTTTTCTTAGCGTCCCGAGGGAGGGCCGCAGGCGCACTACTACTACAAAGGGAAAAGGAAGGAAAGGCGAGGCCCGCCCGGGTCGGGGTAGCATCGTGCGAGTGTGACTACTACCCAGGGATTGACCACTCGCCTGCCGCCCCCTTCGGCTTCTCCCTCTCCTCACCTTTTGGCAAGCGACGCCATTTCCGTCACTCTGCTGGGCCCCCTTGCTTCTTTCCTTATCACGGGCCGGGGTTTTTCGGACACTCGTCCTTTCGATTGTGATAAGTAGGAAAGGGTGGGAAACGTCCGGCGCTATTATATACCTGCACGGTTCCCTCTGTCGTCCGTGGACGCCGAAAAATAGTCTCCTCCTTCCCCTCCCCCGCCCCTCGCCCCCTTGCCAGACTTAGAAGAAGGAGAGAAAAACAAAGAAAAGAACGGAAACGAAAACCGTTGTGAAAGCCAAAAACACATATCACAAGATATCACAACGGCCGGGCCCCGAATGCCGACGCACGTACTAGTTCGACCAAGACACACTCGCAGACGCCCACTTCCTCCCACGTAGGACAAAACAACCCCTCGCCACGAGCCATCTCGAACTTACCGTAACCATCCCCCGAGGGAGAGCCCATCTACCCCTCCCTCTCTCGCACCACATCCAACCCTCCCAAGTGCGACGGTAAGAAAGACAACAAGGACACTTCAAGCTTTCCCATCCCACCCCGCCCGCCCGCCATGGTCGTCCTCAACGACGTGGGGACCGTCCCCCATCACTCCCTCCTCGCCCTCGTATGGACCTGCTTCAGCGCCGCGCTGCTCTTCGTCATCCTCCGCACCGTCGTGCGCTTCAAGATCGCCACCCGCCTCACCGTCGACGACTACTTCATCTTCCTCGCGCTCGCCGCCCTGCTGACGCTGTGCACGCTCGAGACCGTCCAGCTCGACAGCCTCTACCACATCACCGCCGTCATCGCCGGCCGCATCTCCATCTCCACCGAGCTCATGTCCCAGACCGAAGAGTACCTCAAGTACGAGTTCGCCATCATCATCCTCTTCTGGACCGTCCTCTGGTTCGTCAAGGCTGGCTTTCTCGCCCTCTACTTCAAGCTCTTCGTCGAGCTGCCCCACTACCGCAAGGTCTGGTACGTCCTCGCCGCCTTCTCCGTCGTCGGCTATGCCGGCTGCGTCACCACCCTCTGCCTCTCGTGCGGCTCCGTCGACAAGTTTTTCCGGTTCGCGGGCTGCGCGGGGCCGGATCAGGTGTGGGCGTCCAACCTGAGCATCTACTTTTCCACCGCCGTCGACGTCTTTACCGACCTTTGCAGTGAGTTTTTATCCCGTTGCATTTCCTGCCCGCTGCATACACAAATCGGCCATTTTTCGGGTTCTCTTTGCGATCTTGTTGTACATGGCGTGTGGTATAGACATATTACAAACCTTTATATGCTAACAAGACTACTTTGCTCCACCCAGTCATGGCCATGCCCCTCAAGCTCATCCTCAACATTAAGCAAATCAGCATCAAGCAGAAAGCCGGCCTCGTCTGTGTCTTCAGTCTCTGCTTCGTCATGATTGCCTTCTCCATCATCCGCGCCAAGCAGGTCCTCGTACCTCAGTACTTTGTCAACCTTACCCTCCTCATGATTTGGTCCACCCTCGCCGCCACGATATGTAAGTGACTTGATACCTCTGGCAGTACCCATGTCTAGTTTCAAAACCTACATCGTTGTCTCGTCACGCTTTTACTGTTCACCCGACTAACAAATTTTTCTTTTTCCCCATTAGCCGTCATTGTCGGAAGCCTCCCACCCCTCAAGATCCTCATCACGAACCGCGCAACCAGGCGCACCCGCACCGGCTCCCACAACAACGCCGGCGGCAGCAACCGCATTCACCGCAAGGGCAGCGTCGTCCTCAGCTCCCTTTCTAGCGACAGGGCCCCGCCGGCTCCCGCCCATATCCACGCCCAGCGTTGCCCGGCCACGAGCGAGTCGCAAGAGGAGATGCTCCGCTCCGGTGGCGCCAAATTTGTCCTCGTCAAGAATGAGCCAGAGTTTACTGGACCTGAGAGGGTGTGATCAGGGTACTGGAATAAAACCTTTACCAAGAGACGAGGGCAGGAGATGCCGGTGGAAAACAAAAGAAAACAAAAACAACAACAAAACATGAAGACAATGGTGCGAGCCACAACATGACATGGAACAATCCCCCTTTTTTGTATGAATGGAACGTATGCATTTGCGAAGCGGAGGTGGAAGAGGGATGAGCAGACAGGTGAGGACAGGAGGTTTTTGGTGGAGCTTCTGTGATAATTGGGCGGCGTCTGGTCCCGGCGTTGGTGGGGGTTCTGCTTGATATACCGGGTTGGGTCACCGGGCTTTAATGTTTATATTCACTTTCTACCGCCTTTCTTTTGTTTATAGTTGATATTATTATACCTGGACAAGCAAGATTCTCAGTATATACACGAACGCGTAAAGGAACGTGTACCCGGACATTCCTAACCTTCAGATATCATTGCCAATGTCTCTGCTCCCTATGTGCGTATATGCCATCCAGATGGATGCCTACTTGGTAGTACTGAGTGGCGGAATATCCCACGTGGTTTAATATCCTACTCGGGACCTGCCCGAACTGGACGGGAGCCGGGTCGGGTAGATCCGCGCAAGAGACCAAGGTCAAATGCAAGGGACTAATGCCATGACTGTTATCCAATTCCGCCAAGACTCAATATTCTAGTCATTAGACAGGTACGGAGGTGCTCGAGCGACTATTCTGGAATTCCTCGGAAGGTCCCCTGCCAGGGGCAACCTTGCACGCTTCAAGGAGAGATACCGCTAGTATGGGTCAACCACGAGCATGTCTGGAGACAGAGCGGCTCCCCCAATAGCGGGTTGTCTAAACCTTTACTGAATGTTGGCCAACCATTGCAAACGGCTGAATAAACTAGTGGGAAATTCGGACAGAAAAGGTGAACAAGGAGATGACGTGATGGTTTGAATCAGCTCTTTGAAGCAGAAACCACTGATCCAAGTCACTTTGCGCACCAATTGGGTGAGGGGTACTTTACATTCCAATGACCCTCATGACCAACATCTCTCGGTGGTTACATAACCACGTCTTCACGCTTCTATTTTGGACCAATGAGAAGCCTGGTGGATCTCTCTCGAGGTGCATTGTCATGGCTGATGCAGCGTCAACTCACCAAACGGGGTCAAACTTTTCTCCAAAGTGGGGCAGCTGTTGTCAAGGTGCTTACACTGGAATTTTGAATCATTATGTAAGTTGTGATTTGCTGAGGTTCGCCCGCCATTGAGACCGACCCTGACTGAGGAGTTACGGAGCATTCGCCAATCATGTCGAATCAGGTCGAGGCATCCTGATGATTCCCGGGAGGGCGATCTGAATATATAAGACCCCCGATTTGATCCTTACCCTCGATCTCGGAAATTTCAGAAAAAGAAATCATCACACATTCAAAACAAACAAAGATCATCTAGATCAAAGAAGACTCAAGAGACTCTTTGACAAACAACATTCCATCCCAGAGACATCGCCTTTATCTAGCGAAACGCCTCTCGCCTCCCACATGATCAACACAGCCAAGAACATGGCCAAGCACCTCACCCACGCCAAAATCTCCCCCACCGGTCCGCGAGCCGGGGCCACGCCGACCATGGCTGGCTCAACACCTACCACAGCTTCTCGTTTGCCAACTGGTACGATCCGCGGTACACGCACTTTGGCTCCCTCCGCGTCCTCAACGAGGACAGGGTGAAGGCCAACTCCGGGTTCCCCACGCACCCGCACCGGGATTTCGAAATCTTTAGCTACATCCTGAGCGGCGAGCTGACGCACCGCGACTCCATGCTCACCAAGGGCGCCGAGGGCGGCGAGTCGGACCAGTTCTCCCGGATGAGGCGGGGCGACGTGCAGTTCACCACGGGCGGCACGGGCATCGCGCACTCCGAGTTTAACGAGCACAAGTCGGACACGGCGCACTTCCTCCAAATCTGGGCCCTGCCCTGGAAGAAGGGTCTTCCTCCCGCGTATCACACGCGCACCTTTGACGAGGCGGCCAAGAGGCAGGGTTTCGTGCCCATCCTCAGCCCGCTCAAGGCCGGTCCCGACGCCAGCGCCAAGGAGGAGACGGAGGCCGTGCCCTTGATCCCCGAAACCATTCCCATCCACGCCGACTTCGTCATGGCGGCCGGCATTGCCGAGCCCGGCAAGACCTTTATCTGGACGGTGGGCGGGGATGCCACCGAGACCAAGAAGAGAAAGGTGTTTGTGCATCTGCCCGCGACGAAGAAGGGCGCGGCCAAGATTAGGATAGACGGTAGGGAAGATGCCGAACTGTCCGAGGGTGATGGCGCGTTTGTCGAGGCGGTGAATGCCGGGGACAAGCTCGCGATTGAGAGCATAGGAGACGCGGATGCGGAAATCATTGTGTTGGATACCGCGTAAGAAGAACTCTTGGAATAGGCTTGAAAGTCTTTCCAGAGGGAAAAGAAAATGAAAAAAATAAAAAATAGAATATGGCGTCCTGTACATTACCTTTTGTTTAAAAAGAATGCGTGTTGAACATATCTCGCGCATAATTCACTTCATCCCAAGACAATTAGAATATCTTCTTAAATTATTCCGTGCATATAATTATGTGATTGTAAGAGTTGCAAAAGCTCATTTCTCAACCCTATATATCCAGTAGCCAACTTCATGCCGTCCGATCAACGTCCTGAGATGTCAAAGCCAGCTTCAATTCTCCACTTAAGTCAACCATCGTCGCACGAATGCTAGGCTAGAAGTCAGGACAGAGTGGGGTTGGCTGCTACTTTGAACAAGATAAAAGCTTGTATATCCGTAAATCCAAGGGTTCCAAGGGTGAAGGGGGACATGTAGCGACAGTAGCTAACAATGACTTCGGGTTGACCAGCGGCCTGTGGCTCCGTTGTCTCCGAACCGAGGAGCTCTTTCGCAAGGGGCTGTGGTGACTAGGAGCTATTCTCCACTGCTTCAACGTTAGGGTCAAAAAAGAACCTGGGGTCGATGGCGTCGTATTGCGGGGAAGAGCCACACGCTGGCGTCCACTCTCTGTTGCCGACATCCACCGTCCAAGTCCAGGGTTCAACGGGGAGATCAATTGGAATGGAACGAATGGGTTTATTAGCCAGTGCTCTTGCTGCTTCGCTTCGGCATGCCCCAAAGGGGTAAAACCAGTGCAGGATTAGTCAGGACGAATCGCGGCCAGGTCCAGGGCGAATTGTCCGGGACGCATAGCAGCGTGTGTGCGCCCCAGCGCTGTTTGCAGCTGCCCCGCCCCGACTTTTTGTCCAGTGTCGTGTTTCTGCCCACTTGGTTCGCTCCACAGTCTCCGCTCCCCGGCACCGGAGACTGGAGACTAACCGCTGGAGATAAGGGTCGGCCTCGACGCCCCTGTGACCGAGGTAAGTTTTTGGTGTTTGCCCCTCTTGGGGGAAACGGAGAGATCTGGGCAAGGCGAGGTGGGATGCGGGGGCCGAATTTGGGGGACGAACCGGGTACCACGAAATTCTCCGCAGGAGCGAACGAGTAAAGCGAATAAATGCCCCCATTTTGAAAAAGTCGGAGACGAAGGCGTGCTGTGACTCTTTTTAAATGTTTTGACGGCTTCTTTTGTACTTCCCTCCCGTTTTCCCTTTTGGATCTTGTTGCCAATTTTTCTTGCTTCTAGAACATTTTACACTCGAGAGCAGAGAGTGCGAGAAACCGCGGGTAATCTACCACTGCTGGAGAAGACGAATACAGGCTCGCAGCATTCCTCCCACGCAGCTGCGCAAAGAAACGGCGCGATTCAATTAGTGCCGAGTTCATCGTCAAGGAAGGGTGAAGGCCAAGACCGACCAAACACACATCGACATACACGACCACCAAAAATTGAGCCACTCCTGGTCCGGTAACCGCACATTTTCGGCTTCATCCCATCTACGCACACAGACACAGCAAACGCAACCATGAGTTTCGATATCCCGCGCAAGCTCTGGGAGCATCCCGCTCCGGAGACGACGGCCATGTTCAAGTTCAAAACCAATCTCGAGCGCCAAACGGGTCTTCACTTCAAGGTATAGTTTTTTTCTTTTTCTCTTCTTTCCCTGCCCCTCCAATCTCTGTGTGGAGGAATGCCCAGTTCGGCTCAATGGCTCACCTTGGCTTCCCCACCCGCCGCGCAGGACTTCGAGGCTCTACACGCCTACTCCATCGCCAACCGCTCCGACTTTTGGCGCTTCACCTTTACGCAGTTCCCCATCGTGTGGCACGGCCACCTCCCCGCCCACGTCGTCGACGAGTCCGCCAGCGTCGAGACCAACCCCAAGTGGTTCCCCGGCGTGAAGCTCAACTACGCCCAAAATGTCCTCTTTTCCGGCGACGAGGCCGGCCGCCCCACCAAGCGCCACAAGGAGGACGACCGCGTCGCCCTGACCGAGGTGCGCGAGGGCGGCAGCCTGGAACCCCAGCGCCGCGTGACGTGGGGCGAGCTGCGCGCCCGCGTGGCCGAGCTGGCGGCGCGCGCGCGCGGCGTGCGAAAGGGGACCGCGTCGCCCTGGTGGCCAGCAACTCGATCGACACGCTCGTCGTGTTCCTCGCCACGGCCTCGCTCGGCGCGCTCTTCAGCTCCAGCAGCGCCGACATGGGCATCAAGGGCATCCTCGACCGCCTGCTCCAGATCCGCCCCACTTACGTCTTCTTCGACGACTGGGCCGTCTACAACGGCAAGACCATTGACCTCCGGCCCAAGATCAAGGAGACCATTGCCGGCCTGCGCGCCGTGCCCGAATTCCGCAGCGTCATCGCCCAGGCTCGCTTCCCCGGCCGGCCCAACGACGTCTCCTCCTCGCCGGGTGCGAAACGTGGGCCAACTTTATCCGCGCGGCGGCACCATCCTCGGAAAGAGAGCTCACCTTTACCGAATGCGCCTTTTCCGACCCAGCCCTCATCGTCTTCTCGTCCGGCACGACCGGTCCCCCAAGTGCATCGTACACGCGGTCGGCGGCCTCGTCATGAACGCGCACAAAGAAGGCCGCCTGCACCACTGCGTCGACGAGACGAGCGTGAAGCTGCAGTACACCACCACCGGCTGGATCATGTACATGCAGGTACCCTCCGCCCTCATCCTCGGCGCCCACCCCGTCCTCTACGACGGCAGCCCCTTCGTCCCCGACGCGCGCGTGCTCCTGCGCCTCGTGCACGACCTGCGCGTCACCCACCTCGGCATCTCCCCGCGCTACCTCGAGGAGCTGCGCCGCGAGAAGATCGCCCCGCGCGACGACTACGACCTGAGCGCCCTCGCCGTCGTCGTCAGCACCGGCATGGTCCTCCCCGAAGCCCTCTTCCACTGGTTTTATGATGTTGGCTTCCCCGCCCACACCCACCTCGGCAACATCTCGGGCGGCACCGACATCGCCGCCTGCTTCACCATGCAGAACCCCTCATGCCCCTGCACGCCGGCGGCTGCCAGCACATGTCCCTGGGCATGGACGTTCAGGTCTTCAGCCCCGAGGGCGCCCGCATGCCCGACGGCGAGCCCGGCGAGCTCGTCTGCGTCCAAGCCTTCCCCACCATGCCCGTGAGCTTCTTCGGCGAGGGCGCCGCCGCCAAGTACCGCTCCAGCTACTTTGAGCGCTTCCCCGGCATCTGGACCCACGGCGACTTCATCCAGGTCCACCCCGTCACCCGCCAGGTCAACTTCCTCGGCCGCAGCGACGGCGTCCTCAACCCCAGCGGCGTGCGCTTCGGGTCCGCCGAGATCTACAACGTCGTCAACGCCCACTTCGCCGACCGCGTCGCCGACAGCGTGTGCGTGGGCCAGAGGAGGCCCCAGGACAGCGACGAGAGGGTCCTGCTCTTCCTGCTCATGAAGGAGGGCCACCGGTTTACCAAGGCCCTGGCGGCGGATATCAAGCAGGCCATTCGGAAGGACCTCAGCCCCCGCCACGTTCCTGCATACGTTTTTGAGACCCCTGAAATCCCGGTACGTTGGTTTATGCTTATATCTCTCGAACTCTCTAGCAATGTGCCACCGGCTCCTCCATATCCCCCGGTTTCCTTGTGCCCCCGGCTTGTTTTGTGTATTGGCCCCACTTTTTTCTCGTCCTCCCTTTTCCTCTGCGCTTCCTTCCGGTGGAAGTGGCGTTCCCTCCTTTTTTCTTTCGCATTGCATTTTCCGGTGGTGGTGGCGGCAGCCATCTGCGACAGAAAGGAACAAAAGAAGAAGAATAATAACATGAACGCTAACATGGCCATGCCACGCACAGACAACCGTAAACATGAAAAAGGTCGAGCTGCCGGTCAAGCAGATCGTCTCGGGGCAAAAAATCACCCCGTCTGGCACGCTGGCCAATCCGGGAGCCTGGCCTTCTATTACCAATTCGCCGACGATGCGCGCTTGAATGCGGAGATTGGTGCTAAGCTCTAAGCCGTATCCGGACAAATGGTGGGAAGCGCGTGGATGGAAATGTGGAGGCCCCCGGTGCATCCGCCAGGTCTTTTAGCGTTGGCAAAAAAGGGCAAGAGAGCAAAAGGGGAAGGGATTCGATTACAATTTCGGAGAACGCCTAATTGTTCCAAGGAGGAGTCGGATCAAAGTTGTAAAGAGGGAAATCGTAAGGGCCGGGTGGGTAGCGTAGCTGCTAGTAGAAATGGAAATCCCGAGATAATGCCTAATTGAAGGGAGCCAGTGGAAATAGTCATCGTCTTTACGCCAAAGGGACTAGACCGTGGGAGCTTCCTTTCATCGCGATTATCAACATGGGAGAGTAAGACACTGGTCGGGTTGAAAAAGTCATGGGAAGATTACTGTTGATGTTGTTAGGGATCTTGGACCTAGGTTCCATCGTCTCGCTTATCTCGCTCAGCTCTCGGCCTGTGCGTTGGCTGCAGCATCCTCAACGCTCCCGCCTTTTTCTTTGCTATTTTATTGCGTTTCTGTTATTGTCTTGGTTGATTCCTGTCTTCTATTTCCTTTTTCCGTGCTCAGAGGATAGCATGAAATATAGACCATGACTCGTATCTCCAGTTGCTACCATTGTATTGTAAGCGTTTCTTACTATATCTATCCGTGGTGGTATGGACCATGAGGCGCGAAGAAGCGCACCTTGGCAAACCTAGGTTTGGGCCGCCCGCTACTCTCTAAAGTTCAAAACTAGCTAGCTGCCTTGTCGTGGACACAAGCACCCCGCGCCACCAAAAGAAAGACGAAAGGGACTCTAGTTAGGTTCTTACCAAGCTTCCAAAGTTGTTTTCCATCAGCTTATTCCGAGTACCAGGTCCCCCCTTCCCCTCCCTGCCCGCCCTCCTCCCGTCCAACCACCGCCGGCCACCTCGTTGGCGTTTCCGCCGGCCGACGGAAACCTGGAAAAGTTGCACCCATTTTTGCCTCGGAATCATCCCGGAAATAGGTGTACGACGTCACACATAGCAAGGATATCCTGGAGGAGTGGAGAACTTTGCCCATCCATTCCCCGGATTTTCAAGTCTTGGCCCCCTTGAATCCTCGACGCTCTTTGGACAGCGCAGCTCTATCGCGGGCGTTGCCCCCTCACGCTGAACGAAGATTGAAGCTTCCCCGCGCTGGTAGACTCCACAATCGGTCTCTTTTGGCACGGTCTCGACAGCTAATCATCCCCTCCCCCGCAAAGTGTAACGCGGGTCCGGGGTAACCTGCACATGTGGTCTGCCGAACTAAGCCGCATCAAGGTAACCAAGGCAAATTTCCCAACACGGACTTGGAAGACGGAGAGCTCCTCTCTTGCCAACTCGCAGATAACACTCGCGACATATATCAAGCTCCCACGGGTCCGGATCAAATCACGTCGATCTTGGACTCGGTTCCATCATCCTCATCGCTCTCTCTCTCTCTCTCTCTCTCTCTCACTTACTCTGCCTCTCGTCCTATTTCCATTGACTGCGAGAAGAATAACTGCTAGACAAGATGGCCGATCCTATAACGACATCTCGCGAGACGAACAACGACGGCGGCGGCCACATCAAGGAAAAGATGCAGGCTGACAACTCGAGCATCGAGGGCACCGTCCTGCACCAAGACCAAGAACAAGGAGCGGTCGACGGCTTCTCGCCCGAGGAAGAGAAGAAACTCCTCCGAAAGGTTGACTGGGCATTGCTGCCGCTGCTATCGTTCCTCTACCTCGTGTCTTTTATCGACAGATCCAACAGTAAGTCCACCAAGTCATTGCCCAGCCCCGCTGGTGCTTCTCGTTTTAGTGCCAACAGTTTGTAAACGGGCAAGAGTTGCTAACTAGTTGGCGTCTACAGTCGGAAACGCCAAGGTCGCGGGTCTCACGGATGATCTCGACATGAAGGGAATGCAGTACAACACCGCCGTCACGCTATTCTTCGTCCCGTACACGCTGTTCGAGGTTCCCAGCAATATCCTTCTCAAGATGATGAGGCCCTCGCTTTGGATTTCCATCATCCTACTGTGCTGGGGAACCGTCATGACGTGAGTGCCTTCGTTTCGTAGAATGCCAAGAGTTCGGAGTTGAAGACCCCTGTTTACTATCGGGTTCATCTCTCGCGCTCCAACCTTGTTTCGGCGGCTAACGTAGCGAATAGGCTCATGGGTCTTGTAAACAGCTATAGCGGATTGCTAGCCGGTCGCTTCTTCCTCGGACTTGCAGAGGTAGGTTACACCAAGACTTTACGGAACAGCTGAGGCAACCGAAACGAGGGAGCGATTACAAGCGGCTAACATGACACAAAATAGGCCGGCTTTTTCCCCGCCGCGAGTTATTTGTTGACTATTTGGTACAAGCGCTACGAGTACCAGCGTCGTCTGGGTATCTTTTACGCCGCGGCTTCCATGTCCGGCGCCTTTTCCGGTCTGTTGGCCTTTGCTATCGAGAAGATGGCGGGTATCGGTGGTCGCACCGCTTGGCAATGGTAACCCTTCCCCTCCTATAGGAAACCCGCAGTCCCTTGTTTGTTTCATTACTAATTGCGAAAATCAATTTCTCCCCATTTTACAGGATTTTCATTCTCGAGGGCCTCGTCCCCGTGCTCTGCTCCGTCGTCGTCTACTTTTGCCTTGCCGATAGCCCCGAGACGGCCGGGTTCCTGACCCCGCGCGAGCGCAAGTTCATCGTCGACCGCGTGGCGGGCGAAACGGGATCGGACCAGGGCCAGGTTACCAACAATGACAAGATTTCGTGGGCACAGATCAAGGCGGGGTTGAGTGAGTGGAAGGCGTGGGTGATGATCCTCGTCTACTGGGGCAACAGCGTGGGCGTTTACGGGTATGTATCCCCTCACCCTTTTTTTCCCCCAAGTCTCCCGGCCTCGTCCATGCCTCTAGGGTCGTTTCTTTTTAAACGTCTTTTTCCCGGCGCTGCTCTACGTTTTCACCGCTGACGCCTTTGGCCAATGTTAGTTTCACCGCCACCGCACCCACCGTCGTCAAGGATCTCGGCTACAGTTCCGCCAACGCGCAGCTGATGACGATCCCCGTGTACGCCTTTGGCGTCGTCATGGTGCTCGTGGTAGCGTTTTGGTCGGATCGCATCAAGGTCCGCTGGGCTTTCATCGTAGGCTCGTACTCGATCGCGGTATGCGGCTTCATCGCGCAGCTCGTCATCCCCACCCCAAATACCCCGGTGTGACGTACGCCTTCCTCTTCCCCGTCGCCGGCGGTCTCTACGGCGGTTTCCCGCCCATGATCAGCTGGCTGGCCAACAACCTGTCGCCCTCGTCCAAGCGCGCCGTCGGTCTCGCCCTGCTCATCAGCGTCGGCAACATGGGCGGCCTCATGGGCTCCAACATTTACCTGTCGCGCGAGGCGCCCGTCTACCATACCGGGTACGGCGTTTCGCTCACCATGTTGGGCGTGGGTATCCTGGCGGCCATTGCGCTGCGCATCTCGTACGCGCGCGAGAACAAGCTCCGCGACGAGTTGTTGGCGGAGATTGGTGAGGAGGGTGTGAGGGCGCGGTACACGGAGCAGGAGCTTCTGGACCTGGGTGATAAGAGCCCCTTCTTCCGATATACCCTTTGAGCGATGGGCGGGACACAAACAGACACACACACACACAAAAAAGAAAATGACGATGGATGGGCAAGGGTGACGGTGAATGGGCAAGGATGACGATGGGTGAGCTCACCTCCAGGGGTTTTTTTGCTTTGTGAGTGGTTCGTTCGTTACCAGTGTTGAGGTCTCATTCCATCCTTTGGCCGGATTGGGCTTGGCGGACGGAGTTCCCTCGGGGAGTTAGGATCGGCGGTTCCGGTGGGATGGTGGTCAGCCGGATGCGTTCTCCCACCCAAAATAGGAGACAACCAGAAAAAAAGTGCTGGAACCAGGGTGGACGGACGGACGCCGACTAGAGACGGTGTGGGGGAATTGGACACAATGCGGGGAGCGGGGAAACCCCACGAGCCAGCATCATCGTCAAATGAGGCTTCATCTTTTTATTATTCTTATTCCAGGTTTAATTCTCTTTTCGACTTCTCGTAAACTGCCTAACCCTTCTGGTCATCGTGACACACTGTGAGCCGGAACACTATCACTTGTCGCGTATTTCTCCACACCGGGCACAAGCCACATTGCCATGCTGCCTGCAAGGGAGATGGGCGATCTTCTTGGCGCACGTGGAAACTCGTGATGATCAGATATTTGCGTGGTCGCGTGCAAGGGGAGCGGGAGTATTCGGACATTCTGGGGTTCGTGTGTCATGTAGGGCGATGTGCAAAACTCGTGGGAGAGATGGCAGACATACAGGCACCTCCGAGGTTTTCCGTGTTTCTGCTTAGTTTCCCCCAGAGGAACGGCTGAAAGGACGTCTAATCAAGCATTTGAACGAGTGTGTTGCAGAGTTTTTCAAGTGAAAGGGTGCCGCAAGATGATGCTGGAAATTTAACACAATTGATACTAGTTCCTCGATGTTGGGGAAATGGGACTCAACTGCGCAAGGCATTAGTGTGTCGCGTGTCTTCTGAGCTCGTCTATGGAAAACTCCAAGCTTGTGTGGGGTAGGGTTGGCATTAGTAGAGAGTGAAGGAGAGTGAAAGCATCAATTAGCAACGTCGCACATTCTTCCTCCCCATTATACATGTACAGAACGGAGTGTGTGGGGACGAACTACCAACGAACCTCTGAATCTGTGACAGCTGGACCCTCTTAGAAGTGGAGTAGAGTCCATCATGGCTTCGTCAAAGAATTCTCCTCGAGAAGAGGAACATAGAACTACCTCTTGCGGGCGTCGACAGTTGAATGATCACGGCAAAAGATGTTTGGTCACCGGAGAATTGCTGTAGAAGAGATTGTGGAGAATGAGCACGCTTTTAACTTCATTAACTAGAGTGTAATCGAGAAATCGTAAACTATAGATTTCAATTTCCGGTTGCTTTTGGGTGTTTTGCTTTTGGTTCAACGCCCCGAAGACCGTGAAACCCGGAACCGTTCCCATCCTCGGTCCATACCGTCCATACGTCCGCGCCATTGCACCAAAAATGAATCCGCCAGACAGGAGAGACCAGAGATTCGCAGCCCTTGCGGAACCTCTTGGTTTCGTAAACAACATTAATTCCGGTGACCGACCAAAGGAAAGAAAAAAGATAGCACGGTGGATATCCTCCACACTTAGACGCCTGAGCGAAGAAAGCACGAATAAACAAGATCATAAGGGAACAGCAGAAGAAACGGTTTAAAGCTTGTTCCAAATCTCCCACGCCTGGTCGAGGTGGACAAACTCCTCCCACCCGGGTGGGGAGCGAGCTCCTCCGGCTCTGGGGCCACCTTGGCCTTCTTCGGAGGCTCGGGGGCAAACTCGACGCGACGCTTCTTGGCGGGCGCCTGGTCGGTCGTCACCTCGTCCTCGTCCTCGTCGTAGACGAACCACGGGTCGTCGTACTGGAGCCACTTGTCGTCCAGCTTGGCGTCGGGGTAGCCGGGTATCCTGAAGATGGGATCGAAGCCCTGGGAGCCGGTCGGGGTCTTGGGCTGGGAGCTGGCGTAGGAAGAAGTGGAGGAGAAGCTGGCGCTGCGCGCGGCAGCGGAGCCGGCGGCGTCGCCAGTTTGACCGTCGCGGAACTGGAGCCACTTGCGGTCGATGCGGGAGAAGTAGCTGTTGGGCGAGGGGTTCTCGAGGCGCTCCTGGAGGTACCACGTGTCATCGAGGATGTTGAGCGAGTTGTGCGTCGTCTTGGGCCGGGGCTCGGCGTTGTGGGGGAGCCGGAGCATGGCTTGGAGAAAGGTGCCCTCGCCCGGGGTGAGGCGGAGACCGCTCAGGAGGCCGCGGAAGGGGGCGATGGGATCGTGGTACGGGCCTGCGTTGTCGGGCGCGGGCTCGGGGATCTCAAAGGCCGGCACGGGAGGGGGCTGGGGGAGTGCGTGAGACCTGGGGGACTTGGGCGACGAGGCTGAGCGCGGTGATCGAGGAGAGGATGATGAGGAGCTCTCGGGTGTGTGTGTGGGAGCGGTAGAGGAAGAAGAGGGGGAGGAGGCGGTGGTGGTTCTGCGAGGAGCTTGGGGCCCGTGAGAGCTTCTCCGCGCCGTTGTGGTAGACATGGTGTTTGATGGTATGTGTGTATGGTGTATACGTGTGTCTTTATGTGCTCTACACGTGTGTCTGTGTGTATAGAGTGTATGAGTGTATGACTGTATGTGTTTGGCTTCTTGTATGTATATGCCGAATAGACTTGACTTGTCGTGGAGGTCAAGTAAGACCACAGAGTGTATAGATGCGAGTGTCCGTATTTGTTAAGTGCGGTTGCTCTGCCGAACCTTCCGTTGGTCCAGGGTCTGTATGGCTGTGGGAAAAAGGTGTCGGAGAATAACAAAGATAAAAATAAAAGCAAGACCCTTGACGGCTGCTTGGTATCGTGGTGAGCTGGCTTGAAGAAAATTTGTGTTTGGATCTCGGTGAGGGAAAGAGAAGAAGAAAAATAGAACTTCCGGCGGATGAAGACTGGGGGAGACGGAGATGCGGTTCAGCTACCCTTTTGTTTTCCGGCTTTCTTTTTCTGGAGGGGGAGTAAGGGACTCAAAAGGAACAAGAAACCCGGGGTCATCATAACAGCTCTCTTTCCCCCAGACCCATCCTTGCTTGGCATGTGCGCCGAACGGAGCCACCGGGGAGTTTGGGGGAGACGCCATTGCCCCCGCCAATGTCCTCGTGGGTTGTTGAGAACAAAAGCTGGGAGTGAGATGGAGGGCACCATGTGGGACAAATGCCGGTGGTTCGCCCTTTGGTGGTGGCTCAAGGACAAAGGGGGAACCTATCACGGTGAAGGTGTACGCCATTTTCTCACTGCTGGTGGGAGGCGTCATACGTTCCGGTGGAATTGCCGAAACTGTCATGGTACTCCCCGCTAATATGGGAAACCTGGCCGGCGACGGCTCCAGCGACGCGCGGGGTTGACGGGTCGAGCATCATGGACCAATCGGAGTACTCGAGATCGAGAACGGACGTGGTGCTCGCGTTTCCTAAAAGGCTATTTCCGGTGGAAATTTGGGGTGGCGGAGTTAGAAACCGAGACTTCGAGTCGGAAAAGGGGGAAAAAGGGACAAGTGTCTTCCATGTTCCCACCGGAATGCGGGGTAGGAGAGAGCAAGATTTCCAATGGAGCCCCCTCCCGTTTGGGGTTGGTTGCACTAGCGGGGAGATTATGGAGGGCATGGATGCAATCCAGCAGCGAAAAAAGGTGCTGGAAGGATTGGGAGAGCGAATCATTGACTGGATAGTGCGGATGAAAAGGGAATGGCGTGTGGAGTAAGATGGGGTAAGACGGGGAAAAGGAGATGGGGCCAAGACAAGACAGCCAACGAAGAGGAAAGAAAAGAAGGAAAAATTTGACATGAGTCTGCCCAAAAGAAAAAGAAAAATTGAGCTAAAATGAGGGGGAAAGAAGAAAGACGGGGGACGAGGGGAAAATCTGGGGAGGACCGGAGAAAATGCCACGAGCAAAGACAAAAAGAAGGTGATGGGGAAACACTAGGGAGAAACGGGGAGGAACGGATGGGGAAAGGGAAGAGTAAGGAAGTGGAAGTGGACAAAAAGGTTTCTTGCTTACCGCTTTGGAGAGACGAGAGCGCCTCGTCGAACCCGTCATTGGCGTACCATAGTCCAAAATCCCCCACCGTCGAGTCGGAATGGTAGCTCGCCGCGTACGGGTGAAGGTGCGCCGCGGCGCCGGGGGCCTGGTCGAAGCCTGCGTGGTCGCTCCGTGCCATTCTCGCGACGTCGCTGGGCGTCGCCGCTGATCGTGCGCTTCCGGTGGCGCCCGTCCCCGCTGATCCGCTAGCGTCCTCGCGCGCGTGGAAGGGCGAGGACGGCGATCGACCCTGCTGTTGCTGATTCCGATTGTCGTCCTGATTTGGCTGCTGCTGGTGGTGGTTCTGTAGCTCCTGTCGCTGCCGATAGTGCTCATCCTGCTGTCTCTGGTGCTGGTGCTGCAGCTGATGATCCCCCTTGCCCCTGACGCGAAGCCGCCGCCCCCTCACCCGGGTGCCGCCGCCCCGTACTCGCACCCTGACGCCGCGCCGCACCACCACCCGCCTCGTAGTCCCCGGCTCCGTCAGCGCATTCAGCTCCTTCTCCATGATGAGGCGCAGCAGGTCCTGAGGATCCCCGTGCTCTGGCCGAACACGGGCACCGACGCCTGGGCAAAGTTGCCGATCTGGATGAGCCGCCCGAGGGCCTGCTTGGCCTCCTGCGCCTGGGCCGAGCACGGCTTGGACAGCGCGAAGACGGCGAGCATGACGCCCGCCGTGAAGCAATGCATCCCCACGTGCGCGCCCAGCGGCGTGTGCTTGACGAACTCGAGCGTGGCGCGGTGGCGTAGCAGGTTGGAGAGCTGGATGGCCGACGTCCAGCACTGCTTGCGCGACGTGGCGATGAGGTCGTTGGTGATGACGGCCGACGCCGCTCCTCCGCTTCCCGCTGCCCTGCTGCTTCCCTTTCCGGTGCTTGGCCCGCCGCTCGTGCTCTCGTTGTTGTTGTTGTTTGCGTCGTGGCCGCCGTCTCCGCTCCGCTGGTCCACTGACTGATTCTCCAGCCCCTTCCACGAAATTAGCGGCCGATGCAGCAGCATCTGCATATTATCATACGACACGCGGAGCGCCAGCGCCTGCGCGTGCAGCACCGCGCGCGCCGTGCCCTCGACGTAGTCCGCTACCGAGTCTACGCTCGCCGCATCGGAACCGGCCCCCGCGCTCTCGTAGGTCTTGAGCTGCAGGTCCCGCGGCAGCCGCCTCTCAAACTCGAGCAGCTGCGCGTGCACCGTGCGTATCTGGCTCGCAATCTCCCCACCGTCCGACCCTTGCGCGCGTACATGACGCGCGTGATGGGCGCCGCGATGCGGTATAGCCGCGCCTTGTACCGGTGGTACGACCCCGTCGTGATGGGCCGCCGCGTGCCGTTCTCGAACGTCTCCTTGGACGGGCCGTCGACCCAGCCCGTTACGGGACCGGGCACGCGCTCGCCCCATTCGTCGTCGTCCATGTCGGCGTAGTTGACGTGGATGTCCATGTCTTGATGATGGCGGGTCGGCCGAAAGCCTGCGCGACGAACCTAGACGCAAACGAGGTATAAGTAACAGATAAAATGTGAAGAAAATCAATCCAGGAAGGGGAAACAAAAAGAAAAGAAACATACTTTTCACTCGTGTACAGCGTCCACCACAACCTTCGCCGCACCTCCCTCTCCATCGGCGTGATATCCCCCACGCCGGCTCATTATGCAGCTCCATCCCCTGCGCCGCCCGCATCGCAATCCCAAACACCACGAACGCGCGGCGCGTCTTGCGACTAAAGAGGTAGTGCGACGCCAGCAGGTCCAGAAACATGACGGCCACGGAGCTCGACTCCTCCACCACCTGCAGCATCTGGCGCTCCGCCGCCGCCAGCAACCTCTCCTCGACGGCCCTCTCGTCGAACTCGACGCTGTGCCGCGTCTTCTGCCACGGCGCGATCCACCGCGCCGACGTGGCCATGATGACCACCACCAGCATCAGGAAGCTAAAGTCCTCCGAGCCCGCGCGCCCCGCCGCCTGCAGCGCTTGGAACCGCCGCTTGATCGTGGGGTCGTGGAAGAGCGTGACGTACCACGACACGAGCCGGCTGTACGTGTCTAGCAGGCACTCGGCCACCGCCGGCGGGGAGCTCGACGCCGAGGAGGTCGGCGATGGGCACCGAGTCCTTGGCGTGGCTCGTTTGCGCGGCGCCGTCGGGGGCTGTCGGGGATGGCGTCGAGGTGGCGGCCGCGTCCGGCGGCGGATCCTCCGAGATGATCCCGGTAAACCTTTGAGGCATGAGATTAGACACCCGGGAAAGAGAAGGACAATCTTGTTCTTCTTCGTCGGCCGGAAAAACCGAGGGTTAGACTGAAAAGGACTCACCTGTTGCACAACTCTCAGCGTCGATGTCCGCTCGATGAAGAGCCGCGGTCCTTCCGGATAGGACGGAGCTGGCGATGAGGGCGCTGTGGCCACGGTCGGAGCCTCTCTGTCTAGCTCGCAGACCTTGATAGATCCCGTGGCTGCCTCCGCAGCGCTACGTGTGGCGCGGACCCTCGTCTTCCTCCCATCCCTAGATCGAGATGACTATGTCAGCGTCAAGCTTTCTTTTTTTTTCTCCCTTTTTCTTTTTTTCTCTCTTTTTTTTTATGCTTCATAAGGAAAAGAGAAGATGGATATTTATGAGAGTGGGTGGAAATGATACATGTAATCAGAGGGATGTGTTGATGGAATGAAATATCCTTACCTTTTGTCGTCGTCCTTGCACTCGATTCCAGATCGGACGCAAAGGTAGCAAGGCCGATGATTGTCGCACTAGACATGTGAAAGGTGCATTAGAACCGGGTATCAGGATAAATTATTCTTCTTTCCCCAATAAACCATTTTCATTGTTTATTAATTGCCTCATCGCGTTTCTCGCCTGTCTTTGACCTTGTCATGGACAGGCGTCTGTCAGGGGCCTGTTTCGTACATACCTTGAGCTTCTGCCTCTTGCACCGCACGCAAGCATGCCGGGCGCGGCTTGCAAACTGCAGAGGCTTGCCCGCCGGCTCTCGGTCCATGGCGACGACGCGGACGCCAGAATTCCGTCCCAGGCTCAGTGCAAAAGCGCGCGAATAATTGATTAATCGTATTTTCGAAACGCGGCCCCCTCAGCGATCGCACAAGAGAAGACGAAAAAAATCAATCAAAACGTGGCCCAGAAACCAAACGAGAAGTCAGGCGAGATCTCGGGAAACAGGAAGCTGGGGCAAGCCTCGGGTCGTGTTCGGATGTACTTGGTAATGCTGGGGATGTGGGCCCGGCGGCTTCTTTGGACCTCGAGAAACGTGGAGTTGGGGTATGTGGTCATCAGAAAATAGAGCTGCTCTCCCTTGGGGGCACGGTGAGCAGCGTGCGGCTTGCGGTGGGTTAAAGGAGGGAAACTCGTGGGCGCCCTTTCTGGGGGAAGCTTGCGGCTTTACATTGGGGGCCTTTGGATGCAACAGTGGACAAAGACTGGCAGGAATCTAAAATCCGGCACTTGTCCAGACTCGTCTTGGACCCCGCAAAAGACGAGTCGCGATTGGATCAATGGTTCGGGCCTTTGGAGACGCCGGGAGGCACGACCGGGAACTCAAATGAAGTGGACGCATTCGTCCATTGAAGCGAGGGCTACCTTTCACATGGGATGACAGTGAGGGATGATTTAAAGGGAGAATCTCTCTTGAAACTGCACTCGATCCAAAATTTGCCCAAAATACTCAAAAGAAATCAATGACTATCCATAATCTAGAGTCCTGGGGCTGAAATGCGCGTTGCATTCACTTCGCTGGCTTTCGAGTGCCCTGGCTGTACCATCAGGCCATTTCGCTTATGTCATCGATATCTCAACATGGCCAGCTGGTTGCGGGCGTCAAGACTGGCAGATTGCTGGTATCTCGCAGTCTGAGCAGCACGCGGAATTCCCGAAGGACAAGAAAGAAGCTTGGGCTAGCTTGTTTCGTAGGGCTTCTAATGGGAATAGAAGATTATGGTAGGGCGATGGTATACTAGTGGAATATTTAGGGTGCTTTCCACCTTTGATAGGGCACTTGAGAGGCTTGAAAGATATCCGAGAACGATGGTGTCAACAGTCGACGGTGAGCTGGTTGCAGTGATACAGTCTCCAGTAACTTGAAGGGGGCACTAGATGGGATTGCGCTTAGCTTGAGCAAGTGTCCGGGGGTTGACAGACTTTCATTCCTGTTCATGGATGTGAGAAGGCGCAGTGTTGCTCGAAAGACGCGACGCATCTGACCTCAAGATGATTCTACATCAGCTCACGATTTGGGGATGCAAAGCTCCCTGTGGAGCACATCGTCCTCCTCTCCAAGCAGAAACATGACAATGGCGATGAATGATTATTATGCCGTACATCGTACATAGACCTATAGACACTTTATCTCTTGGGCCTCTCTTCACACGGTCTCCTTACAACTTGCTATCCGTCCACTTGGGCTCGCGCTTCTCCACAAAACTCGCGAGACCCTCCTTCATGTTGGCCGCGCCATCCATGCGCCCGTACATGCCCCTACCCAACACCTCGGTGCTCGTAATGGGCCCCAGGGGCTCCCACCCGAGCGCGAGACCCTCGCGACTCGTGATGACGGAATCGGGGCTGTTGGCCGCCAGCTCCACCGCAATCTTGACCGCCTCCGCCACCACGGCACCCTCCTTGCCCTCGCCGCTCTCGACGATGAAATTGACAATACCCCACTTCTGCATCTCCTCCGATCCGTACATGCGGCCGAGCAGCGTCATCTCCGACGCCCTCTGCTTACCCAGCGTGCGCACCAAGCGGGGCAGCGCACCCGCCAGGGCCACGACGCCACGCTTGACCTCGGGCGTGCCGAACTTGACGCCCTTGGTCCCCGCCACGATCATGTCGCAGTTGACCACCATCTCCATACCACCGCCCAAGCACAGGCCGTTGACGGCGGCGATGACGGGCTTCTTGCCCCCGCGGTTCGACAGACCGCCGAACCCGGCCCCCATGTGTAGCGGGCGGGGCGCCGCGTTGGCGGCGGGTCCGTTGGTGCGCTTGTTCCACTCGCCGAGGTCAGCGCCGGCGCAGAAGGCGCGGCCGTTGCCCGTGATGACGGCGCAGCGGAGCGTGGGCTCGACGTCGAACCATTCGAAGAGGCGGGCGAGGTCGTGGTGCTGCTGGGTGTGGATGGCGTTGAGCTGCTTGGGGCGGTTCAGCGTGACGAGGAGGACGTGCGGCGCGGGAAAGGACACGAGGGTGTCGACTACGGGAGGGGGCGACAGCGGCATCTTGGCGGGCGGGCGGTGGTGGTGATTTTGGGAGAGCGGGAGGGAGAAGGGGGAAGCTTATATTCGCGGTGTGTCGATTCGATGGATTGAAAGTGGGTGCGAAGGGATGGATGACGGATATGGAGCAGAGTTGGGGATTAAAAAGGGGGCGGTATAATTCGCCGATGGCAGCTAGGCAATCAATGACTTTGAAGTCTGAGGATTTGAATTAGAAACAGCTTCTCGAGGAGGCGTCAATTCGGGAAGCTTTTCTGTTTCCCCGGAAAATAAATACATCCGTCGGACGGGGGCGGCGGAGAATCTCCAACTTTGGTGGACCAATGCGGGGAGACGAAATGCGCCGCTCGAGGGGGCCATTTCGAGCAAAGGGCGGTCTCGGTTTCCTGAATCCTTGCCTCGGCTACCGCCACCCACCTTTTTTATCGCCGGCCTTAGCGTCAGCACGGCAACCCCAGATCCGGCGATTCGGGGAGGGGAGAGGGGCCATCCCCAACAGTTCATGGTGGGGTAATTTCACAATGTTGTGAAGCGGGGAATTTCTCTTCTTTGTAAATGTGGTAGGAGGTTGATGATGATTCATCGCGAAACGAACATGATTCATCATGATGCGCGCAGCCACCGGCTCATTTCGAACGATCCATGCATCAATCAATATCAATTCATGTCCAAGTTGAAAAAAAAAAAAAAAAAAAGAATCCAAGGTCTATCATCCAGGTAGGGAACTTGTAGTTGGCTTAGGTGAGCTCACCACGAATCACTGTTTGTCCTCTGGAGTGCCGCTGCGCGACTCTTCAAACAAACAGAGTGATACATGCAGACTAATCATCTATCATTGATCAACGCAGAAGAGCTGGGGAATGTAGACCGAATTCCAAGCCGCCGTTTTGGCCAAATATGAGACTAGAGAGGAGAGGAGGCTGTAATCCCTCGTGCCACGCCCCTCCACTCAAGAATACAGGGCCTACATAAGCAAATGAGCCTTCCCGTGCAGCCCGTGAAGTCGAGGCTGCGAGTGTATGGCGCCTTATTGTTCCCGCGCAAGGTGTGTAAAGCACCGATGCTCGTGCCCAGGTGAACTACTCCCTTGTGCCATCTCGCGGGTTTTCTTTCCGTCTTCGAGAAATCCCGCGCGGGCCATCCCGCTTCTTCCGTTCTAGTCAAGTCGCTACCGGGCCAGGGTATCCACTACCGCGGGAAGTCGCCCCGGAAGCAGCGCAGCGGATAAGGGTTTAGCAGCGGCGGTAGCTTCAGTGGCCGTGCTGAGTATCTCCAGGTTTCCCGCCCTTTGCATATAAAACATTCAAGTACTGGCAACCACTAAATCGGACATGCCTCCGTCTTAGGATAGATGGGCGTGGACAAAGTTGACAAGGGCTGTTCTGATATCGCGATGCTCGTTTGCCACGCCCAAACATGCCGTGAAGAAGAATGCCCTGGCCACCACTCGGGTGCTGCAGCGAGTTTATTCTGCGCTAGAGAGTTTGCTTCGTAGTAGACGACCTGGACGCCTTATGCCTCTCCTTTTTCCCAAGTGTCCTGCGTGCCTTAAGTTGCGAGTGCTCTGGCCAAGGGGTCGAATAGCTCGTGACGTAGAGAGGTGTAGTCATGATGATTTTTCGCTGAGGAACTCTATGTCTAGGATGGAGAGGTAGATCTCGCCCTAGACTTGTCCGTAAATCGTGAGTTTCGCCGGTATTCAGGCCCGCCGATGCCATCGTTTCTCGAACCAGGAATGTCACGTCTGCGGTTGGATACCCTTACTCGTTTGGCTACTCTTGGTGGAAGAGCTGGTCCGATCTTTGTCTTCACGGGGCGTGGCGTCCCACTCCCCTCCGCCGATGCTTGTCTTTGTTCTCGTTTCTGTGCCGAACCAGGTCGATTGGCTGGTGAGGACACGGGGCTTTCACGGGGAACCGACTCGTCAAGGGGTAGCTCCCACGACATTCCCGGCAGGACTCCCCAATTTTCGTCCCAGATTTCCTGCCCAGCCCACTTGTTTCGCACATGGCGATACGCCAGAGTGTGTATGTCCAGAGGAGGCTGTTGCGATGCAGGTAGGTGGGTGAGGATTACCTCGCGTTCTTCGATAAGTTCCTTCATAAAAGGTCGAATGGGCAACCTGCTCGGCCATATTCTTCAACGGGGCTGGCCTTTTGCTGTTGCGTTGGCTGGTATGTCTCGGGCTCAGGTGTAGAGGATGGCTCGATCTCGGAGGGTGGTCTCGATCGCGTGGAAGTACCGGTAGCGACAATATGCCCATACATTGGGTTTTTACTTCGTAAAAGCTCATGTTTGAGAATCTCATGCGCGTCAACGGCGCCTGAAAAGGGGTCAGTAAGGATGGACTGCTCACCACTTGAGTCGGACATGGTGGAGAGGGAATTGGACGAGCAAAGACAACCCGAATTCAGAATTCAGGCAGCCCTTTGGGCGTCGGATTATACTCGGAGTATTAGCCGGTTATTAGCCGAGACCCTGGCCTGGGGGTTGGCGTTGGTAGGGTAGCACAGGCTTGACTGGCACTAGCAGCGCGGGGGTCTTAAATCGAGGGAGCGCGGGGATTGCAGGTTGGGTTGGCATGCATCTATTGATTGGGTTGCTGCTCCGCTTGTTCGAGCGCTGGCCCGCCTCCATGTCGCTCACAAGCAGTCGCTCGCGATATATGATCGCAGAGTGTTCGCTGCACCGTACAATCAGTGCCAGTGCCCTCTGTCCATCTACAGAATGTCGTCGTATCTAGCGAATTCGTCATGGGAAGGCACCCATATCGGGAAAAAGATCATTCATGCATTTCCTAGCTCCCCTATATTCATGATCGTCAGAAATCATGCCGATTATCGAATGCTGCGCGACCTTAACGGTTCGGTTGGATGCGAGTTTGAGTGGTTTTCGCCGGTGCCAAGTGACGACCAGGACGACCTGGCCGAAACCAATTCCGTTAGCACCGACATGAGCAGCATCTCTCGATCTCGATGGGAGCTCGACTAAATTCGGCGTAATAGCACTGAATTCTCCCAGGTTCCTTCACGAGAAAAATTTCATAATCTTCCTTCTTGTTTCATCTTTGGCCGTCAGGCCCGACACCGACGAGCGGACGTGTGGCTTGCTGGTGGTGGACAACTTACCCTAAGCCGACATCACTTCTGTCTTGGCTTAGACCGGCAACGTTTTTGGATCGTCAGAAGCCTTGAACGCAAAATTACGGTCAACAATGTGATTGTCGTTCCGCAACAGCCGAGCTTTGGGCTGCACCCCGACGAAGTCAACGTCATTGACTTGATGGGTATCCGTCTCGAATTTCTTTGCCGTCACCCTAGCGTTCTATTCAGCATCAGAGACGCCCATCTGGAGATGACAGACATAAGTGACGCTGATACAAGTTCTGTGTCGCTAGCGACGTATACTATAAGCAATAGTTCGGTAGCCGGGCGGAAAACTTCGGCTCCCGTGTACATGCTCCACGAGAGGACAATCCATTATCGGACTGGGCGGAAGAAGATGCTGGCAATGGATCCCTGGACCCGCCAACTATATGTTGCAAAACTCTATTCGGCCACAGAGCGAGAGCAGTTAGACCGGCGCGTTAGGCTCCTCAGAGCTGTGCCGAAAACCAACTTTTCCATATCGCCAACACTGGGCTATATACCGGACGAGTTGGTGATACAGCTGGAGGATGGGGTGTTTCTTCTCACGTCTTTCCGTGAGGAGTTCTATCCCCTGTCACTACGTGTAGATGTAAAAGACCCAGGTCTTCGAACCATCGCAGAGAACCCAAGGATCCAAAATGCACGTCATCTTTTTTCGGCCTGCTGAGACTCTGCGCTCGGCTTCATACCGTCGGCATCTGCCATGGTGATATCTGCTTGGATACCTTGTTTACTTATGCTGGGTGCGATATATCGGAAATCCTACTAGGGGTTTCTCAAGTGCATCGGGTGACATGAGCCAAGCAAAGAGGGACTGCCACCGGATATTCCAGACCGTCCAGGACTACTTGGGGCCGCTTGCTGACAACCTTCCTTCATCGTGGATTGCTATACCTGCTGTGGATAAGTTGTGGCTGACAGCATCGGAGACAAGTGCTGACGAATGGGCGCATACGGCCATCGATGTGGCTAATCAGCTAAATATGGACCTTGACCGATGTGATGACTCCTGGACAACGGTTTCCGTCACCAAGGACTTTTGCTCAACTGTGATGTCTGAAGAAAACGAACTATTCCTAAGCGTGAAGGACATCAAACAATACCTCTGGTATGATGCGGTCAGGTGCGCGACAAGCTCGCAAGACGTTCACAAGATACGCAAAAATACGGATACACTTTTAGCACACCTAGCCAACATGAAGACCATATCAACCAGTACTTATATCCGGCTTTGTTCTCATCTAGCTACGCGACACGGTCGTTCTCTGGGCACTGATCTTAGATACCGACTGCCTCGCACACCCTCTACCATACACTTTAGCACTTGTCTGCAGGTTCCATACCATCCTCGCTATGGTCTCGTTAATGTGTGGCTCCTACAGCACATGGTACCGCCCGGAGTTCGCAAATCAATTTTTGAGCCAATTTCTTCTAACCTCTATGAGTTACGGGGGTTTCCTGCGGTCGCAGGGGTCCATATCGGGACACGACATCTAGAACAAGCTGTGGCGGCAATGGGACTCTGCCTTGATAACCACCAAGTTGACATCGGGAAAGCAACCAAAACAATGCCTGAGAAGTTTGCTTCTCAAGACTGGTACTTCATAGCGCCAAATGAATCTTCAGAAGTCTTCCCAGTCCATCGCTCCACAGAGATAGTCCACTCTATTTCTGATTCTGATTTCCGCGTCAAGTTGGCCGAATTTATTCCTAGCCATATGCATCGGGGTCACGCCCTCGACGCGATCATTGGTTACGAGGTGGCGTCTCTAATGAGCGGCAGCGAAGGCCAGGATGAATCACCAGAGACTACTTGCGATGGCTCATTAACGTCGGAGAGTGAAGTTGGGTTCCGGTTTGGGACGAGAAAACGATGCGAGGAAGATGGAGTGGAGGACTCTCACCGAACGAAAAGTTGGGTCATGGATTCGGCGAGCCGACGCGCTGATATGATTGCTACGGTCTTCCGAAGCGACGCCGGCCATGTCGACCACCCTCGGAAGAGAAAGAGGACGAGATCTTCCGGAGTGCCTTTGCCAAATATGGCCAAGCCAGATTCTAGGGAAAATGGACCTCGCGAGCCTCTATAATTCTTGCTTAGTTTACCAGTAAAGGTTGGAAATGAGATTTGAAATCAAAGGCCTCCTGTGGTGGAGGCTCTACCTACGCATGGATTGTTCTAACATATCTCCTTGGCAAGGCACATAGGTCAAACACTCGTAAATCGGGAAAGATTGAATCTTCTTGGGTTGTTGTGCTCATGGTAGGATTACGCCCCATTCCATGCTCCCAGTGTCAGCTATTCGGGATGCTGTAATTCTTGGTTTTAGTAAACAAAGTACTAAGGCCTAGGCTGCCAGGGCACTGAGAAGGTGTTTAAGATACACTTTCGTCCAAACCATGTAGCATTAGAAGGACGTAGTCGCGTGCTACAGGTGTAAGAACCCACGCACGACTGGACCATGTAGAAGAGCCTACAGAGACCATGGGGCTCATAGTCTTTATTATTTCCGGTGTTCGTAGATGCCCTAGGGACATCAAGCTACCTGGTTGTGTATGTAGCAGCGCCACGCCTCGGGGACACACCCTCGCTTGCCACTCAGCCACACCAAACCTGTCATTCACGTCATACGCCGAGGTCGAACTGAACAGGCCTTGGAGCATTCCAATGTATCGTGGCACAGCGCCAAACAGCGATAGCTTTAACCGAGGCTACTTGTCATGAGGCTTGAGCTCACGTGGCTTCGCAAGCTTGTCACTACGAGGTACCATTTTGTTTAAACGCGTTTATGATTGAAGAAAAAGTAAAGAAAGGACGAGGAAACTAACGCAACCGTCAAGGTCACGCCGCGGCATGGTCCAGGCCTGGACGTTGGGGCATGCCAGTGCCGAGCCTGCAGCTGGCTCGCTATACGTACACAGCCATATCTATATATACACCCTCTCCACCATTTCCAGCAACGGCGCTGGCCAGGCGCCCTGCGGACGGTAGATGATTCGCTCTCCAACACACCCTCAACCCTCCCACCCTCGTCTACTAGTCTCCTCCCGCTATCCCCCCTCCCTCTCTCGCCTTTGCCCCCGGTTCATGTCCTCAATTCTCCGGGACCACCCATCCTCCACGCCAAAATAAAGACGTTGGGGGCCATGGCCCTGAGAACGAGACCCCGTGGCGCGCCCACCCCGGCGGCCGCACGCACGTGGGCGACACCACCCTACGCCTGGGCGGCGCGAATCTGGGTGGCGAGGAAGTCGGCACCCTCGCCGGCGTTGCGGCGGTAGGAGAGATGGGGAGGGAGGACGGCGGCGCCGAGGTTTCCGTCGCAGACGGCATCGCGGGGTTCGCGGCGCAGATGATCTTGACCTTGTCGGCGGGGAAGTTGTTGATCTGGCCGTTGTCGGCGCGGTTTTGGGTGTCGCCGAACATGATGACACCGGCAATCTTGTCTTGCTGCGCAGCAGGGAGGTCTTCAATGACGCGGTGGCAGATGGCGGCACCTTGGCTGGTTTTGGTGAAGAGGCACCGGTTAGCTTTGACGCACCAGTTACGGATTTCCAGGGTTGTCACAAAGAGATGGACTTACGAGTAGCCACCGACAACGACGACGGCGTCGGGGCACTGGGTGTTAATGTCGTCGAGGATGGACCTCATCTCGCGGATACCAGCCGGGTCAGCTCCGCCAGGGAGGAAGTTGGTGGACAGAAGCGCGCCGTAGTCAACTCCCTGGACGGCTACCTGGCCGGGGAACTGGCTCTTCAGGTCGTTGGACATGGGAGGACCAACAACAGTGCCCTATACACAAGCAGGACAAACCGCCCCCTCGAGTTAGCCACCGCGAAATGTCAAGTTTGGACTATTATTCCCCCTTTCTCCTTCCCTGTCGTCTGCCAGAACGCTCGTGGAAGGTTCGGAGAATAACACGGAGAAAGGGCCCCGGTCTGAAAACCTAGCCAACAGCCAAAGGGGAGGAAAATGCATGTCATGCACGTACCATGTTGCCAATCTCGGTCGAGCCGCGGGCCCAGACGAAGACGATGTCGTTGCAGCCGCCCCTCTTGAACTCGTTGGCGGTGGAGCGGACAGTCTGGCGCTTCTCTGCCTGCAGAGCTAAGGGCGACGCCAAGGCGAGCGAGGCCAAAAGGATGGGAGAGCAGAACTTCATGGTGACTTTGGTGTGGTGGTGGTGGTGATGCGGTAAAGGCGCGTCGGGTATAATGAGGTCGTAACGACGGAAAATGGACTAGGGGGTTGGTGAGGGTGGTGGGCAAGGGGGTTGTCGTAAGACCAGCGACTTTTTGTTAGAAGAGAAGGTGTTCGTGATGGTTTGTTGGAGTGCTTGATATTATTCTAATTTTTAAACTTCATTGTGAAGGAAGGCATCGCGAGTATTTATATTGATTGTTCTTTCTGCCAAACACGGGCTCAACTGACACAAGAAGAGCTGAGCCTTTCAACGTCCTGTCCCGCAGGAAGAAGCAATGGCGATCGATGGCTGACACAAGAAGCTGGCATCTATCGTGTGAAACAGTTATTGAGACGACTGCCCCCATATTCTCCTCCCAAAAGCCAAGTGCAACACTGGTCCATGCTTCCCACAGTGCCCCCGACCCTTTATTTTTGCGTGTGTGCTCGTCGCTGGATCCTACGAGTGTCCCCCTCGCGACGTTTGCCAAAACGGTCCAGGCCTGCGACGGGCAAAGACCAAGATTGGTCGGCCTGGGAAACAAAAACTTCCCAAACTTTTAAATTTTTGCGATTTTGTTTTGCTCAACGATCCCGAGGCATTGAATAACGGACGGGCCAACGTTCGACGATGCGGCTCCGCCTCCCCCACCCCGCGTCTTCGAGATTGATCGCTCGGAACCTTGGCGTCTGGTGCTCGTGGAAGCAGAACATCTTGCGAAAAATCTCCATGCGACGAAGCGCAAAGGGATGGAAAAAGAAAGAGTTGAGAGGCAAAGCATCTCTGATCCATGATGTGTTGGAGAAGACTCGATCAAAAATGCTATCGGTACCTGATCTCCTGCAAGGCCAACGGCAGTGGATTGCCAGCCAGGCTACTAGTTGTAGCTGAGGGCGTCACGACAGACGCACTGTCGAAGGAGTCAAAGAACGGACTGCCGACGAATCGAATAATGTTAGTGATTCGAAGCGCCGCACGAAACCGCGCCACTAAGAACGGCGAAGAAGCCGAACGAGCCCCTCTTTGAAGTTTCGAGTCAAGCCCAGCGCCTTACCACGCGCTCCCGCACGACCCCTCGCCCCAAATAATTTTAGCTATACCCGGATCCAAGGTTCGCGTTCAGTGCTCTCAATGTAATAATAGAGACCCGGACCAAGACCAGCTCTGGTCCCAAGCTCCACCCGGTCAACCAGCCGCCGGCCGTCGATCCCGCTAGCCGTTTGGCCTGGCGCTGGCGCTGGTGGGCGCCGCTGGCGGCTGCTCCTTTCGCAACCCTAACTATGAAAAGGTTAGGGCTGATTCTTATCACGTCTGTCTAACTTTTTTCTGTATTTTTCGCTGGAAACGCCTTGTTGAGGCAAGTCTGGCACTAGCCACACTAGCAGACGGTGAGGCGCCACGCGTGCATTCCTATTTTCCATGTCCTCCCTTGTGGCACGATACTGCCAAGAAGCATAGTTCGGGTGGAATTAAAGGGAAAATGGCTTTGGAATCCTTCCACTGTTGATGATTGTCTAGAGCTCTTTACAACTACCGGTTACGTGGCTCGAGATCAGCGCACCTTGCCCGGTTCTAGTTCTGACCCTTGGCGCAATCTTCGCTTTCGAACATTTTGTCCTCGAGCGAGGACCACCCAAAACCCCACATCGACTAACTTAGTGGCTCCCCTTGGGGGATCATGACGGTCGAGACAGAGAATCTGCCTACCAGGCCGTTGGCACCAGCAGTTGATCCCCCTTTTTAGAATCGAAAAAAGAGGAGACGGTGGGCGAGCCACGCTCAGGTAATCATCGAGGGCCAGCCTTTTCTGAACTCAGCGATGTTTACGAAAACCGGCGGAGCCCCTTTTTGTGGTGAACGCCTCCGGGTGCCTTGACCCCCTGTCACGTCGTGGATAGACGTTGGCAGTGGCTGTGTAGGTGTTTCCAGGAGAGGAGGTGGGGGAGCAATGGTCAGCGATCACGGTGGATTAGCAAGCGAAGGGAACGGGGAACATGTCAGAATTGGCACACTTCTTTTATTATTTTACATGTAATAGGGATGAAGAAAAGGAGAAGGACGACGAGGGGACCTTTGTTGAGGGCAAAAGATCATATCGAGGAACACTTAGAAGCCCACGTCATGAGGGGAGGGTCTATAGGTCTAGGTCAGTGCGCCTCCCGTTTCACCTGTTTCATTTATTTCGTTGCGGTCCCTACTTCTTTTTATTTTTCGGCTGCCCTAGGAGAGGAGTGGTGTGACGGTGTTATTCTCCAACAATCAGATGCTGGGGTGGTTGCAGGGATTCTTCAACCTACCTCGGCAGCTCGTAACTACTTCCCAAAAGGGTAGCTCACCTCGATCTCGAGGGCCCGATTCCCAACCCACAAAAACCATCTGCAGGCACAAGGAGATGAGACGGGGGCAAGCCAACTCTGAACTGCATGCAACAAAAAGGGAAGATTGGGCGGGGGCAGCAAAGGCAGGAAGGGGAGGGTCGATTTTCCGCTCCGTATGTTGGGTGGTGGTTCTTTTGCCCCAATTTCAAACTTATTGCACGCTCCCCAGTTCGAAAAGAATAACACCTTCTCCACGTCTTCTAGCGCCCTTGGTGGGAGGGTCCTCTCGTGTTGGTTCCAGGTTGATGTCAGATGCAGGATGGCCAAGTCGAGGTAAAGTTTGCGACCCGATAAGATGAGAAGGAAGCGGGCGACTGTAGATGGAATTCGTCGCGACGCCGAGCGAGTTTAAAGGCCACGAGATGTCGCCCTCCTCGTCGATCAGGGAATGCGGGTTGAGCTATATTATCTCTTTTTCGTAGGACCTGGACTCAGGACGCCACGATCTTGGTTTTTTTTTCCTTTTCCTTTCCTTCTCTAGTCAAATGTGTTGAATAGACTCATTCGCACATAGTCCCTCGTTTTGCGTATCGGCAGCGCCTCTGCCTTTCCCACTCTCTTTTTTTCTGTTTGGGGATCTTTTACACCCCCTTCGCTCTCTTTCCGCTCTCCCTCCCCGCTAGGCCGTATTCCTTCCACCCACCGCGGCCCTAGTTTCCCCATTCGGAGCTTCCACCCGAAAAAAGCTCTCTTTTCTCGAGATCAGATCTCCTGCCCGAAACCACAAGGAAAACCATGAAGCCACACAGACTTCTCGGCTTCCTCAGCGGGGCCTGGCTCACCCTGGGCTGCCCCGCCGCCGAAGCCACACCCACGCCACCGCGCGACTTGGGCTTCGCGCACACGCGCGAGTACGCCATCATCGGCACCAACGTCTACTCCTACCTGCTGTCCGAGCCCTCGCCCGCCGCCGCCGTCGGTGGCAAGCCCAAGGGCACCATCGTGCTGCTCCACGGCTTCCCGGACCTGTCGTACGGCTGGCGCTACCAGATCCCCACCTCACGGCGCTGGGCTACCGCGTCGTCGCCCCCGACATGCTGGGCTACGGCCGCACCAACGCCCCGCTCGACACCAAGCGCTTCTCCCTCAAGAACATGTCCGACGACCTCGCCCGCCTCGTGAAAAAGGTCGCCGGCAACGAACAGGTCATCCTCGGCGGCCACGACTGGGGCGGTGCCATGGTCTACCGCGCCGCCCTTTGGCACCCCGAGCTGTACAAGGGCATCTTCAGCGTCTGCACCCCGTACTTCCCGCCCACCACCCAGTACGTCGACCTCAAGGACCAGATCGCCGCCGGCATCACCCCTTCCTTCGGGTACCAGCTGCAGCTGCGCGAGCCCGCCATCGACCTGAAGCTGCTGGGCTCCGCCAAGATCCGCCAGGTCCTGCTCGCCCTCTACGGCGCCACCACCCCCGCCGGCCAGCCGGGCTTCGACGCCCGCACCGGCCTCCTCTTCGACAACATGCCCAAACTGGGCTCCTCCCCGCTCGTCAGCGACGCCGACGTCTCCTACTACACCACCGAGTACCTCAAGAACACCATGCGCGGGCCCCTGAACTGGTACCGCACCGCCCAGGTCAACTTCCAGGACGAGCTCGCTCTCCTGCGCACCCCCGGCGGCATCAACTTCACCATGCCTGGCCTGTACGTCGGCGCTACCCTGGACACCGCGCTGCCACCTTCGATGTCGGTGGGCATGGAAAAGTATTTCCCCAAGGGCGGCCTGACCAGGGGCGAGGTCGTCGCTTCCCACTGGGCTCTTTGGCATGCCGCTAGGGATGTTAACGTCCTTCTCGGTCAATGGATCTCGGGCCTCGAGGCGGCGTCCCCAAGCATTAATCGCGCTGCAGATGCTGACGCTGACCCTTGCTCATCGATCAAGCTCGCTGCCCGCCGCCTCCCCGCTTTTTCCCGACCCTGCCATCGATGATTACCCCATCTGTCGTGTCCTGTCGACATCTCTTTGGGACCTGTCAGATTTTGCTTTGGTCTCATTCTTTCCAATTTATCTTCATGTCCCCTCCCCCTTCTCGTCTACCCATGTCCTCTGTCTTCTTTGGGAAGACAGAGCCAACATTGAAGCCCCCAGTCTAGATCCAGCCAGCCCCAACCTGTACATGTAGTATTTAGAAAGTTTGTGCCATCCGGCGCTCTTTGAGATTGGAAAGAGCTCGGCGATAATTCTGCGTAATGCTAATGCCTGCCACTTTGTCCGAAAACGTGCCATCCTCCCGTTCCCCTCCCTGCTCATCTGCGACCCTCTAGTTCCGGGCTTAAAATGGCTGTCTTGCGCTATCTTTCAATCCTCCCCTGCGGGGCGAACAGACTGTTGGATGCAACCTTGGGGCAGGGCCGCAACCCACACGCGCACATGCCAAGCGGAGAGACAAGGTAGTGGAGAGAGAGAGCGGAGGAGTTTGGGGAAAAAAGGGTCTGGTCTGGCAAGGGCAAGCAGAAGGGAAAATGTCAGAGTAGCACATGCAATCAATGGGAACAAGCAACTACGACCCTGGAAACTGGAAAGGTAATCTGCCAATGCATCTGACGGGACTATTTGTGTGACGGGCCCGGTGTAATCTTTGCAGAGACAGGGGTGGCGAGAGAGATTTTCCTTAGTCTCTCTCTTCATTTTCTCTTCTTTTCTACAAATTTAATTTTTACTATCTATTTTCAATTACTTTTTGCATCATTCTTGACGTCTGTCTTTGTTCCCCTCTGGCGGTCAGACTGTGAGCCACGGCAGGAGGGATTGGGCCGGGAAGGAATGAAAATGGTAAGGTAGGGGAAGCACGCGCGGCGGCAGGACGAGCTCAGGAGCCCAGGACCCCCAGGAGCCGAGGATGAAGGCGAACAGCTCCGGGCTAGTACGGAGACGGGCAAAAGTAGCATGGAAATGCAAGCCGTTAACCCTTTTGGGGTTGGTGGGTGCAACTTGAATGCACTCCACCGCCACTACTCCGCAGGCACCAACAGCAAGGCACCGAGGAGAGAGATGCAAGAAAAAAAGATTAATGAGGGGCGTTGCTCTCTGCTCCCCACCTTCTCCGAGCAATCCTTCCCGCCATGGGATGAGAACTTGAGATCAACGGATCGAAGCCAGGAAAAAAAGAGGATGGATGATCCTGTCCAGTGACCCTGTCTTACCCGCCCGCCCTTGCCCTTGCCCTTGCCCTTGTGTCATCTCTTTTCCCTTCTTGTTTATGCGGGGTTGGGGAAGAGGCAGGCAGGCTGATCTATGTTAGGTTTTTCTCTCCGTTCCAACCTTGGATTCGCCAAGTGTCCGCTCTCTCTCTCTCTCCCTCTCCCATGCATGCTCCGCGTGGTATCCTTGGAGTTTAGCTTGGTTGATGTGCGGGCTGGCGGGACATGGGGAGGGGAGGAGATGAGGGGGAGTCAGGATCGGTCAGTTGTCTCTTCTGAGAAAGAAAACGAAAGTGCCAGATACCATCTTCATGCTCCCATCTGTCCAATATCATTTTTGGGTTCGGCCCAGAAACTAGAACGAGAAGAGAAATGGGTCATATCACATCTCGTCGTTGGTCTTATATCGAGGCCCCGCAACCTTACTTTCCTCGCTGCTCCGCTTTTCCCTTTCGTCTTGGATTTATCCTTTTTGGTCTTTTCCTAATCCTGTCGTTGGCTCCTCGCAAGATAGTCCCCCAACCCTCCAAGTGGCTCGCAAGAAGGAAAACAAAAAAACCGAATCCCAAGGTGCGGACTTCGTGACTGAGAATAAAAGGTGGCGATTGGATTGCAACCCAACTTGCAGCAGGAGCGCTAGTGGGAAGAGAGCCATATTCGCCAAGCCGCATACACACCACGCACACCACGCGCACACCGACGCACACACAGGGCAGGGAACACACGCAAATTGGGATCCTTCACACCATCCACCTTGTCTGACTCGACCTCCTCCGAGCCATTACTTGGCATCCCAGGGCCGAGGCTTCTATTCGAACCCCAGAAACGGAGAAAGAAAGAGAAACTCGCAGCACATTGCCTCTCTTCAGCCTCTCCTTGCTTCCTTTATTTTCCGGAGGAGCTTGTTTTTTTCTTTTTCTTTTTCTTTTTCTTTTTCTTCTTTTTCCTGCTTTTTCGAACCTTCTCCCCTTCCGTCACTCCCCTTGACACCCGACACCTTCCTCTCCAAACCAAGCTAAAAGCCACTTTTGACACTAAGACTCTCCAGTCTATCCGTGGAAGTGGTGGCGTTCTTGTGCGGGGAGAATCGGCCGTGTTCCCCTGGCCAGGTCAGTGCAGACACCCGGACGAAGACGCACCCGCAAGTACAGGCATTACCTGCCTCCGCCAACCTCGACCAACCTACCTAACCTCCATCCGCACTGCACCCAATCCTCTTCCGCTCGAGAGGGTATCTGGGGTTGCGTCCTCCTTCATCTGCACGTCACAAAGGAGGGAAGAGTCCCCTCCCCAAAGCAGACAAAAACCAACTTCACAGAAAAAACCTCGGCCGGACAAGGTAAGAGGCGTACGACCCTCTTCACACCACACCACACCACACACACCCTCCTTCCCATTTACCTCGCTTGCCAAGACCTGTCTGTCTGTCTATTGCAGTTCCCTTTTCTCCCACAAGGCAAGAAGCGGGACATTTCTTTCGACCTGGGGGCTAGATCCGGGGCACAGAGTCGCACGACACGCTATCCGCTCGGCTGGCACCATCTCAGCACATAAACCCATCTGCCTGGTTGTCTATATCCCCACAAAGTCCCCGTCGCACAGGCGCAACCTCCCTCCACTTTGCCGACTGGCTTCCTCTCCTTTCCCTTTCGGTGAGAAGCCATCTAATAAGACCCAAACGAAAAGAAAAGAAAGCCAAAAAAGCGTCCTATCTTTCTTAGCTCCTCACTTGGATTGGGCATCAGGCTAGCCTTCCCCGCCTCCATTCTCCACCCTCCTTCCCCAGGGCCCAGGGGCGCACATCCACAAGGGGACACTGACAAGAGATAGGCTCGCGTGCGTTACAAAAGCACGGAGCAACCTCCTCTCCCTCAACCCCACACTTTCCTGCGACCTTTTGATCTCTTGCACAAACAAACAGTCTTGGCCACAAACCTCACATGCTCATGCTCGCCTTGGTTCCTCCCGCATCAACACCATGTCGGAAACTTGGGAGAACTACCCGCTGGCGCGAGACTCGACCGCAGTCACGACCTGTTCTACGTACAAACCATCTTCGTTATTGTATCGGGACTATGCCTCCTCCTTCGTGGCTACGTCAAATGTTTCATCGTCAAGATGAACCTGCTTGACGACTACCTCCTGTACGGAGCCATGGTAAGTTGTTAGAACTTGAACTTGACCAATTCAACTCGCATCGCTCTTCTGTCTAGGTCCAGTACAGCTAACGAACAACTTCTTCCACTACCAGATCCTCTATATCGCCTACAGCGCCATCGTCATCGATGGCTCCATCAACGGCGCAACCGGGAAACACCCTTCACTCAACGTCACTACCGATCAGGCGGTACGGTCCCTCCGCGCCTGGTACCTGTGTATGGTACTCTATCCGTGGATCACCTTCATCATTCGCGCATCCCTCTGCGTCCTCCTCCTCCGACTCAACTCCAAGCGTAGCTACATGTGGATCATCTGGATCAACGCCGGCATATCCGCCGCCATCTCCATCGCCTTCTTCTTTGTCCTCGTTTTCCAGTGCAGCCCGCCCCAGTATTTCTGGACTCAGCTCTACGGCGAACCGGGTTACTGCCACAATAAGCTCATCGTCACCTATGGCACGACCGTGTACAGTATAATATCAGCCCTTTGCGATTGGTGCTTGGGCTTGCTTCCCATCGCCATCTTGTGGAGTGTCCAGATCAACCTGCGCACAAAGGTTGCCATTGCTGGCTTGCTGAGTCTTGGCATGGTGTAAGTTTGCCCGTAAATAAACAAACACCACTTAACAATTTAGCTAACCAATGGGACTTAAACAGCGCTGGTGTTGTGCTCATCGTTCGCACAACGTACATCACCCGCCTTCAGCCTGGGCGACTTTTCCTCTATGAATCAATGTAAGTCCTCGTTCCTCCACGACATACGTACATCGCGTTCGTCAGAGCTTTTTCCGCTGACAACTGCCGTGCCTGTAGTGACGTTGCCATCTGGTCCGTCATGGAACCCGCCCTTGGCATAATCGCCGCCTGCGTGGCTACCTTCCGCCCCCTGCTCAAGAGCTGGGGTTTTGGCTGGGGCTCCAAGCGCCGCGGTCACTCAACACACTACCAACTGCCCGAGCAGCGACGTGACGGCCTCACCCCGGCCACCAGCCCACGCGAGCGCAACGTCTTCTCCCACACTTTCGAGGACCTTAGCGATAAGAGCGACGGCGACTGCGGCTCCGAGCAGGAACTCGCCATCCGTAAAACCGTGCAGATCCAGGTCACTACGGGACCGGAACCGGTGGCGCTGAGCCCTATAAGAAGAGATTTCGGAGCGTACTCGCCGGGTTTGCCCGGCAGGGCAATCTCTTGCGATGAGTCGTACTTTATTGACTCTTCGGGAGGAAGTCTGGTTACTTGAGTAGGACAACGGTGTAACTGCTATTTACATTATACGAATTTCCTTTAATGATTTAATATATCCCCTAATTTCGAGTTTATTCGTGTCTTTCCTATCTACTCTACGGTCTTTACCTTGTGATGCAGTCGTGCCAAAAATGTGCTGTAGTATTCACTGCCTAGCGTTATCATCAAAGGCCTCTCCTTCAACTTCTCCATCACTCAGCAATATTCTTCGTTCCGGCACAAGTGTCATCTGAAATTTCATCTCATTTACGCTTCACGCTTGCCCTTTACCGTAGTTGCCGCCTACGGTCCGGTACCGGCTCGAGATGGACACCCGACAGTGAAATCGTCGTTGGACTTGAATGCGATGCTGGAGCTATTCGGGCCGCCAAGTAGAATCGTTGTGCGCTCTAAAATAGTTGCAAAACGTTAGTTCACCGTGCGCACAGACTTCTTAAATAACCTGACCGGTCCTGAATCACGCTCCCACAACGGACAACGGGGGAGGTGGGTAGGTTGGCGCTGGCGTATTTCTGGTCCGCCGTTGTGCAGCCAGCGTTCCTCGCCCTTCCTCCTCCGCTAACCCTGCACCAATCCGAATGTAGCCAAGCGGAAATGAGGGTCTGGCAAAGCCCCCTCCCAGCCAAACATAGATAAAAGGGAATAGCGACGCGCAAAACCTACTTGATTCGGCGTAGACGGGCCACCCAAGCCCCGTCAAGGCCAGACGTGGCTTCTTGGCGAACTGGGTCCACGCAGTCCGCATGGCAAGGCTCAACTTCTTCTGCGCCGCCGTACTCTGCCGCCGGGACATGAACTCGTTGGTGCCGAACGCCATGGCAATCTCGGCACCGTGCCACGCGCCGGGGAACCCAATGTCCGTGTTGGGGTACTCGCCCTCGTAGACGTAGCGCCACGCCGGCACGCCTTGGGCGACGCGGGAGGCCGCGACGGGGCCCGGTCCGCAGCGGATGAGGTTGACCGAGTCGATTTCGGGACCGCTCGAGTTGCGGCCGTTGGCGGCGGCGAGGAGGCGGTAGAAGGCGGCTTCTTCGCCGGTGTTTCCGACGAGCATGGGCTGAAAGGGGTTTGGAGGTAAGCAAGGGGTAAGATTGCGATCGTCCATGTTCTTTGGACATAAACAAGAAATTAAGCTCTTACCTGACGGATGAACATCCCCTCCCGTCTACGTCCCGTCACGTTGGCAAATACCACCTTTTCATCGACCGTGGGACCGAAGCCACCCTGCCCCAGGTTCGGGGTAACCCCACGCTTCTCGAGCGCGGCCATGATGTCCTGCCACGGCTTCTCCCGCATGCATTCTAGCGTCGCCTTGCCCGCGTCGACCCCGCCGCACCCGAGGGCCTGGCTGGCCGTGTACCACCCCGCGGAAATGTTGGCGCTGGGGACTTGGTCGGTCGCCATGCCGGACTGCGCGATGAAGGCGTGGGCGATGGGATCCTTGAGCCACGCGAGAGTGTAGTAGTCGACGGATGCGCCGCCGGCAGATTGGCCGAAGAGGGTGATGCGAGACGGGTCGCCGCCAAACTTTTCGATGCTGTGTTCCAAAGGTTAGCATGTTGCTCCGAGGTGATGGAAACTACAAAAGAAAAAAAGAAACGTACTTATCCCGAACCCACTCCACGGCGAGCCTCTGATCCAACAACCCCAAGTTAAGATCGGGAAGAAAGTCCGCCCTCGGGAACCCAAAGATGTTGGTCCGGTAGTTCATGCTCACGACAACGACATCATGCTCCGCCGCCAACCTCGCCCCGTTGTAGCCCGCATTAGTCGAGCTGCCGCTGTTGAACCCACCACCGTAGATCCACACCATGACGGCCTTTTTCGACTTTCGATTCCCCTTCTGGCCCTCACACCCAATCTGCGGCGCGGTCCACACATTGATCTTCAAGCAGTCCTCGTCAAAGACGTCGTCCAGCTGGGCGAGGCGCCCGAGCAGCGTCTCGGCAAAGCTGCGATAGGACACCTTGGCGCCCGGGGTGCTGTTGATGTTGACGGGGCACGAGGCGCCGTACGCCGTGGCGGCAAAGGGCTCGGAGGCGTTGGCTGCATCGCGCTTGAGCGCCGCGGGGGCGGCAAACCGGAGGGCTCCGACGGGCGGTTGGGCGTAGGGGACGCCGAGGTATTCGCTCACGAGAGGCTGCCATGCCGAGGCTTGACCGAGGACTGGGCCGGAGGTGGTGTTGACGAGCTGGCCGGGGATCCACTCGGACAACCTTTGTGCTTCGGCAAAGGAGGCCGAGGCAGAGAGCAGGGCGGCGGCGTGGAGGGTGGCGGAGACCTTCATGATGGCTTCTCGTCTTTCCCGATGATGGGCACCTAGTCTCAACGAGGTATGTAGTTGGCAAGGCCGTGAGTTTGATGGATGTAGGTAAGCCCTCCAAAAGATGCATCCCTCGTATTTAAATCATTTTCTCTTTCCCCTCTGCGATGCCCGCCGACCTCCGTCGACATCTGCCGTCCGAGAACGAAAAGCACGGCCTCTCGATCCTCCCCGCAATCTCGTCTTGCCTCCGAACGTCGTTCTATCCTCCCATCCTCCCATCCTCATCTCTCCGCTTGGTCCTTGAATAATGCAAGATCTTCCGTTTCCAGATAAGCACCACCGCATCGCTTAGAGCCGTTGACGCGCAGACCACCCCGGGACCACCTATCACGGCCCAGCCTCGGTTCGAAAGGAAGGATTTCCGGGGCCTAGCGCGATGCTGCCAAGATGACAGGTTGGCGGGGAGGTGCGCTTTGCCTCCGATTATCTACCTAAACCTGACATCGCTTCGCGCAGGATTCGCATCACGAGGGGGTCGGAGTTCGGATCGAGCGCCTGCGGGAAAGTGGTGACCCAACGAAAAGAGAGATGCGAGGTTCGGATGGAAATTTCATCGAATACGACGTGGAGGTCTCGGGTAAGATGATGTAGGTGTACGACCAAACGTGGGCACGGTGGAAGTGCGCGCTGTGTTTGTTGTGGGTGTTGTTGCGTGTTCGCAAGCTATTCCGCGAACAGTAGGTGCATGTAACGGCACCCGAATCCTGGCTCCTAACCAAGGCACAAAACAGCCATCAGCACGGCAGCGACTACAGACAAAGTTACCCACAACGACCAAGAGGAGAAGTTGCGTAAAACATGACGTCCAAGTCGGGGTGAATTAGCCTCCCGAGGTCGTTGGGGGTTTAAAAGCTCGGGAGATTCAGGACCTGCGCAGAAGGGCGAGCTGTCCTCCATAACCCGTAGGCAGCTTAGTCTACATGGAGCTGGCCTCTGCACGATTTTTAATTCGTTATGTATAATTTATTTTAAAGAAAACGAGTACATGTATAATTAAAGTAAGAAGGCCAAGGATCAGTATCTAAGGCCGCCGGCGACACTCACACAAAACCAAGTCATGCGAGGAAAGTCACCAATATCAAAGAGAAAAGAAGCACTCCAACCCCCGGCCCACCGAAGTCGCCTGGAAGCGCGAGGTGGTTCCAGACTTCATAATATCCATTGTATTCATCGCTAACGCATAATCTCAAAGGGTGCCAGGTACTAGCAAACTCTCTTTGTGGAAAGCTCCGACTCATGCCCACATGACAGAGCCCTTTTCTTCTTCGTTTTTTTCTTCCATCAAGCAGTCATTATTCCGTTCATCAGCAGATCTTTCCCAGTGGTCAGGGTGCTGGGCAAGCTGATGCTCGATCAACGCACCCAACGTCGGCAAATCCTGGTTGCAGCACCTGTAGTCCCGGAGGTACTCGCTCTCAAGCTGTTGAACAGACGAAATGGACATTGCATTACGACTCGAGGCATAGCTTCGACGCTCTCGGCCCAGTTTAGCGGATAGGTACGAGGCAAATGATGATGCACTAGAGAGGGGTCTCGCTGGCGGGCCCATTCCGTGACGCCGTTGGCTGTTGGTGGAAGAAAGGGTCCGGATAGAGAGGCTGGACTCTCCATGCTTCCGCTTCAGGGCACCGCTCGGCAACTTAGAGTCGTCCCTAGATGTGGAGGTTGATAGCATGGTAGCAGAGCGCCCATACTCGGCCTGTTCTTGACGAGGTCCCGGGCGAGACACGGGGGTAGGGGTACCAGCTCAAGAGTCAAGGTGGAGTTTAGGGCTTTTACAATGGCAAATTTCCTTTTCATTGTAAAGGCCGAATCCAATGCCGACTTACCCTGATGGTCTATAACATCGAGGGCGGCGCCTTTGTTCACCAAGAGCGAAACCACATCCGAATGCCCATGCTCAGCGGCCAGGGAAAGCGGGGTGCGGCCCAGATTGCTAGCACTACCCAAAGGAAATGCCCGGTCAGACATCATGGCCTGGACTGTCTCGGCATGTCCTCCCGCAGCAGCATAATACATCAAGGTCCAGCCTGGTCGCTTTGTGCAATCACAGTATTTTTCGACAAGGGACATTCGATAAAGGGCCTCGAGGTAGTCCATGACATACGTGCGAGTTTTGACCGTTGCATACGTAGAAGCGGCCAGGGACAGCGGTGTCTCGCCTCCTGAGTCGATGGCGTGCACAGAGCAATTGAAACTGACGTCACTCTCCACCTCTTTAATGAACCTTCTGCAGCCTGTCATGGCCGCCCAGTGCAGGGGAGCCTTCCATGGCAGTCAGTTAGGCCAGCCGCTGCAGGGCAGAGCTTAAAAGGGCGCGGGCAGCGCCATCGAAATTCCGAGCGCAGGCGATATGCAAGGCTGTCCGCCCCAGCGCGTCTTGCGTATGCAAGTCCTGACACGTGGGCAAATTTTCGATCATATCCCATATCTCCCTTTCAGAAATGACGGCTGTGGGAGGCTGGCTCTCGAGAAAGACGTGAAGGTCCGGGCGACAGAGGAACCTATCTACGGCAAGCCCGTAATTACCCTGTCCGTCAAGCGTAGGGGTCCTGACGCTAGGCTCTGCCGCAGTGGCATTGAACTTCTCGGGATAGCGAAGGAGAAGGACTTTACGTATGAAGCGGGCCATGCTGGCGCCTGGGGTCGCGGCATCGTTTGCTTTGGCAAGCAAGAATACCAGGCTATCATAGAGGTCGGATGTATCCGTAGACAACTTCTCTTCTAGATACGGCAGTAGTTCGATGAACGTGAGCAAAGCTAGGGTGATGGAATGAGGAGGCGATGCCTGTATTATCTTCACCGACGTGAGAATGATGAAATCCCGCTCCTCGATCTGGGAAGACCGGGCCTTGTCCAAGGCTGGCTGCAAGTGGTCAAGATAACTGGGCGGTAGCTGCAGCGCTCTGAGGTCTTTCTCAGCCGTCTCCATCTCCCTGTGTGAACGTAGGAGATTGGAATGGTCTATTGACCTTGGAAAGTTAGGCTATCCCTTCACATCCGAAAAGACGCTGGTAGGTGTTCACTTACAATTCGGCGAATTGTTCCAGAAGCGGGTCTACCCTCGGCGGCAGCGACGTGTCTTCCTCCATTAGCTGGACGCGGGCCCGCTGGTCCTCGGCGCTCATGTTCTCGGAGCACTCTAGGTCCTTGGAAATGCATCGCTTGCATTTTTCGGGCCATTCCCGCTCTTTTGGTTCGCACTATGAAGGATTAGACGTGGTATTCGTGATGGTATTCGTGAGCACAGCTTGGTTCCAGCTTAGCGTCAGACTTGGGGTTGGTGCCGGCTAAGATGCCGACATGCCCCTTGCGCATACCTTTTGCTTGTCGACTCTGCATTGGATACACTTGAGATAGTTGAGCTGGCGGGTGGGGGCTCCAACCCCTCCGGTGCGTTCAGGCTCTGAGCGGTCTGCCATTGTGGAATGTCTCAGGATGTGTGTAAAAATGATGTGAATGCTGTGAATGAAAAGAGGACAGGAAACTCAATCCATCCATGGATATGCGATTGACTCTTATTCTTTTTCTATTCGTCTGGCGACGCTTTAAAACGCCACCAGGCTCTCAATCGACGTGTTCTCAACCTGGGGCTGCACATCCATCCATTGGATCAGATCAATCGACCTCAATGAAGTACATCAATGTATGCTATACTCTGGTAAGTCAATGATGTCCTGGTTGGGCTTGCGACGGGTCGCACCCCCATTCCCCAGGGCGCGCGCATCTACCCGCACACCCTTCGCACCCATCGCACACCCCTTTGACGAGGTATCATTGGTCGGCAGAGAATGGCGGAGGTTCTCCTCCCATAGCGCACTGCGTCGCACACCCTGCCGCACAGCGCAATCGCCAGCGTAATTCTTCGCACAGCGTCATTCCTCGCACAGCGCACTCCCTCGCACCTCCTTTTGGCTTTTAATCACGGCGATTGTGCGCGTGCGTTTGATTGGGTCAAGAATCAGGACCCCTCTTTCCTTCGCTCCCCTTCCTTTCCAGATTTGGAGGAGAGCTGTATAGATTCCTTTGGTTTTTTTCTTGATTCGGGTTCAAAAGCCGACATAAGGTGAAGAATTGGGTCCTTGTAGCGTTGTGGAAACCAGAACAGTGTGCCCTAGGACAACACATCGTGTCATGGATGGCCCAACTTTCATCCGCGCCATCTGATGCTTCACTGTGGCTGGCTTGCTCGTTCAATCACTACGAGAGGGTTTCACGTCCTCGCACGACATCTACATGGAAAGCCTGGACGACTGCCTCCAGATTTCGACCGTCGATCGGTGCATTCCGTCCACGATATTCCAAATCCAGGCACGTTGAACCCAGCAATAATATAGCCTCACCAGCCGCGAAGGATCACCCGAACCAGAGTGGAGTCGGCGTGACCATGCCTCTTTTGATGATCGCGGGGAAAACCCCCAGTCCGCCGTGCCCTTCCAGCACCAATCTCCGAGCTCCCCCAAACCCCACCCGCCCCTTTCCCGCCCCTCCCGCTCCTCGAGCCGGATCCTCCGCACGTTCCGTGGATTTCGGGCTACCAAGCAAAAAGAAAATCTGCTCATCCACCCAGCCTATCATCGAAGGTGACGGCCACACAAAAAGCGAAATAACCTTCTCAAAGGCGCTCTCATCGTCGTCCCGCGGCGAGGAAGGAGAATAAGCTTTACTTGCTCGTGTGGTCATGTGTGCTTTTTCTCCTTGTTCTTGTTGAGACTTGATGGCGATGATCATCTCGAGCGATGGGTATAAAATGGAGTGGGTCAGCTTCCCTGGAGACAAAACATGAAGAGCGAGGCAGATCATCTTGACATCAAAAGATCAGCTTTGGGTGGAAATTTGAACCGCCGCTCTTTCAATCTCCCGTGTTAAAAAGTAGAACAACCACACCGCCATCATGTCAAATGCTACTAGTACGTCTCCCCAGCGAAACAAAACCGACCTAATCTGCCAACTCAAGAGAACTTACACGCTGACCCCTTACGTAACAGTCCCCTCCGCATCGCCGTGCTCCTCTTCCCGGCCTTCACGGCCCTCGACGTCTTCGGTCCCCTCGGCGTCCTCAACGTCCTCGCCCTCAACCACTCCATGACCCTCTCCCTCCTCTCCACCAACATGAACCCCATCAGCATCGACCGCAACATCATCGACGGCGTCTACGAGGGGAACCCCGACCGCGAATCCCACTACTTCACCCAGTACGTCCTGCCCACCCACACCCTCGACGACGCCCCCGAGGCCGACGTCATCATCGTCCCCGGCGGCGGCGGCACCCGCAACATCAGCGCCACGCAGCCCCACGTCGACTGGCTCAAGACCCAGGTCAACGACCCCGCCCTCTCCTACATGATGACCGTGTGCACCGGCGCCTCGTTGCTCGCGCGCACGGGCGAGATCGCCGGACGCAACGCCACCACCAACAAGGCCGCCTTCAACTGGGTCAAGTCGGTGGAGTACGCCGACGAGGTCAACTGGATCCCCAAGGCGCGCTGGGTCGTCGACGGCCACGTGTGGACTAGCTCGGGGGTGAGCGCCGGCACGGATATGACGCTGGGGTGGGTTGAGCACATGTATGGAAAGGAAGAGAAGGAGCGCATCAGGATCGGGATGGAATGGAATGCTTTGGAGCAGGAGGATGATCCTTTTGCCGAGATTATGGGCCTCGTTTAAGCACAAGCGTTGGTTGCTGCCAGCTCCCCTCGCGCTTCAGTACCACGCGACTACGGTGCTGGAAGCAATGAAATATATACTGGCTTTGTGACAAGCCCTATTTAATAGCTGTAATATCTCAAAGTCCCAAAGCTCACCTTGCGAGAATATGAGCTAGGAAGCGTGGTCTACGATCTTGTGGACATGTAATAAGCTAATCAACACATCTGCGTCTTTCTGAACATGCTGTATGCCGACAACACTGTCTAGGTATGCGTTCCTCTTGCCTCTTACCTTGGGCTATACTACGAGGTGTGGCTTGGACATGCCGGCGATGTCCGATGAAAGGCTGAAAAATATTCATCACAGTGTACAAGTTCACGGTGGCTTCGGAGGAGAGAAAACAATCAAAAGCAGCCTTCCATGTTAATGCCGGACCTAAGCTATCATGCCTGAGGAACGAATGGCTCCTCGAGCCAAACAAGAGTTGACAGCACTTGAGGAGCACACATCAATCACATGACTTGACCACAACAGCAGACCATACATGTAGACCCTAGACCGCAGACCGCAGACCGCAGACAGCAAGCATCATAGCTCCAAGGAAAGAAACCCCCATACAACGAAAACATGATGCAACGCAAGCTGAGCGCCAATCGCCAAAGGAAGAACGGAAAACAACAGACCCGAAACAAAATGAAAAATCGCAGCGCGACCCTCTCCTATGACGCCGTAGTCCCCTTCTCTCAAGCTAAACGGATAGAAAAGCGTGGCATGGCGTTGCCCAAGCCAAATCAACTGCGTAAGACATGTTACTATCCTGAGATGGAAGGGACAGGGGTGGAAGTTGGCCTTTTTCATTCGGCAAGGGCGCGTATTTACCAAAGGACTAACCACTCTGATAGCTTCCCACCTGAAGAGCTTATCCGCGGAGCTTCTTGCCAAGCCTCATGAGAAGCTGAAAGGTGGCGCCCCATCGACGCTCGACGGGGGCGCGGCGCACGGGGCCGTTGACACCCGCATCCTCGGCTCCCGCCTCAGCGGAGTCGGACTCGTCGTCGAGGAAATCGAGAGCCAAGAGAATGGCCTCGGCGTCCTCGGGGTTGAGCTCCCCGATGCGGGCGAGGACCTCGTCGACGTTGGTGGAATCGATATCCAGGTTGCTGAGGTCGCGGGCGGACACGTCAGCGGCGCTGGGGGTGCTGGCGGTGGCGGCGACCGCGGCGGTGGCGAGGAAGAAGGTGGCGGAGATGATGGAGAGCTGCATTGTTACTGGTTTGACTGGGCTGCCTGGGAGAGGGACGAGGAAGACTAGATTTTTGCTAGTGGGAGAGATTGGAAATATCGAGAGAGATGGTTAAAGCGCTTGATCCAAGTGTGTTTGACTGATGATGATCTGAAGATGGATAGAAAACAGCCATCGTCTTCCTTCACCTCCTGTTTATATAGTCCATCTTCAACGCTATCTTCTCTCTTGGTTGTATCTCTTTAATTATGGAACACTCTACTCGGTCGTCAGCATCATCACCCAGCTCCCCGATGATCTCTCCACGTCTGACAGTTTTCAAGTGTCGCTAACGATGCTGACATGCCCTTCACTTGTCCTGACACTTTCAAGTGGAGAGCCGGGGAAGGAGAGAGGACCCCGAGGCTATTCGCGACCCCATAAGACGATAGGTCTTCTTGCCTTGCTGATATGCTCCGTCCTCTGCCGCCGCCTAGTCTTCACTCCGCGCGGCCCAACCTCTTGCTCGAGCCCGAACGATGAATTGTCCCGCGCGGATAATGCTGACCGGCCCCCAACAACAGGAAAGCTCAAGCGACATGCCGATCCACTATTCCTGTTTGGTTGGAGCCATCCACCATTCATGGATCCATCTATCGCCTCAATCAGAGAGCTGAGTCGGTGATTCGTCGTAGCTCCCCCACACCGTCTTTAACTCTTTCTGTGAGCCCATGGTCCTTCCTCCACCTTCCTCGTCCACTTTATCCCTTTTTTCCGCTTTTATTCCATCAGTTGATTTTCTTTGGCGGGCTGGTTACCAAAAATGGCCCATGAAACAAAAAACAAGAACAAGAGGCGCAGTGCTCGCAGCGTCGCACCGACCCGCAAAAAGACAGACGATGCGGGGTTTCTCCTCCTCCAAATCGTTGCTTGATTCGAGACTGGCGACACTCCCCGCGGTTGTGATAGGCTAAAGCTCTGTGTGGCTGTGTGCCTGTTCCATCCGGTAGGGCTGCCGCGTTCTAAATCGGGAACAACGCAACCAGCGATCGCTACATCACTTGTACCGTACCCAGGGAAGTTTTTGGCGGGAGAATAGAGAGAGAACCAAGGCAAAGAAAAAAGGGAAAAGAGGGGGTCGGGTAGCTTGTCAGACGCGCTTCATTCTTTCCGAGCGGGATGCTAAATATAAGCGCACGGAAGCACTACGACGGTGCGAGAATTGGACACTGACGAGGTTTTCTGTTCGAACCAAAGAAGAGCGTGGAGGATGAAGCTTGCCCGCGTCTAATGGTGCCATTAGACGCACATGGTGTGAGGGTTTTTCCCTTTTAAACCTGCTCCCGCTTCCTTCGATTCTAGGCAGCATTAATTGATCCCGCACAAGAAACTTCGGCTCGCCTCCGGTTGGGTCAAAGAAGTCAATCTCTATGGTGTCTAGTATTCCTGCCCTACACCTACACATACACGTTTAATAGAAAGGAGATCAGCCACACGGGTCCTATTTTTATCACATTGCAGCTCAAAGACGAGAGTGTTTGCATTTATACTCTTGGCCCTCTCTCCCCTAGCTCTACACCTCCATCGTAGCAAGAGGCAATCACAAGCAAACGAAAACCAACCCTCTTTCGACAAGATCCACTGATTCAACTACTTTCGAATCAAGATGCCGGCCGTCACTTCACGCTAGATCACCGCATTTTAGCATCCCCTCGTTTAAACACTCCCCCATAAATCCCCCAATCCCAAAAGCAAAGGCACCCACCAAAAAGCCGAGCAAGAAGAATCACAGTGACCAAAATCCGCAATCTCTGCACTCTTCCTCTCACTCATCAATCATGAATCGCGTACGAGAGCAGCTCGCCATGGCAACCTACCCAGAAGTCGTAGCCTCGGACCAGCCCGAAGTCTACCACCCGCCCCGCTCCTCCTCCTGGGACCTCGTCCACGGCCAAAGCCCCCGCGGCGGGCCCCAGCGCCCCTTCACCCTCCGCGTCGAGGTGTTCGTGCCCACGAACCACCCGGCCTACCCTTCGGGCGTCCGCCCCATCTTGGTCATCGCCGAGGTCTCGTACAGCGGGCCCGCCGCGAAGCCCGAGAAAAGTCCGCTTCGCCTCGCCCATCGAATCCGTCCCCGAGGGGAAGCGTTCCCGGCGCCCGCGGCTTAGGCAAATTACGGGCTCTCGCCTTCGGCGATTGCTTTCGGGTGATTGAGGTTCTGCCTGAGACGGCGAAAACTTGACCACGTCGCCACACTCACAGATGTCAAATCCTACCAGCTCTCTTATTCGGGGCTACAACCATTCACCACGCCATAGGGTCGCCAGATCGCCCTAGATTGCGTGCAAGCCTTTGAATTAGCATTTCTTCCCCGCTGGGTGGTAATGCTGAGGCACCCGCATCATCATGTACTCGGAAGTCGCTACTAGGTGTGCAACTACGAAAGCCGTGTAGCGCCTGACGAGTTGATGCCGGCTTCTCCTCTATGTATACGCTACATATCACAGCAGAGATAGTAGAGGAGGAAGCCGGTATCTATCTCGACGAACAAGCAAAATGAATCGCTTGGGCACTCTCGCCAAGATGGAAGCGCAAGGCCGCTTTCGGGGTGCCATCACCAACATTCGCTGAACATCAATTTCCTTCTTGTGACACAAGTCATATGGATTAGGCTGGAATAAATCGCCCGGCTTAGGCATAGGCGGAAGAGTGGAATCGGTCAATTGTTTACACTCTATACCAATAAAAATCCCAAATCATTCCCAATAATCGTCCCAGCGTTCCCGTATCATCATCGTGAAGTGTCGTTACCTACAGCCGTCCAACTCGCGCCCACATCCATTGTATCGAGTAGTAAGAGAAAAATGAAACCACCCACTCTCGTACTCCGGAGCTCTCAAATTCCTTCCAGTCTTCCCCCATCTTCTTGGAATCCCCATGATCAATCCCGCCATCCTCTCACGTGTCAGAAGCCTCAAACTCCTTTGTAAGCTTCTCAATCTTATCCTCGCTCAACCCCACGATCCTACCAAAATCCCTTCCCCCGCGGCCAGTACCCCGTCCCACCCTGGCGATAAATCGCCGCCCTCTCCCGCATCGACCGAAACGCCTCATGCAGCGGCCACCGCACGCGGTTCATGTGATTCTGGCCCCGCGCGCGAACTGAGCCACCCGCGAGCTCACCGCACCGGTCAAGGGGGCCCCGTCCCAAAGAACATAGCCGCACAGCCAGAGGTTGATGTCCGATAAAGGTTCGACCAAGGCGAGCACGGTGCAGGACCCGTGGGCGGCGAACCACACGTGCGCGGGGTCCGAGTAGACGCGGTCGTACCGCCCGTCCAAGAGAGTACCGAGGCCTTCGCGCTGTTCGTCCTCGAGGGATTCCAGCGTGGTGTCTCTGCGCGCCCGGATCTTGTTGAGGCGCGGGCTCGTGAGGCGGTTGTTGAAGAGCTGTTTAAAGGGGTGGCGGTTCTTGGCCCAGGCTTGGAAGAGCGTAACCGGCATGAGCTTGACTCGGCTGTCGTAGTCCCGAGCCCGACATAGACGGACGAGGAAGTCAAGGCCCTGGCACATCTGTCTCCGGGGAGCGAAAAGGGAGCATGGTACCACACGTTAGCGCGCCGAAGCATTTCGGTGTGGACTACAAGTTATGCAGGTGGGGGTAAATATAGAAACTTACAGCCTCTTGCGCGGGCGGGATGAAGTGTGCGTTTGGCGTCCAGTCTATGGGCACGCTACCGTATTGAACGTCGTGCGATGCAAGCTCGTCAAACGCTATGGCAGGGGCACATGTAAGCAAAGAAGATGAAATCATCAAACGAGTTCCCCACGTCACCACCACATCTCTAAAAGTGAAGTTGGCCATCTCTTTCTTTTGCTTCTTGTCTCTTGGCCTGATTCTTTTACAGGGCATCTCACCCACCAGATATCAAACGCTCAACAACAATAAATGGATGAGACGTACCTTCCATCACCTTGGCCTGCACGAAACCATACACGCACAAAACCTGATCGTTGACCCACGGGGAAAACGCCCCCAGAACCACCGCCTCCGCTTACTGTTGGACAGCGGGCTCGCCACGCAGCAAAACAGGTGGCACATGAGCTGGAACCGGTAAATCGCCCGAAACAAGCGCGTGACCTCGGCCTCGGACGCCGCCACGGGGTGCTCGCACCCGAAAATGAGGTTATAGAGCGGGATGCTCGACCGCATAAACTCCCCGCTAGCTGCTCGACGCACGCGTGCGTCTCCATGACCGCGGCGACCTGCGCCATCGGCAGGCGCGATAGCACGCCCAGGCTCAGCGCGGGGTCCCGGACGGCTTTTCTCAGCCACTTGAGCAGCAGGTACACCTCCATCTTGTCCCGCCGGTCGATGAGCGTCGACTTGTAGAGGGCTTCGGCGAAGGGGAGGGTCCGGCGCGGGATGCGGTTCCGGAGGATGCCCGAGACGATGTGGATCCGGTGGTGCTGGAGCGCCGCGTGGAAGAGGCGCTGGCTGCGAATCGCGCTGGCGAGATCGCGTAGGTCGGAGAGGTGGGCGAGGATGTCCGCGGCCACGGGGATGGGAAGGTCGATGAGCGACGTAGCCATTTTTGCTGGGGGCTTTTTTTTTTTTTTCTCTTGGTTGGTTCCCTCGGGAGAGTGAAAAAGAACAAAGGGTCGCGACGGCCGTGCCCGACTCCTTCCTTTGATTGTCCCGTGAACCCGCCAGCAATACCGGAATTGAAACTCAAGGATAGATTAGATTTGATGGTGATAGGAGAGGCAAGACCCTCCAGGTTGTGTCCGACTCGACTCCCCGCCTCTCATAAAGAGGGAGGGAGGGACTGTGCGACAGTGCGCGTGGGTGACGACAGCCAAAGAGGGGAAATCGTCTAGAAGCCTAGAAGCCCAGAAGGTCCCGGTCAAGGTCAAAGTGGACAGCTGCCTGCATGGCCGTGCGTGGCGCAGCTGAAAAACATGAGACGGGCGGATTCAGCTCGGGAATCCATGTCGACGGCAATACCACCTCGCAGCAGACCCAACTTGACGATATCACCACAAACCCTGTGCGTGGCTAGAAATTCGAGAAAATCGAGGCACAAGGAGCAGGGAGGAAGAAAAGAGGAAAATAACGCGACTGCACATCGATGGTTATCGACCAGAATACTCGTGCAACGATAAACCCTACATGTACAAAGAATGAGAAAGAAAATTAAAAATTATTTTCAAAAATACCACGCAAGGCATGGAGAAAAGAATGGCGTACCTCGCCCATGCTACGAGTAGGAACTAAGCGTCGGAGTCTTGGGTGTGCCTGGATCTATGGATAGCCTCAAAGGCGCTAGATATAGTCACGATCCTCACAAGCTTGAGGACTAGGGGATTTACCTGGTGTCGCACAATGGCAACATTCCTCAATATTGGCCTCGTTTTAGCCCCGACTCTCGTGAAACGGCGCGAAGCCAAGCCTCTAGAATAAGACCGTACGCGGCACCAGCGCCGCGTCCGGAGAATATCGTGGGCCGAAAATTAGCACAATTTGGCGCCAGTCCGCCACCCGGGAAATGAAGGCGGAACCTCGAGGCCGTCAAGTTTGCAAGTTCTAAGAGCGCATCTACCTCTTTGAAGTGTTCGTCCAACTTCTCTTGTGCCCGGACTAGCGTGCCATGAATGAGCCGACCTTTTAGGTCCGGGACGTCCAACTCGACACATCAATGCATGCAACTATGGGTTTATGTGTTATCCTGCCGCAAGTTCTGTCGTTGTCGGTGCAGCCATGAAGATGGATAAGGTACTATCCGAATCCCGCTGTGCCACAGGTGAATGGCGACTTCGGTACAGTGGCGAGACTGATGCGATGCCCCAATACCCATGGTTTTGTAGGACGCTCGTAATTGGGCACCGTGGAAGCTATGCCGAGGTCTTTAGCAGGCACTACCGATCCCAGTGCCATTTTTCGTCCTGACAAAGCGTTACACCGTTTGACTTTTCTCAGGGCTGCATTTGATCAAGGCACAATGGCGTACAGAAACGGGTCCGACGGCATAGGGGCGTTACGCCATCGAATTAGCTGGGCTGGTACCGCTCACGAATATCCTGACATGACGATGAATGGTGCGAGCTAACCAGCGGGTTCAGGAAGTCCAGTTTTGGATCAAAGGGGGACGGTTGCTGGTATGTCACATCATGACCATCAGGAAACTGCTGATGAGTCGAACTAAAGGCGCTAATCCTAGCCGTGTCCTCTCCGGTGTGGCAACCGACGAGTTGTGTACCCAAGTCCAAAGCTCTGCAAGCCGAATGCGAGCGAGTCGATCGTTGAATACGCTGCAGGTTGATCTAAACTCTGCCTTCCCCTTGCAGTAGAAACAGCGTAGGGAGGCATGAGTGTGCACACAGTTGTCTGTGTATCTCGGTTTTCTTTGGTACATCCATTGATCCATGGATGGATATTTTCGTTTAAGCTATGGGGTGTCTCACCCCTTTTGCGCCATGGGGGCCGAGCAGGTCAAGATACCCATCAATAAATGCCCTCACCGCACTGAAGCTAATTCTTTTCCAAGTTTTTTTGCCAGTCATGAAACTCAATTGCTTTGCATGAGCTTATTTCTGCAAGATGAGTCTGTTAACAGACCTCATCCTCTTGAGCTCTTGAAGCGCTGGGGAGCCATCATCATGCAGTGAGTACTCGATCGATTGAGTGAGACACACCTAGACTTGATATTATCATCACACGAAAGAGGTCTGCTCTTCATGCTGTGGGATGTGGGCTTTTACCTTGTCACTCCTTGCAAATCGTTGCCTTATTATGCAGGACGGGTTGACGTAGAGCTACATGTACGAGTAGTTCTCTCTTATCAGGCGCCAGTTCGTCGTGCTAATAAGACGAACACCTAATAGAAACCCAAGGCTTCGTTCCTGACATCCATTGATCCGTTGCGAACACTCGCCACCCTTATAGTGACCTCTCCCCTTGAGCTAACTGGGCGTTCCTCAAGCCTCTTTCAAGCCTCCCAAGCCACCCCCAGCCAGCCTATATCCTATCCGTTTCCTGATCCGACCAGCTCGGCTATCAAGAAAAAGTCTATTGGCAAAGCTGTTGAGGTATTTGGCAAACTGCGCTCGATTAGCTTTTCCTACCTCCATTCTATGATTGCATTGGTGAATTGATTGGGCTAGGTTGATGAAATTTGCTCAGAATAGTACAGAATATTGCGTGATGGGGCATTCAACGGATTTCATGCTCCGATGCTCTACTTCTGTATATCTGGGATTTTTCTTTTCATCATCTTTTCTCCTATTTGCGTATCTCTTATTTACATGTGTAGGGCCTCTGCAATTACCAAGCCTTCTTGCAGACGCCATCGTCACCATGCCCTGGCTAAGCTTGAGACAAACGCTCGAGCGCCCGCCGGACTCGACGGGCGGGCGGATGCCGTGCTTGTCAAATTTCCCGTTTATGCTGCAGCGTGCCCCTGCCAATGGACCAAAGATCCCGTAGCTTAAGCAGAGTACTGCTGTTCAGAATTTGTTGGGTCTTGCTAGATACCTCGATTGATCCTTGGTGCATGTGCTAGCGAGCTGAGGGGCATCGATTCCGTTCATCTACACACTGAATAAAGGATACTAAGACCCGCTCTATGCTGTTAAGAATAGCCTTCAATTGTTGACCAAGCAATCAGGCAAACGCCACGCGAAAATAGAACGGGAAACAAGCTCCTGGGAACGGCCTCTTCCTTGGCCATAGGTTCGGGAAGGGCAACAACCGCCATTAGCGCCGATGGCCCCTCCCCCAACAAACTTTGTTTCGTCGTCTTTGGTTCTTGATTTTGGGAAGAAAAAAAAGGCAACTCCTTCCGATTCCCAAAATGGGAAGAACACTAAGCTAGATCGGGGCTGAAGACAAGCCGCAAGCTTCCAAGATGGAGTAAGGGCGACGGGATCTGCGAGGCGACTTGACGAGGTAGTTACACGTAGTCTATGGAAATCACGCACAATAAAGTTTAAGACAGCCTTAGGTGAGGGTTTTCTTTTCGTCCTCTTTTGTTTTTTTCTTCTTTACTGGTCTTCTCTTTGCCCCTTCTCGACACTTGCACGGACGGTTTAGGTTACGTCACGTTCTTGTTGGGTTGGAAGCAGCTGCTGAGCGGCTCGGGTGCGCACGATTCCGCTATTTTGGTGTTCGCAGAGCCTCCCCCACTCGTCCGTGCCGTTTGCCATGTTCCTGATTCAGCCCTCCCGTTTCTGTCGGTGGTAACTTGTAAACAATTCGGTCGACAAGTTGGCAGGAAGCCAATGGAAGTATAAGCAAAACATCGACCGGGAGATCGACTCCGTGAGACAAAGACACGGGAGTGTGGAACATTGTCAGCGTGTTGCTGATAATCGTAGTTTTCGACAAGCAGAACAGAGTAGGTACTGCCTACTCCATCTTTCCGGATTCTCTCGATAGTAGACTACATGTGAAGGCCAGACAGTCTTGGCCGATGATGCCCCGTCTCCACAGGACCCCCAAAAGAAGGAACAATGATTGCCAATGACAGGCCCGTTCGGTGCGATCCATCATGTAGTCGAGCACGCTTGCTGTATACGAGGTCTTTCTTGATGAGCGAAGAAAACTTTAACTTGTGGATAGGAGTCGCCCGTGGGTCTGGGATCTTTTGGTGTGGAGGGGAGACGACTTCACTCGCTCTCTCCGCAGACCGCCAACGTGAGGGGTCTCTTGGCTGGGGACCCCTCCTCTCCACTTTTGTGCATTCTCGTCATAAGTGTAAGCTGGCATTGGTTCCGCGATTGCATCGACATACAGGTACGGTTAGCTTCATGACGGCGGGCAAGTCATCATGAAGGAGGGAGCCTTTGGCAGGCGGCCGGCTCCAATGCCGTCTTTCTCCCTCTCTTACCACGTCCTACTCCTCCTACCAAGTCTCAACGGCCTTTATTCATGATAGGAAACAAGGGACGTCAACCACGAACGAGGGTCTTAAGTTAGGGTTAGTGTCTCCCAATGGTGCTCGTTCCATTTCTATAAAGAGAGCCTTTGCACTCTCCCTCTCCCTTCTCATTTTCTTTCCTTCTCATCATCTCACCAGCAAAAGACAACAATCTTCTCTTCACTGCTTCTCTTCTCAACCCACCCAAAAGTCGATTTCCATCTTCGGCCTACCCCCTCACCATGCAGGCCAAGGTACTGCTCGCCATCTTGGCGTCGGCCTCCGTCACCATAGCGGCGGGTATTCCCCCGCGGTCTGGCCGGCGAGCACCAAGCCGGCGCTCTCTTGCCCCGTCAGGCCACCGAAGGCGGTGAAGAAGTCACCGGAACCGCCAACGAGGAGCCTCTCCCGGAAACCACCCCTGTCGAGGAAGTTGAGCCTTCGGTTCCCGTAGTTACCGAGCCTGCTGAGCCGGTCGAGCCTACCGAGCCCGTTGAGCCGGTCGAGCCTACCGAGCCTGTTGAGCCGGTTGTGCCTACTGAGCCCGCTGAGCCGGAGGAACCAACCGAGCCCGCTGAGACGGAGGAACCTACTGTGCAACCTGTGGTGCCCCTCATTGGCACTATCGACCCGGTCACTCCTACCGACCCGGTCACTCCTACCGACCCGGTCACTCCCACCGACCCGGTCACTCCTACCGACCCCATCACTACTCCTACTGACCCCATCACCCCTTCCGAGCCGACCACCACGGATAGCACGACCGTCACCTCGACAACCTCGCCCGACACCAGCTCCAGCTCCAGCATCCCCTCGCCCACGACTTTCACCAGCAGCATCACCACCACCACCTTCACCGTGACCACGACCATCACGCCCCCTCCCCCTCCCCCTCCTCCTAGGCCCATCACCGTCACCACCACCATCATCCCCAACCCCGTGACCATCATCAGGCCTCCCGGCTTCGAGGTCAAGCCCCTCCCCCAGGCCCACACCCAACGTCACCCCTCCCCCGTACTGGAACGTGCACAACTTCACCCGCACCTGCGACCGCATCGACACCGCCTGCGAGTACAAGTTCGAAGTCCAGACCTTTAACGACCCCTGGCCCCAGTTCCCCATCTCCAACGCCATCTGCAAGTACACCGTCACCGGCGTTGGCGCCTCCCGCCTCCCCATTACCGACTTCGCCTGCGGTGGCGGCTGGTTCGTCAGCTCGGCCTGGAGCGGCCAGTTCGGTCCCGGCAACGGCTTCTTCGTCTTGGCCGTTACCAACCGCGTCGGCATCATTTGGCCCGCCTACTCCGACTGGGAGATTCAGAACGGGGTCACGTTCCAGCCGGATAAGTGGTACTACCCTCTTTGGTTTACTTAGAGGTCTTGCACCCGACCAAAACATGATATCTGTATCATGATGGAGTGAATGCCCAAGTTCTCTCAACAGGGCTTGAACGCTGCTCACTTGGAACTTTCTCTCTCGCATGAGAAAGTGTGGAATGGTAATAATGGAGAATCGGCGGTAATAAGTAGGGTGGAAAAGAGAACCGGTGGCGGATCTTTCTTGTATACTTCAGGATATATATAGATCCAAGTAATAATTCTTCTCACCCCGAACCTTTTGCAACTTTGCGCGGATGTGACAGACGTGACATGAGTTTCTGAGAGACGAAAAGGTGTCTTGACAAGTTACATCAACAATCGTAGTAGTATATTACACACACGCACACAGTATCCTACACATTCTCCAACTCATATGGCTTCCAGTGAAAACCTTGGACGCATAAACTTTAGAAATCCAGTGCGACTGGCGTTGACTTATACAGCTCGCAAAAGCATACCAAGACCCAACATGCCAAGAGCGAGCCCTTTACCAAAACAAAACGAATTCTAGCTCCAGACTCATCGTCACCCGTCGACGAGCCCCCGAGCCACCGCCAGATACACCACCACCACCAACATCCTCAGGACCCGGCAGCAAATACTGCGCATCACTATAATACCCCAACTGGTGGCAGTCGAACCGGTGATGGTGCCCGACCAACGCCAAGTCCCTCCTCTCCTTCTCCACAAGGCATAGCTCGCAACCGAGAATACGCCGCAAGAACGGGCTCGTGCACACGCACTCGGCGACCGTGCGGTTCAACAGCACCCAGCCCAGGTACGTACGGTCGGGCGACGGGACGGTCTGCGTGCGCGGGCGGTCCTCCTCGGGCACGTCGAGGGGCGCGAGGCCGCACTCGACGATTTGGCCGTTGGCGACGCCGCACAGGTTCTCGCAGTTATCGTCGGCGCCACCCTCGTCGGCGCTGTCCCCGCAAAGGCAACGCCGCGGACGGACACGGTGGCGGACGGCACGGACGAGCGGGTGGTGGAAGGGTACGCGAGGGTCTGGTTCGCGTAGTAGCCCATGTTGACGCAGTCGTCCATGTAGATCGCCAGGCTACCGCTCTCGTCCTCGGTCGACTGGCCCGTGAGGGGTGCGGCGAGGAGGCACCGGTCGCAGGCGTCAAAGTTGGCGCGGGCCTCGATGCAGAAGCAGTTGGCCTGCGCGGCGTCCTCGAGGACGTGCGTAAACGGCCCGCCGAGCCAGCGGTCCACGTCGTCGGGCGGGGGTTGGTGAATTTGCGGTCCGTCGTGCCCTTGTCCTTTAATGCTTTCCAGTCGAGGGAAGTCAGCGAGGGAGGGAGCAGGCCTCTAGCCCTTGCGAAATGAGGGCGCATTCCGTTTCACAGACGGCGTTGACTCTTGTCATGGAGAGGATGGCGAGCGCGAAGCTGGCTAGCGCTCGGCGCTCGGCGCGGTGGCGCATCTCGGAATCGCGGGTTCGGTGTCGGTTTACACGATTTTGTTCTTCTGCTCTTCTCTCCACGTCTTTCTTTGGTGAAAGAGGGTTGGGTGGTTCTCTCGTCGTGTGGGGAAAAAAGTATCTCAAGGGAAGAAGGATGTTTGTCTATTTGCAGAGATGCGCCAACCAACCGTATCCCTGGAGGAATCATGGGCCGAGTCTTATCCCTAGCAACTCTAGTCTCCCCTCCTGTAGTATTGCAAACCCCATTCTTGGCGATGCACCCAAGGCTTGGCTTGGCCGGAGCGCGGTTCAATTCATGAGACCGAGGCCTTGCCAGCGGGAAAACACGGTAGAACGCGCCCATAATGAATAAGGTCTTCAAATTGAATTTTAGGTCATCTTCTTCTCTATCTTCGACTGCGCCGAAAACCTTCATTAGGGTCTGGCCCGCAATATCCGTCGTTTCGAGACGGGCGTAGTTAAGACATGGAGACTTCAAATTCATTTAGTCGATTCAATGTTCAATTGCTGCGTTGAACGAACCAGTGGCTGGGTGGTATTTTTACCAAGCGCCAGACCAGCACTTACACAATTAACGTTGGGGATTTACATGTCCCATGGACCCCGTGCAGTCGATGAAATTTGCTTGATTATCAAAAACCTTATTATGAAAAGGACCATCTCCTGGCCTGCGGGCTTGGTCAACTGCACCATGGACATGTCCTCCTCGACCGCCATTTCAACAATGCAATCAATTGATATCAAAGGGACACGCCCCGCTTTTGGGTCAAGGACCGACTGGACCCGACGGAGGACGTCTCGTCGTTGCTTGTCCGCCAGCCAATACCATTCGCCCTGTACCAAACGAACGCGCCGGCGAACGACTGGACTGGTGATCGCGAGGCGGTCAAGGACCCGATTCATCCCCCATGACGGCCCAACCCAGGAGAACCACCCACGTCTCACAGTCAAATAATTGTCCTGGCAACGTCTGGCACAAACGATAAAATCCTCAAGAGAATCACCTCCCAGCTTCACCCTTCACCCTCTCGCCAGGACAACGAAAACAACCGCCCTCACGAACCAAAAAGAAACCCACCACACCGCCCGCCGCAAAAGCTCCAACCCCAAACCCGGCCTCGACGCCAACCCCCCCATCCACACCCCTCACAGCACCATGACCACCGTATTAAGATGGGTCGCCGGCGACAAGAAGGCGCGAGAAAAGCCATCAAGGCCGCCGTCAAGTACGCCAGCGAATGCGAGCCGCTCGTGCGCACGATCCAGGGCGGCCTCGAAACCTGCGACATGAAGCGCGCGATCGGCGACATCACCAAGACGGTCGACGACGTCGAAGACCTCGTCTCCAAGATTTCCGACGTGGCCGCCAAGGCCATCCAGTTCGTGCCCTCGATGCAAATCGTCGGCAAGTCCTTTGCCGACTCGGCCAAGATCTTCGCCTCCTTTAGCTCCATCGCGTCCGCGGCCGGCATCGGCGTCAACATCGTGCTCGCCTACCAGGGCCTCAGCGCCGTGCGCCTCATCGACGGTCGTCTCAAGGACATGGCGGGCAGCCTCGCCGCCCAGACGGCGCTCATCGCCCAGCGCGATTTCCCCAGTACGTCTACGACATGATTAGCGAGCGCGTCACGCAGACCTCGCTCGACCCCAACCAGGACCACTGGTTCTTCGTCTACCACCCGGACAACGACTGGTACCCCGGCTTCTACCGCATCATGCACGACAAGCCCATCGGCCCCGCGTTTTGCGGCTACACCAACCAGATCGACACCGCCTTCGTCTTCATGCTCGCCGCGCGCCGGCGCATCGAGAAGAAGGAGCGCCGTGCCCAAAAGGAAGGCCGTCCCATCCGCCCCACCAAACTTCACCTCCTCATCCCGGCCTATCAACCCATTCTCATCCTCGAGGCCCTCCAGATCCCCGAGGAGATTGGCGACTTTGTCATGGAGGGACGCATCAACAGCAACCGGGAGTTCGTCTGGCTCAGCTTGCCCGAGCAGCAGCGCCGCTACGTGCAGGATATCGGCCACTTCGCGCCGCCCACGCAGGGTTTTCGAGTGGGCCATGTCGGAACTCGGGCTCGCGGATGCACCGCCTAAGCTCGGAGCGCCCAGGATCCTTGGCACTAGGCAGGGGCTCGGGCCGGGAGACGAGGAAGTGTTAGAGATAGCAAATGGTGACGAGGTGGCCCTGAGCCGGCCCGACGAGAACGTGCACACGGCGACACCCCTTCAACATCGGAATCGGCGACACCGGAAACGGTAGCGGAATCGGCAGGTCTTGAACTTTACAGAAATACGCACGCATATACGTAGCTGCATTGGAGGACTACCTACACATTGTTTTTATACCTTACAATTTTCTCTTTTTGGTACTCCCACTTTTTATTTGTCTGGCATCTACCAAGGTAGTTTGGTGTTCAAGAATAACATGTAATTTATATCGTGGCAATTTACTCCCTTGAACGATCAAGGATAGCGACATGTCTCGCGGGCTTTCTCACATTTTTGTCTATCCCCCGTGTCCTCTCCGCTCTGGCCCCTGACTAGATCAGCAAACAGGCACGGCAAGAAACCCAAAGTGAACAAAGCCCAAAACCGCCAAAGAACCCCTGGCGTCGTTCATGCCTAGTGTTAGGCCTCAATCGCGCTTCTCGTGACCCATCCACGTCCTCAGGCGATCAATCTCCCAGATGGCTCGAACCCGACCAATCTCGTCTTTGGCGACACCCCGAGTCCATTCTTAGCTCTCATCAAGTAGTCGGGATTGGTTCGTTCACTTGATAGAGCTCCCACCAATCGAGTGTTCAAGTGCTGTTGTTCAAGCACTCGAGACGGTGCGGGACACAAAGTCGCACGGCAGGGATGGAGCGTCACCAGCGGATGCAGATTGGTCGGCGCCGCTTATTTGTGGTGGTTCCATATGCGAGCCTTCGGACATAAGTCAAGGCGCACCCTAGGACACAAGGGCCTAGATCAAGGTATTGCGCCCCTTTGTCGCATCCTTCCAAGGTGCAAACTTAATAGGTTCTTTGATATCGTTTATCAGAGCGGGGTCTAGCCTGTCATGATTTATAGACCGGTTGCTCCTCGTTGCTCAGCGGAATGTCCGGGCAGGTGGAACTGAGAAAAGCGTGCATGCATTACCCTTCAAGTTCACTCGAGCATCGCTTCGCAGTGAAAGTCTTGTCTTGTCTTTAGACATGCGCATCCCCATCATGACTCCTCCGCTCGACCTGGACCTCGAGGTTCTTCGGTCATCTGTCCACGCCCCAATCCGCGACCACCTCCGCTCTCTCATTGGGAAACACGAGTTGCAGCTTGTTGCAGCCGCGCTATACGATGCTATCCACCAAGGATATATCCCTCCTGATCCCACTACTCACATATATCTCTCCATCGCCCAATCTCCCGATGCCATCTTGTTCGCCCTCACTTACCCCCACTCCGCCGGTGTCCGAAAGGCGGCCATTCGAATTTTGGGGAAATGGTTTCGCAAGGATGACAAGTTCCAGGCCTTTTGGGATCTTGTCGGCGGCGTGGAGGGCTTCATGCAAGTCATGGCTCGCCTCAGCGTCGTCGACGTCAAGGACCTGTGCTTGGTCATTGGTCATGCAGGCTACACGCCGGGATGTCCCGTTCGCGAACGCGAGGTAACCAAGCTTCTCGTTTGTCTCGCGGGCATAGACTACGACTATGAAAATGACGAAAGCGACGATGATAATGATGATGACGGTGACGACGACGAGGACGGCAATACGAGCGGGGACGAAGAAAAGAAAGGGCACGACGAAAACGAAAACGACGAGGATGAATCCTCGAATTCCTCAGTAGCTGCGGTAGTCAGGCCTAGAAACCCCGATAATCGTCCCATCATCACCTACCCCCACCTGGCCCCCGCCTGTTCCGCCACCTTTGCCTGCTGGTACTACGGCTGGGGCTACGGAGGCGGGATGCCCTTCGCCCTCCTCTACAAGCTATTCGAAGCCCACCCCGACGGGTTCCACGAGCACTGCTACGACGAATCCTTCCCCGAAAACTACCTCCACGGCGACTGCCTCTACAACTACTGGAACCTCATGCGCCGCAGCGTCGAGTACACCATGAACTGCCTCACCCGCTTGCTCGCCGACCCCCGCAGCTCCTGCGCAACGCCCCGGCTTCGTCAGCCAAATCGCCGTGCCCCTTGTCCGCCAGCTCGATCGCCGGCAGGGGCCCCACCAGCAAATGGAGAAGGCGTGGGGTCTCATCGCCCTGTGCCTTCTCGGCATCACAAAGGGCTCGGGCGGCACTTTTCCCTACGAGTCGGACGAAGGTGAGCGCCTCCTCGTCCTCTACGCGGCGCGCTTTTGGAAGCGGTTCGATGCTGGGAGCCGCAAGGGAGGCAAGGGTGAGATTATACTGCGCGGCCTGCTGGACAGGGCGCCCGAGGGCGCCGTCGACATGACGACCATGGGTCGGCTGCTCAAGGCTGTGAATCCGCGCAGGCGGCTGCCGCTGCTGAAGATGGTACTGCGCCACGCGTCGCAGTTCGATATCGATCTGGATGGCCCGGATGCCAAGGCGGTTGACGAAAAGCTGAGCAACCTGGGGCAAGCCTGGCCCCTCGAGGTGTTTGTCAACCTACTGCCTCGTGACGAAGCGATACCCCTCCTTGAGCGGCTCATGGCCTTGTCTTGGTGGGATGGGTGTATTAGCATTCACGACTTTGACGTGTGGAATAGCTTGCTCTATCTCGACCGACCGCAATGCAACGCGCGCCAGGCTGTCCTACCTAGTCTTTTGCTCATCCATTTAAAAGCGCAATCTCCCGACGAGGGCTACAGAAGCACTGCCTTAAAAGAGGCAGCACGGTTGACAGAAGAATGGAAAGAAAAGGCTGTTGCTGGCAAAGATCCAGAGGATCGCGCCGATGGTGCCGTCATGGCGCTTGCATACTCCGTGGCATCCGGATCACTGGACGCATTGAGCCAGACCCTGAGCTGGACGACCCAATTTTGCTCCGATACCCGCACCGCCGCCCTCGTGTACGGGCACATGTTACTGCGGACGGACGAGTCCATTCGCCTTCTCGCGGGCATTCCCGACCGCCAGATCCTCAACACCATCAAGTCTTCGGGGCTCGCGTCCGGCTTCCGCCGCTTACGCAAGTCAATCTCCGGCAGCGACAAAACCGCCTCGTCCGCATTGGTGGCGGCCATCCAGTCCTCCGTCCTAGCCGGCAACATCATCTTCGAAACCCTGGCCGTAGATTTCGGCGTGATTTTGGACGAGGACGAGATCCGGCCCTCTCAATGGCTCAGAGTAACTGCCTTGCTGGGCCGCATCGCCTCGCAGCGGCTCTCGAGATTCGGCCAGCTCAAGGCCGACCACCACCTAACGGACGATCAGCTCTGGGACGCGGTGGCAAAGCCCACGCTGGACATCCTGTTGAGGCATGAGACGCGGGACCTCGAGGTCTCGCGCGGCAATCCAGAGGTTCACCAGTACCGTCCTGGACCATTGGGCTTGTATAAGCACAAGGGCGGCGTCGAGCAGTTGACCCGCACCGGCGAGAGGTTCTTGAGCGAGCTCGCGGAAAAACGCGACCAACTATGGGCCAAACATCGTGCCGCGGTGCAGCCGGGCGCTGCAAATCTCGCGGCTCCGTGGCCTCGCGGCTTGCCGTTCCAAAATTTGTGCAACGTTGAACCGACGCCAGGTCTCTCCGTTCCCTATCTAGGAAGGCTAGCAGAGAGCATCGTGTTTCTCGACCCAACAATAGCAGCAAACTCGGTGCCCGAGGACCCGGGCGCACGGTTTGCCATCGGCTCTTTCGTGCACTATTACTGGCCCTGTCTGCTGTATTACGTGAAAACGGGGGCAACGGAAGAGGTACGCCGGAGCGGAGCAGCTAGGGCCTGGGATCACGCGACGACCCGGCTCACGGGTTACAGCCCACAGGTTCCGACGCCATGGACGTTATGGGAACGCGTGTTCAAGGGGCTCAAGACGCGCCAGCCGAGTTCCTCGAAAGACGAGGCTTTCCGCGGCCCACCCTTGGCATTCCCTCCCGCCGACGAGTCGGGCGAGCCGGTCGAGTGGCATCCGAATTCCGGTCGGCTCGACCCCAGCGACCAGGCGGCGCCCCCACCGTGCTCGATTGTCTTGTGTCTCCCAACAGCAACGTCGCGGGGATGAATATGGACTCGATTTACCGTATCAATAGGTATACCCTTGTATCCGACATCACCCGTCGCTTCCACGTATCCCAGTTCCAGGATCGCAGCTGTCGAGTGCGCGATCCGCTAGCCGCCGTATCCATGTGGTCTATCGATGCCAAGACTGGAGGCGAGAAGACGCCGTTTTCTAGTCCATTTCCAAAGTCCCCGAGCCCCCGGTATCCGGCGTTTTACCTCGACGACGTCTCCCTAACGCAAGATCCCCAGGATGTCAAGTTTCAACTCAAGATGCTGAAAAAGTGCCGACTGACTGTGCCTCCCGCACTTTTAGAGCAGTTGGCGCGTCGTCTCTGGTCACGCCTCGACAACAGTTCCGAAAAGGATCCGGACAGCGTCCAGGCGTGGTACCTGGTTGAGATAATTCGGTTACTCGTCCGATCTGACGCGCCGCAGCTAGCAACGAGTCTTGTCCATGATTTCATCGTCAACTGCACAGATCTGAGTCGCGTGTATCCGCGCGTTCTTGGGCGCCTTCTGCTCCGGGTCTTGTCTTCAGAAGATGCGAGGCAGTTTTTTCAAGGCCTCGTGGCAGGTCTCCAAGCAAAAATAGCCGTTGTCCAAGGTTCTTCGAGCGAATCAGTAGCTGACACCGAACGCGAAAAGGCGAATCGCCTGGTCAAAATCAGGATGATCCGTTATATTGGCCACCTTCTCGCGAAAGACGCCGAATATCTCGATGCTCCATCTGTCACCAGAATGTCGTTAAGCCTAATGCAAGCATCTGATGAATACTGGCTATGGAAAGCTATCCTTCCCAGCATGAAGAGCAGCTTTGTTGCTACTTTCACCAAGGATGGCGTTTTGAACGAGTCCGTGGTTTCCTTCATGGAGCAGACTCTCTTGCCAAGGCTTGGATCGATCAACGAAACGCAGAGAACCACGGAGCGCGACTGGAACAAATTCGAATCGCTCATCGTCTACATGCCCAAAAAGGCAGAAACGGAGACGGGGTATACCAGCCTCCAGTACGAACTCTTTGACTGTGCGCGGGGTATCTTGCCTGATTTGGATACCAAAGATGATGATAGTGACGACGATGACGACGATGACGGTAGCGACAGCGACAGTGACAGCGACGAAGAGAGTCCGGATGACGCAAAGAGGCGGCTTGGCGCTACGTTTTTGACAAGGATCATCTTTCCAATGATAGAGCGGTCCATCGAGGAAAACGCGCGGTGGACAAGGGCCTTTCTCAAACATTGGGGGCTTTCGTCCCTCCTACCAGAGGGTACTGAGCTCCCACCCACACCGATGTACCCTAAAATGATCAACACCGTCATCTACGACCACGAGCACTACATACCCAAACTCATGTACGATCGGATGCACGCTTTCTGCATGGCGCTGATCGAGCCCTCTCCCGCGCTGGCTGAGATAACTAGGCGCGTGAAGGAAGATGTGGAAATTGGAGAGTCTAACGGAGGCAAATACTGGCTCTCACTCTGGAGCCGTACGGGCCGCGATGCCGTGGGGCACGGGCTATATGCAGCCGCGGAACAACTAGTGTACAATATCTGGAACGATGACAAACAGCGGCCGCGGGAGCTGACCGCCGAAGATATCCAAAAGAACACACTGGAGGCTTTCGAGGCTATGATGAACAAGGGCGAGGTTGGCGGATGCCAGCTCCTAATGGAAGCCATGACGGACAATATCGGCTACCACGTGTCCAAGGCCGTGCAGCGGTCATTTATCAAGTGGAGCATGCCGGTTCTCGAAGGGGCCATTGCTCTCGTCGAGGCTCAGGAGGCAGCCTGGAAAGCCTCGGGACAGGAGGGAGAGGTCGCGCTGCTCGACGTTGGTCAAATCAAGGACGAGATACCCCACTTTGCCCGGAAGGATGAAGATTCAAGTGACAGCGAGTCGGAAGATGGGGAGTCGAACGATGGTAGTAGTGACGAAGGTTCTGAGGGTGACTCCGATGAGGACGGGGTCAGTCATGAGTGACCGCACACACTTGGATAAAGGTAGGACGGTAGAGGGTTTTGCGGGGAGTGCGAAATATAACGGAGCTATTCTTCTTTTTCTGAACGCTACCCACGAGGAGACATCTTTGTAGTGTGCCCTTGATATCAGTGACTTGTGCCTTGTGTGTAGCCGTGTAACTCGATAATTCTGACCGATGTAATTTCAACGCTCTAAGATGCCATTATTACACTTGGAAGAATAGTAAGGAAGAATGGCATTGCTACAAGGTATACAATTATAGATACTTATAGAAGATATATATAGGTATGATGATATGACTACTATAGTGTTTGCCTTTATAGATGACTTGTCAAGACTCGCGATAACCCAGAGACTAGGTTTAAGCTATCGAGCCCAGCAGAAAAACGGAGTGCTCCATATATTCTAAACAAAATACCTTGTTTACCCCTGTTAACATGTGTCCGATGCCAGATTCACAGACTCAAGTAATATTTATAGAGCAAGGTTGGAGTGGTGGGAGAAGGTATTGATATGAATAAGACCCAAAATATCATACACACGCAGCTTGCCAATTGCACGATCGAGGCCTCCCGTCGTATTCGCTCGTATTCCGCCCGCCCCGACCAAATTGACCCGAGAGGCCGGTCCGCTTATCCAGGCACCAGCACCTCACGTGACCCTGACCGGGATGCTGGGTTATGCTCTCTCCTTGTTCCAGACGGTTCAGCTAAACAGAGCATGTTGCCCAACGTACTCGCTGGCAAAAAGAAGCATCGTTGCCTTCTGTCGATTTTTAATGGTATCCGTATGGTATTTGAGAGGCTGTCGTGACTGTAAAGTCTATATTATTTTGATTCGCCATGCCCAATCCTGCGGGTTTGCCGGGCAATATCGGCCAAGACTCCGAGTGTGTCCGCTTCCGTCCCCACCCACTCGCCCGCTCACATAGCCGAAAGGGGCACCGAGCTAATGAACCACAACCAATATGAACAGCCTGATTGAGCCCGAACCCTCGCGGTGGACCATCGTCGATGTCTCTGAGTCGGACTACACGACCGATGATGATTGCAGTCTTGTTGAAATCTCTCGGGGCATGTGCTACCACTCCCCCAATTCTGTCCCGTCTTTGGTAGATGGCCATTGTGCTGACTTTGGCGCGGCAAACCAGCCTCCAGTCCACTCCACATCAATTTCACCGAGGCCAACACATTTAGAGTACCAGAGATTCACATCAACTGGCCAACCCAGCTCCCTTGGTTTCAATTCCAGGACCAATACTTCACAGGTAACCCAATACAGCCCCACCTCCAGACATTCCTCTGTCCTCGCCTTGCCCACACAAAAGTCCCCTTCCTTGGCCGCCCCAACTCGGCCTACCTACCGCTCACCAAGTACCTAGATGCCTTTACCAAAGCTATAACGGCTCATGCGTCCCGTCTCGCGGACCGCAGCACCGGCGCTTCCAGTAGCGGGGCCCTCATGCTATCCGCCGCGCACAGCCAAGCTCTCGCCCACCCCAAGTCGCGGCGCGCGTGGCGCAAGAACTGAGCAAATATATTCCCGAGCGCCGCCCGGGAGAGAACCTCGCGATGGTGCAAGCCCTAGCCCGCAACGACGCCGCCGCCTCGAAGCAAAAGGAGATTGAGCTTTTCGTGTACCAGCTATCAAATAACCTGATAGAGGACGAAGACGATACATATGTTGACGAGGAGGGCAAATACACCAAGATCATGACGGTGTTTCGGGATATCGAAATCCCCTAGCAGTCTGGAAGGGCCACTTCGAACGCACCCTCGAGCACCCGACAGGACGCGCCTTCGTCCAAAACCTGCTCAGCGCCGCCGTCAACACCCTATCGCTAGACCTGTGCGAGGCCCTTCTCGATGCGGGCGCCGACCCAGACGCCATCGTCGACTCCTGGATGACGGGATACCGGGAACGGCCCATCCAGATCAGCATGGACTCCCGCATCGCGAACACGGAGATGCTCGAGCTCTTCATCCACCACGGCGCCGTCGTCGACCTCACCACGCGATGGGAGGAGCGCACGGCGCTGCACAAGGCGGCCCAGTACTCTACGGTCGAAGACGTCAAGATCCTGGTGGATGCCGGAGCCGACGTCATGTTGGGCACGGAATTCCGCTTCGGCATGGGCTCCGTTCTCACGTGCGCGGCGCAGGGTGGCCGGTGGCGGGACCACGAGCTGGACGAGGACGATGACGGCGGCGAGCCCAACGACCGACCAACGATCAAGAAGACGTGCGTCAAGCAGTGCAGGACGGTGCCAATCGTGAAGTATCTCCTTCCGTTCTTTAGCCAGGAAGTCGACTACGACTTGATCCACGGCGGGTTGGTGGCTGCAGCCTCGAGCAAGAGGACCGACCTAATTCCTTTATTTATCGACGCTGGCGCCGACGTGAATATGATATCCCCCAAGGCTATACCCCGCTCTTAGCTTCCACCGTGTGCAGCTATCGCAACGGACATCGTCGCATCTGCAAAATCCTCCTAGACCTCGGCGCAGATCCCAACAGAGGGTGCAACGTCGGGTTCAAGGCCAAGGGCCGCCTTCTCCCCTCCACGTCGCCGCCTCCCACGGCGAAGAGCGCATGGTGCAGCTACTGATCGAAGGCGGGTCCCGCATCGACGCCCGAGTCGCGCTAAGAACGGAGCACCACGCCGAGATGCTCGGCAGCATCTTCACCAGCCCGTACTCCGCCATGCCCACCCTGCTCAAAGAAATGGCCCACTGCACGTCTCCGCTGCAGCTCGCCCTCTATCGAAACACGGGCGCCGAGTGGTCCGGCAACCAAAAGGGAACGGGTGCCGCCTTGGCCCTAATCCGCGCCGGTGCGACGCTGTACGGAGGCGAGCTCGCCCAGGCCGCCGCCTTCCCCGACCTAGATCTGATCCGTGAGCTCCTGGCGCGCGGGGCTGACGTCAACGAGACCGACTTCCGCAACCGCACCGCTCTGCGAAACTGCATCAATTTTCGGAATTTCAAACTCGTGCAGCCGCTTCTCGACGCAGGCGCTCGGCTCTCCGGCGCGGAAATGGCGTCCGCGGTAAGGACCGGCAGCCGCGCGACGGTCGAATTACTCTTGCGGCAGGGGGCACGCTCGTGGAGGGGTCGCAGTCCGAACAGCGAATCCTGGAAGCAGCCGCGACCAGCAAAAACTGGGACATGCTGTGCTGGCTCGTGCAGTCGAAGCAAGGCATGGGATCGTCTTACAGTTCTTCCGTCGTGTGCGCCGCCGTCTGCTCCGGGCTAGGCTCCGCCGAAACGTGGGAGGCCACGATCGACACTCTTCTTCTTCACCGGCCACCAAGCATTCCGGTGGACCTCATGGAAGCCACGGCCATGGGCTGTGCCGCCGTATGTGGCCACACCGCCCTGTTCAAGCGGCTCCTTCAGCTCGGCACCCCCAAGTGTGCATGATGCCGTACGACAGAACCACAGCGTTGCGGGCCATCGCCCTAGGGCATCGCCGGCAACTTTCCAACTTGTACACCAAGGCCTTCTGGAACAACCCCAGAAACCTCACCACCTCCACCCTGACGCCGGCGATCGTAGCAGGAAGATGGAAAATAATCGACGCGCTCCTCGACTCCGGATGCCGGCCAGATAAACTATCGCTCCTCGCAGCGCTCGAGTTTGCCTTTATCAGACGCTGGGATAGGGAGGAGTGGTCTCCCGAAAAGCTTCAGGATCACACTGATAAAACGCTACGTCTCGTCACTCGCTTGACGGACGTGATGGAGCTCTCGGACGTCGACCATGCCGCGGATCCGACCCTCGGCACGCCTCTACAACTGGCCGCAAAATTTAAAAGACCCGATATCGTCCGCCACCTCGTCTCCCTCGGCGTCGACGTAAACAAGCCAGCCCCCACAGGTAAAGGCGGCATTATAGGAAGCCTGCTGCCCCGCACCGCCCTTCAAGCTGCGGTGGAAGTCGGCGACTCCGACATGATCGATCTACTCCTGCTCGCGGGCGCCGACGTCAGCGCCCCCGCCGCCTTGGAAGCGGGGCCACGGCGCTTCAAATTGCCGCGAGCGCGGGACAGATTGGCACCGCGCGCAGGCTCATCTCCCTGGGCGCCGACGTCAACGCACCGGGCGCCGCGTTTTACGGGCGAACCGCTCTTGCCGCGGCGGCGGAGCGAGGCCGGCTCGACACCGTCAAGTTCTTGCTGGAGATCGTGGCGAATGCGAGCGGGGATGACGAGGATGGGTATTATCGGGCCGTGTGGCTCGCGAAGAAGAATGGGTATACTTCGGTCGTTAACGTGTTGCGGGAGTGGAGGACGGTGCAGTGCGGTGAGGATCACGACTCCGATGTGTCGTTTTACGAGAGTAGTGGCTATGGGAGTGATTGAGACTCCGGAGTCTTTGGTGGGCTTGGTGTTCATGTCTTTTATCCCACGTAAAGTCGTTTCTAGGGAGTCTAAGCTAACCATATGCCATGGGCCTTTACGGGCCAAGGTTGAATCATGTTCCAGACACTGGGAAATCAGATCAGAGGTGGATATCAAGGGATTCACAGCACATCGGCGAAGATTTTACACAATCCTCGTCTGACTAAGAATAGCACGTACATGTATCTTTGAAATATAAAGCTCACGTAGTATCAATAACGCACCCCTACCACGAACACTGAGTATTCACACACCGTTCTCAGGATCCTGCGAAATCTCATTGACCATCTTGCATCGCGCCTCCAGGTCCTCCGGGAGGGCAACGGTCCCATATCCATCGCCCGTCATATTGGTGATTTGTTTGCTATCCCCAAGAACAGGCCAGTCAATCTCGCGGCCGTAGACAAACTCCAACAGATTCTTCTGATATGCCTTGGCATCTCCGGGTTTCTCCACTGGAGTGTTATTCTGGTCGATATAGAAGAAATCTGCAGCGTTGATTAGCTATTGTAGCATAAAAGAAAAAGGACGACAACCTCAAAATTGGGAGTCCATCACGTACAAAGCATATCCTGGCCATGCGTCGCTGGCGGGGCCGAGAACAGGTACCGGCTCGCAACGTCTTTAAACGCCGAGGCGATATTGGCGGCGTTACAGCCGAAGATTACATCCGTTGTCCAGTCCCAGGCCAACTTGGCGGGGTTTTCGGCGTAATCATAGTGCGACTGAATGTACTCAATGGTTTCGTTGCTAGCCGTCGTGAATATCTGCCGAACTAGGGTCCTGAATCCTCCATCGATGTCGTCCAGGTCGCTGCTAATACCCATCCCCTGTTTAAACAATATATTAACTCGTAATCCTTGGAGAGGGAGGATTTTGAAAGCTTGTCTTACCTCATTCGCGGTGTTCCCGACTATCAACGACGTAAACGTCTTGTGGTACTTTCCCTGCTCGAACAGAATCTGGGGCATGTCGGGGATGTACTCGAAGTCCACAGTAGGGCCGAATCCGGGACTCGGGCCAAAGAGACCACCGCCGGCATCCGACTTGACTTGATTGATGAAGTGGTTATTTATAGAGGCGATGGTGTCCTCGGGCACGGACCGGAGACACTCGAGGGATGTGCAGTTCGCTTGAGAAACAATGGTTTGAAAGAGTTTCTTCTGTCTATCGAGGACATTCCGTCGTGGAGGGATTGCCGGTGATGCGACCACAGCCTGAAAACAAAGGCAAATTAGCCACCTCGATGTCTGAGTTTACATGTAGTCATTTCATACCTGCTTATACGGAGGAGGCGTCCCTTTTCCACCGTTCAGTACCGTGGAAAGACCAATGATACCCGCACCGGCACTGTGGCCCATGGCCGTAATTCGATCAGGATCACCGCCGAATCGAGAAATATACTTTGATGTCCATTCTGCTGCGGCGAGACAATCGTGCATCCCAGCATTGGCGACCATGTCTTCTCCCGGCAGGTAAGACCAACCAGGTATGCCGAGTCTCGGGTCCTGTTAGTAACCGAAAAACAGAGGGGAAACAAAGGATACGGTGAGAATGAAGTGACAAAGTGGCTTTATGGGCATACCGGTAGTTATTGGCCACAAAGATGAACTTGTTCTCGTCGTCAGTCACGTCAAACAGGCCATTCGGTAAAACAAAGATATCCTTGCTCCCAAAGGCAAACCCAGAGCCGACAAAGAAATGCAGCACTGGTACACTATCACCAGGCTTCACGTTGTCAGGAACATATACGTCAAGAAATAAGCAGTCCTCCTGGCCCCAAGTAGTCCCGTTGAGCGGTGGGAACGGGGCTTCTTTGGGGGCAGATGAGATGCAGTCGAAGGTTGCAGGCGGGAAGTTGCCGTCTTGTACCCCTTCGATGTCGGTGATGTTGGTATCCGGAAGACGGAAGCGGAGGTCGCCCGTCGGCGAGTTAGCAAAGCGTATGTTCTTATAGACGGAGATATTACGGCCGGACTCGGTTGTGTTGACGTAAGTTGGAATATGCTTGGCATATCCGAGGTCGATTAACCCAGCTGGCTTTGTTGGACTGGCATAGCTTGCTTTGAGAAAACCGAGTGTGCCTAGGCACAGGAGAAAGGTATTTTGCAGAATCTGAGGCATCATGTAGAGTTTATTTGCTGGCCTAGAGCAATATCGAATCTGACTTGGCTCTTCGATTTTAACCTCAACGTAGGCAACACAAGCGTCTTAAATAGATTTCTTGTCCATACGATAGATTTCTCAACAGCTGGTGACCTAGCTTGCGTTCGGGTCAATCAACGACCGCCGATGTAAGCAGGCGTAGCTGTTCAACGAATTATCGCCGTTCGCGACCTAAGACGGGCTGAACGCAGTCGAGATACGGTTTGACTGATCGCCGATCTAGCCCTTTTCGGACAGAACACCGCCCACCGCCCACGTCATTGCACGGCGCCTACTCCGTATCGCTCGTACAGCTCGGTCGCGAGAGCCACTTCCGGGTCGCAAATACGCTTATATGCAACAAAAGCTTATATTCACATCCAACCTTGCATTTGGCGAGGCGTCTCGCGTGGCCCGCTCCCAGAACTTGCGCGCCTGAGGCCTGCTGTTCTTACTGTCCGGGTTCCTCACCGACATCGCGATTGCCATGACGTGGGAATTCGGACGACTGCCCAGCCCCAGCGACGGCTTCTCGAACTTAGAAAGAATTTAAACTGGAATACTTGAACGTATTTAGTACGGGACAAATCTAATCTTAGGTACATACCTTGGCCGGAAGGGAGGCCATACACGTCGTTTGCTGGCGCACTGACAAAACGGAGAGCGTCATGGAGACGCGTTTTGCTGCCTCATGAATAGCAATATCAGCCACGTTTACTGCATCTATTCACAATTTGGGACAGGTCTCGTACTATAGACTAGGCTGCTCGCGAGTTGTGATGTAAACTCCATTGCCCCCGCATGAGGGGACAGGCTAAGAAATTGCCACGGCATCCTTTCTTTCCATCTTTGTGGACTACAAGGGCACAATAGAATATGAATTAGTGAGCGCACGCCAATGGCTGTACCAAGACTACATATGAGTAGCTGGCCATTCGGACTCGAGGTCGTCGCCGGTGTAATATCCCGAATTATATGCTTGCTTGCAAATCCTATTTATCATGTCTCTTGACCCTTAGCACAATCGTGACAATGGCAACAATGACAGAGACTGCAGCCGCGATTGCAATTCCAATAACGGCCCCAGGTGAGAGCCCTGGAGACCAAGAATCTGCCATAAATTGTTGTTAAAAAGATGCACCGCGCGGCAGGTATGGGCATAAGGCACGCTACCTTCAGATTCAGAGGATGAATCATTCCTGTTGCACAAACAATCCTCTGAGTCCGGGTCATCTGGAGTGGGCGCGGGTCCCCATGTTCCTGTGTTGAAGCTGTCTGTAGTAGGCAAGGGTCTCCTTGTTGTTAGGATGGGTGAAGGTGTAGTGTCTGTAGTAGGCACGGGTCTCCATGTTGTTAGGATGGGTGAAGGTGTAGATTGGTATGATCGGCTGGAAACCCCGGTATAGCAGGCCGGCATATTGCTCGAGTTCACGCCACAACTGTCCCCGGGGCGCAGAACCCAACGATCGAGCCCCAGGCGCAGCACACGCTGTCACTCGGAATACATCCTGAGTCGTACTGACCTCTGCAGCATATTTTGTCGGGAGGGCAATAGTAAGGGGTGCCAAACTCTAGGAGACACCTGCGTCAGCTCCCTCTCCTGATCCCATCTGCGAAGCTTCCCGATCCAAGGATGACCCTACCGTCGAAGCGGCAGACGGCCTGACGCACTTCAATCAACGCTTGCTCCGATCGGATCCGTGGTGCTCCATGAGCCACGGCGATGCAGGTGAGTAGCCCCAAGGTGGCGGACGATGATCTCATACCGGCGTGCTGCGACTCGCCCTCACGGGAGAAAACGAGCGAAGGGTTAGCCTTGGGAACAACGAGTACCCACAAGCGCCTGGGCGTCAACTTTCTTATATCAATGCCGGTTTGGGCCTCCAGCATGGGTGGGTAATGTGAGGGCGGCCACCCGACAGCCCAACTGGCCGAGAAGCCTCCTTACAGGTACATGCATAGATGTATTTGGTGCAGCCTGGCCCTCCCGAGGTACTCCGATAGGATTGGGGTGGGTGGGAAATAAGTACATGTAGCGAGTGAAGTTGGTGGAAATCTGCCACGCTGACGGAACTATCCTATTGTGGTGCATTCGCATTATTTACACTTTCATCTGTTACTGCCGACGTGTAACTTTTTCCAGACAGGTGCTGCTCGGGAGCCGGCAGGCCGTCGACACCCTCCCATCCCCAAAATCCCCGGGGCTATCCACACTCGTTGCCCGATTTTGTAATTCTAGCTCTTTCGCAACAACCCCGGTAATGAGCAGGAATTAGTGTCTCATCCGACCGAATGCCTAGACGCGTGAGCAACATCGGGATTCGGGTGCTAGTTTATGGTGTCACGGCAAGGGTCCTCAGTCGCACGCAGTTGGTGCTAACACTTTTATTGATTTTCATGCGAAATGATGCGATAGGTCTAGTTGTGACAGTCGGGTCAGGCTGAGCAGGTACTTGAAGATACATGGATCTATGGATGCATTCTTCGCCATTTCTTTCGCCAGTGGCACATCTGGTGCATTACATGTAATCTGTGCTACCTTCATCCTCATTGGGAACACGCCAGCACTTTCTTCACACCAGGCTACCATACAACTCCCGGCCAGGGCTTGGCAACTAAGAACATTGGACCGCGGGCCGTGTTGGGTGGCCCAATGAGTCTCTAATCCCTGCACGTTCCATGCCACCCGCCCCGTATCGAAGCTGGGCCCGACATATCTTGAGGTAGACAAGATCGTGGACTTGATACGGACAAAGCGGGCTGCGGAATATGTTTGTTCAATGGTTTGGCCATACTTATATGATACCCTCATGATCGCGCCCCCAAACCTCAGACTAGTTTGACCGTGGTTTCATCCGACTTCTCCCATAATTGCAAGTCATTTTTCTCATCCGTGTTAAACCACCCGACCCTTCGGTACACTGGCATGCCGCTCCCAGCATCATCTTCTCCGGTTGGGGTTACCAAAATGCCCGACGGGTAGATAGGCTTGGATTGAATGATAGTGACGTCGTCCTCTGCAAAATCAAAAGTAGGTATCAAGCATAACAGCAAAGCCCAAACTTTGGCCAGGGTTTCGAATTGTTCCGTGTCCGCCTCTTTTCTCGTACCATACATCGTAAGTCCTGAAGGGCTGATGTGATCCGCCGTGCCAAAAGCGAGGACCGTATCAGCATCCCTATCAAAGATGTCCGCATAAGCTGTCGTCATGGAGGGGCGATTTGCCGCTGGTCGCAAGGAAACTGGTCGCAGGTGCCCTCTGATGACCATCCACGCCTCAGTCAACATGCCCTTGGTATCTTTGCCTTTATGTTTGATATGAACGTGTTCGACTCTCGCACGAGGTATAGAGGGCCGCATGTGAGGGCTGGCCCCCACGAACCCATCTAGCGCCGCCCAACTCCAACTAGGAGCCCTCCATACTCCCGGGTCATTGTAATCGGAGGCAATGTACCACATCATGCCGTTGAGCAAGTCCCTGCGCCACAAGCCAGCCACGTACTCGTCATCGAGAGCCTGGGCAAAACTCTGCGCCAAACCGGAAAGAGCTGGAAATTTATCTTCCGCTTTTGTGAGTTTACGCTGGCTATACTCGAACAGGAGTTGTGTCCATCTCTCGTATAAGTCGTTTCTCAATTTTTCCCTTTCCTCCTCGGTTTGTGCTCTTGAGCTTGGCGGTGCGAGCTTCTGGTGCCAGCGAACTAGAGGTTTGTGCGTCATGACATTATTTTCAGCGCGACGAACCCGTTGACATCGGAAAAATGAAGTGTCGGCGTTGAAGTAGGCGACTCGCGTGGACAGTATATCCTCTTGGAATGTCCAAGCACGCGTGGCCCATGATGTGCCATGCATATGGCCTGGGTTATCCGCGTCCCAGGAACGACGTTCCTGAAGGGAATGCAGGATATAAGAACCGGAGATTTCGCGGGATTTCCTCGAATGAAATGGTATCACGGCGTATTGGCCCTTGGCCTGACGATCAATAAACCCGGAGTGGCAAGACTCGCCAGCGGCTGCGACAATCGTCAAGTCCGCGTTACGGTATACCGAGAACATCAAGGAAGCCTCGCGAGCCCAGTCATCGCCATCGTCTTGGATAATGCAGAGCGCATCAATCCAAACATATCTGACGCCTAGACGGCGACTAAGAATCACAAAATCTTGTATGGCCCCGGCATCTCGGATAGCGGGATGCCGGCACGACGCGACGCGAGAGTGCCAGTAGTTGTCGTGACTTGCGGCTTGGTCTGTGATGGCGGGCCCCAGCAATAGCTCAATGCGAAATAAGGGCTCGATTGTATCAAAGAGCTCTCGATGAGACGTGGTGTGTCTGCCTCACCGTGCCCAATGTCAATCAAGCGGGTTGGCATGGTGCCATTGGCTGCGACCAGGCACTCAGGGTGGTTTTCGCGGCAATCCTCAAGACACTGAGTGATGAAGTCTAGGCATTGTGCATCAAGAACCCGTGCAGCTGGGAAACGATTGGCGATGCCAAGATGCTCGGTGACGGACTCTACTAGCTTTATTGAGAAACTTATTCAGGCTCTCGGAGCGAGCGCGGGCAATATACACGTACTAGTTCCAGCGTAAACCCAACCAGCGGCCCGTCGCGACAACCTAGGTTCGTCGCATTCTATCTTAAACGATAGTAGACACAACCCCTCGGGTTCCTCGTGGCGACTACTGTGCTCCCAACCGGGGAGAAGCTCGATCAAGGTAGATCGAAGCACGTATGCTGGCTTTGGGAGAGTAATCCGTATCGGTGTGCCCGGGTTTGCCTTGCTCAGAGTAGCTCGAACGTTGGGTATTTTCTCCTCAATCACAAAAAGAATGTAGGCGCAAAAGCTGCAAGTCGAGGCGGATGCGTGAAGAGCGGGGAGGCCTGGCGCGGTGTCAGGGATGCACCATTGGGTTGCTCGGTCGTCCGCGTTGGCGGCTGCATCTCCGGTAATATCGTCAAACACGATGCCTTCGCACAATGTGCAAAGAGAAAGGGGGCCTCCATTGCCGATTAAAAGTAATGGCCGGAGCTAGACTGGTTATCTGTTGCAGTTCAGAACCATGCGTGTGGCCTAGAGCTCTAGCCAACCCCCGCTCATACAATGCATCGTGCTTCCCACCCACAGAACATCGCGATTAAATGGTTATGTCAGCATGCATTATGCGATGGATTGTCAGATGGGTAAATCAAAAGTGGTTTAGTAAAGTGTAGTTTGTAGATATTGAGCAGAGTGTTTAGTTACGAAATATATGTGAGATACACCTGGGTCCTGACATCCGAAAGGGGAGTGATGAACAACAGAGAATGAACCAAGGTTGTTGTCGCAAGTCGCATCATATATCTTCACCTGGGAATTAAACGGTAGGATTCTTAGATTGCAGTAACGGCGGCAATGAAAGCGGAAGGTGAACATACACTGGACCTCGATGAAGGATAAGAACAGCTATAATGGGGACTCGATTTGTCCGATACTATTGCCAGGCATTCAAGTTCTTCGAATTGATATTGGATCAATTGATGTCACTATGTGCCTAGGTGTTCTCTGAAACTAGATATACATGTATCCATCCATACTTCTCAACTTAAAAGCAAGAGACTTTAGTGCTTACATGTACGAAGTAGTTTCTTTTGCTTTTTCATTATATTAACCCTAGGTCGGTTATTACCTGATGCTCCGCTCAGACCCTTGTGCTTCCCTCCGGCATCCTAGGGATTTTAGGGCCGAGCGCTGTTCAAACGACTCTTCATCGCGCAACATGACGTACATGTAGCGCCGGTGATGCAGACGCCCTTGTCTTCCCAACCTTGCACCTTTCATGGGGCGCCACAATGCTTCACCGGCCTCACTAGCCCGTCTGTCAGCATACTAAGATGGAAGAATGATGAGGGAAATGACGAGCGAACGCTGCTCACTGAACGTCATGGCTGCGACTTTACTCGGTTTCCTCTTTTCACTACCATACCCTCCACATATACGGCTAGCAAAGTAATAAATAACTAACTAGGGCCAATCCCTCGCCGATGCGGACTCGGACGATCTTTATCCTGCAGATTCGAGACCGCCTCATATTCCTACTACGTTAATTCTGTTGCACATCATCATGCCTCGAAACGTTTGCGTAACCGCCGCCGATGGCCAAACCGGCCACCTCATCGCAGAGCTCCTCCTCACCCAGCCATTCTCAGACAAAGTCGACTCCGTGACGGCCCTGGCACTAGATCCAGAGTCGCCCAGGGCCAAGGCTCTCGCTCACCTAGGCGCCACCGTCGTCCCCACGTACCCGGTCACCCGCGAGCCCTGGCCAAAACATTGAAGGAGTCCAAGTGCGACACGTTGTGCCTCGTGCCACCGGCGCACGAGGACAAGTTTGACATCGCGAGGGAGCTCATCGTTGCAGCTAAGGAGGCAGACGTGCAAAACACTCTACTTATTAGTGCGGCGGGATGCGAGTATGCGGACCCCGCAAAGCAGCCCCGGCTGAGGGAGTTTATCGATCTCGAGTGCTTGTTCATGGAGAGCAAGGGCGACATGGATACGGCCGTGGGGCACTCCCCATGCATCATCCGGTATGCCTTGCTATGTAGACTCGAAACACGAAACAAGTTGGATTGATCTGCTGACATTGAATTCGTGGCTCATCAGAGCTGGCTTCTACGCGGAAAATCTTCTTTTGTACAGCCCGCAAGCGCAAACGGACGGTCTTCTCCCGTTGCCCATCGGAAAATACCACAAGTTAGCGCCAATCGCTCTCGGAGTAGGCCACTTTCCAGTCCATGTGTCCTAGTAATCTGATGTCGCGTGTTTCTAACCGACCGGGGGACTGTAGGATGTTGCCAATGTGGCTGCACATGTCCTCGCTGGCAAAGGCGAACAAGGTCTGAGCGACAAACACCGCGGGCAATTGATGGTTCTCACAGGTAATGGACTCGCAGGACATGTAGTTGCCGGGCTGGTGTGCAGGGATCTTACTCTAACGACACTTTTATGCATATATAGGTCCGAAGCTCTGCGATGGCGACGAGCTGGCGACGGCGGCCAGCCAGACACTCGGCATCGATTTAAAATATGACGAGATTTCTCCGTAAGTCTTTCCCTTCTGTGTATCCTGATTTCGTTTCCCCTTGCAGCCCTTTCTCGCCTCGCACATGGCGTTATTGCTAACACATCTTCCTCGCTCACTTATCCCAGATCGGAAGCCAAAAAGGTGCTCAAAGCACAATCCGAAAGCGATGCATCGGAGCAAGAGTATCTCCTCGAGTATTACACGCTCGTGCGAGAAGGCAAGACGAACTACATCTCGACCAACGCCTTCCACGACGTAACGGGCGCCCACCCAACGGAGCCCGAGGAATTTTTCAAGATCTACAAGAATGAATTCAAGCCGGCCAAGAGAGCCAAACACAACCATCACTAAGCTGGTCAAATCAGATCAGCTTGCCGGAAGACGATGTATGCAGTGGTCCATGGCGCCTTAAAGGTGAACCGTGAATGGCAAACAGCCAGGGGAAGAAATTGATTCGGCTTCGTGCCCATTGTACAATGACAATCGCGATACAGCGAGATACTAGGAACGATGGTTTTAGCCAAGTGATACCACTGCACGCTGAGTCCTCCCAAGATAGAGACACTGAAGCTTCTCTTCTTCCACAAGCAAATGGGCGCATGGTTTAGTGGTATAATTCCTCTTTAGCATAGAGGCGGTCCCCGGTTCGATTCCGGGTGTGTCCAAGTCTTTCTTTTGGCTTCTCATATGTCCTTCCTTTTTTTCCCCTTCAACTCGCCAATTCTTGTAATCAAGTAAAATTTTGTACATTATACCGCGGTCGGGGCCAAGACTTCAACCTCTTCAAGGGCCGTCTGACGGAATGTGCTATGGAGTTACACTCCTCCGTATTATGTTCTCTCTCCGCCTTCTTCCCAACAGATTATGTACATCCACGGATCCTTAACAGCTTGTACGAAGTAGAGATCAATTTCGAGACTAGCCCCGTTCTTGGAGTGAACTTTGGTGTTTGCCCTTCAAAGTAATGGTAAAATCATTCGCACGCACCCTGATTAATTCTATCACTGCGCGTCTACTACAAAACGAATGTCGTTGGTAAGCGCAAATAGCTATGTAGGGCCGCTCGCAAAGGGCCTACTTAGGTTGGATGCGCTCAGTACAAGGATTGCGCATGGGATAGCTCTATTGTGCTGGAAGGAATATTCAAATCAATGAACGTGCGCTCGCTGCCTAAAACATGATTGGTGAATTGATAAATCCGCTTGGATCCCCGCTCCCTTCAATGAAGCAATGCCGTATACCACTTCGCAAATATCCTATCGCAACCGTGACCCTCCTCAGCCGGCCATCGGACAATGCTTGAGCCATCACACCTATCTGCCCAACCGCTTGGGGACGAAGTAGATGTAGACTCGCTCGATCTCGCCAGTCTGTATCGGGAATTGCATCTCAGTGATCGGATACGGGAGTCCATCGTCCAGGAGAACCTCGCCGCACAGACGCGAGCGACTGTGGAGGACGATGCCTTTGACACATGGAGCCATTACCGCCGCAACAGGCAAGATGAGACCGACTGCGAGACTCCTCCACGCCCCAACCACGCTGGAGCATGGCCTACCGAGCACCCGGAGTCCAGAACGCATCCTCACGCGGAGAGGCCAGTCGATACCGTCGCCATCCTCCAGAAGATTGACGCGCAACGAGCTGCGTTGCGCGCCAGGGTTAACGAGCTCTCCCGCGGAAAGCTGCGGTCGCTTTCCGTTATCGACCTGCCTCTTGACATTCTCCAATTAATCTTCGACCTTGCCATCGGGAACGAGAGTGACAAACGCGCTCGTGTGCGCCTCGTCGCCAGTTGCAGGCTTACGTGCAACATCTTTGAGCAGATGGCCGCGCCACGCCTCTTCCCGATCCTGAACGTCGCTTTAGACGAGCAGTCCCTACACCGGGCGCGACAAATATCTCACAGGCCACTCCTTGCGTCTGGGGTGCGCGAGGTCGTCGTCGACATGCGCTACGTTCCCGAAGACCTTGTGACGGACAAGAAGGACGTTCTTCGGCAAGTCATGCACCGTGCGGCCAACATGAGGGGGTTCTTCTACAAGTCATATCAGGCCGTAGCGGGAAGACATACACTGCCTTGCCTGCTCGTGGGGAGAAAGGGGTTTACGAAAGCGACTCCGATGACGAGGTGGAGCCCGAAAGCCCCCAAGGAACGCAGCGCATGGTTGGCCCATACAGCCACGCGCTTGCTGATTACAGGGCGTATCGACGGGAGCACCGAAAGCAGCGACGGCTCGTCGAGGACAAGACTTTTACCAACACCCTGGTGGAGGCGTTGACGAGGATGCCGCGAGCAAGATCTGTTCGGTTCAAGGATGAACCTGATACCGAAGATGAGGAGGATGAAGATGTAGAGGATAACGAAACCCAGTCTCTAGGAACCCGCAGTCTGGAGAAGAGGGGAAAATCCCAGGCTTCAGTCACACGCCTCGGCTGGAAGTCGATAGAACGGCTTCGGCGCTCCTCGGGTGGGGATGAAGGCAGTCCAACGTACTTTGTTGGCGAATTACTGCCGGCCAAGCTGTTACACCAAATACCCATCGCCTGTGACAAGGCCGGCATCCCCCTGGACCGTCTTGACATCGCCACATTCCCCGTCACGGCAATTTCGACATGCTTCGCCCAGGAACCTCGGAGCGGCCGGCGTGGGATGAGCTTAAGAGGGCCTGCGCCAGCCTCAGGACCGTAAATTTGGACGGGACCTTAGGCGGGAACCTGAGCAACAAGAGTACCCGCGCCCACCACCTGCCACCCTCGGACAAGAGTATGGTGGACGAATTCCTTGGCGCGGTCCTTTCCGGACCATCGCTATCTTCAGTAACACTATCCATGTATGCTTTCGGCCTCACTTCCAGTCCTAGTAGAGGCCGGTACGAGCTATACCACGCGGATGCGATCTTATCCGCCATCTCGTCCACGTGCATACAGAGTCTAGTCCTGTCCAACGTGAGCACGCACCCCGGCCCGCTCGAGCGCCTCCTCAACAACTTACATGGCAAAGCGACAAAACTATTTCTCGACGATGTCTGGCTGCTCCAGGGTAGCTGGGGAGGCGTGCGCGAGATCATCGCCACCCGTTTCGCGGGTCGGCACCACCGCGACGAGCTGTGGCTAAGCCTCTGCGACTTAATCGGCGGAGAGTACGGAGAGAGGGGTTAGGAACGGTGTTGGACCCTGTGGGTGATACCATCGAACACCTTCTTTCCGACAATTGGGCAACGTTTCCGACCGGCAGTGATAGTTCCGACTGGTCAGAGCGGAGCAGTTCCGATGAAGAGTAGAATCGTCCGCCGGGTCGCCATGTCCGACGCGGCCTCACTTCATCCAACACGCGCGCCCAGACTGAACATTGAAGCGATAAAACGTCATTCTGTGCCTAAATGAATTTGGTCGATGTATCAAACCTACACCTGGCAAAGATTTCCTGCGCTACAGGCAAGATACGTCCGTAAGCGAGCGTTTGGCTATCCATCCGCGATGCGTTGTACTCACCAATTCTATTTCCCCACCACCTTTTAATGTATCGAAGAACTCGGATCTCGGGCTCTGAATAGATTACAAAAATAATTGGTCAGGGTAGATTGGTCTTTTATGCGGACCATCCCGTTGGGATGCACCACGTACAAGTCTGTGGCTCGTAGCAACGCCCAGGAAATCTTTCACCTCCATCGTCGCTCATATCTAGAAGAACGTGAATTTCCCCACAACGTCTCCCGGTTCCATGTTAACAATTTCCCCATTTCCCCACTTGCTCACGTTGCGCTTCCTCGCAAGCGATGCTCGAAGCGGGCGCCGGGGCCAACCCGGGGACCCGGATAAAGCGAATAAGGTGGGATATTATATATTGGGGTACGCGTTTCCGCGCTTTTCGTCCACCTCTGTAAGGTTGATTTCCGGATTCATCCCAGGGTCTAATATTTCGGATCGTGAAATCGGGAATTGAAAGGGACGCTCAATGCCTAGCATGGTGAAGTGTGATTTTAAGCTTGGAGAGGGGCACGTTGCATGTCGCCGGATGAACCGAACCAGATATAATCTAAAGCGAACCATGGAGAATACATATATGAGCGCGACGCCCGGATTATGTGAGAAATATTGTCTGTGACTTTTCGTTGACGAACAGTGCTCTGCCCTTCTTCCCCAAGATAACGCTGCCTGACATCCAAAACACACTCCGCCATGTTCAAGATCATTGCCCTTTCCGGCCTTGTCGGCATCCTGCCGCTATGCGCGGCTCAGACCCGGCCGGTGCAAACAGGACAGGTGGGTATCATCGCAAGTTCTCTAACTCGTTCAGTCGATACTAAAATCAGAGTGTGGATAGCCCGGCGGAACCGGACCCTACCCAGCTGTAGGTGTTCATCCTGACCATTGCGACATGCGCAATGTGGATTTAAACTAGTGTCAAGGCGCTAACACAGCTACTTCGTGGCTCTAGTCATGGACGACCGACTTTCCGCTCACCAACCACACCATCTTCGCCCCGGTCGACCCTCCCGCAAATCTCAAGCTCCCCGTCATAGTGTGGGGTCAGACAGGCTGCTCCTACGACGCGCTCCGCTTCGAGCAGTTCCTCATCGAAGTCGCCTCGCAGGGCGTTTTCATCATCGCCAACGGCACTCCCGACGGCAGCGATAACCCCAACGGCATCGCGGAGACCCAAAACCCCGATTCCTCTCTGCACTTGGCGGCGATTGACTGGGTCACGGCCGAAGCCGGATCCGGCGCATATGTCAACGTGGACGCGTCAAGGTTGGCCGCGGCCGGGCAGAGCTGCGGCGGAGTGCAGGCGTACTCGGTGTCGGACGACGAGCGAGTGACGGCGATCGGCATCTTTAACTCGGGCATGATTAACGCCAACGACCCGTTGCCGACGACGATCGACAAGCCCATCTTTTACTTCCTTGGCGGACCCTCCGACATTGCCTATGCTAACGTAGGTTAAGCCTCAAGGAAGGGGAATATGAAGGAGGAGTGAATTTCGGGTTGTTGTGATTGGCTAATAATATCGTCGTCTGTGTAGGGAGAACGAGACTACGTGAATCTTCCGGCGGACACGCCCAAGTGGAAGGGAAACCTTGCCGTCGGACACATGGGCACCTACGCGGCTGCTAATGGAGGCAAGTTCGGCGTCGCAGCGTCGCACTGGGCGCGATGGATCTTGCGCGGGGACGCCGAAGCCGCCGGCTTCTTCACCGGCAGCGGCACCGAGACGGCAGAGGCTGATGGCTGGGAGGTTGTTCACGATATGCTTGACGCCATCGAGGTTGAAAGCTGGGACGCATAAATATGCACTCACGATGATAAGGAAGGTGCTCAATTGTACGTGGTAGAGGCAAAGGTGCTGATCGGCGGCTCCTCGCTTGCCTTGCGCCACCTTTTTCTTCATGTTTTTGATCAACGAGGAGTCAGGGGTGGTGATTAGAGTGACCAACCCAAATTCCCTAAGCTTTTCCCCGCAACGACAATGACATGCTTGGCACAGGCATTCGGCGCCACCCGAGCAAATCGCCGATCCCCAGGCTGGACGCGTCCACTACTTGTCTGAGCAGCGAAAACATCATCTTTGAATTTAATGTTCATTCTCAGGGCCTTTCCCCTTGGATTTCGTTCTCAGTCGTGAATGGAACTCTCCGAGGAGATGAAAAAGCAATGCCTGGCCCCGAGTCTCCCTCAATCAAACCGCAATCGAGCATTCCCCGGCCGACACTGCTCTTTGAACAAAAAAAAAGAGTTTTATTCTTCCGCGACAGCTGTCTGTCCCGATTCGCTCCTTGAGCGGAGGTGATAACGCAAACCCTTCGTATCGTGACTGATCCTTTACGACAGAACGCGACTTGCAAGGTCTTTTTGAATGCTCTAGAGCGGGAGGATTAGGCTAGTGGGGGCAAAAATCCCAATAGACGAGCGTCTTTTCAAACTCGAAATCACATGCATTATCACACCCGCTCCTTCAGTGGGAAAATGTTCTCGCTAAAAGAAGAAGCTGGCGATGAGGTCATCATGACTTAGTCGGGGATCCGAGATCGAGTAGCGGTCAAAAAAAAAAAAAAAAAAAGTAATAAGGGTCGAAGTCAGAGAAAATAATGAAATGAAAACTTGAAATTCAGTATCGACAGACTAGTCGTATATGATGTAGAGAAGGGGGAGGGGAGGGGCAGGAGAGGATGGTGGTTGGACTTTTAGACTCCTTGATCGATAACCTCCTTATTTTACATGACGGCAGCCGTTACAATAAAAACGATAAGGATCCACTCATTAGTATTGATCTAGAGATTGGGTCTCGGGCCCTGTTTGTGATCGGGCTGGTGGCAGGCGTCCTGGCGGTTTTAGTGTCTTCAATTCTGTTAACGTGCTGAGCATCAATGCCTCCAGCTTCAAAGACCTCAACGCCCTGCCTGGGTGTTTCACTGCAGCCCGGGCCACTACTGTGGGCGAGGTCTCTCCTATATGTACGAGCTGTAAGACATCTTGAATTGGCATTGCAGAAGGAGATTGTATCTTCTTTAAAAAGGAGAAAGAAATCTTAGCGAGTATGACGTATAGAAAGCGAGAATTACGAACCTACCATCTTTTGGGATGGCAGCAGCTCGAGGGGAGAGGAATAGTTCAATGCTAGCGACGAAAGGCAACAGCTTTATCGCGCCGCGCTCGTTGGTGTCAACATTGAAAGATGTTCAGCATTGCGCTATCACCCCACTCGCCACTCATCGCTCCAACCCCATCTTGGCAATGCTTGGTGATTCGGGGGAGGATGGGATGGTGCCTTTGGACAAAAGTTCCGTTGCAACCACCAGGAGAACATGGCGGCATGAGCATGGGGCCTAGACGGATCCTTTCCGGCTCCGAAGCGGCCCAAAAGAGCGACTCAGGTGCTTAGCTCGCGCTCCCATTCGCTCCCGGATGCGTCGAGTCGTGGACGGATTGGAGATGATAACCCACCCCTGCTTTTATCATCCGGGAAAAAAAGACCAAGAAGATTTTGCTGGATGAAAAGAAACATAGAGAATGACTGGCCTCCTCAGCGTTTAGGCACCAGTTTAACACCCGGGTACAATAGCTCCCCGATTCCATGATCCCGGGAATATGCCAAGAAGCCTTGGTTTCACTTGCCATCTTTTTCGGCAGCCGCGTGATCGCGACGGTATATTTCTCTATTTTTATTTTATTTTTCTTTCTTTGTCCTTCCCTCTTTTATTTTCCTTCCTCCTTTGGAGTGTGACTTATTTTCAATTGGCCTCGCTCGCATCCCGTCGAGGTGGAAACGGAACACCGACGTCAAACATACGCCCGCCATGTCGTCCTCGGGCTCGGAATGCCTGAACGACCACTCCCTCGGGCCCAATGTCTTGGGGTGCCGGGGAGACTTTGACTTTACTCTTGCCTTTGAGAAGCTGTTCCTCTCTATTTTGCCCGCCACCGTCTTCATCCCGCTATGCGCCGCGCGCCTGGCGTACCTCCTCCCGCGACCGCGCATCGTCGGGGGCCGACTTTTCCAAAACATAAAACTGGTAAGTACATCGACGTCGCAGATCTGAATTGGGTGATGCTGTCCAAAGAGCCGTAAATCAATTACAAGAGATGAAAAAAAAAAAAAAAAACGATCAAATGTTGTAAAGAAATGCCCGGGGTGTGGAGGAGAGCACGCGTTTAAAAGCTTCAGGAGGAAAAAAGTCGCGCGTCACTGTGAACGTGCAAGTCATTAATTCGTGAAATTCCCCTGTCCCTAAAGGCCCTCGTCACCATCTACGCCACTCTCCAACTCGCCATCCTCATCCTCGTCGGCCTCTCCCCTCCAACCACGACGGCAACCGCGCCCTCTCCATCGCCGCCGCCACCCTCTCCCTCCTCGCCAGCCTCGCCCTCCTCCCCTCTCCTACGCCGAACACTCCCGCTCCCCGCGGCCCTCCATGCTCCTCGCCGCCTACGTCTTCCTCACCCTCCTCTTCGACATCGCCCGCGTCCGCACCTCTTGGCTCGTCGCCCGCGACGACCACGCCTCCCGCGGCTTCGTGCTCACCCGCCTACTCACCTCCTCCATCGCCCTCAAGGCCTTCATCCTCTTCCTCGAAGCCCAGACCAAGCGGCGATGGCTCAGCTGGAACGCCGCCCTCCACAGCCCCGAGGAGATGAACGGCCTCTTCGGCCTCGGCGCCTTTGCCTGGCTCAACCGCCTCTTCCTGCGCGGCTACGGCTCCATCCTCACCCTCCGCGACCTCTACCCCTCGACTCCACCATGGCCGCCCGCGCCGTCTACCCCGCCCTCCAGGAACGCATCCGCACCCACGGCTTCCACGGCAAGAAATTCGGCCTCTTCAAAGCCGTCTGCCGCGCCCTCCTCGTCCCCTGGCTCCTCCCCGTCGCCCCGCGCCTCGCCCTCATCGGCTTCAAGTTCGCCCAGCCCCTCTTCATCGAGCGCCTGCTTGACCACCTCCAGAGCCCCGCGGCCGACGGCGGCGGCCCGGAGGAGACCCGCCAGCACCGCAGCATCGGCTTCGGGCTCATCGGCGCCGCCGTCCTCGTCTACACCGGCGTCGCCATCACCACCGGCTTCTTCCACTACTACCGCCACCGCGTCCTCTACATGGTCCGCGCCTGCCTCGTGTCCGCCATCTACGACAAGACTGTCGAGTCCAAGGCCACCGCCATCGCCGGCGACGCCGCCGCCGTCACCCTCATGAGCACCGACATTGACCGCATCATCAAGGGGTTTCAGGCCATCCACGACGTCTGGGGCTCCGTCGTCGAGATCGCCATCGGCTCCTGGCTCCTGTACCGCCAGATCGGCGCCGCCTTCGTCGCCCCCATCGTCACCATCGCCGTCTGCGCCTGCGGCATCGCCTGGGTCTCGGGCATCGCCGGCGGCCGCCAAAGGCATGGATGGCCCGAATCCAGACCCGCGTCGGCCTCACCGCCAGCGCCCTGGCCTCCCTCAAGGGGCTCAAGATCGCCGGCCTCGCCGACCACGTGTACGACCTCATCAAGTCCCTGCGCGCGGCGGAAATCGGCGCCGGAAACCAGTGGCGCATGCTCGCCATCTTCGGCGCCATCTTTGGCATCGCCCCCGGTTCCCTGGCCCCCGTCTTCACCTTTGCCGTCACCTCGCGCGAGCTCGACACCACCACCATGTACGCCGCCATGTCCTACATCATCCTCGTTGCGGGACCCCTCGGCCTGCTCTTCCAGTACCTCCCTAGCCTCGTAGCAGCCTTTGCCTGCATGGAGCGCATTCAGGAATTCCTCGAGCAAGACCCGCGCGTCGACTACCGCAAGTTCGCGCTCACCTCCGGATCCACGGCAACCTCGGCCAAGGAGCCGACGGAAAAGTCGTCTACGGTCGAAGGCGACGGCAGCCACCCCACCGCCAGCACCGAAAAGGCGCGAATATTAATGGCGGAGAGGGGCCCTTCTTCCCCGCCGCTCGTAGGATCCACCGCGACCCCCTCCATCGTCGACCTACCGACGGTGGCCGCCAAGCTCTCCAACTGCAGCTTCGGCTGGACCGCCGACAAGATGTCCCTCCGCAACATCTCCACCACCATCCGCACCGGCGAGCTCACCATCGTCGTCGGCCCCGTCGCCTCCGGCAAATCCACCCTCTGCCTCGCCCTCCTCGGCGAAGTACCCCATTCCACCGGCGACCTCAAGCTCTACGCCTGCCCCGACGCCATCGCCTACTGCGACCAGGTCCCCTTCCTCCTCAACGCCACCCTCAAGGACAACATCGTCGGCCACGGCGAGTTCGACCAGGACAAGTACGACGCCATCGTCGAAGCCACCATGCTCCGTCCCGACATCGCCCTCATGCCCGCCGGCCACGACACCAAGGTCGGCACCAACGGCATCATGCTGAGCGGCGGCCAGAAGCAGCGCTTGTCCCTGGCCCGCGCCTTGTACCTTGAGTCGCCCTTTGGCATCTTTGACGATATCCTGAGCGGGCTTGACGCCGACACGGAGACCCACGTCTTCAACCACGTTTTCGGCCCCGAGGGTTGCTCCGTCGGCGGGGTGCGACGACTGTCCTCTGCACGCACTCGGTGCGCCACTTGCCCACCGCCGATCGCATCATTGCTCTAGGACCCGAAGGCACGCTTGTTGAAGAAGGGCGCTTTGAGGATTTACTGGTCAACGGGTTGTACGTCGGTAACCTCGGAGTGCAACTCTCGGACTCGGACTCGGCCTCCCACAGGTCGGGGACCCACATCAGGGACAGCACGTCGGACATGGGCCCGCCATCACCTAAGACCCGAGCTCACAAACAAGCCCCCACCCCCGCCAAGGAACAGGCCCTGGAACAAGACCTCAACAAAGCCCGTCAGATGGGCGATTGGAAAGTATACAGACACTACTTCCAAGCCATGAGCTGGGTCAACATCGTCGTAGCCATCCTCTCAGGCCTCATCTTCGCCTTTGGCGAGGATTTCGCTACCATCTGGATCGGATACTGGGCCGAGGACCGCTTCGACCGCTCCCGCGCCTTCTACACCGGTATCTTCGCCTTACTTCGCGGCAGCCAGCTCGTCTGCATCCTCGCCATCGGTCTCGCCATTCTCATCTCGCACGTCACTCTATCCGGGACCAGGCTGCACAACAATGCCCTGCGCACCGTCGTCACCGCCCCGCTCTCCTTCCTCACCAATACCGACATCGGGGTCGTCACCAACCTCTTTTCCCAGGACATGACCCTCATCGACGGCGAGCTCCCCATGGCGCTTCTCAACATGTGTACCGAGCCGGCTTGCGTTATCGGCACGGCCATAGTCATTGCCGTGGCTACGCCCTATCTCGCTGCTGGCTACCCCGTTCTTATTCTAGTACTGTACTTTTTGCAAAAGTTTTATCTTCGCACCTCTCGGCAGATGAGAATCCTTGATCTCGAGGCGAAGAGTCCTCTGTAGTAAGTCCCCGAATTCTGCTGACGGGGTTCCTCCCTCCTTGGTCTCGTCGAGGACAGACACTGATAAATACCCTTGCCTATAGCTCCCATTTCATCGACACCCTCAAGGGAATCGCAACAATTCGCGCCTTCGGGTGGACCATCCAAAATGTCCGCCGCAACGAGTATCTCCTGAACGAGTCTCAGCGGCCCGCGTATCTGCTAGTCATGATTCAGCAATGGCTCTCCTTTGTCTTGCAGATGATTGTCGCCGGTATTGCCATTCTCCTGGTATCCCTCGCGACCCAAGTAACTGCCTCGGCCACCTTCACCGGCGCCTCGCTCATCGTGCTCATGACCTTTGGCGAGGTTCTCACGTTTTTGATCATTATTTACACGAGTCTGGAAACCTCCATCGGAGCTGTAGCGAGGCTGAAGACCTTTAGCGACACGGTCAAGCCCGAGGACCTCCTTGGCGAAGATATCGAGCTTCCCGAAGAATGGCCCTCCAGAGGCCACATTGAAATTAATGACGTGTCTGCCTCTTATGGGTAAGTGTCGTGCTCTCCAAACTCGGGCCGCTATAGATGTCCAGTCCGATCATCCTCTAACATTTGCGAACCATGAATAGCCCTAAGCCCCAAGATGGTCTTACGCCCATGTCGGAAAAGCACAGCGAGGAGGAGCCTGCTCTCGCACTATCAGAGATCACGATTTCAATTCAACCTGGAGAGAAGATTGCCATTTGCGGGCGTACAGGAAGGTAAGTTTTTGAACAAGAAACATTGAAGGCCTGGGGCTTTATGAGCCACATAATCGTTCTCTCTTCCACCCGACCCAGCGAGGAGAGCCATAATCGCTAACCATTTCATCCTTTTTACCCATCCAGCGGAAAATCAACCTTTTTCCTCGTCCTCCTTCGCCTCCTCGATCCCCTCCCCGAGTGCGCCCAAAACATCATCATCGACCAAATCCCCTCCACCGCGTTTCCCGCCCCTCCTACGGCAGCGCCTCATCGCCGTCCCCCAGGACCCCGTCTTCCTCCCCGGCGGCAACACGATCCGCGCCAACCTGGACCCGGCCAACGCCGCGGCATCCGACGAAGAGCGCCTAGACGTCCTCCGCGCCGTGCAGCTCGAGGCCTTTGTCAGCGGCATGAGCGAAGAGGGGCTCGGCGGCGAGATGAAGGCCGAGTCGCTGAGCAGCGGGCAAAAGCAGCTCTTTAGCCTGGCTCGCGCCGTCTTGCGCAAGAGAGTGAGAGAGGGCCGCGGCGTGCGCGGAGGCGTCCTTCTCCTGGACGAGGTCAGCTCGAGCGTCGATAAGAAGACGGACAGGTTGATGCAGGAGGTCATCAAGCGCGAGTTCGAGGCGTACACGATTGTCATGATATCGCACCGGCTCGAAATCGTGAGGGACTTTTTCGACACGGTTGCCGTGTTGGACCAGGGTCGCCTCGTGGAGGTTGGAGCGCCCAACGCGCTCGTCGCCCAAGAGGAGTAGATTTGGAGACCTCTGGCTATCGGGGAATCATCAATAGCCGCAACCCGTGTTGGCCTAACGCCACTCGTCAAAATTTTGCAGGTTCGGCTGCATTGCTACAGGTTCCCTGGGCAGCCTGACTAGCTTGGGCACTAGGGGAATGGAGGAATCGTCATTTCTTTTGTCATGCAGTGCCGTTCTGCCTGCCGAAACTAGCCACCGGGCCCATTTCAGAGGTCAAACTGCCACGAGGAAGGGTATCGTGAAAGTCGGAAGAAGCGACATACGTCCTCGTTCTAGATGTTCTTAATACATGCACACTACGAGTAGTGACGGCATTGCCAATCACTTCAACACGATTCTATAAAAGTGAATCATGGACATGGCAGCGGAATCCAACCTATATGAGGAACGGTATTGATGATGTGTCTGCCCTGTATGCCCTCCCGGCCTTGAGAATGAGCGTGAAGACAATCATTGAATATAACCCGTCAGAATAAGTAGAGGAGAAAAGAGCCGATCGCGTGTCTTGCGCTTAGTACCTTGTTGTACTACCGAGGTACATACTCGTCATATCTAGGACTCGAGATATGCAAGACATCTCTTCAGGTATCAGATTTACATTTTGGATTCAGTGGACAAAAACTTTTCTGGCCCGGGAATCGTGTGGTGGTACTGGAATGTCACTGATGCATAGGACACCGGTTTCCATTTACACTGATTGATCCCATTGGAGGTACATGTACCATGCATCATCATGAAATCCAAGACTCTTTAACCATGATAGCCTGGCTCGCCTTCTTCTACAAGCTTGGGAAGCTGCTCACGCAATCTGAGCCCGATTGGAAATTTAGGCGACGTTGGACTGGTGCTGGATTGGGATCCACGATGGGCAGTCGAGTTTTGCCATGGCGGAAGGGACCACGCAACGTCAATCTGCATGGAATCGGGGTTGCGGAGCTCTTGTTGTTGGCATGACCAAGGTTGCACATCAGGCTCGACCCTTTGCCACTTCTCGCCTTGCCCTACCGCGCTATGAGAGTCGTGAAGCGACCGACTGCGACTCAGCGCGAGAGGGGTGGGCTCCCATCCTATCGAGCCCGACACATTCACGATCAAAGCAGAAACTGACACCATGACATCGAGAAAGACTTTTGGATTTCATCGAACGTGAATTCCGCGGCCCGAGCCCTACATATCCTGCGAGATACCGGGGGAACCTGAGGGGTTGACCGGAGCATGGTACAGTTATGCATGTCATAGTACTCGAGCCCTCCAGTCATGTCAGATTGGAGGAGGATGAAAACGGGAAATCAATGTCGATTACCGGAAGACCCCTCATTGTTATTTAATATTCTCGAACTTTTCTTTCCCTTTATATACAACCAACGTACGAAGTACAATGGATCCATTGTATTCACGTGGACTACATGTATGCAGTACATGAGATCCACAATTGCTGCGATAGCTACTTGTATACCGCCTTCGCTCTACCCTGGCCAGACCCAGTCCAATCCGTCGGTAACGTGGGGATGAAGAACGAAAAGCCCCGAGGCGCATCGATCCCCTAATAATTGGTGGCGTTGTCATGAGTTGGCCGTACATCCAGCACCACAGCAGGCTGGCCTGCCTTTTCGGGGCAACAGGCACTGAGAGAGCGGACCGGGGCCAGGAGTACCCTGGTTGAAACTGGCACTCGTAAATGGCCAGGACACGTTGGGGGATTTATTGCGCCAGAACACCAGAACTTGTTGGATGGATGCCAGAAGACGCTGAGCCCATTTTGGCTTCAACATTCCATCCTGTCACATTTGCTGTGGAAGAGCATAGAAAAAGTCTGCCTTTGCAGCCAACCATTTCCGTAGTTCTTCCTCGGATCATACATGTACTTTTCAATACATCGTTTTTCAAACGCTTCCCTGCAGCAAGTGACCACTTTCTCTGCAAATTCCACACCATTACAAGCTTCAAATCTACCAATCGCCCATAGAATCCTTGAAGCAAGTTCGCGTAAGGGTTGGCAAATGCAGCTGAAGCCTGTTCCGACATTCCAGTTGCGCTTGCTTTGATTGAATCGCACCCATGTTTGCTTCCTTCTTGTGTCTCTTCGTGTCGCTCTTGAGTGTGACACTACATGTGTAGGGTGCCCTCCCGCTTCGTTTCATTGCACACAACAAGTGAGGTTTCAACAACCATCGAGCAAGTTATATGATACATCATTAATTCACACTCATCCTCCGCTATCGGTAAGCGACATAGATTCCAATCTCAAGTGCCAGTGGAACGAGTGACGGGCAGACCACCAAGCACGGAGGACCGTTGCTACTCCGATACACTTCTCGAGCAAAAGAAACAAAGAATGAGAAAAGAAAAGAACATTCAGAAAGCTGCATGTAATGTACATGTACTTCATTGAACGGCAGATGTATGAAAAATAGGGGAACAGCAGGGGGTCCTAGCAGGGGATGATCGGAGCACAGATATTCGCTAAGCTAGCAGTGTTTCTTCATGTCCTCTTCTCAACAATATCGTGCGGGCTCAAGACACTAAGGCGCTACCTGGGTAGGTCGAAATCTGATGGAATCAAGATGCGAGGACATCACGGTGGCATCCTGCTTCTCTAGTAGGGTGAGGCCTGATATCAAACACGACGACGCATGTTGATCTTAATAATATCAACCCGACAACCCAAGCCTCATGGGAAAGGAAGGATCGAAGGGCCCTTGCTCGGTGGATGATTCGGCTGACATAGGGAGCTGAGACAACCATATTGTCTTGCGATTGACCATGACTTGTTTGGTTGGGTCGTACAGCTGTTCAACGGGGCCCTGACTTGCCCGGTCAAGGCAGAAGGTCCCGGGCAACAAGGAAGCGCTCGGGTAAGCTCCGCGCCGATAGTCAATTTCCGCCCCATGCCAAAGTGGCACGCACACACATGAAAATTCTTCGTACACCTGCCATACGACTGATGGAAGGAGATCCCTGTGAAGGCGGGGAAAAGAAGACTAGGGGAAAGGTCAAACTTCAAGCCTGGGGACCCGACCAGGCCTCTCCGCTGTCGGGCAGGCACCCATCATAGTGAACATGGCGCGCTGACCACATGTAGTGTATGGACGCGAAGACAAAATAGCAATCGATTGAGATTTTCAGACGCGCTCGACTAATACTATTGGTCTGCATCTATCCTCGTCCAAAATATTTGAGCCGCCTGCTAATGTTGCATGTACACTATAGGACTTGAGCAGATGATGTCATATTAGGTTGGCCATCGAACGAAAAGCTGTGGGAGATACCACTCGTCCTGTCAACCCAACCTGTGTAAATGATCTATACGATAACAGGGCGGGGAGGAGGGGGACGATCAGCCCAACCTTGTCGCGATGGCCCGATAACACCAGGCTTTTTCACTTCAGCTCAGTCAACCTATCCCATGGATTCCTCTCAACCTTTCGAAAGATCTCGCCCTCCCCAGGCACACCAAACCCGTGCTTCCACGTCACGCATCCCATCTCGACATCGCCCCCAACGTGCCAAAAGGAAGCAGCAGAAGAGCAGCCAAACCGCAAGATGAAGTACTCTTTCGGGTATCCCGGCAGCCTTGCCCTCTTTGCGCTTTCGTCAAAGTCTAGCCACCAGAAGAAACTGTCCGTTTGATACGGTTCCAAGTCGAACGTGCCGTGGTCCGCCCCCATATACGCCACTTGCAACCTGTCACCTACATCATTGATCTCGATGAAAAAATTGCCAATCGAGTTGTAGTAGCGGCCAACGTAGGCCGAAAGCGGGCGCTGGGGCGTCTGCATCGTCTTGCCATTGATTAAATCTTGACGTACCTTTGCTACGAATCGGATGTTGTTGGACGAGGCACTGCGCGCCGTTTCAAGGTACAGAGTAGAATTCACGTCAGTTTCAAAGACGGTCTCTACGAGAATCTGGCCGAGAAGCCTCATGGTGTCGGTCAGGCCCGCCGAATTCCCCAACACGACCACCGCGGTCGTCGTTTCGGGGAACAGCGCCACGTAACCCACGTTGCCAGGTATGTTTCCTTGGTGATGTATCATGAGGCGCGACGGGGAGCCGTGTCCCAGGACGGGCGGCGCGTAGTCGGCAAAGAGGTCGACGACAGCGGGCAGCTGTGTCCGAATCCAACCCATGGCGTAGCTGTATTCCCGCAACGACTTGTTCGGTACACCGATTTGGCCATTCAAGAGATGCGGCATCTGTTTGAAAGGGTTGCGTGGGGTGCATCTATAACCTGCGAAACCTGCGCATTGCCTGCGTCCATCACAGCTTTATACACGACGAGAAGGTCGCTGACGGAGCTGCGAATGGCACCGGCCGCTCCAATCAACAAGTCCTTGCCATGGCCCCACGTCGGTATCTCGTAAACGGATCTGTTGCTCAATGCAGCATACGACTTGGCCGTATTTTCGTCGAATGCTTCCTCGGCATAAAACGTCCTATTCAAATTCAAAGGTCGAATAATGCGTTCGTGCAGAAGCTCGAGGTAGCTCTGGCCAGAGACCTTTTCGAGAATCTGGCCCACCACTTCATACGCGATGTTATTGTAGATGAAGTCGGATCTCAGTAGCCTAGCGGCCGGCACGTAGCTGAGGATCGGAATCGCCTCCGACCGCCCCAGAAGAATCTTATTGTCGGAGCTGGGCCACATCCCGTCGTAGGCAGCCAGGCCCGTCCTGTGACTGAGAAGATCGGCAATGGTGATGTTGGCCTGCGCATCGTCTCGGCGGAACTCGGGAAATATCTCCTGGACTTGTGTCGTGAAATTGAGCCTGCCCTCGTCCACCATCATGCCCACCAGCGACGCCGTAAAACCCTTTGTCATGGAGCAGATGAGGAAGGTCGTCTCCGCGTCGGGGGCGACCCGCCTCTCCACGTCTCGAAACCCGTAGCTCGCCGTATGCAAAACCTCGCCGTGGTGCAGGACCCCGAGGGAAATCCCCGGGGTCCCCGTGATCCTGCAAATCTCCGTCAGAAGAGGCCCTAGAGCTTCGAGCGCGTATTCCAGTTTCCTATAACAATCGCGACGTTTCGTTGGTTAGCTCGGGGAAGAAAGGAGGGGAAAAAAGAACATGTCTGCGCCGTCATTTCCTGAGAGGCAGGGCGACCTACATTTTACGTTGGCTGGCTGCCCCAAGCTTGGACCCTTTCGCTCAAGTAGCAGCGAGATGGCGGGAGAGAGCTCAGCCGGGTCATTGGCATGGGAGCGGGCAGAGAATATACCCATCACTAAAGGAGGACACGGCGCAGCATGCACACCGTCTGTGCTCCCTACGCCGTTGGACTGAGCTACACGGATTGTTCAACCCTCGGAATGTCTGTCCAAACATCCGCCAACAGGAGCAGGTCTCAGCCCTCTAGATCGCACGGGTGGACTGACTCCGACCTCTCCCCTGACCCCGCACCCCAGGAGCCTCATCCGGTTGAATTATCTAGATCTGAGTACCTAGACTTGGTACTCGTGCCACACACCACCCCATAGGGGTGCTCTCCACTCTAATACAAAAACCACCCTAAACAAAATCATACTAACAAAGTAAATAAGTTTAAATTTCATAAACATATAACATATTATTATTTAGATTCTTTTCTCTATTTAATAAAAGTAGCCCTTATTTTATAAATATATATATCATATTAAAAATAGTATAAAAGAAAAGAAGAAAAATAAAAATAAAAATAGATATTGCTAGATAAATAATAGTAGGATAAATATTTCAAAATATCCTATAAATTACAAAATATAGTCTTTTAAAGGCATATTTTTTATATATTAATTCTTTTTATTATAGATAGCTAATAGCTAATATATAAATTTTAAAAGGAATTTAAATATACTATGTTTAAGATATTATTTTAAAATAATATCTAAGTTCTTAACTTATATTAAACTATTATTAATATTTAATCTAGATTTTCTATAGAATACTTTAGATTATCATTTAATAGAGAGAAAAGTCTAAATAATAATATTATATTCTTAAAAACTTTAACTTATAATAGGTGGTGATATATCTTATTTACTTTTATAAGTATGATTTTGTTTTAGCGTTGTTTTTGTATTAGGTGGAGAGCACCCCTGCGGGGTGGTGCGTGGCACGAGTAGGGTTACTGCATAGATCAATGGCACTTTCAAGCCCAGGTTTATTGCAGTTTCAATCCCTCAAACGGAGGTTGCAAACGCTGCTTGGATTCCTTCCAAGTTGGGATTATTATTGGTACATGTAGTCAATCCGACAGAAACATTGTCTGGCGTTTGTCCAAGGACAAGTCAAGCTATCCGTCGACAATTGGAGCACCCTATTGAATATAGGCATTTATTTGTAAACTACCTCGGTACATGTAAGGCATTTGTAAAGCCCAACATTGCTTTTTCTTTCACGTCGTCGGGTTTTCCTATAAAAGTGATCCCGGGAAAAATGGCGCCCCCTTCTTCGGAAACAGAACGATCACGGTTTTTCATCACGAATCAAGTTTCGTTGCAAGTGGCACATTTCTACTTCGTACATCTCATTACTTCCATGCAATCGGACAACCCCTAATACATTTTCCATCTATCACCATTTCCGGTACCTAGAGTTACGACACATTCACTCCCCTTCAGCAAGTCTGACGTGGAACGAGTGAAAGTGAACAACCCTCACCACGCGTTTGTATTCACAAACCGTGATATATGTGTAAAAGGGTAATTAAAAGAAGAAGAAAAAAATTGCACATCCTATCTCGGTTTTACGGCGACCTAACTATCCCGCGGGTCGTCGAAGAAGAGCAGCAGGAGCACCCAGGATTGCCTTATCGTCGCCTCACTTTGGGCCACCTTGAGGCGACTTGACCTGACGAGTCATTAACGCCCATCGCCCATTCCCCGGTGATCGTGTCAGGCCTACATGTAATAATCGGCGTGAAATGTGCAAAACCATTATTGACATATAAGTCTGGGAACACACATATACTGAAATCCATGATGCCACAACAAGAGGAGCCGGCAAAGCAATGAGCGCATCAATTGACGATCGCTGGCGGGCCGCCGTGGCCTTGCAAAAGAAACGCCTCAACAAACCAAAATATCGCCACATCCTCAAGGAGATCGAGCACCATGGCTCGTTGCAGACTTGGATGCTATCAGCGAAAGCCGAATACGGTCGCAGGTACCTGCCCCGTGTTGCGATGAAGCTGGGGCCTGTTCTCAGTGAGTTCGGCCATTTTATCAGGGCCATCACCACCATGGTGCAAGGTGGCGGGGCCATCGCGGGGCTTGTTTGGGGCTCTATTCAGGTCCTTCTAGCGGTAAGTCCTTGTGTCAGTGATCCCCGCCCGAGCCTGACGCGGACTAACACGGTAACTCCGGGGGCTTGGGGGACTGCCGTCAGGTCGCGCAGAGATACGCTAGCCTCGTGGAGGATATTGCATCCATGATTGAACGCATGGCTCAGCTCATGCCGAAGCTCGACATATTTACGACACTCTTTCCGGGAAATCAAGCACTCGATAGTTGCGTCAGGCTACTCATTGTCGATTATGTTGGTTTTTGTATCGAAGCCATCATCTTCTTCCATAGGTTCCCTAGTAGTTAGTCTACGTATTCTCTAATCTTTGCTTCTTTTCCCTTTTCTTGCTTTTGTTTCCTTGCTTTGTTTCTAGGGTTTCTTTTTCGATCGCAAGATCCACACAGATGCTTTTTGCACCCACCTAACTTCCATGTACCTCAAGGTATCATGCTCAGGATGTTCTGGCCCTCGCTGAACCACGACTTCAAGCGTCACGAAGCCAACATCGCCCGACAGTGCGAACAATTCCACCTGGAACGCGGTGTCGCCGTCGACGTCGAACTGGTCCGCAGCGTGCGAGTTCTTCTAAACCCGGGAGCCGGAGTGGGGGGACCCGCACCCCACCGCCGGACCGGCAGGGGCCGGACCGGGACAGCCGCCGCCGCCGCGTTGCAGCGTGCCGTTCCCCCAGAACCCCCGATTCTGCGCTCGCGACGAAGTGCTAGCGCAGCTCCATGAATACATGACCGGCGCACCCCACGACACGTCCGTCAAGCAACGATCGTGCGTCGTCCACGCGAGGGCCGGCATGGGCAAAACCCAGCTCGCGATCGAGTACACGTATCGCTATCGCCAACACTTTGACTACATCGCCTGGGTCTGCGCCGATTCAGAGCCGGAGCTCGCCAACGGAATGGCGCAGTTCGCCCGGCTCCTGGGCATCCCTGTGGCCCGGGGCGCCCCGACCAGAGCGGCCGTGGAGGCTGCGAAGAATGTGCTAGAGACGACGAGTAAGTCGCGCGTGTATCCGATCAACCCCCTCGCCCTTGCGCCGCTAACCCCGAGTTGAAGCCAAGCAGTGGCTCCTCATCTTCGACAACGTCCACCGGAGGGAGGACCTGAATGCGTACTGGCCGGCCTGTGCCAGCGGCTCTGTGTTGATCACCTCTCAAGCAGCCAACATTGGGCGAACCACCGTATCGGCTATCGCCCTCGCCCCCTTGTCCCCGGCAGAGGGCGCTATGCTGCTCGTCGACCAGATTGAGCTGGGCGATCAGCACTACAGCCAAGAGTTCCCAAAGGCCAACATGATAGCCGCGACCTTTCATGGGCACCCGTTATCAATCGTGCACATCGCAGGCTTCATCCAACTCTCCAACATTAGTCTCGGAGACTTTGCGCACCTCCTCAAGGAGCAGAAGCATGTCAATCAGATACTGAACCAGGATAACGCGGTATACCCGTACGATAAGCCCCTACGCGTGGCCCACGAGTTCACCCTCCTGAAACTGGATACGCCGTCATCAAAGCTGGCTCAAGTTCTCTCCATGTTAAGTCCAGAGGGTATCCCGGAGGAGATGCTTTTTACAAAACGGACGAGGACGCCGTCCTGCTGAATTTTCTTGGCGTGGAGGGTGACCTAGGGTGAGTACATGTACATCTCTTAGGCACTGGGGGATCCAAAGTGAACATTAAGAAAACAGACAGAAGACACAAACACAAGTAGTCCGCCAGCTGGATGAAAGCGCGCGAAACAACTAACAGGAAGCACATGCAGCCTCCGGGAGACTATCTCCAAATTAACCGCCAGACACTTGATAGATTGTCGCCGCCAGCAGCAGCAGGCTGCCGGCGGCGATCTATTCATGCACAGATCTCTGCAGTCTCGACTGCAGACACAGCTCCCGAACCAAGAAGAGGGCAGGCTTCAGCAAGTATTCGATGTCGCTGTGACGCTGACACGTCGCCTGTTTCCGCGCCAATCGCCCGTTCAGTTCCCCCAAAACGATATTTGGGAGAAATGCGAAAGGTACTCGCCGCAGGTGATGAGCATAATGAGCATGCACCAGTCCGCTGCACAAGCCCCGCAGTGCTCAATCGAATACGCCACGCTACTCTCGGATCTTTCCAATTACCTCTACGAGCGTAATATTTTTGAAGCCGCGCTCCGAGCCTCGGACGCCGCAGAAACGGCCTGCGAAGTCTTTACCTCTTCCCACGAGTCCATCCGGGCCGATATCCACACTCTTTCCGGGGCAGTGCGCGATACCTACGGCATCCCTCACCGGCAAAAGACATTGTACCACTACGCTATGGCGGTCGCTTTGCGGCAAGACCATTTGAACAAATCCGCGGCAGCGGATATCACCCAAGATGACTTGTGGAACTACGCCAACGCCTGGGGAAACATGACGGTGATCTTACTAGATTACGAATGCTACGAGGATGTTATTCTCTACGCAGATCTCGCCATCATGATCAAGACAAAGCTCCTAGGCTCGACTTCACAAGCAGCCATCGCGTGCTACGAACAGGTCCGCAACAAACACATCGCCTACGCTGCCCTGGGCCGCCTGGCGGAAGCCCAAGAATGGCAAGTAGATGCTGAGGATATCACGCGCGATCCCACGTACACCGTCATCATGATTCGCTATCACTTCTTCCATGCCAATATCCTCATGACGTGTGGGTGGCTGGAGCAAGCGCACGCTACTCTCTCAATGGTCCTGGAGATGCGAACAAGGCTTTTCGGGCCCTCGGGTAGAAGCACGCTCGACACGTATTACCTTTTAGCGATCCTGGAGCTGAAGAGGGACAATATCCACATGGCAGAGTATGCTTCCCTATTCAAACCTCCCCTTGCGGACTTTGCAGACCCCTAATCATCTCATAGGATATATCTGAGAACGGCCCTTTGCAGAACAGACGATTGGACCGAGGAAGCGATTGCGCGGGCCAAGTACTGGCTTGCAAAAGTCCTTTTCCTTAAAGGGGAACATGTCGAGGCCCGAGGGCTATTGGAGGAGGCAGAATGGGTGCGAGCCGTGTCCTGGGCAACCTACGCCACATACTGGCCTGTAGATGTGCCGGTTCCTGACCAGGACGCCATGTATGATCACATCGTTCCCACTGAAGCAGGGCGGTCGATCTTCACCCACCGCCTGCCACCCTCGAGGATGAGCAACGACCTCAACGAGGTATGCCGCGAGCTCTTGGCTTCTTTGGGCCCGGACAAAGGCGTTTTGCCCACGCAAGAATTGGCGGAATTGCTAAAGACAACTACAACAATCTACCATCTTGTTCCCGATCCCCTGAAGGGGAGGTAGACATGGGCGGCGATGATTTAGACATACCGACATAGATAAACGAAAGCACGACCTTCTATTCAATATCTAGAGCGGCTAATTAACAGGGCGTGACTCACATCACCTAGACGGAACCTCCAAGTGATGTTATGCGCTTTCACTTAGTTTCGCTCTTTTGACCCCTTGGAACATGCCCCGCTGGTTCTACTTAAATCCGTTACCTCTCTTTGTTCTTTTTCGCAATTTATTCAACCGATGCCAAGAACACCCAGAACCTGGCCCTTGGACATCTTAGAGTCCTGCAGCAGCCCGGTATCTCTGAATCGGTGGACTATCAGAAGGTCGGCGGCGGCGGTGACGGTGGCGGGTCGGGTTGCGGGTTAGGTGGCTGTGGCAATGGCGTTGGGGCAGATGCTTGATTCATCTTTGCTTCATCCTCGGCTTCGAGGTGTTGCTTCCATGGCTGCTTCCGATCGTCCGCGGCCTTTTCTGCCTCGACCTGTTGTGCCCAGACTCTGGTCTCGGGACGGGCCTCTCCTCCGCTATCCATTGTCGCGTCTATGAATCTAGGGGAGCGGTTGACGTGTTTGCGTGCTTGAGAGGTTGGCACGTTAGCCCAATGCGGATACGTCAGCTTGGAGACTTCTTTTCTCACCTTTTGGTATTATGTTTTTACTCTTGAAGATAGAGATAGTGTGGGTTTGCCAGGCGATCTCACTCTGGAGGATCATGTGGAGTCGGAATGGTATCAAAGCATTTATAGACGGCCGAAACCTTCAAGTCTTCCGTCCATGAAAATCCCCCTTTCCCCGGCCCTGTCCCCCTCCTGCCCTTCGGCGAATGGAAATAACTTCGTGTGTTGATTGTTGATGCCCGAGGCAGCCCCTCCTTCTCTCCCCCGCTTTTCTCTTCACTAGATGTGCTTCACGGTCGAGTGGCGAGGGCTGATGCTCCCACCAGCCATCTTGGGAGGCTAGTGACCAACATGAACTTGTGCAAGCAGGCTTGGCGATTTCACCTTATTGCCATGTATCCATTGGCGGGATTCGCCCCCACCTGGTGGCTCATACAAGTAGAGTGATACACCCTCTCGTTCACAGACCAGGCCGGGACGATGGCCACTTGATCTTTGACCCTCTGATAGGAATCAGGCTCCTGCCTTTCGGAGCTAGATATCACTTAGATGCCCCTTGAGCCCAATCTCTGTGACCGGTAGTGTGCCAAAAGAAATATGTCATTGGAGGCCGTGTGTGAAAAACTGATCATCTATCTTCGTCAACGCTATATGTTACTGCTGTGCGACACAACTCGCCACACCTCCCACCTCCCTCCCACCTCCCTCCCACCTCCCTCCCTGCCTTTGATGCCCAACGCACACTACACCCAACGACGGGCTACTGTTTTGAGGGGTTTCTGGCTACCGAGATAGTATACGCGATGTTGTTGCGAAGTGAAAGTGCAATACGCACTTCTTGTCTATAAATGGTGCCCAGGCGAAGGGAGGGATGGAAACCTAGCCACGGCCAGCGCGAGAACACCCAACCTTGCAACCATGGACCAGATCGTGAGACTCAACTATCTCCGCGACTCCCCCTGTTCGAGACGCAGAAGCCCTACATCGTCTTCCCAGGGTTCTTCAAATTCCATCAGACGTCGAATCTGAGTTACACGCTCGGCCCCGAGCAGCTGATCAAGGATGCGCGCGCCTGTCCCGAGGAATTCTCCCTTGACAAGCAGGGCTTTATTTTCCGGTCGTGGTCGCCGTCGCCAATCAGCTGGGATGTGGAGTCGCACATCACCGGCGCATATCTTCCCAGGTCAAGGCACTTATTCAAAAAGAGCTGGGGTCCGGCGCCGCCGTGAAACGGTGCGAGATATTTGACTGGCGCGTATGTCTTGTCTGCCCTGGGGATCTTACCCGTTCCGCAACGCTCTAACCTTTTTCGGAGCGGGATAGCTTCGCAAAGTGCACACCGATGACATACTTGAAGGGTTGGACAAAGGTAGGATGACGAAAATCAAGCCGGCAGATGTCGTGCATATAGGTCGGTGCCCAACTCCCCGACCACCCCTCTACGTGCCTTGAATGTTTATAATCAACCAGACCAGAGCCCTGCCGGTGTTCTCGACCGACTGAGACTCGCCCTGCCGGACGAGGACATGGACGAACTGCTTGGGCAGTACAGGGTGCAGATCTTCAAGTAAGAGTTCCTGCAACGGGCCGGGCATCAAGATCTAACCCCATCATACATGTAGCGTGTGGCGTCCGATCAGCAGCGTCGTCGAGGACTGGCCCCTCGCAGTCTGCGACGCGCGGACGACCGGAAAGGACGACGTTGTCGAGCTGGAATTCGTCACGCCCGAGCTCGTGAGACTCAGCTATTTAGCCAAGTGGAACGAAAACTACAAGTTCTACTATCTTAGCCATATGACCAACAAAGAAGTCTGCATCTTCAAAATTTTCGACTCCGCCCACTTGGAGGATCCGGATGCGTCAGAAGCGACAAGTAAGGCCCCTCCTATCGTCTCGCGAAATCAAAGACTTGGCGCCTTGCCAGAAACACTGAAAAAAAAGGCTAATCCATCCCTCGGTACATTAGTGGGATGTCTGCACACTGCGTTCAAGCTCAAGTCCGTGCCTCCTGAGCAAGCTCGGGAAAGTATCGAGGTAAGGCTCTTTGTGTTCTCGAGCCGTGATTGAAGACTCGGGGGACCATGAGAGGGTTGTACAGATACATTCACATACAATATGGGAAATTTTGGGATGCATACCGAACATGTTCATTCTCTGCAACCCTATTCGCTGGTTCTAATGTCAGGCGATGGCTTGTGTAGCCCGAATTCACCTTTGAGAGACATCGTCTGCATAAATATCACATCGTTTCACATGCCACTCAGCACTTGTGGACTAAGACATGGGACCAGACATCCTTGACGTTCCCTCTTCTCACGTTGGCCCCTGTTCTTGCCTTCCGTTCTCGGGCGACCTATGAAAACCAATTGTAAAAGCAAAATCCCAGTTTCCATCCATCTCGCACTGTTACCAACGCGAGAATTGGCACAATGTCATTCACCGCGTTAGCCCAGCAGATATCCAATTATTGCAAGGTACTGGACGATTACATTGCTGCAGAACATCTTCACGCGCCGTCTCTAGATAGAGATGGGCCACTGGTCCCAATACCGGAGTCTGCACCTCAAGACGTCAAATCAGCCCGTACCGCTCTGTTAGACTCGACTAATACACTCCATGATCTGGTCCTTGGGCCAGCAGCGATGCTGGTTTGGCCTGCCCTCACAGTTTGTTCATGTATACACCTTGCCTCAGTAGTTAGATAGAAGCCACTAAGTGCCATGTTAGTATCCTTACTATATCGCAACTCTACGGATGCTGCAAAGATTTTCAATCCCAGACGCCGTGCCAATCAACCAAGCCGTATCGTTTGAGAACATCGCGGCCACAGCAAGTCTTGATAAAGAGTTTGTGAGCAGACTAATCAAACATGCATCGACATATCGTGTATTCGTTGTCGATGAAGCGTCGGGAATGGTCTCACACACCGCGCCTTCACGGGCTCTCGTTGAAAGCGCCGCAGTACGGGAGTCGTTAGCCACGTGCTTGGATGAACGATTTCTTTCTACGGCTGGCTCGACAGACCATGCGATGCTTCGGTATGGGAGCCTTGAGGAGCCTCGCGAGACTGCATTCAACATCGCCTTCGACACTGAAGAGGACTACCTCGGATTTATAAGGAACCCTGCGCATGGCAAAGAGCTGAAGGCGATGCGAGGGTTACTTGGATTTGTCATGTCGGGCACCAAAATGGGAGTCCGGGAGCACAATACGAACCTCCTAGCGGGTCCTGCCATCGACTGGGCTGCTCTCGGAGATGGACTTGTGGTTGATGTAAGTCTAATGAAGTGGTTGTTTACCTGGCACGGAGTGTCTTTGGGTCTTCACAGAGAGACTCGCCTCTACATCATATCTCTGCCTGTCAAGCTGACAAAGTTTGCGTTCCCTTTTAGATGGGAGGGGGCCATGGCCACGTATGTGTATCCATCGCCAAGCAGCACCCAAAGCTTCGCTTCATGGTTCAGGACCTCCCAGAGGTTATTGCTGGCGGACGTAGATCCCTACAGGAAACCGCGGAGGGAGACTTATCCATATCGTCTCGCATCACATTCATGGAACACGACTTTCTCGCCACGCAGACAGTGAAGGACGCCGATATCTTTATGTTTCGGTTTGTCGTCCACGACTGGTCGGATAAGTATGTCACTCGAATTTTGGAGAATCTCGTCCCTGCAATGAAACCGAGCACACGAATCGTCATCATGGACTATCTGCTCGCCGTGAGCGGGAGTGTTCCAAATGTGGTGGGAGGCTAGAAAGGTAGGCGCATCGCTTGAACTCGTAAAAATATGACATTGCGCTAACGCTAGACTGGCAAGGACAATGGATATGGTCGCCTTGGCGGTGATCGCTGGCAAGGAGAGAACGGTGGTTGATTGGCAGCGGCTGGTAGGCCAGATGAATGGTGAACTTGAGATTCGCGACATCCACGGAGACTCGGATAGCGCATTTGGCCTTGTAGTACTCCAGCGTACGCAGTAGTTTTCCAATGGTGCCGTCGTTCCGAGAAATATAAGTAAATGAGGGCGGTGTTAAGGGTGGGCGTCACGACACGAGGGGTCGCCAATGGATCCATTACATCATTGATGTAATATTCCACCTCAAGTTGGGCTGGGTGTCTTAAAATGTGTAAATCCACCCGAAAGGGGTATTTCACCTACAAGCGATCTATGGATGTTTTGTTAGACAATATACAACGCAGCTACCGGAGCAGGACTATCGGCCGGTACCGGTCACCTTGAGGTAATACGATACCGGAAGAAAGTAAAAGATCTGGCCCGTGTACGTTCCAAAATGACCAGGGCTGCTACACCTGCTGCAGTCTGACGTACCCTGAGCAAGACCCTTGGATTTGGGGGCGAAAGGGCATATTCCGTCTGCAGTAACCAGTGTTTTCAGATACCACCTAACAACCCGACTGGGACGGTTAGGGCGTCTCTGCACAGATGTACGTCGATGGATATAAGAATGGGGAAACAAGCCAAACGGGGTAGGTGAGGCGGCGAAGGAGGTCATGCGACTTATTTAATCTCTAGCGCACTAAGACCCTCGTATTTGACACCACGACTATTTCCTTGGTGTGGTCGCAAAGGTCGTGACTTTCTTCAAAACCTAAACTTTACATTTTCAAGAGTATCTACACTCGGTACATTCGGCCGTCTCAGACCATGGGAGACGAGATTCAAAAGATCGCGGGTTCCGAATTCTCTGTCCATGTCGTACTTGGGACAGGAAACATGGGGTCTCCCCGTGACCCCTTGGTCAAAGAATTCCACAACGTCCAGGGGGTCCAAGCCTGCCTCGACTCTTTCCGCAGATATGGCTTCACACATCTAGATACGGCGAGACTGTACTCTTGCAACGAGCCGGGAACGTGCGAGCCCTTACTCGGCGCAACCGACGCCAGAGACTGGGCCGTGATCGATAGCAAGGTTTACGCCGCCCCGACTCTCCATAGAGAGCACATCCTCGTAGAGATTGACGCCTCGCTACGGGAACTCGGGATCCCATGCGCCAACATTTACTATCTGCACGGACCAGACCGATCGACGCCTTTTGAAGAGCAGTGTTGCGCCATGAATGACGCGTACCGGGCCGGTAAATTCAAATACTTTGGTCTTTGCAATCTCTCCCCGCCCGAGGTCGAGGAAGTCGTCTTGATCTGCCAGCGTCGCGGTTGGGTCGTGCCTACAGTATATCAGGGGCACTACAACGCTGTCTCACGAGTCGCAGAGGAAGCCCTCTTTCCGTTGTTAGCAAGGCTTGGCATCAAGTTCTACGCTTTCTCGCCCGCAGCTGGAGGCATATTTTCTGGGACCAACACCGCGGATCCCTCGACGCGGAAACAAGGTGACCGGTGGGGCCACGGGGTAAGCAGACCACCCTTGCTAGAATCTTGAACTAGGGATGTTGATCCTAAAGTCTCGCAGGGCTGCAGTGGAAGCCTACATAGGGCATGGTATGAGAGCGATCCGGTGATTCGGGCCGCGCATATGCTATCGCAGGGCGCTGAGAAGGCCGGCCTCACCGGCCACGAAGTCTCTCTTCGATGGCTGCTACACCATTCAGCTCTTAGCGGAATCAGGGGCGACGCGATTGTCCTCGGTGTAAGCCGAGTCAGCCAGATCGATTGCAACGTGCAAGCATGCGTGGCTGGGCCGCTTAGCGATGAACTTGTCAAGCTTTTGGATGACGTGTGGGACATAGCCAAACAATCTCCGCCGCCGGCTTGGGTCTAGGATATCTATCAATGGACTTGTTCCTACCTGGGAACACTCATTACACGTTACTACTTTGCATCTCGCCGCCAGTATTCAGTCGACGTCACGCGCATGGCCAGGAGAAAATCAATACTAGGCCACATGCCCGAGAACGTACCAAGCTTTCTTTTCGTTAGACGGTTGCGTTGGCTATCGTCCTCATCCGTCGACATACACCCCACCTCGGCCCCGCCCCAGCCGAGTTGACCCTGCATCTTCGGACAGGGGTGTTGATGGTGGCGTGGCGTGAACTATTCTTCTTTAGGCTTGAGATCAATTTGGGTCTTTTTGTCGAGCAAATGACGTACACCAGCCGCCTTGGCCACATCGAATTTCCCGAGACAGATCTCGAGGCCACCCAAGGAGCGCATCTCACCAGCATTGCGTCTGGCAATGACCAGTTCCGACGTTGGATACTGAGATAGGAAGAGGCCAGCTTTTCTACGTCTCTATTAATAAATTGGGAAGCAGAATCAGAAGCTGCGATTTAAGATCGTTTGCTAAGTTCGATGCGGGGTTATGCACGATTCTAAGAATACCTGCCATCAAATGTATGTAAGGGTTCTTCCATCTCCGCTCTTGATCTCACACCGCACAAGATACAATTGATCCATTGTAACCTTTGTCGTAAGCCCGTCATCCCACATCTCCACTCTCGTCGAGGCATGCCCAATTGGCGATTTAGGCAGCATCCCCTTCGTGAGCATCCCCTTCGTGAGCATCCCCTTCGTGAGCATCACTTGATGCTTCAGATGTCCTCAACTTGCGCGTACTGGTTCAAATACGGAGCATTGAATTCCCCGCGAATATCCCGCGGTAAATTAGCCAGTGGACGTTGCTTGCAAAGGCAGCCAAGGAACAAAAGACACCGCTAAAATCAGGCAACCACCAACCACAGCGCGGGACTCGGCGAGGCAGCCGCGCCCGGCATTTACGACTTGGCGGAAAAGAGCGAACTCTCGCCACCCGCCAGCGCCTAAGGGGCCTCCAGCGAAATTCGCCACGAGCCTCTTTTAGAGCATTCACATGCCAGTATAAATAGCGTCATCCCTACAAGGCGTCATTATCTCCGAGTCCTTAAATTTTTTTTTAATTCCCAAGTGCACCATGGATTCCGTTCTCCTCTGCACATTGCTCGTCGCATCACTCTCCATCCCCGCCACCATCTACAGCCCACATGCCCGGAAACGTCTCCAGGCCGCCATCGCCTCCAGCGAGCGCGCCCGCGATGTCAAACTCCTCGCGGAACAACTGCGGCCCCGCGATCGCCAAGAGGCCCGCATGGTCGCCCGCCTCCTCGTAGAAATCTTCTTCTCCATCGCCGCCGTCCAAACCGTCAGCATCGCCACCCCGCTGCTTCTTCGCAGTTTCCTCGCCAAGATCCCCGACATCCGCGACGGGTCCCGCCGCGAAGGCACGTTTCCGCTGATGGAAATCTCCGCCTACGTCTTCCTCAAGCACGTCGCTTCGGGCTACATACGGTACTACAAGTGGGATCGCACCTACCGCCTGCAAACCCTGTTCACCGACCGCATCACCATCGGCGCCTACACCAAGCTTCTCAGCCTATCCGCCGACTACCACGACGCCAAGAATTCCGGCACCGTGTGGATGACGGTCCGCGGCACCGGCAAGGGCGTCGCGCGCATGCTCCACTCCATCCTCTTCGAGTTCGGCCCCAGCCTCCTGGACATGGCGGTCGGCATTGCCGGCTTCAAGACCCTCGGCAGCACTCGCGCGGCGCTCGCCACGGTCGTCGTCGTCATCCTCTACGGCGTCGTCATCCTGCGCTCCTCGAGCCGCAAAACGGCGTACGAGAGCAGGGCAGCCAGGATGCGCGGCCGGCGCGACCACGTTGGCAGCGATGCCATCCTCAACTGGTGGACGATTTTCTGCTTCGGTCGCTTGAACCAGGAGGCCGAGAGGCACGCTACGGCTGTTCGCGAGATGCGGGAGATCGATGCCCAATATGTCGCCGATCGCTCCACTGGCAATCACCTGAAGCAGCTTGTGTCCAGTGGTGGCCTCCTCCTCTTGTGTATCCTTGTCGGCTACGACATCTGGAACACGCCCGGCCGTAGCGGCGCCGACCTCGTTGTTCTCATGGGCTTCTGGCAGCAGGTCTTCTCTCCCGTACAAGAGATCCTGAACTGGAAGCAGACCATCGATACCTTCTTCATCGACACCCGCAAGCTCATCGACATCTTCGAGGAGGAGCCCTCGGTCAAGGATGTCCCGGAAGCCGCCGACTTACGCCTCACCCGCGGCACCATTGAATTTCAAAACACATCGTTCGCCTACGGCGGCAAGGAGAAGCCTGCGCTTGACGACGTGTCCTTCACCATCGAGGGCGGCAAGACCCTCGCCCTCGTCGGCCAGACGGGCGGCGGCAAGTCCACGACCCTCAAACTACTCATGCGCGCGTATGATCCCTCCTCAGGCAGAATCCTGATTGATGGCCAGGACATAAGCTTGGTCCGCAAGCAGAGCCTCATGGACCACATTGGCATCGTTCCGCAGAGCATCGGCGTGTTCAACACCACGATTCTCGAAAACCTGCGCTACGGAAAGCCCGACGCTACCCTAGAGGAGTGTCAAGAGGCCTGCCGAGCCGTCTGCCTCCATGACAAGATTGCTTCCTTTGAGCTGGGCTACGAAGAGGTCGTCGGCGAGCGAGGTTCCAAACTTTCCGGCGGTGAGCTGCAGCGCCTTGCTACGGCCCGCCTCCTCCTCCGCGATCCGAAAATCGCCCTCTTCGACGAGGCCATGAGCAGCCTGGATAGCGGAACTGAGGCCAAGATCCAGGAGTATCTGCAGACCTGGTCTGCGGGCCGCACGGTGGTCATGGTGGCCCATAGGCTCGTGACGATTGTGCACGCCGACTTGATCTTGGCCGTGAAGAACGGCCAGATTGTAGAACGGGGAACGCACGAAGAACTACTAGCCAAGGGAGGGTACTACTACGAACTATGGTATAAGCAACACCCGTTTTCGGCGGATGGGACGAGGCAGCTTGGCTAAAATTAATGACTTGATGAAAAATTTGCATATTTCCTGTACCGTCACTTTCCTATTTCTTTTTGTTTCTTTCCATGTCACACACGGCCCAGAATTAGCAATAGCATAATCATAGAGAGCATCTCAAGATGGGGTCATAGATTCATTGTAAGAAAATTGTCAAAAAAATAAGAAAAAGAAAAACAAAAGAATTGACGCTTTTGAGCAAGGTAGAAAAAAGAATCAAGATGTGCCTTCGTAGAAGGCGCATTGGGATTTGAGCCCAATGCGGGGTCGAACCCGCAACCTTGAGATTAAGAGTCTCACGCTCTACCGATTGAGCTAACCGGGCAGGTTTATGTAAGCTGGTTGAATATCCATCGCCCAAAACTTGCTTTTCTCGCGCAATGGTACACTTGGAGATCGAGCGCTTCCGTCATCCGAGTGGGGCCTGGTCTTCCCGAGGCGAGACGAGAGGGCGCCCGCTCCCGCTCACCACCCGGCGCTAGCTTCCTCGGCCCAGGTATGCACAGCGTCAGTGGACGCCAGGTATGAAGATTAACCCACGTATAATATTAACGGCCCTGAATATGAGAGCGACTGCCGGTTTGTCGTTCCTATATCGGGAAAAGTATAATGCTAGAGATCAACCTATGTTCATGCTCATAGATCCATGGATGGATGCATTCGCTGTAGACATGTACCTGATATCTCCAATAGATGGTGCAGGTTCACGGCGCAAAAAATGGCCGTCCATATGCCTACCCCGCTTCGACGTTGAATGTCCCACGCTTTGCTTTCCAGTATTACACCCGGATAATTAGCCTAGGGTGCCGAAATCACACCCTTCTTCCGACCAAGACACCATTGTGGTTGGTGGTCGGCGACTGAAAGGAATGGACGTTGGACCAGGCTGAGCGGTGGCGGCCAATCAAGTTCAAAGAGCTGCGTCTAGACGCCAGGGTGACCACCCCATGGCCCCAAAGCCACCGGTTCCTTTCAATTCCATTTGTTTCTCTTTCGAGAAAGACTTCTCATGGTTAATAGTGGTTAGCGACATTCAGTAATGCATGTTGGACGCTTTGACGTTGGCCGACAAGGAACCAGGGAGGGCAATGGTGGCCAATCATGCCCAAAAGCTGCGGCGATGATAAAACCTAGGTGCCCGTTGGGTTCTACTTCAACAAACCGAAGGGGTAAGAATATACGCAGGACATGTATTTTACATATATAACACCATATACCTGTATAAACTTTACTTGACCTCTTTGGATGGCCCCAGATTTGTACCTTCCGATTGGTACAATTTGCTGCCAACCATACCGACCAGCTTCATGCACTATCCCACGAAGCTTAGAAGCCCCTCTCCGTACTCGTTGATGCTTGGTGTATCGTAGCGATGGAAGGAGGCGGTAAACTTCCATATAGGACTAGGGTCAAACGCTTTTTCCGAAGCGCACCCACGAGAGGAGGAGAGCAGCATGGCGCCTGTCAATTGCCGCAAGGGAGTACATACCCTTCCGGTATCAAACTTTTATCTAACCCAGAGCGTAGTACTGTCGAGTATGGTTTCCTCCCGCCAATTCTCCGAGTTATGCTAATAGTTATCACCAGCATCGTCTTCGTCCACGGCCTAACCGGCGATCGGGAGCGGACGTGGACCGCTCGCGATAATGATGAGCCATGGCCAAAAACTTTACTCCCACCCGCACTTCCAGCAGCTCGCATCCTGACGTATGGTTACGATGCATATGTGGCTGATTGGAGTGGCCTCGTATCGCAAAACCGAATTGCGAACCATGCCTGGAATCTGCTCACATCCTTAGCAACATACCGAGACCAGGATATGACGGTGTGTGTAACGCGCCTGCGGTCTTTGCTAAGTGCTAACATGCGCACATAGAATGACCGACCGATTATATTCGTCTGCCATAGTCTAGGAGGGCTGGTGTGCGAAGACGTAAGTAGCATGCTATCTTGTAATGACTATGCTAACATAGAATAGGCGTTAGTTAAATCAAGGAGAGACCAGAGCCGCACCTCCAGAATATAATTCGCTGGACTCAAGGTATTCTCTTTTTGGGAACTCCACACCAAGGATCAGGGTTAGCGAGATGGGCGGAGCACATCTCGAGGGCTGTCGGCCTCGTGAAACAAACGAATCCCAAAATTGTCGAAACCCTTAGGCGCGATTCCGAGGTCCTAGCTCGCATCCAGGACAGCTTTCATACAATGATCAAAGCACGTGCGGTGGAAGGTGTACCAGAGATCCACATAACTTGCTTTTACGAGGAACTCCCAATAGTCGGGGTTGGGATGGTATGTTGCCTAAGCCGAACCAAATGTTAACAGTCCTAACCTATCAGAGATAGGTTGTTCCGAAAGAATCGGCAATATTACCAGGGTATATTCCGATTGGAATTCATAGGAACCATCGTGATATGGCCAGGTTTGAAGGTCCTAATGATGCTGGGTTCGTGGCCGTCTGTGGGGAGCTGTGTCGCTGGGTGAGGGACATGAATTCGGCGAAGGACCGGGTACCTCTGGAATCTCAGGCATCCTCGCCTCCAGGCCCCTCACGGCCGCAGCCAAGCGGGGCGAGGATGCACAGCAACAATAACCGCCAGTACAATGCCTCCGGGTCCGCCGTCCAGCACAACGTCCACGGCCACTACTTCAACGCCAACCGGGACCAGAATTTCGGTACGATCCCTCCGTGGCCAGAGAGAAATGGACCCTAAGAACATCGATAGCTTAGTAAAAAGGTCTAACCTATTCTTAGGCACCATCATCAAGGGTGATCAGCATATCCATCAGACCAAAAGTTAGTTTCATCGCTGCATGTTCTGTGAAGCCGCATCTTCCTGACCCTACGCTGGATTTAGGCGAACCACACGTGCCCCATCACGTTATTCACTTCCAACGTAATGAGGCTTTCGTCCACCGCGATGATATTTTGGAAGCCCTCGAAACCTTGATTCCACACTCCTCTCAACAGTACCAGAGCGCTGCGCTCCACGGCCTTGGTGGTTCCGGGTAAGTTCTCGATATTTTAGCCCGCACGATCTATACTAATCAATACATGTAACCCAAGTAAAACCCAAGTCGCCCTCTACTATGCCTACCGCCGGTGCGACCCTGCGACTAAAAACATGTGTTCTGTGTTTTGGGTTAATGCCGATACCGAGGCAACATTTGTAGCAGATTACAAGGCCATTGCTAGACGCTTAAAATTCTCGTCCGATCTTGACGGTGAGGATTTACTCATAGCTGTACGTGAGCAGATTGAGAGTGAGCCACGATGGCTGCTGGTCCTCGACAACGCCGACAATTTGAGGTTGTTTTATGGAAACACCGTATCCCAACCCATACCACCAGGGCAGGGACAGGAGGTGGCCAAAGAGTCAGAGCCCACGACTTTATACGCCTATGTCCCACGGTGCGGTACGGGTACAGTGCTATGGACTAGTCGCGATGAAGGGATTGCCGGCTCTCTGGTTGGCCAGAATCGCGGTATCAGAATTGATCGAATGAAGGAAGACGAAGCGATGACATTGCTTAAAAGCTGGACAAGTATTCGTTCAGCGGAACTCGACGATGCGACAAACTTACTCCAGGAGCTCCAATGCCTTCCCTTGGCCATCTCCCAGGCAGGCGCATACATGCGCAGCATGTCCATGCCAATACAGAAGTACTTGGCGCGATTATCAGAAGAAAGAACGAGGTGGGAAGTATTAAAAAATGAATTCCCCGACCGACATCGACAGCCAGGAGTACCAAATAGTATTCTGCAGACGTGGAACATTTCTATCGAACGAATCAAACATGATAGCAGAGAAGCCTATACTATTCTCCACATCGTCGCATATATCAGCAACCAGAATATTCCATCTACAATATTTGAGAGAGCAGCGGAGCTAAGAAATTCAGATAGCCCTACACGAGAGGCGAGCGAATCATGGGAAATTGAAGATGGGTTATCGAGGGCGGTTACACGACTAAAGGACTTTGCGATCTTAAAGGTGAATGGCGAAGGGGAGTCCCAGACTTACGAGATACACAAGCTCGTACAAGAGGCCGCGCGATATAGGCTCAGCACAGATAACTCAGGAGGCAGTGCATACTTCTCGAGTAATGCACTACATATCATGAAAGATCTATTCCCTGAGAGAAAGCGCGAGAATTGGGAAGAATGTGAGAAATACATGGCACATATTATACAAGTATGCCAATGGGCCGAGATTGGCAAGAAGGAGGTAGAGGCAGCAGATCTTTTAATCTGTGTTTCAAATTACCTCTTTGACCGTGGAAGATGGAGGGAAAGGGAACCAGTGGACAAGAGAGCTCTAGAGCTTCGCAGGCAAACTCTCGGCGAGATACATCCTGCCACGATCTGGAGTATGGCAGAGCTCGCAGTAACTTACCATGCCCAGGGTCGGTATGCCGAGGACGAAGAAATTTCGGTTAAGGTGCTAGACCTTCGCAGGCAGACTCTCGGTGAGATGCATCCTGACACGATCTACAGTATGGCATCTCTCGCAGCGACTTACCATGCCCAGGGTCGGTATGTCGAAGCTGAGCCGATAAGGGTGAAGGCTTTAGACCTTCACAGGCAGGCTCTCGGCGAGATGCATCCTGACACGATCTATAGTATGGCATCTCTCGCAGGGACTTACTATGCCCAAGGTCGGTATGTTGAAGCTGAGCAGATACAGGTGAAAGCTTTAGACCTTCGCAGGCAGGCTCTCGGTGAGATGCATCCTGACACGATCCATAGTATGGCATCTCTCGCAGTGACTTACTATGGCCAGGGTCGGTATGCTGAAGCTGAGCCGATACAGGTGAAAGCTCTAGAGCTTCGCAGGCAGACTCTCGGCGAGATGCATCCTGCCACGATCCGGAGTATGTCAGACCTCGCTGTGACTTACCATGAGCAGGGTCGGTATGTTGAAGCTGAGCCGATAAAGGTGAAAGCTCTAGACCTTCGCAGGCAGGCTTTCGGCGAGATGCATCCTGACACGATCCGGAGTATGACATCCCTTGCAGCAACTTACCATGCCCAGGGTCGGTATGTTGAAGCCGAGCCGATGAAGGCGAAAGCTCTAGACCTTTGCAAGCAAACTCTCGGCGAGATGCATCCTGACACGATCCGGAGTATGACATCCCTTGCAGCAACTTACCATGCCCAGGGTCGGTATGTTGAAGCTGAGCCGATACAGGCGAAAGCTCTAGACCTTTGCAAGCAGATTCTCGGCGAGATTCATCCTGACACGATCCGTAGTATGCAATCTCTAGCAGCGACTTACTATGCCCAGGGTCGGTATGCTGAGGATGAACAAATTTCAGTCAAGGTGCTAGACCTTCGCAGGCAGACTCTCGGCGAGATGCATCCTGATACTCTTCACTCTATGTACGATCTATCTGCTACCTGGAGTCGCTGTGGCCGCCTTGGGGACTCTATAACCCTCATGGAACAATGCTTGGATCTAAGGCGTACTGTGTTGGGATCTCGGCATCCCTTCACAATCGAAACAGACACAGCCCTTCGTCGATTGAGGCAGCGTGGGTGATTCTGATAAAATAGCAGAAACCTTGCGAACGATTGAGACTGTACTCTCTAGACCTCCCAAAGTGGTCCTCTTGATCTTAATCTCCTCTCAACGCGATACAAATGCTTATAATCATTTATCATAATACACTTATCCACTTCCTATCCTACTCCTCAATGGCAGCCCAGTTCTCCTGAATAACATCAACAATCACACCATGGTCCAAGTCCTGCGAAAGCCCGCTCACCACCACGACCGCCACCACGCCATCCACGCCCTTGACCCGGATAGGCACGCCCCGCCGTGGATCGCGTACCGGTTCGCCTGCTCGTCGGAAAAGGCAAACAGCTTGCGGAACGCCTCCTGGTCGCCGTTCCACTTGCGGTTCAGGAACCACGTGCTGCAGCCCCACCGCAGCACGCTGTTGCGCTTCCGCTGGATCCACGTCTCGTTGTCGGGGAGCGTGCCGGACCCGACGGCCGCCTGGAACACGATTTGGCCGGGCGCGAGGGAGATTTGGATCACGCTGGGCTGCTTCGCGGAGATGGGGAGCAGGCGGGCGTGCAGGAGGTGGCCGAGCTCGTAGGCGTCTTGGCTAGTGAAGGATTCGAAGGTGAAGGAGTCGCAGGTGGCTTTGATGACGTCGGCCTATATCGGTTCCCCCAAAAGAGTTAGCAAAGAAGAAAAGACAACAATCACGGGCTCAATTCTGCGGGCCCTGAGGCCAGATTACGCCGGCGCACAAGGGTACGCGGGGATGCGACCTACCTCCGAAGGGGGCGGGGAATGGGCCGGCCGGCGTCGGCGCTGCGAATCTGCGCAAGATCCGCCTCTAGTCCGAACCCTTGCTGGGCATTGCGGCGCCTGAGGACTTTCTGCGACATGGTGACGATGGAATGGATTTTGCGATTTGTGGTTTGCGGAGAAAAGTGCGGTGTTTCTTTCTTGATGACGCCAAGAATCGTTAGGGAGGGCGGTCGTGAGCCGTTTAGCTTAATACTCCTTGCTATATATACTATGCACCCGAAAGTTAAAAGCTGCGAGGCGAGCCCGCCTTTACGTCTCCCGTCTATAACCCCCGCACGTGATAACCAAGCCGTTTCTGCGACGGGAGACACGATTTCCAACTGCCACCAGCGCTAGCGGTGGAGCAATGATCCTTTGAGGGGTCTCGCTTCGTTGGGGAATTTCCTCGCCCTGCGTGGTGCGGATGGCGCCTCCAGAAACACAAGCGTGACAATGTGGTAAGACCCCATATAGTCCCGCTGAAGATGTGCCGGGCCGACTAGCCACGAGCTACGAGTTGCGAACGAGCAAATCAACGTTGGGGTTCGGGAAATCGTCGGCGCATCAGATGCGGAGCAGCTAGTGTCTGTCCCACAAAATACTGAAGCTTCGTGCTTGCTCCCCAATGTTTTTTTTTGATAGCTCCGCACCACAGGCCAACGAGGGCCCCAGGTGGTGTATGTACTCTACGCATGGGCTTTGATAAACCAGCCGAGTCACAATTTCATGCTGACACGTTATAGACGGCCGTCTGAATCGTCTCATGGTTACGAGAGTATCACATAGAAAGGAGAGGAACTTGAATAGAAGGGAGGTCTTGCGTCAAAGCGATAAGAATACCTGCATCTAAACTTGAGCGCTTCGAAATGCCGTTTTTAGATCCTCGGGTGTGCTTGGGTGAGCACAAAATTTCCTATTTAGGAAGGTTTCCGAACTCACCAGGTCTGGCCAGGTTGGCTGATAGTAACCCCTTCCAATGCACTCCACGCCGAGCTGGGCTGATCGAACCGCGGAGACACGGGCATAACCTGAGATCGAAGAAACCCTGTTCCTTCGATTAAGCGCGATAGAGACCCAGTGCATATAAACAGAAGCGGCACTAAATCCGAAAATCCCCGGAAAGCCTTGGCGCGACTGGATTAACTCACCCTAATAGATAAGTGACGTCTTCCAACTCGTAGTTTCACCTTAAGTCGGGTTTTCGAACCCACTAGAGCTTATAGTCTGTTTACAGGCCGAAGACTAGTACATACGACCATAGCTCGTAGAATATTGAGGGTCCCGTCCGCTCCCCTGTACACAAGCTGCGAAGCGCCGGACTAGTAGTTGGGTCGGTGACGACCAGCGAATCCCCGGTGTTGTATGTTTTCTTTTCTTTTCTTTTTCTTTTTTTCATGCTTTCTTTTCTTCATATTTCCTAATATCCTTCAACCTAGGCAGGTATCAATCACTGATGTCTTCTTCATGTGGAACTACATCGTCGTCGCCTTGGCCAACCTTGCAAGCCTCTGCTCTGTGGTGCGATTCATCACAGGCCCGCGGCTATAACGATCACGAAAAATGTGATTGAAATCTTGATGCTAGTCTAGAATACACCGGGGCAGGGCCACAAGGCATATTTTGAATTGGAAAAGGGTGATGATGGGCAGAGGATAACTACCGGGACCACAATTACCAGCTGGCAATTATCGCGGCGTCATCAAGGCAAATAGCCTAGTTTCCATCTGCCCTCATGTAACACCTCTTCGGAATCTAGACGCACAGGCTCAAAACCTCACAACTTTGTCCCCTTCGGCTTCGACAACCTCACCTGCGGGTGATGCACATAGCTCACGTTCCGTAACCTCGCCATCGGCTCCAGCTGCAATTCCTCCCTCAACAACCCGTACACCCCCGCGGCCGCTTTCCCCTTCCACTTCTCAGCCCACTCGAGCGCGAGCGGGAGCATCTTCTCCGGCGCGACGGCAGCATCGACGATCCCCGCCTCCAGCGCCTCCTTACCCGTGAATCGGTGGCCCTCGAGGAGCACCCTGCGCGCGGTCTGGGGCGGCAGCTTCGACTTGAGGAGCGAGCCGATGCCGGGGAAGTGCATCCCCAAGTCCACGGCAGGCATGCAGAAGAAGCCACGCTCGACGTTCATGATCCGGTAGTCGAAGGCGAGGGAGAAGGGGCATCCGCCTCCAAAGGTGTGGCCGGTGACCATGGCGATGGTGGGGAAGGGGAAGTCGAGGATGGCGTGGAGGAGCTAAAGGAAAAGGAGGAAATGACAAGTCAGTTTCACCGCGGCCGGGCACGGGGCTTGGTTCGGGGAGGCTTACCGGGTAGAACCCATCCGGACCAGCGTAGGGGTTCTTTGCGACCTCTTCCAAATCCACGCCCTAGAGTGTGGGAAATTCCGCTTAGTCTCGGCCTAGCCGGGCGCTCTCCGTCAAGCCGGGAAACCTACATTGGTGAAGAACTTGGCATTGTTGCCACGCACGATAAGGGCACCGGGCCCTTGGCCGAACTCATTGCGAGCATAGCTCAAGAAGTGGATAATCTCCTGGCACAGCGCCACGTTGAGCCGGTTGTCGTCGCCGTTGCTTAGCGTGACGAGGAAGACGTCACCGCGCCGCTCGATATCCAAAAGTTTATAATCTGCCATGTTTCGGTCGTGTCGCGGGGGTTGATATCTCGCGAGTTGTCGTGCAAAGGGTGAGACGAGGATGGCTTGGTTGACCCGAAGGAAAGTGTGGGGATAAGGTTCGGGGAGACCCTTGTTGTGGATGGCAGGCGCACGCCCCCGCGTTGATCCCAAGACAAGCTGCTGATTTAAGCCCGAACCGTCGATTTTCATACCTCGGCACTGGCGTCGCATCAGCATTACATCCACCCTACATCCCGTTATTCAGCTGGTTGGATTTACATTTGTTTCTTGCTTCTCTTGGCGATCAAGATAACAAATACGCTTGTTTAATGGCCGCGATGAGTTAAATCAACAAGGACAAGGCGGTTCGGGGTCTACACGTAGCATAGGGTGTATATGAATCTTATTGCCTCCGAAGCTTCGTTGGTAAGGCACCGTGAATACTCTAAATGTTCACTCGAAGGGTTTATCAAACAACTGCTAGGGCGTGTAGTATGATGCTCCGTGTAAATATTGTGATAAGTATTGGGTATTTTCAGGTAGCGAAAAAAATCAGATATATCACAAGTAACTCCAACATGAAACCTCGCCCCAACGCCTCCGTCCCGTCAACCCCAAAAGTTTGTGTCCGTCACTCAAGAACTGCCCAAAGCAGAATGCCGCCGAGTGAAGCGCATAAGAAAGACTGTGATCGAAAAGGCCGAGGAGACTACTCCTGACCTCCCCAGACCTCACCTCCCGCCATCGGTAAAACAGCAGCCCCCGTTGGTTCCAAAGCAGCATCCTCCGTTATCTCCAAAACAGCAGCCCTTATTCCTTCCGAAGCAGCAACCCCCATGGTCGCCGAAGCAACAGCCTCCATGATCCCCGAAGCAGCAGCCGCCATTATCGCCAAAGCAGCATCCGTCGTTATCTCCGAAACAGCACCCGCCATTTGTACCAAAGCAGCACTCGTCTCGATGTGGTTTCCTGCTCCGGCTCGCGCTCATGTCTTCGGCGGCGCGGTACCCTTGCGCGTCAACGGCGGAGTCTGTGCTGGCTCGGGGATCTCGACGTAGCCGCTGGGTAGGGTCCGGCCGGAGGGGCGAGAGATGCGCTGGGGCTGGGCGGCGGTGTTCATGTGATGAGTTCGGGGTTGGGAATTCGTGGTAGGCGCCGTGGAGCCTGACGCTGCCGATCGATTCGCGTCGGGGTGAGAAGCATCGTATGAAGGCGGGGCCTCGTCGGCGTAGGTGTCAACCATGGGGACATGCCCAGAATTGCCCTTAGTGGCCGCCATGTCTTTTGGAGAGCTAATTCACTGCCCTTTTTCTTTCAAGGTTACTTTTCCACAGTATATTTTTCTTTTTGCTCTTGGTTGATCTCTCGATCTTCAATTAGAGTGCGATTCGAGATAAAGGTGCTGGATTAGGGTTGAAAATATTCAAGAAGCAGAGTAATTTTCAACCACGAGGAGCTGGTGGCGCAGCGCGGGGCCGGCCTATTTGAAAGAGCCGATTTCCCAGGCACGCGGGAGCAGAAGAGGGAACCGAACCCTCCATTCATCGTATCGAGCGTAATCACGGCTGACGGGCGTCCACGTAATCCTCTGGTGCTTTAGGTGCAAAGGGAGCGATCCCCTTTCTTTATTGGCCAATCAACCACGACCAGCGACACCCAAGTCCTTTTTCGACTTTCAAGGTGGTGCCATTCGTAGGCGGCGTGAAGCGCTTAGGCATCACCTGTCCTGACACGAGCAACACCTATGCGTGCATCAACCTGCATGTCTCCAGGGAGTTCTCCGGACGTCTCAATTGGGCTCTAACTAAGGGCTGAACATGCTATCTATCGAGGGAGCTCCTTAGGTCTAGTCTAGCCGACGTGTGCGGGCTCGCCGAAGTAGGGACGATTAGCGCGACCTCTCCCATCAACCAAGGAGAGCACGATTTGATCGTGCATGCACCTTTAATATTCGAGCAAGAATTCTTATTTTTCTTTCTTTTGCGAACGGGGTCCACCAAGATCTCGTCACGGGGAGCCTTTTCATTGCAGCCCAGTTGGCAATGGACGGACTGCATCGGTGCATTTTGTAGATCCGGGGGCTCGCGTGGTATCCCGGCCGCGCCGAGCTCTTGGCTTCGTACCGATAGGGCCAGCAGAGGAGATCAAAAAAGGTCTCAATGCCGGCAGCATGCCCCGAAGTAGGTGGAACTCTGCAGTTCAAGGCCGGCCTTTCAAGCTCATGCCGCCCTCCGTCACCCACGTTTTCGGGATCAAGTGGAGCCATGTTGGCAGGGATCTTCTTAGCGTAGTTGGGCCGGGCTCGTGAAAGAACCGCAAGCACAAGTTGCAGAGCTACCCCAGAAAGCACTTTTCACGCCCGAAGGAAAATACTAACTTGCTATTAGAGATTGGCATCTCTGATGCGATGGGCACAATCTCTCCAGTGGTGTGTAGCTGAGCGCCTGCTGAAGTATCGTAGCAGGAGCTCGTTCCTTCTGTTTCCATCTCCTCGCTCTCATTCTTTCTATTTTCTTCTCTTTTTCAGACTCTTCTCCAGCATCTAAGGCTTTTTTTTCTTATCCATTTCGAGACTCGGAGTACAGTTTTGAGAGTGGCTCAAATCTCACTCGTGTGCGTGGTTTCCTCCAACCACTCCCACGATACCTAGGGAAACTCACCTCCATGACGGGCATGCGCGAGAGTGCCGACGAAGCTCGGTCGCATGAGTTAACCAACATTCCGTCTACCGCACGGCAACACGGCAAAAAATGAAATCAATCTCGCTGCAGTCCAAATTGCCAAGGAGCTTTGTGGCGTTGTGAGATGCAGAGACACAGAGCATCAACACTGGTCCCATGCAGCCACATCCGTCTGGCGCAGGGGGCAACGGAATCTTTCCTCCTCCCCTAGCCCACGTCGACAAATCACCACGCGCTCGTCCCGATAACCCTGATAACGAGGTGAAAGCAATAATAATCGCCGCCACACAAAGGAATGGAACCTTGCCGGGCGGATAGCGCACCACTCCACTCCAGTTCACGGTAGCCCTTTCGTGGCCAGCCCCTCTCTTCGCATTTCGAGAAAGGGCAGACACAGTGGAACAAGAGCGTAACCTGCCACCAATCCCGACTCTATCATGCCGGAGGGCACCAAAGGGAAAGCCGCATCGTTAGCGATGGGGATGGGAAATCAAGCGCAGGGACGGAAATCGGGTAGCGTTGTTGCTGATTAACCCTCGAGCGCAAAGTTGGCTGGATGGTGCGGGCAGATTTCCGCCCGACCCATGCAACACCCACCCGCAATTTCAGGGCGCAAGGCACGATCCGCCAGAGCCGCCCGTGGGGAGGCGTCAAAGACACCCATGGATGCAAGGAAAGAGTTATCAGTTTTCCGTCCCCGTGCGGCTGAATCATGTTCCATCCCACCCTCGCGTGTGACGGGTTGACGCAGGTCAAGGGGGAAGGAATAGCGCATGCCTATGTCTAGTCCCCAACATGAACGAGTAGGGTAGATAAAAGGATGTCGTACGCCTCGATTTGAGTACGTCGTTCGTTTAGTGTTCTCCGGACGCCCTTCAAACATAAAGCAACTAGGAAGCCCAGCCACCAAGCTCCCGCCCCATTTGCCTCCATACGATCTTCACGAACCGAGAACAAAAGCAAAGAAGATACACACCCAACCAAATTCCCCGACTTCCGCATCCAACCCTCCAACATGTTTCGTCCTCTTCTCATCGCCACCATCCTCGCCCCCTCGCCCTCGCCGAGTTCTCCGACGTCTTCTCCATCCTCGAAGACGGCGCGTGCCGCTCCTGCCTCCTCGACATCTACAACCCGTGCGCGGCAGCCGACAAGTACAGCGAAAGCCTCACCGGCGCCTTTTCCGAGTGCGTCTGCGGGTCGGCGGGCGAGGCCGCGGCCAAGAGCTGCCGGGAGAAGAGCTGCACCGACACCATCGGCGGGCTCTCGGTGGATACGTTTTACAACACGTGGTGCCTCAACAGCAACCAGGGGTTCCGCGAGGACAAGTGCGCGTTGACGGACCGCGAGTTCGAGTTCTACGTGACCAATGCCGGTCCTGCGCTGACGACGGCGTGCGACGCCCTCCGGCGAGCGGACGAGGACGAGGCGGCCACTGGTCAGGAGGTGCGACGCCTACGGCGGGTGGTGCGGGGAGTTCGAATACGGCGCCGGCAGGTGGGAACTCGGCTGGTGGGGATTCCGCGGCCGGAAGGGTAGCTAGCCCGATGGGTGTTGCGGGGCTAGCGGGGATGGGCTTGGGACTTTGGTATATGCTGGGGGCCTAGTGTTGGAGAATATAGGGTAGAAAATATACGATATGAAAGAGAAAAAGATTCACTGTTTGCGATTTTTCGATAAGTGTCATTCTTTGGGATCTGCTAGGAGTGGGACGAGGGTGCTCTATCTTAGAGCAGCCCGGGTCTAGCATGTGGTGTTGTCGATATTTCTCCGTTATTCGCATGCAAAAGAATGAACAAGCGTACAAGCGTTGTATCGTACGGCAAGTGCAACAGTCTTGGCAATCATGCAGATGTTTCCGTCGCCTCTGTGTATGGTCCCTCCGATGACCGGCATGGCTGCCCGGTCGAAGTCGGAAGGGGGCTCCTTGCAGGGAGATTTATCCGAGCCCTGTTTCCTACCATTTGGGTGGGTTGCAATACCGTCTCTCGTGGAAGAAGATGCGTTCTCGACGATCTGGGACGTGCAGACAAGGTTATCCTGGAGTAGCATCGCCGAGTTCTTCACATGTGCTGATCGCGACGCGGCGGAGACCGAGAATAAACCGGCAGTGAGTTTTTAACGCCTACATATCAGCGAACTAACGCGACAGGGCATCATTTCCACATGGAAGACAGTCTAGATCTTGGGAGTCACATGCAGCGCTTTCAAGTTTCATCGGGGTCAAGGACCTTGACGAGAGGTTCTGTCTTGCATCACGGAAATCTGCCCGGGATGTCGCGATACACTGCGTGAGGATTGGACAAAGGGGAGCTCATGCTAGAAAGCTGAAGAGAACTAGGAGGGAAGAACAAAATTGAAAAAAAAGGCGCGCGGGATTTCTGGACGTTGCTACAGAGGGCCGGGAGCTTTGGGGACGGGTAGCGATCGGAGGTTCTCTCGATCAACGGAAATCTACGGAGAAGAGCGCCTCTACGGGTATTGGCCTCGTACGACAAACAAAAATGGCGAAAGGTGCTATCCTGCGGGCGCCATGGAGGTTAGTCTACGAGACGTTCTAGTATGATGAAGGCATCAAAGCTGATGGATCAACGATGAATGGACCAACCCTCATGGTGCTAATGAAGCGTCATGACGTCTGGTTGTTCTGGGCACTGGTCTAGTATTAAAAAGGCTTCTATTTAATCCGTGGATATTCTAGACAATCTCCACGCTGTCAATTTTAAACTTCCAGGAACCCTTTTCCTCTTCTTTTACTTTGTTTCACTCTTTCTTCTTCCCTTTCAATTCTATTTCGATCGGTCGCGACCCAATCCGGACCCCACGATGACGAGCTAGGTCACGCTCCAGCGCCCACAATGTGACCCGCGCGCCGAAATGGTGGGTGGCCTTCCGCGTGCCAGGAACACGCACGCGTAACTGGGTAGGCAAAAAAGAACAAAAGAAGGCAGTCAATGGAGGGGGCACTCAAACTGACAGCCGGCTAGCCAACTTCTTCCGTAACTCCGCCTCGAGTTTCTGTGCGCGTGCCGAGGACAGCAGGGGACACATCAAATCCCCGTTCATCATCGATAGACCCGTTCCGAATCTCACGTACGATGTCTTTTTTCTTTTTATCGGGTCCTGGCATATTGAGTGGGAGAGCAGGAGTCTTGGGAAGTGTTAGCGTCTCGCACCTCCCGTCGACTTACCTCGGCACGTTTGAGAAAACAAAGAAAAAGATCCAGGACGAGTGGGGTGGATCGGTAAAGGGCGAATGAGAATCGAGTCTCGCTTTCGGGGCTTGGCGGCATGCTCGGGACATTAATAGCTGAAGGATTATTAGGTTTCTGTCCCTGTGGTTGTCTGCTTCAGTTTGGGGGCAAGAAAAACAAGCGGAAAAGGCACACGCAAAACTCAATGTAAAAGGTCAACTTTTGATGTATTTTCAAGATGTCGAGACACCTTTCTCCTATTCTTTATCCATTTTCATAATTTCACGATCAAGGATATTTTCCTCACTTGTTCATAACATCCGTGGTTGGATGCATGTAGTGGCTGAATCAACCCATGTGTGCCAGCAGGACTTGGCGATCGTCGCTCTGGCAGGCTCCGCACACACATGGAGGGCCGGAGCAAACGTCGGGCAAGAGAGACCAGCACCGCTGCCGAGGTGCACTCGAATGAATTCATCTCTGGCAGCAGGGTCCGGTCTGGTCTGGTGGGACGGACGGAAGATTAAAGTGTAGATTGATAAGGGCATCGCCCAATGACAGCGCCTCGTGGCCATGGCCAGCGCAACCTAGTACCGTCCGACATGCCGGACCCGCCACGACGGGCTTTCCAACGCTGGCTGTCACGAACGCAACCCCTTCCTGGAACCGAGGGCCGAGAAGGTCGAATTCGCCGTCGCACGAGGGCGCGTCCGCTGAGAGCCTCAATTGCCCCCTTGGCCCCTCACCACCCCCCTTTACCCCCACGCCCCACGGGGATGGTGCGTTCGGCGCCCTCCCCCTTTGGAGGGGCACGCTGGCACACTCTCGACGAGTAGTGTTTTGGGGGTACAGAAGTGCCGTGTGGTACCCTCGGCGCTGTTCAGCTTCGATCAATTTCTTGGAGTTGGCCTAGTTGGGGTCAACCAAAATTGATTTTTGGGGTTCGGTTCAGGCGCGGGTTTATTTGCCCAGTTCTGCGACAGCGCTAGGCCTGTCTGTGGCACGTCCCCAAATTCCTTGTCTTCTGCCCTGAGCCGAAGTCCGTTTCGGCCTTTGCGCTGAGCTCCCGCGCTCCTCCGATATCGCGCGGTGAGCTCAGTGCTGCCCCCAGGGGAACCGCGGCACAACCTCGGGGTACGTATCCATTTTGAACGCGTCTAGTGCCGTTTTGGAGAAACCCTCTTTTTTTTCTCTCACGCACTCCTCTCGGTGGATACACGTACCCCAACCTGAGAAAGAAAAAGAACCAGAAGAAAAGAAAAAAAAAGAAAAAAGAAGAAAAAGAGGGTCGGCTGCTCGGTTGCTCCAGTCAGACATCTGATCTCATCGCGGTTGGATAAGTAACGTCCGCCACCTCCCACTCCATCCGCCTCGGATTCAAACTCAATCAGAGTTTATTTTCTTTTTCTTTTTTTCTCTTTTTTTCTTTCTCGATTTCCCCCTTGGTCCCCCGTGTCCTCAGTCTCCTTAAGAACTCCCCGGACCCCGCGATTTCTTTCCCTTCTTTCCCCAGAAAAGAAAGAAAGCCTCCTTCCTTCCCTCTCTCATACCCCCTTCCCTTCCCTACCTCATTTCACCACACACATCCACAATGCCTACGAACCCCGACTGGGTAAAGGCCCTCAAGCCCTCGGGCCCCCAGGGCTCCGAGCTCCTCGCCCAAGAACGCGCCAAGTCCACCGTCAACGTCGAGCAGCTGTCCAACTTCATGTTCACCAAGGACGTGCTCGCGCGCAAGGCCAACATTGAAAAGATCCTGCGCGCCGACCCCGTCTTCGACAAGTCGCAAAACTACTTCCGCGCCCGCACCGACCGCATCGAGGTCTCCCTCGCCCGCGCCAAGGCCCTCCGCCTCCTCTCCGTCAAGCACAACTGGTCCAAGGAGGAGTACGAGACGGCCAACAGCCTCATGGCCGAAGCCACCCCTACGGCCTCCACGCCTCCATGTTCCTCAAGACCCTCGAGGAGCAGACCACCCCGGAGCAGAAGAAGCTCTTCCTCGAGCCCGCCCAGGACTACAAGATCATCGGCTGCTACGCCCAGACCGAGCTCGGCCACGGCTCCAACGTCCGCGGCCTCGAGACCACCGCCACCTGGAACCCCGAGGACAAGACCTTCACCCTCCACTCCCCCACCTCACCGCCTCCAAGTGGTGGATCGGCTCCTCGGCAAGGCCGCCAACCACGCCGTCGTTGTCGCCCAGCTCATCCTCAACGGCAAGAGCCGCGGCCCCCACCCCTTCATCGTCCCCATCCGCGACCTCAAGACCCACCTCCCTCTGCCCGGCGTGCACGTCGGCGACATCGGCCCCAAGTTCGGCTTCAACACCATGGACAACGGCTTCCTCCTCTTCAAGGACTTCAAGATCCCCCACGTCAACATGCTCGCCCGCTTCGCCGCCGTCGACCCCGCCACCGGCAAGTACCTCCAGCCCGCCAACCCCGCCCTCGTCTACGGCACCATGACCTACATCCGCTCCGGCATCGTCTTCGAATCCGGCTCCGTCCTCGCCCGCGGCGTCACCATCGCCACCCGCTACTGCGCCGTCCGCCGCCAGTTCCAGGACCGCGACGCCCCCGACGGCGAGGTCGGCGAGAACCAGGTCCTCAACTACACCATGGTCCAGCACCGCCTCCTCCCCTCATGGCCGCCTCCTACGCCCTCCACTTCACCGGCCGCAGCATGATCAACCTCTACAACGCCAACCAGCAAAAGATGGCCTCCAAGGACCAGACCGGCTCCGGCGCCCTCCTCGCCGACCTCCACGCCATCTCCTGCGCCCTCAAGGCCTTCGCCTCCACCACCGCCGCCGAGGGTCTCGAGGTCTGCCGACGCGCCTGCGGCGGCCACGGCTACTCCGCCTTCTCCGGCATCGGCACCTTTACGCCGACTACCTCCCCACCGTCACCTGGGAGGGCGACAACTACATGCTCACCCAGCAAGTCGCCCGCTACCTCCTCAAGGCCGCCCGCGGCGTCCTCGCCGGCAAGCCCTCCAAGAGCGACATCAGCCAGGTCCTCCGCCGCTTCATCGAGAGGCGCGACGTCGGCAACGCCTTCGACGTCCTCTCCGACGACCAGGACCTCGTCGACGCCTTTGGCTGGCGCGTCGCCTACCTCACCCTCGAGGCCCTCCGCCACCGCGACGAGGACAAGCGCGCCTGGAACAGCCTCCTCGTCGACTTCTGGCGCCTCTCCACCGCCTTCGCCCAGTACCTCGTCGTCAAGACCTTCCTCGAGGCCCTCCGCGACCCCGCCACCCAGGCCAGCCTCGACCAGGAGACCCAGGTCCTCCTCCACAAGCAGTTCCAGCTCTTCGCCCTCTCCCACCTCACCACCCACGCCACCGAGTTCTTCGCCTGCGCCGCCGCCACCGTCCGCCAGCTCGAGCTCGCCCGCACCAAGCGCACCCTCGCCCTCCTCGGCGAGCTCAGGCCCCACGCCGTCCGCCTCGTCGACGCCTGGCAGTTCTCCGACTGGGCCCTCGACTCCTCCCTCGGCCGCTACGACGGCAAGGTCTACGAGGACATGTTCCACCGCGCCTCCGAGCTCAACCCCTCAACGACATCGTCTTCGACCCTTACCCCGAGTCGCCCGTCCTCTTCAAGAAGGACGCCAACAAGACTTCCAGGCTGTAAACGGGCCTTGACCTTGGGTAAAGGAGCCGGCGTTTGTTTTTCTTGTGCTATAGATACATGTTATATTTCCTATGTCGCATACATTTTACCCCCATCGTGTTAAGCAAAAGGAGTTAATAGACTTTTTCAACTTGTATCTTTCGCAGGTCCCCTGCCCTTCTTTGTCTCATGAACCTTGACACTATCGTGAACACCAATGACCATGTCCAGCCCATGTCTTGGTGGTGATACAACAACTGAGCAGCAGCACAATTAATTTATGAATCTTAGCAGTACACATTATTTGGGACTTGGTGGATTAGTTTCTCTTTCCGCATTAAAACAACTGTCCTCTCCCGTCTCCGTTTTTCAACAGACCTAGAGTACTACATCCAGCAATTGATACATACATGTAGATGTAGAGTGCAACAATAGACCCCTCCCCATTAAGCCACCCGGACCGTGACATTCCCCTAAAGTCCTCGCTCGAGCTACCCACATACACAGTAAAATCACCAGGCTCAACCACATACTTCATCTTGCGATTCCACAACCCCCACTCCGCCACCGCCAGCTTCACCTGCACCTTGCGCGACTTCCCCGCTGGCACAGCCACCTTTGGAACCCCTTGAGCCGGAACCGCGGCAGATCCACCGACGCGACCTCGTCCCGCACGTACACCTGCACGACCTCGGCGCCGTCGCGCTTCGAAGTGTTGGTCACCGTCACGGAAATGGTGATGGTATCGTCGGCGGAGACGGTCGTCTTGGACGCCGACACGTCCGAGTACTTAAACGTGCTGTACGACAGCCCGTAGCCGAAATCGTAGAGAGCCGTGGGGTTCTGGAGCACGTAGTTGCTGCCGAAGACGAGGGTGCCGTTGGGGTACACCTTGCCCGGGTTCGGCCAGGAGCGGCCGGAGCGCAAGTAGTCGTAGGAAATCGGCAGCGTGCCCACATCATAAGGGAAACTAACGGACAACCGACCCGAAGGGTTCGCCTCTCCGTACAGGATATCGGCGAGCGCGTAACCGCCCTGCTCCGACTGATAAAACTGCTGCACCAGCGCCGCAGCCTCCTCCGAGATCCACGGCTCCGTGATGGGCTTCCCGAGCTGTACACCACGATGGTCGGCTTCCCGTGTCGATAATCGCTTTCACGAGGCTCGGCATCGCACCCACGAGGTTCAGGTCGCTGACGTCGATGTGTTCGCCCGTCGTGGCGTTGAGCCCGCCCCACAGCTCGTTTTGGTCGCGCGACCATGTGCCCACGACGACGACGGCGACGTCGGCGGCCTGCGCGGCGGCGACGGCCTCGGCGAAGCCGGATTCGTCGTTGGACCAGCGCTCGCAGCCCTTGGCGTAGGTGATGGTGCCTTGGCCGACGGAGCGGATGCCGTCGAGGGGGTGGCGCCGCGGCTCATGGCGGTGTGGATGACGTAGTCGCCGTACTGGATGGTGTTAACTATGCTTGTCCAACAATACGAAACGGAAAGAAGAGGGTGAATGAAAAAAAGGATTACTTGAGAAAACTTACGTTGACGTAGCCGTGGGCCATGGGACCGATGACGGCGACGTTGGCCTTCTTGTTTAGAGGGAGGATGTTGTTGTGGTTCTCGAGTAGGACGATGCTCTCCGTGTCCAGCTGACGCGCGAGCTTCATGTGCTCGGCCGTGTTGATGTGGTCGAGGATCTTGTCGTCGGCGACGCCGGTAAAGGGCGTCTCGAAGAGGCCGACGGCGAATTTGGCGCGGAGCACGCGCGAGACAGCAGTGTCTACCACAGATTCGTCGAGCTTGCCGGCCGCGACGAGCTTGGGGATTGCCTCGAAGCTCCAGTAACCACCTCCCATCTCTGCGTCGTTACCAGCGGGGAGAGTCTAGCAGTACAAAATTTAGTTAGCAAGTCATTCACGACAGCGTATCAATATCCAATAGAACCAGCGCCCCGAAGGCCCATTCGATGTTCTAGCCGACAGAAAACGCACCTCGCGAATAATACACTCGTGGTCACGCTCTCCACACACGCCAAACGCGTTATCCAGACGCGCGGTGCCACCGGCGTCGGAGATGACATAGTACTCGTAGCCCCACTCGTCGCGGAGGATCTCGGTGAGCAGGTGTTCGTCCGACACGGTGGGCACGCCGTCGTACGAGTTGTACGAGGACATGATTGAAGTGGCGCCGCTGTCGAGGATGGCGCGCTTGAAGGGCGGGAGGTAGGTGGATCGAAGCTCTCGCTCGCCGCCGTGCACGGGGCCGGTGTTGATGCCTTGCTCGGGGTGGCGAAGGCGGCCTGGAAGGTTGGATGGGTTAGAATTCCTTCTTTTCACTCTCATGAGTTTTTGAAGCAAATGTTTACTTACGTAGTGCTTGATCATGGCTGAGACGCCATTGTCCTCGAGGCCCTTGGCGAACCTGTAAGCCATCTCACCCACCCTTTTATTTCAATTCCGTTAGCGGGATGCGACACATCGAGTATGAAGGGAGGAAACCTTACAGATACGGGTCCTCGCCGAAGCACTCTTCAACACGCCCGAACCTCAACTCCCTCGCGAGATCGGCCTGGGGTGAAAAGACTTGGTTGATGCCGAGGGCGCGGCACTCCTTGGCGATAGCTCTTCCCATCTTCTCAACGAGTTCCGGGTTGAAGGAACATCCTATGCCGATGGGAGAGTTGAAGATGGTGCCGTTGAGGACGAGGAGCCCGTGCAGGGCCTCGCTCTGTACAAAGGTAGGAATGCCTATAAAGAATCACCAATACTCAGCTTCGGTTAAATATATGTAAGGACAACAGTGAATAATGACAAAGGGCCCTACCCAGCTCGGTCTCGTTCAAGAGGTAGTCCTGGGCCAGCTTCGCCGCCTTCTTCACGTTGGTCATCTCGGTGTACAACCCCGTCCACACCGAGTTGGCGCGGTACTCCATATTCCACTCGAGCCCCGTCTTGTTAAAGGCGCCATCGGTCAGGTTGAGGTAGTTGGTCATGTCACCCTGGATCAGCTGGGCCGTCTTTTCCTGGATCGTCATGCGGGCCAGCAAATCGGCCACGCGGGCGTCGATAGAAGCGCGCGGATCCTTGTACACGGGCCGCGAGGGCTTGCCCCGGTCGGCCTGGCCGAGGGAGGCCAGGAGGGCAGCGCAGATGGCTGACGAGAGCTTCATCTTTTCTTTGGTTCTGGCTCGACGGGCGGTAGGAAGGAGAGGAGAGGGTGGGGGTAAGAAGGATGAGGGATGGACGCGGCTCGCCTATCTTTCTCGTCCGTGTGTCGTCTCCATTCCAGATCCAGGGACCGCAAGCTTTATATCTCGCAGAGTAACCGTGGAGAAGATGCAATCCAACAAAGGTGACTTGTCCCAAGATGGTAACCGAACCATAATAAGATGGGATGAAAAAAATCCCCGAACGAATAAAACGCGATGTAGGGTAAAATAACAGAGTAAATTTTAATGAAGATCTTCTGTCTTGCGTCTGCTAAGCCGGATGACATCTCCGCGAAGAGACGCGGAGGGCAAACAGCGCAGCGGCAGCGTCGCATCATGCCCTCAAGCGGGGAGAGGATCCCTTCAATTAAGATGCCAGACAAATTCCCACCAACGCCCGCGCGTAGAAAATCGGGAAATCTGGGGTCCCCTCTCCTCCGTGGGTCCGCCCGGGTGCAGCGCGGGACCCTCTTTATTTGGATCTCTTCTTGTTTTTCTTGTGTTGTTGGTATTGTTCCCCGCCGGGTGGCATTTTGCCGTGTATACGCGCACCAACGGGATCGGCCCGTGGACACGGAGGCAGCGGCTGCGAAGGGAACCTCGTCCAGGATCCCTCCACCAGCACCGGAAAAGGCCGCCGCGGGGTTCTTGTCGACGCGTGTAGCTTCTGTAGACCAACGCCTGAACTGCGGGGAAAAATGAATGTGTTTTGTTTTATTAACGGCGATGGGCCCTTGATGTTGGAGAACCTGGCAAAATGGCGCAAGGCTTCCACGTCGGGGTTGGAGCGAGAGTAAGAAAATGGGGCCGATGCACGTAGTTCGGACGAACAATCGCACTATGTCATTGCCATCTCGGCGCATCTATCATCACCCTTGTCGAAAAACATAGGTTTTTACCACGCAAGGGAGACAGGCCGCAGAATAATCCGGACCGAAGATTCCGCTTCGGCTTCCACGGTTGGGCAAACTTGGTCAGGACAAGATAAGACTTGACTGAAGAGGAACTGGAGGTTTAAAAGCGACACACATCCACATGTCAGATTAGAAGAACACACAGCACAAGAGTGGAGGAAACGAAAAAGAAAAAGGAGAAAGCCCTTTAGTATTGGGTAAAACAGATCCCGGTGGGGGACGAAGCATAACGCCGAAATGTGGCCTATCCGGCGCGAGAGAGCGATAGGGGAACAAGAAAGCAAGTACAAAGAGTTGAACCACCCCTCTAATAGTGATAAATAGTCAAAAGCCCAGAACCCCTCTAGCCGTTTCCCGGAAAAAAAAAAAAAAATAGAAAAGAGGCCCCGGGCCTCGTGAGACGCTTCGTTGGTGGTGCCCCGTTGATTGTTGCTCCGAGAATAAAATAAAAAATCGCTGGATAAGATGTGATGTGTGCGTGATAATGAATAAAATGGCTGGTCGTTTGTATAGTTTCTTTGTTTGTTTGTGCGGGTTTGTCCGTCCTCTCGGGAGGCCTTTACCGTTCCCGCTTAATTCCGTCATCCTCGTCATCCGCATCTTCACCATAGTCAGGTGCCGATCGCAGTCTCCGACATTGTTCGCGCCGAGACGCTCTCGCCGCAGCCCGCTGCTTCTTTCGATTAGGGATAGTTAATATGTGAATGTTCTCCTTGCCGTCCTGCGTCCTGCCCAGCTGCTTAGCTCTGGGTAGCATGTGGTCCGCGGCCGGCGAGGGATCCTGATGAGCCGTCGTGCTACAGCACGAGCAGGTGCGGGGCCGAGCGCTAGCACGCGCGGGCTGGGTCTGCGGCCGATTGAGCAGCTCCGAGACCCGGGGCCCGGTGTGGCGGGGCTCTAGCGGGGCGAGGAGTAGGCCGAGGCGACGGCGTGCTTGGCGGCGTCGTAGTAGTGGGAGGTAGGCGGGGAGGGCGAGGCGGTGACGGCGGCGGTGGTGCAGGAGCCGTAGGGGGTTAGCGGCGGGAGCTGGGTCCGGGGTGGTGGGGCTGGGGCGAGGCCCGCGGGCCGCGAGGACGGGGGTACGTAGTCGTCGTAGTTGACGAGCGCGTCGTAGACGTGCATCATCCACGTCCCGTCGCGTGACATGGCGGCGGCGACGGCGGCGATAACGACGACGACGTTGACGACAGGAGGGGCGTTTGTTGTTGCTTGTCGGGAGGGGAGCGGAGGAGGAGGAGGAGTGGTGGAACGTCGGAGAGCGCGATTCGTCGTTGGCCCGAGACGGCAGGTCTCGGCATGGTAGTGGGGCGGGTGCGCGCGCGAAGAAGAGAAAGGAGAGAGATTGGGGGTTCTTGGCTGTCTTTGTTCGTTTTTGGGGGCTTGTGAATTGTTCGACTTATTTGTATTCCTTGGCAGAGCAAGGATAGGACATGGAAGGGGAGAGAGAAGTATGTAGAGAAGGAAAAAAAAAAGTAAAAAAGAAAGGAAACGAAAAAGAAAAAGCAGGTGCGATGAATACGAATGAGGAGGAAGCTACGACTTATAAGGTAGGGAACACCGTCCGACAGTCCGACGGGGGCGGCTCGTTATTAATGATGTTGTGGTGTCTCTCATTCCGGGAGCGTAGGAATGGAGGAACGGCGGAAGGGGGGCTGTTTTTAAGCCCTATGAAAGGATTCAGGTCGGGGAAGGGGGAAATGCGTGCCGGGCCAGAATTAAAACACTTTATTTACACCTACGCCCCCGGAGGAGCCATGCCATACGGCGAGTGCGAAGTTGGGCCCCTTTGCGAACCAGGGACGGGGAGACGGAGTATCAATGTATTGAAGGCGGCGAGACAGCAAGGGCACCCCTCCCCGCCTTCGGTGGAGAGGGCGGAGTTGGACATCGAGCCATTTCATCTTTTTAGCTGCCAAACGGCCGCCTTGCCGGGGAAGTGTCAGCAAAGCGGTTCTCCACCGGAAACCTGAATCATCTGCCATGGCATGTACTCGGTCATGGTCGAATCGATGCTAGCATGACATAGCATGGCATGGTAGGGTATGGCATGGTATCATATGGTGGCATGGCACGAATATGGCATGGCATGCAATGGGGAAACAAAAAAATCTCCACAGTACGTACAGCTACACGCCGGCGCCTTTTTATGCAGTGTGAGCTCCTTTCATCACCACTCTCCTCGTTGGTCTTGGTCGGTCCCAGTACAACGGTTCGGGGTTGGATGGGGGAGGGAAGGGGGGTCTAGATCTCGATCTGGACCTTTGCGTCGTCGAGTCGTGTTGGGAGGTGACGATGGCGAAAAAAGAACATTGAAATCAATGTGAATGGGCGCTGTGCCGCATGGAAACATGATTATTGACCGGGACGTGCTCCACGACTAAAATCCCGATCTCCACTCGCGGCGGCCGCGCTCGCGGTTGGGTCTCGCCTGGACCTTGTCGGGCCTTTTTTTCTGCGATCTGGGCTGCTCTGGACCTCCCCTAGTGTTCCTTATCCTGTTCTCCTTATCGTTCTCATCTTTCCAAATCCTGGCGGGCGTTCGAGAAGGAAAATGGGGGAACAAAAGAGAGAAAAGCGATGTATCAAAATGCGAATACCACTCATCACTTTGGATCGATAAAGGAGTGCACAGTAATACAATAGATAATGTTTTGGAACAGAGAACAATTCCATATGTTTCCATCTTATAGTGCACACATCAATTGATGCGGACACTGAACGTGGCTCTCACTCAAACGTGCACTCAAAGCACGCACGAGCTTCAGTGATAGCGCTCCACTTTTCCCAGTTCCCAGTTCCCACTCGTGCAGTTCCCACTTTCCCCCTCTCTCGCGCTCACCCTCTATCCATCTCCCTTGCCTCTCGACCTCGTGCACCTCTTCGCATCAGTGTCTTTTTTTCTTCCAGGGGAGCCCTCACCGGTCGGTTCACCGGCAGGGCGTGAACGACGAGCAGTTTCTTTCCCCAATTCTTCGCAGGACTTGGGGACCTCGCGCGAGTCAGGAAAAGCAACGAGAGCTGCAGCGGAAGGGCCTCAACGGAGGTATCCGTTCTCTGTCGGCAATCAAAAGTTGATGGAAGCGGACGGCTCGAAACCACCGGTGATTGGACGTGTGTGACACTGCTCCCTCTCACACCCCTGGTCCCTTGCCTCCAAGGGGGAACCATCTTGTCTTGTCCCCTACTGCCCCCTGTCACCTATTACAAGTTGTATGACCTCGACTCTTTTTAATGTTCCAAGGTTGGACCAACAGCATGGAGGCAGCAACCTCAGCGGCGCCATCGACAAAAGGAGCAGATCCCAAGACATTCCAGGTACAAAGGAGAAAAGGCTGTGTATCATCGGTGCAAAATAGTCCCCTCCTTCCAGTGGCGGGAAGTGATGAGAATTCGACAAATGGGGACGCCTGCAGGGAAGAAAGGGGGCAGAGGGGACAGAGGGGAGGGAGGGTGGTGCTGTTCCCTGATCGCTGTTCAAATCCCTCGTCCCTTGTGTGTGTGTGTGTGTGTGTGTGTGTGACGCGCACAAACACCGAATCTCACTTTGAGCTTACTCTTTCCATGTCACAGTGAGGCCATGTTTGAAATGCTCACTCTCTCTTCGCTCCTCTCTCTCTCTCACACAGTCACACAGTCGAGAATTTGACGTCTTGCCGGCCGGCAAATCGAAAGGGGGACCGGGGGCGTGGGTGTCGTCCGTCAGCGAGCGAAAGCAGGTCGAAGAGTCGCATCGCGGCACGCACGTGCCAGGCGGCAGACCCTTCCCTCCTTCCGAGGCCCGCTGATGCGACGTTTTATTGGCATCTTGTTTGATGGGGGCGGATGGGATGCACGCCAACCAGCTGAACGTGCCATGCCAATGCCAGACAGCGAAAATGGTCCACCTTAAGAACACAGGAAAGGTCTTGGCAGGACGGGTCCTCCCTGGAGGGCGGGCGTGTGTCCAAAGAAAAAGAGGCAAGATGGAAATAGAAGTCGAGCGAGTCGTTGCTGGATGCGCTCTTGTGAACCCTGAAGCGCATATACGTTGGATGCCTGCATGCTTTCGCGAATCCACGAATTTGACACGTAATAGTGGAGCGCGAGAGGAAACAATCGGACGGCGAGCCGAGATGTCCAAGGGGGCAGGAAAACGTCGGTACCGAACCTCGGCGTGATACCCGCTTGGTTAGCCCTGAGATTGGGGAATGAGGGGGACCCAACAACAGTGATGAAGCAACATGGGAAAAAGCGTCGCTTGAGCTCTGTCTGTCTCAAGTCTCGCGGTGCACAAAGTTGAAAGTGGTGAGCGTGTGCTTGTGCACAATCTAACGCCAACACCAACGCCAACATTGAACACCCAACACCCAACAGCATCGCCACATTTCTCCGCTGGACCCCCTCCCTTCCCTTTCCCCACCCGCCCCTGTCCACCCTGACCTCACCCCTTGTCTGGACGGGCGCTCTGTCCACGAGCGAAAGGCAGAGAGAGAGAGAGATTAACATGGTGCGGCGGTCCACGCACATCCTCCAACGCCGCGCGAACACACAAGAGACGTCTCTGCCACCCCTGCTCGAATTTGCGGTTCATTGCCACACGGACTTTTGCAGCTCGGGAATGGAATTTAAGTAGTAGCAGAGGAGGGCGACCAAAACGCCGATGCGGGTTGAGCTGAGAGCAACGAGGAGAAGCGAATGCGTATGCGAAGGCGGATACTACCCCTTGCTTCATCCCGTGTGGCCAATTCTTATTGAATTTTTGGGTCGCGATCAACCTGCTCTTTTTGTCTCCCGAAATTATCGAGAGAAAAAAATCAACTAAAATAGAATCAAATACAAAGGAGCTCTTGGTGTAATATTCGATGATTATGTGCCCTTCATCTCGACTTGCTTAACGCCGCACCGATCCTTTCATTGCGTCTTTCCATGCCCTGGCTTCAATTGATCCTTCTTGATCAGGATTACCTGCACCGATCGAGGCGATCTACTCGCCCCTGCCTCATCGGACATCGCTCACAGGAAGGATAGGCAAGCTTGGCAAGGACGGCCAGGGTATATTCACCATCAGGGGGGACACGAAAGAATCAAAAACTTGGCCGACAGGGAAATGTAATACAAGAGAAAGGATTGAATGAGTGAAATCAATCACAAGCCTGAGCGGCGGAAAGCAAAGGCTCAGCAATAGGACAGGAGCGGGAAGGGCCGGGGTGTGAGTAGCTATGTCTGTGGCTGAAAGCGGCAAAGACGAAGAGACAAAACCCAGAAGCGGCCATTGATCTGGCGGGGAACCAGGGCCGGCCCAGACAGGGCTGGGCAGACAAGGGGGAGAGGGGCAGGCAGGCACAAAAGGGTCAATCTTGGCCAACTTGAGAAAGGGAAGGGGGAATAATAAAACGGCCACAACATTTCCCTTTTCTGTCCGACCTGGCCACTCATTCGCCCGTCACTTTTTACTTGTAATTGTTGAGTTGTGCGGTGCCCTGTTGGTCCTGTGCTTTTTCTGATCCTGCGAGGCTTCAAGGAGGGGAACCGAACCCCCTTCCACCCTGCCCCCGGCCCCCGGTCGAATCGGCACGAGAGTGAAAGAGAGAGAGGCGGCGAGGAAATGAAGGAGAAAAGCTAGGGAAGCAAACTTGCACATTGCTTCTGCCGTCCCGAGATGCTTGCACTAGTCTCGTCTAGTGTTCCCAGAGCGCCAGGTCTGGCCCGTCCCCCGCCCAGGGCGCTTTTGCTGTCCAGCGCCGGCTCCCGGCGTGCAGAATCTCGGCCCATGGACTCCATATTTTCATCCACGGCGTCTTCCTTTCTCGGTCTCGGCCCCCTTCGCTTATATTAGGCTCCAGCCAGGTAGGATACCATCACAATATTTCCAAGACGTGACGAGGGGATAATAAGGGCATGATCTACTTTTCTTCTTCTTCTTTTCCTTGCGCAAAGGGACGAGGCCTGATGGGACCTTCCCCTTTAATTGTCGCAAAAGTGGCATGGGTTCAACGAAAAGAAAGGAATAAGACTGGCCGATCAGTGGCGTAGTCTTGAGTTACATGGCGCTCCGTTCGATCTTGGGGATGAAGCAGGGCGACCACTTTCAGTTGATTACACCGTGCTCTTCTAGCCAATGACTGTTTCTTTCTTTTTCTTTTCTTTTTCTTTTCCGTCTTCTTTTATTCTTTCGGTGACGGTGACGAAGCCCCGCAAGGATTCTCTCACCGAAACTTTGGGATCCTCAGCGGAGGGGGCCCTCGGAACCACCGATTGCGAACCGATTGTGACCTTCCGCTCGCTTCCTACTCGTCCCTCGGAGGCCCGGTTGACGACAGGCAGAAATATCACTCATCTCCCCAGCGTCATGTGCAGGCGCGCCTTGAGTGTGTGTGTGTGTGCCTTGTGCCCAGCCTCCTGTTCCTGCACCCCATAATCAGCGATCGAGGAGGGAGGGGAAGGGGACAAAGAACAAAGAACGTTCTTTTCGTGACTCGGACGTAATACCATTATTTTGCTGTTTCCCATGTTTCCTCTCCTCTTGTCCCCATCAACCATTGCGTCGGTTTCACCAACAGCATGCTGCATAACACCCCTAGCACCCCTAATACACGAACAACAAGGGAAAATACACACAAGAAACTTTCGAGGCCCTGTTGGTTGGCCCAAAAAGACCCAACGCCAAAAGAAAATGTCCGCCTCGTCCGCGGATCGAGCCAGGACCGAGGGCGTGGGAATGCATTTTCATGCAAGGGAAAGCAGAAAAAAGCGGCCTGGTCAGCCAACATTGAATTTTTTTCACGTCCATCTTTCCTATTTCCCCATCTTTTGGGATGTGATACGTGTCTATCCGCGCTCAAACATGCCTCGGATGCGGTGTGATAAGACTGTTGGGTCGCACACGGCGACACGCCCCCTCCTCCCGGAACCTTTTCTTCGCCTTTTTTCTTCTTCCTTGCCCATGCGCTAGCATTATTTTGGCATTTATTGAAAGAAAAGTGACCAAGAGACGCTTGTGAAACCTTGTTTCCCGGCCGCGCTTTCGTCCCCCTCCTTTGGACTTCAAGTTGTTTTTATCGCGCGACGATCTGTGAGCGCTGACCAGGCCCCCTTTCCGAGGAACCTCCCCCGGGAGCCTGCCCGCTCTCGGTGGCAAACGCAAATCGTTGGTGAATTTACGCTTTTTTCTATGGACTTCAGGTTTCCAGAAGCCACGCCCGCGGCACCGGCGCCGACCTCACAAACACCCTGCTGATAATATCCCGGGGCGGCTTGAGAGCGCGCGCAGCCCTTCGCCACCACGTCTCGACGAGGTCCCAAGGTCTCCATTCCTTTGGCTTTCCGGGAGGGGGAAGAATACGAGATGCACGTCGACGCATCCGTCAGACCCTTCCACCTCTCACCCAGAAAAAAAGATGCATAGGTGCACGATTTTCTTTCCTTCGGGGAGGTGTTTCTGTCAAAGTGGTTTCCCCTCCGCTTTCCCCTTACCGAGCTTCACCGGGTTCAATATTTCTCAAGGTAATTTGGCTCGTGGTGACGTCGCGCCGATCGCCGTGAGGCAGTGCCTCTGAATGAATCGACGAATAAGCTGTGTGTAACCTGTCTCTCTTCCTCCCCTGTCGCTTCCGATGGCAAGTTTGCTCGTTACACGACGACGAGGGCGAGGGGGTGGAAATTGAGCACCCATTTCCTTTCGGACCAGACGCTCCGGGATCCTGCTATACGATTGGGCCCCCTCCATTTTTGACAGCTCCCTTTCGAGAGTGATGAAACTTCTAAAAGCCCACCGGTCTCCTCTCCATTGAATGATGAAGTTGTCTCGCAGAAGGGGGTCACCTTAAAAGGGAAGGTATAGATCAGATATCAGAGGATACTGCCAAATCCTTCCGATCCCTATAGTAGAGCTCGGTTAGACGGCTCGCTTGTGCTTATTGGAATTCGGGTGATTCAAGCACGTTAACACTGTATTATATTAGCGACTTCTTTACATGTCTTTCGTGTCACTATCGCCAGAGAGTGTCAGGGTCGGTATGCGACCCCATGCGGAGTATTCAAGACCTTGAAGCTGTGAGGAGCGGTGACTGGCCTTGGTCTACCCGCGACATGCTAGCCAGCTAGATACTTCCATGTACATGTAAGCTTGTCAAAAGGCTTATTCGAGGTGTTACATGGCACAGCACAGAAGAAGGCGCCCGACGCCGCAGTTAGTCTTGCTCTCGTGCCAACCTTAAATCATGGCTGCCCGTGTTATTCCCAGCTCCCAGACTCGCTTCCCGAATCGTTTTCCTCCGTGCTGTAATACTCTCTCCACCATTCCTCCCTGTTGTAATACCCTCTCGTCCATTCCTCCACATTGTTTTTGAGGTCCATTGATGTATGCAACGCGCCGTCCGTAATCATCTTTGGTCGGTCCCAATCTTGATCAATCCTCGACCTGCGGGATAAAGGGGGCGCAGGCTTGCCTCGCAGCTCGGCTTTCATCTGAGATAGGCGGATGAGGTACTCGCGGAGGGATTCATTTTGCCTTCGGTGATACGCTGTCCATATTTCCCTTTTTGTGACCCCGCTCCAAGCCCGTACGGGGACTTCTTCCGCCCCTCTGTTGCCAGGAACCTCTGCCCCGGCCGCCTGAATCTTATTTTGCTCCGTATGTCGAAGCACGAGAAGCCAACGCACGACCTCCGCCGACTCGCGGGCGAGGTCGATGGCGGAAATCTCGCGGTCCGCGTCCCAGAACAAGAGCTTCGCGCCGTGGCGAACCAACACCTTGACGGCCTGGAGGTTGCCCCCTCGCAGGCTGCCATGAGCGCCGTACCCTCCGGTCCCCCTTGCCGTCAGCCGGTATCCCCGCGGAGAGGATATTGGCGATGGCTTGGCTGGACCCGACGTACGCTGCCCAGTAGAGACAGGTACAGCCGTGGAATACGGGCGACTCCAGGACACGTTTGAACCGCGCCTCGGGGATCCGCCGACGATAGAGCCGAAAGGCGCTACCCAGCCATGAGGATTCGATAGGATGGGCAAAATCAATACGGGGCGAGGCCAGTTCCGTCATCCCGTAATCTCCGTTCAGGAGCAAGCTAGCAACCTTAGCTTGCGCCATGGCGGCGTGTGCAGGTATGGCCCCAAGGCCATTGTCGGACGTGGGATCGATGCCGTGGCGCGCGAGGAGGACGAAGGCATCCGTGTCAAGAATGGAGATAAAGTCGCCAAAGGGTGATGGGCGGTGCTGCAGCGCAAACGTGCTGAATGAGAGCGGAGCGTCGCCGCTGAGAAGAATTTCTCTATTGACCGGATCTCGGCCGCACAATGAAATAGCGTCATTGCCGAATATGTTGCGCACGTTGACGGCGGCGCCGGCAGCGATGAGGAATTTCATGATTTGATCGGAGTTTTGGGCCTTGGAGCGTGCCGCTATATGGAGGGGCCGGGCGCCGACGTCGTTGGGTTGGTGGACGTCGGCGCCATTTGCGAGGAGGAACTCGACCATGTCTGCGTTTCCTTCATCGCATGAAACTTCTAAACAACTCCCCCTTCGCTGTTTCTCTGATTGATGGCGGCCCTCACAAGATCGGAGCACTCGAGCGTGGTGCAGTTCTTTCTACATGTCCCCTTGTTACTATGTTTTGAGGTCACCTTCCGGAAAATCACCGGATACACCACATTGAAGGCATGGTTTGTTTGTTTACGAACGTGTTCAAGTTGGGCTTACCTGTAGGCTTTGATATTGGCCTTTAAGTGCCTTGTCAGCACATTTATGGCCAAGATATTTTCGTGGAGCGCTGCTCTCCACAACAGCCCTGGTGGGTTGTTGAGGTGGTTTTCTCCTTCTTCAAGATGGCGGTCTAGTAGACGCCATAATATCGCTTCGCTAGCAAATTTTATCACGGCCAAATCAAGAACAGTTCCGTGCCAGGGATCATGCTCGTCGGGCATTATTAGGAAGGGAAACACATCGGCGGTGGTAGCGCCTCGGTTCAAGAGGAGGTTGACGACCTCCTGCGCCCCATGGCTAACGGCTACCCCCAACGGTGTTAGTCGCGAGGTTCGTCCCTCACCCCGGAGTAGGCCATCAATTGGGAGCCCATTTTTCAGAACCATTTCGCAACCGTTGACATCACCGCGTTTGACCGCTGCAACGAAAAAGTCGGCCGCCGCGGATAGCCCTAGCGCGCCATGGCTGTCCGCCGGTTTTTCTCCGAGAATGTTCTCGAACAGCGTAATCATTTCCAATCTTTTACCGTCAACTGCAATTGTGAGCGGAGTTTTGCCTAAATAATTCCGTGTCTGCGGGGAGCCCTTGGATAGTAAGAATTCGACGGCATCAAGGTAGCCCCAGGCCACGGCCCAGTGCAGCGGAAGCTGCCCCAGATTATCCACCGCGCCTATATCCGCGCCGTACTCTACGAGGAGAGACAGAATTTCTGCATTATGGAACCTTACTGCGAGGTGCATCGCCGTGTAGCCCCGGTGGGTTTTGTTGTTGATGCCCACGAGCTTCCTCTCGAGAAGGAAGGCCACGACGGCTCGATTGCTGGAAATGCACGCCATATGGAGTGGGTTTAGGTGAGTCTTGAGTTTGCGGGTTGAATAGTAGAGAGAGTTGGCTTCCCAGTCGAAAGGCTTGCCTGTTTTCGGCGACGTCCAACCCTCCAAGTACTCGAGAAAGGCAGTATAACCCGAGTTGCATGCAATACTGACGGCGCATGTCCCCGTCTTGTCACTGACCGTTGGGTCGGCGCCGTGCTGAAGCAGCCAGATCGCGCCGCTCACGCTCTTCAGAGATACAGCTGCCATCAAGGGCGTTACCCCCGACTTTACTACTGGCGCGTTGACATTGGCGCCACAATTCAGGAGCGCCTTCATCATGGGTGTTACTTCTGCTCTATGTACGAGCGTTGCGTAGTGAAAGGCGGCCATGCCCTCGGTTGGGTTCGCCTCGCCAAGGCGCTCCGCGGACAGCACCGAGGCAAAGGCGTCGCAAAGGTCAGCGCTTTCTGAGATGGCTAAACACGCGACCTCAAGCGGGGAGTACCGACCTGCCCTCCTGTGGACGTCTAAGCCGGATGCGAGTAGATATCTGACCAGGTCCTCAGCGTGCGCCAAGTACCGGATTCCGAGGATAGACGCGTAGTGGAGGAGGATCGCGGCATCCGAAGAAATGAAGTTGTCAAGGTATTTTGTCATTTGAAGAAGTTTCTTCAAGATAGAGGCCTCAAGTGGGTATATGATGTCTTTGTTCTGTATCGCGCCCATCGCTTTATTCCGACCGCCCTCATCGGACCAGAAGGGTAAAGGCTCCAGCAGTGAGAAAACTGCGCAGGTCTCGTTAGCATTCTCGAATGCTTCCAAGGTGTCGAGACGCACTAGCGTAGCGATGACCTCGCGTAAAGCTTGCAGTACTCCCAAGTGTTTGATGTGTAGCGTGGATAGGTGCGCTACTAGGCGAGAAGCGCATTTCCAGACATTGGCCAAGTCCAAGGAAAGCCCATTGATTATTTCTGTCACGACCTCTTCGTCGGGAATCGTCGGGTTATGTTCACCGTTTGTAGTGCGCAAAACACATGCCTTGAAGAATGACTCGAGGTGCGAGTCAGTATTGCACCGGGAAATACATGACCCTTTAAATACGGAACCCAAGCCTCGGATACAAGTCGTCGTTGCCGTGGGCCCGATATAATGTAGAGGGCACTTATTTTCATCATCGCTGCCAACCGAAAGCCGAGTCTCAACGCCAAGCTCAACCAATCGATTTAATACAGCATCGCTTCCGAGTTGTGCCGCTAAAACATACGGTGACTCAGGTCCCTGAAAACAGTCCTGAGATTCGGGCGAGACAAAAGATAGGAGATATAATGCACATATCTCGGAAGAGTTCAATGATTCCATTAGAGGCGTCCACCCGGCCCCGTTGGTCAATGTGAGAATGTGTGGTATGCGGCCCGGCTGCTCCGCGCTGACCATGACCTCTAGCGCAGACAAATTACTACAAGCACGATGCCACGCGGTGTTGCCGTCCGCCGCAACGGCCGTTGTCGAAGCACCCCCTGCTTTGAGCAAACCAAAAACTTGCCGCTGATGAAGAGGGTTGATCCATGCACGGCCCGCCCACTCATTCATAGGACTGCTCTGCGTCTTCCTCCCTCGGGGCTAACGACGCTTCCAGAGTTTAGGAGGAGTTGGACTACTTCAACAGACTCTGAGCCCTTGATACAAGTTTCTAGAAGCGTGAGGCCCGAAACACGACTTTCGCGAATATCGAGTCTCGTGTCTTGAAGCAGATGCTTCAAAAAGAGGTGATTGCCCCCTCGGCGGCTTTGAATGCGGCTTCAATAAAATCCGACTCTTGAGGAATACTTATTGCGGTGCTGACGAAGCAGGGGTCCAGCGTAAACGCCAGTCGCCAGGAAAGCGCCATTTCCCAGCACGCGTAGCAGAGGCGACCGATGAAGGGTGCCTCCGATGTAAGAGGATTCAGTTGGAGGATGGCTTCTCTCAACAAGGACTCGTAGTCAACCTTATAAGTGAGCTGCATGCCATACTTCACCCACACTCTTTCCCGGATAAACCACTCCATCGAGTCAGCCGCCAGTGGCGTTTCCGGCAATTTAGAGACGTCCACGGCCGCTACGGTAGAGAGGATAACCCGGACGGCGACAATGATGTAAGAAGGGTCAAGGTAAACCGCTCGATGTATGACGGTGTTGAGGGTGTGGTCAAGGCGCGGGAACGGTGGCTTGGTGTCTTCCATCCCTGAAGCTCTGAGAGTTTGGAGTGTATCCAGGACTCGGACTGTGGTTATCCCAAAGCTATCGAACTTGGAATTCCAGAGCGCTTGGTCTTGCGGCAGTTCTCGACTTGGGCTGTCGTAGATCCCGGTGCAGATCATCTCAGGTCCTATCGCTGCAAGCTCGAAAGGACTCGGGACTGAGATGGATGTCTTGTCATCTCCATAGCGGCTCATGTCACCACTGTGAGCTAAGAACTGGCACAAATTAGGAAGCGAGAGTAGGGAGGCCATATGCAACGAGGTGAAACCATCCTCGAATAAGTATTTAGGAACAATAATTGATTCTGTTTGGAGCTTGGCGGGGGAAGATACACGCTGAACGCACGAAGCATGTTTAGTTTCCATGCGTAATTTGGAGGAGCGCTCCGTGCTGGGTCGAACAACGTCTTCATAAGTCCAAACACCTCGTCATCTTCAAGGTGGTTGGCAGCGTGCCGCGCCCAGTTCAAAATCGCATACCTATGGAACGGCAACTCTGAATCGAAGAGTATCGTTTCGTCACCACAAACAAGTCGCTCGAAATTCGCAACCTGGAGGTAATTGAGGCAGGCGAGCGCCAGAGTCCGGTTGTCTTGTTCAGGGGATAATCTGTAATCGGCTAAGCGGGGTTGTTCAGCAGAGCGTCGCCCGTGAGGAACTGCTGGACGGAGGCATGGGAAATTTCCAAATACGCCCCGCTTGGCCGGTCTTCCGAACTAAACTACTGCAAGCGCGCACGGCTTCATCGCCAGGAATGCGAGTCTCTGCGTTTAGATAAACCCCTTTCTCAGCAGAGACAGCATCGCTTATGCAGGCGATCGAGATGCTAGAGACTTGGCTGAGGAGTCTTAGTGTAATGCTCACGCATCGAGATTGGGAAGGGGGATCCTCTCCAAGATGCGAATATAGGTCTCGGGCAGTGTTGGAGGCAGGCTTTTCATCGCTTCTCGCCGCTGCCTATCCGTCGAGAGCTCACATAGATAGTCCAATTGACATGCTACCCACCGAAACCTAGTCCAAGGCGTGTTGTTAGCACCAGTAGCCTTAGAGACTACGGCGACGTTCGCCTGCTCACTCGCAGTCTTAACGGTGATTTCGGCCTTATCCATCGAATCCAGCTATGGAAAGAACGCCACTTACATTCCCCGAGCCTTGGTAATAAGTGTATCCACAATCTCCTCCTTCATCTTTGTGCCCACGTTGCGTAGTTTTCTTGACTGAATCCGTGTTTCCATCTCTCCCATGACGAATAGTCGTACGTCATCGTTGGTCGCCGATATCTGGAGCTCGTCAAACTCTACTAATGCCTCCCGAATCTGAACCTCATCACGGCTGGAAACAGCTAGCGAGACGCGGCATAGTTTCGAGATCTTCGTGAGTATAGAGAGGATCTCGTCTACCTTTTCTCCCTCGTCAATACCATCAACCACGATTATGATGCGATCTAGCACTGCGCTCATTTTCTCCAGGACAGCGAGCAACTCTTCCGAGGTGGAGGTTTGCAAGATGCCCGTCGATGGGTGGAGGGTGTTGTGATAATCCTCGAGAGCCTTGAATGCCTCCGGGTTCTGTAAACCCACTTGCATAGTGAGCGCGCTTATCATAGTGAGAGCTAGCCGCGTCGCAGGCTTTTGTAATCGCAGTAAAAGTATGATACTGCTACACGATCGCTGCTGAGCTGGAGGGCATCCTCGATCACGGTTCCCACCAGCACCGTTTTCCCTGCGCCCATCATTCCCGCGAGCCACAGGCTGGTTGTCGAGCCTTTGAGCCAGCACTGATATTCGGGGCATCGCTGGATCCATAGCCCGGTGAGTGGGTGACGGAGCTTTAAACTTGTCTGGAACGCCTGGCCAGGGCTCTCTTTCATGAAGAATTCGATAATGTTCTTCTTTCGAGTACTCATGTCGACCCTCACACAAATGTCGAGTACGCGTTTGACGTCAGTCGCAACCTCTTCCACCTGCTGCTTTACCCCTTCGCCTCGGCTGAGGCACTGGATGATGCCGCTCATAGAATCCGCCGCGATGGCGAGTTGGAAGGTATCTTGGTGCCGAGACAGATTTACCAATAATTCCGTCATCTCGTCAGTAGAAAACACAAATTTGACCTTTTCTACGAGCCGCTGCCTCCCGCTATTGCTCTTCATCTTGTCCAGCGCAGCATTGAGCTTGTTGCGAATGTCACTTAGGCTCTGATAGCACGCCTCGACGGCGGTGAGGCGAACGCTCGAGTCGTACGGCTCGTCCCCCAACGCGTCGGCTAGCATGTTCGCCCGCTTCAACGTCCCCCGAGGACGCTGATTTGCGTCATCAGGATTTGCGCATCGTCCTCTGCCTTCTTGGCGGATTTCCATAGCTTCCGGAGCTGGACGAGCTTGATGAAGATGATATCGGCAAGGGAAATGAGGCCCGCTATGCCCGAGGCCGCTGATAATGGGTCTGTCATTCTTAGAGAAGATTGGATAAAGCACGAAATTTGAGTGTTGAGATGGGTAGGAATCTTCAATCAGGCAGACATGGAAGGAGAATCCGTTTCGGCCTCATAAACGCAACACTCAGCACTCTGTCGAGGCGCAGCTCCCCACACCTCGAAACCCTGCATGTCATCTTGGAGGGGGAGGGCTGGAGAATGGGGGCAAGCCTGCTCAAATCTAATAAATATATGCAGTGTCACGAGACGCCCTCCTCTCGATTTTGCTTTTTTCAGCTTACATGTGTCCTGATGGTACATCTATGTACCTCATACATATACATCCAGATCCATCTCTCCGTCGCTACTTGAAGATACCAACCGCTCTGGGGTCCGAAAAGCTTCAATAAACTGGGCCAATTGTGTAGCGCTCATTGATCCTGGTATTTCCAGTTCCCCTATCACGTCCCATTTCAGCGAACAGGACTTCAGATCTTCCGAGCACCGCCCACCAGTTCCAGACATCCTTCCCAGGACGCACCGATACCGAGGTACTTAGCCTGGTATATCAAATCTAATGAACACAGAGCATAATGTTCGTATTTGCTGCTTTGGCTCTCTATTAGCCCCTGTTTATATGGGTGAAATCTATGTGAAGGACTGGATTGATGATACTTATTGTCAGAATTTAGATGATGATCTTGGTAGAAAATGGTATCCATGCACTTTCAGAGTGAGAGGTTTTGGTCCTATACGAGCTGACGAGCTCAACACCGGCGCGTAAAGACTCATCTGCACAATGTGTTTCACGTTGTTGGGTTGACGCCATCTTTGCCGCCAAAAGCGGCTCCTTCAACTCCAGCTAACCCAGACTATTATAGCTTTTACGGCTTTGTCTCGCAATGAGTCTCCTTCCTGTAGCTCCACTATAGCGATGAGGAGCGACGCTTCTACACCGGTATTGAGCGCATCAGAGAACAGACTGGAATTATGTGTGGGAACCTGAGCAAAACTACGTGTTCCACGATAAGATAGACGCTGTCTCGTATTACCTCAAGGCGTGTCTTGCAGGAAGGAGACGTTCAGTCGGGGCGTTGTGGTGGACTAGGTGGATTCGTTTGCGCGGGACCTTGTAACGTACGTGAACGACGAGATACCTATCTACCTACCTTGCTGGGACTCGAAAAGTATGGGGTCGACACAATGATTCTCTTGCAGGCTCTCGTGGAGGAGGGGCCAATGGGAGCATGGTAAGGCCGACTTCACCTGGCTTTTCACGCGGTCTTAGATTGCGTTACCCTTCTTGTACATCCATAGATGTGTGGCTAACTGTGCCACTCTTCCTATTCACGTGTTCATAGGGAAGCTGACGCTTGCTGAGGGCCTAACGTAGCTCGTATGTAGCCACGATAAAGTGTTGAGGAAGGGTGTTGGCGAAGATTCCCCCGGCCACCATGGCCCAGGTCATCCTCCTCTTGTGTAGGTACTGAGTCCACTCGAGCTGGTGGGAGTTTGCTCCTGTGACAGATTTGGGAATCTGCGGCCGCTATACGCCGTCTCAAAGGAGCACAAAGACTAGGCGAGCATAGAAAATCCGGGGAAAAGGCCTGCGGGGAGTGGGACTAGACTGGGGCGCTAATGGCTGATGGGGAGGGCCCGGACCGCCTTCGAGGGATTTGTGCCGTGGTCACGATGCCTTACGGAAAGAGGGTTGCGTATAATGCGTACACTATTGTCCGATTTGAGTCGCTTGCCTCTGCCGTCTCGCGGTAGGGAGGGTGGGAGCGGAACTAGCAAACTTGCCCAACTTACACGTGGACCGCGTTTTGGCAATGCAGACGGATAAAGATGCCGACCGGGCAATGAGATAAATGTCGGCCTTGGAAATAGTATGGGGCTAGTTGCAATTGTGCAGACTCTTATTGATAGATGAGAAGGTGAAGATCCGGTAAACCCGGGCCAAGCACCACGAGACCCACCGCTTTCCGCAGGTCTTAGAGTACGCCGAGCTATCACCGCGGAAATGGAATGTCAATACTTGATTGGAACCCACGTCCGGCATATTTTTCTTGGCTCCCCGCGACGAAACCATTCTTTGGGGTCCCGTCTTCACTTTGGGTTCTGTCCAAGCGCGGATGTACGTGGCAGGCTATCCCTTGCAGCTGTCACGAGTTGAATGGTCGACCGCAACCAACGGCTTTGTTGCTCCGCTCGTATGGTTAGACGGAGATTGTCTTGGACTTTTACCGTGACTGAAAGAATATTTGTTGTTTCGTGGATGCTAGACTCGGCATCGTGAGCAGCTTGGTCCCATGTCGATTCAAGTTGGCGATGGTCTGGAAAAAGAGTTACTATAGGTATGCAGCGGTTGGTTCCGAATTTCATCCCTTGCTTCCATCCTCTGGGACAATTCAGCGTTCAACCTCTTGGCGAATCTATTCTAGGCCGGTAAGCAAACATAAGCATGGTATGTTGGGTATCGTGGCGGTCAGTCCTGAGGGTTTAGACGTCCTTAGCAGCAGGAATATGGCTGTATCAAATCTAGGAGACTAGATAGAAACTAGATATTTCTATATATAAGTCGCGCCTCTTCCGTTTATACATCATCAAACACGAATGGATGTTGTCTTGATTCACATACCGTACACCCAAAGAAACAAAGTTTTCAGCTTCATACTCCCTAAGCGGCCGTGATAAACATGTTGTTTCGGGTAACGACACTCATCATCTCCTTGCTAGTCAGTGCTGGTCTCTTTTCGTGACTCTCCAGCTATCAATAGGCTGGTTTCTGGTGGCCGTTACATGCCTTCTAACCAAGCCTACGTTATGCATATAGGGCGGGGCCTTGGCCAACCCTGTTGTCACGAGCCGATCTCAAGCCGCCGAGGCCGAAATAGAAACGCTTTCCCAAGATGATGGCGTTGGTATTGAATGGACAGGCTCCATCTTCCCCGGTGAAGATCCTGTTACATTATATGGCACCGTCGAGGTATGATTGCCCGCGTGCCTCATGGCTGAATCTCAGTTCGACGCCCAACGGCGATTTGACACCCACGTGTGTTTTTCTAGGTTATCCTTGCGGCAATCCTAGCCTTGAATCCAAATTACCAGCCCGATCCATTATCCACATCTTCCGACATTTCCTCGGGGAGTGAGCCCTCCTGGGAACTCAGCATCGGTAACGAGTCCGCCTCCGACATAGAGAAGAGACAGGCGGTCACGTACTCTGTGGGCTGTGCGCCCATGGCCACGGCTCTCAAGCCAGGGATGGGGGTAAGTTGACGCTGCAGATATTTCTCTAGTTTCCAGATCTCCATATCTGAGCGGGGTGAGATTGCGATTAACCAAAGTATAGCAAGCCTATGACCACCTCTGGGCAATCGGCGGTTGGTGCAGCGCCCCAAACAACGAGTGCCGAAGGATGACTTGCTCGGATACCTCGGCGACTTATATCTGCAGTGTAAGGAGAACGAACCCTCACGCAGACGTGGAGGATATGATTGCATAGGTCTACGGCTCAACTGTACTAAGCAGCTAACGTCGAGTTAGGAATTCAACGACGGCACTTCGATTCCTTGCCGAGATGCTGCCGTGATGCTCACGTGGATGCATGATAGGTGCTGCCGCTACTCATTTGGCATCTCAGCCCACGTTTACCCGTCTCATCGGGACTATAGCGTGTGGCTTGGCTACGGAAACTGCAACCATGCGGTGAATAGGCGACCCTCGACCTATCCGTACCCTGGTGGTGAGGTGAACGGCCTTTGTTTCTAGGATGGTCACTAGTCGAATAGTAGACGAGATCTATCACAATATTGGCTTTTAGAAGGTATGGGCTTACCCGGAGAAGGAAGATCTTCATGATCCTTATTTCATTCTTTGGACTTGTTTAGTCGAATCGCGTTGCTTTGCTTCTCGCTCCTTTTACGGCTTATGGATAATGGACTAGGTTCATGTTAACGCAAATCATTGAAATCATTTCCCGAATCTAGGCTTTAACGTGGCTTCCGTCTGCTCCTGGTTAGTCTTAAGTCCGTAATAGCTAGATTCTAACGTCTGGAGGACTGAATCCATTCATGTGTTTCCTACTCCGGGTGAGGAATATGTTTACCATGGGCGACTATCAACAAATTTCTACCCGAGTCGGGCCCAAGAAGCTCGGTGCTGGGATGTCATCGCGAAAATAAAACTGGGGCGCTCTCGGCACACCCAAGCCGATCCAGCGGGCCGGTGTTTGTGCCTACGCGACGAGGCATACGTAAGCCCCGCGCTTGTGCGTGATTCGGCGATTGTTCCCGGGAGGGATCCAAGACTGCGCCTGCTACTCCAAAGCGATAAATTGCCTGATCTCTGCCTGTTGTTCCACAAAGAGGGCGGCTTAGCACCCACTCCCCACATTGACTGCCCTTTCATTCCCAACCCTTTTGCAAACAAAGAATCGTGGCGATCATTCCCTTATCACGTCCCATCAGCAGCTCGATTCTGAGTATCACCCTAATTCTCTACCGTAAAAAGAATATTAGCGTGCTGCTGTAAACGCACATCATCGCGCCCTCATGTCTTCAAAAGAACAAGAAGCGCTCGCGCACCACCACGAGACCACCCAAGAGGAAGCCCTCCCCAATACGAGTTATCCGACCCAGCCCCGTGCCCGCAGCCCCACCCCTCCTTCGTCGGGAAAAGCAGCGGGCCCGACCGCCGAAGAGCCCTTCAACTTCCCATCCGACGCGCCGCCCCCAGCCTACACGCCCCAGCAGGGTTCCTCCTCCTCCTCCTCCCGCGCGAAACCCATCGCCATCCCCCAAAACGGCTCGGGCGCCATCTCGCCCTTCATCCTCGCCTACCCGCCCTCGCTGCTCGCGCACGGCATCACGAGCGAGGGCTGGTACGCGTTCCAGCGCACCATCTCGGCGTTCCTGACCGCCAACGTCTGAGCGGGCCCTCGCCCACGCCGCCGAGGTGGGCAAGGACATGGTCGACAGGCCCGTGGAGACGGCCAAGCACGTCTACTCCCACGCGAAACAGGTGGGCAAGGGCATCGGCAGCGACGCGAAGCGCGGCAATATCCTGGGCGCCGCCGTCGGCGTGATCAGGGGCGCCGTGTCCATCCCCGTGTCGGCCGCCATCGGCCTCGTCCACGCCACCGTCAGCGCCCCGCTGAGCACGCTCTCCGCCGTGGCGAAGAAGCCGCAGACGCCGAGGGAGCGGGCGGTCGCGTACCTGGCCGTGGCGAACCGAGACTGGCTCCAGGCTCGGGGTCTGCGGGCGGAGATTATGGATAGCGGGGAGCTGGGCGACCTCGTGGGCGCGTCTGCGGAGGCCTTAGTCAACTGTGCGGGTACAGCTGGTAGTGCTGACGCGGCTGGCCAGCTCAAGGCGCTGCAAAAGTATCTGAAGCCGCTAGAGTTCAAGGAGCCGGGAGACTTGCAACTTGGGGTGGATAGCCTTTGGCTGGTTTTGACGTGAAAGCTTTGAAGGGATTCAATCTGTCCTATAGTGGCAGCATAACGACTCTGATTTTCTTTTTGTGTTATCCGACGGTGTTTTGGGCGTCAGTGATTGTATGCAGGAATGACGATTACTTTTTAATAGTAGCCTGGATTTACAGATATGGGATTCAACAATGAAAATGCTACACGCATCCTGGGTCCTAATTCTGCTTTGTGCCTTCACATTTTTACATCTTTTCTACGGCAGCTCACCGCATGGAGCTGTTGTGTCGTCTCGAGACTCCTCTCAACTATCAGAAGATCTTGCAGATATTCAAAAGAAATCAAAGATAGAGAGCGGGCGCGATATGGTCTGCTCACAGCGCTCTAGCCATGAATTAAGTCTTCAGCTGGATAAATCGCAGCGGCGGACGAGGAAAAATGCCCGAGGATCTTCTAGATTCAATGTTATCAATGATAAGGACATTGGCCTCCCGAAGCTCACCATGCTCTTTAATTGTTAAATGGCCTCGAGCTCGATCTAGGCTGGATGATAAACCTCGCATGGATTAATGTTGGAGCTGAATTGTGTGCACTAAATTCATCAACGAATCCGAAATACGAGTAAATACGCCGTTGGTGCTGGGCTTCACCAGGGCCCCGACCACTTTTTCCCCTCGCTCGCATCGACGCGCTTCCTTTGATGAACATTGCATCATCCACTTTAAACAACCTCCATCATCAAAAGCTATGGCTGGCTTGGCGTCCATTCCCATCATCTGCTGTGGCAGGCTCGAGAAGGTTGGAAATCTCGTGATTAATTATCTTCGACCTCGCATTGAAGGTACGAAAATGACCAGAAGTCGAGGGGAAACAATGCCCTCTCCACTTGCCTTGGTTTTACAGTCCGTCGCGCTTTGTCAGGCCCCGTCTAATCATCAACGCAGTCGTCCAGTTCGTCTTTCCCGGTGAATCCGGATCCAAAATCATCCCAGCCCTCCTCGCCGGGAAACCAGCGCCCGCCCATGCGGAGAGCAGCAGTATCGGCACGGGAAACTATTCCCGCGTCCCCCGAGCGGTCCTGTTCGGCGCCGCTTTCGATGAAGAGACCATTCGCAAGCTGCGCGAAACCGTAAGAGCGACCGAGAGTGCTCGCAGAACGCCCTGGCTTTGCCACGACCGCAGCAAGAATCAATTCCCGTCACGGACGAACGGTACATCTCGCACGCCAGCCAAAGGTCGCTGGATGTGCTCCTCAAGTTGGACAAGGAGGGCGCTCTCGATGGATCAAATGACGATCTTGTTTTCTATTAGTCGATTAGCCGCTTAGGCGATGGAGACGTGTATAATACGAGATTTCAGCTTGGTGATAAAAATAGGTACTCGTGCCCCGCATACCTTGGCCATTGCAGCCGCAGACCGGTGAATTCGGAGTAGGAGCTTTGTGTTTCTCTAAGCGCCAGCCTGGTGAAAGGCCGAGTTGGCGGGGGCTGAGTGGTCACTAAGCTGGCGGCCCTGAGCTGCCGCAGGTTTGTGGCTCATCGAGCAGCCAGCTGCATAGGCTCGGATACTCTAGGTTGGGGCCCTGTAATCCTCAAGGGGGTTTGGTGAGGGGAAGGAGCATGCACTTGAGGTATGGGGGATGTCCCTTGATCATCGCCTCAGCCTGTTCAACAGCGTGTTATCGAATGGAACGTAGCAGGCTGCCGAACAACTTGCTTCTTTCCTGCAAGCCACAGCGCGCTCGAGACAGGGAGGGCTGGTATGTATCACCCGTGGACATATGGATCGGCGTGATATCGTAGCCCCATTGAATTTGGATTGGCTGTCCTATTCCGCGTCAACTGCAGCCTCAACCCGACATCCATGTGTATCGATTTGGTGGCTATCCTGTGAAATCAATCACCCATGCAATACATGTACTGCCCTACGGAGTCCATGTAAAAGAGGAGAAGTAATTTTTGTCCGATTTTTAAATCGGACGTACGACCACGCGCCGACAGCCCCTCACCTCCTTCACTTCCCACATATCCATCATTAACTCCAACGCATGTGCAACAATGTTAAACATATTCGGTAATAGCACGGGTATAGAGCCACGCTGGATGCCCGAGCCAAGAGAGCGAGGCACATACTCCATCCTCTCCACTTGTCTCATTACTCTTGGCCTCTGCGTTTGGACAGCCATCCATCTGAACATCCCGGCCCACGACGAGAAATGGTGGCATCAAACCTGGCGCAAGTTTGGCTGGATGATGCTAGGCTTTGTCGCACCTGAAATGGTGGGTGCCAAATCTGGAGGAACGAGCTTCTCTGGGTTGCCTGAGTTACTGATCTCATGTTACCCGTACATAGGTCGCCTTTGCTGCTTACCAACAATTTATGACGGCGAGAGACATCACTCGCGAAATGAAAAAGCTAACAGATCAACCGAACTGTGATCCTGAGGTGGATTATTTGATTCTGTTTACTGGTATCCTTCCCAGTACTTAACGGGAGCTGACATCCCTCTGCTCGTAGAACCCAATTCATGAACAGCCGCAACCTACGTCAATAAGGCCAGGCAAAGAAACACAAGACACGACAGGTAGTGCCAATGGCGGCCATATCCAGCACGAGTGGACTAGGGTCCATAGCTATTTTGTAGCAATGGGGGCTTTGCCTTTGAAATACGTGACAACACCAAAAACTTCTTTCCAGCAACACATTGGGGAGGCCCAAGACCAACCCGCCTCACGCTAACGTCCAAAGGGTTCCTTTTCTTGGAAAAGATTATGCCGGAAATAATTCCAGAGCTGTCTCGTGCTCAGATAGAAGACAAGAGCAAGGGTAGTATGCTGGCCAAATCGCTCGTATGCTTCCAAGGTAAGAAAGCCCCACCCCTTCTCCCCATGAACGCTTCTCCAAGCGTGGAAATCAACTCAGAGTAACGCAAAAAGTATCACGATAGCGGCGTGGTTCTGCATCCAATGCCTCACGCGCTTCGGGCAGAAGCTACCTGTCAGCCTTCTCGAGCTCAACACGCTCGGCCACGCAATTTGCACGCTACTCATCTACTGCATGTGGTGGGAGAAGCCGCTCGATATTGGACAGGCAGAGGCCATCCGTGTTAGCGGCAGTGACTTGGAGAGGCTTGTCGCTGCCATGTGCGACACAAGCGAGGTGGAGATGATAGTCCAAACGGACGCCTTCCACAGGAGGCGCGAGATTAAAATCCCCATAAAGAGGACGGACAAGGGCCCCGTTGTGGACTTGCGTGATGTCTGCGCTGCATATAGGAAGTTGTGCACAAGGCTGTATAAAGGCCTAGTCAAATTTATGTGAGTGGATACATGTACTTTCCTCTAGTCTATTTTGTTTGTGTCCTCTTTCTACTAACAACGAGAGATGTTATTGAGATAGCTATGGGCGGAGCGAACCAGCGGGCTGCAGTTTGAGGGTGGTATACTCCGATAATCTTGAACCCCGAGGACCATGGTCTACCAGTGACGTACCAAGGGTTTCCGTCTTTCGGGCGCCCACGATCGACGATAATTTGTTTTTGAACGCTTAGATGGAAGGTCGCTCTCCCAGCATCATCTTCTTGGTGAATTGAGTGTACGCCGTCTTGCATGTCGGGGCTGTGATATCTTGAGCTCTGATGATAGGCAATATTCACTATATAGAGACAGCGGGGCGCCGTGTATTGACATAGCCCAACCCGATATCTGGCGCTGGAGCGCCGCTCTCAAAGCATCGGTCCAGCCTCCCGCCCTCACCCTATTCCCGCGTATCCGAAACTTCCCGCGGATGAAGGATCCGCTTAACCAATGGCCGCTGTACGTGGTATTCGCGATGATCGGGCTTGCTTATGGTGGTCTACACTGCCTAGCCTGGGATGCCACATTTCCAACGGTTCTTGAGGCGCTGCTGTGGCGCGTATCAAGCGTGACCGTGGCCTCGACTGGTGTCTTGATTGCAATGGCGCTCCCTGGTCTTTCTATCCGCCATTTTGGTCATATAGCAACTTTCCTTTCAAATTTATCACGGTCTTGTTCAATCAGGCTAATGAAATTCTAGCTTCCACTGAGCGGTTTGATACTTTCTATGGGGAGCGCACAATGCGCTGGTGGGCATGATGGTGATTGTATGCGTGATCGCACTGGCTAAGTTCATCCTCGACCTGGTGATTCTGATTTGTATGGTAGCTTACGCGCTGGCGAGAATCTACCTGGTCGTGGAATGCTTCATGAACCTGGCGCATCTCCCAGATGACGCATTTCGTGTGGCCCAGTGGTCTCAGTATGTCCCCCACATAATGTAGGAGGGTCAAATTAGGAAGAAGTACGATTGATCCATGGATGGATGTATCTTTCTTAATGGTGTATGGTTGAGGAACTACGCTCCCGAGTTTCGCCGTGCTACTCAGTGGGCTCGATTCTGAACGCTAGGATGGCCGATGAGTGCTTTCATATAGCACATTAGGCACAATGATTGCCAGAACTTAGTTTATCAGAGCTTTAACTCGTCTCTACAAATATTCTCGGCGATATCTTGCTAGGAGCTTCCTCGAACTTGGTATCAGAAGAAGGCGAGATAAATCTACCTGCCATTAGCTTCGTGTCTCCCCATGCTACCCATACACCCCATACGCCGCCGAGACTTGTTGTTTTCACCTTCATCAAATCCATACCCCCTCCCCCTTTTTTTCTTCAAGGGCCAACACGTAAATCCTTGGACTTTCTTGTTTCAAGCTCCACTCCAGTACTGACCACGATTAGGGCCACCCCAGCGGTAACCTGACGAAGCCACCAGCGCAGCTCGCCACCATCATTTCTAAACCATCTCTCCTCACTAACGGGGTCCGGGCAGTCTATCAGCCCGAGGAACGAACCGTAGCCTGGAGATTTTCGGCCGTGCCACACGTTGTGGTGCGGAGATAATCGTGCTTGGGAGCGCGGCTTTCGTGCGCGTTTATGTCCGGAACTAAAGTCCGACGCGGCAGCGCGCTCCAACAGGCGCAACCCCGCCAAAGCCACCAAAAGGCAAGCGATAGAGTTTCCTATATAAAGACCAGTCGAGAGCCTGCAAAAGTTATTTCATCAATTCGGACTCATCTTCTTTTCAAGCAAACCATCTCTCCTATCATTCATCAATCGTCCAGTCCTCCAGCTGCCCAACACCTCCCATTTTAAAGTGTCAACTTAAATCCTCGAGACGATGTCGTCGCATGGCCCAATCGGATTTGGCCTCATGGGTAAGCAAGCCAAGTCCCGATCCTCCCCGCGTTCCGCCCCTGCGCATGTTCCGTCGGAAAGCCCCCACTCACACATGGATCTGTGCGTTAACCCCCTTCCTCCCCCGATAGGCCTCACCTCCACGCACGCCGGCAACGCGCACGTCTCCGACGAGCGGGCCTTTGGCGCCATGAAGGCGGCCATCGACACCGGATGCACCGTCTGGAACGGCGGCATCTTTTACGGCACGCCCGAGAACAATTCCCTCACCCTCGCGCGCAAGTATTTCGAAAAGTACCCCGAGGACGCCGCCAAGGTCGAGCTCAACATCAAGGCCTGCGTCGTCCCGGGCAAGCTGGAGCCCGACGGTAGCCGGGAGGGAGTGCTGCGCGACGTCGAACAGGCCGTCTCGCAGCTGCCGCCCGACGTCAAGGTGATTGACTTGTTCGAGCCCGCTCGGGTGGATGCCAAGGTGCCTATCGAAGAGACGGTGTTGGCGCTCAAGGAGTGCCAGGATAAGGGACTCATCAAGGGCATTGCCCTGAGCGAGCCCAGCGCCGAGTCCATCCGCAAGGCCAGCAAGGTTGTCAAGATCCTGGCTGTCGAGGTGGAGATTGGCCTGTTTACTACCGATGCGATGAAGAACGGCGTCACCGACGCCTGTGCCGAGCTCGGCATTCCCATTCACGCGTGAGTTTTGTTTCTCCCCGCCCCTTTCTTTCTCGCCCCCGCTCCTATTACCTTGTATCTGGCCAAACCGCCTATTTCCAACCCCTCCAGCCACTAACCGTACCAGCTACGGCACATTGGGCCACGGCTTCCTGGGTGGCACCATCAGGGCGGCCAGCGACCTCGGCGAGGGCGACTTCCGCCGCCTCCTCCCGCGCTTCCACCCAGAAAACTTCGCCACCAACCTCGAGCTCGTCGACAGCGTCAAGGCCGTCGCCGACCGGAAAGGCTGCACCGTGAGCCAAGTCGCCATTAGCTGGGTGGCGTCGCTTTCGGAGACGCCTGGCATGCCCAAGATTATCCCCATCCCCGGCGCCACCACCGCCGAGAGGGTGCGAGAGAATGCCAAGCTCATCGACCTCTCCAAGGAGGATTTGGACGAGATCAACTCTATCCTTGCCCGGTGCGAGGTCAAGGGGGACAGGTATCCCGCTCCGTTGTTGAAATATGTCAATGTTTAGGATGGGGTCTCTGCCCGTCACGAGCCATGCGGGTAACTCCTGGATTCGGAAACTGCATATGGCGGTCCCGAGTTTCATTCGTGTTTACTCCATGAGTCTCCATGTTATCAAGTCTCCATTCATAGCGTCGTAACTTTAACTCAAACTCTATTCCTCTCCACCACCCTCACATATAAGAGGCATGTGCGAGATGCACACCCCCGAGACCCTGCAGCACGTATATTGCCGATCAGGGCCCAGCTACCGGGTAAGGGCATTGAAACTTTTCGTAGAACCTGGGACCATGGCACTGGAACTTGACATCTCGCAGCTCCATATAAAACAGAAAAAGAAAAGCAAAAAGGAAGGACATCTAAGCGGCACAGTCCTGCCACAATCCCCTGTCCACGCCCCGCATGTCTTGATATTCCGTACAAACGACGGTTCTCTGCGTATTTCTCTACGCATTTTCTCAGGAAACCTTCCACGGCGATCCTCGGTTCACTGTACACAAAGTTGCGGTATGTTTCGTCTAACAAATTGCTCAGATCTCCGTAGCGAACATGACGAAAAACCCCAGTATGCCTCGTGACTCCCATTCACGGATTTCCCTCGGCTGGTATCATTGCCTATTGTATGTTGTCCCCGCATTTCATGTGCAAGCTTTTACTCCGCTCGCTGCCGTATTACCGCCAACAGCCAGAAACCCCCGTACATCCACGCAAGTCTAATCCTTCACTCGCCCACACATCAACGAGGATAGTTTCGTCACCCCATAATACTTTATTTTTTTCTTTCACCTCCTTGTCCCAACCCCACACCCCGTGCAAGAAGCTCATTTTGGCTCCAAGAGTCCAAAAGAAAAAAGTTCTCGCGCTGCGCGGGGCACCGCATCTGGCGAGGAGGGATCCACGGGTGGGTCCGGTCCCGGGCAAGCGCGCCAGTCGTTGCGCCGCACGCCGGCAGGGATCCGCCGCCGCGCAGCAAGTTGCGGTTACCTCGTACCCCATAAGATCGGCGAAAAAGGGACGAAATCTGACGGCCTGCAAACCCGGTGCGAGTGAGCAGTTCAGGATTCGAGAAATGAAACGAGGGACCTTGGACGAAGCGCGCTGTCGTTGGTGGATCATTTACGGCCCACGGCCCGAGGATGAGGTTGGCCAACTTTTCTTTCCCCTGGCCTTGAGCCATGAAAAACATGTTGGTGACGGTGTTGTGTTTAATGAGGAGTTGGATAAGAAAGTAAGCTTCATGAAACAACTGCGGGGAAATGAAAATACAACAGAAAATACCACCGCAATCATCTCAGGAAATGACAAGTAGTAGGACAAAGAGTGCTATTATCATTGACGATGGTTAGGGACGTCTTGAAAATGGGTGCGGCTATAGATCACCTATCATGGGACGCTCGCTTACACTCAGTACCACGGCTCCTGCTCAACATATGCCGAAGGAACACAAGAACAACCAGCGCGCCGTCCCCATTCCGTCAAGAGAGCGAGCGGGCCAGCGTCGGTACCCCACCCCTCGCCGTTAGATACCCCGTATGTCACCCGAGACCATGTTCACTCCCCGCGCCAAGTCGGTCGGGCTAGTTCGTCCGACGTTTTGGAGAGCATGTCCCACGCTTCCCCCAATTGGCTTGCGCAAAAGGCAAAAAAGGATCAAACCCTGAGCTGCACGCCTGCTGCCATCCTGCACCCTTGACATCGGTCCTATGCTAGCCTCGCATCCAACAGAGCTTGTTGACACATTTGAACGCGGCACGAGAGCTTCCAGGCCCAACTAGGAAATGGGGTCCCGTTGCATACTATATACAGGGCTGCGGGCCTCATTGTTGCTCCTTCGTCTTACTCTCTTCTGACTTCATCTCGAGCAACGCGTAGGAGTGTGAACCAAAAGAACACCTGGTGGACACAAGAATCAACGATTCACCATGGGCAAGCTCGCAAATATCAGTGTGGCGACCTTTGCCGCCATCGGGTAAGCTCATCCACTCCAAACGAAATCGCCAATACCCCCGTACACGGGGAGGAAGTTTACTCAAGTGCAAACAAAAGTTAACGACTTGGTCTTTTTCTAGATCTTTCCTCTTCGGATACGATGCCGGTGTTATGACAGATGTCATCGCCTCGCAAAACTTTCTCGATTTCTTCAACACCACAGACACGTCGCCCGTCATCGGTGCCATCAACGCGACGTTCAATGGCGGAGCCGTATTCGGTGCCTTGTTCGGCGGTGTCATCATGGACAAGTACGGAAGGCGGAAGACAATCGGCACCGGTGCCGTGATTGGCGTTCTTGGCGGCATTCTCCAGGCCGCGGCCTACCAGTACGACTTTTTCCCATAGCTCGCATCTGGTCTTGCGCGAGCAGAAAGTATGCTAATTCTCTGAGTAGCTTGGCTATGATGCTGGTCGGCCGTATCGTTGCCGGTTTTGCCGTTGGCTTGCTTTCCATGAGTAGTAGGTAACCTTCCTGCTGAGAGCAGCTACATCTAGCACTCTGGCGGCACTCGGCCCCCAAGCTAACAACCTCCTAGTCCCCGTCTACCAGTCCGAATGTGCCCACCCCAAGATCCGCGGCCTCATCGTCGGTCTCGCCCAACAAATGATTGGCGTCGGTTTCATCGTATCCACATGGGTCGGTTACGGCTCCCACCACATGCCCGACTCCTCCTCCTTCCAGTGGCGTTTCCCCTCGCTTTCCAGTGCCTGCCCGCCGCCATGCTGGCCATCGGCATGATCTGGTTCCCCGAGTCCCCGCGCCACCTCATCGCCACCGACCGCCTCGACGAGGGTATGAAGATCCTCCGCAGGCTGCACTACGACGGCACCAACGAGGACTGGATCCAGGCCGAGTTCAACGAGATCAAGCTGACTATTGATGCCGAAAAGGCCGCCACGGCTCCTGGCTGGCTCATCATGTTCCGCGTGCCGCAATGGCGTCGCCGTCTCATGCTTGCGACACTTGTCCAGGTCTTTACCCAGTTCACTGGAATCAATGTCATTGGTTACTACCAGACCATCATGTACAAGGCTCTCGGCATCACTGGAAAGACGAATCTTCTCGTGGCTGGTATCTACAACTGCGTTGGCCCTATTGCTAGTGAGTTCATCCTGTCCTTCTTTGCGAATATACGCCATATTAACAACAGAATCCTTTTCGCACAGACCTCATTTTCATCACTTTCTTCATCGACCGAGTCGGCCGCAAGAAGCCCCTCATCTTCGGCACCATCGCCATCGCCATCGCCCTTATTTGCGAAGGCTCCATCAACAGCCAAAACACCGACGGTACCCGAGAAGGTCTCAGCATCGCCGGCGTTGCCTTCCTTTTCTGCGTCACCATCCTGTTCTCGTGCTCTTTCGGTCCAATCTCTTGGACCTACATGAGCGAGGTCTTGCCGTACCAGGTCCGCAGCAAGGGTTCCGCGTTTGCGACGGGTATCGGAAACTGGCTTGTAGCTACATTCTGGGCCCAAGTCAGCCCTTCGGCCCTCGATAAGCTGGGCTGGAAGTTCTACTTCCTCTTCGTTGGTACGTTTCGCACATCGTGATAAAACCCCCTTAAGTCGAATTGGATATTAACGCAAATTCTACACAGCTTGGGATCTCCTCATTACTCTCCCGTGCCTCTTCTTCTTCTTCAAAGAGACCAAGGGCCTCTCGCTGGAGGAAATTGACTTGCTGTTTGGCGGCCGTGCACTTGGCACCCTGGATGATGACATTACCAAGAAGGAGAAGGACATCGTCGCTCACGACGAAGACCCGGACAAGGTTGCTTAGATAGGCCAAAAGAACAAGAGCTACTGTGCTCCCAGAGTTTACCTCGAAGGAATAAACCAAGGAAGACGGGGAGTGACGATTTCTGGAGAGGAAAGGAAGATGAATGATACCAGTAAAGCTGTGGATAGGGAGGCGGAGTCAAGTCCAAATAAATTCTACTACGGCATCATAGCCGTCTAACAACAAATCTCAAGCCCCTTGCTTCGACCTTCTTTTGAATATCCGCTGATGGCTTCTCCGGAGATGCCAATGTGAATTCCGCCATGCTTAAATCCGCCTCGACCGACCAACTACTCCCCGTAGCCCTTCCAACACGTTCCCACAAATCCCTCCAGCTCTCCGGGTTATGCCGGAAATGCTTGCGACCGCTCTTGTCCTTGGCCCGGGAATATTCCCCGCTTCGTGATGCCCAGTCTGCCGCCCAACAACCAGCGATCCCGGGCGGGGTGCGAGAAGCTGGACGACCCTCGTTGCGGCTTTTTCCTGCTCCTCTAGATTGAAAAGGTGGAAAAATGCGCCCGTGTAGATGATGTCCATCTGACCGGCTAGCTCAACCAGCGGTGAAGCATCGTCGAAGACATCGGCGGCAATAAATCTCGTTTTGAGAGTATCTTTGTCTTTGAAGAGATGGTACCCGACTTCGAAGAACCCGCCCCAGAGATCGGAACCGTACATGTTGTCTGAAGGCGCGCCATCGAGAACCAGCTGTCGGAGTTCCTGGCCGAGGCAACACCCTAGGTCGAGGAGCTTCTGTCCTTGGGTAATTCTCTGGACAATCTCTGGATACACACCCAGCTTCATCATGCTTAGATCGAGAAATTGGTACATGCCGATACACGGATAGGGGCACTGTAAAGAGTGAGTATCGACCTCAAGGCGGAACGTTAGCGAGGAAAACTTACCACTTTAAAGGCCTCCGATCTCTATATATTTAATATGGTCAGCCAATGTTGATCACTCATAGAATGATTGACTTTAGTAAGAGGGGAGAGACATACGATTTCTTGGACATGGCGATCAATGCCATCTTCGTTGATTTTGCTATAACGGCACAAAAGCTCCCTCCCCTCACCCTGGACGATGGAGGCGTCAAGGGCGTAGAACTCGATCTTTCGTGGATTGAGGGCATCGGCCGCGGAGTTCACTACTAGGCTTGTATCCGCCGCGGGATTGGCCATTTTAGTAGTCTCACTTCTGAAAGTTCGAGATGTTGAAAAGAACCACAATGCAGAACACCCCTCACATCTCCGGCCTCTGTCTGCCTAAAACCACAACGAAGAAAAAGTGACATATATGGCGGGTAAAGTCACCCTCTTCATATCAAATTCGTTTAGTTATGTAATCGCCATTGTGACATTCCCGTTTGAATCTAGCGTGGAATCATCTTGTTCTGCTTCTCTCAATGCATCACTATCGCTGATTTCTCGCGATGTGAAATGTCAGAATCAAAAGATACATGTATTCACCTCACTCCACGTCTTTGCAACAACGCACCCACGAACCAGCATTCTTCATGCCATCCTCAAACCTTCACCTGGGCCTCTTTCCCCAACCCCATAATCACCTGCAAATGCGCAGTCCCATCCTCCTCAGGCTCCATCTCGTCCACCGTACCCCACAGCTCCTCCAACCGGTCCATATACTCCCACATCCCGTAGCGGCGCAGAAACTTCCACACCGCCATGTACGCGCTATTCAGCGCCCCCACGATCCACGCGTGGTGCGCGCTCGCCGCCTCCCCACCATGTGGAACTTGCCCTGCGCCGCGCTCCGCGTCAGGTACGGGTACAAGTTCTTGAACTGGCCCGGCGCGAAGAGGGCAAACGCCCCCGCCGTGTTGGGGTCGTCGGACCACGAGTAGGCGTGGAACGTTCCCGTGTAGGCGGCGCGGATGAGCTCGTACGTGACGCCCTCGTGCTGCGCGTGCAGGCGCGCCAGGTTGCGGAGGATCAGCTCCACGAGCTCGTCGTCGGTGGGCTTGCCCCCGCCCACGAGCGAGCTCATCCTGTTGGCGTCCTGGGCCCAGGTGTACGACGCCAGCAGGACGGCGGGCTTGTCGGCGCCGTCGTGCAGGTTGTACGAGGGTACACGCATGTGCGGAGGGGTAGGTCGGTGCTCGCCACGCCTCCCTGGGTGATTCCGCACCGGGTGATCCACCACGGGTACTTGAATTTGAGGGCAACCTTGACGGAGTCGTCGTAGTGCAGGGCGCGGATGGCGTCTTTCTGGGACGGGTGTAGCTCTAGTCCGCGCAAATCCATCCGGCCTAGGCATCCGAGAGTGGTGGTGGAAAACACCGTGCTGTAGCCGGTACGGGGGCCTCCTCGTCGGCGCATTGAAGAGTCAGGTTTCCATCTACGTCCTCGGTTTTGTCCATGGAAATTGCCACCACGCGTTTGTTTGTTTCAATCTTGCGTTTGAGCTTTGCTTTCATGGCCTCGGCGAGCTTGGAGGTCCCTCCTTCAATGCACTTCCATTCGACTTCTTTGGGTTTCCCTGGTCATCCAGCTGTGGATAGTCAAAGTCGAACGAGTCCAACACGCTCTCGGCAAATGCCTCGTCGAATAGGTTTGTGGACGTGTTCATCGTTTCCATCCACTGGATGGAGAAAAGTCATAGCGAGGCCCCTTGCCGTCGGGGCCTCCACACCTCAGGAACTCCCGCGTACTGAGCTCATCCACTTTAGTTAGCTCCTCCATCCCGTTCTTGAAATCAGCTTTGAGTAGAGCTTTGTAGGGGTTGAAGGCATCCCCCAGAAGCTTGCTGACAGAGTCCACCACTGCATCGGGAACTTGGCCACCTTTACCGACGCCGACGTTGTAAGGATCTTTCTCGTCACTCTTGAAGCGGTCGTTGAATAGGCTCGGAGTGAGGTCCGAGTCCAAGTAGTAGTTGATCAGCGGCAGCTCCATGCGCTCGAAAAGGTCAAACGTGCGGTCCATGATTTTGATGCACGGATACCGCATTGCCCCGATATCGTAGTAATCATGCGGCGCGTCGCTGAATTTGTGCGTATACATGCGGCCGCCAACTCTGTCACTTGATTCCAGGATATCGTAGCTCAGGCCCGGGATCTCGAGGCTATCGAGGATCGTGGCGATATATAGGCCCGCCACGCCCGCGCCCACAATGCACACCTTTCGAACCGGCATGCCGGCTCCGGGCCCCGTCAAGTTACCCTTGGTATAGTTGAGGCGCTCCTCATCGGGGGTAAATTGTCCGGGGTAAACATGCCCTCGGGCATGAGTGCGTTGAGCTCGGCAGCCAACTTGCGTCGGACTACTCGGCGAGCCCAGAGAGCTTTGGGATGAATCTCGGTGTTTGCCATGTTTAATGGAAGGCCAGAATAGGCTTGCAAGTATAGAGGGTGAATGAAAAAGAATTCGGCCGGATTATGATTTAGAATTCTACAAGATTGTCGATGGAAAGCTCAACGCCTGAGACTCTTGTGCTTGGCTGATAACCTCCTCTCTTTTACCGACTCGAACACCCAGTTCTCTCACTCCCCTTTTATATCTGGATCGTTCTTGTTTGACTTACAATACCCCCTCTTCGCTGCCTGCCAGAAAACGCCTTTCTGCGGGTATTTCCCGATTCTTCATGCTATCTACCCGCGCAGATGCGGGAGGCGATAGATCGCCGCTTCCAAGGCCAGCTGGTTGTCCTCAAAGCGGAAATATTTGGTTCTGCGGCGGTTAGTTCGCGACGCATCCCAAGTCGGGCTTGCATAGGTCCCTAGATATATTGTCAGAGCCGGCCAATAGGGCTGGCCGTCAACGTCAACCCACCACTGTCACAGCTCCCCCACCCCAATGCTCTCCGCCCTTACCCTGACCTCTTCATACAATTGCTCCCGCCGCGAGCCAGCCAGCCACTTCGGGCTCACCCGTCACCTGCAGCATGCATTCCTAGCTCGAGAGTCCGAAACAGGAACTCGTGGAAACATGTGGCTGGCAAACACATTTTTATTCGTCTCCACGCACAAACTTAGCTAGGGGAGACGGAAATAGTTTAAGACAAGCTGAGGCTAATGCAGCACTAAATAGCCAGTGTTTATAATCGCGACGAAATTCTGTCAAGTTCTCCATCTCCATTTTTTGGCGCAAGAACCTCACCATTTAATGAGTGCGGGGCATCGAGGACACATGCAGCCATTGGACCTAGCTACGGAGACCTTGGCCTTGTGACCGACGTGATCTAGTTGTTAGATAGTGTCGTAGTCTTCCTGATCCAATCAAACTCCTCTATGGCATGCATCAATGGTGTGCCCATATTGAATGAGGGCGTTGTCAACTGAGCCTACTCCGTATCGCCAACCTGACAGCGCTCGCTCCGATGCTGCAAAAGCCTTATGCATGTAATGCCATGAGTGTCTTGATGGTCAAATATTCCTTAACTTTTGGACTATACGTGTGGGGATATTGTGCTTCCAGGCGTGTTGGCTTGACCGTCGATACTTTGACAGAGCCTCCGACTAAGTTCTCTGACGACTACGGCTATGCAAGGGACATTGCTGACGTAGTACGGGATTTTGGGGATTTATCGCACTTAGGCTGCATGTAACGGCGCAACTTGTTAATATAATTAAATGCGGATACCCTCGGGTGCTTTGGTCCGTCTCGTGCGGATGAAGAGACCAGTGGGGCCTTCGTACGACAATGAGCGCGTCGCTGAGAAAGACAAGACTTCTATATTTTGTTCAATGCTATAGTACAGAAATTACTAGTAGAATAAACCCCACTAGCTCGGATACGTAACCACTGTTGTACTAGCATGGTTGAGACTTTGGTCCAGGTGTCACAGTCTGCATCTCATATCGGATGAGGTTCTGCTTTAAGGTAGCACCAGCAGCAATCGGATAGTACGGCTTGCGACCTCTGCTGGTTCTCGATGCGATGTTTTCATGCACAGTAATCTCCCGTTTGCAGGGATCGGACTCGGCGGCCCTGATTGAATGGTGCTGCTCATATCCTCGAGGTGGGGCCGATACTCGATATGCAGCTCTTATTACAGCTTTTAGCCACCAGAGGGACAACCCCGAAGAAATAACGGGACTTGACTTGGCGGGTTCATGGCTGATAGAAATCGTTTGTTAAATAATGGGCCAAATCCGCTGTGAGGATTCCGCATGTTGATGGGTTTCTCCCGTCACTTGCTACCCACTTGAGCCAGTTTTAGGAGGGCTTCAGCTGCTTCGGTCGACACAACTCTTTTCTTCGCACAGCTCGACAATGCGCGGCCCTAAAGTGCGTGACGGCGTGAGCGTAGGACTTGTGATCGCGTCCGTTACGCGAGGGACCTTGGCTGCCTCAAAATGTTGTAGGACGACCATCTCCCGCGATGTAGCCGTCATCGGCGGCGGCGCGGCGGGTGCACATGCTGCCGTCTGGTTGCGCGATCACGACAAGTCGGTGGTGGTAGTGGAAAAGGCCTCGCAACTGGTAAGTAATCCCCGCCTTGGAGAGCAAGTCGAATATCACCTCTATCTTCCCCTCGGCTTCACTCGAAGCTCCTCCGAAGCTCCCACTTGCGGTGATTACCCGGTGATACTGGTACTGATTCCCATCTACCACAGGGCGGCCACACGGCTTTCTACGAGGACCCAGCGACGGGCAAAGTGATCAACGTCGGTGTCCAAGCCTGGATGGAGTACAAAAACACTCTCGAATTCGTGGAGCGGATGAACGTCTCGACGAGCGGGTCCATGCAGTTCACCACGCTCGACTACCAGTACGTCGATTTCAAGACGGGCGAGCCAGTCCCCGACTACGCCGCGCCTGTGCCGGACGACATGTACCCCGCGCTGCAGAGGTACCTCGACGTCCTCGAAAAATACGAGGACATGGTGCTGCCCGGCTTCTTCAACTTCCCCGAGCCCGAGTCCATCCCGGAGGATCTGACCATGCCCTTTGGCGAGTTCGTGGAGAAGTACGATCTCGAGGCCGCCGTGCCCCAGATCTGGGACTCTACCGCAATGGGCCTCGGCGATACCATGAACGTGCCCACCCTATTCGTGATGCAGGCGTCCGGCGTCCCCATGGTCCGCGCCTTGTTGGGCGTCGCTGCTGCCGCCGTTCCGCCCTCTGGCCGCTTATTCGACCTATTCGAGGCCATCGCCAAGTTTCTAGGCGACGATGTCCTCTACTCCAGCACCGTAGTCTCCGCGACGCGACAGGATAACAAAATAGTTTCGCTCAAGGTGGAAAACGACGACGGGGACGTGACCTGCATCGAGGCCAAGCGCCTCCTCGTTGCGTTTGAGCCCACACCCGAGAACTTAGCCCCTTCCGTCCCGACCAGACAGAGAAGGACGTTTTCGACAAATTCGAGTTCGCCACCGTTTACGCCGGACTGCTCCGACACCCATCGCTGCAAAACAGTACCAGCTACACGAACAGGTCGCCCACCACCGGCTCAAGCAACTACACCATCTTCCCCACCGCCTCCCAGGTCGGCCGTATCGACTACGTCGGCGGCACCGAGGATCTATTCCAGTTCACCGCCGTGGGCACGGAAAAGGACACCGCCGAGAGCATGCAGGCTCTCATTGCCAAGACGATCGATACCATGATCGAGGCGGGCACCGCTCCGGAATCCGAAGGTGACCTCTCGTTTCCTTACTTTGCGAACCACGGCAAGATGCACCCGCACGTGACAGCAGAGGACCTTCGCGCCGGCTTTATCCAGAAGCAGCTGGCCCTTCAGGGCCATCGCTTTACCTGGTACACTGGCGCTGCTTTCTCCGCGGGCTTCACCACCGTGCTGTGGGAATACAACGACATCTTACTGCCCAGCGTGATTGAGGGGCTGTGATTATGGAAGGGATGCGAGACGGAGAGGGAACTTGTGTATTTCGGCGCTTGGCGACGAGTGCCAAGCCAAGAAAAGGCACCTCAGGATCAGCCGAATGAGGCACTGCATTACCCGGATACAACCGTCTGACATTACCATCCGGCCGGTCAGCGAAGTATTATCCGGTGCCTGTGTGGAGCCCTGTGAGGTTTCCGGATCGCCTTTTTCAATGATGAACCGTGCAAAACCTAGCCCTAAAAGTGAAAGCCTGAGATAAGCTCACAATTATTCCTGTATCATATTTGAAATTAATTCTTGGTTTTAGCAAAGCCATCGCGAAAATATCAGATGATGTTATTGGCGCTGAGTCTCACGGGTTGCCGGCTGGGGCTGTGATCGTGGGGTCGAATGGCGAACAGGGCAGCCAATCGATCGTCGAGACACCATATTCAGAATACAGTAATACCGATCTCAATTCTTTGCCTAGGCAGCACAGCCATATCCCCTACGACTAAAACCGCGCTTACCACCCCCAAATCGGGTGTCAGCAAGCGCGGGTAACAGAATCCCGGCCTATGTTTAGAAGAATCATGAAACTTTCCAGATAACGAACGCCGGTTCGGCGGTGGGGGCCGGATCGTATGGGTATCCACGGTACCGGATTCTAAGCCGCAAGCGCGAGGTCAGCTCCGCGGCAAGGTGCGCGCGCTTGGGGACCAAGATTGGGCATCGAAATCATATATAATTGTGGACAAGAAGAATATCTTCATAGATCTGAATTCCACTCGAATCATTCACATCTTCATCCTTCCATCCTCTCTATCAGTCTCTATTAGTTTCTAGCCGTCAACTTGTCCCATTGAGAACGAACATCTATAGCACGGAATCATGCATCTCCAGTCCCACCTCCGGTCGGCAGTGACCCTCGCCCAACTGCTCTCCCTCGCCACCCCAAGCGCCGCATCCCTCTCTCTCAGCGCGCCAACCTCCCACGAGAGAACGACACGCCCAGCGGCCCTAGCGTCGAGGAAATCTGCAGCGCCACCTACGACGATCCCGCGCAAGTCTGGAAGACCACCGGCGCCGGCGCCTACCTCAACGCGTTCATCACCAAGCACACCGCCGACAACTGGGTCGACAAGCTCTACCACGAGACCATCAGCGACGGCATCGAAGGCGCTTCCCCATGGACTGCACCGACCTCGCGGGCGCCAACTGCGCTTCCCCGCCCCAGACGTGTCGCGCATCCAACCCGCCCCAGGTCTTCCACGTCTGGAACGCCATCACCATCGCCCACAGGATGATGAATGCCATGCGCGAAGGCCTCCAGGACTTTGTCCTCGTGGAAAGCTTAAACGTGGACCAGATCGTGGCCGACTTTGGGCCGCCCCAGACACCCAACCTGGACGGCATCCTCGGCGGCGCGTTTACCATCGCGGCCGGTGTCACCGCGCCCTCTGCGCCCGTTGCGGGACCCTGACTGTCATTGCGGGTATCTTTGGCCTCCTCGCCAGTGACGGGGGCAGCGCCATCGACCCGACTCAAGACATCAAGAAGCAGCTGGCGGCCGCCTTCACCAGCGCCAACGAGCATCTTGCGGGTTTGACCAGGGTTATCTTTGGTGGCTCTGGCGTCGATTCGCTCCCGGGAGCTGCCGCCTTCAAAGCACTTGAGGCTGTCGCCAAGGCTATCGAGGCCATCACGGGGTCCGACAAGCCCACCAACCCCGACATCGTCCCAGTTACCAACCCCATCTCCTCGTTCTTCGCAAATGGAAAATTCCTCATCAAGGTTACCTCAACTGGGAGCATTGATACGATGGTGAAGAACATCGTCACCAATGCAGGTCTATTTATCGTGAGTACCCTCTGTTTCGAGCAGAAGATTAGTGTTAAGAGCTAATGATTTCCCTCAGCGACAACGACTTGCCATGACTGCTCTCCAGGTTTCCGGTCACTTTATCTTTGTCGACGTAAGAGACTTTGTTCCCTTGATACCCCCATGACTTTTACTCGTCTGAGCGTGTCAAGGACTAACGACGTTTTCTGTAGACTGATATCGGCGACAAGCCGTCCTGCCATAAAAGCATGGTCTCGGTGCACGATGGATCGACAACGAATGCTTCCAAATCTACACATTCAATCCGGCATCCGGGAACAACGGCCGCGCACACATCAGTCGCATCGACGGGGCCAAGATTGGCAAGTTCGACGACGGCCAATCCAACTACAACCTCAGGGTAGAGGAAGTCTACAACAACGCCAACGACTGCTTCAACAAGCATCCCAACTACGACGGCGACGTGAACCCTGCCCCTGCGCTCCTGACACGAGGAGACTCGGATGTGGCGTACCCAGAGTGCTTCTTCCCCTTGCCCGTCATCAAGGCACCGGGTACCCCGTGCAAGCTCGAGGATAGCCAAATGGAGAAGTTGCCAGAGGTCCTGCGAATCACGCCTGACAATTGCTCGGATAGGATTCAAATTTGCTTCCCTCCTGGACCATGCCCCGCGTAGGGTACTTTTGGGCCAGCTTCATCTGCTGGGCGGCTTTATAAACACTCCTCTCTTTTGGGTTTCAACTACTTTTGTCCTTAAGATAGATTTCTTTCCCTTCGTTTTTGTTATATAGATAGACCTTCGCAAAGAATTTTATAGCAGTTAACTTCTGTGCCCAGTCTCCAGCTTCGTGAACATTCACCTTCCTGTGCTTTCCTAGGCGCCGATTGACAGACGGTCGAAGCCGGGGACCATGGCCACGTCAATAGCACAACCTCCTAAGAAACTGATGTCTTGAATTGACGTATTTATCCCCTTACCACTTGTAAGACAAGCTCAAAGAAAAGAATTGGCGAAGAGCAGAAAGACAGTGCGGAGTTATCTAGACAGTTTGCTGCCATCATGGCCATATAAATACTATGGACGTGGAATTCAACATTTCGTGGAAACTTGCTGATGGGGGCGTGGATATCTTGCTTGACTAGGGCGAGTTTCGGCTACGGAGGTGCCTGGCGTTCGTCATATGAGGTTTAGATTGGGATGCGACAAATGATTGCACCACATGATATGGCCTGGTCTGGATTAAAGCTAGTGCGAAATAGAAGCCTTCATATTCATTACAACTTTCCGAAGACCTTTCGGACTGTGTGTTCGACACATATCGCCTCTTCACCTACATTCCCTAGCCTTCCTCATCATGACTACCGAACTATTCGATGTCGTCGTCGTGGGCGGCGGGCCGATTGGGCTCGCTTCTGCGTACGAGGTCGCCAAAAAGGAAGGAAGGTGCTCGTTCTTGAGCAGAGCAGCTTTTTCAATCAAGAAGGGAGCTCGGGGACTTGGTTCGTATGTTTCGGACAATGTATGTGCACGTTTCGTCGTCGTTGGCAAATGATTGAACGGGCATGGCGGGGGATCAGAGGCAGTGAAATGGTCATGGCTTGATAATGAATGGCTAAAGTAGAAGCAACTGACAACATACCATAGGTACACGGAAGATTTCATGGCCGACCTGGCAAAAGCGGCCATTGACACCTGGGACAGTCTTGAGCAGGACGCAGGAACTGAGCTCCGCTGGATGACAGGCCTGCTCAACTTTGGCGATAAGGACTTTGGCGGCGATTCCCCTGAGGGCAAGTGTTACTACAAATTCTCGCCTTCACCTCAGCCCCCGATCTCGATCTGTCTTTGTTTTTGATTTTTTTTTGATCCAACAATTCAACGGTACATGTATAGTCTGGGTGCTAACGTTTCTAAGGGACACTAACCGGACCGATCCAAAATCTCGAGAGACTCAACATGACTTACGAACAATGTAAGAGAATCGGCGCCCTCCTTGCCTACATGTATATCCCTTGGCGTTAGGCCGGCCACCTCGCCAACGAGGCTGACACAGAATCCCTAGTGACCGCTCGCGAAATCGAGACGCGTTACCCATTCAAGAACCTACCATCCGACTGGGTCGGTCTCTTCGCCCCGGACAACGGCGTGATCAACGTCCCGCTTCTCCTCCGCACACTCCTGAAGCTGGCCGAAAACCTTGGCGCGGACGCCCTAGAACATGCAAAGGTGAACTCTATCCACCTATCCGACGACGACACGGAGGTATGGGAAGTCAAGACCACGCGCGACGAGACGGAAGACGTCATCTTCAGAACCAAAAAGGTCATTCTTGCGCCGGGGGCGTACATCAACCACGTGCTCAAACCCAGCTTCGATTTTCCTCGATCTCGACATCTGGGAGATGGTGGCAAGCTATTGGAATGTCAGCTCTGGCGCGAATGAGACAGTATTTCCGAGTATGAACAGCCCAAACCCCTCTTCCCATTTTCTGATACCGATACTTGAACCTATGTGTATCGCCCCACAAGTCCCCCTGTTAACCCACAACCACTGACAACTCGACTTGGTACCGTTGTGATTAGGCATGTGGTTCCAGTTCGCCCCAGATGTGCAAAATAGGTCGCAGCTCTTCTACGGGTTCCCGACCGTCCCTTGGGGGCCGCCTGATCTCGTGCGGATCGCGGTAGACGCTGCCACGAACCGCATCAAAGATCCCGATGAGCGACAGGTCGACGTTATTAGCGCCGAAGATATCACCGACACTCAGGACTTTGTCGAAAACCACGTGCGTGGTGTTGATGCTGGTGCTCCCGCCCAGAGTCTGAGCTGTCTACAGACAAACGTCTTTGGTATGTGGCTATCCAGCACCCGCTCTCTTTGGTTCCAGTGTTAACAAGGGACACTCCTAGATAATATGTTTGTCCTCGATTTCGTTCCCGAGATCTTTCTCAGCGGCGGGCCCAAAGATAGCATCGTCGTCTATACTGCTGGTTGGGCTATGAAATTTGTCCCGCTGCTTGGCCGTGCTCTCGCCGAGATGGCGATTGAGGGCAGGTCCGAGTTTGCGCGTCCCGAGTTCTTTATCAACCGGACCGACTCTTCTGGCCAGGGCATCATTGTCGAAACTGAATTCTTGATTCAGACTAGAAACCTCAACTTGATAGGACAAGGTTCGGGTTCGTCTCTGGCCGGTGTACATGGGATTTCGAGATAGAGGGTGGCCGTTTGTGGGTACAGAGAGGGCCATAAAATCGTCGAAGGTCGTTATACCTCGGTAGAGTCTGCATGTAATCAACTACACACTTTTTGGGGCTTTGATCATCTCAGCCTTCGATTCATATTTTGTTAGATGGATGCATACATGTATGTTGCTTGCGCTATCTAATTTTGAAGAGAAAAACAAACCACATAATATACGGCAAACCGTGCCAAAGTCAGTGTACCGAGGTCTATACACAGAGTTAAAGGCCATGCCCAACCTGTTTCTCAAAAATCAGACTCGCTTCACATCAATTGATCTACACTGAGAATGGGAATCGCTCATGAACCCACGAATAGCCCGGAGCGATCCCTTCCAAAGAGCGAGTCATGCCTTCTTGCCATATCAGGCCACTTTAGGAGATGCGGATGCTTCGCATCATAAAGCGCACAGTCCGGAGGCTGCATGATTCAATTCCTGGTTGTAACCAATCGATCGAATCTGCGCTTCTTCGCATCCAGTCGAGGGCATTCATCAACATCATCCGCGCCATCAATTGAGTTAATAAGATACCAGCGCGTTGGCGGTGCCAATGATCTACGGTCCTGACTTCGTCTCACTATCGAGTGCGCGCCTCGACTCGACGGCCTTTGGAAATAACCGAGGGACGATGCCGAGCTGCCCCCGAAGCTCTCGCCGCTTAGCGTGGCATGCAGGTGTGGAGGGAGATTGGCAATGCGGGGAATTCACCTCAATGCCGCGACTGGCCGTCGTGGGACAGGTCCTACAAGTAAGAAGATGGAAATATTCCGATTATCTAGAACTGTAAACGATCTCGCGCCTCTACGCAGTTCATTGGGCTTGATTCTCTATCATAGTTAAAATGGATATAACCAAACATAAAATCCTCTTCCTTCCAGATCGTGTGTCCGTCCAACTCGACTATCCCGCGGACCCTCGGCCCCTGACGTGGAGCTCTCGGAGCATACGCTGTCGATCGCTCGCTGGCCCCCAAAAGACCTGGCGTCGCGCTAAATCGCAACCCCACACTTTCTTCCCCGCAATCGCATCCAACCATTCAGCAAACGAGGTGGGATCGGCTGCCCTTTGTCTGCCCGCCCCAGCCATCCATGTCTCAACCCACACTGGCCGACACTTGCTGCGGGAGCCGAACCCAAATACGTCACACGTGATGGAGGGGGAAGCTTTCCCCTGGGACAGCTCACCTCCTTTCTCCCCTTTGCCCGCTGCTTCACAAAAGACCCGACAATCTGTCAACCCGACCGACGCACTCGTTTACTCACGCCCCTCGCTTTTCTCCTTTCTTCCCTTCTTCATCCTCTCTTGTCTGCTGCTTCTCGTCCTTGTCCCCGCCCTCTCGCTTGTGTAACCCACGAAATCCCAAACATTCAACTCACAAACAGTACGCGAACCCGGCGGGCCAACCCCGACGATGCTGGGCCTCGGCAGCGCGAGGCGGCTCTGCGGCCCCCGCAACCAACGACTCCTCTCCAAGCGATGCACGCCCCGTCGCCGCCCAGAATATCTCCCGCCCTCAGCGACCACGATAGCTAGGCCATACTCTGCGCTCTCGCAGAGCCTCTCCCACGGACCGCAAGACGTAAGTTTCAAAACATACACCGCCACGACCTTTTTCTTATCCACTTCCCCTTTTTCGCCCGCACACCCTTCATCGTGTCAGTTAACTCACCCCGTTTCCCCCAGCCGCCTCTCATCCCCGTCACCATACCCGCACACTTCGCCTCCATCGTCTCCCAACACGGCGACCGCCCCGCCCTCATCGCCCGCAGCGCCACCACCACCAAACCCCTCCCCTCCACTTCCACCGCCCACACCGCCCCTCCGCCCTCGAAACCACCCTCACCTACCACGACCTCGACCTCCTCTCCAACCGCCTCGCCGCCGGCCTCCGCGCCTTCGGCGTCCGCAAAGGCGACCGCGTCGCCGTCAAGCTCGGCAACTGCGCCGAATTCGCCGCCTTAACCTACGCCGCCTTCAAGCTCGGCGCCATCCTCGTACCCCTCAACCCGGGCTTCAACGCCAAGCAGGTCGCCGCCGCCCTCTCCCACCTCCAGGTCGAGCTCCTCGTCGTCGCCGCCGTCACCGACCTCGCCTACAAACCCTGCCGCGGCCGCAGCAACGAGGCCCTCCTGCGCGCCATCCTCCCGGACCTCGAGTCCCCGCGTGTCCAGTCGCCCCTCGTCCCCTCCCTCAAGACCGTCATCACCCTCGACAACCTCGCCGCGCACCCGAGCACGCCCTTTACCCCGCTAGACAAATGCCGCGCCCTCACCCCTTTTGACCACCTCCTCGAGGCTGGCGGCTCCTCCGGCCGCCCCATCGTCCCCGACGCGCCCCTCCTCCCCTCCGACACCATCAACATCCAATTCACCTCCGGCACCACCTCCACCCCCAAAGCCGCCATGCTCACTCACACCTCCATCCTCAACAACGGCGCCCTCATCGCCCACCGCATGGGCCTCGTCCCCGACGACCGCATCGTCGTGCCCCCGCCCCTCTTCCACTGCTTCGGCTGCGTCCTCGGCTACATGGCCACCGCCACCACCGGCGCCGCCATTCTCTTCCCCTCCCCGGCCTTTGACCCCGAAGCCAACCTCCGCATGATGGCCGACCACGACGCCACCGGCCTCTACGGCGTCGCCACCATGTTCCTCGCCGTCCTCGACACCCTCGCCTCCGGCTCCGTCATCTCCCGCGACCAAGTGCCCCGCAACCTGCGTAAAGGCATCGCCGCCGGCAGCTCCGTCCCCGAATCCCTCATGCGCCGCCTCTACGCCGAGCTCGGCCTCGAGGACCTCGTCATTTGCTACGGCATGACCGAGACCAGCCCCGTCAGCTGCATGACTAGCCCCCACGACCCCTTCGAGAAGCGCACCTCCTCCGTCGGTAAGGTCATGCCCCACACTGCCGTCAAGATCGTCGACCCCGCCGACCGCTCCCGCGTCCTACCCCTCGGCGAGCGCGGCGAGCTCGCCGCTTCGGGCTACCTCGTCATGCGCGGCTACTGGGGTGACGAGGCCAAGACTGCCGAGGTCATGACGACCGAGTCCGACGGCCGCACTTGGATGTACTCGGGCGACGAGGCCAGCATGGACGCCGACGGCTACGTCGAAATCACCGGCCGCATCAAGGATCTCATCATCCGCGGTGGTGAAAACATCCACCCCCTCGAGGTCGAAAACTGCCTCTTCCAGCATCCCTCGTAGGCGCCGTCTCCGTCGTTGGCGTGCCCGACGAAAAGTACGGCGAGTCTGTCGGCGCCTTTGTCATCCCGGCAAAGGGCGTTCGGGTGAGTGACGGAACCGGCACCGAGCCCGCCGCGGGATCCGAGGGCAACGATAGGGTGCTCACGCCGGACTCGGTGCGTGACTGGGTCCGGGAACACCTATCTAGTCATCTCGTGCCCAAACACGTGTTCTGGGTGGAGGATTACCCCAAGACGGCCAGTGGCAAGATTCAGAAGTTTAAGCTACGCACACTAGCCAAGGACATGATATCGGGCGAAGCAACCCCGCCCAGGTCATAAATAGTGACCATCTTTGCAAGACGTTAAACAGAAGGCCATTTTCCTTGTAGTTTCATTACATCTTCATCTTCATGGGCGGGAGGCACAGGACCCGGACTTACGATGGCTGGACAATGGAATGAGCAGAACTGAACTGATGCGTTGGTATATTTCGGACGGCGATCGTACATAAATCATTAGCACACACATGGTAATCAAGACCCAACTTTCGTACAGTAACATCAAGCGTGAAAACACACACACGCACACACATGCAGAGAAAACATGAAAGACCAAGATAACACCGTCCCCCCAACCCAGAAGAAGTAAGGAAAAAGAAAACATGCTGGAACAAAACAACACACATCAAAACAAGTGCAAATCGCCCCGACCTACAAAGCTTCCGGTGAGTCCGGGTGTTAGCCGGACTTGGCGTCAGTTTCTGCCTTTTGGCCCCCTGTAATACCCACTAACTTCTCCTCGTCGCCCATGCCGCCATTAAAGGTAAACCGGAACTCTGACAGAGCGTCCGAGTTCCACGAGTCGGTGAGGCCAAGCTTGGGAGCGCGTTCGCTTTGTCTCGAAGGCGACGTCCTAGAAACGGCCCTGGACTCCGCCGCAGCGTCGGTATTCCTCCTCGCCGAATGTCGGTAGTCGCGGATCATCAGGCGCAGGGCAGGGAGGCATGCGGCGATGACGGTGACGGAGACTTCAATGTTATCCCATGTCACCAAATCCACGGAATCGTCTAGTCATTGCGTTCCGTGCATTAGTAGGATGGCGGGGAGGGGTGAGGAGGGGACACCTACAGATATCTGGGGCGGCTAGCTTGGGTAGCATTACTGTCTTGACAATCGCGGTGATGCCAGCCCTATAGGTGTGGATATTAGTAGCTGAAGTGTGCGAGTTTACCTCTTATGATTTGGCTAGGGTGGAATCGGTGAAGTGAAAAGGTTTTGGGCGGGAGACACGCCCCGCGTGACACGCTCGACTTACACGACCCCCATGCTCATCGCGATGACGATTCCAATTTTCTCCTTTCGCTTCATCTGAAGACCGCGCAACGTCTTCCACGGAAGAAAGGCCAGGATAAAATCCATAGCCGCCGAATATGCTAAAGAATCTCTGTTAGTACCATCCATTCTTCTCTGCCCCAGCCTGGCCTCAGAAAAGCCGAACGAAACAAGAGTGCATGCGCGCCAAAGAAGTTGCACGATTGAAACATACCCCGGAAGTCAAGTTGCACACTTCCAAAACCTTGGCAGGCCAGCATTTCCCCTCCCTCAGAGTCGGTGTCCACGCCTTATGCAACGGCGTGCACTGGATCCAAAACACCATGGCGGAGACGCCCATGAGCACGTTCATGGACACGATGATGACCCACACCAGCCGCCGCGTCCAGCCCGTCGTGATGCGCAGCAGCGTAAAAGCGAACGCGGTCTTGGCCCAGACAATGGCGGTGATGGCAAAGGTGCCCCGCACGGTGATGGTGAGCGAGAAGCTGTCGATGTTCGGAGGTCGAAAGTCCCACGTGTGCCGGCCATAGGTGTAGTAGACGACTAGATACGTTGTGACGGTCGAGCCCATCAACATCATAATCTAAGCAGCGGGAAGAATTAAAAGTTAGCTGCAACTGATCTTGGCTCACGAATCAACATAACCGGGGATAACAAGAGAAGAATGGATCAATGCAAGACTCTTCTGTGCTCAATTAATTCCGAAAAAGAACCCAGGTGCCTTACCCATGCGGCGATGAGAGTCCAGTCATCCCACCAGAGCTTCTTCCGGCCGATATGCTTGCAGTACAACCGTAGCGCGAGAAATACGCTCGCCACGCTCGTAAGGACCCATGTCGTCGTGATCAGGGCCGGCCCCTATCGTCGTGAGGGAGATTGGCGAGCTGCTCCGGGGTATAGGGTATAAAGGCCGCCATGGTAGCGGTTGGGACCCAAAGCCAGGCGTGTCCAGCACAGCCGGCGACTAAGAATCGGTGCGAGGAGGCAGGTCTCTACCAAGGAAGGCGAGGTGGGTCGTCCGTCATCGAGCCAGCCGGAAAAAAAAACCAACGACGACGGAAGTCTTTAAAAATTTGAAAATATGGCGCGGAAGAGTGTTCGGGGAGATTGGTCGAGATCGTCCAGTGTGTTTATATACGGCCAAGGCCAGAAACGCTTCGAGTCCGTCATGGAAGAGTGCGGGGTGAGGGAGCAAAAGGAATGCGATAACATTCTTTTCTCGGCGATCAATCATCCACCAGGGAAGCTTTGGTCGCTGTGCGTCTGGCGTTTGATCTCAGTATGTATACATGTATTGTAGGCTTAATCATGTTGTTTTGTTTTGTGTGGCACATGCCATGTAACCCTTCACAGCGCAATCGAGACACATGGAAATAGCCTTGCCGGGAAATCCGGTCTCACCCCTTCTTTACCTCAAGCGTTATCCTCCACGGGGTTAACGCCAGGCCACATCCGTTCTCATCAAGGAGCATTTGATGCAGCCCTAGGGGCACATAAACCCCAGAGCCCAGCGCAGCCAACCTTGTGAATTCTGGAAGCCGGATCCCCGCCCGAAATGGGTTCGTCATTCAACCTTAAAAATCCCATGTCGTCCAGCCAGGGAAATGTGACCAACTCCGTTGCTAGCACGTCCCCTTGCCGTAGATCGCGGAGACGCCCAGCAGGTGACGGTGAGGGGAAAACTAGGGGTTAGGCAGGGCCTAGCGCTGCGACCACCCCAAAATTTAACTTTGGGACGATGAGCCTTCGTTGCAAGGGCTCACCTTCCCATTTCAACCCTCATACAATGAGTCTTACACAACTGAGCTTAATCGGGGCCAGATTGCGACGACTATCTTTTATCCGTTTCATGTCCACACTACACTAACCCAGTAGCCGTAGCTGCAATCGAGGATTTGACGATTCGAGAAAGTTTCGAAGGGATTACGTCAATCGACGTCGCATTTAACGCTAGGCACGAACATTCCTCCGAACACTACGACCCTTGCCCTAGCCAGCCTCGCTGGTTGAGTTTGCTGAACATGCAAAATGTCTGAAGTGTGTCTGAGCATCCGAACAAAATCAAAGGGAAAATCGGTGGGCAGGAGCAGGTAAGCACGACTATTTCGACGAAAGAAGAATTCTACAGCTTCGGCTGATGGAGTCGGCAGTTGAATTATATGGCATTATGCTCCAGAATTGCCTTCACCGGGTTGAAGCCATCGTCTTGCCGTTTCATCCCAGCAGTGGAACCATGGATACCAGGACCCCTCCTCGCAGATCGTGTGCCAGAGTTGCATTCACGGCCTCTATCGAAGGGGAATGAAAGCAACAAAAGAAGACTTGACGGAGGGCTCCGGCGCAAGACCATTACATGGAGATTACAAACATAAGATAATACGAAGTAAATCTTTCCCATCTTGCTCCAGGCTATCGCATTCATGTATTGTTTGTCTGACGATTGAGAGAGCCTTTAATTGTTATCGATGAACGTGTCGTCGTGCCTCCCCATTTTCGTGTATTATACCCAATCCGGTTAAAGCCACGACCCCGGAATTCCAGCGCATTTCTTTATCCCAGTGCGGGCGTCACCTGGTCGCACCCCAACCGATCGCCGCGACGAGAGCGCCATGGTGTTTCAGCACAGTAAAGGATAGCTTGGACTCCTGTGAGGAAGAAAGGAAAAGCCCAGGGAGGAAATCAGAGTAACCGAAGCGATCTTCGCTAGACGAGGGATTTCACCACACCTATTCCGCCATTGATGACATCGACAAAATTTTTAACAATATCGTGAAGCCGATCCGGTTTGGCTGAATTAGGGTGGGAATCATCTGTGTCTTGTATTGACGTCTTGCGTGGGGAAGAAGGCTCATTTATACATTATTTGGGGGTCAAGGATAGATCGATGCTTTAACTGTTGTTATTCACCTAAAGCTCAGCTTAACCTTCTGTCTCTCCCGAATTTTGTTTCCATCGGCCACGAGCCAAAACTTAGGAGCTGCAAAAGTCTCCCCTTGCCGACGCACAACCATGCGCATCCTCCAGTCCCCGCACCGCAAGCGACCGCCACCCAAAAGCTCCTGCTGCACTCCGGGCGGCATAAGCGGCCGTATTTCACTTGTCCGTTGCCTCCTCTCGACAATGACAGACAATGGCGAAGAATAGAAACACTTGAACGAGTAAGACTTAACCTCTTCACGAACCCCCATGATAACCCGATAGGCGCGTGGGCCAAAAAAGGAATGCGAGATAATGGTATCAGTGGAGAGAGAGAGCGGGGATGTTGAGGTCCACGGTCACTATCACGCCTCCGGCTCCTCGTCCGCCGTCGCTGGCGCCGTCGCAGGAGCCGCCGCTTTCTGACCATACACCACGTGGCTAATCCTCGCATGAGCACGATTCCTAACAAGGTGGAAAAGAGAAAAGGATGTAAACTTACAAGTTGACGTATGAATGGAACGCCTTGCCCTTGAGCTCCTTCCTCACCTGCGCCAGCAAAACCTGCACCTCCGTCTCAGACCACCCTTCCACGCCGCACAGCAACCTCATCGAAAAGCCCTCGAGCCCGTCGACGACCTGCGCGGCGTTAATCAACCCCGTCTCCTTGAGGTACGGATCCTTGGGCCAGGGACCGATGGGCATCTTGAACACCTTTTCCGTCACGTTCTCGAAGCCGGCGTCCCGCGCCCACGTCGCCAGCTTCGGGCCGGGGCTCGGGTTGCGCCCGACCTTGTTGGCGGCGCCGAGGATGACCTTGAGCCATTTCGAGGTGCTGTGCTCGTCCGTCAGGCTGTCGTCGTCGGTGCGGTACTGCATGTCGTAGTCCTGGAACTCGGCCCAGCCGCCGGGGTTTAGGTGGCTGCGGCGCGCTAGTTAGTTTTGTTTCACGTGTGCGTGTGTCCTAGCCGCGGTGGGGCGGGCGGAGACTTACTCGTGGACGTTCTTGACGAGATTAGGCCAGTCGGCGATGGAGCCGGCCATGTAGCGGCAAAAGATGAAGTCGAAGGGGTCCGGAAAGGTCCATTCGCTTTCGACGTCGTCGACTTCGAATTTGACATTAGGGGAACCCTGTGCAAAAAGAGCGGCGTGGCGCGCTAGGTTAGCGAGCGTTCGGCCCACACTGCCACTGGGATTTTTGCGGTTCGAGTAAGGGGACTATTTGAGGTGCATACCATGCCGGTTGTATGGGGCTGAAGTCGTTTCCGAGGACCTAGCAACGTGGTGGCGATCTTGTGAGTGATTCTATTTCTCAACATGTAGATTCCCGCTGTGGGAAAGTGACCTGTCGTTTGTGACCAGCATCAAGCTTACCTCGGAACCAGGATACTCGTCACCGAACTCCATGGCCCCTACACGCCGACGAAAAAAGGTGTTAGTAATCTTGTTTTGGTCTCTACGGAGTATTTCTTATTGAGATTCTTTGGGTAAACGGAGGGGCAGCGTACAAACTCCCGTGCCGGTGCCGATGTCGAGGACGGAGTGGGTCCGATCCGGGTCGATGGGGGCGTGGTGAAGTTTGTCCTCCACCGTCCTAACCATGACGACATGGAGTAGATCTAGGCGCACAAGTTCCCTCTATTGCAGACCATGGACGGCGGTGCCAGTCCCCCAAAGTTAGTAAAACCGTTGTCCAGCGTTGAATCCCAGCATACAACCGTGTCAAGAGCCCCGGCGTGGGGAGGAGCGGGGTGGGAGGGGCCGGGAGTTCCGTTCAATTGGAACGTACATCGTCATTTGGCATAATATATTCTAATAAGGGTCGCACCCAAGATTAGTAACCCTTGAACAGCCAGAAAAATATTATCTCCCCGGTCGAGATCCCCTTATCCGAACGAAGGGGCACACTCACTTCCTGAGCGGAAAGCGTGGTATCGACGACCATGCTCGGTCGGGTAGTCGATGACGCTACTTGATAATGACGCCGTGTATGTGGATCTGCGCGTGCACCAGGCGTCGGCCATTCGTTAGAACCGTTTTTCCATCAACATCTCTGCGATCGCTTTCCCTATAGGCCATATGTGTAGTTGCGCGAGGAACCAGCTTGATTCTGCCTCTGAGGAGTCGTTCTTCTTCCACGATCATCGGAGTTGGGTACGATCTGGGAGAGAAACCTAATCTTCCGGTGGACCACGCTAGGATGGAAGGGGAGAGGTGGGGAAAAGGCGAAAAGGCACGTACACTCGCTCATCGAAAATGCCCTCATCTTCGTCGGCAGTCTCCTGTTCGCCCACGAGTTAATTGGTGTCTGACTCCTCTAATTGGAAAGAGCGGAAAGGCGAAGACAAAAGCAACCGGGAAGAGCAAGATCGGCTTCAAAGGGTATCAGGCAGCACATGCCCCTCTTCCCCTATTGTTCTTTCCAGCTGGTCGCCGGGGAAATCATACCGCGTTGTCGGGCTCAATGAAGGGTTGCGCCTGTGCCGGAGTCGGCTCCTCTGCTTCTGATCCAGCCATAGGTACGGTCTTCTCGAAGGGCCTCGAAAGGGGGTCAACGGTCGGGAATGGGCGAAAGTAAAGCGGCGGTTCGTGGCTGTGGAATGGGGTGGGATGGATGGAAAACTGGGGGAGAAGAAAAGGTGAAAAAAGCAACGCAGTTCGCAAGGGGTTCGAGGGGTACAAGAACAGCAATTTTGCCTAGTGAGATGCGATGGAGGTTTGGTTATGGTTGGTGGTGCAGGAAAGCGAAGTTCAGACAAGGATCGACAAAATTCGCTGGAGCTGGGCGTGCGTGGCGTGTGGTGTGTGTGTCCTGACCTGTCCTGGGTCGCGACAATTCATGTGTAAATCCGGAGAACCCCGGGACAACCTCACAGGCTCGATCGATGGCATTGAACAAGTATCGAATTTGATCACGCTACGTCTATTGTGCGCCAGCTCGGCCCGCAGAGACCCATGGTCACCGGTCTAGCTCGAGCGCCTTTCCTCATCTCCTCCTCTTCAAAGCGGGAGGGAGGAGGGGGAGGGCAGAGCCAAGCCAAAAGCGGAACAAGGGTCTACAGCATATCCATAGAATAGATGGCTGTCCTAGCGATTGCTGCGTCTGCTTTGTTCTGCTCCCATCAATCGCATCAAATGGCTAGCGATGGGTTGACACTTTCAATAGCGCAGAGCCAGTGCCGCTTCCTTCCTCAGTGACAAGAATAAACCTCGGATCATTCTAGTCTAGTGCGGATCTTTGCCACCACCTACCAACGTCAACACCGCACGGCTCCGCTCCTTGGACGCATATGGATTGGGATGGTACGGCTTGGCTCGACTTTCGAGTACTTGGTGCGCGACCCGCCCGTCAGCGTGGGCGTTGGCGTCGCCAGCCTCCACGTTCCTCCTCTCGAATCCTCGCAGCGAGCGAGAGTTGTCGTCCACCAGTATCGTTTTGCGGAAGGACCCTGCCTGCATCCGACGACGCACGGTAGCAGAATAGGGGACAACAAGCTTGGTGGAAGGAGCCCGCTTCCCGCGCCCGCGCAACCAACAGTTCGAATGTTGGCTTTTTCGCCTGGTCCCACCTCCTCTCTTCTAGGTTCTCTTTTACGCCACCATATTTCTCTTCTTCATACTGCCGGCTTGACGATCCCCTCCACACCTGATCCTAATCTGCAGTCCTCCCCACCTCGATGAACAAGGGGCTTCTTGAGAGCTTCTTGCGTAGTGTACGCCCACAAGCCATGAACTTCCATTCATCTGGCGTGTGGATACACCAATGGGATCAATTGATTGTAGTTCAATGCAGGAGAACAAGGGAAGGCTTGGAGAAAACAATGAAGAAAAATCCAAGTCTAGGATGCGCAAGGACCCCGCACCAGCAATTTCCACAAGGGGGGACGTCACCCAAAAACGATCAATCTGAATGCATATCATTTGCGTCGACCGGGCCAGCCCCAACCCAATGTCGCATGCTGGGAGACATGCTGGGAGACATGCGTACCCAGCGCTCCCAATGCAACGCTGCGGTTAAGTGTTTTTTTTCTTCTTTCCTTTCTTTCCATTCTCTCTTCTCGTGCCGTCCGTCGGTGGGGAGAGGACGCCACACCGATCGAGGGAGGGGCCTGCAGCGCCGCCAATATGCAGCTGGCGCGAGTTCCGAGGCATCTCAAGCTCTCGAGCATGAATCAAAGTGCAGCCAACCAGTCTTGTCCGGGTTGATACGAGGCTCCAGGCCGAGGTCTTTGCTGTGAAATATTACTTCATTGTTTCTATGCCCTAAAGAGGGTTGTCGCTTCCGGTTTTCTCCCACTCCGGTTTCATAAAGCGACCCAACAGAAAAGAAAGAGTCGCTCGATGATGTTGGGATCAATTAATCAATCAGATGCATGTCATAATCAAGGGTCCAGCTTCAATGAATGTCACGGTTGGGTGCGCTTTCAAAGACGCGCACAGGACCCTTCAACAATGTTCTTAATAGAGAATCTTTTGGATTGCGTCCATGTATGTCATAGTATGCGGCTAGGAAGACAAGGAACCCTCGACTGATTATTCGTTTGACACATCCCGTCAAAAAGGGGTCCGATCTCAACATAGTCTCAGGCTCCACCTATAGAGGGATGGTACTAAATATGTACTCGGTATTTGAGACTACAACGCCAAAGTAATCAAGTCTGAGCCAACCCAGTGCGATTGATCCCTCCCCTCCCTCACCGAAAGGATCGGTGTCGTGAGACGGATGCATCCTGACCGAGATGCAAATGGGACGATCAGTCGTCAGTCATTCATAATGCACCCACCACGTCAGAACCGAACCGCTTGCATGGTGTGAAGGGAGACTGGAATGGTTGCGTTCCTCCCCTTTGATGCGACGCAGCTCACACCTCTTGTTTCTTATCTGCCGCCGCAGCATGGCGTGCCTCGACTTCTTCGAGCTCCATCGCCGCCTCCTTCTGGGTAACTTGGCCCTGCTCGACGGCGTGCAAGTCGTGGCTCAAGCCCTCTGTCTCGTAGCTACCAAACTGCCACGCCGGAATGTTGGCGTCGAACAGCTGGTCAATCTCTTCCAAGTTGCGCCCCTAGTATTCGAAACACACCCATCGTTAGTCTTCAATATTCCTGTTTACGAGCGATAAAAATCAAAGGTAAGATAGGAAAGAATAGCTTGTAGTTGATGGCCTTTCTCGCATATGGGTTTGTTCTTACCTTGAGTTCGGGAAGGAAGAACCACGCCCAGATGGACGACAAGAACGCGAATCCTCCCCAGATATACGCCGTACCCGAACCGATATCGGCGAGAAGATACGGCGTCGCAAACACGACCGCAAACCCAACAACGACGTTGATGGCAGTCTAAACAACGAAATCGGATAGTTAGCTTCGTGAATCCATGTCTTCTAATTCTCAAAAAATCCTTACCGAAAACGCCATCGTCTTCTCACGCAGCGTCTGCGTCCCAATCTCCGCCGCGGTAATATACGCGCCCGGCCCCAGCGTCATGTGCAGAATACACGTGTACAGCTGCATGCCCGCCACGATCCCGTTGCTCTGGTGCACGTTGGGATCCTGAATCCTCCCCAGCGCCGCGATGGCGACGAGGAACGCGCCCTGCGACCACCCGCCGTGCACGATGAGGCTGCGCCGCCCAAACACGTCGAAGAAGAACATGGCCATCATGGCCGTCACCACCGACGTCGCGTTGTTCACCACCGCGTACACGAACGCCTTATCCGCGAGGCCGACGGAGCGGTAAAACGTCGGGCCGTACGAGGAACTAAACGTCACGCCCGTGAGCTGCTGGAACGTCATGACGGTGCAGGCAATCGTCGTGCGGCGCAGGTTGCGCTTGTTGAAGAGGTCCTTCCAGGGCGCCTTTTCCCGCCTGCCGACGTGGCCCTCTTCGCGCATCGCCGCGATCTCGAGCTCCGGGAGGCCGCGGTCCACGTCTTCTTTGCGTCGGACCGAACGTAAAACCTGGAGGGCTTCGTCGGAGCGGTCGTTGAACACGAGCCAGCGGGGCGAGTTGGGCGTGAACCAGAGCAGGCCCAGGATCAGGACGGCGGGGAGGGCCTGTAGCGCAGTGGCGATCTGCCAGCCCGAGTTGTTGACCTTTTTGGACATGGACTCGTTGACGATGCCGGCGATGAGGGAGCCCGTGGTGAGGCATAGCTGGATCGAACCGACGAAGAAGCCGCGAAGTACACCGGGTGCAATTTCCGATTGATATGTGGGGACGACCTAATGATCAAACTGAGATTAATTTCGCCGTCTGAAAACGAAAATGTTGCGATCGAGAAGGGCAAGAGCTGGGTGATGGGAATACACTTACGTTCTCGACGAGGCCGACCGCAGTGTAGACCAGGAATCGTCCCACAATAAACTGCGCAGGGTTGTTACTCGTTACTTGGACTATTGGTGCAGGTCAAGATAGAATCCTAGGTCAGCCATCGCTCTCCTCACGCACTTCATAATCTTGCGACAAGTAGCCTGAGTCGGTAACGTACTGATCGGTCCGATAATCTGCACGCCGCAGGTAAACATCATGGTCCATCGGTGGCCAATCTTCTCAATAATGGGTCCGACAATAATGGTGCCGGTAAACTTGCCAATCAGCGGCAGACTGTTCATCAAGGACGCGAGCTGCTTCGGTAGCGTGTACGTCCCCTTGGCCTCGTTGTACTTTCCGAACTTGCGCAGGAATGGGCTCATGGCCTGGACACCGCCAAACGACGCTCCATCGCTATCATCGGACACCCGCGTTAGTTTCTTCTTTTCCTCTTCCGCGTAAACAAAGGACTCTTTTTCGGGGTCATTCCCATCACACGGACGGAGGGAGGTCTACACGTACTAGCCAAAGAAGATGCTACCAAGGGCGTAGATCAGGCAAAAGAGAAACAACTTGGGCGTCGCCGTGGCGAACGCCGCCCTGGTGGCAAAGATACCAGCCATGTCTGGCGAGCTCTAGGATACCTTGCCGAGGACTCAAAACAAACCCACGAGGAAAAAGAGAGAGAAAACACAAAAGGTAAGGACCGCGATAGCTAAACAGCGGTACGATCAAAATCTGCCCTTTTCCCGCGGCGATCGTTCCTCAGTTGGTCTATATCGTCTCACCTATCCATCGGGGGACGTACCTGGGGAGATCTTCCTTCTTATACGACTTAGATCCTAAACCCCGACCAAAGGGGGAAACCCCACCGTCCTACCATCCAGTCGGTTTGGAGCACGCATGGGGTAGAGTGGGCATCGACTCGGCGGTCCAGCCTGCTCTCCTTCCCCATTCCCACTGGATTTATTACCGAACGTATTCTACTTTGTCCACCCACACTTGGGGGAGGAAAAAGAACCCCAATACCCCATTCGATGGGGCAAAACGCGGACCCGCCTCCGGATTTTCCACTCCGCGTGCCTCTCCTTTCCCTTGTGCACTTTCCCCATTCCCCACTCTCTCCTACTCCTCCTTTCCCCACCCTCATCCCCATATCCTCTTCCTGGTAAAAATTCTGACTTGTTTTTTTCACGCCGCTTCCCAATGTTCCATCCCATCTTCTCGCCGACAAGGGACGGCAATGCGCTCGACCAATCGAACTCACGTTGAACCAAGGAACAATACTCCGTACAGTGTAGGCTTACTGTGTGGTACCGAGGGTGGAGACTGCCCCCGCCGATCTACCGTTCAAGTTCCGCACGTCTTGCTCCGGAACTCGGGGAGGGGACTAGCCCTTCCAAGACCGCGCTCGGTAATGAGGGGGGCTCCCTAGTCCAGTCTAAAGAAGGATGACATCTTTGCAAAAGCAAGGTTGCCATCTCCGCGGCTCGAATCGACGAATCACGACAGTGCCGTTGAGACGGATCGAGGAGAACCTCGTGCCATCAAGGATGAACGTACAGTTCCCATCCCCCTGGCGTGATGGAAGGAAATGGTACGGGACAGGCCTTACCCACTGAGACTCTCTTGATCTGGGTTCTAGGTAGTACGTTTACCCATCCCTTGACCTGGCTAACGGAACACACTACTCCTACGAACGGCCATGGAAGCTCGTACTTCCTGTTCTTGCATAGGGCCCCTTCCCTTTCCCGGCAAGTCTAATCACCGAGAGCCTTCTCCCCAGCATGCCAAGACCGGTATGACCCCAACCGCTGCAGTCTATGCCTGTATTGGGGCAACACACGCGTCAAACTTAAAAGCACACCGAGATCCTTTGCCATGCTTTCCTCTACACGAGCGGCATCAGTGGATCAACGCGGCTTAAGACATCCTAGGTCCAAGACTATCCCCGCATTCCATGGGGTATAGATTAACCGCCGCCTTTCCTTCTGGGTAAAGCCTTTGGAACAGAGTACATTTGGAATTACCTAGGTATTATCTAGCTACCCGTGTCTACGATATAATGATGCTGCGGGAATACTCTCTCCCGTAGTTTGCTTGGCATCCCCATCACCTGCACTTTTGCACCTCACTCCTCGCTAAACGACGGTTCCCCCACAGTCGAAGCATCGATTATGACGCCTTGTTGCACAAGTCTCTCTTGCAAAGACGCGTATGGTACATCTTGCAGCGAGAGGCCGTCGCGCAGGGCAATATCGCACGCATTGGCCGCCGCCTGACCAATAGCGTAAAACTGGTGTTCCAACCTCACAGCACCTATACACAAGTCACAAACGTAAGTTGAAAAATATTCTCGCGCGGGACGGCGGAAAAGCAAACAGGGACACTCACCGTAACCAACGTGCGACGAACTCGGGCACGTTACCGTCAAAAGTTAGTTGCTTCCGCCCTCTTGGGCACGAGCGACCGGTACGCCACGCCAAACGGCCGCCATCGATGCCCGTCCTTGAAGATGAAGCCCTCGTTGTGGACTCGCCCGTCGCGCAGCACGCGCCTGACGCTGTGCGTGTCGGTCGGCCAGTAGGCCACGGCTACGGGGTCCGAGGGGCTCGTCGCCGCCGTGGTCCCGGCACGTCGCTGTAGATTCTGTAATGATGTAGTCGGATACCATGCGGCGGGCGTCGCGGACGTATAGCTCGTAGGGAAAGTGATCGTTGTCGGGGAATTCGTCGCGGCAGTAGCCGAAGGCACTCCACGCCTTGCGATAATGCTCCTGTCCGCGTACGGGTTAATACCGAACCATATATCCCAGTTCACATAGCGACACGGTGCAGTCTTTAGCTAGGAATTGGACTTACCGGGACATCTGGGTCGGTAGAAATAAACCAGAGAAGACCTTTGGTGAAAGTAGCCGTCTCCTTGAGAATTTGCCTCCTGCCCTCGTACGAAGCCACCGGCCACTCATCGTTCATACCCAAGAGATCCGTTGATAGCGCTCCTCTGAACCGATGAGATCAGTCTTGCCTCCAGGCAACCTCTTACGCGGGTAGTAAAACTCTCCGCCCCCTGATGAAGCGGCGGTGGAGTTCGTAATGAGCGGGATCATAGCCCTCCGGCTCCGTAAACGGGACGCGGTTTTCGGCGTCGTCTGTTAGCGGGAGCCTGTACGAGTAGGACTGAAGGTGTAGATCTCCATCGCCGGGTTGGCCAAAGGGCTCATCCGAGATTCCGTACAAGAGCCCGCTCGAAGCGTCTCCAGGTCGTACGTACGGGTCGACGTCGACGTCGATCTGGCGGTAGAGCGTTTCACTTCGGACACCGGCAAGAGACTCGTTGTACTGCGCCGAAGCCTCTCGGCCGCGGGCCCAGGAAATCCCGGCCGCAGCAAGGAAATCTCCTTCGTAGGATGCCTCAATGAAGATCTTGCCTGAGATGGTGCGTCCGTTCAAGAGACGGATGCTCTTAATCGCGACACCGTCCCGGGTCACCGCATCCCGCTCGGCAAGGGGTGACTTCAAGTTCTCAAAGTTAGAATCCAAGTTACACTAAAGGATAATTTTTTTCTTCTTTTTTGCTATTCTGCTTGGCCCTACCTTGATCACCGTGATTGAGGCATGTTCCGCAAGCCAGTCCGCAATCACCTTCTCAGCCACGCGCGGCTCGAATCGCCAAACTTCCGGGTCTTTGATACCCTTGGCCACAACTTCCTCGAGCCTAGCCAGGCGGCCATAGTGCCTGCTGATGCGCTGGTGGAGCTCCAAATTGATACCGCCCAGCGTGGTGCTGTTCTGGAACTCGACCTGGTTGTCGATGTCGGTAGCCCCCAGGCCGTTGATTTGGATTCCGCCTATGCATAGATATTTCCCTTTTAGCATTGCCGAAAGGATCGGCCCCACGCGACGAGCCAATGAAAGGGGACGACTACTCCATCAAAGGCAACCAGGGAGGGTAAGAACGTACCGATGTGCTCCTGGGGTGAGACCAGTGCGACAGACCGACCGAGTCGGGCGGCCTGGATCGATGTGGCGACAGCGCCAGAGGTCGACCCGTAGACGACGATATCGTAGCTGCTATCCATCTTTGCTTAGGTCGTTATTTTGTCAAACCTCGTCGTAATACTTCACAACATGTGCGGTGGCAACAGGGGTCGGGTCTTGCGTAGGTGAGAGTGTGGCAGGCTAAGGATGTGTATTATACCAACATCGCAGGCAGGACAAACGATGACTCGCTCAAATCGGCTATGATAACAGCCGACCACGGCATCTTGGTGGAGACAAAAAAGCAAAAGATTTTCCCCCGTCATCATGGCTTGATCCTTCGATGGCAGATCATCGCAGAAACAACACACCATCTCGGGACGAGGCTGCAGGGTTAGGAGCCGGCACTGTACGGGGCGATGTGGGGATCCTCCACCAGAACCAGAAGCGGCAAGTTGCACGTTGCAACAACATCGTGGCAACGAACGTGGGCGAACAGTAAGCCGTGACCAAAGACGAGGACCCATGGCTTATTTAGGGAATGACCCCCGTGGGGAAAGGTTGGACAGCGACTTGACTCTCCGTCTAGACTGCCCTCACAGGATTTAAGGATCAATGAATAATGCATCAATTAATCCAGTATACACTGGCGGTGGCACGCCGAGCTCAGAATGTGAAAGTACCCGTCGTGAGGGAGGTCGCAACGTCATGTCATAAATTGTATACAACTATCCAATAGAACCAGTATCTCAAGAACCCCTGGCGCTGCCCCACTCCTCCCACAACCGTTTAGCCGCAGCTACCGGCTCCGAGGCGGCGCTAGATCGGCCACCTCAACCCTCCACCAAGGAGTGGGGATTACATGGGAAATGGAGATTAGACCAGACCCCAAGAGTATGCTGATCTCGAACCCGAGTTCCGAGCCACCGGGCTAGCTACCTTGGCGATGGGCCTGGCCACAACACAGGGCGATGAGGAGTCGAGAGACATGGAACGAAGAGAAGAAGGCGAGGTGAAAGGGGGAGGTGGGGTGCTTAAATATTTAAAAAGTAATAGCAAAGAACGGGGAGGTGCTCGATCTGCCCGCCATTGAATACGGTGCATTTCCATCGTCCGAGCTGGTCATAGCCCCGAAATACCGACAAGGCCTGATCGAGCGAGCAAGAATTATCACCCAACGGAATGTATAGGCCGGCCAGTATAAACTATAGGAGGCCATGTTCGTGTCCCAGGCATAGCTATGGTTATTGGACTTACCACTCGCACAGTCCAAGCGCGTTTCCAGTTCCAGGTTCAGGGTAGACTTCGGAGTCTTTCATGTTGAATAAGCCACCAATCTTGTCAAAAACGCTCGATAGAGTAGTGGGAGCAAAGTCCATAATGACCTAGGAAGGCCGCAGGGAAAAATCGCTCTAGGATAGTCGATTGTGATATGGCCCAATGGGACGCTTGAGATGATACCCCCGAACACGTCTTCCATTGTGAGGGCGTTCCCGCATTCCTACGGATGGGGATCAAGTTCACGGCATTCCCTACGACTCAGCTTCGATCCCGTTAGGCGTGAGATTAGCCGAGCCCTTGGTCTAGCTGGTGACACTGAGTAGTAAAGGGGACTACTAAGGAGCCTCTGCTCATCCGCGGGCACGAGTCATCTGTCTATCAACAGGAGTCCACAATGAGATACTCACAATGGCCGACTCTCGCGAGTCACTAAAATCCATTCAACGAGAGGTTTGCGTTGACGGCTGAGAACATCCCCACAAGAGACTACAAGGCAAAATAATCATTGGAAAGGCCAAGGCGACGAGTCTTTTACGGACCCGCATCCAACATTGCAGTCAGACGGCCAATCAATATCTATCGTGGATCCACAGACGAGTGATGCATTCCGCAAAAGGAAAAAAAGGCCTTCACTGGGCATCCTTTCGGTTTGAACTTTAACCAAGTGCCCGGAAAATCTCAAATTACCCTTCTTAATCGGGAATTGATGACAGCGCTGGCATTATGTTTAGGAGCGAAGTCATTCTGCATAGGTTGAGGAACGCTGTAAGGCTAGTGATGTCTAGCTAGTTGCTCGTCAGCATGACCCAAGCGCCAGTGTCGACTGCCCACAGGGACACTGAATACAAATAAAACTGTAAGGATGTAGAGGCCTGGTGACAGGGTTCCGAGGAGAAAATGGAGGCTGGTAACGAATGGATTACACGTGTCGAAAGAAAAGCAGACGAAGAGCGTGAATGGCATGTTTCGCGATGCTCGTCTCGTCGTTTTTCTTTTTTTCTTTTATGCCACCGATGATGAAAGATTGAAGCGACTACGTCAGGCAACAGCCGTGCCTAGTTTAATGCTGCAAAGTGGAAGGAAGACGTAAATCTAGTCTCCCAGTTCTCTATAGTTCTTCAAAAGGGTATAAAACGCTGATAACAGAAAATGGCGGAACGAGTCTCGATCCAAAAACTCCATGGGCCCATGCATACGCATATCCTCGGCTCCCGTTCGGCTCTTCCAGATGCCCCCAAACATAATCGTTAGCTACGACAATCGTACCAAGGCCATCGCTACTCGGATATCTCCGGCTTCAAGAAGTTAAGAGCAATAATATCGACAGATAATAATAAGAAAGTCTTAGCGCTTCAGCAAGGTATCGTTGGCTTCGGGATCCGGAATGCATCCGAAGCACTCGCCCACCCAAAAGAAGAAGACGAGGTGCATAGCTCTGAAAGACAGGAACTCGCGTTAGCACTCATTTTCCCTCCATGTTGGACACGAAGTCCACGCCGGCCGGACGCCGGGAAATTTCCGCGCCGTTCCCCAGGGTATGCACTTACGCCAGGCCAAAGTTCATGGCTCCGGCCGTCGCCATCCGCGCGTGGCTATACGTTGTCCCTTCCATAAATCCAACAAAGAGCGTCCACACGCCCGACGTGGCGGTTAAGAACATGCTGGTGAGCTCCAAGCAGGCGTAGAGCCACGGCGGCGGTCGGCCCATGCGCCGGCTTTTGTCGAAGAGCAGCAGTGCCTCGGCGGTGTTGTAGAGAATGGTCCATGGGGCCTAATGCCGAAAGCACATCTGGTCAGCGTCTCACAGGTTCTTTCGCGTGAATCTGCGAATTTTCTTTTTGGCGCCTTTCGATCCAACGTACCGACGCGAAGCCTAGGAAGATGACCAGTCCAAACTGGACCGTTTCATAGATGTAGAGGCATAGCATAGCAACTCCCAACGACACCGCTATTATTCGGAAGATGACCTGCTCCAAGCCATCGAAATCGGAAACTCTGGGCCTCATGGCGTATCTCTCGGGGCGGGCAGTTATTGAACTTTTCTTTTTCTCGTCGCTTCCGCCGTCGGGTGAGGTTTAGCTGAAGAAAGTGCCTCTTTGTGCGGTCGTTTTTATCTCCACTGCATGTAGTGTCAAGGCAGTCTACGCAGGCAACCAAATCGGAATCAGGACATTCGCATCCAGGCGACCGCCGAAGGTATCGACTTGGCGGGATGGCCTGGCTATTATACCCCATGCCGACTTCAATCCTAGATGTCTTACCCCCGTCAAGCCCGCATGCTGCTACCTGGCAGAGGAGCAATGCCGCCCTTTCCTCAGTTCGTCCCTACCCATTTCCCCCTAAGCGATTGTTCTATATTGAGCATAAAGTGGTGTTGGTTGGTTTCTCTATAAAAAGTTGCGTTTTAGGTCCGGCCGCCTAGCCCCCGGCCAATCGGCTAAGTGCAGCGCCGCAGTCCTGCTGCCATTGTGCGGGCATGGCGCAGGCCCAAAAGGATTCGGGGACCCGTTTCGGCGGGAGGCGAAGGCCAGCCTTAATGATACCCAAACCCTTGCGGGGTTTTTGTTGGAAAAGGTTGAGGCGCAGGGTAATCCGGTGCGCATGCTTGGTTAATAGAATCGTTCCACGACATGAGGGGACGGTCCCCCTCGAGGGGAGTTTAGTTTTCTCTTCCCGCAGGGTCTACCATCGCGGTACTTTATCTCCTCAATAACAGCGGCCGAGGGCAATATCGCGCACGCGTGCGCCGAGGATGAATGCTCCGGGTAAATTCCGAGAGCGTACTTTGTTTTTTCTTCATGTGCGCGAAATCGACGCACTGACTGTCGGCTACGGGAGTTTTGCGATATCGTCGGCTTCCCACAGAGCCTAGATCTCCGAGGGGAGTTGGCTGGCCCACCCATCAAAGCTCAGGGGAAAGGTTGGGTGACCGAGTGCTAAATGGTAAAGGCCTCGTGGCCTCGGATTTTTCAGTTCAGGGGTGGATTAAGGAGCAAAAAGTCTCGAGATGCCCCAAGTCTGAGGATAATAATGGCCGAGGGCCCAGGAATAACGTGCCTTCTTGCATTTGTTTGCCAGTTTTCTTTTCGCAATCTGTTTCACAAAAGACAGGCTCGAGTTGAAGTTTCGCAGGATCGATGGTCTCGAGCTGGCAATTGCTAATCAACGATGCTGAGAAATTCCGAGCTCCTGGCTTCGAGCAATCAAAGCGGATCAAGGAATCAAGTAGGGTGGACCCTTGGGATGCACAGATTCATTAAGGATCCATGGATCCGCCGACTCCTACCCAGACACCGAGTCTTTTAGTAATGCAAAGGATGATAAAGCAGACGTCTGATTGCAAACCCCCGATATAGTGCACCCGTAATATAATGTACAACTTTCCTTAAGGTTATTTCCGCCGGCCCCACATGATTTTGCCGGAGCCGGGATGGACCATGTGCTTTGATAGCTTCGACTCCGATGCCTGGGACGAAAGCCGCTGCGAGCCCTCGGCCATCCGCCGATCTCTCCTCGTTGACAAGTTTTGGGGAGAGGACAACTGCGACGACTAATGGCGCACCTAAGGCTCTGAAACCTTCGAATTTTCTCCGGTGGAAGGGTCCCGCGTGCACTGTCGGGGATTGTTTCCGCTATTGCAGGCACCAAGACCTTACATTAGCACCGAGGGACGAACGGACAATAAATGGTGGCAAGAGTCGTGGGGAAGCTACCGTCCTCGTCGCCGGCGTCGAATGCATGGAAGAGGGTGATGCTGGGTGCATGCATACATAGACAGATTGGATGTGATAGATAACCAAAATGGCAACCGTTCCCATACAGTAAATGTAGCCATTGGTGGGAGCCATACTTGCTCACCAACAGTTCTGGAGCCCTAGTCAACCGGACCGCGGAGATAAACCGCGCGCCGACCCTACACGATATAAATCACACATGCTTCGCGGCTTCAGATTCACGAGGTCTTTGCCGAGGTCTGTTGGAGAGACAATGGGGGTCATATCTACGTCTATAAGGGCGCACCAACCACTTCCGAGTCGGCTTTCTTTCCACTTCTTCTCGTGCTCACTTTGAGCGCCACATATCGTTCTGGTCACCGTCTCCCAGCCTTGTCCTTCGCCCCGTACGTTTTCCGTCACCCCGCATTGTATTGCATGATCCCTCTTGCGTATTCTGCCTCTTCCCCCACTCCGTTCTTTAGCTCTCAGGAAAGTTCGCGATTAGCAAATGGCTTAGCAGCTTTGGTGCATTGGCCACACACAGCATCTTCCGTTACCCCTACTTAAAAGTATCGACTTTCCTCTTATCATGTGATTCGCGGTTGTGAGGCTGCTCTCTCTCGAGCTCGAGGAGCCAGCCCCGCGCACTTGACTTCAACCCCGCTTTGTATTGAGATGAAGCGGCAAACTGCCCGCCGGGAAACGCCCCTTGTTCTCAAAGCGCCCATACCCCGGATCCGGTATCCGGAAATTCTATTATAGTTTTCTTTCTCTCTAAGAGGCGTCAAGGTAGCCTGTTAATATGGCCGATGACCACGATGACGACCATTCGAACAAGTCCCAGCAAATTCCTCCCTACGCAAAGTTTCAAGCGTTCGTTGCGGATGGGCCTCCCGAGCCGCCAGGCGGGGAAAATTGGGAACGGCGCGAGGCAATACCCGGCGTAGAGAAAAGCTCCCGGAGCCATCGATAAGAGGTTCTAATACATCTGGGCAAACCCGACCACATTTGCGGGGACAATCCTCCCCGGCACGGAGTGGAAGCTCATATCCCACAAGTAGCGGCCAAGCCACGCCCGAGTATGACCAGCCAGTATCCAAACCTTACCGGGAACATGTTATCGTAAGCAACGACCGGGGGCAAGACATATTTCCATCGGCAAAGACCCCCGCCGCCTCAATCCTCGGGAGACCTGTGTCCGGAAAACATATCCTGAGCTTGAAACAAGCGGTCTTTCCAAGCGGTTGCAGTTAACCCAAGCCTGGGGAGAGCTCCAATGCAGTCGTACAGTTTGGCCCAAGACAAGAAGCGAGCGCGTGGACCCAGCCATTGGTACATTTGGATGAGAACACGACGACCCAGCTTTTCGTCATCCGCAATATTGAGCTGTCGTCGCATGTTTCTAACCAGGATAAGGTCATTCTGACTTGTGCAACGGGACCGGGAGCCTCGCAGTTGAAATCTCTGGAAAAGGAAACCACGCTATGGCTGTAAGTTGGAGAATGAGCTTATTGTTTACATGATGGGGCCGTCTTTGTTAGGTTTTCATGCAGTACGTAGACAATTAACGCTTTCTGGCATATACTTTGCGAAACTAGGCATATTAAGCGGCACTCTCAGCGGCTAGATATCTTGAAGGTAAATGAATCACATCCCTGCGCCCTCTTCTTCCCGAATTCAAATAGTATCACGAAAATTCGGGTCCGGTTGTTCTAACCCACAGTTAATCACCAGAAAATTGCACTTGCATGCCCCTTCATCTCGCCACACCTAACATCCGTTTTAATAGCTACGCTTCAAGATTGCGTCTCTTCTACCACGGGTCGTCCCAGGCTAGACAAAGAAAGCAGTGTCACTCCGGGCGAGATAGTGAGATATGTGGGCTGTTCTTCAGGTTATGGCGGTGATTCTTCTCAGGATACCGTCCCGATCACTTTCTTATCCCTACCGTATCTCTTCCTTGAGGCCACCGATGGCAATAACCGCACCGGAAGCTACCAGTCTGGGAGGTCACTGTTACATAGCCTCTACGGGTATGATACGGGCGTCGAAAGAGAGCTTAAGCAGGTGCTTCAGAGACTATCCATAGCTACTGGGGAAGAGGTTCTTCATGAGCGTCAGCTTTGGTGCCTCACCATCGGCTCAGGTGCGCTTCACTGTCCGAAAAGGGCACGTATCTTGGTATGGAAGGAGAATATGTACTGACCCCAAGCAATATAGATATTTTAATCACGTTCGCTCAGGTAGACATGGAGTTTCTCATGGGGGACGCGATTCTCACAAGAGACACGTCTGACAGCATCGATGAGCTCCAAGTGATTAGCTTTATCACCCCTCCGACAACCAGTTTTCAGTCACTGTCCAAAAGGACTGTAATTTCGCTGTATGTTCCCGAACAACCACCTATATATCCGTGATATGTTGAAGAGAAGTTGACTTGGCGGGATGATACTAGAGTATTTTGAGGCACGCGGCTGGGTTGGCAGCCCCGCGTGCGAATGGGGGATGATGTTGAGCTCGTTGACACGCTCGGCTACACTCTGACTGCGGAGCGATGGGTTGAGATGCTCTCCTCGTCAAGAACACGTCGCCACCTTTTGCGAATTAACTATAAGCAGAAGAACAATTTCTACCCGGGGGATGGCACCGCATTATATGAATACATCCCCCTCCACCGCCTCCCTCAGAGCCTTTAGACAAAGGCCCTTTCCAAACGCATCCCCCACCCCCGCCAAAGTGGGAAGGACCAGTCGCCGGCATGGAAGGGTCCGCGGCCAGTCAAGTTCCTGATCACCTTCACAACCATTTCGTCCCTCGGGATGGATATTCAGGCGTAGAGCCTTATTCACAAACTTATAACATGCCTTCGCATCCACCGCAGTTTATGTCTGTGTACAACAGTCCATGGCTTTGGCCGTATCTTAATACGCGTCCCCTCCACCGCCCCCTCGGAGCCTTCAGATAGAGGCCCTTCGGCAACACGTCCTCCATCCCCTCCAAAGCGGGAAGAACTAGTAAACGGCACCGAAGGGTCCACGGCAAATCAAGTTCCTGATCACCTTCACAACCATTTCGTCCCTCGGGATGGATATTCTGGCGTAGAGCCCGGCTCACAAACTTATGATATACCTTCGCATCCACCGCAGTTTATGCCTACGGACCTCCCTTCATCGCGTTGGCCGTATCTGAATACTTGCCCCCTCCACCACCTCCCTTAGAGCCTTCGGGCGGTGGCCCTTCGGAAACACATCCTCCATCCCCTCCAAAGCGGGAAGAACCAGCCACCGACATCGAAGCGTCCACGACCAGTCAAGTTCCTGACCACCGTAGCAAACATTGGGTTCCTCAGGATGGATCTTCTGGCGTGGAGCCCTGTTCGCAAACTTATAACGTGCCTTCGCGTCCGAAAAGCCCTGAGAGTGGGACATCCCCACCACCGTCGCCTGCAGCTATGGATACCTCAGACAACCGTCAACTCATACTTTGGCTCCCCTGACGGAGGAGTGTCTTCGAAAGCAGAAGAAGAGGCAAGAACCCCTTTTGAGGATACCAACAGCCCTCACACTGCCATACGTACGCCCGATCTCCGTATAAGCCCATCTTTGCCTTATCATAGCACAACCAGGAGAGATGCAACCACCCCCAGTTTTCCGATCGCGGGCAGCTTTCCTGCCGGCACTAACGGCATCCAGGCAAGCAAAGGAGATGTTGACACACAGCGACAACTTGTGCTCTGGGGTGGGCCCCAGACTACTCTAGCTGACCAGCCAAGAAGCGACGTCAAGAATGACCCTTCCTCTTGGCCAGAAGCTCAGGTCATTGTAGACCCCTCGTACTCGACAAAGATGCCTGAAGTGGTCACTGGTGATCTAGTTCTATACGATAGAAACAGAACGTATTTTGCGCCAGTGACGGTTCCCGCGCAGCCGCTGCAAACGGGAGAGCCTGAAAACCACGTGCGTGATGTGACACAGCCTGCACCCAACCCGATGCCTTTCTTCAAGTGGCGCCTACGAACACACCCGATGCAGCGCACAGCCGAGCAGGTTGACCGAGATCTGCAAATCGTGCTTCAGCAAATCGACCACCGTACCGTCAGCGGGACATTTGGCTGGCCCTACAACGACGGGTTTAGATGTAGCAAGGCCGAGCTTTTGCGCAGGCGGCCCCTTGTATCTCCGCAGAAAGAACGAGCCCTTTCTCCCGAGAGGACGGGAGGGCGGAGCCTGGGCGGTGGAACCGAACCAAGCGCCCCCGGCACCCCGAGAGTGTTGAGCGGAGATGGTACCCCGCGGGAATCGCCATACACGCACGCGACGCCAGCCGACCAGACGGGAAGTGTGCCGATTCGCGACTCTTGTGGGGGTTGGTGCAAAAGTTTTACCAGGTTACGGATCGAGTGATGTGGGCCTTTTTCAGCGCTGATGGGAAAGCGTCTGAGCAGGAGACCACCCATACGGTCTGCAGAAGCCTTTGGGGCAGCACTGACACAATATGCCAGGTGAGCCTAGCTTTTACCCGTTCTGTCTTTCTCCGTAATCGTCAATCCCTACAACACGGACACTAATGAAGTCTTTCCCAAAAAAAAATGTAGCAAATACTATGGGCGGGTATTCATAGCCCGAATGATCGGGTAGGACCGCCACGGTTGGTTATACGCAATTTCGACGAGATTCAGCAAGCCGAAGCCGCATCGAATGGAAATACCGCGTTGACTTTATCGTGGGCCAAATGCGGCGAGTGTGCGGCTGCGAAAAAGTATCAGACGCTGGCGGAGCTTCTCAGCCATATACAAAGCAAACATGTCTTGGCTCAAGGTGCACCCCTTCGATCCTTTGACGATCCATTCTTCTGCTACGTGGATCCGCAGTCCATAACCACGGGCGGGGAAAGCCTTGTCACTTGGAAAGGATACATGGCTGTCAATGAATTCATCATGTCCATGGAGCGGGTGGCGGCAGTTTCTCAAGAACTCGTCTACCTCGTAGCTAACCCGTCCAATCGGTTTGCCGAGGACGCATTAACGCCATCGCCGCTTCCCATGAGTTTAGCCACAGCGTTCTACCACGTCCTCGCCAGCTATATCCTCCTTGCGAAGCACCTCAGACTAACCAATGCATTGGTATACTCGAACTCGAGCGAAGAAGCGGGCGGGGATGCGAAGGCTGCAGCAGACACCAAGACACTGATCGCAAGTGCCTCCAAAGCCTCCCTTGATGCCCTCGAACAGGCGAGATCAGACATTATCCTCCTTTGCCACACGCGACGCGAAATTGATGGCCTGAGTGTTCGATCGGTAGACCTGCAATTTCTTGTGTTGGCAGTGATGAAGAATGTACAGCGATTCAGCGTCGAGACAAGGAGCACTAGCGCCTGTAAAGAATATGATGCTCAAGAGACAAATACCGGGCCCAGCGTCGACATTGACACCATGGTAGCCTACAAGCACTACCTTTCTGTGCTGCGATTCAACGGCCGGAACCGACCCCAGAAACGAGTATTCCTAGACATACAAAACTTCCACGAGGAGCTACATGCCCTAGTCCACATCTCCGAGGTACAGAAGAAAGTATCGGGTGACTACCTCCGCCTTCTTGAACCCGGCTCGTTTAGAATGACCAGCGTCAGGCGCGTGGATCAGCATCGCGAGGAATGTGCGTTTTGGAAGAAAGCGGACCAAGATCTCCTAGACAGATTAGATCAACTACGAGTCTTAGATGAGCAGGCTCACTCGTTGCGAAATGAAGTCAAGCAGGCCATCGAGATCATCGAAGAAGATCACGGCAAGGCTATCCGTGTGTTCACGGTAGTGACGTTGTTTTTCCTCCCCATGTGAGTCGGCCCCATCTTCGCCTCTCCTTCCCCAACTTTGCTTTTGCGAAGAGAACTCAACCAAAACACACTTCCACAAATCACACAGAAGCCAGGCGCATCGGAGCTCTTGAATCGAATAATTAGCTGAGAGATTCTCATTTTGGGTTGATCTAGGTCTTTTGTCACGAGTTTTATGGGCATGAATACGACGGATATACGCGACATGAACTCGGATCAAAAGTTGTTCTGGGTAACAGCGGTCCCAGTAACGGCGCTCGTCATCGCTATCGCTTTTACCTACGGTTACGGCGGAGAAACCATCTCCGCTTGGTGGCATTCCTACTTCCAGCCTCGGAAGAAGGCGCCAGCTCAGTGGAGTGACGTGGTAACCCAGAAACGGGGATAGTCAGTCAAAACACGATGCGGACGAATACTGCTTTGAGCACCCGACCGAGTTGGAGACCATAGATGCTTTTGAATTTCAACGACCTGGGTTGACGAGCGATTTTGAACAAATGCGAATAAACGCCGAATATCCTCCCCACCGTCCATCGTACAAGACCGTCCGGAACACAATCTTAGAAACCTTATATCGCGCTGTTTTGCCTGTTAGACTAAGTATGGGAGCCAGTTCACTCGAAATCTATTTCGATCTACAACAGTATCGCCTTGCGCATTTTATGGCTAAGTCTGCCTATGATGGCTCACAGAATTACCACAGCCATCCTTTGACCAATAGAGGATACATCAATGTTAGAGACATCACTAGTTTCTCATGGCAGGTATATCTAGCTGCTGAGGAAAATGGGCTTCCCAGAGATAGACGAAAAATAGTTGGCTAATCTTCGCGAGCATTCCCCGGACCGACCACCGGACACGTTGAATAACAAATTTCATGTTACGTCAACATCCAACCAAAGCCACGACATGGTGGGACTGGGAGCGGGGATGGTTTCTCAAGTGTCGGGGCCGGCGTCGCTGCCACCAAAGCCCCAGCGCGCACGGAGTTTCAGTGGTTGTGATTGGGTCCGTGTGGGCCGGCTCGAGCTTGGATCCTCTTGAGTGTTTGTCAGAGTGGGCCGGATTGGAAATCGTACGCTCCTTACAAATCAGGCGTTGATGTGGTCTTGGTGGATACTAGTGGGACAATGCACGATGCAAGACCGGGTCGCCAAGTTTAGATCAGGCATTTAGATTTTTAATATATAAACTCGAACCCCAATGCAGCTTGACTGTAGTTTAAAAGGACATGAATCATAAGCAACTATAAAAACCTCAGTGAACATTACAACTATTCACTCCGTCATTGCCTGCACACACAAGTCTACCTGTCTTGAACTTACACCCAGCCAATCACTCTTCCCGATCCATCTCCTTACTATAGCTATACCCTAACGACACCTCAATCAACACCCCAAACGTACATACACCAAGCGACACTTACCCCGAGTTCAAAAACCATACCCAAAATGGCGCAAAACATCCCCCAAACCGTCCGCCAGTGGAACATCAACGGCCAGGGCAGTTTCGACAACCTCCAGTTCTCCGAGCAGCCAGTCCAGGCGCCCGGCGACCATGAAGTCTTGGTCAAGAGTGAGTGAAATTCCGGATAGTAACACCGGTGAAAGCGGGGAATTATGCCAAGAAGTTCTTGCTAACACAAACCCTCCCACCTCATAGTCCAAGGCGCATCTCTCAACGTAAGTAGCGAGCTCATGAACCCATTTTCTTTTTCCCGATGTCGGCCTCATATCGCCAAAGCGTGAGAATCCCCCTCCACTAACGATTATCCCGCAGTACCGTGATCTCATCATCCCCCTGGGCCAATACCCCTTCCCCCAATCCCCGGCGTGATCCCCGGCTCCGACGGTGCAGGCACCGTCCTCTCCGTCGGAAAGCACGTCACCCGCTTCAAGCCCGGCGACAAAGTCATCACCCTCTTCAACCAGGGCCACCTCGGCGGCTCCCTAGACAACCTCTCCGTGCAAACCGGTCTCGGCGGCGTGCTCGACGGCACCCTGCGCACCGTCGGCGCCTTCAACGAGAACGGCCTCGTGCCCATGCCGTCCAACCTCAACTTCATCGAAGCCGCCTCGCTCACCTGCGCCGGCCTCACCGCGTGGAACGCCCTCTTCGGCGTCAGCGATAAAAAGTCCTCCCCGGCCAGTGGGTGCTCACCCAGGGCACAGGCGGCGTGAGCATCTTTGCCGTGCAGTTCGCCAAGGCCGCGGGCGCCCGCGTCATCGCCACCACCAGCTCCGACGAGAAGGCCGAGCTCCTCCGCACGCTCGGAGCCGACCACATCATCAACTATAGGGAAACCCCGCCTGGGGCGCCAAGGCCAAGGAGCTCACCGGAGGCGTGGGCGTCGACCACGTCATCGAGGTGGCCGGTGCCGCGTCCATGAGGCAGTCCCTTAACAGCGTCCGCATGGACGGTGTCATCACCATCATCGGCTTTGTCGGGGGCCCGGCGAGGACCAGCCTGGGTTCCTCGATGCGTTGACCCACATCTGCCACGTCCGAGGCGTCCTTGTCGGCAACAGGGTGCAGATGGAGGAGATGTGCCGCGCCGTCGAGGCCAACCCGGAAAAACTTCGCCCGGTCATCGACCCCAAGGTGTTCACGCTCGATCAGCTGAAGGAGGCGTACGAGTACCAGTGGTCAGGAAAGCACCAAGGCAAGGTTGGTATCAAGATTGAGTGATTGAGATATGGATTTCACGATTGATTTTTATTACTGGGACTGAATTGTCACCATAACCGCTGCTACCCGTTTGTTCTTCGAGCCTTTCCTTTTACTGCGTATATAAAAACTGAATTTTATGGTGTTTCCATCCCTCCGTATCCTGCACCTCTGCGCCCAACTTCCGTTCCGCTCTAAATTAGATCTGCGTAAAAAGTGACCGATAATTTGGGTGTTATCGCTCAAATGGACGATGGCGTGGCTCCGACAAGCGATAGTGGATTAACTTCGGACAGACTTCGCCCATGACACAAATATTCGCGATGGATGGTATCTTATTGCCTCGGGTTTTCCTTTCCCCCATTTCCCATTTACACGCCCGCAACCTTGATCCCGAAGCGGTGTGTGATAATCCCGCCTGCCTTTGAGAACGGGGCGGGAAATTCACGGCATCTCCCCGCGTCTGGAAGCACATCGCTGACACAAGGATACCGGTTCCTCCCGCACACCCGCCATATGTCCGTTCCGCACATGAACGAGCATGAGAGTCCAATGGGCCGACGGTCTCCACAAATGGCCCCGCACCTTGACAAGAGTTTGAGGCATATCGAATGACTCTAACTACATCATTGATGTGCTTTAAATCTCATGGCCGAGGACGACGAACGTAACGCGCTGCAAGCTCCGCAACTCCCGATCGGGAAATTGACAAACACGCCTCGCCTCTGCCCTATACCTAATCAGCTACTTCTATCGGTAACGTCAGTGACATGTAAGCTCCTGTTGCGTAATTGTTTTTTATTTTTATTTTCCATTATGTGTCCCCGTATTGAAATATGAAGGAAGATACGGGCGTACCGCAAACAACGAGCACGGCCATCCCCGAATGTAGAAGATAGAGTAGGCACAATCTCGCTTCAGCCGCGATCTCGCTTGGCGATGATCTCCACGACAACCAACGACCGCAGAAGACCATCTAGAACAATGCCATGAAGAATTGGTAATTGTTTTTACATATATCGCAGTGAAAGCATTTCGCGGACGGCTCAGAACATTCGTTTAACTTTGTTCCGTTGAGATATTGAATCTGATTTCTCAGCGCTTGCTCATCGAACAAGTGCAGCATGCAATACGGCCGCGGAGTGGATACGACCCGAGGGACTGGTCATGCCTAAATAGACGCGGTTGATGCAAACGCGCAGGGGAACCGCCGTTAAATTGTACATGGATGGAGTTAATCTACAAATCACGGCTAAGCCACTCTATAGAAGCATTCCATTCCGTGTAACCATTCTTTCCGCCCTTTTTCGAAATTGCCTGGCGGCTGGAGCCGCATAGGAGAAACCGGGCTGTGCCTCAGGTAAGGACGGCCACCAACGCGACGGGGTGACGAGCAGGTCCTACCACCAACCGGTGGTTTCAAATCGATCCCGCTCTTGCATTTAATTGAATACAAAGCGCACCGCATCAGGCACGTAAACCCACTTATTCCTTTCCTTTCTGTTCTTCGCAAAGTAGGGGCTTCGCCGTTCCTCCGCTCCTGTCGCCCTCTCCTCCCATCTTGCCCACTCTCAACAACAAAGACGACAACCGTAGACGTCCGAGTAGGAAGCTTCGGCAGACAAAAACCATGGGCATCGAAGCCCGTTGGGGGACCGGGGATTCGTCCCTGCTTCTTTTCTCATGATAGGCGTCCCGATCCTAGTCGTCGTCTTTCTCGTGGGCTGCTGCTGCTGCCTGTGTCCATTCAGAGATCGGAGCGCCGATCCTTTCGCCAATACGCAACTCAATCCCGTATCACTCCAGGAAATAGGCCCACAAAACAACTCGACTCGACCAGAAGACAACAATGCGGGAGAGCGATGGGGCCGATAGTCCGCGTAGTCGGAGGGATAGGACACGAGGCCTCCTTCAAGCCCAATTCTACCGATTGTGTCGTTTCTTGAATTGAAACGCGATAAGTGAAACTTTTGATTTCCATGCACATCTAATGGTACGTGGTGTTCACCCAACTCTAAATACGCGTCAGTACCCTACAGTACAACCATCAAGTCCAGCTCTAACGATTCCGTTCTCATAAAGTGCCCTACGCCTCATTTACACCTCTTTGCTCCGGCTCCGACAATATGACCAATCGACCACCGCCTGTATGGATAGGAAATTGGACGATACGGAAGAAGCAGGTATACCGACGAATAATCATTGATTGCAGCCAGGTTCGGGCCGCTCGTGGAGAAAGATTCGAAATGGGAGAGCACTATGCTGAAATGGAATTACTCATGACTAGTGTTTAAAGACGCGTTTATACAACATTGAAATAGAAGTGGGGGAGGGGGGACGCGAAATCTCGAACGGACATCCCGGACCAAAGAGGTCCACATAAATAAGGGTAGGTTCTGATAGTTCGGCGCGAACTTATATAATCTAATAGGGTATAAGGGACTGAAAGTCCTGGTGTAATTCGAGAGAACGGCGGGAGTACTGCCTTATACTTTGGTAGGAACATACCCGCGCCCCAAACGCCACGAACATCTAGGAAATAAAAGAAGAAATGACACTACGCAAGTGTGTGCGGCTCGTTACTTGGTCTCTTCCTCGGGGACTGCGTACAACGGCTGCATCCTTCCCCACTTATCGCAAGGACCGAACTTCCACCAGTCGGCGTGGACGCCAAACGTGAGGTGCCGGCAGAGAAACATGATGACCTGGGGTACGACGCCCGGGGAAACTTTTCCAGCGCCCATCCTCGAATTCATAGTCTGCGACGCTAAGGAACCAGGACATGCCGCCAGTAAAAGTCATGGAGCCCTACATAAACCACGGAGGTTAGCAAACGCATGTTGACGGGGGTTATATCATGGTGGCCCATCTCCCCGAGCCTAATGTGCCGTCACCTACCATGCCTTCTTTCACTTCTTCCTCAATGATCTTGGTCAGAGGAGCCATCTTCTCCACGCCGAATTTCCTCAAGTCAAGCAGCGAGGGAATCTCCTCGTTGAGGTGCGTTACCAAGGTCTGCGCGAAGCCATCGAGCCGAGAAACAACCTCGTTCCGATCAAACTTGGTCTTGCCCGCGATGCACCCCTTGACGTACTCCTCGAAGCCGTCCAGCTCGGCGTGGAACATGTCGTGCTGACCAATGTTGGTGTCCATGATGCCCTTTTCCCCGTCAACTTTTCGATTCCGGGGAAGAAGTGCTTTCCTCGCCGCGGTGGTGAGTGCCGAGGAACTCACACCAGTACGATATGAAGTGGCAGAACGCAATCTCATCCTCGGGCTTGATGTGGGGGCCTGCAATACGATGGCGTTGAGGCCGCGGATGACGAGGTTGTGCACGAGAGCCATCTCGCTGGCGAGACTGTCGAAGAAGTCGGGCTAGATACCGCGATAGTGGAGGATAGTTGGTTAGCTTTCCAAAAGCTTATTGTGAAGGATGCACAAAAAAACCGCTGCTCCTCGGTATTGTGGAAGTCTCACCTTGGCATCTTTTGGTAGCCCGTAGATGGGAGTGTGGATGAGGTTGAAAGGGTGGTCGGCGTAGACTGGAGCCATTTTCTGTTCCTTCTTTCGATTCTTTCGAAGAGGATTTGGCTTAGTGGAGTGTTGACGAGTACCGGCTCGTGTGCTTTGATCAGAACGCAAGTTGAAACTCTGGCAAACGTGTGTGATGGAAGAGCTAAAAAAGAAAACCAGAATTTTAGGTTATAATACAATTGAAATCGAGTCAAGTTTTGGATTCTTCCGTCACTCAACCAGTGGGCTGGTCAACTTGCTCCTTATATATAAATCCTTCCCAAGAGCTCAGTGCTGCCAATCTCCTCCCCGTTATCCATAGGATTTATGAATGCCGTCAAAATCATAGATCCCTGCCCGGATTCAAAGGGCTGGAACGGCACCACCGAAACGGGCCAGCAACCCGGGGCAAGAATTGCCAATTTCCCAGTCCCAATTGGCCGGATGCCGCTGTGCTTACCCTCCCGGGACAAGTGCTCAGTCGTGGGGCTCGTGGGGAGAGAAGGGGAAGGGGGAAGGGGGCGGTGCGTCAGCTGAAAGCTTGATCCAACGCCCTATGGGACGCCACGAGTCCCCGTGCAGCGCCCAACCAGCCCTGGCTGGCGGGAAACCCTTGAGGTCCTTTTGCTCTTTCGTATTCATCGTGGGTTTTTGGGTTTTTGGGTTTGCCGGTGCCAGAGTTGTCGTGTTTCCGCCAAGTTTGGCAAAAAGGGGGCGGCCATGGAGAAAAAGCCCCGATCATTGCCCTCTTCTTCTCTTTCAGCCCAAAGAGGATATTATTACCCATTTACCCTCTAGTTGAGTCGGGAAGTCGGAGCCCGGGCCATCGATTTCTTTTTCGCACGAGAGTCTCGGCCCCGAGTCTCTCATGAACACGCGTGGGAGGATCTAGGGCTTATTGTGGCGGTGAATACCTGACCTAATGTTGTCAGCTTCGCTACTACCTTCTTTTTGTTTCTCTTGCTTTCTTTTAGTGCTCAACTCCTTCTCGTCTTTTCGAGGACTAGCACACAGAGTTCACGGCACGTTTCTTCCAGTCAGCAATGTCTGCTCTTCTATCAATATGCCAAAGGGACGGCGTTCGTGAATTCAATTGTTATTCCACGGTGACTGGGCTCGCGGCGCGAATGGCGTTAAAATTTCAGGCGGAGCTTGACCCTGGCCTAACGTGAGCTTGCTGCTATCTTTAGCACCAGATCCTTGCTAGTCTTCCCAGGCCAAGGTACCGTTTAGGTTGGGCTAGCTACTCTCCTAAAAAGCGGCTGATGATAGGTCAAGCAGCAAACAACGAGTGAGATCAAAATCCACTCTTACCTTGGCGAATCCTGCTTCCTCACTTCCATGGCTCAATGTTGCATTCTGACGGGTATGAACACCCACTCATGGCCCCCGCTGCTTAGCCGCCTCACACGTGCGAGATCAAAACCCGCGGAGAAAGCCCGCGGAAACCCCTTTCTCCAGGATCGAAGAAATTGAACCAAAAAGATAGGAAGGTGCCTTCCGGCTACTTGATGGATCGAGGATTAAAAAGCTCCCTGCCCTTCATGTATAGGTTAAAGAACAGAATTTCACCGTGAGTGTTCACCCGGATGCGTCGGCTTTGGAAGTAGCCGGAGACAAAAAGATCCGTCACGGGCTCTGCACCAAGAAGAGGGACTTTTCGGAATGTCACAAATATTGCTAGGAGTATTAAATTACGCGTGAGGTGCTGAAGGCGCGTCTTATCTCGCCAAGGGTAAACGCGCGCCATGACATTCTCAACACGTCAGCTTTATTATGATGCTCTGCAACCCATATATCATCCTTCCCATCCCCCACCTTTTTCGTACCCTCTTCAGGGCAGGCAGGACAAGAGCGAGCCCAACTTCTTCAGCACAATCGCCTGCTTCTCCTCGGGCGCCGTCGTCTTGTCCGTCGCATCCCCGACGCTAATGGACGCGTAGCACCCCTTGGCGTTGACTACATCCGTTTCCGTCGGCAGCCTCGTGGAACCGCACTGCTTCACGTCCTGCGCCGAAAAGAGGCCCGGGTTGATCCGGCTGAGCACCCACTTGTAGTTATTCGGATCGGCACATGCCCCCTCCGCCTTGGGGAAGTTGACGTTGAGGAACACGTCGGCGGGGAGGTAGGGCTTCCCGCTCGCCAGCACGGCATCCGTCAAGCGACGAGCGAGCTCCGCGTACACGAGGCTGCGCGCGGGCGCGGGCGTGGTGTTCCACGCGAGGGTACCCTCGGACGCGCCCGAAAAGGCGATGGCGGGCACGCCGGCCTCGCGGACCGCGTACACGGCCGCGCCGACGGTGCCGGAAAAGTGCACGGCGAGCCAGAGGTTCGAGCCGACGTTGGGCCCGGTGACGGCGAGCTCGGGAAGCTGGCCGTCCCAGAACTGGGTGGAGATGGTGGAAATCCCGAAGCGCATGGACGTCACAGGGAAGCTGTTGACCCAGTTGAGGCGCGGGTTCGTGGCGTTGACGCCGATGGCGCCGGTGCCGGCCGCGCAGCTGCCGTACTGGCACGCCGAGGTTCGCGGGCTAGGGTCGATATCCAAAGAGCCTGCATCGGAAGAACGCGGGGCCCTCGCCCGTCTTTTGTTTAGTAAAGAGAAAAAAAAAACACAAAAGTTTTTCCGCGCGGTGGCTAGAGCGCTCAAATGGAATTGGGTAGGGAAGGCTGGGGGGGTTGCTGGTTGATTCACGTACTGGTTCCGGATTTATTGTCTGCCGGGCATGAGAGGATCACATCGTGGCCAGCGGCGACGAGAGAGTCGTGGAACGACCGCACGTAAAGCTCCGCCCAACCATCGTCGTTGGATTGGATGATGCGAGCGCTGAGACCCGCGTCGACCAAGAGGCCCACGGCGGCGTAGAGGATGACTGATGCTCGCATGGCGGATATAAGGTCGAGAAGATTCGTCGGCAGGACACCCTGGGAGCAGTGCAGATGGTTTGACTTCCTGAACACGACGTAGGGCGTATCGTGAGTTGGGGTGGTTTGAAGGGAACGCAAGACCGGTCGTCGGGGTGTCACGGTGCTTTTATTCTGTCTTGCTGTTTTCCCTCCTCCCTCTCCTTCTCCCCCTCCTCTATCATCGCAAGGGGGCCGCGGTTCAAGGTAACTCACGATGAGGGGATTCACGACCATGATTGGCCCGCGCGCTGGAGCTCTAAGCTACCACGAATTCCGGGTAACCTTCCGATTTTGGCACCGAGTTGCCAAGGGGCCTTCTTCACGTGGTGGCTACAACCAATCAACGGCCCAAGGTCACTGTTGCAGACCGAAACCTGTCGCATTGAAGGGTGCGACTAGGGCGGTTTGTGCATGTGATTGAGCCAATGCGTGTCGCTGGCGGCGTGGGGCAGTTGGTCTTCCCAAGCGACAAGGAGTTGAGAGCAGCACTTGAATTGATCGACCCAATTTGAAGTCTGCCCATGTCAGAAAAACCACTGCCGTCACGCTCTCCGGTTTTTCATCAGGTAAAGGGCACCGTAGATATGCCATCGTTTGTGTTTAATCGATGGGGCTTTCCGCGCATTGCGCGGTCGATACATCACAAAGAACATCAATTGTGGATGGGAGGAACTCCCGTTTGCCTTTTTGCTCTGCGCACCTATACTCCCAGCTGCACCCGACTGACGGAACAACACGCCAAGTCAGGCCATCGGATTATGGCCGATGGGAACTGCGTATATTAGTGCAATTTGTGCCGGAAAGCTGGCTGCAAGAGCATCACTTGGTTGGATAGCTTGGTGTGTGATTGCTACGCAGGGAGGTTTACATCCATTATATTGCAGTTGCAATCAACCACATGGAAGAGGGACTGGGCTGGGGAGAATTTGCCTTGTGTTGTGCCAAGTGATATTGATATTTGAAGTTGAAAGATAATCGAGACTCATTTCAAGGTACATGTCAAAAATTTGTTTGTCTTCCCGTACCTGGCTCTAGTCCCCCGAGAGTGGCCCACACTTCTGCTGCGCGTTGAAGTGGATGGGGTCCCTTTATCGGATATGGTCCATAGGAAGGGTATGGTGCCCAGGTCTGCGTAAAAGGCATCCATGCAGCGTGCTCCGTCAGGTCATACCGCTTCTCCCAAGTTTCCGAGTTTTGAAACAAAGTGTAATATAACCAGTCAAAGGCCTTGGGGAGGGGAAACCGAATCTCTCCCTTGTACCCGCGATATGGGCCATCCGTTGGGATCGGTTTTGTTAAATCGTGGTCAGGATCGACGGCTTTCAGTGTAGGAGGCTTTTCGAAGCTATCTCCAAGTTCATCTGCCGTCCTCCCTTTCCAGAAGATGGCCGATACAGTGTTATAAAATGGACGTGGCTTAATACATTCATTCGCTAGTGTTTTCTCATCGGCAACGAGAAAGACGTCGGTTCGTACGCCGTATGGTATCTTTTCGGCTGATCTCATCGCGTCAAAGCGTTCGCGAAGGAGGTTGCTGGAAGCCCTCCAGTGTAATGTCGGATATAAATATGCTCATATGGCTAGGCCAGAGTTCGTCTAAACCTCTCCAAAGGAGTGAAACCCCTCTTCCAGCTTCGTGATAGTACCCCTTGAATAGTTCCCAGTCAGCATCACTGGCCTTCTCGGCCTTGTATGCCGTCCGGAAGCAGACAAATCCCCATTGGTCGAGACCAGCGTCTACGATTTTCTGTACCCATCTCGCTCGCGGCTCCTTCATCATAGTCCGGATCAACTCCCGTCTCCTTCGACGTTTGGCCGACTCTTTAAGGTTGTCTTCATCTTTTATCTTCCAGCAGTTCCTGATGGCGGCAGCCTCATCGGGCGATGTAACTGCGTCCCTCGCCTGATACATCAATTCGATATCCTCCTCGGCCATGAAGTGCCCAGGATAGTCCAGAGGCGCAAGATAGTCGGCCTCCTCCAGGGTAAGAGATTCGGGATTATCCTTGGCTTTCGCGATAAGCTCTTGTCTCGAGCGTAAATTGAATTTTTCCTGGATGATCGGGTTCTCGATGTGCGGCGGTTGAGATCGTAGGATCTCTGCTCTCTCACTGTCGGTGATACTGCTAGCGTTTTCGATGGCCCGTTGGTAGAGGGCGCGCAGCTCCGGCGTAACATTAAACGGTTCCATGATGTTCAATAGTGATCGCTGGGTAGGTTTGAGTTGAAAAGGAAAGGAGGGAAACTCCGGCAGATACCAAGATGTCCTGGGCAAGTACCCCGCACCAACACCACCCTCAGCTTTTTGACTGACTAAACCTTGTGCGACATTCGAGGATTGTGCACTTATCCAATGAATGGATGGATGGATCAATTCAATCTATCTGCCGTTTCTCAGGTATCCCGTTTCCGCCATTTTACCCGCGGGCGGAACGACCTACCACCTCTGTCGACATGAGATGGATACGGGTCGGATAATAGAACCAAGAAAGTAGCTGCGGGGTTCGTTGGTTGGGATACTTGAATATTGAAAGTTCATATTCTCCCAGCTGCGCCCTCTTCGCCACAGTTGGTGAGACGCCTCAAGTGCAGCCAGCAGGGCGGCAAGGATGGAGAGTAGCATACTCTTGTTTGTGCATCGTCCACTCATAGAAGATAAAATAGCAACAGGCTAATGGAATGACCATTTCTTACCGCACCGAGCAATTATCTAAACCGATAAGGTTATGTCGAAACTAATCATACATCAACTCGATAACTCCGCTCGAATATTTTTGACCTTTGTCGAGATGGCGACTATTACTGGTGGGCCTACAATGCAAGTATGCGCTTCGTTGCCTGCTCTCCTCGCAGTCTTACATTAAACTAGACAGGGGTAACCTCCAATTCGTAGATGTGGTATATATAGGAGCTCGTAGAGCCTACTGTCCTCCCCTGCTATTTTTCGCTTGGCTTATTTACGGACCTAATCTACTGGGTCGAGCGCAGAGTCATCGATACCTCCAAAATTGACCATAATGTCAGTTTCTGCCCCTTCCGTCATTTCTTTTATTGCCTGAAGCACACTCCTGATCTGCGCTCCTCTCCTTGAAGCTGCAGGTAGTCTCGAATCGTTGGCCAACTCTGTCTCCCACGCCACCTCGAGCTCACCTAACCTCCGCATAACCCAGTCCTCAACACCCTCAATACGGGGTGCAAGATAGTAGCGGATGAATCCCTGATGGAGTTCTGTCATTCCGATATCCAGCTGTCGAATCCTTAAAACCGCCTCATCGAAGGCCATCAAGACATCTGTGATACGGTTGAATACCGTATCCATATTCTCCGATATTGTGCGGTGGTTGAGATAATCAAACACGGATATGACTGTTCGAATAGCGGATAAAGCCTCCCTCGTGTGCTCCATTCCGGACTCTGGAGAGGTATCATGCCACTCATTTTCTTTCCATTTCGACTCCGAGACTGGGTCTATCCCACGCCATGTACGCATCTTGATGCCGTTGAAAGCTGTTTCAGCGTTAACCATGACTTCTGGATTGTCGACACTGCCGAATGCTTCCCACATTTCATCAAGTGGGGACATTGTTGGGTGCGCTATTGGGATTTGTCAAATTGAGAAGTTAGTCAAGCTCATAATCTTAGCCTATCGGGCGACACTCCCGTGAAGAGTCGTAGTTGGACGGAGAACACAAGATAAGGGACTACCGTGACTTGCCATGATTTCCGTTAGGATCCCAAGTATTCCATGGCTGCTGAAGAAAGCCATTCGTGTCAAGGAGGTCTGCGGGCACTGGGTTTCCAGACGCCCTGAGCCACGGGTGTTAACAACGTCGAACACATGCGGTTGGCATTCAATTGTCCATGAGAACGGCTTGGGTTTTAGGGTTGTGATTCCCAATTACATACCTGTAGATGCTTTTGTCCCGATTGACGGCTTGCCCCGATACTGCGAACCTCAGCAGCTCAACCATGTAACTCAGCTCAACGATATGTTCAGCTATCGTTCACCGGGAATCAGTAAATAGTGTTTTCCCACCCCCTTCTCACTCCAGCCCTCAGGTTTTACGTGGTTTCATATTCCCTCACTTACAAACGTATTTGAGATCGGTCGAACCCTTTGAGGTGAAGGTCCACACCTCGCAGTTTTCCGGATCCAGCAAGGCAAAGTAGCCAGCATCGGGATTCTGCGCTAGCAAAAACCGCCCATTATCACCGTTAGGGTACTAGTAACTACTAGTTAGCAGAGGCCTGAGCTCCTTCGCCCACTTGTATTGTTGTCTACATTGTAGGTCTTACCTTGTGCGATGTGATCTTGAATGAACTTCCGCCCGGGACTTGGACGGTGAATTCTCGACCCTCGCCCGTACCCCTAGGATCAAGGGCTCTCGATTCCGCATTCGACCGTTTCTCAAATGGCCACCCCTCGTCAAGCTCGTCTGCAAGGTCGGCATCGAATCTTACGAGATAGCTACTATCGAAACAGTCCAACTTCCATTTCCGTAAACAACTTACAAATTCGTCGTCGAACAACGGGCTACCGTTCCAATTTGGTGGCTTGTTATCGTCTGGATCTTCACCGGCACCGGAGTACAGCACCGCCGGTGAACCTTTTGAGCCCACAAGATATGCCTGATCATCTGCCTCCCATGTTGCCGAAATTCCGGCGGAGAAGGCCTCCACGGATACCTGCGTGTCTCTAAAAATTTTGTGTCCTAGTTAACATAGTATATTCAGAATAAAAGGGGAGGGTTGTGAAGGATGATTTAATGGGTTGTCTTACGAGTCGATCACTTTGATGTTATCTCCGTCGCTTGTAACGCGGACGTAATGGCCGATTTGAGATACAAACTAGATAAAGAACGCATCAATCAGTAAAGGTACCACGCGAGAGCCAAAATTAGGAGCTTATGGAGTTAAGTGACCCGGTATGATGATGAATTTAGGAACATACTTGTGCCTTGGCCGCCTGGGAGTTTGTTCCTAGCTCGAACACCGAGACGTCCATCCACGAGCGGACATTGAGCTCAACTAAGGAGTAAGCGCAGTTAGTAGTTATTTCGAACAAAATTCTCAGCACCATTCGTTGAACGGAATAACTAACCAGCCAGAATGTCAGCACTAGTACCGGTTGTTGACGCGGTCCCGCTAACTTGACCTTGAAACGCATCTGTGATGGTCGTTCCGAGGATATTACCCCCATAGGGCCTAGGATGGATGTGGGAGCGTGAGTCTTTAGTCTCCCGTCGCTCCCAGCTCTGAAATCTACTGAAAATTTGCTGGTCGATCAACGTTAGCATAGCACTAGCCCAACATACCTCATCCGTAACTCGCTACCTACCCGTCAAGGGCCCCATCTCCAAGCAAATCCACGTCGATGTTAAGATTAGGAGTGAACCGAACAATTCTAGACGTATAACATGTCAGAAGAAGGCTTCTATCCCCGGGGATATGTACAAAGGTAGCACCTAAGTTTCAACTTACCCGGGGTGGCTAAACCCGAGCCCTGAGACGTCTAGATTGAAGAGAGACTTGCTCCCAAGGGCGCCCGGTATTTGAACCATACCCTGGCCGGCCACTTCCAACTTCGCCTCGAGGTCTAGCTCGCTGTCAAAGTATCCATATGCCTCCTCGAAAGCTAATACCGGGGAAATTGTTCCAACCATGGTAAAGCCCCATCGTAAGGAGTTTGAGACACTGCCTGAGAGTTTGATGGAGAGAAATCCACTGCCGCCGCAGTCATCGCTGCCGTCTTGCTCGTATATGAGACTCTCAAAGTCATCCCTTTGAAGCTTGGGCCAGTAGCCACCTACTAGGTCGCTGTCACGAGCTTCGGATATCACTATGCAAGTCTTAGTCACTGACTGATATCACGACACATGCCCGCCACGAGGAGGAGTTGAGGGTGTGAGTATACTTACAACTTTTCCAAATGTCAGTCTTCGAACTGAAGAACCGACGGTCTATCGTCTGATTCAAACTACGTTTTTTGACAGGCTGTGCGGCGACTATTTCGTTCCAGTACTCCTCATTATGCGCGTAATCAATACGAATGAAGATGTCGTCCCCATCGTCCCTTTTGCAAGCGAGAAGTCGTAGCTGAATTCAAGTTCGTAGACTGCCGAATCCGCTGGCGCTAGCATTTCAAGGTGATTTGGGATGCTAGTATTGTCGGCCGGGCGGATATCGTGAACAACACCATATGTCGCATATCCGCACTCTTCGGGCAGCTTAACAATGGTTCCGCTTGCACCGCCAAGGTGAACATTGTTACAATTCGAGTCCTCCGAGTCCCTCATGCAAAGATATCGGGCCCTGTATACCTTCAGATCGTGTTTCTCGGTAGAATCGCAGTCAACAAACTGAATGTGCGAGCCATCTCGCTTGGAAAGCGTAGTTACAGCGCTCGGGGGCCCATCTATCACAACCATGCCAAAGGCCTGCTGGTTGCTGTCCTGTCCCAATAACGTTGGCGGCGGGTCAATGTATTGAAGGTCAAAGTTGGGCAAGTTCGTGGCAGGTGGGAGCGTAGGGAAGAGATTTTCCAAGGGGACCGGAAGAAACGGATTTAGGTTCGCAGGTGGCCGGCAGCAGAGTACTTTCATTCTCGAATTCAGACCCGCGGCACATTCTTTCTGAGAATCCCCATAGGAGTCCGTCGTGACCTCAATCTCCCAGCTGAGGAACCACGTAAGAGTCAGTACTCTCTTCCTCAATTCTACTAGTTGAACGGCGGGAAATAGCTTATAGTACGTACTCAGCACATTCGTTGTCATCGCAGGTGCCTTTTCCAATCCAGTGACAGTCCGGAAACTGCACATCGCAACAAATAGCCCGCTCATCGAAGCCACAGTACGCCTCAACAAGGCCATATTCTATCACCAACCACATAAGTACACACACTCTCGCCCAGCTTCATGGAAGACTGTGTGTTGGGGATGGGGAACATACCGCAACTGTATTCATTTCTAAACGCAATCTTCTTCTTGCCGTCCGGACAAGTTTTACCGCTTGCAGCTCGACAGGACGCTACCTGACTGGCCCAGGTGTTGGACTCGCAACAGAAGGCCTGTTTCCCAGGATAGCAGCAGTTTTTGAACCATGCCCCGTGTGGAACAGGGTTACTTCATTACTATGGCATTGGCCGTGGCATGCACAGCCCGTTTCGCCACCTCTCCATTGGCATTTGGTAGGCGCGGATTCAATCGGACATATGATCTAACGGAGTCCGTCAGCCTTCTCGTGGTGGCCTAGGCCGGGGTTGGGCGGGGCACGGGTGCGCAACAGTCGGTTCCACTCACGTATTTATTCTTATCCTTACCACAGCCGTCTTTGAAGGCACCACCGCCGGGGGCAATCTTCCAACGAGGACCCCAGATCCCGACTTGACCGTCCTTCAAACAGTCGGTGAGTTTGCACATTTCATAACTGTGACTCGCCCAGTTGCCTTTCTCCGTTACCGGCTCAGCGCTTAGGCCACCAGTATATGGAATGTCCCTTCCGAGGAGACCTGACAACGCGGAGAAGTCGTTGTCGTCTTGGTCCACACTCCATATCATGAGTCCGCCAAGTCTGCCTAGTTTTTTAGTACAATGATGAAGGAAATGGGAATGGTTTTAATCTCGTACCCGATCTCATTTGCCCAATCCACTTTTTGCTTGAATGTTTCCTTGTCGTCAAAGCTAATCCATTGATCCTTTCGCGCGCCTGGGGCCCAAGTTATGTTAGGTCGAGTTCAAATTGTTCAACACGCGAAGCCTGTGGCATGATTTACCTACCGTATCGGAAATATTTTACCGCAGTTTCCTCATCATGTGTAATCTGAGGGTCTTGCTTCTTGATGATGTCCATGATCTCGAAGTACGCCAGACTACCCGGGTTTTTTGTGTACTCACCCGCGTCCGCGTCGCCCGAGAAGGGACAGCCTGGCACACTACAGTCCGGATCTTTGAGGTGGAAGGACCTCCCGTAAAACCCGAGGCCCAACACTATCTTCTCCGGGGAACATTCACTCGCCAGAGTAGATCTAACGCCAACTTGATCTCGGTGAGATTAGTGTGGGGATGAACGAAGCTGCCGATGGGATTTTCCTTGTCCCAGGCACCCTGGTTTGTTCGCTCGCTATTAGCGATGGTTTTCTTAGTAGAGGAAAGTCATTCCAGACGTGACATACATGAATATCATAGCCTAGGATGAGACATAGGTTAGGTTTCTGGAAATATTGTGCCGCTATTGGGGGGGCTGTGGTCTTACTCATTAGATTCACCCAATCTGCGCTCTCTAACAAACCCGGGACGTCAAACCAGCGTAGATACCAATACGAGCTTGGAATCGTAAAAGTAAGGCCGTACTTGTGCCCCGAGGCATCAAATGTCTGGCGTATGGTCCGGAAAAGCAGCACAAAATTTTCAATATCGACGCTACCATGTCCACGAGGTTAGCAGAGGTTCTGACCTTGACAAAGAAAATTCCAAAGCATACTGCTCTTTACCGCCTCTATCTGGGGCACCTGGGACACGGGAGATGATTAGTAGCTGGATGCGGAAATGCCGTGTCGGAAGACGGCTCACCGGGGTACTCCCAATCGATATCAGCTCCGTCGAATCCATATCTCTTTAGGAAGCTCACAAGGCTATCGGCGAAGGCTTGACGTTTTTCTGGGCTGCTAGAGATATCTGAAAATACAGGCTGCGTCGTGGTGTGATTGTCCGAGAATGTCCAACCTCCAATGGAGACGAAAACCTCAAGGTTGGTGTTCCCGGACCTCGATGACCTCACATCAGCAGTCTGTAAAAAGAGTGATGGAGGCGTCATAGAGTCCATGGGAGTAACCTGGAAAGAGTCAGGGTCAATATAAGCAAACGCAAAATTCACATGCGTCAAGCCCTGGATTGGAATGGCGCTTGGCGGAAACGGGTGGCAATCTCGTCGTGCGGCCCTAAGTAATATCTCATTAACCCTCACGCTTGACTCGAAGAGCAACCGGAGATCGTCATAGGTGGAAAGGAGAAGACATACCAGCCTTCATAGTACCCAACAACTCTGTTAACAACAGGAGCCGAACTCTTGCCCGGTGGGATAGGGGATGTAAGACACAGTTGCTCTCGCATTTATCATTGCAAAACTCGGCCGTGGAGCCACAAAACCCCCATTGTGAGCAACACACTTGGAGAGGGCACTCCTTTCCTGAAGGATTGGCAAACCTGCCGCACTCTGCAGTGGCATCGCAGTTGGAAGTGCAGTCATCGCCGCAGTAGACAGAGCCTAGATAGTTTTGTTAACTTCTCCGTATTGTTCAACAGCAGGTTCCAAAATGCGATTACCATATCCACAAATCCCTTGTGATGAATTCTGGTAAGAGCCACTGGAAGCATGTGTTAGACAGCCAACGCCGCAATGATCACCCCAAGCTGTGGTTCTTACCAACAAGCCCCATTTCCACAAGGATTCTCCTACTCCAATGTTAATAACACAAGACGGCTTGCCTAGGGATTCCTGTATATGATGAGAACCCACTTTGTCACAGGTATATTCGCTATTTTCCTCCCTCATAAATAGACCCGCGACAGGATCAGCGATGCCAAACGTTGAATGGTCAAAGTTTCCAGGAGTGAGTTTTTCACGGACTCTCTATCATCGGTCGGCGGGTTGATAAGGGGTAGAAAGAGACTGCATATAGCGGCCAGGCTTAACAAGCCGACAAGTGCTCGAAGGCTCGCCCACGCAAATAAGGAAAGCTTTGGCTGGCCCATCCTGACCAGTTCGAGATACCAAGCTGTGAGAAATATCTAGAGCTACTAAAGAGCCGCTCAGCGAACCCAGTAGCTAGAAGATATATCATTCTTATAAGGGAAAACTGGCCGCGCGTTTTTTTCCCCAAGACAGATTCCGCCGTGAGCCTTGGGGCATCCTTTCTGGCCGCTATCGCTCTTGCTAGGGTTTCGGAAACAGTCATTCAGTATTTCCAAGCTCACCTGCGCCCTCTATCAGGCTGTTTGGAAAATAATCTGAGCATATCTCTCGCCGAAGCAACGAGATTAAGGAGGCATATTCACCCCTCTTTTGGGGGCTATGTTGGTTTGTTGGTTCAGAACCAACACCAACATGCCCATGGCACTATATTAATTGCCATCCCGGTACAAGTCGACGTTTTCCGTCGATACGAGCGTAGTTGTACTAGAATTCTTACTATTCTATTTCCATTCTAGGCATTCTTTTACCATTTTTCTTCTAGTTTTTGATCTCAACACTTCAGACTAACCTCAGAAAATGATCGTTACACAAAATAGTAGTTTCAGCGCACAGTACAAAGCGTTCAGAGATGAGTCCCCGCGCTTAGCCGTCAGCCTTTCATGGACCCAAGAACAAAGTATTGATCGCTTCGCGTTCGGCAGAGCTCGGTTCTTTTCTGCAACGGGATGTTGACCTATTTAGCCGACGCTCATCCCTGTGTGTTGGTAGCGGTGTGAAGCCGCAGGACTCCGGCATTAATTTATAGATGGTTCAACCGCGCCGTAGTCTGCCTAACGAAAGTTCCCGGAATGTCGCTTGCGAAAACCGGCCTTGCGGTGTTCCATATCATCTATAATCAGGTGCGGAAGTCAAGGCCCTCCGGCTTATTTTATGATTAGAATCGCCTCCTTTATGGAGACACAGCGTGCGACGCAAGCTCTCAGCATCTTTTGATCCGAACGCTCACTCTTTTACGCTTCAACGGCGCAAGTTCCAAAGATGCTTTCCTCACCATCCAACGTTATTCTTATCCACTTGGTATGTAAGACTACGGCCACCTTCTTCGATGGGAAGTGTCAAACCAATTGGGGTGTGAGATGATGAAACGTCGCAGTCTCGTCTTCAAAGTACTCGGCTCTTCTTCTCTAGAAAGCCGGAAGTTGAAAGCTCGGCCGATTGACTAACCATTGCTCCCTCCAGATTCTTGCTGCGGGATTTCTACAATGTTTTACTCTGGGTCAACTATTTTCTGGGGGTGGCAACCTAACTACGGCTCCTCAAGTCGAGGCGCCTGAGGGCTTATCAGAGGCATGCAGGTATCTCTCAACATCATTGTCTCTGTACTTCGTTCTAGAGCACTTGACTCACCTGATTTCTCTAGTGCCACATACCAGAAGTCTCTAGCTTGCGATATAGCTCTCAAATCTGTTAGCAATGGAGACCTCCTCCCCACCGATCTGATATTACAGCATATTTGTGTTGATGATTGCCTGGCAGCCCTCGAAGCCCTACGAGAAGACCAGTCAAACTCTTGTTCCACCGACACCCTCTATATAGACGACGCAGAACGGTCTCCGGTGTATCTCACAGATGTACTGATATTCACTTACAACTATACCTGTCTGCGAGATCCGTAAGTCGTCTCTAGCATGCTCATAGCATCCGGACAGCCAGCAGTGGACAGTGCATTCCCCGAGGCTAACCTGGTCACGTCTATCTAGCACCACCAGTTCCTTCTGCTTCCCGCAATTTGACAGCTTTAACAGTGGGGACAGTGCATTAAGTCAGAGTGAGGTTTGCTCTGCCTGCAACTTAATGACATTCTATACACAACTGAGTAGTTACCTGGGCTGGGACGAAGAGCTGGAGGAGAGCTTCGCGTCCTTGACCGAATCGTGAGTTATCAGTGCGTCTTATAAACAGTTGGTTGTTCTTAGCGCTCACGACCGAGTCAAGATGTGGCGTTAGTACCTATACGATTCCTGCTTCTGCTAGGTCCTCTGATAGCACCAGCTCTGATGAGACCGATCCGACGGCAACGTGGACAGCGCCTGAGAAAACATGTGTTTCAAAATACACGATACAGGAGGGAGATGACTGCCATTCGATCAGCAAATCCCAGAAAGTATCAACATTCTACTTGATGGACGCGAATGACCTAGAGTTATATTGCTCGAATTTCCCCGGTCCTGGCGTCGAGATTTGCATCCCCCGAGGTGTGATGTTTACACAGTCCAAGAGAAAGATACTTGTAGCACCGTTACGCGGAGGCTTAACTATACTACCTCCACTACTCAGCTAATATCTTGGAATCCAACCATTAATCGCGCCTGTTCTAATCTGGATATTATGGCTGGGCACGAGATTTGTGTCAGGTAAGCCCAGCTTGTCAAGTGTCAACTGATCATTTGTTAGAAGGAAACCGCGCTAAATGACGCTACAGCTTTCCGGGTGGAATAGAGGATGTAGATTCCAGGCCGACAGCGATCGCCACGACAGCGTGAGTGCATAATCCATATTCGTGGCGAGCTGCCTCCCATGACGAGACTACACCTTACACCTTTCTTTTAACAAATAGACCCGTGCCAAGTAATGTCGCGCCAGACACAATGACCGACTGTAAGTTTACTCACTATCTTGGATTTCTCTTATACTAGCACGACATGCTAACGAAACCCTAGGCTCAGAATACTTCACCGTCAAGACTGGAGATACGTGCTCTACCATTAGTGAAGTTAATGGTATCTCATTATACGACTTTTTCTTCTTGAACCCAGCTGTGTCTAACCCAGCGTGTGACAATCTCCTGCTGGGTAGCTCCTACTGTGTGTCACCAGTTGGTGATATTAGGACTTATCCTTACTACGGGTACATTTGATTTCATCTCTCATCTCGTTGCATTTCCTGCGTTTGCTTTTATCTCGCTCCATTCCCATCAATTACTTTTGCATCAACGGGTGAGACTAACCGAGGTGTCTTTGAAGTAAATTTGCTGCTAGGCACCCGTGCTTTCGTAGACCCCCACCAGCGAGCTGTACACCTACTACCTACCCGACAGATACCTACTGGGAGTGGCCGACTCAGTTTGCATCAACCACAGTCAGCCTAGCCACCCCAACTATGCCCGTTACCCCAAACGACTTTCCTCTGGCCCCAGGGACACTCGATAACTGCTTCACTTACGAAATGTATAGGGAGCCGTTATGGGAGAGGGTCAGCGCCAAACGGTATAACTCATGCGGCACCATATCCTCATTCTATGGCTGTAAGATGGTTATTCATTATTAAAGTTTTCCCAAGTTCAGATTCGATAGAGAGGCTCCGGCCCATAGGTTCTCTTTTGCAGTTCTAGGCAGCCCGTTTTATGCTAATATGCTGTCGTAGTGGAAATCGAAACCCTAATCGAATGGAACCCATCTTTGACATGGGACGAGAACGACTTCTATGCGTGTTCGCTCGCGAAAGGATACAAATATTGTGTACGGAGGGATAAGATAACGCCTCGACCACGCGCGTCATCTAGCACGGCTACAAGCTCTACCACGACTTTGACATCGAGCTCAAGCGCAGGTTCAGCGGTGGAAGAGCCTACTCCCTCAGGAACCCCGGGTCCTATCCAGGTAGATGCTAGCCTAGCACACTATCCGCCTACCCATTCTCCAACTAATGGTGTATTCTCTCTTACTAGCCCGGTGTTGAAGTCAACTGTAATGAGTTTTATCTCGTCGTGGGTGAGTGCCATTTCCAGCAGCACTCTGCTTCTACAACGTCCATAAACCCTGAGGAGAGATGAGCTGATTGATTCCGATATAAATAGACGGAGACGGATGTTATGCTATTGCAGAGACACACGGAATTGAACTCGAGGATTTCTACCGCTGGAATCCCGCGGTTGGAGACGACTGCGCTGCATTGTAAGTGACCACCCTGATGTTGATGTGATTAATATGGGCCGGGCCGGAATCCTTTGTAACACAAGCTGACGCCGAAGTCGAACCATCAGGCTTCGCGGGTTTTATGTCTGTGTCGGCGTTTCGAGTGAATAGTGGGAAATGGGGATGATATCCAGTGTTGGCGGCGGTAAAGGTATCATTTTAGCACTAAGTCAATAGGGTAGGTATCGCCAGGCAGCGTAGACGGCAAAGTATACAATATACGAAAAGCAGAACGCGGTAGATCAGGTATCTTAGTATGGTAGTCGAGTGTGCTTAAATCTAGTCTTGCAAATCATAAGAAATTTCCTTTATTTAAGCCGTGCGATGTTCGCACGGCGAGCGGTCCGTTGAAGGATAACACATGCAGACGAGGAAACAAACAAGAACAAATAGCATAGCCCACTCCAGGCACCTGTATATATAAATCAGTCGTCTTGGTCTCTATCTTGCAGCCGTCACGATGAGGCCGTGATTTGGGTCTGATGTAATTTCCCTCATGTAAAGAAGTCGATCTGCCAGCTTTCCTACAGTCCATCCTGAAAGTACACGGTCATCACCCCTCCACCATGAATCGAGCGTGCCAATTTCTTGATTTCGGCGTGCGCAGCACAGCCTTCGTCGTAGAATCTCATATCATCCTCGGTGGCAAACATGGTGAACGCCGCCAGTGTGTAACCTTGATTCCGCGTGTCGTCGAAAGTGGGTCCCACCGCCGCGGAGAGTATGTACGGCTTCCCGTTTCGGACGGCCGTGGTCGGTAGGGTGCGGTACAGGTCCATGAGACTTTGTCGGTCGGCCTGCGACTCGATCTTGAAGAGCGTGACTCGATGCATAGGGCTGGCGGACATGGTCGAGGTGCTGAGCGTTGATGCGAGGTTAGAGCTGGGTCTTGGTTGCTTGACGCACAAGCGAAAACAAAAGAGCGTGCGTAGCTCAGAGATCTGAAATTCTTTCTCTGGTCGATGAGGAAATGCAGACGAAAGCATCCCCAACAGTTATAGGGCTTACGTTCGGTCAGTAGGCATTGTCAAGAATGATCGATTTAAGAATAAGATCCCAATTATACTTCTCCAACTGAACGAAAGTTGATGGACTCGATGACTTCCCTTAGATAGAGCGGACGGCTCGGCCATGTCCGGGTGCTACTCACAGTGTAGATAGAGGCGAGGCACGGTTGATTCAGGGTGAATAGGGGCATTGGCTTAGCCTGGAGGCTACCGTCACGTCGGACAAGGTACGGGACTGGATTATCCGCCCTACGCGCTACCGCTAGAGAGGCGGATGTAAGGCGGTTTTTGCATGAATGATAATCTAACTCCGCCTCGCCCAGTGACCAACCCGCCTCTAGTAGCTGGAGTAGATACCTGAGTAGCTCAGCGGTCTTGAGAGTTCTTTGTAGCGTGACTAAGGAAGGAGTTCCGTAAAACCGCTGCAAATGAAGCCATGGATACAGAAGGCTCCTGGCAAATGAGGTCTGGTATCGATGGTTTGAATACGTGGCCATGGGTGGCGTTCAAGCGATAAGCAGGGACAGAATAATTTACGATTCTCAAGTTGCGGAAAGAGTGATTAAAATGATATAACTTATAACTCTCACAGACTCCAACATCGATGATAGCAGAATCAGTGAAACACCCGCCCGTGTCAATGGCCGTCCGACGCGCCGATCAAAGGCTTTCCAGACGTCATGACATCCAAAAGGTCTTGGGACCGTTCTTGTCAAAGAACATCTCTCCGCTCTGCCTACTCCTCGTAATTACATCAATCGCGTAGGGGAACATGTCTGCCTCATACGCCGCAATAGCCTCCTTATTCAGCCCTAGCTCCCGGATCTTCTCCGCAAGAATCACCGAGTCCCGCATGGCGCAGTTGACACCATCGCCGACAAAGGGGTGGTGACGTGGGCGGCGTCACCGATCAGAGTCACATCGGAGGAAGCCTCCCAGTTGAGGCGGTCCGTGGGCATGTAGTACATGACCCAGGGACGGAAAGGTCCGTCGCTCTGCGAGATGACTTCCTGCATCGCGGGGAGTATTTGCCAAAGTTCTCCTCACGCAGCAGGAATTCCTTGACCGCAGCGTGATTGGACGAGTCAAAGGGATTGGCGGCAAACTCTTCAGTACCCAAAAGACCAATATCAATGCGGTAATGCCCGTCTCCTTGGCGTGAATTAAACATGTGCTTGCCGTCTCCCATGATGATCATGGCGCCCTGTCCCGCCATGGCTTCCATCTTGGGATAGAATGGGTTGGTGGGGTGGATCTTGCTGGTGATGAAGAACTGGCCCGAGTACGCGGGTTTCGCATCGGTGACCTAGGAGGAGCATTAGATAGCACATTCAATGATTGATGCGATATGTACGTCTCAATCTAAACGAGGTGGAGGATGCTGGAGCAGCACAACACTGAAACATACCAAATGGCGAATTTTGCTAAAGGTACCATCGGCGCCGATCACGAGCTTGAAGCCCGACGCCGTTGTTCCGTCCGCAAAGTTTATAACGATGTTGTTGTTGGCGTCCCTATGGGAGTCGACGACAGGCTTATCGTAGGCAATCCTCTCCTTGGGGATGGCGGTCATGAGCACGTTTCGGAGCTGCCATCGGTCGATCTCGGGGGCATCGCGGCCCTCGCCAAAGGAGAAGACCTTTTCGCCATGCATGTTATACAGCAGGTGGATTGTGGCATCGCCATCCCTCGAGTTCTTCTTAAACTCGTCAAACACGCCAGCCTCCTCCATGGCACGCTGGCCACTCCCGACGTGAAGGTCAAGGCAGCCTCCCGCGGGTGGCTATCTTCAGAGCCCCGTTCATACACGATGTAATCCCGACCTTGCTTCTCGAGGAGAGCTGCAAGGGCGAGGCCGGAGGGCCCGCCACCGACAATTGCGATTTCGGGAGACATGTATAAAGTTGGGATGGGAAGTGGGGAGGTGGGAGCTTTGGAATGGGGAGAAGGAGGATTTATTCGAGAAAGGTGATGGTTGCGCAATCTTCTACTCCCCAGTCACCATTGGAGGGGAGGGGCAAGAATGACCTGTTAAATACACGCCGTTGCTTCGGTGAGGCAAACGCACGATGCCCTTTGGACAGATCCATGAAGGTGTCTATGTTTCGCAAGGGCCTCAGCGTGCCCCGCGAATTCTTTTGGGGTTTTGGAACATGACTGAGCAGCAATCTTAGCGCGTCCCCAGTTTTGCGGAGAACATGTCGCACGGTTGCCAGTGGGCGCTAGGCCCATGTTTTTCCCCAAACAGGCAAAGGGTAGCAGTTAGCGCCGGCGGAGAGCCAGTGTCAGAAGGCCGCCTGCGAGACATATCCGGGGAAAACGCGGGGATGCGATGTGCGGGCGTGCGGCGAACAGGCGGAAAATCCCCAAGGGGAGGAATCACGTCCTACGCTAGCTTGCCCGGGTACGGTTTGGATGTAGGAGCCGTCCGGGAGATTTGTCGGACCCCGCGGGCTTGAGAGCTTGATGCAGGGACCGGTGGCGTGTGGCGTGAGCCAAGATCTCTCGTGAGTCTGGTTGGATCTCGTGCTTTTTCAAAATGGCGGGGCGGGGGGGGGGGGCAATGGGGAACGATGGTAGTTGAGACGGTAATTGGGTGAAGAAGCAGGGATACTGCGAGACGAGGCGTATCTCGAGGTAAAGAAGTCGGGGAGATCACAAGGCGGAGATAATATGCGCACATACATGCACACTCATTCTCTGCATGGGCTCTGACACGTATAGAATCGCGCCTGTGAGTTATTCAATTTGACACTACTTGGTATGGGTAGGAGCAAAAGTGTGAACAAAACATCAAAGGTTGGTTGGACTCTTTCCATAATGTCTAGTTCCCCGTAAGCTATGCTCCTACTGTTTTCTTCTACAAATCATCTAATAGAAAAGTTTTGAGATGCATCATCTAGTTACTAGCAACAGGTTCTTTGAAGTAGATGGAGTTTTCCCACCGCGACAATCGCTGCCCAATCTCCGGCCTCTTCTTGATGTTCTCCTCGTCCTCGCCGCTCTTGACCCTGCTAATGAGATCCTCCACAACAATATCGACGCCAATGGGGTTCCGCGCGTACTCCTCCGTCTCCATGAAGCGGCGCGCCTCGTCCGCCGTCTTGAAGTTGTCCACCTGCAGCTCGAACTCGTTGCCATCCGGATCAAAGTAGTACATGCTGGTGCTCATGCCGTGGTTAACAGGCCAATGGGGCTCGATGCCCAGGGCCTTCTTCTGCTCGTAGCTCGTGACCAGATCCGCGAGGCTGTCCAGCGTGAAGGCGATGTGGTACACGCCCGTCCCCGTTTGCTTGTTGTTCACGGTGTGCTTGGGGTCCGCGACGATGACGAGCCTGTGGTGCTCCTCGTCGAAGGCGATGAACGCGGCGTGCTTGTTGCGGAGGATGAGCTGGCCGCCGAAGAAGTTGAGGTGCCATTCGACCATGGCGTCGAACTTGTCCGGGGTCGTGCGGATACCGAAGTGCCCAATGGACGAAGGGCTCACGAGTTTGCCAGAAGCCATCTTGTTTGTGTTGGATGTGGGGAATTGGGCTTTTGGAAATTGACTGGATTGGACAATTAGAGAGGGCTTGGTGCGTATTGATTTGTTTTAGTCCGTGAAAGACGTAAGATAGACTTGCGTGAGCTATGGAGTAGCTTCTTAGCGTGTTGTCGAGGCACGGAATTGTAGGGATTCTAATAGTTGTAAATTATCAGTGAAATTATCCGTTCGGGGTGAAAGCGACCGAGTATCGGAGACTCGTAGTCTTCATTCGTCTCTTGGCATACGCGATGCCTTTCTATCAAGCCGTCGCGGAGGGGGTTAAGGTGGATGGTAGCTTACCGGAATCTAGTTTGCGGGATTGCCGTCGCTTGGCTCCGCCACCGAAACCGCGACACAGATGGAATTTGGAGGAATCTCCAGCTAAACTCCACATGCGACCCACAAAACTGGGGTGCGCTTCGATCACAATGGATGCACCGACGCACTCGACACTGGAGGGTGCTTCACATCGGCGCTTTCAATTCCATATAGAACATCACTTCCATACATGCGTGGGCAGTTTTGAACCTTTGTTTACGCAATCATCCTGTTCCATCCTCTAAACACACCCTTGCTACATCCTAGCCATGGCGATATCCCCTATCACCTTTGTCCATCCCATTATTGGATCCGTTCAAGGGATTCAGAAATCTCCTCGTGTTAACCAGTATTTGGGTATACAATATGGAACGTTAAAGGACAGGTTTTCTCGAGGAGAGCTTCGACAAAGCTACGAGGATCTCAACGCAACAGAGCTAGGGTAAGAAAAGGGACCTATTCTGTCTAGCTTCCTGTACTGTAGAACACTCTCTGATGAAACTCTACCTTTAGGCCCATCCCGTTCAGTCCTCCTAATGGGTGTGAATGGGAGCACAAGTTGCTCCAGCAATCCCTGCCCTTCTCGTCCTTCCGTGAGTCCGACACGGAATGCCTGACGCTCAACATCTGCGCCCCCAGCCAGAAGAGCGATGCTCTCCTTCCAGTCATGGTCCTCGTGCATGGAGGCGCATTCGCCACCGGTAGCAGCGCTTATCCTCAATACGACTTGGCTGCCATCACGGAACTGAGCGTTACCGCCGGGAAACCCATCGTAGCTGTCAGCGTCAAGTATGAAATTTATTCCCTGTCTTCTACGGCCTCGTCATCGGGGAAACCATGATCTAATCTGACGTTTGCATGCCATGTCTAGCTACCGCCTTGGTGCGCCAGGTTTTCTTCACTCCTCCGCGATGAAGGCGGCCAGTTATGAGACGAACAACGGGCTCCGCGACCAGCGGCTTGCGTTACTCTGGATTAAAAATTCATTGCAGGCTTTGGCGGCGATCCTAACAGGGTGACTTTTATTGGAGAGAGTGCCGGTGCTGGTAAGTTTCGTGTCTTCGCCCTGCCTCGGGGTAATAGGCGGTTACTGTCAGAGGTTAACTCGAGCCGTGAAAAGCGTCTGGGTGCTTTCACCTTCACTCCCCGGATCCCTTGTTTCAACAATTTGTGGCCATGAGCGGCTCGTCCGTTCAGCGACTTAAACGAGCAGAGCAGGCCGAGAGTTCGTACAACTCTGTTCTCCATGTGCTCGGTGCCCAGCACCTGCCCCAGGACGAGCAGATTCAGGCGCTCCTGACCGCGACAAGCGACGACTATGGTTCCAAAATTGGGCGGAAATTCCCCATGGCCCCCTTGTTGATGGGTCGATCATTCCCGAGTTGACTTCGTACGCTGCGCTGGCTGCTCCCGAGGAGACGCTTAGGCTGTTTCCTGGATTGAAGGAGTGCAAGCGCATCTTGGTTGGCGACTGCCAAATGGATGTGGGTGCCCCGGTCTTGTCACGCAGTCTACGAGAATTTTCAAAGTGGCGAGGATTGATGTGCTGACATGAACGTGATGATGTAGGGAATGGCGTTTGCTAGTCGCCTGACAAACCGATCCGACATCTTGGCCAAGACCCTCCAGACATGCCTATCCGGCGTATTTGACTCTATTGACCCGAGCATTGCGTCGTCAATAGTGAAGGCGTATGGCGTAGATGTCGAGGCCAGGGAGAACACGCTTCAGACAATCGAGCCGGTCCTCAATTTCGCCAACGATGTCTTGTTCGCCCTGCCGGCCCAGTCCATTTCCAAGGCGTGGGCGAGTTCTTCCGTTTCAGGAACAGAGGCATTCCTCTGTCACTTCAATTGCCCGAATCCGTGGGACGGCCCATGGAAGGGATACTCTACTCATATCTTAGATATCGCCTTTGTGCTAAACAACTACAACGGTCTGCTATCTAGTGGCCAGGCCGAGTGCGCCCAAAGATACGCGCGAGACATTATTAGCTTTGTCCACGGCGATAGGCCCTGGAAGGCGTTCAGCCAGGGCCCGGAGTCTGGCTCCATGGTTTATTACGCGGGAGAAACGAGCACGGAGGACGAATCCAAGTATGTTGCGGGGCTGCTCCGGAGGAGGTGGGCAGAAGAGACTATTTGCAAAGGATTATCAAGGAATCATTGTTTGACAAGTTGTTGGATGTCTGGCAGATGTTTGTAGCTAGCGGTAAGCATTGAGAACGACATGTAGCTAGAGATTACAATCGAAAATATACAAAATGATAAAGAAATAACCAGCCACGCGCTTGGCTTAAGCTGGAAGAACGCATGAGCAACACTGCCGCGGAGCCACAACGTCCGGAGACAGGCTGGCATCCTATCTAGACGAGATTGTATGGAAAGTGCCATAGATTCCATCACGCACTCGCTGAGAGGTTCAGGAGTGTCAAGCGCAAGTATGAGTGAATAACTAATTTGCTGGCGAACACGATCCTCGGGGTCAACCCGGGCGGTAATTCCTAGCCCCATCGGTTAGATTAAGTCAATGGGACAGGGCTACAGCTCTATCCCGCTGTTGTGGGTTCGGAAATAGATGGCGGCTATTACTCCGTGTTATCGCCGCCACCCTTCGCCTGGTCGCCCGGCAGGCGGGGACATATTTTGTCCATAGGCTCCAGCCCCTAATGAGCCATCGCAGTCCCAGCAATCATAATAGTAGATAAAACATGGTAACAACGACTAAGTAGGAAACGTGTTTATAATTGACCAACATCAACTGGCCTCGAGTAAGAGCTTCGTGACCATTCAGCTAACTACATTCCCTCGCAACCCACCATGTCTCTCCCATCCACACAAAAGGCCGTCGTCGTCGAAAAGGTCGGGGCCCCGAGGTTCTCGACTTTCGCACCGACCACCCCATCCCTACGCCTCAAGATGGCCAAGTTCTCGTCAAGAACACGCTCTCAGGAATCAACTTCATTGACACGTACTTCCGTACGGGCCTCTACCCTTCTCCCAAGCCCGAAGTTCTCGGCAGGGAAGCCGTCGGAGTCATCGTCGCGCTAGGCCCCAAGGCCGAAGAACACAACTTCAAGGTCGGCGACCGGGTAGTGTGGCTAGGCAATGGGGCGTACGCCGAGTACTCGGCCGCGCCCGTGACCCAGATGATGAAGCTCCCCGCCACGCTCTCGGACGTCGACGCCGTGGGCAGCTACCTGAGCGGGCTCACGGCGCTGGCGCTCGTGCAGGAAGCGTACAAGGTAAAAGCCGGGGACTGGGTTCTCCTGCACGCGGCGGCCGGCAGCACAGGCATCCTGATGACGCAGATCCTCAAGGCGATCGGGGCCAAAGTCATTGGCACGGCCGGGGGGCCGAGAAGACGGGCTTCGTTCGGAGCCTCGGCGCGGATCACGTCATCGACTACCGCAGCGAGGCGGGCAAGGACTGGGTCAACGAGGTCAAGCGCGTCACGGGGTCTCAGGGCGTGGACGTGGTCTACGATTCGGTGGGCAAGGATACCTGGGAGGGTGACCTCGAGGTCGTCAAGAGGAAGGGCACTATTGTGTGGTTCGGGAATGCCAGCGGTCCGGTTCCGCCACTCCCCTCAAGTAAGGCGGAAACTGTCCCAATGATGCTCACCCCTGCTCCCCCTTTCCCCGCAACCACCCCGGCGATGCCGTACCCCGCGGCTTTATCCCCCCGCAAGCTAACACCTTTGTCGCTAGTCTGCTCTCCAAGAAGTGCGTCAAAGTAGCCCGTCCAACCCTGTTCGGGTACATTGCGACGCGGGAGGAGTTTGAGCACTACGCCAACGAGCTATTCCGCTTTTTAATGTCCGGGGAGCTGACCGTCAAGGTGCATGCCACTTATGGGCTGGGCGAGATCCAGCAAGCACACAAGGTGAGAACCCGACGATAGGATCACCCTTCCCTATGTTGAGTGCGGCGTGTTTCTAGATCCTTTGAATTACAGAGCTAACTTATGGCGTACGCACGCACTGTAAAAAGGACCTAGAGAGCCGTAAAACCATAGGGAAGACGATACTCAAGCATTAAGGTAGGATAGGGAAGAATAGATGGATCTATAGTAGCACTAGAGATGGGGGCAGGATGAATTATGGCAATTCCACACGATGGTTACAATTCAGCGAAGGGATGTAGAATTATGGAATAGACTCTACAAAATCACTTGCCAAATCAACTCAGTCGTTGTTCAATAAACCCAGTCCTCAATAATCAAACACCTTCACCTCACGCTTCGCTTCACAGAAGATTCAGAAACATGGTAAACAAGAGTCCATCCTCGCGATCCCCTCAACCGACGAGATTGTATTGGTCATCCTGTCCTCCGGGTTCTGGTCGCGGGCAAAGACTTGACCTGTAGCAAAGAGCTAGAGCTCTTATCTCCACCAAATGACCCTCGCCAGATTACGATAGCGCGAGCCGTCCCCGGGCTAGGCCGGATGCTGCGAAAGGCCCCCGATTTCGGTTTAGAATGGACCCCACCGCCCTCCTTCTTGCGGCGATATGGCTGGTCCTGAGCACTGACTCACGAATCGCAGTGGCGGGGATAAGGCGGCTTTCCCGTCCGCATCCGCAATCTCCCGGCAGCGGCCCACTTTGTCACCCAACACAGCACCAACCGCGACGATTTTGCGGGGAGGTGTCCGTCCCGCGCACGCTGATAAGGCGCCTTATCAACAATTGGAAATATTGAGTCGTTGAGGCAAGGTCCAGCTGCCGGGAGGAGATACGCTACGGGTCGCAGCGGGGGAGAGGGATAGCCACGGCTTAGAGATGTGGTTTCGGATATCCGATCAATCTCATCATACGAGTGGTGCTCCGGTACCGTATCTGCTCTTTGGGCTCGTCGCTCAAAGGCCGCGATATCATATTAAGGCCATGCAGCGCCATTTCCCTAGCAAGATGTGATCTAGAACTTGGTTCAATATACCCCATATTCCAAATTCGTGAATTTTGCGCACACTATACCTAAACCCATCAGAGATCAATTATCCTGCACTCTTGATTGAACAACCGGCCTTTGCATCTTTCTATACGCACCTCGAATATCCTGCAAGTTGTCGCGTTCGTGTGCGTGTGCACACACCATCACCATGCCCAGCCAAATTTCCATCACAGAGGCGCCGACATCGTAAGTTCAACATGACCGGCACAAACGCGCGCATAACCCGATCCATGCCATTCTTTTCTTCGCACATCTATGACTAACCCAAATCCGCAGACAAAGCCAAAGCTGGAGCCAAGATGACCTCAGGACAAAATTCACCTACGCCCTCTCCGAGATGTACAGATCCGAGGTACCCTTATACGGAGACCTCCTCAAAATCGTCCGCAACGTGGACGACTCCGTGCTGCGGCAGCAGGGGCTCGCCCGCCGCGACCTCCCCGTGAGGCACAACCTCGAGCGCCACGGCGCCATCAGGATCGGATCCGACTCCGAAATGCGCGTGATCAAGCGCCTATTCTCTGTCCTCGGCATGCAACCCGTCGGCTACTACGACCTCACCGTCGTGGATTTCCCCTGCACGCCACCGCCTTCCGCCCCGTCTCGGAAGATTCCCTGTCCAGCAACCCCTTCCGCGTCTTCACCTCCGTGCTGCGCAAAGACCTCCTCTCCGCCGAGACGCGCGAGACGGTGGAGAGGGTGCTGGAAAAACGGTCCCTCTTCACGCCTCGCTTGCTCGAGATACTAGATCAGGCAGAGGCGAGCGGCGGGGCGGTGGCGCCCGAGGATGCGGATGTTTTCGTGACGGAGAGCTTGAAGATTTTCAAGTGGCACGCGCAGTCGACCGTCTCGCTGGACGACTACCTCAAGTTAAAACAAGAGCACCCCATGATCGCCGACATTGTCTGCTTCCCCAGCGCGCACATCAACCACCTAACACCCCGTACGTTAGACATCGACCTCGTGCAGGAGGCCATGATAAAACGTGGTCTGCCCGCCAAAGAGAGGATCGAGGGACCCCTAGGCGCAGGTGCCCCATTCTGCTGCGTCAGACGAGCTTCAAGGCCTTGGAAGAGCCCGTAAGTTTCCCTAGCGTCGCCGGTGGGGTTACGCCCGGATCACATACGGCGCGGTTCGGTGAGATTGAACAACGAGGCGCCGCGGTGACGCGTCGGGGTCGGGATCTGTACGACGAACTCCTGCGAGAGGTCACGGCACAGAACGCCGAGTCTGGGGCTAGCGACGACGTGGAAGGATTCGACCGGGTGTTGGCCAAGGTCTTTGAGGCCTACCCAGACGACTGGGATGAACTGAGGAGAAGGGGTTGGTGTATTTCGCTACCGCGTATCGGGAGATTACGATAGCAGCGCGAGCACGACATGCAACCGCGTGGATGATCTACTAGCACAAGGAGTCCTGGAATGCGAGCCCCTGACGTACGAGGATTTCCTGCCCCTCTCCGCGGCCGGAATCTTCAAGTCCAACCTGGGTGAGAACGTATCGCAGTCGCCCATCAGGGAGGCCGACAACAGCATGTCGGACCTGGAAGACATCTTGGGGTGTAAGATTATGAGCCAGTTCGACGTGTATCAGAAGCTTGAGCAGGAGAGCCTCGACCGGTGCGCGAAGGAATTGGGCCTTTCTCAACTGTTGCTGGAGTAGGATTCTTGATGTAATGAAATGGACCTTTGTTATGATTCCCGCCATTTGCCGTATGGCATGGCGATATTTTACGGTTAGTTTAGAAGTTAAGAGGCCGTTGGTGATGATTGCTGGCCAACTGGTAGCCGTCGAGTTATGAACCGAGGAATCGGTGTAATGTCCACGATTAAGTGCAACGCCCGCCCTGGGAAACGTCTCGACGTGGGATCAGCACACGGGCCATCGCTGGAAAGTGAACAATTCACCATTCTTTGGCTGTTGCTTAAACATGAGGTTCACGATAGAACCCTACCCGGGGATTTACTCATTTGGAGCCGTTCCAGCAGGTGCTCTCAAGCTAACGATTGACAAGGTTTCCTTGACAAGGTTTCCTTGGCTCTCCGAGTACATGTAGATTTTGACCAGGACTAATAAACCCGGGTTGTCTCCGAAACCGTGTAAAGGTTGCCACTGTCGGATCATCAGGCCCAGTCTTGTGTCCACAGAATACAGAATTTTCACTTGCTCCCTACACCATGACGCAAACCTAGTTATTGTGGGATTCGCTTTGCACCTAACCCCCAGGGCTGTCCCTTGTCTAAGTTTGTAGCAATCTTAGAGGCCTTGCTCTAAAATTATACCTAGATATGCGCGATGCTCGTCCACTCAATCTTACCCAAATCAATTCAATGTTGTCTTATGACGCCCGAGAAAACCCAAGAAGCTCGAAGTAGCGCACTGTAAACAGGGTCGAGCACGCCCAGGTTCAGGGACTGTTGGCCCCCTTCTCAAAGAAACCCACTATCGATTACCGAGGCACTTGAAAGGGACTAGCGAGTTGGGGCGCAGATCGCGGGGTTGCTTGGGACAGACTAAACCACCCGACAGCGAACAACTTACCCCGGAAGCCCCAGAAACTCCCTAGGGACCCGGACTACAAATGAAAATTAGCCTTTTTCCCCCAACCTGCATTCTGCAACCAAGTGTCTCTTGCCTTTCCCTCTTCCCTATCCCTCCCAACTCCACTCTCCGTCGACAACTCAGGTTTTGTCCGGGACACCACACAACACTAACCATGCCCACCACAGCCTCAGAACCGCCCGCCAAGCGAGCCCGCCCTAACGAGGACGAGCCTTCGCCGGGTCCCAGTAAAGGAAGCTCTCGCGTAAACGTGCCGCCCTCGCCTGCGAGGAATGCCGTTCCCGTAAGAGGCGGTGTGATGGCGCTATCCCGGCGTGTGGAGGCTGCGCCAAGAGACTCACAACCTGCGTCTACTCGTCCGAGGTCGAGGCGAGAGCGTGGAACTTGAGGTACGACGACGCGTTCCCGTTTCCGTGAATTTTGGTTTTTTTTAAAAACAGTTTTGTGTGAATTGCTAAACAATTGCACGTTTGTAGCATGATTCAATCTCTACGAGATCAGCTGCAAGAACTCGAGGCAAGTGAAGCTTCAACTAAAGATATCGCCAACCCTCACCCGCGAGCTTCGGTGCCCGCCCCTGTCGACAACTATAATACAAGCGTGCAACCGCCGCCTCCACTGCCCGTTGAACGCCGGACCTCTGCTTCGACGACCGGCTTATTAGATGCCACCCCCGATCAGACCCTGCACAGCGCCATCAGTCCCCGGACCGCCCCAGCAATCATCCACATCGCCGACAGCTCCCCCACCACCGGCGCCCCGTTCCCTCGATCCTACCTTGTCCCCGCAGCCGGCACCCGCCAAACCTCCTACCCTTCACCGCGCTCGCAGACATCGGCCGTCGGCAACCGAGCCCCGTCGTGCGACTACTTTGAGCCCAGTGGCTTTGAAAAACTCATGAAGCCCGTCCAGTCCGACGTCGAATCCTTGCATACCCTGCTCCCCGTCTCCTCGCTCCCCATGACCAGCGGCACCCACAACCAGGCAGAAGAGTGCGCTTGCGAACGCCTCCTGGACGCCGAGCGATGGCGGTTGCCGCCGCGCCGCGTGGCCGACGGGCTCATCGCCGTGTATTTTTCCCGCGTCCACCGGGCGTACCCCATCCTTCATCAACCCACATTCCAGAAACAGTACAACCAACTGTGGGAGTCCAGCACCCACGGCGCTGGCGCGTCCGCCCCGACTTGCTTCGGCTTGTGCAAGCAACGGAGCCGTGGGAGGCTCTTCCCGTTCACTCTGCACGCCATATTCGCCCTTGCCACGCTCTTCGGCTCCGGCCAGCTCGAGCAGAATGCGACCAGAGCCGACGACTTCTTCCGCGACGTGAGGGGCTTGGACCTCATGACCATGCTGAATAACCAGGTCGGCATCGAGCTAATACAGCTCGGGCTCCTTATGGGCTTCTATCTACAGGCGACCGAGAGGTTCTCGCAGTGCTGGAATATTTCCAGTCTCACCATTCGCCTGGCGAGAAATATAGGACTCAATGTTAGCATCGACGAGGCACGTCGTCGGGGCCTCATTTCTCGCCCGACCCAGCTGGAATGCGAGATGCGTGCTAGAGTATGGTACGGCTGCGTACTGCTGGAGAGGTATGCTTGAACCCCCACGAAATGTTAGGTACGAAGATGTAAACGCTAACTGGCTCCGAGGAGAGGTCTCAATGTGCTTTGGCCGACGACTAACCAACACCACAACCGAGAAACAATCCATTGCCTTACCACAGGCCATCGACGACGACCTGTTGGGCGACGTTGAGAATACGTGGAACTTGCAAACACCAGGCATGCCAAGCCTTCTCGAGGCGTACATACAAACCATCAAGCTGTACAACATCCTGGGCCAAGTTCTCGACGACGACGAATCCTACGAGTCCATATTCCATCGCAACGGGACCAAGTCATCCTCCGAGTCGTCCCTCAACTTCAACGCCCTGCTCGATCTCGACGCCTCGGCCACGCGATGGAGGGACGCTCTGCCCCCGTATCTGCGCTATGAACCCCCAGGTAGCCCTGGCTTAAACTCGAAAGCCGCCGCGGCCAACGGCCCCAACGATCATGGCCCAGATTTCGCAGAACAAGCAAAGAGGCTGCACCTAAGGTATGTCGCATTCCCCTAGTCTTCTGTCACCCTTCCAGGCGCCGGATTGGCCTGTTTTATTCGGAACTGACAAATGACAACTAGGTTTCTGCACACTCGGCTCCTCATCCAAAGACCCGCGCTTGACCTCTTCTTCCAGAGGCAAAAGCGCCAAAGAGCCAACGGCACGAGGCAAGAGCCCCCGGAACTCGCCCCTCTCGAGGATCTGATGCTCCGAAACGTGGCTCCGCAGTGTCTCCTTGTTTCTCAAAAGATGGTCGAGTTTCTTGACGAGCAAATCCGCTCTCGCGATTTTATCGCGTGGTGGTACAATGTAAGCTGTAAGTACATGTAGACGCTAATAAATGGCGATGACATCCCCGTCCCTAAAAGTTCACTGTCGGGCCGAGTATTGACCTTGCCTCCCCCATCCCAGATCTGCATAGCGCTGCCAGCACACTCTTTGTCGGCCACCTATGCAGGGGTATCGACGACATAATCTCCGCCTCAGCCCTCTCCGCCAGCTATGAGCTATCCGTTCAGTGTCTTTCCCGCTATACCAGCCTGAGCAGCATCGCGAAAAAGTCCGTCCAGCTCCTCCGCGAGGGTTCGAAACGTCTATTCCCCAGGCGCGCCTATCCCAAAACTCCAGCGAACAGTGGCACGCCCGCCAGATCCTGCGCCGAGCTTCACGGCAGCAGCTCACAATATCAGCGCCCAAGTGCCGGGCACCCTGCAGAAGTTGGCTACCTCGGTGGGCATGTCCCCGAGCCCTCTGGAACAGGCGTCAGCCATGGGGTTAGGGATAAATGCAACTCGTGCAGAAGTCAAAGGCCAACGCCGCAGCAACATTGGGGTGCCGATAGCATTGGCGGCATGGCGCCTGACATTCCTAGCGCCGGGAGTTTTACCGATGAGCTGTGGGACGTTGATCTATCCCAATCGACATCGTGGCTGCCCGGGCCCTTTATACCGCACTGGGATAATTTCATGCTTAGTGCTGAGGCTGCGATGCCCATAGATTAAGCACCAGCGGCTTGGAGGCAAGGTTTTGTGGAGTTTTATCGTGTATTGATCATCAATGAAATGAAATGGATTCATGTATGTGTATAATTCATAGCTGCGAATACTATGGTGCTAATAATGTACCACGTTTTCTTTCCTTTGCGTTTTTTACGCCATATTTCCTCACACATTTCCTGACACACCCTGTCGTAATCTCAGATCTCAAGAAAGTTGACAGAGCCAAAAATGTTGCATTACAGATTATATATAGCGCACATATCTACTGCAACCATTGACGGAACCACATCACCGACGCGTTCTTGGCCCTCTCCATGCCCTCCTTCTCCCCCGCTTGCCCGGATCCCCCGCACAGCAAACCCGTGCTCCAACCCCGGAAAATGCTGATAATCGTACGCCACGCCCAACGTAGGAATCACAGCGTTCGCAAAACGCCTTGAGATCCGGCGTGAACTGCGGATCGATCTCCGGCGCGAGGATCTGCACGGGCACGCCCACCTTTTCCATCTCCTCGCGCTCGAGGAGCGTCGGGTGCGCCACGGACACGCAGTCGACGAGGCCCAACCCTTTGGCGGCGAGCTGGAACGCGCCCCAGCCGCCGTAGCAGAACCCCATGATCCCCGTGCGGGGGTGGTTGGATTTCATCTCCGCGGCGCAGGCGAAGATCTCGGGTGCTCTCACGTCCTTGGCGTTGCGCTTCAGGAAGGAGGGGAGGTCGAGCTCCGCCCAGCGGCTTTGGTCGTTCAGAATTTCTACTGGGATGCTTTCTCCACCGAAGCTGAATATCCGATTTTGTGTTGGTTAGCCGATTCAAAGGAATTTTGCAGGTGGAAGTTTGAAAATAGTAACTAACAAATCAGGCACGTAGACTGTTGCACCAATCTCGGCGGCGTAGTGGTCTGCCAATACCCGCGTATTCGAAAAGGTCCACCCGAACAGGTCGTGAATGATCATGACAGCCGCATTCTGGTTCGAGCCCGTGATGTAGCAATCCCGGCCAGCGAGCTTACCCTCCCTTCCTTTGGGTGCGGCGTCCCACTGAAAGCCTCGAACGCAGCAGTCACCCATGACGAATAAAGAGCACTGAGGCCTCGGAAATGAAACGGAAATAATGCAAGTAGTTGGCAGCAGTTGGCACGCTTGAAATCTTGTGGTGGATCAACGACTCTGGTAGGTTGGTAGCCCTTTCAAGAATGGTGGGATATGGCTTCGTAATCAGCTGATGCAGAATACATCTATGCAATGGTAGCAGAACTGGACAAACCGCCCATGGATATACTTCTGTGAAGAATTCTGGGAGACATGTATCAAGTGATCCATGTTGTGGGGGAACAGCCGACCGAGCCGGGGAAGGCCCCGGTCCTGTTCTCCCGCCTTAACTCCACATGCCGCCGAATCGCCGCCTGAGCCCCGCGCACAGTCCCCGCCGCCTTTCCAAAGTCATGAAATAAGTGTAAGCTAAATGGAAGAAAAGACTTTCTGTCGCTTTAAACCTCTTAAGAAAAATCAGGGTGAGCGTCACTTGTCACTAAATCGTCCGTAAAACCGGGCGAATATAGAGTTGTGGAAACAGTTAGTCCGGGGCTGGAGCCTTGCCGTCTTCAGTCCGGGAGCTCCGTAGCCACATACGTACTGTCTAGAGGCGCCAAGATATCACCAACTCCCATTAATCGTTTCATACACAGAATTCTTTCGAATGATGTCTGAATACATAGTAGGCTGTTCAATGAGTGGAGTCATTTTTCACGAGTAATCTGATGGCTTCCTCCGACATTTAGTAAAGTTTAGTCATTGACACGTAACTGCAGTAATATATACAATGAAAAAGAGTCTTGTGTAGACAAGAGTATATATACCGGAAGAGAAATTGCTTGGCTTGAAAACAAACGTAGCATGGGGGTATCATCCTGCAAAGCCCAGCCGCCCCGCGGCCGAGGTAGCTTTCCCATCAAGTCCAGATCCGCCAGCCACTCGTCACCTACCATCGTATGGGCCCTACCTGTCCCAGATCGCAGCGGTTTCACGCCTTCTCCTCGCCGGCGGCAACATGGGTTTTCTTGGGCTTGAAGCCAACCATGGCCTTGATCTCTTGCCAAAACGTAGTAGGCGGCTCCTCGATCATCATGCGCTCTTCGTACGCGTCAATGATGGGCCTGTCCCAGACGAGATCACACTCTTCCGGCTTGACGAATTTGGTCCGCTTGAGAAGCTTCCATCCCACAAACATGAGAGGCGCGAGGATCTGCATCGTGTAGTTGGAGAAAAAGCTTGTAACGTCAAACGGCGCCAGCGAGGTGTATCCGTAGGTGTACACGACAATTATCTGCAGGACGAGGGCGATCCAGGCACCGTAGGGCTGGAAGTATCCGTAGTAAGGCAGAGTCTTTCGATCGAGGCCCTGGACCTTGCAGGCACGGTAGAAGAAGAGAAAGGTGATGCTCATGGAGATGTAGTCGACGATTCCGCCTCCCGTGATGAGGGATAGAAGAATGCTCAGCGCCTCGGCAGAGCTGCTGTCGAGCTGGAGGAAGGAGAGGAAGGGGAAGAGCATGGTGACGCAGAAGCAGTAGATGGGCACGCCCTTCTTGGTCGTCTTCCGGAGGAATGCCGGGGCGCGGCCCTCGAGCGCGAGGCTGTACAGCGAGCGGGTGGCGCAGTACACGTAGGTGTTGCCCGCGGAGAAGATGGTGGTGAAGAGCAAAGCGTTCACGATGTGGGGAGGACACCGATCCCCATGTTGGTCATGGCAATCACGTAGGGGAGGCGGCCGCGGTGGCACCGCCGCCGCCCTCGAGGTGGATCTGCACGAGAGCCGGGTCGTTGTGGGCGACGACGATGCCGCAGGTCAAGGCGGCGCCGATGAAGAAGAGGCCGAATCGGAAATAGACGGTCTTGAAGGCGGTCTTGATGTAGACGCTGGGGTGCTTGGCCTCGGCGGCGACCATGGAGATGTAATCGGGGCCGACGACGAAGAAGGCGACCGAGGCCAGGGCGCCCATGAAGCCCTCGAGGCGGCCGAGGTCGCCCAACGTGCGGTAGGTGGCGAAGGCGTCTTGGGGGTCTTTCCAAAAGCGGAAGCCGTAGGCGTCATGCTGGGGTTGCCGCCGACCATGGTCACGAAGGTAAAGCCAAACAGGATGAAGATGAGCAGGACCTTGCCGACGGAGAGCCAGAATTCGGCTTCACCAAAGACACCGACGGCGAGCACATTTAGTATACTACAAGAAAGAAGAAGAAAAAGAAGACATAGTTTAGCACGGTGGTCACAAAGAAGAAGAGGGAGAAGAGGGGGGTATGGGGAGGGCGGTAAAGTTGACTTCACATGACACCATTTTCCGGGAGGAGAGGGGGTAAAGGGAGCGGGGGTTATCTTCCTTTGGTCATGGACATCTGTACTAGTCAACTCACGTCTGGACATATTCTTACCCGTAAACGATGATGATGGCGGCGCAGAATCCGGCGGTCGGCCCCGGTTTGGTGATTTCGTCGCTCCAAAAGGATAAGACGAGGTTGAGGGCCACGATTTCAAAGGGGATCAGGAGAGCCTCGTACAGGAAGAAGTTCCAGCCGACCATGAAACCCATAGCGTCGTCGACCCATTCGCCGGCGAGCCGAAGGAAACCACCCGATACAGGCATGTAGGTGCTCATCTCGGCGATGGAGTTGTTCACGAGGGCCAAGACGGCGGCGTAGAGCACGGTGCAGACGAGCAGGCTTCCGGCCCCACCTTTGGCCAAGCCGGCGCCGATTCCGATGAAGAGGCCCGTGCCTATCGAGCCTCCGATGGCGATGAGCTGAATTTGGCGGTTATTGAGGCGGCGTTGTAGACCGTCCGCATTTTCGCAGTGGTCGTGGGTCGATACGGAGCTGGGGCGGGGCTGGCGGAGAGGAAGCTCTTCTTGCTCCGAAGACTCGGAAGACTCCGACCAGAAGTCATTGTGTCGGACGGGCGTGGAGCACAAAGTCGGGGGAGGTGGAACGGTTCGGTTGATCGGGAACAAGTCTCTACAACCTATATGTACAGATCGTGACCTGGGGGTCGTGTTTAGTTGAGGACTGAAGGCATATAGACTTTGCCAAGACACAAAAGTTGGAGGAAAAGGAGAGATGGTGAAGAGGTGGAAACAGAGAAAACGAAGAAGTGAGGCAAAAGGTGGGCGACTAAAGAGGGCGAACGAGTTATATGAAAGAGGACTCGGGGATCCCAAGGGATAATGATCGACACGGCGCTCGGGGTTTCGAAAAGATCTTGTTGTCCGAAAATCGAATGGATGGAGAAAAAAGGCGACGGCGCCGTTCCCCATGCAGGCACACTATTCCAGGGTCCTCTCCGAGATGGTGGGGGAGGCGAGGGCGAGAGAGAAAAAAAAAACCAGAGTAAGCCGGAGGTGCAACTGAACCTCGTACGTCATCGCCGTGGTATTTTCAACGCCAAGAATTGTACGGAAAATATGGGCGATCGGTGGCTCCACAACCCACGCTGATCCAAAACATGGGTGGAGAGGAAGCCCACCAAGAGTTGCTTGCTCAATTTCTTGGGCATTCCCCTTTTCTTTGCCGGTTTGGCGAAGGGGCATACATCCTACGGCCAATTTGATCGAGGGAGGAGGAGGAAAGAGGAGCCGTCTGTCTTTTACAAATCGTACCTGACTCCCTCGTGCCTCATATTCGCCTGCCCCCCACCACCAACTATTTGCTTACAACGACAACCTTTTCCAAGCCGCCGGATTCGAAAACAAGGTTCCGCTGGAAGCATAAACCCGGTGTGAAGTTCGATGGCTTCCTTCCCACGCCACGGACTGCCGAAGAATTCTAGGCGTTCTTCCCTGCCTGCTGACCGGAGAAGACTGGTTATACGCAAGTCCCTTGCCCGGCCCCAATCGGAACGCGCAGCACGAAAAGTGACGTCGTCGGTCCGCCGCTGTGGAGCCGGTTCAACCCTCGACAACGCCGCCCCACCGAAAGCGGACCCGGTGAAATGTCAGAGTTTTTCCAATGCCCCCAAACTCGTTCGTTCTGGAGGCAGGGCCCTTCCTTCGTTCGATGCGCATATACTCCGCAACTCCTGCGTTTCCAAAAATGGTGAGTGGGGAGAGAGAGGGTCCGGCATCCTGGTCTCTCCAGGGCGTGGTGAGGCAAAAGGACCAAAATGGCTCCCTTTTTTCCCCAGTTCGAGAAGTGGATGTGCTACAGGGGAGCCGGACAACGGAAACCGGCGCTGCTAGATTTCCGCTTCTTCTTGGTCAGGGGTCGTTGCCCATTTTTGTCCCCCTTCCACCTTGCTGACCCCACGTCATTACTCTTCGTATTGATACACTCGTCGTGCTCGTCGCGCCGAAGAAATGATGGTAAGCCTTTCCCAGAAGCCCGCAGCAAAGCGTCCGGCATCCAACGTTGAAACCTTCCCGGCCACGCGACAGTGGCAAAATTCTATTCACATTCGGCTGACCATCGACAACCTTCTTTCAGTTAACCTTCTCCAATGTTGGGCACAACCCCCAGGAATTGTTTTCCCTGTAGGTGGATAGAGGATCCGGCTTAATCGCGCCGTCATACCACAACCCATCCTTCTGACTTCCCGAAGAACCACAAAACAGTTGCGTTGTGAGGAAAAGCAGAGTGATGGTGGGAGACCCTCGACCAACACGGCGCTAGGCTTCATTTGCAGTCTCACCATTTCCAGGCCTCTTGGCACGCAACTCGCGGTTAGTGAAAATTGTCCGGAATCCAGACCTTCCATCTGTCTTCCGAGATACCCGGCCTAGTCCCTTTTTCCTCGTGTGGTCCTGCTCCGATCAGTAACATTCATTGATTGGCCATGACAATCCTCTCCAAACTTGCCTCTGGTTGCCGAAGTTATCCGGCGCCACAGATCCTATGCCCGCCCAGCCACGCCGTGCCCCGCCACACCAAAGACAGACCAGTCCGGACCAAGCCGAAAGAAGCAATTCGTGGCGACCATGGATGTACACTGGCTCCGCATGCTCACAAATCGGGCCTGACTTCTTGGTCAATTGATAATACCTTTTTTCCCAAGACAAATCCCTTTTTAGTCATTGGTCCGCTTCTTCGCGACTTGAGTTCGACATGGAAGCGAAGCCAGTTATAACCATCTACGTAGAGAGGCACATTCTCTTGCTTCACACTATACGACAAACATGGCTGGTGCCATCAATGAGGCCTCACTTCTTCCCGAATTCATCAAGAGTGATGCCTGCTGCTCTCTCACCGCTATGGGCGAAGAGGAGATTTGTTTAAATTCCTCCTTCGTTTGCCCGAATAACTGGTCTGACAAAGCTCATACAGGTCCATTGTTCAAGATTTTGACACGACGCACGTGAGATGCTGCGGCATAATCCCAAGTGGCGCCTTGCCGGAGCATCATCATATCACAGACTACGCTTAACGTATGGCCCACTCTCCAGCTGTCAGGCCAGGAGTGCGTTTCCTCTTCCACGCATCGAAATCTCTGAAGCGATTCGAGCTAATGCCGCAAGATCCCTATCGCGGGCCGTGGCCTTGAATATAGCGCAGCACGAGGTGGCTTGACCCTCCGTCCCCTATGCTTGCGGCAGCCCAAGGTGCAGGACGCGTGCCAAGGCCTAAAGCCGGTCCTCACGCTTACGTGCAGTGGCCATTCTCCGCCATGCAGCAGTGCGGACCCAATAGACCGAAGTTGATCCATGGCAGCTCTCACAATTGCCGGACCCTTATGAGACGAAGGGACAAAAGGGACTATAAGCAAAAGTATATAAAAATAAAAGACTGATGTAATATGCCCAGCGCAGCTTCAGCATACATGTATTAATAGATGCATTTTCCATGCCGCATTACAAATGGAAAATCTTGTCCATATCGTGGGCTTCAGCGGAACCGCGTGGCCGATTCATCGGGTGGAGCTTCCCTCACAGAGAGTTCACATGCGGGCCATCGGTGCTTGGTTGCCAACGCCGCCCCGCAGATCGTCCCCTGATAAGATCATCCTCACAAAAGACAAAACACAAAAAGTAAAGAAAAGAAAATAAAAGAGTTAGAGTTGGCAACCTGAAAAAGTCGTGTTTCCTTTTTCCTTCTCGCCCAATCTTGCACTTCTCTTCCGCCTGAGACGGAGAGATCGGACTAGCGCCCATCTATCCGGACAAGCGCATTCTGCGGCATCTGCATTATTAAGCACCCTCCGATGAGCGATGAGGTGTCCCTGATGCAAACCTCGGTCGAATGATCTAAGGCCGCCAGCGGCGGAGCTCCAGAGCTTGGCTCCACTTCAGCCAAGTGAGGGGCAAGCTCCCCTATAAAGAGCTCCCGAGAGCTGCAATCAGCTCATACCACAAACTGCCGCTCCCTCGCCTCACTCCTTTGCAACGCACATTGAACCCCTTTTTTTTATAAATCCAAGAATACCCATCGCGACCCTTCGCCCCCAGACACCATGGCCACCGTCACCATCCTGTACGAGTCCGGACCCAAGTTCGACGTCCAGTACTACATCACCAAGCACTTTGCCCTTGTTGAGGAGTAAGGTCCCGCCTTCGCAGCTGCCGTGAAATGCTTTGGCCCGCGCACCCGCTAACCCGCCCCTCTTCCCTCTTTCTTCGCAGGAAATGGGGTCCCTTGGGCTTGTTGAGCTGGGAAGTTGTCGAGTTCGAGGAGGGCTCGCCCTATCAGATACAGGCCACTACCAAGTGGAAGTCCATTGAGGCCTTCGAGGCCGCGGCTGGTAACCAGGAGGTGATGGCGGCGGTGATTGGCGACGTCCCTAACTATACGACGGCGAAGCCTACCTTCCTGAAGGGCAAGACCGTGGGGTCCAAGTTGTAAAGAGGAATCATTCTGTCTGCCTACTCTAGTTTAATATGAGTCTTAATGTCGCGTATCCACCGATGGTAGCGTTCAGCACATCAACGCACTTGAAGCCACCCTTTAACAGATATCCGTGGATAGGCCCATGATTCTCGAGCCAACGACTCTAGTCTTCGTTGGCCCCTAGGTCCACAGATGCTACGCAAGCGCTGGTCCGATTTGACTTGATCTTGGTCAACGGACAGGTGGTAGTCCGTGGGGAAAATGGTAATCATCAATCTCGTCTAGTTGGCTCTGTAGAGGTCCATCCAGTGCCGACTATAGTAAGCGTCAACCCTCATTCTTGTGACAGCGCTCCGGGCTATATACCTCTTGGGTCTACAAGGGTACTGTGTGTCCATCAAAGCATATTGATAATGCGCTTTCTTTGGTCGATCTCTCAGCGACACCGATGCATGTTACTGCCCAACGCGACCATAGCCCTCAACAACCGTACCGAGCGGCCGTGCGACTCGGCCTCTTTTTCCGTTGAGATTTCGCGAATCCCGACCCTCGGTCGTCTCGAGCCAGAACCAACTCCCCGAATGACGTGTACTCCTCGCTCATGGTGAATTCTCAGCGTTTGCTCCCTCAAGCCTTGTCTGCAATTGCGTATCTCTCGACGATCGAACCAGCGTAGCCACCAAAAGTCACCTTATTCCCTGATTTTCAAGGTAATCGCTACCCCGCTACTCCATTGTGGGGGAGGGGAGGAGATCGATCCGATCGGCTAACCCCGAAAAGAAATTGCTGATCTCAGTCGCGCTAAATCCAACAACTACCAGCCCAGGAATCACCACATTTTACCAGACCATCTGTTCAATGACCCCTTGCCGCCCTGTCTCTGCAGCCACGCTGTATATTGGCGCAAGATATTGTCCGAAGACGCCGAATTTTCTCCCAGTGGTAGAGAACCATGCGAAAATCTGGCGGAGTGTTGATTGCGACGTAGGGCACAAGCGATGCGTCCGGGCGCACGCGCGTGTAGTTGCGGGTATCTAAATAACCTCGCGTTCCTCGGTCAGTCTAGTAAAATTCAATCTCGGATTTCCAAAAGAAGACCCAACAACACATGACACATCCTAGATATGGCACACTAATTGAATCACTTCTCTCTTCATGTGAAACACCCATGCCAAGACACTCCTCGTCCCAGAACCTGCCATGCCAAGATACAAGGTGACCGCCTCCCGAGGCTATCGGCGGTCGGCCCGTTGAGAAAATGCCGTTTGCTCCGAGACGGAGGAAGGCAGGAAGCGTAAACGACAGCGATGGATCGGACGGGGGAAAAACAAAATGGGAAGAGGATAATCTAGCATACGTGACACACCAATGGGGAAGAATGCGCACGCACCCACAGAACTTGGCACACTCCGCCAAGAATTTGTTTTTTTCTTCTTTCTCGAGACATGGTGCCAGAACGCGCAAACATGCAACACCCCGCGGCGAGGCCCGGCTTATGCGGCGGAACCTTAAAATCGGCCAGGGCGGCGGGTCCGTCCATGGCGGGGAGTGCGGACCTTTCCCAACCCGGAGAGATGGCTCGTGTGCCGCCCTCGCGCTAACCTCTTCTCGCAGCCCTGGAGAGCTCGGCTGAGACTAGGTCTTGCGGCCCCGAGGAAAACTCGCAGGGATAGAGACAGAGACATGTGAGCGAAGAACGAAATGAATGTCCATGATCTGGGGTTATTTTTCTTTTCCCTTGGGGACGCTAGGAGCACCTCGGGCGCTCGAGAAATGTTGAGCTGTATCCCTCGCTGCGTCTCCCTAGCCTGATGGCCTAGACCATTCGTGCCAAGTAACCTAGCTTCCCCTCGCGATAATCTCTCCATGCCGAGGGAGTGGCTTCCCGCATGTTCATAGCTGCAGAGAGCGCCACCATGTCCTCCAAATGTGGAATGATGGTGAGAGATGACGCGCCTTTTCCCCAATGGACCACCTGTTTGTTGCTTGGGGAGAACTCTCATGAGGTCTTAATTGGAGCTAGTTGGAGGTGAGGAAGCATCCTGGACCCTGGATGCGATTATTATATAAAGCCATATGATGTGCCCCAAGCTGCCAACAACTTGATTTTCACTCCATTATCTGTCACGCAACGTTTACGCCTGTAAACACTCCCAGTATTAACAGATATATAGGCGTCTATCTCGATCTTTACCCAACTCACTACCTAGCCAACCGAGGTAAACACCAGCCGCCACCATGACCTTAAGAGCGGTTTCCAGTAATTCGCTGCTGGCGCTCGGCCTCGCATTCTGCCTCGCCGGCCTAGTTCCCGCCCTACCCCAGCGGAGAGCGGACACGGAGACGAGCCCGTACGTGACGGAAGTATCCGACTACATCGACTCCATAAGCGAAGAGCTCTGGGAGATCAACACCGAGATCCACAGCAACCCCGAGCTCGGATTCGAAGAGGTGATTGCGCACCAGCTGCTCACGGATTATATGAGTGAGCAGGACGGGTGGACGGTGGAGCGAAGCGCGTACAATATTAGCACCGCTTTCGTGGCGGTCTTTGAGGGGAGCGGAGACGGGCCCGTCGTATCATTCAACGCAGAATATGGTTAGTACTCGCCCAAACTCGCTGCTAATTCCTACAGTAAAGAATCATAGAACACTTTTTTTTCTAACATTCCTTTCACCCTTATCGATAGATGCCTTGCCAGAGATCGGTCACGCGTGTGGACATAACCTCATTGCCGTAGTCTCCTCGCCGGAGCCCTCGCTACGGCCCACATCATGAGAGAGCACGAGCTTCCAGGAAGAGTGGTGCTCTACGGCACGCCCGCCGAAGAAGGTAAGCCCCTCACTTAATTGTTCTTGTCTTGTTATTTCTTCCCCGAGACAATTTTTTTCCCGCCTAGCCCTTCTTCGACACGCGCTAACCTCGTCCCAGGCGGCGCCGGCAAAGTCAGGCTTCTCGAAGCGGGAGCCTACGCGGACCAAGAAGTCGACATTAGCCTCATCTCTCACCCCTCCAACCTCGGCGACACCCCCTTCATGTCCACCACCGCCAACGAGAAGTTCTTCGTCGAGTACTTTGGCAGCGAGGCGCACGCCGCCAACTCCCCGTGGGAAGGCCTCAACGCCCAGGACGCCATCGTCCTCGCCTACAACGCCCTCTCCATGCTCCGCCAGCAGAGCGAGACCACGGAAATCATCCACGGCATCATCACGTCCGGCGGCTCCCGCATGAACATCATCCCCAGCTACGCCTCGGGCGAGTTTGGCGTGCGCGCCCCCACCACCGCCGCGCTGCAGAACCTCACCGAGCGCGTGCGCGCGTGCTTCGAGGCCGGCGCCCTCGCCACGGGCACCGAGCTCAACTTCACCATGCTCGATAACGGCTACGCGGAGATGATCAACAACGTGGTGCTCGCGCACTCGTACACTAACTGGTTCCAGGGGCTCGGCGGCGAGGTGGTGCCCGAGCAGATCGCCAGGGCCACGCAAGGCGCCGCCAGCACGGACCAAGGAAACGTGAGCCAGGAGATTCCGTCCATTAGCGTGCTCTTCCTCATCGAGAATGAGGATGGCTCGATTCCCGAGAGCGGCCCTCACACCGAAGGTTTCGAGGTGGCGGCTGGCACCAGGAGGGCCTTTGACAAGTCGCTCATGGTGGCCAAAGCTCTGGCCGGCGTGGCCTTGGATATCCTGACCGTTGACGGGCTGCTGGAAGCCGTCCAGGAGGAGTTTGAAAACACGGAAAGGGCCGCGCCCACGTATAATCATGGACACGGAGACGACCACGACCATTCCCACGATGGAGATTTGCATGATCACGCATATGGACACCGGCTGTGAAGAGGCTGTGAAGCGGCCTGGGCGTCATGTCATCCACGCGTGGCTCGTTTACCATTCAAAAATTCCTTTCCTGTTGTTCTTGAGAGACTTTTCTTTATCTGCACATAGACCAGTCTAGTTTAGCTACCTATCTTTGGATAGTGTGTAATAATGTTCCATGCCGTTTAATGCTACTACTTGGTCACACATTCATCTGCCTATTATTAACTTTGGTGCAGGTGATTTGCTGGCGAACTATTGAATTAACAGTTTCGATAGCCCGCCACGGCCGGTGGACTAGTACCTCATGGTCAAACCTTGTCCCCGCAAAATCAACAGGCTCCGGAGGAAAGCCCCCGAAATGCAAGGTTAAATGTAGTTCCATATCATTGATTAATCGGCATCCCTTGCTCTGTGCCAAAGTCAATACCAGCGCGCATAACTAACAGTTTGCGTCCTTGGGTGGCCTGAGTGGAAGGTCTACGTGGTAACATCTGAAGCGTTTCGCATGGCTGGTCTAGGGTTGCAGACACAAGTGTGATAAAATTCCTCAGCCACGTTTATCGCATCAATCAATTTTGGACTTCAAAATATCTCAATCTTCACCCCGCGTGGCTTCATTCTACTGCAGCTGGGCGTTTTGTGCTATTATTGGATGAAGTGGACTGGGGAATGCGCCGCCCAAGCCACGGCACACGGGCCAGACGCGGGAAGGATCCAGAGATGGAGATCGATTGATACCAAAGCTGCCTTGCCATTCAGCCCAGGCGGCTTGTCGGCTGAGCTGCATGGAAATTCTCCCCAGACCAACTGGGGCGGTAAATTCAGCCATAGCACCCATATCAGCTCGGGACTTCCTGGGCGAGCCATAGGATCTTGTGTCACACATCTATCTCATCGGGACCGCGAAAGGCGTGGGGGTCGTTCCAATCTGCCTTTTGCCGTCGAAGAAACGCCTAGGCTTTGTTGGTTATACCGCCGTGTTTCAAGATGAATGTTACGAAATGATTTTGTCGCACAGGAGGAAGGGGAAGGATCTGGCTCTACATGGACAAACGAACATGTACGAAAGGCAGGCTCCTTGAAGAAAAGCGCTGCCAGTGCCGCTTTAGCAATGCGACCCAGCAAATCCGAGTGCCATTTGGTGTTGACTCGGTGCTGGGTGGCGCCTCTTCAGTGTAACGCTTGAGGGGCGCAAGTGAGCGACCGGATGTTCCATACCGGACAGCAACTTGCGACGTTTGTTTCTTTGCAAGGCAAATGAAGAAGAGAGCTTCAAGGTTAAGTGAGTGCTCATTTGTCATGAATATTGGTTGATGCGTCCTAGCAAAGAGGATGTAGTAATTTGTTCTTTGCCGGAGATTGAGTGAAGGAATTGTGGCATGGCCTTGTGGATAGAATTTGGCGAGGAGAGGCGAAGCCTTCGATATCACCGTTTGACTAAAATAAAATACAGTATCGTTTATGTACACGGGTGGATGCGATTGATCAATCGAGGCTTTCTGTGCCACGATGAGTCCCCGAGCCGGGGTCAAGGACGGGCGGCAGCGCTAATCGAATCCTCCTCGGGACCGAGAGCACGTCTCTCGATCCCGGCAGGATCGAGTTCACTTCCTTGTGTGACAATTGATTAATATGTGTCTCGATTAAGATTGATTTCACATGGTATGGTACCTGTCGACAACCGACCGAACACCCGCGCCTATCAAGATTATCTTGGTGCCAGCAAAGAGGACCCTGCCCCCATTTTCTTGTTCTTTTGTTAATGGAACCCAAATCCTGTCTCCGCCCCCATGGCACTCTGAAGAAGAGAGTAACCGAGAGCGCTGATTCGCCTCGACGTCGGCGCAGCCACGAACGCCCAATTTACCCGGGCCTGCGCCGCGGGAAAAAAAGGGCATCTTTGAAGACTGGAGCATTGAAACCAAAATCTGCAAGGCTACCCCGAGGAGCTTGGAATACAATGTTTCGGTCCTTCCCGGTCCTTCTATCCTCTCCCTGCTCACAGAAACAACATCAATGTTTGGTTCTTGTGTGCATGCTGGGATCTGGCCTCGAGGCTTCGCCCAGGTGGGCTGGACAGGACGTGCCGTGTGGGGTCGATGGCAGAGCGAACGACAGGGGAGCAGGATGAAAGGCACGGTGAAGCAATGTTGGTGAGGTTGACATTCTACTGCGCCGAATATCACGATAGCTCAAATCTAGATAACCGCGATGATTCAAATGTTTCTGGCATATATAAGTACACGACGCGCATCTCCAGAATCCAGTCTCCTCTCTTGTTTCCATCATCATCATCCTCTCAATCACCACTCCCCACGCCATCTACAAGAACATTGAACAGCAAAAAAACAATTGCTTGAGGAAGAACCTCTCCTTTTGCCCATCATGCTTGCCCTTCTAGTTTTGACGCCAGCGGTTCTAGCTCTGGCTACGCCTTTATCCTCCCATCCCCGAAGTGAAACTGACACCGGCGCACCTACCGATCTCCTGCTTCGCTATCACCGCGACATCGTCTCCAACCAGACGGAGTTGTCTCTCAGCACGCTTGACAAGTCCCATACTTATAGCCATGGCTGCGGAAACAGCCTCGAGGTCGCCGGTCGGACAGTCAGCGTCGCGGTAAACGACCGGGGTGCCGGCAATGTCCTCATCGACGCCGAAGAGTATCGGATTTTGGGTGATCGGCAAATGTCGGGTGGCGCGTCTTGCACCAAGCTCTACAACGACAGGTCGGTGGTTGTCGAGTGCTCCGTGCCGTGGTATGCGAACATGGAAGACCTCTCTGCCATCTCCGACGACCGCGTCGAAGAGTGCTTCTCCGAGGAGTCGGCAGCCCACCGACGAAGCTTGCCTACGAGCTTCGCTCCATCTGTCGTTTCGGCGGTAGAGAAGAGGCAGGGTCTCTGCATGTGGTTTTATGCCGACAACGTAAGTATCTCATCACACACCTCCCCACATGCATGCACACGCAATCACTCTGGAACCACTGTTCTAACATCTTCCTCAGACCGATCTCGTTGGCGATGGCAACCCCCATCAAGATTACCTCCATAGGCAGGTCGGCCCCAGCCAAACCTGCGCCCAGCGCGGCACTTGCTTCGTCGGAGTCGGCGAGGAAGTCTCCATCACAGTCTCCGCCGAGATCGCCGGCATCGGCCCCTGGATCAGCGGCGGCTTCGGCGTCTCCCGCACGGTATCATCCTCCACCGAGCGCGGCTGCTACGGTGAGGCGGGTGACACCGTCTGCCAGTGGAGCAGCACCCACCACACCGCTTACACGGTAACCACCCGAAGCGTTGGCACGTGCGGATCTTCGCGCTACGAGGGTGAGCCCTCGGCGCCATATGTGATTCGCTCGCCAAACAGCGGTAACAATGCCGTCGATTGGTACTGCGTTCTGAACACGTGCCGTGGTGACGGCGACTTTTACTGGGACCTTGGCCGCGCTGGTGGTCCTTAGATGACCAGTGACATTTTGACTATCTTTACTTTTGTTGGTAGGGGCATTGGGGTACCGGCTTGAAACTTTGTGTGCATGATTGGTTTATATCCTTTGTATTTGCGGTTAGACAGGGCGATTCGGTGAATTTAAGATTGAACACCTCAAGAATTCGTGTACTGTGATACGCTGTCTTTAATTTGAAGATAGATCTTTCTTAATTTGTCGAAGATGGTGGTGGCTGAATGGGCCAACGTAATTGCCAATTCCTTCTCTTCTCCAACCCTCCACCAATCTATACTACTAACACCTCACTGTAGTAGACAATCGTCTGAGGCACGGATGTAGATACATAGATATATAGTATCAGTTGTAAATGGCAAACTTTCGATTATTCTCCGTCTCAACTCTTAGACTAGCTCTTCCCTTCTATATCCCCCGCTATCCTTTCACTAAGCTAAACAACTCCCCATCTTCCGTAGCTGCTCCGTGGATCCCCTCTTCGGCCTAAATAATGGTGGTAAATTCCAACATCTCCCTCACCGCATCAGATGCTTCCCCGTCTCTGTCTGTCCCAGTCGACGCCTCTTGCCAATCATCAAGCAACCTCAACATCTCAGTGCATTTTTGGCGCACAAACCCGGCCCCGTCCGACCCGAGCGCCACGCGCACAGCCCATTTCCGACTCGTCGGCTCTTGTGTCGACACCTCTGTATCCTTGACGTTTCGTGTAACCACGTCCACCATGAATGCGGCAGCTTTGGCGAGGTCTCCGGGCATGTGGGACATGGGGTTGGCCATGTAATGAGACACAAGACTCTCGAATAGGGGACGTATGAAGGCTCAGAGGGCACACCGCCACCGAATCCCAGCTGATTCTCATCTCGAGGCTGACCAAGGCGGGTTGGGAACCCACCGCACTCGAAAGCGACGCACCTCAGGCCGAGTGGCGCAATCTCCTTGTGCAAGCATTCCGCGTACATGCTTAGTGCGGCCTTGGACGCAGCGTATTGAGACATAAAGGGCAACCCGGCCCAAGCCGTGCTTGAAGAGGTGAACGCGATGCAGCCTTCGCCTTGGGATCGAAGAAGTGGTAGAAATGCGCGCGTGACGCGCATGTGTCCGAATAGGTTTGCCTCAAACATGTTCTTTGTATAATCATCACTAGCTAGATATTAGTACTCTTTTTCGTGTTGAAATCTCCGCATCTTCTTTACGGTGGAAGGTGTAAAGGGATAAGAAAAGGAGCCACATACTCTGCTTCCTCAGCGCTCCTCATTGAAGAGACGCCTGCATTGTTTATGAGAACGTCGATCCTGCCAAAGATATCCCAAGCTTTTCTTGCCTGAGTAGCGATCGTTGTTGCTTCAGCGGTTATATCCAGCTCGAGGAGTGCGACATTGGCGGCTTTCAAGTGCCCGAGGCGCTCTTCAACCTTGCGGCCCGTAGCAATGACTTTGTCACCGCGGGATGCGATGTAGTTCGTAAGGGCAGCTCCAAGGCCCGAGGTACTTCCGGTGATAAGCCAAACAAGGGGCGACATGATGAATAAGAGGCAGATTAAGGTGAAATGAGTTTTAGATTTTTGGTATGATGTAATTGGTGTATGTCATGTAAGATGGGAGAGCGGATGGGGAGACGAATGATTGAGGATATTTAGGACCCTTGGAAGGGAATCTTTCCCAGCTTTATATTGTTGGTTGGCATCGCCAATCCAGCGAATCGAGGTGTGAACTACATCTAACTTAGACCGACGACGGACGAAGCGACGGACGAAGCGACGGACGAAACTCCGCATGGCGGGCCGGACGAACGGGTACATTGTGAGATTGAGGCTGTTGTTGGACGCTGCTATCACGTGAGGTGAGACGGACGAAACACCACGCAACCAACCCCTCGTCCGTCTCCCGTCTTACTCTTCGTCCACGTCAAAATCTTAGGACGGCGCGGGTTTAGTCGTGAGGGTAGTACCGTTGTGCCTTGGCCTACCTATTCCATATCGCGCAAAATACGACTGCACCCTCTGGTATAGTAAAAATGTCGCACGTGCGGCGGAAGATGCGCAAAGGCACTAGGAGTTGCACGGAGTGTAAGCACCCTCACCCTCCCTGACGCTTCATTCGTTTCGCCCCGGCCTTCTCTGAGCCCATGGGCACATACACAGCCCGAATTGGCCATGCTCCTATTTGTTATAGGTGCGCTTAACCTCTGCGCGCTGTATTGATGTAGAAGGGAGACGAGGCATTTTGGAACTGGCTCGCTCCCTATCATACGTCGCTTACCATTACGCTGCAGGCAGAAGGCGCAAGATCCGATGCCTCTTCGCGGACCACTCGCCTTTATGCATTCCGTGTTCTAGCCGGGGATCAGAATGCATAGATCAGCGGGACGTTGCCGCACCGAGCGTGCAGTCGGGCCGATATTCGCGGAGCTCAGTGGCCGAGACGTCGAGTATGCAAGCTAGTCTCGAACAAGACTCGTCGTAAGTTCTACCTCGCGTTATCTTACTTTCGAGATGGTGGTAATTGTCAAATATCATGGGATTCAAAAGACCAAAAGACTGTCCGCTAAAAACGAACATACTAGTCAGGCTTCGTCCCCAACCTCACCATCGTTCGTTGACGGAGGCGAACAGCTGCCCCCGTTGATCTCTGCACTAGGCGCGACACACGTATTCATCTTTCATAGTCACTTCGATCACATAATATTGCAACTGACCTTCTCCCCAATATAGGGATTGACAAGTGTACGCCGAGAAGACCCTGGGAATAAGCCATCGCATCTGGAAGCCTACATCCCCAACACCCCTTCGGCTCATGCCGACATGACGCCCATGGCGTCTAGTATCCATAGCCCTTCTATAAGGTACCCAAAGCAAGTTGGCCCACAAACTGTTTGCAAGAGCCTGCGCCAAGCCCTTCCCGCATTCGATACCCTCATGGCCACGTTTGCGACTAGAGGCTCTTGGTGGAGTAGCTATCAGCAAAAGACGCGGGCCCTCACGCAAGCACCCGTGGTAAATCTTGCCCAATTCGCCGCTTCCAACTACACGAGTGAGGATCCAGCTAAAGTGGCTCTTATTGTCGTCGCTTACGCGAGATGTATCGGGAGCAAGGCTGGTAGGCGGTTGTACTCGTTGGTAGAAGGTTTGGTGATAAAAGAAGATGCATATCTGGCTTCCGTGCAGGGTATGGAGTGCTTGGTGCTCCTTGCCAAGTCGTACACCGATATTGGCCAGCCTCGAAGAGCGTGGTTGACGTGGAGGCGAGGCCTTTGTATGGCGCAGTTCCTCGTAAGTGTCTTCGCATTTAGCTATCCTTGGCATCTTTTCTGGGCTATCTTTTGACGCGGGACACAGGGCTTCTATCTCGACAACAAGGACCCCGCGATTCAGACAATATGGGGTACCTTATACCATGGGGACCGCTTTACCAGCCTACTACTTGGCATGCCGCACGGCTTCCTGATAGTTACTACGAAGCTATCATTGGCGATCACCCCGAGGGATCCATGCCGGCGGAGCACTACTTGACCCTACGGTGCGCGATGGTGTCCGGAAAATTATACAGCGAACCATGGTACCTCGAAAACCGTCGTTCGCGCAGTCGCTAAGCATTGACGAGGAGCTAGAAGCCATTTCATCCATCCTCCCCGCCGAGTGGTGGCATGTTCCCACCGCCCTCCCAGACTCGGAAAGCGGGATCATGGAACTGAGGGAGAAACTCCTTCTCCAATTTTACTTCCATCACGTTCGAACGTACTTACATCTACCGTTTCTGGCGACAAACGAGGTCCCAGCTGGCCAAAGCGCTACTAGCCAAGGTATTGCGCTCAACGCATCTCGCAAAATGCTGGAGCTGCTCTTGCTTCTGAGAGCCGAAGTGTCTCCTGGAGTCCCCTTGTTCGAGTGTGCCACGAGTGACTTTGTCGGGTTGACTGCTGCCGTGATTCTTGCCCTCTGCCTCTACACAGTTGACAGTCCCGGAAAGGCTGGGCGGTACGAAGGTGACTGGCAACTAATCTCGCAAGCTAGGGATATGTTTCGACGAGAAGCTAGGCGCAGTAAGTGTAAAATGTACGCCCAGTGCTGTTCGACTCTTGAAGAGCTCTTGCGCGCGAGGCATTTGGAGTCGGGTGGTGAAGCCCAGCCAGGTTCGAGGCTTGGAGATATATTTATCCCTTACTTTGGAAAGATTATCAGAAAACCGTTGGTCGATTTCGCTCAAACGCCACAAGGGACACCATCCTCGGATTGCAACATCCAACACGGGCGTGACACAAGTCCTCAGCCGCCGCTGCCACCAGACGCGCAAAATGCGGAATGGCAACATATCGATTTCGACGTGGTATTTGAGTACGCCGGCTCAAGTGGTATGGGCTCGAATTTCGGCGGTGCATTGAACCAATGGTCAGACTATCTGGTTGACCTGGATCAGGACTGGAGCTTATTTTAGAGTCACCACTGAGAATGTATGGCTCACCCCTTTGATATGCTGAGTAAGCCGTAGAAGAAGCTGGTGATGCACGATGAGGGCACGGTGGTAGCGCAGTCCGATCGATGTGACTCTGGGATGCAAGTGGTCTGGTCTGGTAAATGTCAAGCACCCGTGCCACGTGACGAATAATCATTGTTAAGGACTTGAAAAAAGCTCCGTTTGAGGATGGCGGCGCATCTGCGTGCTTAAACACCCATCCCCGCCACCAATGCGTACCATGGCGTCCAAGCAGCAACCCGCACAAGCCAAAGGTCTCAAGGCCTTACCCACCTCAGCCTTCTTCTCCGACAACCCCGATAAGGCATGGACTGAGCGCATGATCCTGGCTCAAAGCGGCTTCTGGATGAGCGCCGTGGGCCTGGTCATGCTTACCGGACTCATCCACCGCCTCCAAGAACTCGACCTCTTGCTATTTTCCATCACGGTGGCGGCACCGCCCGTACTACTGCCCCTGCTCTCCTCCACCCGACCCGATAGAGATGTACCCTGGTTCAAGTGCTACTGGGCCAAGTTCAACGTGTGGATTGCCATCCTGGTGGCCTTTGGCACCTACTTTGGCTCCCACTACTTCTTCGATCTGATGGGGATGCGGTACACGTTCAACGTTCGCTGGACGTTTGACTCGCACATCCTCGGCCACAGCGGGCAGAGAGTGCCCGTTTTCATGTATCCTCTCACCCATGCCTACTTTGCCACCTATTACACCCTTCTCGTCGTCTGCGAGCGAGCATTGGTGCGCTGGCTCCAGCCCGCTCTTTTCGCCCGCACCCTTATCGTGTGCGGTCTTTCGTACGCGCTTGCGTTTGCCGAGACGTTCTTGATGGACACGGAACTCATGACGGGCCTCTTCTCCTACGAAAAGCACGGTCGCATGCTGTCGGTAGGATCTCTGGGGTACGCCTCGTACTTCCTCGTCGGACTACCCATGGTTCGGCGCATAGACGAAGGCGAACGGTGGCCCATGACAAAGGTGATTATCGACGCGCTGGCCGCGTGCATGGCCATCCTGGTGCTGCTTGAGGCGTGGGCAAAGGTTATGGGACCACTGTAAACGGGCGGGTAAGCCTGCTGGAGCGAAAACTGTTTCTCAAACGGAAGCACACGATTCGTGGTCGAGATCAGGCTCATAGATGCACATGTGCCACTTCAAGTACCATGACAATTGAAAAAAGTGATCGAGTTTGTAAATGACCCACCGCAGCTAGTCGTAAATAGTATATGAACTAAGGCGGCCTTTCCGTGGCAATAAATCCTCCAGAGGAGACCTACTCACTCCCCGCTGCCTTCTTCTTCTTGCTCTTCTTACTTGCCTTTGGCTCTGGGGCAAGTGCTACCGGTATACTTGATACCGCTACTCCTTGTCTGGGCGGTTGCACTATATCAACCACCGCTACCCCTTCGCTGGGCGGTTGCACTATATCCACACGTTTCAGCTCATCCCCCTCGGTATTGACGTTATCGGGACCTACCGAATCCTGCACATCGTTGAGATCCTCGCCAGTACAAGGCAACTGATGTTCGACCTGAGCCACCGTCTGCATTCCCTGCTCCAACTTCCTCAGAACGACGAGGCCGCCTTGCAGGATCTCGAGTCGGTCTTGAAGTCGCGTCCGCGCAGCAGCAGAACTGTCGCTTTCTTGGGCAATGTCTTTAATCGTCGCATCGTCGAGGTTGCGGATGGTGTCGGAGCTCAACAGGTTCAACAAACGCTGCAGTACACAACTCTCCACGACAAGGACGCTGAAGTCATCAATCACCCGTTTTAGAGCAACCTGGATTCACTGAATCAGCAACAGTGAGAAGATATTGAGGCGTCCGCCCGAAAGATGACCAAGAATCTCTCACCTTGTAGTACGCTTCTGAGATGTCAATTACCTCTGAGCAAGCATACTTTTCCATATCTGCTTCCGTGTGGGTCGCAAGTTTGCCGATGGCAAGCATGACTGAGCTGGATGGGTATCGAGACGCCTGATCGGGGTCACCAAGTAGAGTTTTCGCGCGTTGCAGGAAGTCTTTTTCCGCCGCTCATTTTGCATATTCTGCACATTCTCGGTCAAATAGTGATTATATGTGATTGGGTGCCCTGTTTGATGGTTTTTGAGAATCTCGGCAGTTTTGTCCTTCATGGCTTGCGTGATCCTGTGAAGTTCCGGGTTGATAATTATTCTACGAAGCGTGGTGGCAGTCTCCGAATCCAGTATTGAATCGAGTGCTTTGTTGACGCTCGCTTGAACAAGCAAGAGTATCTTGTCTCCCCACTTGTCCAAAATCTGCTTCCAAGGCTCGCTTTGCTTCTGAAAGAGCAGTCGAACAATCGTCGAGTTGTATGTGCCTGGCAGTTCACATCCCCTATTCTCTCTCAGAATGCGCCTTACCCTTTCCATGTATGTAGACCTGACAACTTCTCGAGATTTGTTGGCCGGGGCAGCTTCGACAATTAGGGCAGCTTGGCCCATTTGCAGCATCTCCTTTGCGAAATCGGACAGTGAGTTTTGCACGACGGCGCGCAACCGCTTCGTGTATGGCTCGGCTCCGGTGGCAAAATAAGGGTCCGAATATTGGGCGTACACCGCGTCGGAGATTAAGCGCGTGAACTTGGCGCTCGCTTCCATGAGATACTGGCGCTGGGTGCTAGTCGACATGCGGGAAGGCCCCAGACCACTCAACTCTTCTGTACATTTCTTGACACCCTTGTCCACGTCCTTGAGCACTCCGGGGAGCTGAGCCATGATGTGGTTTTCCAAAACCTTTGTGAGGCGATCTTTCAGCATGTCCACGCCGACGCACGCGCGGTCCAATTCTTTCCAGACGCCCTGGGAAAAAACGCCGCTCGGCGGCATCACGGTCGGCGGCGGAGCAGCCTCGCATGTTGAAGTCCCTGTTGCGCAGCACGTGCCAACCAAGATGAATCAAAAATCCTTATTCTGCGCCAGCTGAAGGTAATACATCTCGCTCTCGGACCCCGGGTCCAACGTATCCGGCTTGGTGATGAGGCCCAGCGTTCGGTCGCCGTCCGGGTCGAGCTGCCGCGCGAGATGCGTGACCTCTTGCAAGGCGAAATCGCTCTTGGCGGACACCACGGCGAGGATGACGGCCCGCTCGCTCTTCATGTACGAGAGGACGAGCGATCGGACGACCTCGGAATCCTGCGCGGCCTGCTCGCGGTTTCCGACGCGGAAGAGGCCGGGGAGGTCGACGATGGTGAGGTGCGGCTGCGTCGGGCCGCAGAGCTCGACGCGGAGGACGTCGGTGGAGAACCCTTTGCCCCCAGCTCGCCCGACAGCCCCATGACCTGCTTCGCCTCCTCGATGATGTCTCCTAATTCCAGCTGGGAGGAAGATATGGCGGGCTTGAAGCTTGCGAGCTTGGCCCTTTCGTCGTGGGAGCGGCCTTCTCCGGGGATGATGGTGACGTTGATGCTTTCGGCCGGAGCTCGTCGAAGCACGAGCTCGGTTGCAAATCGCGTGCAGACGGTATCCTTGGCGGGGAAGGCTACTCCGGAGATGGCTTCGAGCGCTGAGCTCTTGCCCGAGGATTGATCGCCGCATACGATGATTTGTGGTAAATTGATGTAGTGACCTATCCCTTGGCGTCGGAGCGAGTCAACAATGTCGACCAGGTTCGAGTTTCGTTGGGAATGAAGGTTCGGCATGTTGTCTGGTATCTGCATGCTGGGTGGAGGTGGAGCTCGAAGTGTGTTCAACTTGAGGGTAGGGAGGAAGGTGATGGATGATGGGCAATGGGTGATGGAAGAAGAGGAGGGTCGCTGGGAGACATTTATAGAGTTCTCATATTGGTGTCACCCCTCGTAGATGGTAGGTTGCATGTTGTGAGACATGCCGGCCTTGCTTTCCAACAGTCTTAGACGGAGGGTTACGGTAGCTAAGGGGTTAGCACGGGGGATGCTGCACCGAACCTTTTCCATGGTGGAAGTATTGGGCCAAAGCAAAGTACCTGTACCGACTTACCCAAGTCTGCCAGAGACGGGGGAAAGAACTGGCCCAAGTTCAGCATTGATCTCGGACATCTGACTCAAGGAAGGCCCGTGGACCGAAGCCCGGTACAGAGTTGGAAGCAAGCCATTGCGAGTGTCTCGATTGGTTGCTGCGTTGGCTTGAAAAGTGAGAAGCTGGTTCTCCTTTGTCGTGGGCGCTCTGTTTGCTCGACCAACAATCATGGCCGGATCCGTGTGGGGCTTTTTTCTTCTAATTGCTTTTTCGAAGCAGCAGGCCAACCCTCCGAGCAAATTTTACGGGTATCCAGGCCTGTCTCTCTAGAAATGGAAGTTTTGCACGGGTTGAAGGCGAAAGTCGTCAATGCCAAGGGAGACATGGTTATTATCAGCAGAGGCAGAGGTATGGAGAGCGGAGGCTGCCTGAATTCCGCACCAGCTCTTCGCGCTATAGCCACATCCTAGGCCAGATAGTTTACGATGAGTCTACGGGGAAATATCAGGACACTGTGTATTTGAAGTCTCTGAAGACGTGGGATTTGCTGGTAAAATCGCGCCGTTCTTGGCCGTAACAAGCGGAGATGTACTGTACTATTGCCTTGTTCTCCCTTTGGATGGCAAGGCCGGTTTATAAAAGGTGAGGGTGCTAGCAATTTCTAGCGCTGCGTTGTCGTTAGGTGCAAACCTTTGATGGATCCATAGACTTATAGATCAATGGGTTAAAATGGTAGATATCCTAGGCATATCGTATATGTGATTGACAGGTGAGAAAGGTGTTCTCCTCTCCTTGTTCTCACAGTCTACAGCCACGCACAACTCTCTACCAATAATTGTCTTCAACAGTCTCATCACCAGCATATAAAGTGCCCTGCTCTCTCTTTTTGTCAAGGCGTGTAGTGTATATTTCTTTTCGTTTATATGTACACATATGGATGTAGCAATTAATACTCAATAATGGGACTACCAACTCTTCACAAACCGGGCCTCCCATCTTTGCAAGTCTCTGCTGGACGCATTCCCTAGGACGCACCTCAGCAAAACATCAATAAACCATGATTGGCCAATCCTTCCGATTTCGATATGTCAGCCACTAAACGTCGGCGGAGTCCAACTTCGGGCCTCCCCGCTCATTTGGGGAGGCCCATTTGAATTCATTTCCTCGCCCGCCTTCTCCGTCACATTACACTCAACTTATCATTTCACGAATCCTCTCAAGCGCGAGACATGATTGAATATGACGACAACTACCGCGAGCCAACGGTCCAGGCCGCCGCGTCGAAAGCGCAAGCGCAAGCCCCACCGGCCGCGGTCATGTCCTGCCTCACCTGCCGGGCGCGCAAGCTCAAATGCGACCGCGCCCGCCCGAGCTGCGACCGATGCGCGAAGCTCCAGGAAACGTGCGAGTATCCCGGCGCCCGCAGGAGACACGTCGGGCCGCGGAGGACTGTTCGGGATCTGGAAGACCGCATATGTACGTTACATCACGCACTGTCGCCCCCATCACTTTCTTTCTTCTATGTCTATTTCCCGTCCGAGCAATTTCTTATCGAACCGAACCTCAGCTCAGCTAGAAGGCTTGGCCTTGAGGCCAGCACCCTCGGGTCCGCCCAACGTAAGCGACCCTCTCACCGGCACAAAGCGATTGGCGCCCACACCTCCAACCGGCAGCGAATCCGCAGCTTCGACATCATCACCGAGCCCGAGCTACGGAGTTCGACAGAAATGATCCGGTTGGGCTTGTTCGAGCAACTACCCCTTCCGAACTTGTTTACGAATTGTAAGAATTCGTGGGGACAGGCAATGAGCACCGCGCGAGGAAACATGTTGTAGTTCTACAGGCTAACGTCTCATACACGTAGGACGGACATTTATTTCGAAAGGATGCACCCAGCATTGCCCATGATCCACAAGGCACGTTATCTCACGTCGATGAACTTCCCGGCGCATATGCGCCCGCCCATGTGCCTGCAGTACATCATCATGGCTATTGCGGCGGGTGCAACGGATACGCATGCGGCTCATGCCACCGCGTTGTATCAGCGCGCACGCGCGTATGCCGAGGCAGACGAGATGAAGGTGCGTCTAAACCACCCCCTTTGGCAAAACAGCAAACTCCCCAATGTGTAAACTACGCACGCTCACGCTTAAAGCTCTAACCGACGCACTAGTCTCTCGGCGGTGATTTCACCACCGTCGCCCACGCCCAAACCTGGTGCCTCATATCCAATTTCGAAGCCCAACAATCCCACTTCCCCTCGCCGCCGTCAGCCTCGCCCGCAGCCTGCGCATCGCGCACATGCTCGATCTGCACAAGCTCGACGAGACGGCGTGCCCGCTTATACCGCACGCGTTACCGCCCCGCGCGATTGGACCGAGATGGAAGAGCGCCGGCGGACGTGGTGGGTCATTTTCTGTTCCGACCGCTTCGTGGCGGCGACGGCGGGATGGCCGGCCATGATTGCCGAGCATGATGTACGCTATCCCCTTTTTGTCTCTCCGTCTCGTGCATATAGAGTTTCGGCTCGGCTGATCGTATGGCGCTACGTAGATCTTTACTTTTCTCCCCGCCTCCGAGCAAGCCTTTGAAACGGGCGTAGAAGAATCGCAAGGCCACCTGAGAACGGCGCTAGAGGGTAGCTGGCCCGAATACTCCGCCTTTGCCGGCCGCGTGCTCGTCGCGCAGCTCTTCCACCGCACCCTCGACCACAGCTTCGCCAACTGCGACGCCGGCCGCCGCGGGCCCATCGACACCTTTTGGCGAGAACACGCCGCCATCGACGACAACCTCACCCTCGTGCACGCCTTCATCCCCGCGAGCTCAAGCTCCCCGACTACGCGTGGAGCCCCAGCGCCCTCTTCGTCAACGTCATGATCCACACCGCCGTCCTCTGCATGCACAACGCCGCCGTCGCGTACTCGAGCCGGTTACCCTCGCCCGACCCGACGCACGGCGAGGCCCAGAGCCAGGCGCGGCTCCTGCCCGCCGCGAAGCAGATTGTCGACATCTTTCGCCTCGTGCGCAACATGCACGCTACGCTGCGGAACCCGCTGCTCGCGTTCGCCGCGTACATGGCGGGTATGGCGCTGCTGGAAGAGCTCGTGGTGCACGGGGATGAGTCGTGCGGCGAGGATCTTCAGTATTTGCTGGGTATCATGGCGCGGGTGGCCGAGTTCCACGCGGTGGTGAGGTCGGTCGCGGCGCAACTTGTCGAGGATATGCGGCAGTGCGGGCTCGTGTTCCCGGCTATGGAAAAGGTATGGATCAGTATCGAGATTTTTTTCGTTACCCGAAGCAATAACCACCTTGCTAACAAGACACAAACCCGCTTTTAGATTGAAAATCTTGCACCCACGACGTTGGTAGTGCCGCTGATTGCTAAATATGTCGATTCCACGCGGATTTTATTCCGGTCCCGTCGCCGTCGCCGCGCAGCGCTGGTCGCTTAGTGCTAAGTCATCGTATTTGTTTCGTTGTTTGCCTGGGTGCCGTTCAACTCGGTTGGCTCATATCAAAATAACGACCTGTTTTTACAAAAGAGGAATGGTTGCCATTACTTGGCTAGTTTTGTAATTGTCTGGGAGCAGTTGAAATAGTTCGTTGGTATGGGCTTTCGTGGTAAACTTGAACACCCGCCTGCCACGATTCTCAACACACTCCCCGACTGTGCGTCCTCTTTAACAGTTTCGCTATGTGTAGTGCATAAACCAGAGCCACACACTCGACTCTTCCTTTCTGCCCTGGCTGATTAATTTAGACACCTCCTTCGGCCTCGCTGTTATCTTTTGCGTGGGTCGATGCAAGCTTGACCCGTGCCGGTCTTGGTCGGACACCGACAAGCTTCTGATTGGCCAATTCGGCCTTCGAGATTGCCAAGCTTGCCAAGCACGAACCCAAAATGCGCCCGATTTGTCACATTTGTGAGGGAGAATGTCACCAATTCTGAAATCGTTGCATTGCGCTCAAGATCAATCACGGCGCCAACTTGCGAATTTTGTCTTGATGCATTTGTAATGGACTCGGGAAGGTCCCTGGAAGATCAAGTATGGGTCGAGCACGTCTTGAACGTCAGTTTCTTGGGAAGCAAAACAGATATAAGAACGAGGCCGTCTCAAGTGATAAATGTTTGTTTTTCTCCCTCGACCAGACACAGTCAATCAGCTCATCACATCAAGCATCTGATAATCACAATACCATTGAAATATACACAACCCTTCCTCTTGACTCCTGCAGCCCTACACAGCCTCTACCATTTCCCTTCTAATTGGACCAAAAGACCGATTGACAACTCAAGTCCACCTCCTACCACCAAACACATCACCCTCATAACCCACCATCCACATCCATCCCTTCCTAGTCTAGAGAAAACATGACGAAAACCATTCTCGTTACCGGCGCCACCGGCAAGCAAGGCGGCGCCGTCGTCGATACCCTCATCAAGGAAAACGCCGACTTTGAGATCCTCGCCCTCACCCGCGACGCCACCTCCGGCTCGGCCCAGCGTCTCGCCAAGAAATCCGACAAGATCAAGCTCGTCCAGGGCGACATGTCCGACGCGCCGGCTATTTTGCCGCGGCGAAAAAGGTCACCACGTCACCGATCTGGGGTGTCTTTTCCGTGCAGGTATGTTTTTTTTTTTTTTTTTTTTGTTTTTCCTTGTTGCCTCCACTCCGCCCAATTTCTAGGACGCATGCTAACAATCATCCAGGTCGCCATCGGCGGTTCCGGCAAAGACGCCGAGTTCACGCAAGGAAGAGACCTCGTCGACGCAGCCCTCAAAGCCGGTGTAAAGCACTTTGTCTACTCCTCCGTCGATCGCCACGGCGCCGCCTCCATCGACAACCCCACCAACATCCCCCACTTCATCCACAAGCACAAGATCGAGAAGCACCTCATCAAGAGCACCGCCCAGGGCCAGATGGACTGGACCATCCTGCGACCGGTGGCGTTTATGGAAAATTTCACCGACAACTTCTTCGGCCGCGTCATGGCCTCCGCGTGGCGAAGCGTCGTTAAAGATAAGCCTCTCCAGCTCATCGCCGTCCCGGACATTGGCGTGTTCGGCGCCAAGGCCTTCCTCCACCCGGAAGAGTACAAGGGACGCGCCATCTCGCTCGCCGGAGACGAACTCACGCTGGAGCAGCTGAACCGTATCTTCCAGAAGCAGACGGGGAAGAACGCCCCCGAGACGTACGGCGTCTTGGCGAGGCTCATCATGTGGCTCTCCAAGGACTTTGGATACATGTTTCAGTGGTTCTACGACGTCGGGTACGATGCTGATATTGCCGAGCTCCGCAAAATCCACCCTGGGCTGAAGAACTTTGAAACGTGGCTGGCGGAGGATAGCGACTTTGCTCGCAAGGACAAATAAAGAGAGAGCTTGCGGTCCAGGGTCAGGTGTTGAATAGACTTGATGGATGGGGTGCTTGAAGTGTAAGAGGTGCGAGCAGTAGCCACGGGCTTTTTAGACTTGTTTTATTAGACTGTATGAAATTGATTATCTTTGCTTGAACGAATACCGTCTTTCTTCAATGACCCCGGTCCCGAGCTTATATTGACGTTTCCTGCTCTTGGGCCATGTGGCCCGTTTTGAACCATGGGGAATTGACAGGAAACGCTCACACTAGCGCACAACGCAGAACAATTCGCGAACGTTTTATTTTCGCGTGATTCGAAATGCACACACGCCTTTAAGAGTCAGAGTTGCCTGTTTTTAGTAGGACACCTTGTGAGAAACACATGTCTCGGAAGCCTTATCAACCATTTGCCGTAGGGCTTGACAAGCGGATTCTTACATTCAAAATCCCAGCTCCACAGCTTCCCCAGATTCAGTCGTCCCGACACGACCAAATCGCACCGTTGCCTGTTTGTTTGCAAGATCCATGACGATGTTGAACAAGGTTTCCGTCGTACACTCCCCCACCTGAGCTCGGTTAATCGAGAACGGATAGCCTTCTTCATCCTCGAAAAGGGGTACCAGCGTCTCGGGGCCAGGCGCTGAGGTCGCGGTTCCGAGGACCTGGTCTAAGAGGACACGTGCTCGCTTGAGGCGAATCGGCGAGTCGTGAAGCCACGGTGGTTCCACCACATTCTCGTGGTCTAGCACCAAATGGTTAGAGTGTACAATGATGCCGTCGCCGTCCATCTCGAGCGATTTGATGCCTTGAACAGTGCACTCAAGTCCAGTCGCCGCGTGTGCGTCAGCCACCAAGATATGCGCGCTCCCGGCAATCCCGCTCGCGCGCAGCTTAGCCATAGCATCCTCGCGCGTCCGCGATTCGAGTACCGCGCGCAGGCCCAGGTGCACCGGGAGCATACCGGGGTTGACACCGCGCGCCTTGATCGCGTTGAGGCACACGCCGACCCCGCACTCGTTGAGGCCGATTTTGCCAATCACGCCTGCTTCCGTCACCATGGAGAACCGCGGGATCTCGGTCCCGGGTTGGCTGATGTGGCACACGAGGAGATTTGGCGCCTGCTCCTTCATCCAGTCCCAGTTTTGGGCCAAGAGCAATGGTCCGCCGGGTGATTTGAGTGCTATGCTGGTACACCCGTCCATCTCGATGGGTAGCTCCGGCTGTTCAATGTAGAGACCGAATGTGATTTCGGTTCTGACATTAATTGCCACGATATCAAGCAGCTCGACTCCCGCCCCTTGCGCCAATCCCCTCATTTCTTCGAGGTACCTTGGACAGAGATCTTGCAGTGCTGTAACATATTTGGAAGCCTCGCCACGAACTTTGTCCCAGTTGAGGGCGCACGTTGTCTGGAACAAATTCTCATAAAAGGCTATGGATCCGTGGACTTGGTTTCGAGCACCTGCTCCATGTTGGAATCCCACCTGCTCGATACGTGTACATGTTAGCTCCTGGGGGTCTTTGAGAAGGTGCTTTCATCTCGAGGCAGTGTTCTTTTCTTCGTTTCTAGGAATAGAAGAAGTGTGAGTGGGTGCCCATATACTTGCCTCAAAAGGAGTACCGGAGCAGTGGATTTCGATCATTACGGGGACTGGATAGTTAGCTGCCCTTTGAACGGATTTATATATGAAAGAGTGTTGTATGATCAAGGACGCAGTTAAAGCTCGTGTTTTTACAAGTCGCGGGTTTGCTTCTCGAAGCCATCCCCGCTAGTGCGGCGAGACTACCGAGGATGATGTTGTGAGGAGGTGGGTGGGGAACAGTGTGGCCGACGGCACACTAAGGTGCCGCGGTATCCGTGCATCCTCCGAGCCCGGTCCACGGAAGATCTGAAGAGATATACCATGTCGTTACGAGAGTGTATGTAAATCGTTTAGGCTTTGGCCGCTGAGAAGTGGAAATACCGTATAACAATTACTACAGGAGTTTGATCAAATCTCCAACCTGCTTTTCGGCCAAACCATCCACCGTGTCTAATATGTCCTGCCGGATAGATCCGGCGTACACGTCCTTGGTAAGGCCCAAAAACTTGGAGCGGACCCTTTCCCGAGAGTACGGGTTCTCCGGCTCACCCAACGGATGCACCAGGACTTCTTGCCGGGGCCCTCCTTGCAGCCCCTCAAAATCGATACGGGCTTCTAATTCCCTACCTCGCCGTCCGCAGCCACCGTGATCCTAGTACAAAGCTCCGCGATGCGTGGATCCACCATGACCTGATCGCTATAGACATCCCATCCAATCTCGCAGCCAAATACCCACGACGCCGCAATCTGGTAGTAAATACTAAACTGCGCATCGACAATCGTCTTTGGGTGCCGTTTATTCAGTGACGGTTCCCCACGATATTGTAGCAGGCGGGCGAGAGACGAACCGAGATCTTCTCCGGCATCATGCCCGGCGCTTCCTGCGCTGCCGTTCGCGCCGCGATCTCGATGGCCGCGTGCGTCATCCGGCACGCAGGAAAAGGCTTGAGGGCCGTAGCCAAAAATATCCACGAGGAACCTAGATCCGCGCAGATTCCCGCCGGATTGGCGCTCTCCGAGAACGAGTGCAAGAAACCCCACTTGCCTTCTATACTCTGCGATGCCCCGCCACCCCGGCCTCCGCCAGCGCGACGCACACGAGCGCGTCGTGGGCCGCGAAGCCCGGGTGCAGCCTCTTGTTCCACGCTCCGTTGTGGAGAAACTGCATGGAGCCCGAGGCCCTCGACCCCGCTAGGCCGAACGCATTCTCCACCGTGCTGGGCGACAGTCCTCGGAGGTTTGCCAGCGCCGCGACGGCGCCAAAGATGCCAGCCGTGGACGTGTTGTGGAACCCCCTCGCGTACCCTCCCGTTCCTAGCGCACGACCTAAACGGCACGCCACCTCGTAGCCCACGGCCAATGCCACGAGGAGATGCTTTCCCGAGGAACCGGACCGTTCAGCCTCCGCTAATGCAGCGGGGATGATGGACGCTCCGGGATGCAGGACGGCCTCGGCCATTGTGTCGTCGAAGTCGAACGTGTGCGCAAAGGCACCATTAAGAAAGGCGGCGTACTGAGGAGTAAACGTCTTTCCTTTGGCGTACACTGTGCTTTGGCCGCTATTTCCTCCCAGGACTTGGACCGCCTGAAGGAGGGCGTTGCTCGACTCTCCACGGAGAGCCGCACTGGACGCCACGCCGATATGATCAATCATGAAGTCGGAGAGCTTGGAGAAGATCTCTGGCGGACAATCTTCGTATTTTGTGCGCGCGATGAAGTTGCAAATTTTCCCTGTGACGTCGTCGTCTGAAGGTAGAGGAGATGCTGGAAGGGTCGGGGATGGCTTTGAAAGGCCGGGAGGGGCATTAGCTCGGACGGCACATGAACGTGACCCGTCATAATACGCCGTGCGGTGCGAATAAACGATAGTGTCCGGAATTCCACCCCCGCGTCTGTTGGCCTATCCTCATTGACCATCACCGCTACAGGCATAACCCCGAGTGGATGATGGATCCTGAATGTTGGCTCCGAGATAGCACTGGTAGCTACGATCCGGTGAACGACCGACCCGGCCACACGGCTACAAGCCGCCATGCAAATCGCGCCGGTCCCCGCCATGGAGTCATGGCAGCGGTTATCCAGGATGAGGCGCGCGAGCAAGTGCCCGTCCCCGTAGGGTCCGGCGCAACGATGACGACCATCGGCAGCATTGGCGACTCCGCATCTGCCACCTCCCAGGATGTACACCGCCCCAGTATGTGTGCCGCCTTGCCACGCACCTCGGCTAGGCCCGTGATGGCGGTTTTATCGTTGCTGATCTCTTCGGCGGTTTCGTCCCCGCGTAACCCCACATCTTGTGCTTTGACGAAAACGGTCAGGTTGCCGACATCGCAGATCGTCAGGGGATTTTGCCGCCGCGGAAGTCGATCTCGTCTGTAGCGTTGCCCGTCGGGAGGATGCCCCTTCCATGTGCTGCACCAATGGTCTAGAGCTAGTAAGTTGGTGTTCATGGCAGCATGTAGCCGTGGAGCCTCTTAGAAAAAGAATATATCTATGCTCACCTTGCTATAGTCCATGAGAATCGGTGCTCCAGAACCCGGCACGGCGGCTATGGCAAATTCGCCGGCTTCAACCACTTTTCCGTCTTGGTCGATGGGTACGTGGGCGTTGAGGACTTTTGCGTGCCTGTGTTAAAGATGCGGATTTCCTGCGTTTCGAGACCGTCGACGAGGCTCACGCCGGGTCTGACGTCCTTCACAAGGCCCTCGGACACAGCGAATGGTCCTACGGCCGAGGAGATGTTTCCGCAGTTCCCGGTATACCCGATCAAATCTTCCGTGATGCCGGCCTGCGCAAACGTATAGTCAACGTCGGCGTCAGATCGGTCAGACACCTTAACAATGGCTATTTTGGACGTGATGACCCGAGAACCGCCCATGCCATCAATTTGAATCGGGTCAGGCGACCCAATAACACGTTTGAGAAAACGATCGCGGGCATCTCCGGGGCGGGTATATCTCGTTCGTGGAAGAAGACCGCTTTGCTACTCCCCTCGGTAGTACACGGCGGGGACGGCGCAAGACATGGTGAGAGTGATTCTGCAGCACACGCAAGGACTTGAAAATCCTAGGTAAGAGCAGCGCTATCGGCTCGTAAGGTGACGCGACAAGAAAGGAAGGTTGGACCCTCGCCTCTTCATATGTATTTTCCTTGGCGGTCTTGTCGGTTGGCCGTTGGGGTTTGGGAGTCCCCGGCTTTGTGGGGTGCATCATGCACGCTGGGGTTGGAACCTGGGGTTCGCTCGGCGAGGTTCGCCGAGATTCGGCAAAAGGCTGTCGACCCGACTCAAAGGCTCTAGACCACCCCGCCAAACCTGATCACATCCCGTTTAGCTCGACTAGCGCACACCACCTCGGATGAGCTGTAAGCTGAGATGATTACATGTTGGAACGGCGAAAAAAGGAACTAATTCAACCATGGAGCAGGTTCAACAGCATATGACTTGTGGCCGCACCTCAAAAATAGTATACATGTATTATTGTTTACGTGCCATTATCCTATCGTCCCTGTAAAGGTGTTTGGTGTCCAAGTTACATCAGTAAAGTCTAGATTCGCCGCCCAATCGTAGTCTGGAAACGGCTCCTCGGGGAACGCGAGCAATTCCGACCCAGAGCCATCATATTTGGGGTAGGCAATGGTCCCAGATCCCGCCTCGTTATGCGCAGTGTCCCTCTCGTTCTCCGTTACTTCTTCTGGTCCTGGCTCCGCCCGATCTGCAACCTTGTTAGCAATCACAGAGTTCTCATTGGTAGCACGAACAGGGGCGGACTTACCCATCGGGGCCGCGCTCGCTTCTCGGTACGGGCTGGACTGGCCACCAAACTCTTCTCGCCACCACCAAAAGCAATCAAAAACAATACTCATGGATAATCGACTTCGAATTCGGCTCTTCAGACTGTCCGTCTTGCCGTTTGACAACTTGAATATGTTCTTGCTCGTCCACAGTTGGCTCATGAGCGTTGCCCCACGTGCTCCTAAATCGTCCCCTTGCAACATCATCTTTCTGTTGAATCGGATGGCGGAAAAATAAGCCCGCTCCGCCTCTTCCGCGTTGATATTATTCGATAGCGAGCTTCTGACTATCTTGAGAATCGTAAATGCTGCTAGCCCAATGCAGCGTTCAATCAGGACGGGGCAAGTACTGAGAAAGCCATTGCGTGCGTCTTCGGCGGCAACCATCTCGATCAACGAGCAGGCGTGGGCATACAGACGCAGCAAGCCAGGGGTATTTGGTGAATCGGATCTCTCGAGTAAGTAATAGGCGAGGAGGTGAAGATGGCAGGACGCTACATAGATTGTACCTAGTGCATGGTTAGATCGTGCGTGGGGACAATGGAGAGGAGCGGGACTCTTACTCGGCATGGTATGGGATTGGCTCATAATTTCCGCAAACTGCGCATCAAATATGCTGATAAAGGGGCTTAGAGCGTTGGGCCGAGACATTGCGGCTTTGTCACCAAGAATCTTGCTGATCGTCGCCGTGGAAGCCAGCACCGTTTCGTGAACTTTCCACCGAAGCCGCGAATGCTCCGAAAATTCAGCAAGGACTGTGCCGGCATCAAGTCCAAGGCTCGAGGCACCAGGCAACATCAAGAGCGGGATACCCTCGCGGAGACTCGTGCTGGAAGAGCCGGAGATTATTAGCTTAGGTTCCGAATCTCAAGCATGTAGAATGTCACCAACCTGTGACATATCATGACGCAGTGGATCCACAGGTGCGCGCGAGATATCTTTTGAAGTCGACCCGTATCAATCTTAGTCCGCTCAAAGTCTTGTTCCGAGTGAGTAACGTGCAGTCCAATTTGCATCGCCAGGTGAAGCGCCGCTCCACTCAACACGTTGCTAATGTCTTTGTGCATCGTGTTGATCGGCACCGGCCAGACACATAGTATGAGAAGTCCTTGGATCGTTTGAATCGGGTTTGCCCGGTTCTCCAGCGAACGGAGTGCGAGCGAGTTTATGTGAGGTGCTAGCATGCCTAACAAGGTCGGATCCCTCTCATATCGCCTGCTTCCCACGAAAACGATGGCCCAAAACAGGAATGGAGAAAGAGTGTAGTATTGGTTCGGACTTAAGGAGGGATCAAGAATCGGGAGATGCGGGGAGTATCGTTGGAAGAACCTAGTCCATCAAATCGTCAGAACCCATCTATTAGATCAGCTATTCGCAAAGCATAGGTAGAAAGTCTTACGCGTCAAAACAATCACTGATTTTGCGCCCCTCGATAGTTTGTCCCTCAAACGACCTGGGGCTAGAATACGACTCGTCGAGCCCTGCTAGCGAGACACATTGGCTTGCAATGGGCGAAATACTCGACGTTCCCGTCGTTGAGCTTGACGATTCGTCGAGATCTGCGATACCGGGTGCGCAATCCATAGCTTGAGGTTGCGGTTGTGGCTCGATCCCGGCCATCCCGCCGAATGCCCCCAATAGTCTCGCTTCGCTTCAGTCGGTCAAGCTCCCGTTGGAGTTGCGCTTTCGTTTTTCTTATGTGGGGATTCGAGGCCAAGATACATACGAGCCCCATCCGGCGGCATCGGGAACATATTTCGGGCGGTTCTGCATCACAGCGTATCTGGCAACAGTTAGAGCCGACTTGATGGTTATAGCTGCTTTGGCAGCGCGCGTCGCGAAAACAGCATCCTACCTTTGTTGCCGGCATTCTTTGCAGGCTTTCCGTCTCCGCTCTGCAACCATCCTGTACCAATATCCGTCATCTCCTGTTTGCAATCGGCAGCGACCACAAAAAATTGCAGGGTGACAGGCCCGGCAAACGCGAGAGCGCAAGATGGAGCAAAATCGGTGATAGTTGGGGAACTTTGGTTTTTTACGGCAACAAGAAAGAAAAGTTGGAGCAGTGCACAGGGTGATTCGGAGAGCTAATCCTACCCCGCACTCGGCAACGCCACTAGCGAGTTGAAGGCATAGTAACTAGGCCATGTATAGCCTAGCTCTGGCCTGGTTCACGCGAGGAATTGTACGATTGGGACCAGTAATATTGATTCTTTTAGAATTGGACATTGACCATTGTGAGCTCGTACAAGGAGATTACAAGTGCATGGGAACCTCTCCGACCTTAGAAACCTCTGTTGACCACTAGCTCACCGGGAGGAGGCTACCGCCAAGGCTCAAACCTAGCCATGCACTCTGCGGCGATTGCCACGCGTGCCGAGGTCTCGGGAAGGACTCTTACCACTCAAGTGCCTTGCCCGTTGAGCAACCCGCGCCGCCCTCCTTGGGCCCCGCCGCTAGACTCCGGCTGCTGGAGCAAAGCCCCTGGAACAATTGCTTGCCAAACCTCATGAAGCCAGGTGTAATTCCTCCCAGCCCTATCAGCTCCTTTTCCATTTTGCTCAAACTGAAAGAAAATTCCTGCCCGCCAACCACGACTACGTTCTTGACCAGGTCGACAGATAAGTCGTATCCGTCGAGCGCTAGATCGAAGAACCGCTGGTTCGTGATTGTAATCCCCAAGAGACCTAGATTCGGTTGATTACGGCTGTAGATGAAAGCAAACGATTTTGCAATGACACATTGAACTCCGCAGCCTATGTGGACATGGTCAGAAAGTGCAAATGGGCGACAATGGGTTAGTTGCGGCAACCTACCGAGCAACGCGGACACTGCTTGTTCGCGCGATGAGCCGCAGCCAAAGCCTGTACCAGCTACGACGATATTGAAACCTTCGCCAACTTTTGCCCGAAAGCTTGGATGGGTAAACTCCAAACAATGGGACCCCAGTTCCTGCTCTGTTCTGGCCGAAACTAGGTACTGTGCCGGAGCGAGCTGTTTCATCTTGTCAGCGCCACTTCACCGAACTCGGACTCTAGGCTGAACAGAGGCTAACTTACAGCGTCTGTGTCAACGAAATCACCAAGCCGTTGGATTTTACCCTTGATGCAATCTCCTGTCCGTTCAGGGACACCCGGCGTAGGCCCTGTTGCCTGATCCGGGTGTTCCAAGGACACTGATTCTGCGTCTACGCCCTTTCCGTCACCCGTGCCGAGCCCTTCAGTGGCACATTCGGGTGGGTCAACATAGAGAGGCTCAGAGCTCGTCCAAGGTTTCAGCGACCCTCTGCCCTTGATTGCATCCCAGCGCCCCGAGTCGATCATATCGATTAATGGTTGGGGATCTGTAATGCTCATCGAGAAGGAAGATGCTGCGACCGTGGCGGCTGACGCCAAGTTACCAATCGACCCTGGAAGATTGCATTGTTAGCAACGAATGAAAAGGACCTTTGTTTCATGCAGTTTCATCAGATCTTACCTGCTCCCATCCTGTTTTCGAAATTGCGATTCTGCGAGGATAACCACACTTCCCCTCGCCAGCCTTGTCCGCAGACATACCAACGCAATAGCTACATCCCGGCAGGCCGATCTCGAACCCAGCTTCTTCATACACGGCAGTCAAACCCGTCTTCTGCAACATGTCTAGGATGGGACGTGAGCCAGGAACGACTTTTCGTTTGCCCTTTTGGACAGGTCTCATTCCGTTCTTAAGTCCTTGCTCAAGTACTAGAGCCCCAAGAACAAGGTCCTCTTCGGCAGTGGTACAAGCACCGATAAAACAACCATCAAGGACCGTATTCGTCATTTCGGACACTGGCACAACATCATCAGGATTGGGATACTTGGCGATGAAAGACTGAGCTTTTGCGAGATCTATAACGCAGGTCTCGGCGTATTCCGCGTCTTCATCGGGCCGGAAATAATGAGAGTCCTTCTTGTGTTTCGGTAGCTTCCGCGACTGGATGAAATCTTGCGTAATTGCATCCGGGACGAAGACCCCGGTTATCCCGCCGAATTCCTATAGGGCTGTTAGAGAAAATCACGGCAAGTAGCACTACTAGTCGAATAGTCGGATACGCACAGTTGTCATGTTCGCTATGGCAAACCGGGCATCCGGCGAAAGGTACTGCAGGCCCGGGCCAGTATACTCCACGACACGGTCAGCAGCAACCGTGTTTCTCTTGAGCTGTTGAAGAACGTAGAGAATCACATCTTTGCCGCCAATCCCACGGGCGGGTTTGCCCTCGAAACGAATGTTGACGCACTCGGGAACCTTGAACCAAATTTCTCCCGTAACCAAAGCCATCGTGACGTCTGCCACGCCGAGACCTATCGCGAGGCACCCGACCGCTCGGAAGAACACGTATGGGAGTCGGATCCGATGATGAGGCCCCCAGGCTGCGCGCGTTCTCTGAAAAATTCCGTATGCATAATCGTATACTGCCGATGATCGTCAGAAATTTCGTCTTGGAAGCACTTTACGTCCAAACGAAGATACTTACATTCATTCCTTGATACTCGGTAAGCTTAAACACGCTTTTTGCTCTTTCTGAGGATTCGATCAAGTTCTTGACGACTGGGTGGTTGTTGACACGAGGATCGACAACATGATCGCCAGCAAGCCAAAAACGGTCATTTCGAAAGATTCCCGGCTTCCCCAGAGTTTCATAGGTCCGCTCCATAGCCTATGGCCCACACCTCATGTTAGCCACGTTTTGATGGGAGGGAGGCTATGAGGTATTGCTTACACTCCAGGAAGCCTCGGAGGCCATGATCCAGTCCACATGGACACGTATTGTCTCACCGGATCGGACATATCCTTTACACTGCGTGTCATGCATGCAGAATATTTTCTCGGCTAGCGTCATGGGTCTACGGCCTTGCGGTCGGGTAGGGGACGGGCGCAATTTGTGCTGCGAGCGGTCTTCAGAATTAAGAGATTCGAACCCTTCAAGGATGTTGCGTTAGGCCTCATTCATACGTAGAAAAGTACGGGATGGTGTGCCTACAAGCCGATATGAGGAACTCAACCTCCGTGATATCCTCATCACCCAAAGTGTCATCTTCTAGTTGAAGACCTCCGTGATTTGTAGCTGTTTTACAGATTTGCACAACATGGTCGAGAGCGCCTGCTTCTCGGTCATATTTAGCAGCCCGTAGCGTGACAGCTACGCTCTCGAGACTGCGGAGGCTGTTCTCTCCAGAACCCACTACGCGGCGTACAGTTAATCCAGGGTAAATGGGAATACAGATACATATGTAAGGGGGATGCTAACCTTTTTGCAAATCATCTAGTTGTATGCCTCGTAACGTGGCGAGCAAGACTCCCACGCGTGAAACGAGATCCGAAGGGGACAACTGAAGTGCGTCGTTGGTGGTCATTGCGGGTGGCTGAATATTCTTGGTATTGTAAGATACTTGTGCGGGAGCGAAAGTCTAGAACCCTGCACAATGTGATTCAAGGCTTTATAGTCTCCTTGTATTGGTTGTCGACACAAAAATCGGCTTCTCGCCCTTTTCAGCAGGGGAAATTGGGCCATCCCGACAAGGCCGACTTCGTGTTGCCGCATCGGGGAAAATCGGCCAAACGCCAAACAGCTCCCCGGAACTAGCTTCCTTATTAACCCCAATTCTCGCTTCCGCTACCCTGCATTACCGCAAACTCAAAGAGTACTACAATCTCTAATCCAACATCCCATTCACTAATAGACATGGCCGGACATAACCAGGAAAACGGTGAGCGACTACGCGGTGCCGCAAGGCTCCGCAGCCTCTTAGCGGAGGGAAAAGGCATCTTGGAATGCCCCGGTGTTTACGACGGCTATACTGCGCGTATCGCGCTCCAAGGAGGATTCGATTGCCTTTACATGGTAGGCTGCCTAATACCCTCTTTTCTTATAACCCGTCGCATTAACTCCATCATTAGTCGGGTGCAGGGGTTACCATGTCGCGACTTGGCATGGCGGATTTGGGAGTTGCTACCCTCAACGACATGAGGGACACGGCCGCCATGATCGCCTCATTGGATCCCTATACTCCTCTAATTGCCGACGCCGATACTGGCTATGGAGGTGAGTCAATATTTTTTAACTGCATATCACCATTTCTAAGTTTTCCCAGGGCCGTTAATGGTGGGCCGGACTGTTTCCGAATACATACGAGCCGGTGTTGCTGCATTGCATCTCGAAGATCAAGTAGTCACCAAGCGATGCGGGCATCTGCTCAATAAACAACTTGTTTCGGAGGAAGAGTTTTTAGCACGCATCAAGGCAGCCGTGATGGCACGAGCAGCATCGAATGGCGATATTGTTATCATTGCTCGGACGGATGCGCTGCAATCCCTAGGCTATGAGGTCGCGAGAGACCGCCTGCAGAAGGCTATCGAGATGGGAGCTGATGTGGCTTTTCTGGAGGGCATCATCACTACTGATGAAGGCCGGAGAATCTGCGAGGACCTGAGCCCGACGCCTGTTTTGTTCAATTGCGTCTCCGGGGGCGTTTCTCCTGAGTTGTCCTCCGCAGCTGCAGCGGAACTAGGCTATAGGATCATCATTTATCCCACATTCGCACTAGGTCCTGTTTATGCGGCGGTTTTCAAGTCTGCGACCACTTTGAAAGAGACGGGATGTGGGCCGTCGATGCCTCCCGAACTGACGCCCAAGTCTGTATTTGAAGTTTGCGGGCTCAAGGAGGCCGTTCAGTTTGACATTGAGGCTGGGGGAACACTGTACTCTAGTGGAATCTAGCTAGCTACATGTACATACTTGAATATGACTACCTGCGTGTTATGCGGTTGGTCTTTACATCTAAATCTAAATGAGCTGGATTTATCAAAGTACCTGCATCAAGTTCTCTGTCTATGGTATTCGCTCGTCTTGCTCTTTTGATACTCTATTATTTTGACAACCCTGCGACTTTGGCGCCACTGCAAATCGTCTCATTTCCCTTTTGATCTGTGCAGCTGCAACGTGCTTGGCTCAGGCCATTTCGGCGCATTCTCCGACGCAGCCTCTACGCTTGCCGATGTTCGCCGACATTCGCCGGCGCTACGACCAAGAACAACCCGCACCCCGCATCATTCCCTGGAGCGCTAGCCGCGTCTGGTAAGCGCTGAATCCTAGATCCAAGAAGCACATCGGCGAACCAAGAAGACTTCAACGCAGACTCGTCAAAATTTCAACTCCTATTAAAGACGCGAAATGCCACGGGATTTCTGGAGATGTAGACAAAGGTGTTGGTATGCAATCCTCGCTTCACGGGTTACACGCTTTACTGACATCGAGGTTCCGCTCCAATCCAGCCCCGACAAATTGCCACAATGACAGATTCCGAGAAAGGCCCCGGCTCGGGCCCGAGTACGCAGCATGAGGAAGTTCCAGTGTGGACCGTACCAACTGGAGTTCATATCAAGAGCGAAGCTGAGAAGCGCCTGGTTCGGAAGCAAGACTTTTTGATAACCACGTTGCTCTCCGGATGCTTTTTCTTTGCCTATCTGGTACGTTCTACGTCCAAATTCCCATACACGCTGCTAATTCCTTCGTCTCTCAGGATCGTGGTGCGATCGGCAATGCCAGAATCATGGGTTTCCAGGCAGCCCTAGGCCTTACTGATAGACAATATTTCAACTGTCTAATGATGTTTTGTGAGTTTTTCTCGGGTTCTAGAAGAGTAGTGATTTATTATACTAACGTCAAGGAATAGACGTCGGTTACATGGCTTTCGAATTTCCAGTCTTCATCATGATTCGGCGATTTCACGCGCCTACAGTTTACGCCTTGTCTGTCATAGCTTTCGGCGTCGCCGGCCTCTGCACAGCCTACGCGAAAACTTATGCCCAAGTCTTAGTTTTGCGACTGATCCTGGGTTGCGGGGAGGCTGCTGTCCAAACCTCGTTCTTGTTCGTGTCCCTGTGGTATCGCCGGGAGGAGCTTGGAACTCGATGCGGTGAGTGATGTTTTATTAGCTCTCTATCAAAGACGGGCAAGTCTGACCCTTACTAGGATACGTATATTGCACAACGCCCGTGGCGGGAGCCATTGCGGGTCTAATTGCCTACGGAGTTGGCCAAAATCTTGATCGTGGGCCGTCACACCTTGCCCCGTGGCAGTGGCTTTTCATCATCGAAGGTATTCCGACTATCGCGTGGGGACTCCTTGTCTGGGTCCTCTTGCCTCAGTTCCCAGAGAATGAAGTCGAGAGTAAAAGGTCAATCTTCTTCAAGCGCGAGGAAGAGAAGAAGCTGATCCTCGAGCGGGCTGTTGCAGGTATGGCTTGGTCGTTCACTTGACATTGAGGACCAATTTGATTTTCTGACATAATATAGCTCACTACGCCCTCCACTCAAAAATGCGCCCATTTCAAATGTGGCTAGCCATCAAAGACCCCAAGGTGTGGATGATGGCCCTTGGTGTCGCAACGCATGCAACCGCCTTGGCCGGGTTCGGGTAAGTGGCTTCCCGCGGTGAATGACGAAAATACGAACGTTGACTAACTTCGATGCAGCGTCTTCCTGCCCACCTTCTTCCGAGAATTTGGCTTTGATCGACGTATGTGGCCATCCCAGCTGAACCCACCGGAGTTTGTAGGAGAAATTCATCTCAAGTGCTAACTTATCTTGGCAGTCACATCCCAGCTCTACACTATAATTCCATACAGCTGCGCGTTCATTGCTTTGTTGTTCGTATCTTACGCGTCCGATAGGATTCGAATGCGTGCCGTTCCCTTGCTTGGCCTCACGGCATTAGCCATCGTAGGCTTTATCATCATGCTCGCGACGCCAAACGCCACTGCAGGCATCGTGGGTGCGTGTCTGATTAGCACGGCAGTATACCCAGCCATCGTCTTGTTCGCTGCCTGGATGCCGAGCAACAACGCCGGCTACACCAAGCGCGCAACGGCGACTTGGATTTCCCAAATCACCATCCAGACTTTCAGCATCATGGCCTCCCAAATTTACGACAAACCGCCACGTTTTTTCACCGGACATGGCACTCTGCTCGGGTTGTTTGTACTAACCTTCGTCTTCATTCTCGTCATTGTCCTGTTGATGAAGCTGGACAACCGGAAAAAGGAGGAAGCGGCGAGGCAGTTCGAAGCGACGGGGAGGTAGACCCGAATGGCAGCAAGACGCTAGAAGAGCTGTGTGACACGCACCCATCGTACCGGTACGTGTGGTAATATACAATGGGAGGTCCGCTTTAGCTCCATGCTACTTGTCCGTCCGCGACACAAGGCGAGGTGTTGTCATGGGTGGTTACGGATGGCCGATGGCTGAAGCTCCCACACGCATCTTTTCGCCAAGGATAGCCACGTATTTAACCCCGTAGTAGAGTCGGGACACAAATTACAATTATATTTACCATGTGGCCCGGACCAGTGATACGACAATGCTACAGAAGTGCGATCGGTCTCGCTCAGTTTGTAAAATAAAAACCAGCCAGCGGCGCTTATGATGGTGATAAGTCCGGAGTGCCAACCGGTCTCTACATCCTGCAGTGATGAAGTTGTGGTCGATTAGATACATGATGGGGGCCATGCGTGGCTCTGGACGGTGTGCAAGGATCTCATGCATGTAACGCGGACTGCAAAAGGATTGGTTTCTCCGATAGATGTTCGGTATCAAGGGCGACGCACGCAAGTCATGGTGATGTGATCAGGCAGCAACCGACGATGCAGCCAACTAATGAGGCAATCGGTGAAGGGCGAAGGATATTGGACAGGGCTAGGTTAGACGAACCGCGGCTTTTATTTGTTCTGCTACTGCCCCTTAATCACCGCTTGCAGCTGCCATCCGACAGGATAGCTGAAGTTACATGTAGGCTGCGTACTCGGCGCTTGCCGCCATCCTGAATGTTGGGGTGGCGCTCTGCAAGCATTGCTGTTGGTTAGCTGAAATTCCACTTCCACCCTCTTCCCAGTGCGACGGTTTTCCATCCGTCTTGCCGTAGAGGAGGACACCAATTGTCTTGGTATCTCTCTCACAAGTCTTGGATACAGCTCTCACCAGCGTATCCACCTCGTAGATCAAAGAGCTCCCATTTCTTTTAACCGCTCTGAAATCAGCTCGTGGGCAGCCATAGTCTGCAGAGCCGTGGCTTTAATCCAGTTTCGGTCGTGCGTATCGAGGGAAGCAAGGCCTTTCTGAAGGCTGTCGAGATCACTGGGGACAGCGCCCACGACCTGTAGCCAAGCATCGCGACGTGGAACAGGTGCCAGAATTCCGTCCATCCAGATGGATGTTTCCCTCCTACTAAGAAGTTGGACGGCACCAATAAGCTCCGAGCGGCCGGGAAAATGACATCGAAATGCTTTTGTCGTGAGGCCTTCCTCTCGCAACCAAGTAGACACGAGGCTATCGCGTGAATTCAAGTAATCAAGTCCCCCGAGCAGGACTGTAACTGCCAGCAACGAGATGATATCCCAACCTCCTTTCACGATGGCATACACCATAGCAATCGGTATAAAGAACTCAGAGACGCGAAACCAGATCAAGACAATCGAACTGGACTCGTCGATCTCGACCATGGGTTTATTCAGCAAGGTATCTATCATCCCCGATCACCCATGTATAGAGTCCAAGTGGTTGCGTTTTCATGCGCTGCGACAAGCATGCAGCCCGAATGAACCTCCCGATTTCGAAGGTATAGCGGTGGTCGTTTGACATTGATACGTAGGGCCAGGAAACGCGCGACGGCTCGAATGAGGAGGAGAGCACCTGTACCGATGCATTGGTACTCGGTCAAGACCAAGGCTGCTACAGAGCTTAGTAGCAAAAATGGCCACTGAGAAGTGGTGAGACGCTGAAACTGATCTAGGGCGCTATTCACGACTCGAGGGTGTTCTCTTTCTCGCGAAACATAGACGATGTCGAGATACTGGCGACGGCCATACTCCTGTTTACGCTGGACGACGTTTTCTACCGTTTCTCCACAGTAGACATCGCTCTGAAATGCTGGTGGTGACTCCAAGTCATCTGAGGGATCATGTTGGAAATTCTTTTCGAGATCTGCCTTGTTCGCCAGTATCCACTCATTCAGGTTATCCTCAGATATTGTCAGAGGGACCTTCGCTTGACGAAACGCGTTTTCTTTAACGCAAGACGCCACCCCACTATTGTAGCAGGGGAACACACTCCCCCATTGTACATCGTAGACTCGAAGTGTGCTGTTCGCGTCACTCGCATTGTCCATGAAGGATTCTCGTTCGCCAAGGAGCTGGGCGATACCCATAAAGTCCCAGGCCCTGAGATTTATACTCGGGCAGACCTTGGCACGTAGAGACACCAATGTTGCCACATCGTAGGCCGTTCGCATGCTATATGCATATACCGTGATTGGAATAATGTAGGCGCATATGACGAGGACCTTGGGGATAGTCGAGGAATCTGGTGGGCTTGACAAGGGGGTGGTTTGAGACCAACCACCCAGAGCATGCGCCCTTGGTGTCGAAGGGCATAGCAAGACAGCAACAGCAATGGTAGGGCCAGCAAGGTGTAGTAGCGGACGGTACTGACGTGTATTCGGTCGGTTCGACGATAAGAAACCTGTCACGTCTTGTGAGCGCCTCTACGGAATGATGGTTTCATGCTAGTTTCATGGGAAGCTAACTTACCCATTCTCAACTTAGAATTGAGTCACACTACACTATTCACGACGCTTTCGGTGATTTGGGAATGCAACTACTTTGAAATATTTTTCTCTGTGCGTGTTCTAAGCCAATCACGCTCTAGCCGTAAAAGCAGAACAAATAAATAAAAGGGTAATTCACCCAGCAGAGCCGAACACCGCAACAAGAAGAATTCCACAAAATCGGCTCTACTGTGATCACGGTCGATCTATAAAGTATCAAAGAAACTCCGGGGCATCGGATAGGAGGGGGAACCGCCAATCATACCACTTGACTCCACGCTCGTTTCCCTAGGGTCACATTAGCTGGGCCCCCAGGTCCAGTGCAATAGTCTCCGCCTGGTCCTCTCACAAGTTTTCCGACTACGTAGCAATGGTATGTATGTCTAGGTAAGGCTCCCAAAGAACCACGCAGCTGTGGCGTGCCTAACTACGTGGCTCCTCTCAGAATCGCCAAGACATCGCACCTTTGAAAAGTTGGCAAATCATAAAAAAAACTGACAGCGCAAGACCAATGTACCCCATCAATTCTGACAAAAGGCTATGGTAAGCACCTGATGCTGATGATACATCTTTTCCACATGTAAACTTAGCTGACATGGAGCTGGGGGTATAATCCCTATCGAACTTGGTAGGTAGTGCCGTAATACTCGGGTATCGCTTTCCTTCCCACTACTGGACTAAGGACGCAGGCCGGGTGGGTGATCAGGCAATATAAGAGTCGGTGATTGCTCTAGGGGATGGGACTCACCAGGGCGGGTGGCTACATTCATGCTGTCTTCGGCCGCGACGACGTGGGCCGGGCTATTGAGTAATCATGGGCCACTTATACACACCGCTCGTCCTACTCTGGGCCATGTATGGACTCATCGCCGCTAGGAGTGCTCGAATGGTAGTGATCGATACCGACCTCTTCTCGGATGTGGATGATGTTGGCTCTCTCGCCATAGCCAATGTGTTACACGGCTGCAACGTTGTTAACGTCACAGGCATCGCCATTAATACACACTCAAAATATGGTGCTTTAGCCGCTAGCGTTATAAACACGCATTTCGGAAACCTCGATATACCTGTGGCCGCCATCCGCCCGCTGTCGAACCACACTTTTTTCGATATATACGCTTTCCGGTTAGCCTCTCCTGTTCCACTCAAGCCACGCTAGTATATCAAGTTTTGACAAGATCGACAAGTAGCCACGGCGAATATGCAGCGAAGCTAGCCCATAACTGGCCTCGGTCTATAAACGACTCGTCCATGACACCAACGCCAGTCTCCCTCTACCGTAGGGTGCTCTCGTCAGCCGAGGATAACAGCGTGACGATAATATCTCTCGGATTCCTCACCAACCTAGCCACGCTGATGGACAGCCACGCGGACGCGATATCTCCCCTTATGGGCCGTGCTCTCATCTCCACAAAAGTGAGGGAGCTAGTTGTGATGGGAGGGCAGTATCCCTCAGGCAGGGAATTTAACTTTGCTGGGAATGATATAGCGTCAACGCGGCGCACCGTCAATCACTGGCCACATCATGTCCCAATGACCTTTTAGGGTTCGAACTCGGCAAGGATGTCATCTCTGGCGCTGGCCTTGCCTCCCTCGCCCCGTCGTCCTCACCGATACGTGCAGCGTACGAATGGTACGTCGGTCGCTGCAGCACACTGAGGGAATCCTGGGATCCTATTACTACCCTGTACGGCATCCTCGGCCTCGAGCCCCATCCTGAACTTGGCATTGGAAAAACTTTTGAGTATGCGAACGACTTTGGGTATAACTGGGTGTCGCCAGATGGCTCAAATGCATGGGTAAACGACTCTAGGGTTACAAATCAACACTGGCTGAAGCTGACGGACCTAACTACGAACACCAGCCTGGCGTCGTTGCTAGACACGTTCTATACGCATGATCCAACCAGGAATGGCTGCAAGTTTGCAGCTTCCGACGTGGCAGCTTCCGATGACGCACCTCTGCAGTATCGCGTCACCCGGCTAGACTTTCCTGACTTCTACTCCTTGATCTACAGTTGCCACTTTTCCTTTCATTTTTGGTTCTTTTATGTTTTGTGGGTGCGAGTTTGATATCCAAGTTTTTATGCAGAGTTAGGCAGAAAGGCCAAGTGAGCTTTCAGTTAATTTGTCCGAATCAGCAATGACACATTTTTACCCAAGCAGCCTGCCTCGGCGCGTGCATATAACCTCACCGCCACCAACCAACCGTTTCCATCGATGACCCCAGCCCCTCTTCCTACACCTTGCCGCGGGCTTGCCATACCGCCTCATTTCTTTTTCTTTTCACACCCTTGCCCTTCCTTTGCCCCTCCTTTACCCCTCCAGTTCCGTCTGGTCTTACCTACACCTTGTTGCCCGCTGTTAGCTCAGACTTGGGGGTCCCCGCAATCCCACTCAATTTTTGTTTCATCAAGTTGTATCCTGCCATGGTTTGCATTCCTGTCGAGTTGACCCATTCCTTGTCGTGAGAGCTCAGGAAGCCCAGTCGGGGTCATCTCCGTCAGTGTCCGAGTCTAATGCCCCAATCCTCCTCAGCCACACCTCGCGGCGCGGAACCGGGGCCAGAATTCCATTCATCCAGTATGTCTTTTTCTCGGTGCTGAGAAGCTGTACCGCCCCTAGGAGCTCGGAACGACCCGGGAACTCGCAAGTAAAGCTGTCGAGTACGAACCCTTCTTCTTCGAGCCACCGGGCTGCATGCTGATTATTCCCTGAGAGGCTCGTCGACGCCCACATCAGCCCCATCAGTACCACAAATGCAACACCATCCCAGCCCTTCTGCGCTGCCACGTAGGTCATGGCGAGAACTTGGGGGACCTCGGCGAACTCGAAATACCACCGCACGATCGGATGTGCTCTTCCTGGCTCAACCATGGGCTTATTGAGTAGAGAGTCGATCATGCCCCGGTGTCCCAAGTACAGCGTCCATGCCGTTGCATTGTCATGCAGGGATGTGAGCATGCAGCCATCATGGGTTTCGCGATTGCGAAGGTAGAGAGCGCTGCGTTTGAACTCGACAGTGTGGAGAAGAAAGCGAGAAAAAGCCCCAATTGCGAGAAGCAACCCGGACCCGATAAGCCTACATGCCAGCAGAGCAGCTGCGAAGATCAAGGAAACAAACAGCTCAAACAATTTCCAGCGGGTAGTTTGGGTTATCGCTCGCAGCTTCTTCCTCCTGTTGTATGATGTCTCCAGCTTGCTAACAACGAGGACTTTCAGCAGTTGACGCCGCCCAAAATTGGTCTTGCGCTCCACGAGGTCGTCGAGGCTATTTCCACAATGAACCTCGCTCACTAACCCAATGTCATCGCAGGCCTCAAACCAGGATAAAAAGCTCTCGCGGTTTTCGTGGCGGATCCAGGTATTCAAACGCTTCATGGAGATGTCTGGCTTATCGGTCTTGGTCCCGGGGAAGGCATTTTCCTCGACGGCAAGAGCAGCAGCGTTGTTGTAACAGGGGAAAACGCTCCCCCACTGCACGTCGTATACTTTGAGCGGGTCCCCTGCCGCACCTGCGGTATCGAAAAACACCTCGGCCTGCCGCAACATCTTGGCGATGCCTCCCAAAGCCCCGAGTTTTGGGAACGCGCTGACCGACAGCCTTCCCCGCAGTGCCACCTCGCCAGCGAGATCATGGTCCCTGCGCGGGCTGGACAGGTAAAATGCAAGCGGGATCAACGCCGCCCATTCTTCGATCAATCGGGGAACGTCTGGGAGCTGGGACCATATCTTGGAAGTTGGTTCTCGGCTGTCGGTTGGTGTCGGAGTGGTAGTGTTTTCATCTTGTCCACTCACAAGGGCGAAATTCTGAAGGATGAACGCCAGTATGGCGATCCGAGTACATGTAGAGACAAATCCTTGATCCAGCAGATGTGCCTGAAGGCGATACAATGCATTGGCCGCCGCGCGTAAAGTCCTGTAAGTCACGGACGGCGGGGTTGGCCCGGCTCCTCCGGAGAGAGGTCTTGAGTGCCATCCCTAATCCCGCCTCCTTGCGGCAAACTTCTAAAGCGTTAGCACGGTAGCGATAAGTACGGTTGAAAATGAAGAGCATTCGACCTGCATGGGGTATCGAAGCCCTAGAGGAAAAAGAAAAAAAGAAAAAGAAAAGAGGCGTCATTTTCCGTACCTTGAAGTGGTGATTCCGTCCTCGTCTCCCCGCGCCCCCGCAAAGTCGCCCGGATCAGAATTTAGGTCCGGACCCACACTCATAGGGTTGTACCGCAGCTCGGAACTGTGCGTAATGTGGGGTTTGATAAAGGATGAGCAACGCGCCAAACCCGTTGCGGAATTAGATAGGTTTCACCTGGATTAAAGGTTAAAGGGACCCTTGTTGAGATGAGATATGGCAAACTAGCGCGACAGGGTCCAGGCTCTTTGCCACTTAAGTAGGAAAGTACTCCAAGCCCCGTTTACCTCAACCTACATGTCTTGCAACGGTGCTGAGCCAGATGGGCGCTCTCCCGCCGACCCAACAACACATGTAGCATTGGTAAGTGTCTGAATAACACTTTGGTAGAGTGAGGTGAATCATTCCTATCACGAAAGTGAAAAAATCGTCGCCAGCAACGCGCATGGCTTGCTTGACCTCTAGCTATAGCATCCAGAGCCTGGGCATCCAGAGCCTGGTGGGGTTACACACGGTCCTCTTTTCCCTCCAATGTCACCTCTCATCTGCCATGGTGTGCATGTACAAGCCCTAAACCAAGGCCAGTACCGACAAAATGAGGTGAAAGATGCGAGCCTGGGTTGATGCCTAACCTTGGCGGCAGATTGTATCAAGGCTCGCTTGGGAGTAGCATTTGTAATACCTAAGACCTCCATTCTTCGGTTGCCTCGGCCGCAGTTGGGCATCACCGACTGAGTCCCTATAGGCTAATAATTGCCCGAAACCCTCCCTTTCAGTCCATTTACGCGGCGAGGCTATCAAGTCTCGCCGGATCGTAGCGGACGAGGCTAGGTAGTAAGTCCGGAGCCCACACATACACAGAAGCGGGGTACGCAGATGAGCAAGCTTCGTGAAGACGGCTGAAGTGACGACTGGCTTCAAGTCGGTTTACTCAAATATGATCTATCACATCGCGCGTCTTATTTATCTTGAATGAGGCAGAACGAGTAAAGGGCTGACTCTTCCGTTCGGCTATGATGGGATTCTTGGAAAAGAAAGGAAGATATCTAAGGTGCCGCGCGACCGAGGAGACAGCACCTTCGGTGCCACCCTTTCTTTGATTTCTAGCTAGCGAGTCCCAAGACCTGTCGTTGGGCACATATCACAAGATGCCGGCTACTCCGTGGTCTCCAGCTGGGAGAGACAAAAACGAAGAAAGTGAAAAAGGGGAGGGGGAATGAAAGCCAAGCCATACATGAAGGAAAGAATTGCAAATGTTCGGTAACCTGATTTCATGCCATTGTATTGCTGGCAAATTAAGACGGCGACGCTTCACTCCGGTCAGGCCCCAACGAGTCTTCGGCGATAGCCATATATGATTGTCAAGTCATGCACCTCAGTTATCTGGCCTCTAACGTGGTCAAACACGTTCTCTGCGGCGAATTCAGGGCAAGCCAAGAATATTCCGTTCGACAATAGCTCATCGGTTGTGTGGCAGTACATGCCCAGTTAACCTACTCGACCTTAATCGCCATGGCCGCATCTTTAGCTGTACCTGGGGAGAGCATCCGTCTCACTCCACGCGATGGCAACAAATGTCGCGTCACGAAACTCTTTGACGTCCACGCACCGGACCTCTTCGACCTCGCCATTTCGGAACGGGAAGTAGCGCTCCAGATACTCGAGGGGTTAAGGTACGGGTGACTCTACTTTTTTGTCCTTTACTTCCTTCTTCTTTTTGCGACGTAACCTCAGAAAGATATTGTTCGCTTATCTTCGAGCCCATTATAACAAAGTATTGTATCTTTAGATTCGACCGTAATGACGTTGATCCTGTCGTAAAGGCAGCCGAGATAACCACTAAGATTATCAAGCCTAAAGATCAATCCCAACCCACAAGTTCTCTAGCGCATGACCCTAACAGGTCAATCTTGAATGACGCGATGTCCTATATTAAAAACCGTCACTTCGGGGACGAAGTTTCCAAAGAAGAGAAGCGTTGTTATGAGAGAATCATCGACACACAAATGGTACGTTCCATGGCCCTGATTTGCTATCTTTCGGGCGATTCGCAAAACCGCATCGACATAAAGGATATTTTCTTCGCCGGTATCCGCGCCATGAATACTTTGGCAGAGTTGATCGAACTCTTGAAAAGTGGCGACGTCTCCCATTCAGGCATTAGCAGCAAGGGTGTCGAGTGTCAAGCTACCATGGTCATAGATGCTGCGCGTAAACGGGGCGACTACCTACGCCAGCTGATAGAGGGTTTATGCATGTTCTGGGACCTAGGTATATGGCTGCTCGGCACCGCACGAACACGAGCGAGAGTGCTTGTGGAATACTTCGAACCTCTGAGTGACCTCAACGTCATTCATCCGTCTCATTATCGAGATGCAGTTGACCAAGCCCTAAGAGACAATCAGGGTGTCGGCATTCTGTGCCCCAGGACTCTATATGCCATAACTAGGAGCTCCGTACCACCATTTGTGCAACCACGCCAACTTGTGGCAAGGCTGAACGCACTTAACTTGGAAAGGTTCCACATCGACTGCACAGAGGACGCGTGCAAGCGGGATACCGATGGTGTGAACCCAAAGCCCCCATCCTACCACCTACCGGGGTGTCAACCACACGGTGATGAGCGTTGCGGGTACAGAAAGCCACCTATACAGTCATTCAATAAGTTTAACCGCATGATCAACTATGGACAAATGCCAGCCGTGAATGTTCACTCAACAAAAGGTAGTGATTGGTGGATAGCCGCCTCAGAGAAAACGCTCACGATAACACATGGGTGGAGGGACGGCATCACTGGTATGAGGGATAAACCTGGCCTTTCCTATTGCCTTCACAGATACTTCTCAGACCTTGCCAAGAAAAACAACCTCAACAGCTACTGGATAGATTGTGCCACCATACCCAAAGACAAACGACAAAGGAAAACGATGATTCAAATGATCAACCGTACCTTTCACAAATCAAGCATGACTCTTTGCTGCGATAACCGCATCGCTAGGGCCCCGTCACTCAGGGATAAAGGAACGGCTCTCCTTGCTATCGTGGGTTCCTATTGGAATAGAAGAGCCTGGACAGCATTTGAGGGACACATGGCGACAAACATTCACTTTATGAGGGAGAATGATTTGTATAATCCTTTCCAAGTACAACAAGCTATCAAGGAAGTCCTGAACAAAAATCCCCGTGGACCCCAGATCCCAAGGGAGCGGAGTCTAGAAGAGGACCCTCCAGCTCCGCTCTGGTTAATGTCCAGCATAGCGGAGCTTGAGATTTATACGAACAAAGCCCTCACGCCTGAGTGTTCCGGAGTCTTTCTCTCCACTCGCTACGCTTCTAGACCCGATGACGCTGAGCTGATATGGACCCTTCTCGTAAAACCTTTCAAAAACTCGGTTAAAAACCTGGCTTTGACCCCGGTTCTGCATTCGACTTTTGTACACAGATTGACTCGGCGTTCATCTTTTCGAATGCCCAACGATCGCTGAAACCAGGCTGTTGTTGTATGCCAGGAAAAGTATATACGTCCAAATGGATAGAATACGCCCTTGGGGGTCAACAGGCGACCAAAATTAAGGGAGTGCCATTTCAGCTGCGAGGTGAATGCTTCCGAAAGATGGCTGTCCTCGAAAACATTGACTGGGCTTCTACCTTTGACAATCTAGCCGCCGACCTAATAATCAAGATGAAGGCGTGGCTAAACGACCCATCCTATGAGAAAATTGTCGTCTGTCCAGTATGGCGTGTGGGTCCACGAAAGGGGAGATGGAAGCAAGCTATTCTCATGACACGTAAGAAGAAGCTTTTGGTAGACATGTCCCCTGTCACGACCAAGATTGGCCTCCGTGGCACTGGGAGACAATCGTCGAGTTCCACAGCGAAGAGTCCTTTGATCAGACTCACATTGCCACACTTACGTTGGGCTGTGGGCATGTGTGCCCTCCCAGTCCACTGCTCACGACGTCTTGCAATTAAAGCTTAGACTACTTGCAGGAGCGGATATGTGATATATAAGCAAGGCGTAGTCGAGGATCTAGTGCGCATGGTTAACCATCTACCTAGCAAAATAAGGATAAAGACAGGACGCGCCCATCAACATAGATCCCGTTCCGTGCTTCTTAATGCTACTGCATGTATAGCTAAGTTTGAAACTTCCCCAAATTAAAGTTGTAGCTCTGTAATATTTTCACTCGCTTTAAACTACCAATAAATCAAAGTTGACCCTCACGTATAAACTACCGATTTGATAATTAGGAGCTCGCGAGCTGTCTCATGAGTAAACTTCTAATGCCACCACGGGCCCTTAAGATGTGAGGGCTTCGGGCTTCGGAAGAATCCCGAGATCGCAGGTCGAAGATCGATCGCCGTCATCGTGATTGAGACTTACGCTAGTGTTCATTTGTGTTTGGCTTTGAAGAAACCCATCGGTAGGTCATTCAAGTTGCCATTCCAGACGATTTAAACGAGAAGCAGCAAACATCTCTCCGATGTAGAAACTGATCATGCAAACCACGTACGAGGCTGAGATCAGGCTATGCTACATGGAGCCATTTTAGAGGCTCAAAGTACATCGCGTTTGTGCGCGCATACAACATTGAAACCAATTGCGGCGGGTTTATTGGGTGAGAGGATGCGCCCGTAATTCACCGCCGGTGCGGCCCACTGAAATCCGCCGGTGATCTGGTCCGACTATACGACGGGCTAGGCCGATTGTAACGGCCAACGAGAACCGTAGAAACTTGAGTGATGTTAGTGAGTCAATATAGTACGTAGGGATACCCATAGAATCGAGACTCTTGACATAATTCACATCTTGCGGGCATGTTGACATCAGCATTTCTCCAGTGTAGTCAACGCTTTGAGTGCCACAGCCTGTTTCGACCGACCTACAGTCGGAATTAAACTCGTTAGCAGCGAAGAGGGCCCAAGTCCTCATTCACCACCTTGTAACTATGGAACCAATCGACTTATTGGTGATCGGCGCCGGCATACATGGCTTAATCACTGCCAAATCATACGCAGAAAGCGCCACTTCTCCTTACACTATGCGGATATTCGACTCTGCTGCTAGCATAGGCGGTGTCTGGGCTAGCGAAAGGCTTTATCCGGGACTAAAGACGAACAATGTCGTGGGTTCATACGAATTTAGTGACTATCCCATGGATCTGAAGCGGTATAAACTCAAGCCTGGCGACCACATACCCGGAAACGTCGTGCACCAATATTTAGTCGACTTTGCGAAACATTTCAAGCTCCAGGTACAATTACGAACCAAGGTCGAGGCCGCAACCCTGGAGGACGATGGAGTATGGCGCGTGGAGTATAGCAGTTGTCACGGCCGCACGATAAAAGGGGCTCGTTGCGAGTGCGCAAAATCGCCGTGGCCACGGGGCTGACTTCCGAGCCTCACACACGCACATATCCCGGGCAGTTCAAAGGCCACTTCTTTCACGCGTCAGAGCTTAACTTGCGAGCACCCACCTTACGGGAATCGAAAGGTGATGTCCTGGTCATCGGGGCTAATAAGTCCGCCTGGGATGCCTGCTATATGGCCGCCCAACTGGCGCCTTCCGAGGCCAGGATCCACATGCTTATACGGCCTTCCGGTCGCGGCCCTAGCTGGGTATGGCGGAGGCGGAGCGGCTACTTTTCCATCTCGCGGTTGACATCTACCCGACTCTTCACCTGGTTCGATCCGAGCCCTTTAGCCTCCCCTTGCAACGCATGTTCCTGGCGTCCTGGCTTGGGCGTTGTGTCAGTGCAATATTCTGGACACTTCTTGACTACCTTGTCCTCCTAACCACCGGCTATATACCAGCGAAAGACGGACTGCGGCCGCTACGGCCCTGGTTTTCAACGTTTTGGATGGGCAACTCGCTCAGTGTCCACAACTACGAGACTGACTGGTTTGAACTCGCCAAACTGGGGAGAATTGTGGTGCACCACGCTGAGATATCACGCTTGGACGAGAATACGGCTCGCCTTTCCAACGGACATGTACTGGAACGAGTAGGAACGGTCGTAGCATGCACCGGCTGGGAGCACAGGCCCAACATACGATTCACGCCCCCGATCGTTGGCTCCGGTGAGGGCAAGCCGCTGCAAGAAGAAGACCAGATACTATCGCAAACCTTGGAACTCATTAGCCGCATCTGTCCCGCCGTGCTCAAAAAGACAGACCTCCCAACAAAGCAACAACCGACCCCATATCGATTATATCGATTTATGGCTCCGCTGGAACCACGCCTATGCCAATCTGGGAACATTGCTTTCATCGGGTTTTACCAGTCTGTGCATACAATGCTCGTAGCCCAAGCCCAAGCGCTCTGGGCCTCTGTCTTTTTCGGCGCATGGTCTATCCAGCGCCAGATATGAAGACCTGGACGTATCTGAACACAGAGTACCAGCAATTGCGCCGCTTAGGCTCGCCGTTCCCTGATTTGGTGCTGGATGCTCTTCCATATATCGACCTCCTACTAACGGACCTCGGTCTTTCGCCTTCACGCAAGGCCAGTTGGTGGAAAGACCTCGTTGGGGCACATACGCCGTCTGATTACCAGGGGCTTGTGCGGCAGTGGGTGGCTGCTCGGGCAGAAAAGAAAACTTTGAGATAATAATTTAGCTTTGCTATGGAATTATAGTGCAGATAGAAAAATTAAGCAACGTAAAAACACTTTGCATGATTGTATTAGAAACCATTAAAAGTCAGGGAAAAATAATTGAAGCTATTCTGCGATTTTAACCATACAGTCCCAGCTGTAAACGATCTCAAATTGGGGTTTCGTGAAAATTAGGGTTCCATGCCATGCAGGTTATGGACGATGAATCGTTTTCTCGGCTGAGTAAAGGTATAAGGGTGTGTTGGGTGCGCAGTTCTGCGTAGGACCCGAGGAGGAAAGTCGCCGTCGGCGGTATTGTCCTATAGGACTGCTTGCCGCTCCCGCAGTACTACCAACCACGATGTAATATAAACGCCAGCGAGCATAATCGCCAACATGACGGATATCACAGAGTACCGTTTCGACTTGTTCTCGCTACAACATCCGCATCATCATTATCTAGCGTAGTCGGTAGTAATTCATCATGACGGCCGACGCACAACCCGTCGTCGTTTGCCACCAGGCACTAGAGTCGAAGACTCTGCAAGAGTTCGTCAGCCACGGAAAAGACCTCGCGGGCGACTCCTTTGGGTTCCCCACCTCTGCGGGTCGCGGATACACCTATTACTCTTCGCAATGGGCGTGGAACATGGCAGACAAGGCCATCCGCCTGTATCGTGACCAGGGGTTCCCCTGCGCGAAGGCAAAAGCGCGCCTCTTGTCATCGGGCTGCGCATCCCCGCCACGGTCGAGTCCGTTATTGCCGTTTTGGCCATAATTCGCATGGGCCACACAATCCAGCTCATCGCGCCAACCCTCGGAGCTAGCCACGTCCAAGGTCTCGTCAAGGCGGCCAGGTGCGAATGGGTGGTGAACGGGCTCGACGATTTGGACCCCCGGACATTGCCACTGACGAAAGTCGAGCGTTTGCACGAGGTGGAGACTCAGGAAGGTGACCACAACGTGTGCTGGCTACCTGCCGCCAATGAGGCAAATCCGAATGAAGTCGCCCTCATGATGCACTCGTCAGGGTCGACGGGGCCCCCAAACTCGTCACCAAAACTCACGGCTCCATGCTCTCCACTCTCCGCGGTATTCCTCCCGTGTTCCATGACAAGAGTTTTTATATGGGTTCCTGGTTCCACTGGATGGCCGGTTTCTGCGGAGTGTTGTTTTCCTTTATCCGGTCCGATGTCCGCACGTGTTGGTCCGAGGAGGACGACAACGATGCCGACTCGGGGAAATACTCTCCGAGACCAAGCCCCAAGTAGCGTGGGTTCAGCCCGGATTTCTCTACCAGGCGGCCCAGACCTCCGAGGGGATCGAGGCGCTGAGGCGCTGTATTATGGTGGTTAATGTGGGCGGAGTCTTGTCGACTCGTATAGCCACCCGGCTACTGGCAGCTGGGGTGCGTCTGGCTACCGAGTATGGGATGACTGAGATGCCGTTTGGACTGAGTTCGGCTGCTTCTGCCGGCGATTCCAACTACTGGGATTATGTCCAGCCGGACCCAGAGTCGGCGCCTCATCTCCAGTTTCGGGCCCTTGGCCAGGAAGAAGGCAGTGCGTGGGCCGGCGGCGAACAACTCTTCGAGCTCGTCGTTCTCCCCACACTTCCCGCCATGGATGAGAGGTGGGCCAATACGCCGGACGGGTCGCTGCATACAGGCGATTTGTTTGTGAAACACCCCACGCAGGAACGGTACAAGTGTCTAGGGAGGAAGGCGGATGAAGTGGAAATTAACCCCACGTCTGACGGCGTGGTTATGCTCTGGGCACGCGCTTACGAAAGCGTTGTCGAGAACCGCCATGCGGATATCATAAGTGCAGCTGCGTTGGTCGGTTCCCGTCGGGAAAAGCCAGGCCTGCTTGTCTTTGTCAGATCTGGCGAGGGTAGTGCTTTGTCGAATAGCGACATCTTGGCAAGGATCTGGAAAACGGTCGAGGAGGAACTGAACCCAACGGTGCCTTTGCCTCTGGCCGAGGATATGATTATCTTGGTTCGTGATGCCGTGGTACCACGCACGCCCAAGGGAGAAATGTTGCGGCCCGAGGTGTACTTCAAATTCAGGGATGCTATTGACGGCGCATTTGACAACTAGGTGTCAGATAGCAATGTAGCAAGTAGCGGGCAATATCGAAGCGCGTAAAAACAATAATTGTAACATTGATTAATCTTGTCTATATGATCGTGCTGTACTACCCGAGAACAAACCTGGCCTTATTCGCTCTTTCAGCCATGCTCTCCTCTAGCCGCCGTAGGTAGAGCACGGCCTTACTCGCCAAACCCGCAATACCCTGCGCATTTTTCCCGTCGGATGGCGATTGGACGCGGATCTTCAAACTATTGGCGAGGCCGTCGAGCACGCGGAAGACCAGGTGCAGGTGGATCTCGACGGCGGCTTGGTGATGCATCGGCACCCGGATGGACCCAATCCTCATCAAACTTTTGTGGGCGCCGCTGCCCGCGTAGTCCCCCAGCTTATCCTCCTCGGCGCTAAGCTGGCTTTGCTTGCGCTGGTTTTGTAGTTGGGTGATTAGTGTTTCGAATATGTCGATAAGAGTGAGGTAGCAGGTTGATAGCAGTAAGATGGCCGTCTGCTCCGCCCTGGCCTGTTTATGCTCCGGCGAGGACGGCGGACTAGCAGCCAGTTCTATATTTGTGGGGTCCTGGTCTTCGCCGCCAAGTTGCATCGTCTGGAACTGTGCCACCAGACTCTCGCTGACCATGCACACTTCTTCAATGGCCACGAGGCTGTCGGAGGCTTCGCATACCGATTTTCCCAACGCCAGGAGCTTGGATTGTATATTCACGAGTTGTACCAGCTGGTGGTATGCTGCGTCACCCGCAGCCGCTGGCCCTAGACGGCAATCGTCATCGACATAGGTGTCACTTGACGGTCCGTCCAGCTTCGACAACTTGTCTGCGGGTCTCGACTCGTCTTGGCGGTCGAAGACTATGGTAGGACTCGTGTCCACCTGTGCCTCTACGTCGATCAGGACCATATCTTCATGCGTGAAGTCGGGCCAAGGCGAAATAGCAAACTCCTCCGGCATAGGACCGCCGCCGTGGCTCCCGTTACTGTTGTTGGTCATGGCCATTGAGGCTAAAGCGTCGTCTTGCACTGCCGGCATGAGATCTATCATCTCTGGCAGTATAATGGAGTCCTCCGTGAGTGAGTTGTTTTCGGCAGTCGTCGCGGTGCTATTGTCTCCGCTTGATATCGGTCCGTTGTAAGCGTCGGCAGTCGAAGAAGACGAAAGGCCGGCGGCGTTTCCTCTCCGCCCACGTCCGTATCCAAGTCCTTGCGCTTGCGTCGCCCCCGAGGTCGTCCAACCCGGCCTGGAGGACTATAGCAGCATGCGAGAGCGAGACGATCGCACCTCTGGCATACAGGTCGGTTGGCTTCTAGACGAACGCAACGCGTCTTGATGGCGTGGCACCGGTCGCAGGCATCGCGTATCTGAGCCATGAGGCAGGTACTAATGGTATGTATCACCGAGTAATCAGCCAGGGAAAGCGAGACACGAAGTGAAGATGGCAGGCCAGCTCATCTCACATTGCATCTTTCTTCTTCGATCAGGACTATCTGTTAATTAAAAACTGGAGCCCCTGAAGAAAGTTTCGTCATCCGCCAAGTGCATGTCGTGGCCAATACTTGGGGGCCCGCCTGTGCGTGCTCTGATGCTTCATTGCTGCATACATAGATAGATCTACAAGCTGTTGAGAATCCTTCACCGCATGATCCTTACTTACTCAAGGAATCCTTCATCGTCGGAAACCTGCTCTCTTGTAAAGCTACGCTGAGCCGGTGCTCCGCCGCGACGAGCCCCCTTCCCCGGGCGCCGTCAGTCACTGTCCATGCTAACGGCTGGTGGATTGATTGGCTTGGGCGTGTCGGGGTCGGGTTCATCCTTGCCCGAAGGTGGGCTCGGCTCGTGCCGGAGGGCCTTTGTTATATTCAGTTAGCTCCAACGCTTCTCGACAGGTCCCAGAGCCCCGCAAAGGAGCACTTGTTGTATTGCGGAGCATACGGAGTAGCAGTGCAGCGCAGTGCCGCTCTTGACAGCAAAGGAAATGCCACCAGCGTTGAATGTTACGCAACAAATGAAAGAGATAGGCATCCATCATGGACGCCATCATTCGTCCGCCCTATTCGGAAGCATTACCTTTGTGTCACCATCTGCACACCTCGTGCAACTCCCTGAATACACAGGCGTTTCCCGGGGTTGTAAATACCGATTGGCCAAGCCAAATTTGAGCAACGGTTTCGCAAGGGTTGGTAGGCAGTAAAGTATCCATTGACGTGTGGTCAGCGACATATAGCGAATCCGCGGGAACCGGCCCAAGTACCTGCGGCCCCGGCCTCATTCGTAATACCAGCGCTGCAAAGTGACACCACGTCGGCCGCGCTCGCCGAACGTGGGGAAATCTCACCCAACCCAAATCTGGTTCTCCATTCTAAACAGTACAAAAGAAAGATTCTTCAAGGAGGCCAGATCAGTCACCCTAGACATTGGTGGCGAACCACTCCCGCTCTCGGCTGTCACGGAGAGAGGCTACGGCGGGGCATTCGAGTGACTGGATGGAGGAGGTGGTCCCGACCAGCAGTGAGCAATCCGTTGAAGCCGTGAGCGGCGGTGTTTTCATTCCTTCTCCGTCAATCCCTGTCCAATCGTCCAATCCCAAGTCTCTCTCCATAGTTTCCGGCGTGAATGTTTGTCGTCTGGGCCGAACGATGAATTGATTCCCCGCCCCTTTTTCCTTGTTTGCGATTTAGGGAAACATTTCCCGCCCATGCGTGAAGAATTTGGTACTGGTTGGTCCCTCGTTTCCGTATGTGGCGTTTCCATCTTCTTGACACCCTGTCATTGCTATCCTGGCTGCAGCTCGCCGGTTTGTCCCAAATTGGAAGTCGTTGGGGGCGTAAGCAAATAGAGCTGGCTGGCGTGCCAATGACTCCGTCAAATGTCAACAAGACTCGACAGGATGCCCTCCGTCACACAAGCTCGAGCCTGAGAAGCTAGGCACGGATTGACCCCGTCATCCAATGATGGTAGGACATACTCACCTGAATTCGTAGGGCTAACGAGTCCTACTAGGCCTATATTTCCAACCAATATTGACTATATAGCGGCCCGCGGATCGATCAGTGTCTCTTCATCAATGTTGCTTATAAAACCCACCGGCAACTACTCGGCAGAATCCAATCTATTCATTCATTCATGTAGCAGTGCACATTGAAACCCGCCGTACCGCGTTCGCACACCCACGGGAGCCTCAGCCCAGAGCTTTCCATTCCCGCCTCCCCATCCAGCTCAGGGCGCAAAAAGCATCGCAAGTGCCGTGCGTGTACCACTCGATGAGCAATCCGGCCTGATGAAGGGTGTCACTATTAAACTCCTGCATCATCGAGAATGGATAACACAAAAGGTAAGGCAACAACAGACTGCGTAGCAAGCATGGCCACAACGGACGCTCGGAAAAGCCATGAGGTGGCAGCGACGATCGATGAGGCGACAAACGAGCAGCAACAATCGCCACCTTCATCGCCGTCGTCCGGCCCTCCGACCCTGCATGGACCAAGGCTGTGGCTGGTAATTGCAGGATTGTACTTGGGCATATACCTAGTGGCTCTAGAGCTCACGATGCTGTCAACGGTGATACCGACTTTGACTAACGAGTTTGGCACATTGAACGACATCTCGTGGTACGAGTCGGCATATGTCTTAGCACTGTACGTAACAATGTCTCTTTCAATCATGTTTGAGGGCCCTCAGCTAACGCGCGTGGATTTCTTTTTGTAAATAGTTGCGTATTTATCCCGTTGGTGGGCAAGACCTATAATGAACTACCCATAAAACTAGTATACTTGGGCTTCATGGCCGTCTTCGAAGTGGGCCTTTTGATTTGTGCCCTAGCCAACTCTAGCCCCATGTTCATCGCGGGCCGAGTCGTGAATGGCATCGGCTCCGCTGGACTGGTCAGCGGGGCACTTCTCATCATTGGGTCGGCATGTGAGGCAAGCATCCGTCCACTCGTGACGGCTGCCGCCATGTCCATGATATCGATAGGCTCGATGACCGGACCCATCATCGCGGGCGTGCTGACTGCGCGCGTCAACTGGCGCTGGTGTGAGTTTCCGTCCTTGGCTTTGTTTCCCCGTCGAGTGGCGTCGCTAACATCTAGTCTACACTCAGGCTTCTGGATGCTCCTACCACTTGGTGCCGTGACTATGCTCATCACGGCCACCATCAAGCTACCCGAAATCAATGAGAAAGCCCCTCTTCGACAAGCCCTACGAACTTTACCTCGCGAACTTGACCCACTGGGCTTTGTCCTCTTTGGCGCTGCGACAACGATGATCTTGTTAGCTATTACTTGGGGCGGTGGCCAGCTGCCCTGGTCCTCTGCAACCATCATCGGTCTCCTAAGTGGTGGCTTCGTCGTGCTGATTCTCTTTATCTGGTCTGCACGCGTCCAGGGAGACAAGTCACTCATCCCACCGTCCTGCCTTACACGGCGATCCGTATACATTGGCAGTCTTCTCATGTTCCTACAAGGAGGAGCGACTCAGATCATACCGTTCTTCCTGCCTCTCTGGTTTCAGGCCATTCTCGGGGATGATGCCAGTGAGAGTGCTGTTCACATGTTACCGTCATTGATATCAATGGTGCTTGCCCTCATCACCTTTGGCGGATTGGTTCGAATGCTTCGCTACATACCTCCATGGGCAATTTTTGGCAGCGCCTTGACGGCTATCGGATCTGGTCTCTTATCGACGCTCTCTCCGCAAACTACGACTAGCCAGTGGATTGGGTACCAGATATTAACGCACATTGGGAGGGGAGTGGCATTTCAAGTTGTAAGTTTCCATCTGCTCGCGCGGAGGAGGTTGAGTCTATGCTAACCAGATTGTTTCTTTTCCATCGTCTGCAGCCTGTGGTCGCAGTCCAGGAGGATATCCCGTTGGCAGAGTCAGCCATCGCCCTGGCTACAATAAACCTATTCATGCAACTGGGGCTCGCTGTCTCCGTGTCGGCCGCACAAACCATTCTTCGAAACCGACTCCCGATATTCCTACAAATGTACGCCCCGAACGTTGATGCCAATCTTGTGGCCGAAGCCGGTGCCACAAGCGTGCAGGAACTCGTATCTGCAGAGGACATGACGGGTTTCCTGCGGGCATATAATATGGCGATTACGGAGATGTTTGTGAGTAATTTCTTCCCGGGGTTCCTTTGAAAAAAACCCCCAAAATTATCTGTTTGGTTTGTCCTGACGCGTCGACCGACCCAGCATTTCTCCACCGCGGCGGCCGCCCTCGCTTGTGTGGTGAGTTTTGCCCTGCCTTGGCAGAATTTGGCTGCCAACGCGGATAAATCCCAGACGGACACAACAGAGAGCAGTGATGGGCAGAGTGCGGAGAAAGATGAGTCAAGAGTTAAACAGAACTCAGCGACGTAACGTTCATTGTTGGGGAGGGCGGATTCTCGATGCTACCAGAGCGGGTGTGGCTCGGGCAGCTCAGACAGAAAATAACGTTGAGGAGTATACCAGAAGATGATTATGATACACTGTAATTTTTGTATGACTCAACGGATTATTCCTTTGTCAAATAGAACAACCATCGTTTCAAAAGAACACCAACCCTACCCTAGCAGGAATTTCTCGAATTTCTTCGCGACTTCATCCATAATTGGACGTGTCAGTCAGTCGGTGGTGGCAAACGGGCAAGTGTGTGTCGTGTCAAAGTGCACGGTTTGACACGGGCGATCAGTATGAACGGGGACGGGCGGGCACCCTCTCATCTCATCAGCCCGCTACCCGCTGCAATGAAACTCGCCGACCGAACCAAGAGAACCAGGATACAAAAATCGCCGGCCTGTTTCTGCAGTGCCAAGGTAGCATTTGGCTGCTGACATGCTTGTCGTGCGGGACGCGAGCGGAGGCGTATGGCCTGCCCTGTGCCGTCGGGGAAATCCAGCTCGGCACATATGGATACACGAGGTCGTGGAGGAATCAGGGAGTCATCCATCCCATCAAGCCAGCGGCAATTTCACGTCGTACAGTATTATTTTGAGTGCGAGTTGAAGTTGGTGGAACTTTCTCTGATCTAGTGCCGCACGGACCATTGTCGAAAGGAATCTGCTTCGAGGGACAAAAGGGCGACAATCGAAGTGACCATTCTGAGATTCTTACGGCTGGGGCGGAACGCCACAACATGTGGCTAACACGGAGAGATACACCTGGATTCAGCAGCTGTAGAAGGTGTAGCCGAGTAATGCACCAGTATAGACCTTCGTTGCCATTAGTGCCTTGACTCAAGTTGAGCACTTAGATCCACGTCGACTACATTTTAGTTTGTGGCTAAGATTGCTTGCCCCCATCTGTTGAATATGAAGAGGAGTATATGCAGCGTGTTCTTGGATCTGGCTAGCGGATTCAGGAACAGCATCCAAAATCAGAATAAAAGTAGGAAAGGGAAGCGGGCCTACATCGACACCAATCCGGTTTCAAATCTCGCCGTCATCGCCTCCCTGTGGCCACCCGACATCGTTTTCCATTATGCGTGGAGAAATGTGAGCTAAAGCATGCGCTGCCAGTTATCCCCGGTTCTATCAAGTTTTCCATGCAGGTTCAAGCGCCGCCTTATTATAGAATCACTGCCCAGGACTGGAGGACTGTGGGTCAAAGACTCTGATGTAGCCGTTCTTGCAGCGACGCAAAGATCTTGATGTCAAGGTCCTAGTCTCTCCGTAGTGCCTGATGAGAGCCGAGAAACCACCGGTTGGCTCACAAGCGAGGACAGCAGCATGTTTAAGGAAGGAAGGTTCTTTCGGTGTGGTTTTGGACGTTGCAGAACTCTTACACTCCGCATGTTGGATTCGCAACCGCCTTTCGACTTGGGATGAGCCCGTTGTCGGTGAACTACCGCTACATCTTGCGAAGATGGAGGACCTTGTCGTTGGCCCCCGGCAATACATTCAAGATGTATTGCCCGGGGACGACCATCTTGCGATATAGAGGCTACCTGTCACGACCAGAGACCTTACCTCATGTCACACTGCGCCTGCCGGGGATTATTGCTCGGCATGGCTTCATTCCATTGTGAAGATCTCCCCATCGGATCTCTGAAAAGATAAGATGGCCAGTCACCATGGTCAGAGAAACACGCAAGACAGCTCTATGAAGATAACATTATATAGATCTGTATATCAAGTTTTCATTTTCTTTTGTCTAGCATAGATCTTACTTCTTCCGTCATGACCCTCAACCGTGGCGAACATGATGGACACTTGGTATTATAAAGACAATCCGCGGTTTTGGCTCGTCTGATTCTCTCAAATCTAGTATGCCACCAGCAGAAGCAGGCGAGGGCGCAGGTACGGGGATTGCTCCGGTTATACATGGGGGATGAGTTCCGGCACGAAAGCCTAGTACACGGCATTGTAACGCAGTAGGCCCCCGGAGGCTCGGCGGATTTTTGTGATGCCTAGGACTACCCGGCCTTCCCATATTAGTCCGATATCGGTCCAGAGAATGTGTGAAACCGTGAAAATGGCCATTGTGTGGAGTCTACCATGACTTGCTTGTCGTGTGTAGGACTTTCCATAGCGTTGGCTAATACAGACATACACATTGTGTCACGCCATACACACTTTGTAAGCACGGCAATTTTAACATCACGGAATCATTTCTAAAGGAGGAACTGTTCATCCATTATCAGTTTCTCTTGAATTTATCTAAATGTCTTTTTCTTTTACGGCTTGAGCTAGATTTAGAATCCCCAGCTCTGTAGCCTTGACAGGTCGGGCGACCCTTCGTCAACATGCCATATTTCGAGGCTAGTCAACTTCTTATCGTGCTTCCCGCGGCCCTTCTCCTCTATTTTCTTTACCCGAAACATCAGCAACAACCCAGAGGCGGCCATGGGCAGCAGAAACCGGCAACCAAGGGCAAAAGCCCGACTTCACAAAGGCTTGCGATGAAGATCGACAAGAGGCTAAATGCGTACAAGGAGATGTATCACAAGGTACAAAATCTAGAAGAATATCCCGAGATCCTCCCGGAAGCCAAGCAAATGCTCCAGTCTTTGTTGGAACAAGGCTTGCTGATGGCCCGCTACAAACCTCAACTCGGGGACATCTTGGCCATCGAGGAATTCGATCCCGCCCAGCTGCACAAGTTCGTGGAAGGCCGTCAGGCCGAAGTCGGGCAAGAATTCGAGTCCTATATCCAGCGAAGAAAGGCAGGCGGTGGTCTGGAGCTTTTCCAGACCTTTGAGGAGGCCTGCCAATATCTTAAGAATAGCGCGGCATGGAATTTCGTGGACGGGTCTTGGCTATCCCATATCCACCACGTCACCACGCCATTTGCCCTCCGACATGTTACTAAGAACGCCTGGCAAATCTTTTCCGAGGAACTAGGTGACGGCGACCTGGAAAAAATCACGTCGTGCTGTTTCGGGATCTGCTGCGAAGCGTTGGTATCGACATCCCTGGTAGTGACGCGGCCGATTTTATCCATGCACGCCACGGCATGAACGACGAGCCGGCGTGGAGGCTTTCCATTGCGCAGCTTCTTCTGTCTGTCTTTCCAAACGACTTCTTGCCCGAGATCCTTGGGTTTAATCTATACTACGAGGCCCCGGCCCTCAGCAACTACAGGGCCAACAAGGAAATGCCAGAGTTTGGCATTTCCCCGTATTATTACGCATTGCACATTTCAATCGACAATCCTGATTCCGGCCACTGCGCAATGGCTGTCGGGAATATTGTGGATTTCATGAAGGTCGTCCAAGACACGGGTATGATGGACTATAATGTCGCATGGAAGCGTGTCCAGGCTGGCTATGTCCTTGGCCAAACCGCTGAGGACAGGGAAACGGTGGATCACTACGAGGATAAGCTTGTTGAGTTCCTGTGCCGAAAGGCTAATCTTGCGGAAAAGGTCCATTGCACCAGCAGGGCGCGGATTGAGGGCGTAGTCTTTCGTCATGGTCTTCAAACGCCCAGCAACCCGGTGACAATGGCGAGAAGGATAATCAAGACTCCGACGATGATAGTTGGAAGGAAGAACTCCTCCTCGCCTTGGAGGACTCAAAGCCTTGGGTGTACCGAGGGGACAGCAGCAAGAGCCTCCTGGTGAGGGAGGTGTCCTGGAAAGGCAGGATGTTTGGTGCTTTTACAAACGATGAAGTCGCTTGGATGCGCACATGGATCGACTCGCGGAAGAAGAAGGACTCTAATCCTGCCGGAACGTACTGGGACCTTATTGGCGGCTACGCAACGGTAGAGAAAGCGTTCGACCCGCCGAGGCGCGATGTTGCGGTCACGCATCCAGTGTTCTCACCAATGCAAGAGTGGCTCCCCAGCGAGGTCAGCGAATTCACTCCTCGGGAACCGCTGGTGAAGTTCCTTTCCAGAGAACGCGTGCCACTTGACGCACTATTGAGACTGTGGTTTGTGCACCCATGTCTTCTTGAGAACACGATTAGCTCACCGTATAAGACGACGAGCCCTCTCATTTCAACCTGTCTACAGCTGCTGCGTGCCGAAAAAGGGTATAAACCCGAAGGCACGGGGATCGCCTGCATGGATGAGCAGCTACGCTCCGATTACAGCCCCGACCTTGTGGCCCTTGGCCTTGAGATGGCTCGGCTGCACAAGTTACCCCGACCAACCTGTCTGGGCGACTTACTCCGCGCGCCTGGCGAGGACAACCTTGATGAATCTACAAAGTTTGCATACGCGTTGCTGAGTTGGGCGCAACGGCCGATGAAGAATTGTGCTTTCTTGCTTGGCTTGTCCCGCGCGTTCCTGGACCTAGAGGCGTGGGTGGCCGGCACCGACGATCTGCTGGGCTGGAAAGAGAAGGCGGCCTTGCAAAAGATGGTGGAGAGGAAAAGGACCGGATTTGACAAGTGTTTGGAGCTGCTGTCGGAGGAGGAGCTGAAATGCCGCGAATTCGTCGGCGGATATGAGCTGGGTCGGACAAAGATAGAGGAGCTGCTGGCTTGATAGGGCTTCGTGTTTGCGAGCGTGCCTAGCAGGGCATCTTACAACGAGAAATGGAATGTATAGTTGATTATGAGTACATGGTGACCCATATCCTGGTTCCCTTCCCCTTTCAACAGGTGGCTTCGTTGTATTGGAAAATCTTCTTTTCTTTTCTTTTGGCTTCCTTATGGCTACAAACACGACGTCTCGGGATGCTAGGCTAATCAAGCAGCGACGAGTTGATCATTCGAATAAATGTATTAACAACCCTATTTAGTGCTATTTTACTCTTCCTTGGGTGATTCAAATAAATCAAACATGATGAGGTCAATCTCATTTTTATCCTGATAGCAGCGATGAATGGGTGAATACAGGCGATTGTCCGAGTTCTTCTGCAGCTGATCTCCCGCATTTATAAGTGGCATGTGCCTGTTGACTTCGATCCGCCTCCACTCCTGCGTCGTTCGATCCAATACTTCGTTGAATGGCTCATCATAGAAGGTCAAGGTTAGGAAGCCGTCGTCCGTATGCGTCGTCATGATGAACGTATCCGGCTTCGCCTTCGAGATAGCGAGGTACAAGTTGCTGAGGCCTGGTTTCTCGGGATGATCAAGAACAGCTGGGACAGGCGGCTCCATCGACGAGCACAAGGTGGTTCCAAGCTCTCGAAGCAGGCTGTCAATGTAAGCGGATGTGCTTGCGACTTTATCTGCTATGGGTTGGAGATCCTCGGGCAAATCTAACGTTCCCCGAATATGCTCCTCTCGGCCCAGCTACGTAGTACGCACAAATTAGATATTTTTTTCACGCGGATCCTGAAACCCAAACCAACCCCCATCATGAATGCCGCGGTTCAGTCCGACTTACATGAATCTTTTCAACTCCAGAGTCAAATGTATAGAAGCTGGACGTAGTAGTCAGAATCGAACGCCCAAATGTTGCCGCACAGAGGCAAAACAGGAGCAAGAAGCTAGGAAACTGACCCTTTGTATTTCTCCCCGGTGTAATACTTGTTCTTCAATTCCTTCGATTGCTCAAAGAAATTCCGCTGATGGCGCAGAACCGGGGGCAGATCCGCCAAAAGGTCTTTGCACTTGGACCGCTAAGGTCGAGGAAGAAGAATCCTTCATTTGACAGCGCCTGAATCATCTTCTTTACCTCGTCCTTGTCTTGAGCCTTTAGGCGCTCATAGCTGAGAACTGCAAGTTCCACTGATTTTCTACCTTCGGCCATCGTTATTCTGGAATTTCCTAGCTGAGACCAAAGAGATCAAGGGGATGACGGATGCGAGATAATTGAAATTGGTGGTTCCAAGACCAAAGCCACACCTGCATGGATACTTTGATGCCATCAATATATATCCAAGCTCTATCATTGAGCAGGCGCATTATTTGGAGTGTGGGTCTCCCGTAATACCCTCCGCCTGGCTGCGGTAAACCCCCGACAAGCTCCCACGGGTCAGCCTCAGCTCAGGTCCGCCCTATGCTTGATATATACACAATTCTTGCTTCCTTTAGAGACGCTTCTTACAGCTCATCCCCTTGCCATTCGTACTGGACCACTAACTGTATCATAGGAATAGTATTTACACTCGTTGGCGACTCGTTTTGAACAACCCTGGCATCTTCCGCGATGGCTTCCACAAATTCAAAATTAAACGGGAACCATGCGTCTAGTTCTCCGGATGGCGCCCTTGACTCCGTTGATGAGGGCACAAATCTAGTTGTACTCGACGCCCGTGTGCATAGTCTGCCCGTAATAGGGCCAGATGCATTAATCACAATTCTCGTCAGACACCGAGGGAAATTCACCCACGCCTTGCTTGAGCCAGGGTTAGTGGATTCCGCCAGTCTCGATGCAGCTCGACAAGTCACAGCCGAATCACTCGTCCGGATATCAGGCGTTGAAACAACCAGTGACGAATCTAAAAGAAACGACGAATTCATTCCAACGCTCCGAGTTGCCAATTTTCTCGTGATTTCAGCAGCTAAGTCTTCTATCCCTGCATACAGGCAATGGCATAGGGCTCCCGGCGACACGCCCCCGGAGAAAGAGAAGCGTGACGCCTTGATAGATGAGCGACTAGATAATAGACTACTGGATGCGAGAGTCGCGTCTACGGCTGCCATTTTCAAAATCTTCTCCGGAATTCACGAACTAGCCGTCGCGTTCTTGGCGGACCGAGACTTCATCCACATTCCAACCCCTTCGTTAATCGGCTACGGATTTCCTGGGGAAGATGACGACTTGTTTTCGCTTCCGTACTTTGATGAGGTGGCTAGGTTGGCACCGACGGGAGAGATACACCTGGGCATGGCGCTTTCTGCGGATCTTGAGCGCGTCTATGATATCCATCCCGTCTTCCGTAGAGAGCCTGCATCCGATGGCAGACACTTGACCGAGGTAACCAACCCGATGTGTTTAGCCCACTACCCTGTGAGACTATGAATGGCTGGCTGACAACTTGCAAACAAGTTTACCATGCTTGAGCTGGTATTCAATCTCAAGAATAGTTGGATTGAAATCCTCGAACTCGCCAATGACCTGATCATCTCCATTATACGGTCTTTGCAGGAGCGTGAAAAATACCAAACTCTTATACAGTCAGCCAAACGGCTGTACCCTCGGCTGGAGGGTTTACATTGGGCCTCGATGACAACGGGAGCTTAATCCGCATCACATTTAGCGAGGCCAAGGCCATTCTTCGTGATCAATTGGGCTATATATCGGAAAACCAAGATGACTTGACGTAAGCCACTTTGAATTTCGCTATTAGAACTGTTGGCGCCAAGGTGAATACTGACGCTGGACGGTACCCTAGACGAGAAGAAGAAGCAGCTCTTGGAAGGTTCCTGGCAAGCGAGCAATCACATCTAGGCCCCCTACCGACGTGTTCTTGATTACCCACTTCCCGCGCCACCTACGTCCTTGCAACGTGTACCCGACAGAAGAGGACGACGATACATCGCAGTCCTTCGACGTGATCCTGCGTGGACAAGAGGTTGTGACGGGATGCCGGCTATTACATGCTCACGAGGACCTGTGCTTGGCCTATGCGACACGTGCGCATCCAATTGATCCGGAATCAAAGGAATGGCGCCCGTACATGTTCGCTCATGAGATTGGGATGCCTCCATGGGGAGGTTTTGGATGTAAGTCTTCTTTGCATGCGAATGGTCGTGTAGTCCGACCTCTTTCCTACTGCTTACTCCCAGATATGTCAATGTTTTATGAGTTGAAGTTTCACTTGACTTGCGGGCTATGGCTAACATTCCCCGGGCTAGTGGGAATCAATCGTCTTGTGCAAGGATTTCTCGGACTAAGCGATATTCGTGAGACTGTCCTCTTCCCCGCGATGCGGCCAGACTTCGACCATGATCCAATAGTGAGGGATTCTGGTGAGAAAAACAAGGAAAACATAGTTAGACTTCTACGAGTGTGTGATTGAATACATCAATTTATATTGTCAATTCAAAGAGCCCTGTCTCGGGCATACTTGTATAACTAGGAAATTTGAACCCGCGACTGCCTGGAAGCGAACGTTACGAGAAAATATCAGCTCAGCAGCCGAATCTGTGGCCTCAAAATAGCGCCACCGTGTAAGGAAACGAAAAGAAATCTGCATTACTTGGTGACAACGGACGCTGGGTGCATCGCCCCCAATACACTAGAAGCCTTGGTTTCCATTTCCAAAAACTCGCCCGTGACATCACTCTGTATAGTGACCGCACCACCCGCCCCAATCTTCCAACAATCGTTCGGACCGTTTCGAAATGTCGTTCGGATCACGACGGAAAAGTCTCCACCCCCGCCAACATCCATGTATCCCAGAACACCCGAGTATACGCCCCGCGGCCGCTTCTCAAGGTCTCGCAGCACCTCGCATGATCTCTTCTTGGGCGCGCCCGTCATGGACCCGGGGGTAGGGAGACGCGCAGCACATCCATCCCACACTTTCCTTCCGGGAGCTGGCCCTCGATGGCCGAGACGAGCTGGTAGACGGTCTCGTACTCTTCGATGACCATGAGCTGAGAGACCTTGCAGTTTGCCGCCCCCACCACTCCGCTAAGATCGTGGCGGATCAAGTCAACGATCATTAGGTTCTCTGCCCGCTCCTTAGAACTATTAAGGATAGCGGCCGCAGACTCCCAGGTGACATCGGGTCCTTTCTTCACAGTGCCCTTGATCGGTCGGAACTCTAGGCGGCCCTGGCGATCCCACTTTAGAAACTGCTCCGGACTGCTCCCCACCACCGTGGCACCGCCAAGCTCAAGGTATGCTCCAAAAGGGGCGGCATTGCGGTGTCGGAGTTTCTTGTAGAGCTTCCAGGGGTCGAGAGCCTCGGGGCCTAAAAGCTTGCTTTCGTCCGTCAAACAGAGCTCGTACGAGTCCCCGGCGGCCAGCGTTTCTTGGCAGGAAGCGACCTTGGCGCAGTATTCCAACTCCTCTGGCTTCTCAATTGTGGAGGCCCCGAGGTGGGCTTCGAGCTCAGCATCGTTACTATACCCCCTTTGGCGTGAGATGACAAATGCCCGAGCATCGCCCCCATTTCCTCAATCCAATCACCGTCGTCTGTCAAAAGGGTCTGAACAACGGCAGTCGATGACTTGTGATGGAGGACAATGCTTCGATGTACAAACACCATATTGATGTCCGGAGCCTGGCTATTCGCACACGACTCATGGAGACTTACGTCAATCGTTTCGAGTCCGGCCTCGTAGGAGATGTATCCCATCCATCCCCCAGAAAGGAATGTTGGCCGGTAGGTTATCTTGTTGAGGTTTGTTGTCGTCAAGTGCTTCCTGCAACAGCGGCCACACCTGATCTATCGTTTTCAGTTGCCTAATAGAGAACGAGGAATCTTCAGACCCCGTTCCGTAGCTAATCGTACCGTCTGTCACTCGATACATGACGCGCGGAGAGCTCCTTGGATTCACGAGGCCTAGTATACTGACTTGGCCCCGAGGGTGATCCTGAGAATCCAGAAGCACTACTTCGTCACCTCGTTCGCGAAGAGCTTCGTAGAGCCGAGTTGGGGTGACATTGAGTGCCGCATATCTCTCCCAACACAAACTGGGTTGGTGGTGGACGTAGCCGTTCAGTTTCGGCAACAATTTGATCGGATCATGTGTTCCGTTTACGTGCTTGGCCTGGGCCGTATTAGGGGCTGCTTATGTCCGTTGGTATGCGGTGGAGGTGCCAGCAATGTATAGATCTGTTGACTATCCCGCATCACCGGCCTATTGCGCTCAGAGAGCCAAACATCCGCCTGAGTCCACCAATTGGAGATCATTGTTTGCGCCGCGGCGGCTGTCGTACACTCCGACTCTGGATGAAATTGCACGCCCCAGAACGGCTTGGTGGCGTGGCGTACCGCGAGGAGCACGGGTCCGTTCGCATCATCGCCGTAGTCCCAAGCAAGAGGCAGCAGTGTTTGATCTGGACAGTCCTCAAGATTGACTCTCAGGGAATGATAATTGGTAGCGAAGAAAATGCCCGTGTTGGTAAAGATGTCGCTGTTCTGGTGCGATACCTCGGTCACGATACCATGTCGAGGTCGCCGCAGCTTTTCAACTCTCGCTCCATGGGCGAGGGATAGTGATTGAAATCCCAAACAAACACCAAGTATCGGGAGCAGGTCCACATCATCGAGCTCCCATAGCTGGCTGATTAACCCGATATCGTGTGGGTTTGCGGGGTGGCCGGGCCCAGGTCCGATAACGACGGCATCAAAGTGCTGAAGTAAAGCCTTGAGGTTTTGAGAGGCCGCACTCGCCGAATCGTTACGTATGACCGTCACTTGAATACGAAGTGTTTTTTCCAAGAGCCCGACGACGTTGTTCGTGAAGGAGTCGTAGGCGTCGATGAAGAGAATCTGTCGTGGGACTCGCATTGTAGATTGTGGCGGCTCAGCTTAAGCCAAGTTTTTCGAAGTGTGTGCTAAATTCGGACAAATATGCAGGTTACCTCTGCAAAGAAAGCTACGGATTGCTTGGTTTTCTTTTCTCGTTATTTTTAAATTTGCGGTCCCATTGCCTAGACTTCAACTCTCGCTACACTCCTTTCCTTACACACTCATTAACCATGGCCGGCAGGTTTTTCGCTGGTAAAAATGCGGCATGTGCCGGGGCACCGGATGGACGCCACGGCCGGCGGCTTTCTATTGGCGCTGTCTTAGTTCCCTTATCTTTTCAAAAGCTATGATTCCACCCTTGTAAACCTTTTTGTACCAGATATCCAGGCAGCACACACTTTCTCCATTACAATGGCATCTCTATCAACCGAACAGGCCGACGCCTATCTCGATCGCATCTCTCTCCCGCTAGCCGCCAGGGCTTTGCTTCGGGAGGGACCCAAAGGAGACAGAGCACTTGAAGCAGTAACCGCGCTGCAGCAGTATCATATCGCTTCCGTTCCTTTCGAGAACCTTGACTTGCACTACTCTTCCCACCGCTCCCTTCCGCTACAAGCCGATGCCGTCTATGAGACGGTGGTTAAACGTCAGAGGGGCGGCACATGCCCCCAAGTCCACCGCCTCTTCTCTCAACTACTCCGATCGTTTGGCTTTTCTGTTTATTGTACAGGCGGTCGCCTTAACGCGCCTGCAAGCCCAGCAGCAGCCGTGACTGTCGATAAAACAAAGGTTGCCTACGGACCGCTGTAATGCTCGCCTCTACAATCACAATCGCTTTACGCTGCACAAAACGACATTGGCTGATAAATTTGATAGAATCCATGTCGCTACGATCGTCACGATTAACGGTCTGAAACACCTCGTCGACACAAACGTCGGGCCGGCAGCGTCCCCTTTCCCAGTGCCTCTAGTCCATGATGAGCCTGTGGTCGACGTTTGGCCTCGGCAACGGCGCATGATATTTGATACGGTGCCGGGCATGGTCTCGGAAGAAAAGTGGTGGCGCCTACAGGTACGCGAACCAACTAACAAAATATGGATGGACGTTTGCTGCTTCACAGAGATGGAATGGCTGCCCATAGATTTTGAGATTATGGTGATGGGAATGGGTCAACTTGGGCTCGGGTGGTTCAAGTCCCTTGTCCTATGCTTCCGAATTATCCTCGAAGACGGGGCACCTGTGGGCTACCTATTGATGCTGCACGATGAGGTACGGCGGTTATACAAGGGAAAGTTATCCGTAATTCAAAAATTGTATAACGAGGAAGATCGCGTCAAACTCCTCAAAACTGAGTTTGGTGCTGTTCTCAGCAATGAAGAGCGGAGGAATATTCTGGGAACTGTTGGAGAGCTCAAAGACGAGGGATATGATTTCTATGGCTAGCCTCAATTTTTCCATAACCCAGCTTAGCAACTGGTCGACCATGATCTAGGTTGGCCCTTAGATGCACTCCCTAAAAAAACTAACTACATCTTAATTGTAACATTATTATATCTTGATGGTTCACGATCTAAGATCTGTGCATTGTGCAAACCCCCAAATTTGGTAGTCCAAGCCACTAGAAAGCATGCTGTTTTCCGCGAAATCGTTGGACTGGCTCTTTGATGCTCCGCAAGGTCTATCTTGGGCTTCTAAGATTCCGCTATCTTTTTTTTGCATGTTTCTTTTGCACGCGAGGAACAGAGCCATCTGTTGATGGCCTTCTGAAGGAGCAGGCGATGAACCCGCCGGCGGCGGATTTCATCAACAGACCACACCAAATGTACGGATCAAACCTTTGCAATCCTATCCAAGCAGTGTCAATCCCGCGGATTATCACGTAATATGGAATGTATTACACCGGCCGGTCTGTTGATTGTATTTTCTTCATATAGCCATGAGTGTTTGTTAAATACGGAGATGAAAGGCTTCAAGGTTGCCAGGTACCACAAGTAACCAGCAACTAATACGATTAAGCGGACAAGCAAGCATGTCAACCAGGACAGATGACCACAACATGCCCATTGCCATAGTCGGCATGGGCTGCCGCCTTCCCGGCGGCGCAGACAGCCCGGACAAGCTGTGGGAGATGTTGTCGCAGAAGAAGTCTGCGAGAAGCGAAACGCCGTTGAGCCGATTTAATATCGACGCGTTTTACCACCCTAACGGGAGTCGGAATGGATCTGTACGTAGCAAACAAAGAAAACTTGTTGATACAACAAGGAATAGCTTACTAAGTAAACCCCATAGATCAACAACCGTGGCGGTCACTTCCTGGACCAAGATATCTCGGCCTTTGATGCGCCGTTCTTCTCTATATCGCGGGCTGAGGCCATCAGCATGGATCCGATGCAGAGGATTCTGCTCGAGGTGACCTACGAAGCCCTAGAGAATGGTGGAATCCCATTATCACAACTTTCGGGGTCCGAAACGGGTTGCTTCGTAGGGTGCTTTACACAAGACTACGACGAAATGGCCAAGCGAGATGCCGAGGTCCTCCCGAAATACCACTCCATCGGTACGGGCAAGTCCATCCTCTCGAACCGCATCAGTTTCTGTTTCGATCTCAAAGGCCCCAGCATGACTCTCGACACCGCCTGCAGCAGTAGTCTCGTAGCCTTGCATTTGGCCTGTCAGAGCCTGCGGTCTGGAGAAAGCACGACTGCCATTGTTGGTGCCACCAACTTGATCATCAGCCCAGACATCATGGTAGGTATGACGAATCTGGGATTCTTGAGCGCTGATTCCATCTCCTACGCATTCGATAGCCGGGCCAACGGGTACGCTCGCGGAGAAGGTGTAGCGGCCCTCGTGCTGAAGCCGCTACACGATGCCTTGCGCGACGGCGACGTCATTCGCTCTGTCATTCGCGGAACCGCGGTCAATTCGAATGGCAGAACCCCTGGTATCACGCTCCCTTCTCGTGATGCCCAAGTCAGCTTGATACGCTCCGCGTATAAGATGGCGGGTCTAGAGGACGAATTTGCCACCACGGCATACGTCGAGGCCCACGGAACTGGAACATCGGCGGGCGATCCAATTGAAGCCAATGCCATTGGTGCTGTGCTGGGGACAGCAAATGGCCGTAGCGCAAAACTGCATGTCGGCAGCATCAAAACCAACGTCGGGCACTTGGAGGGGCGAGTGGCCTTGCAGGTTTGATAAAAGCAGTGTTGAGTGTCGAAACCGGAGTGATTCTGCCGAATATTTGGTTCGAGCGAGGGAATCCGAATATTGATTTCGACGGACTCAACATTGAGGTGCCGACAGAGACGGTCGAGTGGCCGGTTGAAGGTGTCCGACGAGCAAGTATCAACGGGTAAGACTTATATTCACTGCTCTCTGTTTTCTCTCACATTCGATTTTGCCTTTATGGTAGAGCGAGCTTAGCCTCTGGTAACTAACATCGAACTATCTAGCTTTGGCTACGGAGGTACAAACGGCCATGTGATTGTGGACGATGCCTACCACTACCTGTTGTCGCGAGGCCTTAAGGGCAACCATAAGACTCGTATTCCAGCGAGCCACGTCAAGCAGAATGGCGTCAACGGCCTATCCAATGGGCACACTCACACCAAATTCCGTCTTTTCCCGTTATCAGCCAATGACTCCACGGCCCTAGCAGACAATGCGCAGTCCCTAGCACAATTCCTTGAAGGCAAGATCCAATCCGGGAGTACTAGTGAAGAGTTCCTTGACGACCTGGCTTGGACACTCAGTAAGCGGCGATCCCAACTAGAATATCGCCAAAGCATTGTCGCGACCACAGCGCAGGACTTGATGGACAAGTTGAAGGCGCAGCTAGCCCCAATTAGATTCATCAATAGTCCACCCAAACTTGCTTTCATATTTACTGGCCAAGGCGCGCAGTGGTGGGGTATGGGACGCGAGCTAATCTCGCATCCCACATTCAAGAAAACCCTCGACCTGTGCAATGCATCTCTACAAGAGCTAGGTTCTCCCTGGAGTTTACTTGGTAGGCGCCCTCATCTCCCGCGTATAAAATTGCTTCCTTTTTTGATCTGTACTTTCGCTGACAACCGATCCTTTGTGCCCCGTAGATGAGCTGATGAAGGACGAAGCCGACTCACTGGTGAATCAAGCACCAATCTCCCAACCGCTCTGTACCGCGATCCAAGTTGCACTCGTGGACCTTTTTGCTTCTTGGGGTGTGAGGCCATGGCGCGTGGCCGGTCATTCGAGTGGCGAGATTGCAGCAGCCTACGCCCTTGGCACCCTTACCCTCGATTCGGCGATCAGGGTATCCTACTACCGCGGGCTACTAGCCCCCAAGATCCGGAAATTAGGTTATGACGGAGGCATGCTCGCGGTGGGTCTTTCTGAAGTCGAGACTCTCGCCGAAATTGAGGCTTTGGACGATGCATCAGGCAAGGTCGTGGTGGCTTGCGTGAATAGTCCACGCAGCACAACCGTTTCAGGCGATGTCGCCGCCCTGACAGAACTCCAGGCCGCGCTCACCTCTCGCGGGATATTTGCGCGGAAACTTCTTGTCGACACGGCATATCATTCTCACCACATGTTAGCCATCTCCAAAGAGTACAAATCGTATCTGAGCAACCACCTCGAAGTCGCACCGATCAGCGGCACCGAGGTCGTCGGGATGTTCTCGAGCGTCAAGGCCCGAAGACTACTTCAGGGTGAGCTCCTGGACGCAGCGTACTGGATAGAAAACATGGTGTCACCCGTGCGGTTCTACGACGCCGTTGCGGAGCTGTGCGGTGAGGCTACGCAGAGCGATGAAAAGTTGCTCCTCGTGGAGCTGGGGCCGCATTCAGCACTCGCCGGGCCTGTGAAACAAATAGTGGCTACCTTGTCGTCCTCCTCTACAGTTACCTACCAGTCTTGTCTTGTGCGTGGCAAGGACGCCTCGAGCACAGCCCACTCCCTTGCTGGTTCGCTCCTAGACCAAGGGTTCCCGGTCGACATGTACCCAGGGTCGCCGCGACAACCCCTCAGCGACCTGCCTCCATACCGCTGGAACCACACGAGGAAATACTGGTCCGAGTCTCGTATCAACCGTGATTACCGCTTACGCGCAGCTCCACGCACCGATTTGCTCGGAGCGCCCACGTCAGATTGGAATCCCCTTGAGCCGCGATGGAGAGGATTTATACGACTAGCTGAGCAGCCGTGGGTGGCCGACCATGTAATCCAGGGCGCTATTCTCTATCCCGCTGCAGGGTTTTGTTGCATGGCCCTGCAAGCAGCCGCTCAATTTGCGGCAATGAGAGGAGGCGGCCCAATTACTGAATATCAGATCCGCGAAATGAGCATCTCCCGGGCGCTCGTCGTTCCACAGGATGATGACGGCGTCGAGGTTGTCTTCTCCCTGCGGCCCGCACCTACAGGTAGCGTGTCATCTTCTGACACCTGGAATGAGTTCCGTATCTTTTCGAATACGGACGCGGGGGACTGGACTGAACACTGCCGCGGGCTGGTCTCGGTTGGGCGTGACCCCAAAACTAGCATCCTCGACAAGGGCCTCGCGACCAATGCGCAGGAAGCCCAACGGACTTGCATAACCCCCGTTGATGTTGCACAATTGTATGAGGGCCTTGACGCGGTCGGTTTATCCTACGGTCCGGGTTTCCGCTCCATCAAGAGTCTCATCGCGGGCTCTTCGAACGAGGTTATGGGAACCCTGCAGGTCACGGACACTAAGCGTGGGATGCCCGGAGGCCACGAATTCGATCGCTTGGTGCACCCAACCACGATGGATGCCATGTTACAGCTCTGCATCGTCGCACTATGCAAGGGTGACATTCGGAATCTTGAGCAGGCGTTCGTGCCGACTTTCGTGAAGGAGGTGACGGTCTCCGGCCAGATCGACGCGCCAGCGGGCCGCCTATTCTCGGCAGCGGCAAAGGCACAAGCTCACGGGTTCCGCGACGTTGTGGCTAGCGTAACCATCCATGACCAAGACACGTTCATGCCTGTGATCCGAATGGACGGCGTTAAATGTCGAGCCATAGCTTCCTCTGGTGGTAGTCTGGCCGCCTCGAAGAGCGCACCGCTCTACAAGCACATTGGCCGCATTCTCTTGGAACCGGACGTAGACCTTCTCACATTCGACCATCTGAATACGCTGCTCAGGAATCCGTTGAAAAATACAACCCACGTGCCGCGCATACGCGATTTGGAGTTTCTTACATACTCATTCATCCACGCCGTTTTGAAAGAGGTCGACGCGTCGGAGAAGGCTAAGATGCAAAGCCATCACGTCAAGTTCTACGAGTACATGGAGACACAGCACCAGCTCGTCCTAGAAAATCGACACGAACAACAGACTGATGAGTGGACGAGGCTCGGAGATGCTGATGTCATTTCACGGCTCGACCGCATGAAAGAGGAACTATCGCGCGAAGGGGACTACGAGGGCCGGATGATTTTGCGTATGGGCCACGCTCTGCCTGGGGTGTTGCGAGGTGAAATCGATCCTCTCGCACTAATGATGGAGGATGACTTGTTGCACGGCTACTACCGTGTAGGTCTAGGCGTGATGCACTCATATCCCCAAATCGCCGAGTACATCAGGATTCTATCTCACAAAACCCAAACCTGGAGTACTTGGAGATCGGCGCCGGTACTGGTGGCTGCACTCGGCCTGTCTTGGACGCCCTCAGTGGTTCCGGCTCATACAAGTATCCTCGACTCAAGTCGTATCTTTACACCGATATCTCGGCCGGCTTTTTCGATAAAGCCGAAGCCTGGCTACGTCCTGACTGGGGTCGTCTCGTCGAATTCAAAAAGCTCAACATTGAAGAAGATCCGGAGTCGCAGAGTTTTGGCCAGGTGGACGTCATCATCGCAGCCAATGTCCTCCACGCGACCAAGGACATCAACCGCACCCTCGAAAACACGAGGAAGCTCCTCCGCCCAGGTGGCAAACTTGTGCTTTTAGACATGTCGCACAAGCTACTCTCTGTTGCCGCCATCTTTGGAAATCTTCCGGGTTGGTGGCTTTCTACCGAAGAGTGGCGAGAGCAAAGCCCTCTTTTGAACGAACAGCAGTGGCGCAGTGTGTTCCTCCAAACAGGCTTTGGCGATCTGGAGGCCAGTTCACCCGACTTGCTCGATCCGTTGGATGAAGGGACACGTCTTTTGATTGCTACAGCGGTGGAGCCGGCTAAACTATCCATCAACGGTAGTCCCAATGGCGTAACCAACGGCCTCACCAATAGTCTCGCCAATGGAAACATCAACGGCGTGAAAGAACACCAGAAATTGATTGTCCTTCGCCCACACACTCCTTCATCCTCCGAGAATACTCTCATCCAGGCAATTGAAACCAAGCTAGCTGAACAGGGTACCGAGCCCAACGTCTGCTCCCTTGAGGATCTCGATGATACGGATTTGAACGGGACACCTATCATCAGCCTAGTCGAGTTAGAACAGCCGTGGCTCCAGGATATCTCGCAAGAGGACCTGAGTCGACTGCAAAAACTCACGCAAACATCGAGCGGCATCATTTGGGTCACGCGAGGCGCTGTAAGCACAAAGCCAGAGCTTTCGGTCTTCCACGGCCTAGCAAGATCACTGCGCGCCGAAGATGAAGGGCGGCGGTACGTAAGCGTTGACTTCTCCGAGCCACCGCTGCCCGACACCACCACAGCCGACATGATTCTCAGACTGTATAAGCAACACTTCCACGATAAGAGCAAATCAAGCGACAATGAGTTTATCGAAAAGGATGGCATGCTCTGGATCAAGCGCCTTGTGCAGGACGACGAGAATAATCAACGAGTGGCTGAGCGGACAAGAAACATTATCCCCGAGCCCAAGGATCAAGACATCGCGGAACAACGGGAACATCGACCGTTGAAATTGCAAGCCAGAACAATTGGAACCATCGATTCCCTAGCTTTCACCGATGATGAAGCTCATAACCAGCCTCTTTCACCAGGCCAAGTAGAGATCGAGGTACAGGCAGTGGGACTCAATTTCCGCGACGTGTTGATTACCTTGGGCGAAGTCACTGATGACTACCTCGGCAATGAGTGCTCCGGCATTATCACCAAGGTTCACGACGATGTGTCAAACGTGGCTGTAGGCGACCGCGTGGCCGCTTGGTGCCTTGGTAGCTTCGCAACACGCCTGCGCTGTCCATCCAACCGCGTGCAGCGCATCGCTGACGAGATGTCGTACTCTACTGCAGCATCGGTACCGCTAGTATATGTGACAGCCTACCACAGCCTCGTCAACATTGCTCGCCTTCAACGTGGGGAATCGGTGTTGATCCACGCTGGCGCTGGAGGTGTGGGTCAGGCCGCGATCCAGGTGGCCAAGATGTGCGGTGCCGAAGTCTACGCCACCGTCGGATCCGCAGAAAAGAGGGAGCATCTAGCGTCTGCCTACGGAATCAGGCAAGATCGCATCTTCAACAGCCGCGACCTTAGTTTCGTGCAGCAGATCCAGCTCGCGACCCAAGGGCGTGGAGTGGATGTTGTCCTAAACAGTCTCTCGGGTGATGCTCTGCAGGCCACCTGGACTCAGCTCTTAGCTCCATTTGGTCGCTTTATCGAGCTTGGGAAGCGCGATATCGATTCGAACGGCAGGTTAGAAATGTCACCCTATGCCAAAAACGCCATGTTTGTCGCCGTCGATGTCACCCATCTATGGAGGGAGCAACCGGTATTGGCAGGCGACATCTTGGCAGACGTGTTCAAGAGGTTCCGGGAGGGCCTCCTGAATCCCGTGCGGCCAATACTCGTGGAACCCTTTTCCAGAGTACGTGAAGCTTTCAGATTGATGCAGTCTGGGCGTCATATGGGAAAAATCGTTTTGGAATTCCGGAAAGACGACTTGTGCCAGGTAAGAACAACATGATGGACACCGACTCACCACACAAAACCTGTACTAATTCTATGCTTTACCTTTTACCAGGTTGTACCTCGTCCACTACAACCGGCCACATTCCCAGAGGATGCGACCTATCTCCTCGCGGGCGGCCTTGGGGGCTCGGACGAAGCATATCACGGTGGATGGTTGAACGAGGCGCCCGTAATCTGGTGTACATTTCCAGGAGCGGAGCGTCATCGGCTGCCGCGAAAGAGTTGATTGAGGAACTGCACCAGTCCAGGGTCAAAACCGTCGTTCTTGCATGCGACGTCACCGATACAGAAAAAGTCTCGGAAGCCCTTAATACTGCGCTAGAGACTCTTCCACCACTTCGGGGCGTAATCCAGGGTGCCATGGTTCTGAATGACGCTGTGTTCGCCAACATCACGCACAACTCGTTCATCTCAACGCTACGGCCCAAGGTCCAAGGGTCGTGGGCGTTGCACCGCGCGACGCTCGATAGAAACGCGCCGCTGGATTTCTTCCTCATGTTATCGTCAGTAGCCGCGATGGTTGGAAATGCAGGACAGTCTAACTACGTCGCGGGTTGCACTTACCAGTCGGCGCTCGCCAAGCACCGTCATATGCACGGCCTCCCCGCCACCGCGATCGACATCGGCAAGGTCGCCGGGGTTGGATTTGTCGCCGAGAGTGGAGCAGGAACCGTTTCCGAAGCGAACCTGATGCGGCTTGGCATGCCCGACATATCCGAGACCGAATTGCTAACGATGCTGGAGATTGCCATCAATAGCGAGTCTATCACGCATTATGGTGGCGAGCAAATGGTGGCAGGTATCGCGGATATCACCAAGCCCGGTCCGAATGCGCACAACGTCGAGCTCCTTTTGGGTGCGCGATCCGGTTTTCTCGCACCTGCCCTATGCCCGACCGCAGAGCCTCCAGGATAGCGAGGTTAGCGACAGCGTGGGCAACGGAAACAAACAGGCGGAATTGACCATACGCCAGCTCACAGCCAAGCTTGATGAAATTAGCGAGGAGGAAATGGCGGAGCGGGTATTGGCAGCATTGTCCGGCCGGTTGGCGCGGGCGCTGATGATTCCGGCCGAAGAGGTCGACCCGGTCAAGTCGCCGGCGAACTTGGGGCAGACTCGCTCGTTGCCATTGAGCTTCGCAACTGGCTCTCTCGCGAAGGCGACGTTCAGGTCCCTGTGTTTGACATCCTACAGGCGCCGAGTCTTTTGGCGCTGGCAAGCATTGTATTGAAACTTGTGAAGGCTCAGCTTGGCAAGATTGTGAGGGTAGTCTAGGGTTAGTTATTTGAGCATTTAAATGAACTATTTTGCGATCGAGAGAACATCACAACTACTGCTCTAAAATGATACACCTCTTTAACATCTACCTAAAATTAACCATCAGGTGCAGGCTAGAGGGTGCATCAACCATCTATACATCTTGCGGTGCGTAAAATAAATACATGTAAGGATCAATTCATAGAATACATTATGGGAGATATCGCCTTAGCAACATTTTAGACAGGTGATAGGCATTCGTTCTTTTAGTGCAGCAACAAGAGATCGCATTTATTCATGTTGGTTTATATTTTCAGGTAAGCTCGCAGTTACGCTCTGCTGTTTATCACAACATGAAGTCAGGGTTCCATACAAGCTGTTTCTATCAAGCCAGCTCAGCTTCGAGAATACAATCTGTAGAGGACACATCAATCCATATCTTCACAACCTGAAGTCCTACCGCCTCCAGCAGTGACTTCCACTGTGCCTCCGTTCTCTCTCGTGCAGAATGCAAGTGCATCATCATCATGTCTGCCGACGCTTGGTAGAGGTTTGCTCCCGTGGATGGCAGCACCAGGTCACAGATCAGCAGCTTCGAATGTCCCTTTTCCATTGCGGCCACCGTCTCTTGGAGAATTCTTTTTGCGTCCTCGTCATTCCAGTCATGGAGGACAGATCGCATAAAATAGGCACGAGCCCCTATGTCACAAGTCACAACGGCGTTGTCTCGTTAGCGCTCTTCTTCCAATTCATTCCTGAATAGTGGTTAATCGTACCTTTTACGGGTTGTGGCGTGAAAAAGTCATGCGGCATGAGCTGGATCTGATCGCTCACTTTGGCGATCGCCGTCACAGCTGGAAGGTCCTGCAAGACCAAATTCCCGGCGAAATTCGGCCACTATGCTTTCCTAGCATCCGTCCGACGTCCAAGCCATGGCCACCTCCAATGTCGACAAGAAGGACCTTGTCGGGGTTGAAGCCTTCGAAGAGGAGCTCGGTCGAGTAAAACTCGGTCCAGTCTCGCTTTCGCTGGGAGAGCCCTCGCATTGCCCCAATAAAGGCAGCCTGGGACTTGGGTTCGGTCTTTAAAAAGGCGAAGAGGCTCAATTGATCTTTATTAGAGTCCATGAAATTCGTATTCGTAGCCTCGACGGGTTCGCGATAATCTGTCTTAGCCAAGAAGGCAGGCAGATTCATCGCTGATGAAGTGTACTGGGCGCCGGTTCTAGTTCACAGCCGTATCAGCTTCCAAGACCTAGCCACCAAAATGTTATATCATCGGGATCCTTACACGAGCGCGGTGTGCGCAATCGGCTCGGCAGTGTCTCCGAGAGCTAATGAGGTCGGTGTAGGTTGGAACTTGTCCTCCCCGACTTCTTCCACGAAATGGGAAGCACTCATGACGCGCAGTAACCTTCGAAGCAATCCTAAATCACACGGAGAGGTGCATAGTTTCGACAGTTCTTCGAGCGTAGCCACGTTTCCCCATCCTCCTTCCATCCTTGCCATAGCCCAAGGCCAATCAAGGTCTGAAGAGCAGACGCTGTGTTAATCGTCGTGGTGAATTTCCATGTCTGCTCGAACGGCGTCTCAAGACGGGCTAGCATGCGGTAGGCCGCGGAAATAATTAGTCTTCGCCCGTTCTCATCATTGCCGATCGCGTCTAAGTCGATTGTATCAAGATGCTTGATCGTATCGTTTACTTTGCTCATTGTAATCGTGCTTCAGGACCCAATTCACTATACAGCTTGCCAGACCATAACGGTCTGAGGCGGAGGCATCTTAAGCCAAGGTTCAGGACTATATACCAACGTATATTCATGACGGCGCATGTTCGTCTTGCGTGCAAATGGAGGATGTGTCAATCTCAAACTACAAGGACCCTTTCGGACCAATGTCGTAGGACCTCAAAAAACCTGCCGGCGGCGGATTTTTTCGAACTCCTTCCTTGGGCGAAAACGGTTTATTATGCCCTTGTTATGAGACGGACCTAATCCGACGGAATGGCACCTGGCTAATTCTAACGAAATAGGAAATAGCATCATTTGCCTATAAAGATGTCCGCATATTACCGGGTTGTACTGCCGTGAGGAACTGAACTCCTCTTGAGCCACCGCTCGCTTTGGTTCCTGATTGGCAAATGTGAGGTGGTCCTGCCCGGAATGCAGTTCCAGCCATAACCGTGACATGGACCTACAATGCGATGTTAGGTCTAGGGGCAAGTGGGAATTAAAAATCGAAGGCCTAGAAAAGTTCTTCGACGCCCCTAGGCATCGGATGGACCCGATGGACGCGTACCCCGGTTGCTCATGGTCCAAGATAAAATGGCCCCGTACTCCCAATGACGCTCGGCGGCGTAGTTGTGACCGTCTTTCAGTTTGAAGATCATCTCCCACGCCGCATAGGACATTCTACAAGACGCGAAAGGGGTGACTCGTTTTACGGGGGCTTGAGATCGTACAAAGGCTGATGAGATTTGATGACGGATCAATTGGTCGGCCGCCAACGGCGCACCTAAAGAAAGGGCCGCTCAGTCATCGAACGTGTCACCCAGTGAAATTACAACACCGAGGCCACTGTCTTCGCTGCATTGTGCCATGAACTCGAATCTGCTTCGTGGCACTGGCTTCGAAAGCGTCTTGCATCAAAAAGTGTGACGAGCAGCCAGAATGTAAGAATAAAATCATTTGAGGCATAAGAATTCGTCTTCTATTCGCCTCTGAACCGCAGAGCAAGGGGCCACGAAATGGGCCCCTCATCCCTGCGCATGACTGCCACTTCGCCACCCTCTGAAGATGCCATAAGCTGTTGATCGAGGATTGGAGCCCAAAAGCTGGGCGAGGGCGGCCAGGTCGCTATGACCATATCACCGCGCCTTTTGTCAGCCCGCATTTCGCTGCGCCACAACTATGGCGACGAAAAATGCCAAAACAAACATTGCACCTACAAAAGTGAGGTGTAATAACAAGTGGTACTCGTCTGGACCGAAACGCCATTCGGTTGACTTGGGGCCTGCCCTGGAGAAGAGCATATAGCAGTCGGGCCCTTGGCAAACGCGTTCTGCGTCCATGTACTCATTCCTGGGTTTGATATCCCACCACTCCCATTCCCGCGAGACCACCTGGTACACGCAAATTGAGCGCGCCATTTCCTCGCGGATTGGCGCAAAGAGATAGAGCAGAGCAAAAGTCCGAGCGACTTGAGCGATCGCCGGGCAAATCTCGAGGCTAGAGGCATGGACCCGCCCGCCAGCTACGGCACCGTTGGCGCCAAACCGCCCGTGCTGGAAGCGGCGCCGTCGAACCTAACCATCGTTTTCGAGTGGGTAGCGCTGCTCCCGCTCGTGCTCTACCTCGCCAGCAATAGAATTCCCCACGAGTTGGTCGGCAAAACCGCGCTTGCCGGCCGCATCTGCATCGGCCTGTTCCCCGGCTCGGTGTATTGAGCGCCATATCCGACTTCCTCCAGCAGCCTCCGGACTTCCTTGACCGTGCGTCCTCGGCGAGCGAGCGTCGCCGGGTGGTGTGGGACGTCAATTGGGGAAGCAAGTTCCCGTGCGCAAACGGCGCCGCTACCGACATAGTTGCTGCCCATTCGCTCCGTCGAGTAGGGATAACAAGAGTCTTCGGCGTATCTCCACCCGACAAGGCGGGCTCTTCAACGCTCCCTGATACCATCCTGAGGCCCGACAACAGGCGCTACCAAACACTCCATCTTTTGGACTGTTCTAGCGTGGCCTCCGGTAGTACGTCACGTTCTACTCTTTTCAGCCTACCCGGGCTTGTCCAAACTCTCAACACGCTTGTTCTCTTGATCCTGGTTGCTGCCCTTGTTGTCGCCGTCCTCTTTGGTCTTTACGGAACTACCGCCGCCATCTTCGTTTGCATTGTTTTCCGTATCTGTCGACACCTTATCTCCATCAATCGGCCTGGCGGGTATCTCCGCAATAAAGAGGGACGCACTCCAGGATACATGCTCGTAGCTCTCCATGAAAACGCGTCAACGTGGTACCTCTATCGGGGGTCCCGGAGCGTCATCGACAGCTTGCTGAACAAGGCAATGATTGAATCGATTGACTCGTCGCTAGGCACTGCAATTTGGCTGGGCTATCTATTACGTGTCCTTGAAATTCTTCAACTCGTTGCGATGACCTATGTCGCGGGTCAGAAGGGATGGGACGGCGTCGCCTTACTGTGTCTGATTGTGGCCGCCGGCGTCTTTGACCTAGTAGTTTATAGCGACAATATGGTCGCTACTTCGTGGTTCCGCCACGAGGGCGTTGCTATTAAAGCGCAAAGTTTCGAATTTAGCGGGCGCACACCGATGATCGGTGCTATTCAGGTTCTGAGTGGGAGCGCCGTGACATCTTGGATGGACGATATCCTCGTACCGTCTGCCCGTCGGGATGTTTGGCTCTCGGAGTTAGGAGTTCCGACTAAGAAGCAGGACGGGGCGTTACCGGATCGAGATCGAGAATGGATAGATCTCAACAGAGAGCTGACAGTAAGGGCCGTAGATATGATTCGGGGGCTGGAAAGTGAAGAGACTACTGTCTAGCTGTAGGGGCCCCCAGAGCTAACTAGTTGCTGGCGCTAGACGCGCTGCGCACCATCTATGATACCCACTGCACTATAACCTCATTTCTTCAACGACTTTATTTACATCTATTATTTACACCATGTCGGCCAAGCTTCTATATTCGCCCGCCGGGACGATCTGTGGTAAACCAACACTCGCACCTTTAACTGTTCCACATAGCCGACGGTCGCCTGTAACTTGATCAATCTTGTTCCATCAACACAAGTAGAACAACCATTAGTAGAATATTATTAGTTTCATTCGCTGCATCATTACATTAAACTGTTATTTTCCAAGAATCACATCCGCCGCCTTCTCGCTAATCATGTACACGGGAACGGCAATGTAAAACCCCGGTATTTCGGGGAAGACAGAGGCATCCACAACCCTCAAGCCGTCCACCCCCTCACCCTAAACTTGGCATCCAGCACGGCGTTGGGATCCCCATCCTTACCAATGGGGCATGTACAGCTCGCGTGGTGACCCCAGGCCTCGTTCCTGACCCACTCTTCTAGCCCCGCGTCGCTAACCTGGGGCCCGGGCCATACCTCGGTGAACCCCCGCAATGGGAATCACCTCCTTGAACATCTTGCGTGAGAGTTTCATACCCTCCACCACGGCCTTGACATCCGCCGCTCCGCCTTGCTGGAACGAGTTGAAGTCGATGATGGGCGTATCCCTGGGATCCGTAGATCGCAGGCAAACGGTCCCCGCACGATTGCTAGTGTGCGCCTTGAGCGTGATCCAGCTCCAGTGCTTTCGGTCCACGGTTCCGTCCGCTGAATACCCTGGATAATAGCCCGGGAAAGCAACCGGCGCACCCGCGATGAAGAGATCGGGGTCGCTCGTAGTAGCAGCGGACGACTTCTTCACGATGCCGAGAGAAACGCCGTTCGAGCCGTAGATTCCGCGGTCGCCGGTTGATGCGCCGGCCTGCCACTTCTTCAGACACGGGTCGCCCGAACGACCAAAGGTACAGCCTTCAATGATTTGGAAGTCACCTTCGGTTTCACCAATGACAGTCGTCTCATATCTATCCTGCAGGTTGGTACCGACGCCGGGAAGGTTGACTACTACGTTGATTCCCAAACTCTCAAGCTCACTCTTGGGGCCCACGCCGCTAAGCTTAAGGAGCTGGGGTGTATTAAAGGCGCCGGCCGAGAGAATAACCTCGGCAGAAGCGTTAACAGATCCGGTGACAAATGTGGCATCGTTCCTGGCACGAGGATCCGCCTTGTAGAGGCTCTTTCCCGTGATAAAATCGACACCGACGGCGCGAGGTTTAGCTTCGGTCCGATCGAAGCGCACTTTGGTAACGAGAGTGTCGAGCTTGATGTCGAGATGGTACTTTCGGGAATTGTCGGAATTCTTGGCATTTGCCGTCTGGAGCACAAACTCGGGGCCCTACGCGGACACCGTCCTTCACAGCTATGGGGACTTGATAGAGACCCTCGGCCTTGTCGCGTGATGGAAGGTCGGCGTTGATATCCGCTAGGAGGACTTGTCCCAAACCAGCAACCGTAGACAGGATCAAGCCTAAGAAGCTTTGGCTCATGGAAGAAGCAGCCGCGACGATGACCGTGAGAAGCTTGATATCCTTGATGACCAGTCCAAGGTCCGTGACGCTAGTAGTGAGCCAGCCGCTGAAACCGTGGCCTACGATGCCGTTGGGGAGATACCTGGCGCTCTCGAGCCGCTTGAAGTAGGTGCGCATGGCGGAAGCCTTCCACGACGCATCGCCCGTCAGTGTAGCGATCTTATCCCAGTCGCTTGCATGGGGGTACACCGTAATCAGCGCGTTGTGGGACCCGCAGCCGCCTAGCGTGCCAGAACGGGGGTACAAAATACCCAACGGCTCCGCATCGGCCGCCGGCTGCAGGCCGACATACAAACCGCCATTCGTCGTGCGGTATGTCATTTTCGAGTCCTTTTTCTGGGTCTCGGCGTCTTGGTGGTGCGTGACGTAGTAGTCCCAGCGCATCGGCTCATACTCGGTGGATTGCAGGTTGAGAGCCGGGACTTGGTAGGGAATGGATCCGCCCTGGTCGTCCCCGGCCTCGAGGAGGAGCACCTTCTTCCCCGCGATCGCTAAGCGTGCAGCGAGGGGCCCACCGCCGGGACCAGAGCCGACAATGACATAGTCGTACGAAGCGAGGATGCCATCGGCCTGTCTCGCTTGGAGTGGGTTCGGTCTGTGATGAGTGGGTTAGACTTGGGCTCTGACTTCCGGCAAGAGGAGGGTGTCTTACGCTGCCCGGACGACCGTGGCGACTAGGTATAGCGCCTGAAGGTGAGGAACTTCATGTCAGCGGCCTTTGTGGGTTCCAACTAGCGTTTGGCGATTGTGCAAGAGACATATCGGTCGGATTCCAATTACAACAATAAGAGAGAGTTACCCTATGATCCACGATATATATCTTTTCACGTTACGCCCTGCTTCGCTACCGAGGCGGTGCATCGCATGTGCTTTGCGGTTCTCCTGGAGGCTCTGGGCAAACGATCTCTCAAAGCAGTTGGCATTTCCGCGCAATAATCCATCAAATGATCTCCAGCGGCCTGCTGCTGCATCCTAGACTTTTGACTTGCCAATTGTCAGCATTAGTCGCCCGAACCATCATACTTCGCGGTCGTCGCTTTTGCAACGCAAGGTGGTGCTGCTTATGCACTCAAACCTCGTCGTTGAGTTGGGCGTCCGTATTCGGCACCTCGTCCGTCGTCTGTATCATGCGCATGGAGGGGGTGGAGCGCGGGACCCCCAAACGGATCGTTCGCCGACGTGCGCAAAACCCTCCACTGCGACGATAAGTCTTTGACAGGTGCCTGTCAAGCGGAATTTGCCTAGCGATCTCACCCTCTTTCTCGTATTCTGCGTTGAATGGTATCATCAAACGGAAATCATCCGGTATTTGACAATCGATCTTGGTAGTATTTGGATTCGATGACACTCACACCCTCTCCTACACGCTCACACACTTTTTCAGACTGTGGGCAACCATACGCACAGGTCCCAGTTTTAACATAAGGAGGAGGTTGGGAATTCCTCGGGTAAGCATCGATTGATCACTGGTATAAACTGGTATATAGGTTAGGCATGCGCGCGCCAGGAGAATGAAGCTAGCCCGGATTTGTGCGTCCCCTCCGTATTCTCCGTGGTTGAGAATGACGGGTGCTCTGCCCTTGGCTTGTGCTCAGCAAAATAACGCTGGTACACAACTCGACGGCAACACACTCCACTGTTGAAAGTCTCGGTCTACTGCATAGAAAACTAGGAGCGAACCTGTGGCGAGGATGGTCTTGTGTATTGTATATCGCGCGGGGGCTTCGACTTGCCCTCAACACACTCCCGCTGACCATGTTCTCGCCCTGCCGCTCGTCCCCCTTAACCCCTCCCTTCTTACATACCATACCCCTTTAATCCTCTTGAGGATGGATGTGGGAGTAATGAAGTGGAGCCTCCTTGTAGGAGACCGCCGAAGAATTTCCCGGCTACAAGCGCTGTACGCTATCGTCGGTGAGGATGCCGGTCCCTGGGCTAGACAGCTACATTAGGAATGGTCAGTTGGAAGCGGCTTGGACCCTTGTGGGGCCGGTATTTCTGCGCCATCGATGATCTTTGCGCCAGCCACCAATGCGACCCAATCTCATTCCGAATCGTGGCTGTCGGGTGCTCGCGATTGAGCTCGGCATCCGTGCACGCCACCCATTCCTGCTATTAGTGTCCTTCCCAGTCAGTCAAGCCATCACCTACCTCTTCCGAGAGCGTTTCCGACTTCGGGTTAGCGATCCTCGTTCCTCGACTATTACCGCTCATCCCATCCCCGCCCACACAAAACTTGAACCATTGGCGGAGCCTTGGCGGATCCTCACCTGCGCCGATCCTCTCTACGAGCTTGTAGCTCGGATATCTGGCCGAATATTACATGCAATGCAAAATGCGAATCATGTCCCAAGGGTACTCGCCTGTGAGCCTTCTGCTTTAGGAGTCAAGAAGCGATGATATAACGGCGTGAAGCGCCCCCATTTCTACTTCGTCTCGGCTTCCTGAGATTCTCCGATTTCCAACGTCCTTATCCCGTCATCGCGCCACCGAAAGCTACTAGTTTAGTCGTTTCGGAGGGGCACACTGGCCTCGGGTAAACTAACATCCATGGAACGGAGGACCGCTCGAGGGGCTTGATCTGAGTGTCTAGCTATCTGAAAGAAAAATCAATCTTTTCAGATGACATGACAGGTGGCATGTCACATGAAATCGTTGCCCGGTGCGCTGGGGTATTGGTCAAGCGAACTCTGATGGGTCGCATCGCTAAACAGCTTACTCAAGATGTTTTGTTTGAAACCCAGCCATCGACAAGATCGACGGCACCCTCCCCTCACCTCAGATCGCACCTAGGTTTTGTTGATACCACAATAGCATACTGGATTAGGCATGTACCTTGTGCGGTGGAACCTCATAGGGATTCAATCGTTCGCTAGTGAAACGGCCTCACCCCTTCCGGCTAGAACTCCTGTCGTGTAGGGCGGGTGTCCACAAAACGGGTCAAAGCGTAGCAAATCGTGCCCTTTCTCACCATCTCTTCCACGTGGAGCGAGGATCCCAACTTGCGCCCCCGTCCGTCTCGCGCCGGGACATAAAGGAAGGATCCATTTCCCGCATTACCACCTGATCCTTGAAATGTTATATGCTCCCCGTCGTGTCAACCCTTTCGGTCAGTCCTCCGTCATGCGAGAGGGCGACGCATCACCAAATCCCCTCATCGACGTTTTCCCACCTGTCCTCTGCCATGACGCGAGTTACGAGGTGGTTTATTGCGGTCCTCTGGGGGTTTCTCTGGACCGCATCCATCACAGCGGCGCAAGACCTAACTGAACTGATTACTGCGATTCCCCAGTGCGCCGTGAGTTCAAGATTTCGCCTTTCATTCCCCTCGGTCCCCAGTCCCTCCTTCTCTAAAGTGCACGCACGTCGTCCGAAACCGTGCCTCTTAGAGTCGGAAGCTCTCTACGTCTCATCTACGCATCTTGGCCACGCCATACCTATGCCAGCCTTTGTTAACTCTGGAAACCGTGTCCATAGCTCCCTGCCTTGTCGACGGATTACAGGCCGGTAACTGTTCCCTATTCGACTTCGAAACACTCCCAAGCTGCTCCTGCACCAACATTCCTCTGCAGGCTTCAATCTCGGCCTGCGTCCAGACCTCTTGCCATTTCGACGACCAAGCGAGTACGTTAGCTGCCTACGACATACCCTCCACATACCCTCATAAAGATCCACGAGTGGCTGGCTGACACTGGTTGGTTTTCACAGAAACTTCCATCCTTGTGGGACAGATCTGCGCACCTTTCCCCAGAGAATCTAGACGTGACGAAGTGAAGGCCGCTGCGATTGCATGCCTGGTACTCACTGTGGTTGTCGTCTTCTTGCGATGTCTATCCAGATTCGCCGTCTCCAGTCGGCTCTGGTGGGATGACTGGACGACTTTGCTCGCAACAGTATGTTTACATGCGATAACCACTCCGGATCACGCGCGCTAACGTGCACTAGGCCTTGCTCATCGCCTTGACGAGCGTCAAAATTGCAGGTATGTTAGATCATCTCGTCAAGCATCCTTGCGCTTCCGACTCCCATCCATATCAATGGATCTTGGTCTAACCCTCACTAAACAGGTGCCGGCTTCGGATTCGGGCTACACTATTGGAATGTCAACCCTGCGAATGCGGAAACAATCTTCCAGGTATGTCGCCCTCCCTTGACTACCTTAGTCTTCCCACTATAGATATGAAGGGACTTGAAGCTCACGGATAGAACAGCTCTTCTACACTGCGCAGATGCTTTACATTCTGATCCAAGTCACTGCCAAGGTTTCGATTCTAATCCTTTTCTGGCGTATATTCACGGTGCGCTGGTTTCGGATCACGGTTTGGTGCTGCGTCACGTTCTTGATCATCCATGGATTGCTATTTCTCCTGCTCATCGCATTCCAGTGCGTCCCTCTAGACGGGGTCTGGGACAAGTCCATAACCGCCAAATGCCTGAATGTCACTGCTATTGGATGGGCAGGGCAGTATCCAGCATCGTTGAGGATATAGTGATCCTAGTGATACCGATCTCGAGATCCTCAAGCTGCAACTTACCATCCAGAAGAAGATTGCAGTATGCCTTATGTTTGCCATTGGCTCATTGTAAGTCTTTCATGCTGCTCTACCTATCGACATCCCCTCTTCATATACCCGCTAGACGGCGAGAAACTCGGGAATGATATCCTAACATGGTCCGTACACAGCGCTTGCGTCACGAGTATGGTGCGCCTCAAATATCTCGTCACGTTTGCCAACTCGCTCGATGCGACATGTACGTTTATGCCCTCCCATCTCCGTAATTGCATGATACCCTTTAGGCTTCTTGACTAATTCATTGCAGGGGACAACGTTGATATTGTCATTTGGTCTATTATTGAAGTGACATGTGCAATCATCTGCGGCAGTCTCCCGACGCTGCGACCTCTCCTCCAAAAGGTGCCAGGCTTCTTAACCTCTATGAAATCGTCGCAATACGGCATGGGAGGCCTAAGTGGCACGTCGGGAACTGGCGACCGGAGCCAGAAATATCACTCCGAAGTGATGTCGCCTGGAGGCTCAAAACAACCCTCGCAGCCCGGCTGGGACCGGGGAGGGCCGGCCGATTGGAAACATATACGCAATACCTCCGTACGTACAACCGACGTAGAGGCAGTGCTTGACTCGGACTCAGGCAGCCGAGACGATGTAGAAATGGGGGTTCTCGCGAAAGAAAAGTATACGATATAAGGGTACATGAAGGCCCGAGAGATCAATCTGTCGACTCGATCACATACACATTCATTAGATATCTAGCGTGCTTTTTACTGGAAAATTATATATATATATCCATACTGGCGCCTGCCACAGCATAAGAGACGGATGCCTCCAGTTGTTGTGTTGTTGTGCTTGTCATGAGACGTGGATGGCCTTCGTCGGCCATCAAACCAATTTCCAAAGGAGGGTGGGGAGGAAACCTGGTTGCCCCTTGTTTCCTTGTCTGTCCAAAGTGGAATAATCAGCCCTACCGCCTAACGATTCGCCTGATTAGGTCGCAATGAGGCGGGGGTGTGAGGGAGTCGTGGCAGTGTGTAGCAGTTACAGAGGCTGCGCCACCCTACGCTCTTCGCTGGCGGATTTGATTGGTTTGGTGTTTTGTGGGCAGCCAAGCCAAACACTCTGGTCGGTGATACCGACGCACCGCCGTTGTGTCATTACGTAGATTGAAGCCCTCCTCCATCGCAGCAAGCCAAAAAAATAGAGATTGTAAAACGCCTCCAGTTCCGCTTCAAGCAGCCCTCATTCCTCTAACGATTTGGATCCAAGAGTGGCCGGTTGCTGCCCCAAAATCTTCTCAGAGATTCCCCGCCACGCCATGTCAGCACCATCGAATACCCTGCGGTACGAATACCGAGGCCTGGATAGCCCCCGATCTTTTCGGCTCCTCAAGTTGACCAAGGGCGCGAAGTCCGACCCGCTGGAATGTGAGCTGAGCGTCCACAAGCTTCAAGACCTTCCTTGTGGTGTTCGGTCGACCGTTCCCGAATTCCAGGCTCTCTCATATGTTTGGGGATCTGACCCGCCAATCCACGAAATACGATGCGATGATGGCCATTTTCGGATCACGGAAACTCTTCGGCGAGCGCTATGCCGGCTGCGACGGCAAGACCGCCATATTTTTGTGTGGGCGGATGCTATTTGTATCAATCAGTCGGACCTGAAGGAGAGGAGGCAACAAGTAGCCCTCATGAGGATAATATTTTCCCGGGCAAAAATGGTCACGGCATACCTTGACTTGAACGGGACGCTTTCGGTCGAAAGCCAACGAGCGCTAGCCCGAGAGTTACAGGGAATGGGGTCCGAGGCACGCCCCGCTCGAAGCTCTCGGACGCCGAAGTTGGCGCTGTTTGCACAGACTCAAAACAAAATTCCTGCAACGGCAGTGGAAATGACGGTTGCCGAAGCCCCGCGTTCATCCCGTCACCTTCGTCGAAATATCGCGGCAAACGATTTCCCACCACAGTTCGCGGCCGTGCTTGCTGCATTCTTCGATAACCCCTGGTTTAGCCGCGTATGGGTTGTCCAGGAGGTTTTCGAGAGCAGGAAATGCCGCGTTCTTTTCGGCGAGGAGGAGGAGGTCCCGTGGCTGAAAGTCATTGCTCTCGCCCGCTGGCTAATACAAAGTCGCGGTAAGGAGTCAATTGGCGTGCAAGTTCTCCGGCTCACAAAAACGAATGGGGTCCAAAATGCTCTCTTTATGCATAGCGGAAGCACCATCTGGGCTCCGGATCCGATCCCCGGTCTACTGCAGTCGGTGCGCGATTTCGGGTGCACAGATCCTCGGGACAAGGTTTATGCCGTTCTTCACATGCCATTCAAGCAGGCGCTCGTCTACCGCAGGATGTCGTTTCTCGCCTCGTCTAAATACTTGCACTTCTTCGTGCAGGGGACTGCCATGATGTGTATCTTAATCCAATTGTGCAGGCAAGATCCGACGGACCTGCTATTCTGGTCCCTGTTGCTCTCAGTCAGTTATATGACGCACCACATGGTCACCCTCGCGAGAACTGTTGCCCGGGACTTCTTCCAACGGCTCTTGAACTTCATTTACACGGTAGACAGGGTCCTGTTGCACGATTACAAATACTCCGACACTCTACAGAATGCTCTCTCTAACGGCAGACTACTCCCTCCCAGCCCAGACGTTGTACAGAATGGTTGCCGTGCGAATAGTGGAGCGCACGAAAAGCCTTGACATGCTTTCTTATGTCAACCACGGAAAAGAAGTTGATATCAACTACCCGTCATGGGTGCCTCGGTGGGATGTCCCTGCAGACGGGCTACAGCCCCTCATATCACTCCACCAGTTCCGAGCCTCTGCGAATATCCCTCACGAACTAAAACGCTCCTCGCGTCCCGACCATCTTGTGGTGGCCGGGCTGCGCTTCTCCACTGTTTCCTGGACGACCCAAGTGTTAGATGCCACCGCGTCAACTTCTATTCCCAACCATGTCGTCCATAGGCCTCAGCCTCCGCTCACGCCGGGTAGGAGACATCCTAGAACGAGACAAGTCTCGGCTGCCGGGCATATACGTGCCCATCAATCCACGGAACTGGCTCTCATGACATACGCCCAAAGTAGGCGGCGGTTCGGCACGGAGCGTGGCATGGAGGGGATTGGACCGCAAGCTATGAAGCCCGGCGACGTTGTCTGCGTTCTTTTCGGCGGTCGCGTGCCGTACATCTTGAGGAAAACTGATACCGACAACGTGTACAGAGTCGTTGGCGAGTGCTATCTCAGGGGAATAATGTTGGGCAGACCTATAGATATGTGGAGGGAGAGATTGCTCTCGAAAGAGTGGTTTACGCTTTGTTAATCATGTCAAAAGAAACGACGATTAACTTATAAAGCCGTGTTATCCCTAAGAGTAGCCTACGATATGAATAAAGACCTTGATTTTCTTTTCCTTTCACGTTCCCCTTCATCGGCCTTACCTATAACCCTGTTCAGGAGTCAATGGTGGACAGCCTAGGGAGAGAAAAGGGGCGGCGGCGTCGGGAAGGGAACTACAGATAGGAAATGACGCGAGATTTCATCTCCTAACCTGCGCCTTAATCCAGATTAGTGCCGCCCTTGATCAGGGCCATTCAGCAATTAGTTTTCGTGGGCCTGATCAGCGGCCGTGGCTTGGCCGCTCCTTTTCATCGTGAAACTCAACCAGCGCTTATGTAGAGCCAATAATGTCAAGGTGCAGCCTGCTCGCACAATTACTCCACAGAGTGTGCACGCGATAATTTAATCATTTATATCGACTGACATGGCGTAGCTGTGAATCAACTAGAAGTTTTCTCTCCATTCGCTTTCATCCTTTTCACGCCCGACCTCACCTACTATCTAATCTCCAACTTGTGTACCATGACGACCTTGAAATACCCCCACCTCCGCGACGAGGAATTCAGGCTCCTTTACATCGATAGGCGATCGAAAAGTGTTCGATATTCCTTGAAGCCTTTTGCCCGTGGCAGCTCTCCAGAGTATACAGCTCTGTCATACGTTTGGGGCAGCTCGAAGCCGTCCGCCCGCCTTGCGTGCGACGCTGGAGATATCCCAATCACTTCCGAGCTTAAAGCTCTTCTCGATCGATTTGGAGAGATCCCATCCCTCGCAGAAGTCTCGTGGTTTTGGATTGATGCTATCTGTATTAATCAAAATGAACCGGACGAAAAGGCAAAGCAGATTCCTATCATGGGCGAGATCTACAGTGGTGCATCGACAGTGACCGTCTGGCTCGGCGAGGCGGATGAGGCGACGACAAAAGCGATCAAAACCATCTGGGACCCCGCCTTCCTAGCACCCTTGTCATGCACCTATGCGGTCCCCGGAAGTATCCCATCTGAAGACGCCCCGGTATGGAGGGCAGTCCAAAATCTTTTTGCCCGCGGTTGGTTCAGTCGCTCATGGGTCGTACAAGAACTGCTGCTGGCTAGGGAGTGCCGTGTCGTGTTTGGGAACGAAGTAATTCCTTGGGTCCTGATTTTGACGTACTGGGCCTATCTAGAACTGGGAAGACACGACCTTGTCGTCTCGCAAAGGAATAAGATCGGACGCACTGTCATGTCCCCGTTTGGGATGCTTCTTGCTCCTGGACCGGAGCCTGGGGGTACGAGATGGGCAAACATCGTTGGAAGCAACAACCTTCGATGGTCCTTCAAGCCGCGATACCACGTCGCCGGCCTCCTCGACTTAATTCGAGGCCGCGCATGCCAGGAGGCACATGACAAAGCGTACAGCCTACTAGGGCTACTCCCCGAAGAGATACGGTCGAAAGTCCCCGTCACCTACAAAACACCCTACCACGAGGCCCATCTTTCGCTTGCAAAAGCGCTTCTACAGCCACCCGGGCTTTTGCCACTTGCTCTCGCGCCGTCTGTTTCCAAGTCACAGGACCTCCCATCCTGGTGTCCCGATCTCAACTCCACCGGGGCTATGATGCCGTACTGGCACCACTTCAACGCAGGACGACTCCCGCCGGGCCTCTCCTCAATTGCTCCATTTGAGATCATCGGCCCACAGAATGTGCTCAAGGTGCCTGGTGTTTTCATAGATGTTGTTCAAACAGCCAGCCCGCTTCCGGATATAGGACAGGTTATAGCCACGCATGATGGTGCTATGGAAATGTCCAAGTTCCTACGCAATTATTCTAGCGATCAGATCGCTTCCATATACACACTCGTCGCTGGCGTTGACCGAAACGGTGCGCCATATAAGAAAGATCAGCTACTCACTGATTTCGAGGAAGCAAATGAATATCTCAAAATATTCCTCGCGGACAATCGAAGCTGGGGCCCGAACACGCCCTTCACGGCTGCACTCCTCCAAGCCTGGCGCGGGGCTACGCTTTCAGTACAGCAACTGAGCGGCTCGGCCTTGGCCCGAAGACTCTTCAAGAAGGAGACCGCATTGCCATCCTGTTCAATGCTAGCTGCCCATTCATTCTAAGACAGTCTCAGGGACAGTACTATGAACTTCTCGGTCCAGCGTACATCCATGATTACATGGACGGCAGTTTTCTCCAGTCAAGAGATCCTACCAAAGCCTTTGAGTTCATATCTTTGATTTAAAGGTCCTGATTATTGAGGTTATTGTCTCGAGAGGCCATCTGTGGCAGAAAATATTAAGCACAACTTTGGTTCCCCTAGCTACAATACGGTTAGATATAATATTAGCACGGAAGTATTGTATTAAATAAACTAGATTTCAGATGCCGAACGTATGCTGTCATTGGAGCAAACCACCTTGAGTAGGTCTTTCCCAACTTATCCACTTGATATCATTTTAACCCCCTCCTATAACTCCCCTGGAATTTACCTTTTATTCCATCTTGGTCTATAGATCTCCCCGTATGCCGTCTCTAGATATTGGTTTGCGGACCATGATGGCTGAGATGGAGCCAAGAACATGGCCGGCGGGCTCTCCTGTTATCTCGGCTTTGATGTTATCTCTACTTGATCTTGATACCTTATCCGAAGAGCCACCAAGCTCAAGATTCCTCAATTTCAAATGTAGGGATATAAACCGAGTTTCCTCAAGTTCATTGGGTTCTGTTACTGGCCAACCGTAGGCCCTTGCACTTGATTTCGAAGAGGAGAGCCGGCGTTTGCTGTGGAAGATGGACACGAGTTATGCGAGGTCCAATCATAGTTCCGTCTAGAGAGCCTTGTCAGTAAAATATTTGGTGGCTGCATGAGTGGCGGGCGCTTTCCTTCCTTAGTGGCCGCAACACGGCCTCGGGTAGCCAAATTATGTGGTGACTGGTCGTGATCCAATATTAGGCAGCGAGCTCATGCAGGATGTAGTGTCCAGATTTGACAACCTTGCTGCCCACGGTACTCGCGCCTCTTTGGACGGGTGAAGGTGTGTCGGACACGTACCCACGCTTGATTTGATGTCAAAGAAATGCGGGGCAACGGCTGGAGTGACAAGACTTCATGCCATTCTCGCATATAATATCAAATATGCGTGGACAGTATCAAAATCATTGTTTTGTTGAAGTCGTGCCTTACGTCCCAATTCACTCTCGCTCCAATGTCGTCACGGCTTTCATGGCTGACAAGCCTTTGTTGTCCCATCGCCACCAAGGGCACACAGGAACAGCCAACTTTGGAAGGTTGCGAAATGGGTTCGAGCCCGGAACCCGGAAGTGGAATCAGAAATGTCGAGAGGCAAATATCAAGTTCAGATGACAAGACCAGAGAGGCTCAGGTTGAGCAAGAATTGGTAGTCATGCCCGGTCGCGTAGAAAACCCCCGGAGACACAGCAAGGAACTACACCTAATGCTTTCGAAGGCGAGCAAACAGGCCGCGAGGATCTGTCGCCGGAGTTAGAAGAAGACAGCGAGAGCGACAGACGCGATGATATGGAGGCTTGGTTGACTGAGAGTGACATGGACGATCTATCCGCCAGCGACGAGCTTGTACTTGCCCAAATCCCCTCGCAATTGCCATTACTTCCTGTCCCCGACGACGCTTCTCAGCCCGACGATAGGTTGTGTCACGACTGCTCACTACTCAGACTCAAGAGAAGACGCTTCATCGTCTGGCCGAAAGATAAGGATTTTGGTCGCAACGTTCAACCTGACGCGAATTTTATACAGCTTGGAAATGTGGAAGATATGCGACACCGGAAGAACTGCCCTTTCTGCCGACTAGTGTTAGTGGCTCTCGGGGAGATCGAGTCCCTGATAAGGACAGTGATGGGCTACCAGTCAAGGCTGAACTATGCTGGACAACGGATGGCACGAGGGATAGGGACCAGCCATGGATGGCGCGCAGTGAGATTCGCATTCTTCGTCTGTACGGACGCACTGGTTCCGGCGGATACCTTGGCATCGAACAGATGAATCTCTTTCCCTCCATCGCCTTACTCGCCAACGACATCCCCAGCAATGCTCCGCCCCAGGCACAGCGCTTTCTTCCTCGACCCATTCAGTCTAATTCCATAGACTTCAAGGTCGTTCGGCGCTGGTTGAAACTTTGTGAAGTTAACCACTCCAAAGTCTGTGGAAACCCGTCTACCCATAAAGAGCTGGGGTGGACGGACCCAGCCGGGAATATTCCGGACTTTCGGTTTATCGACCTCGAAGACCGCTGCATTGTTCGTGCAAAGGACAAGGATAAGTCTCGCTATGCTGCACTCAGCTACGTTTGGGGATTGAAGGAGTTTTTCCGCATGACGACGAAGAACCTTCCCGTCCTCGAGCAGTTAGGTGCGCTCGACCGTGCTGAGATCTGGAACCAGATACCTGCTACAATCCAGGACGCCATGGTGGTAGCCAAAGAGATTGGTGTCCGCTATCTCTGGGTTGACAGTCTATGCGTGTACCAGGACCGGTTTGACATCAAAAATATGACTGATGAGGAAGAAACGATCTTCAACAATAAAATGGAGTCCATTCGACTGATGGACTATGTTTACGGCGCTGCATATATTGTCATTTGCGCCTCTGGGGGTACGGATGCTTTTGCGGGCATAACTGGCGTCCAACCAGGCACGCGTGGCTTTACGCAGCCTATCGAACAGATCTCCCTGGCTTTCGACTTGCCTATCGTCACCAAGCGCATGACGGGGTCGATACGCTGCCGTATTTCACCCGGGCGTGGACGCAAGTTGACCCCTCCCTCTTTACTCCTAGATGCCGCTAACAACCATCCAGATTCCAAGAAAGGCACTTCGCTACCCGTCTTCTCAGCTTCCGTAACGGCCAAGTCTCTTTCCGATGCGCTTCCGATATTAGTTTCGAAGAGCACACGTGGGATGATGAATCCATCATTTCTTCGAAGCCACCGCCGAGCTTTGCCGGCGAGGGCAATGATATTGGTGACGGAGTGGAAGGGCCGATACAAAACTACTCTGAGCTGCAGCTCACACAGCAATCTGATATATACAATGCCTTTGCCGGCGTCGCCCGTCAGATGCGGATGCGACTGAAATGTGACATCTGCCATGGCATTCCGGTCAAGTATTTTGACTGGCTCCTCCTTTGGCACCCTCTCAAAATTGATCCAACTCGAAGACAACTCGCCCCGAGCTGGTCGTGGTCGGGTTGGCAAGGCGGCGTGTTCCCGCGCATGTGGGACTGGTACACGCGCGACATGCGTGCCATTCGGAAAGCTCTGAGGCGGCGTACTTGGATTATATGGCACCATAGGCACGCTCATGACACCTCCGGCTACAGCCTTCTACATAGAAATCGACAGACTGGGGGTCAAGTGCCGCGCAACTTCTATGGGGGCCCCATTCGCAACCGCTTCCCTTTTGACTGCTCGCAGACTGAGCCAACTCGACGCGTCCTATCACCGCCACCCGCGGGCGCCCCTGAGCCGCCCTCATACTACTTTGACATTATCAGCACACGGCCGTACTCCGGCTTTCTGCAATTTTGGACGGTGTCCGCCACCTTTGAAATCGCCGAGACCAAAACGCCGTGGCCAGGGAAGGGTCTCCGCCTCCAGGCAAGAAACTAGGCATCTTCGGCAAGTCTGGAGATGAAATTGGCCTTCTAGTAGTGCCCACGTTGTGGTTGGAGTCGAACCCAGCACCATCTCAGCAACCGTTCTTGCTATTATGTGAGGCAAGGGACCTAAGGGCAGAGGGTAAAGATAGAGACACAGATGATCAAGATTGGCGATACCGGGTAATGTTGCTAGAATCAAAGGGGGATTACTATGAGAGAGTCGGAATCGGATCGATTGGGAGAGGTGAGGAAATGGATTCTTTCGGCGATGGACCGTGCTGGAAGGAATTCATCCTCGGGTGAGACAAGTTTATCTTGAAGGGGTATCGAGCAAACATCTCCGCAACGGTGATAACTCTCAGTACGCCTTGTGACATTTCTTTCCATGGTGCCGTGTTTTATTTATTCAATATAGAGAATGTCCCTCTACTAGATTCACTCGATCTCTGACATCATATTACAGCATGTGCTGGTTGGTTCCGTCACAACCTCCGACCATAGACTAACTACTCGCGGGGATCCTATATATAATGAGTCTTGCCGAGGCTTAAGACGTCCCACTCATCTCCGACCTTTCGTCTAAATAGATGGAGTGAATACAATGATTCGAACTTGGACGGACTTCCCTGACGCCTTTTCATCAATCTCTGTTAGATCCCATCTTGAGAGCTAGATCTTTAGAAGGCATATTTCAACCCGGATTGTGCTAGGCTGATAATTTTTCTCTCAGTAAATTCTTCCACGCCCGCGATTCCACCAAACCGACCATACCCGCTACTCCCACCGACCCCCATTAGGCAATGTGGCTTCAATATACACGGTTGGTCCATTGATATGGCAACTACCAGCCCTCACTTCCTTTGCCAGCTCCATCGCTCGCATGATGTCGCGAGAGAAGATACTGGCACAGAGTGAGAACTCACTGTCATTAGCTAGATTAAGAGCTTCCTCGTCGTCTGTGAATTCAATCAACACCATAACAGGGCCAAAGGACTCCTCATGATATAGCCTCATATCTCTTGTTACACCCTCTAAGATATGAGGGCGAATAATCGTCTTATTTGGACCGCCGATTTGTAAGTCGCCGAGGAGGAGAGTTGCTCCAGCGTCAACCGCCGACTTGGTCAAGCTAAGAACTCTAGTTGCTGATGTGGGCGTGAATAACCCGGAGATGGAGATATCTTTTTCTAGCATATGATTGCCGCATTTGAGGGATCCAACGCGAGCAAGCAGTTTTTGCTTGAACTCGTCCGCGATAGACTTGTGGACGATGACTCTCTCTGTTGACATGCACACCTGTCCATTGTTGGAAAGTCCACCAAATACAATTGCCTCCACAGCATCGTCAAGGTTAGCATCTTCCCTCACGATAGCGGGTGCCTTTCCACCGAGCTCAAGCACACATTTCTTAAGACAGGACGCCGCCCAGCCAGCGATGATGGTTCCAACTCGCTCACTGCCTGTGAAGTTGACATGCCGAATCTTTGGGTGCTTTACAGCAAACTCGGTGATTTCGGCAGCCCGCGCCGGACTGCAAGGAAGGAAACTGATACATCCAGTAGGAAGCCCAGCTTCTGTAAGGGCCTTGATGACGAGGTTTTGTGACTTGGGACTCTTTTCTGAGGGTTTTAGCACCACGGTGTTGCCACATATGAGAGGGCATGCAATGGCCCTGGCAGTTAGATTGACCTATTTGACCTGTTAGTGAAAATTCAAAGGATGAAGGGTTGGCTATTGGTGTGACTAACTGGCGCATTCCATGGGCTTATCGCGAATACTACTCCTAGGGCCTCCCGAGCAACGAGGACTGTGGTCCCGGGCCTATCTGCTGGAACAATTTCCCCTTGATGTGGGTCACAAGTCCGGCAGTCTCACGCAGAACGCCGGCAGTCGCAAAAATGTTGACCTTGATCCAGCTCTCCGTCGCTGAGATCTCCTGCCTGAGGATGTCTGGCGCGTCGCCGTGTATATAAGTCTCTAGGATATCAGCCGCCTTGAGGAATATGGCGCGTTTCTTCGAGGGAGAAGTTCTCGACCACGTCTTGAAGGCGGTATGAGCTGTCTCCACCGCTTCGGATACGTCCTGGACTGTAGCGGAGGAGCAAGTGTAAATGGTTTCGCCTGTCATAGGATTCGTAACTGGAAACTGGGTATCATCGGAGCTCGGCCTGTACTGGCCGTTGACAAAGATCTGCTGCTGCTGGTTTAACGCGCCCTGGCCGGAACCTTGTGTGGTCATGATGAAGATATTAAAATAAGGTGGTTTACTGGAGTATGTGATGGGCCACAAGCGCAGTAGGCGGGACTAAGAGAAGGATAGATGGGAGGGTAGATAGTAGAAGCAGATGTAATTGAAGAGATTCCTCTATTGTCCCCTTGCACGAGGGCCAAGCGACATGCCCACAGCTCGAGGACTAATACTTACACTTTATCAATTGTAGTGCAGCATGTAGTCTAATAGGTATTGGCCATACAACGGGTGCCTTTTAGATCGTGGGTGCTTGTTCCTACGGGACTCGAATGCGGGGTTATTAGAATTGGGGAACTCGGAGAAGCGCCGGTGCCGGAAGCATGCTTCCGGCAGCGTCACCATTCCGAGGGTGGTGGGGCGGCCGAACATTCAATCGCGTCAGCACTCGTAACCTAGCAGCGCGACGCCAACGGGTAACCTCGGCCAAGGCTCTAGGTATCTCTTGGTTGTTGTTAGACACCCGGTAGCGGAATCGATCATCTCGCGACGGGGTCATACGACTATAATATCAACGAGAAGTAAAGGCTGGTGCGTGGCTCTGGTGCGTGGCTCTGGTTTAAGCATTGTCAAAGTCCAACGCACCGAGAGTAGAATTATTCACTACCTCCGTACAAGAAAAAGGCCGCGCAAGATGGCGAATGTATCAAACACCGCGACCACACAGCGGGTGACGGGTGCCGCGGCCATCCTGCACGCGCTGGAAGCAGCAGGAATTACGCATCTCTTCGTGAACCTGGGCTCAGACCACCCAGCGTTCCTCTCCGCGTTCGCGAGCAAGCAATTCTCCAAGATTCAGATTTTCACCTCTCCCAATGAGATGAATGCCCTCTCCGCAGCGTCTGGGTTTGCCCAGATTACGGGAAAGCCAGCGGCCGTCCTCGTGCACGTCGAGTGCGGAACTCAGGGGTTGGCGGGGGCGATTCATAATGTCAGTAAAGGGCGAATTCCGGTTATGATCCTGGCAGGCACGGTTCCTGTGACGATGGAGGGCGAGTTGATGGGTAGTCGAAATGAGTAAGTGAAACCCGGATTAAGCAATGGGAGCCCCCGCCGCTGACATAGCTGCTCAATAGGTATATTCACTGGATCCAAGATGTTCCAGACCAGAGAGCCATCGTCCGCCAATATATGCGGTACGAACACGAGATCAGAAGGCCACACAATGCGGTCCAGCTCGTTCTGCGGGCAATGCAATTCGTCATGTCGGAACCTCAGGGCCCGGCGTATCTGATTGCCAGTCGAGAGACACTCGAAGAAGAAGTTGAGCTCGCTCTCGAAGCGCCGCCGTCGCAAAATCCCGCCAAGAACACCATCCTAGAACCACAGGGGCTAAGCCCTGCGTCACTTCAGCTTCTGGGCACCACGCTCCTCAAAGCAAAGCACCCGTTAATCGTGACCAGCTATCTAGGACGGTCAAAGGCAGGATTCGAAGCGTTGAAGGCGTTAGCCGAGCTTCTCGCCATCCCAGTCCACGAGAATGCACCCATCTATAACAACTTCCCGACAACCTCTTACCTTCACCAGGGCCATCAGTGGAATGGTGGAGGCCAGCTACCAGCGTTGGCGGAAGCTGATGTAGTTCTAGTCATTGACGCTGACGTCCCCTGGATACCGGCTCAATCGAAGCCGAACCCCAGCGCATTGATATATCATTTGGATTGTGACCCGTTGAAGGAGTCTACGACTTTATGGTCGCTTCCATGTGAGAAGCGCTGGAAGGTTGACTCAGCCGTCGCCCTTCAAGAACTCGTCGACACGGTCCAGCAACATTCTCTTTTCGGAAGCAAGGAGACAAATGCAATCATTAAAACACGTCAAGCTCATCTCAAGGACCGGTTCAAAGCAAGGCAGACCAGGCTCGCCTTGGCAGAGGAAGTGCCATCTGGCGGCAATGTAACTGTGCCGTACTTCATGTCTCGACTACGGGATGCGTGCAGCGACGTACGTGTCGTAGGGCTCAACGAGTCTACCACGAACCTTGGGAATGTTGCGGATTATCTGCATCACAACGAAGCACATAGTCTTATCGGGAGTGGAGGTGGCGCCCTTGGGTGGTACTCCGGGGTGCGGTAGGCGCTTCTCTTGCCTTGAAATCCCTTGGTCGGCAAGACGATCTGGTTATTGCCTTCACCGGCGATGGCACTTGGCTCTTTGGCATACCTAGCTGCGCTTATTGGATGGCAAAGAAGTACAACACTCCGTTTCTCACCATTATATGGAACAACGGAGGTTGGAGTTCGCCCAAGAATGCTTGTCTGAGGATTCACCCCGAGGTGGCAAGCGCTTCCGTTCCGGAGGGTCGCAATCTCAGTGATCAGCTCATGGTTTCCATAACCCCATCTCCGGCATTTGGAATGATTGCTGAAGGCGCGGGGAATGCTTGGTGGGCTAAAGTGAGCGCAGCGCATGACGTAGAGAAAGTCTGCAAGAAGGCCATCACGGTGGTTATGGAGGAGAAGCGGAGTGCCGTAATTGAAGTTATCATCGACTCTATCTGATAATGGAGAAACTTCCCGTCAACACGGGTTTCCTAGATTTAGTTTTCAAAATACCGGATATTCTTGCCATTCCTTTTCACGATCCATATAAACTGGTCTGTCCTCAAACTCGCATGATGAAGGCACTCTTCATGCTGGGTAGCTGGCAACATTGAACATTACGTCCTTCAGGTGTTCCCCTAGTCTAGGCGGAGCGGGCCTCGACGGTGTAGCCACTCCGGAACCATGCATCCCCCACTATTGGCACCACATCCATAGTTGATGTAATCTATGCGGAAAGTAGGACTTAATTCGGGATGGTGTCTAAAGACCGCATTCCGGGGGCTGATATTTACTGTTGACTACCGGGATACCTACCTGGTATTCGCCGCTTGGCAGACTAGAATTAACTTGGGCGCTAATTCTTCCTCCATCGCCTTGTCCCTTAACCCGTTTCCCATCCATCATCCACCATCCACCCGTGCCAACAACCTCAGCCACAATCATGGCGGCGAAACCAGAACTTTACTCAATTGACGACTTCGAGGCTCACGCAGCTGAAATGCTGCCCAAGATGGTCCGAGACTATTTCAACGGCGGTGCGATGGATAGCATCACTCTTCGCGCCAACCAAGAAGAATATCGTCGCTTCTACATAGTACCAAGGGTTCTACGCGACGTTTCAAGTATTGACACGACGGCTTGCGTCTTTCCCTCAGGAAACACGATTCCATTCCCATGCTGTGTAGCTCCCGCGGCTATGCAACGTATGGCGCACCCGGACGGCGAGGAGGCCATGGCAAAGGGGTGCGGCGCGTACGGCGCTGTCATGGGCCTAAGCAGCTTTAGTACCACCAGCCTTGAAGATGTCAAGTACGTGGCGGATAGGGCGCGAAGCGACTCCGGAAAGCGGGGTGAGAGTGAATGCGTGTTACAACTATATCTCTTTGAGAATAAAGAGACGAGTGAAGGGCTCCTAAAAGAGCAGAGGGTGAGTTTGGCTTCATGGCATCAAACGAGCGGCATCTTGAATATGTTATTAATGGCATTTTCTGCCCACTAGATCAAGGATATAAAGCAATTGTCCTGACAGTGGACACGCCTTACTTTGGGAGAAGGTTAACTGAGATGCGAAACAGGTTCAAGGTTCCTCCTCATCTGAAAATGGCCAATTTCTCTGATGCCCTTGGGGTGAAGACGGGGTCGGAGCATCGCACAAACGAGCTCAATCATATCGCATCGCATCTGTCCCAAAAGAGTGCTGAAAACACCAAAGCCACTCCGCCAAATAAAAATGGTAAGTCGAGATGCCAGGCTATCTCACGGCCGGAAGTGCTAAAATACAGGTTTAGATCCAACCCTTACCTGGGACTCGATTAAGTACCTCAAGAGTTTGACAGCACTCCCGATCTGGCTCAAGGGAATTATGACTGTCGAAGACGCATTGCTAGCCGTAGAGCATGGTGCCGATGGAATCTTTGTGTCCAACCACGGAGGGCGGCAGCTAGATCAAGCTCCACCTACACTGCGAGTTTTGCACGATATCGCAAGAGCGGTGAATGGGAGGCTGCGCATTGTAAGTATCACCATATTACAGTACCTCGAAACTAGGTGGTTAACCTGGGTTGAAGCACTTTGATGGCGGGATACGGCGCGGATCAGATATCTTCAAAGCCTTATGTCTCGGCGCGGATATGGTTTGGATAGGGCGCCCGGCACTCTGGGCCATAGCATATGATGGGGAGCACGGGCTTCAAAATGCCCTTAGAATCCTCGAAGATGAATTTAGGGCTTGTATGGGGCTGGCAGGTTGCACGAGAATCGATCAACTAAACCCGGACTGTCTGATGGCGGTTCATGCTCGGGCTAGAATTTGATGCCAATATAACAAGTGGATTAGGGTTAGGGTTAGGGTTAGGGTTAGGGTTAGGGTTAGGGTTAGGGTTAGGGTTAGGGTTAGGGTTAGGGTTAGGGTTAGGGTTAGGGTTAGGGTTAGGGTTAGGGTTAGGGTTAGGGTTAGGGTTAGGGTTAGGGTTAGGGTTAGGGTTAGGGTTAGGGTTAGGGTTAGGGTTAGGGTTAGGGTTAGGGTTAGGGTTAGGGTTAGGCAATACGTAACTGAACGAAGTACAATTCCGTCATCACCAGAACCACGGGCTG